CTTGAGGGCCGCGCTCACATCGGATGCGCAGCGCAGCACATCGCACGCGACGACCACGTCGAACGACGCAGGGATCGTGCGGTTCGAGTCGAGAATGGCCTGCGGAATGTCGTACGGGCCCGTAAGGAACGCATCCGAGCCACGCTCCGCCGACGCAATGTTCAGACGCACAAGGTCCACGTACAGACCACGGCGCTCGGCCCACTGGACCAGCGGCTGGAGGTTCGTCTTGCGGTGGCGCGGGTACATCTCAAGCACACGGAACACACGGCGCGGCAGCTTCTCGTGCGACGACATGAGCACACGCTGCACCATGGTGTTCAGGCTCTCGACCGTCTCCGTAGTGAAGCCCGGCACGCTGAACAGGTCGTCCTGCAGCTGCGTGCCGACGACGGAGCCGCTCTTGAGCGCCTCCGCCACAACACCCGACTCGTCCTCGCCTTCCATGTTGCCCAGGAACTTGGTCGTAAGCTCCGGCTGGATGGTGAACGCCTCGGTGGGCTTCACAGTCGCGTCCAATGCACGCGGCTCCCAGCTTTCGGTGTAACCCTCGCGCTCCTTCGCCGTGTCCTTGATACGCTGGCACTCCAGACCCTTGAGGAAGGCCAGGGTCTTGCCGGTCGCACGGTCGAACATCAGAATGTTGTGCTTGATGTTCTGGTCGTTGCTAATGAGCGTCTGGACGTACAGCACAAGCTGCTTCGCGTTGCGGATCTCCTCCGGCGTAGCACGCACCGTAAGAATGTCCAGCTGGTTGGGCAAGAAGGCATCGACACCGAGCTTGGTACCGTCGAACGGCAGCGCAGGAATCCAGGTACACAGGAAGGCCGAGTCAAGGAGACCAGGGTGGAAGATCATACCGTAGGCCTCACGCGAGGTCCACAGGTCCGGCAACACATCGACAAACGCAATGTAGTCGTCCTCACGCGTCGTCGAGCCACGAACCTCGTTGATCATACCGAACGCACCCGTGTGCATCGAACCGTTGGGACGCAGACGCGAGTAGAACGTCTCGCCGTCCATGACAATGTCAAAGTGCTCGATCCAGTTCTTGCCGAACACCTCCTCAATGTTCGACGGGCCCAGCGGCGTGCTCTCCGTCGTCATCTGACCGCTGGCGTGCAGCTGGTCGAAGATCAGACCGGCGTCGTTCACGGCGTTCTTACCCGACGAACGGAACTCCCAGCCGCCGTTGATGCCCGTCATCTTGAACTGGGCATACTTCGGCGTGCCCTCCTCCTCGACGACCATCGCACGGTGGATCTTCATGTTGGTAATCGTACGCGCACCAGCCTCGAGCGCAGCTTCGGCGTAACCGGCACCAGGGAACACAATGGTGCCACGAATCTTGTGGCCCTTGGTCCACGAGTGCGTCTGCGCATTGATACGGAACGTCTCACTGCACAGCGGCGGCGCAGGGTCACGAATACGCAGGTGCTCAGGGAACGACACCTCATGCGTCACCTTCTTCAGCGGCAGGAAGGGGTACTCGGGCAGCTTCTCCAGCGTCGAGTTCACACCCATCGGGCGGTCAATGAACTCGTCGCTGTACAGCTTGTACACAATCACGTCACGCACACCCGACTGGAGCGCACCACCCACGGCGCCAAGGAACTGCGTAATCTCGCCAGGGGTGTCCTTCGTCTCGCCCTTCTTAAAGTTAGGGCGACGAGCACACGACACAATCGTCGTGCGCTCACCACCCACCGAGCGGGTGATCTCCTCCATGTACGAGCCCAGCACCGAGTGCGGCGCAATCTCAACCACCAGCAGACCACGGTCCTGCTCCTTGCGGTAGGCGTGCAGCGCCTCCATCGACTCACGGAACAGCACAGGCTGGCTGACGTTCTTCCAGCAGTACTGAGCGTCGAGCGCATGGCCGACATCGTGCATGCGACCGTCGACCGTCGAGATGAAGCGCGTCGTAGGCACGTTCTTCTCGGCATCGACAATCGGGTACACCTCCTTGAGGAATGGCTCACCACACGGCGACACCATCGGCGAGTGGTACGGACCACCGACACGCAGGTGACGCGCAAAGATGCCCTGCGCCTCACAGTCGTTCACAACTGCCTCCAAGAGACTCGTCTTACCCGACACCGACACGGCGTTGGTCGAGTTCGAGGCCGAGACCCAGAGACCCTCCGTGACGTTCTGCTCCTTCATGATGCGTTGAATGAGCTTCTCCGCCTCCTCACGGCCCATACCAAGGGCGGCCATCTGACCGTCAACCTTGTCAAGGAGCGTCAGAGCGTTCGAACGGGCAATGGCCGTACGAATGGCCTTCTCGTGCGACAGGGCACCCGAGGCGTACATCGCGGCAATCTCACCGACCGAATGGCCCATGACCACATCAGGCTTCACACCCAGGTCGACCCACAGGTCGAACAGGGCAATCTGGAAGATGGTGATGGCAATCACAATGCACTCCACCGTCCAGCCACCCGACTCGGTCTTGGCCACGTGACCCTCCGCGTCAGGGTTGAAGAGACCGTACTCCTCCTCGAAGTTCTTGTCGTGGAACTTCTTCACGATGGCAAACGACTCGTTCACCGACTCACGGAACGCCTTGAAGCGCACGTACAGATGACGGCCCATGTCCTCGTGCTGCGGACCCTGACCACAGAACACGAACGCCTTGATCGGGTTTAGATCCGGCGTCGAGGCAACGACCGTCTCTGAGAAGCTCAGCGGCTCGTTCAGCGAGGCCACAGCGTACGCCAGGTTCGGGTTACCACGCGCACGCTCTGTCATCGTACGCGCCAGCAACGAGGCGGTGAGCGGGTCCTTGGTCTCCGTCCACACCTCCGAGATGGTGTTGCTCAGCGACGTCACAGCACGGTTGCTCAGCGCACCGATGGCCACCAGCATAGGGTCGTTCGGCGAGAGCGACTGGTCCTTCAGCTCCAGCGACTTGTTCGGCACACGCTCCATCACAGTGTGACTGTTCGCACCACCGAAACCGAACGACGAGAGCGACACAATGTACTTGCCGTCCTTCGAGAGTTTGTTCTTCGGCAGCGGCTCCGTCTCCGTCTGCACCTTGATCTTGAACTCGTCCCAACGAATGTTCGGGCTCGGGTTCTTGAAGTGCAGGTGCGGCAGAAGCAGACCCATGTCGAGCGTGTAGCAGTTCTTGATCAGGCCCACAAGACCGGCCGCCGGCTCCAAGTGACCGACGTTGGTCTTCGCCGAACCGATCTTCAGGTAGTCACCCTCCGCACGGCCCGGCGTGAACACCTCACCGACAGCGTTCGCCTCAATAGGGTCACCGACCGGCGTACCAGTACCGTGGCACTCAACGTACACCGTCTCGGTCGGGTCACGACGTGCCTCCTTGTAGGCAGCGTAGGTCGCCGCCTTCTGCTGCGGACCGTCGGGCATGGTAATCGACTTGCCCTTACCGTTGGCGTTGATCGAAGTACCAGTAATCTCCGAGTAGATGTGGCTACCGCAGCGCACAGCGTCCTCCGTGCGCTGCAGGATAATGACGGTGCAACCCTCACCACGCGAGTAACCGTCGGCAGACGCGTCGAAAGTGTGGCAGAGACCGGTGGCCGACAGCGTACCCAGTGTCGAGAACGACAGCGAGGCGTGCGGCGCCAAGATCAGGTTGACAGCGGCAACGACGGCCATGTCACAGTCACCGCGCAGGATAGCAGCACGGGCCAAGTGCAGACACGTAATACTGGACGAGCAGGCCGTGTCGAGGTACACGGACGGACCACGCAAGTCGAACAGGTACGACAGACGGTTGGCCTGCATCGAGAACGCAGCACCGGTAGCACTGTACGGGCCCATGTCCCACATATCGTTACCGAGATTGTGCACATCGGGCGAACCCGTCACGAAGACACCAGTGTTGGTGCCACGGTAGTGGATACCAGAGTCTTCCAGAGCCTGGTGCACGATTTCCACGAGCATGATCTGGTGAGGGTCAATCTTCTTGCTCTCAGCCGGCGAGATACCGAACTCGAGCGAGTCGATCTCCGTGTGCGGGTCGACGAAACCACCCTGGTCGGTGACGACCATACCCGGGACACCGCCGAGCTGTGTCATCGCATCGGGGTTCCAGCGGTCGCGGGGCACGCGACCGATAGCGCATCGGCTCTCCTTCAGGAGCTCAAAGTACTCTTTCTTGTCGCGCGCACCCGGGAGACGGAGACCGATACCGACGACAGCCAGACTCTCCGGGCGTTCGTCCGAATGGAAATTGGTAGACATAGTTGTATAGAATTGGGGGAATTCACGTAGAGATGGATGGGAAAACCTGTCAATGAATGAAAGTGTTGGCGCTCACTTCCTAACAAAGAACAGATGGGAATAAAACACTGAGAGAGGAACCACGAAAGGAAACCGAACCAGCGGGATAGAGAGATACGAGGCACTTAAACGAGTATGCGAATGACAGTTGGCGCTCTGTCAAACACGAAATATGTGTTAGATAGCAAACAAGTTTGTAGTGCTAAGGAAAGGCAGTATGATCCTACGAACGGTGACGCCTTTCTTCCGAAACGGCGGCGCCACGCGACGGGGGACGTGCCGCTGTCCACTGTGAATTCCCATTGCGGCCAGCTGTTGCTTAGATACAAACAACACTGCCTAGTGGGCTTGGAAAACCTACCGCACGCACCTCCCTGCAGCTGACACTGGTCGATGGCATGAATTATGCAGTCGACTTACATAAATACTTTGTCGGCGTGCATGCAGGTTGGCTGTGCTTCGTAGCTCTACGGACGCCCGAGCGACCTGCCGGACGTTGAGTCGGCTAATGTCCCGACAAATTCTATGTTTTGCAGCGCCCATCAACGTGGGGTTACTCTATTCATGTTCGTAGCGCAAAATATATACCTCAATGTACGTGTCCCAAGGGCAGCGAGCCTTAAAACAGGCATCTGATTGGATAGAAATACGCCTACGAAGGAGGCAGGGCGGCTCGCACAAGCACACTAGGGCTCAGCGCCAAGGACGATCCCTAGTCATGCAGAAACTAGTCGGAGATGGGGGTACCATGCATAGCGAGCATAGACGCAAGGCGGCGATCTAAATCATCCATAGATGCCAAGCTTTCGCGGAGCCGGCGCTGCGAGTCCAGCTGCGACGTTGTACCCACGCTCGGCGCGATAGGCTCTTCGTGCAAAATAGGATCGTCCTCCAGACCCGTACGGAACGCTTTGATCTTTTGACGTAGACTCAGAATCTCTGCCCGAGACGACTCGATCGAGCCACGCAAAGTCGCTTGCTGGGCATACACCTGCTCCAACCGCGAAGGCACATCGACCTTCGGTAGCGCCAGCGTCGAGGCATCAGCTTGGGAGCCGTTGAACGACAAGGAGAACGGGTCATCGTACGATGCTGGCCCCTTGTTAGAGACGGTGTCGTCATGAGGCGACGAGGCAATATTGAGTGCCGCCTGAAGCATATCTTCAATTTCCGCCAACATCGACACGCGCTTCTGCTCTGGCGACATCGAGATTGCATCGAAAGGCCCCGACGCTGCCGCCGATGGCGCACGGAGGGCGGCGCTTGTCGGCGGTGCGCTCTTGTACGACGAGGGCATGCGCGTAGAGACAGCTGGCTGTACAGGCGTATCTCCGACGCTGGGCGTTGCATGGCGCGTGTCGATCGAATCCGAATCGTAGAGCACAGTCGCAATAGAAGGGTCGTCCACGAACGAGAGAGAGGGCACCCCCGTCGAGTTCGAGGGTGGAGGCACCGACCATGGTTCCGTAGAGGACGCGGCATGTGCATCCGAGGCAGCCAGACCCAGGGGCGCGGACGAGGGGGCTGCATTATGCAAGCCCAGCCCAGACAGAGGGGTATGAGGCGTGCTGGGCCCGCGAGCCGACGATCCAGACGCCGACGTCGGCATGGACCACTGAATCGACGTCCCGGGCTTGGTCGGTGTCATTTGCTTGGCACGCTGTGCCGCATCGTACGCCGCTGTCAAGCTCATTTGGCGTGGACCACCCACGGTCGCTGTACGCGGCATCGGGGCACGAGAAGGAGGGGGAGACGACGTGGCCGTCAAGTTGAAAAATGGATCGGATTGCGAGGTGGTGCTGGGGACAGGCAGGGACGACCATGTTGAAGGCGTGGGGGCATGGGCCGGCGCTGGCGCTGGTGCCGGCGCTGGCACGGGAGCCGAGGCCGGTACTGGCGACGTAGGCGCCTTGTCCGATGTGTATGAAGGCGCCTCCCATGCTTGTGTCGGGATGGGGGGAGATGGCGAGGGCAAGGCAGGAAGGACAAACGAGGGCGACTCTCCATCCTGCTCCGGCTGGATACTCATGGAGAAGGCGTCAGGAAGTGTCTGCTGCGTATACTTGGACGAGTCCGTAGTAGGCGCCTCAACATGGAAAGCTGACATGGTCGTAGGCGTGCTTACGCGGTACGATGAAGGCTCTTTCCGCATCCACGGCGAGCTTGCACGTGGTCCACTCAAGGGCGGCGAAGTCTCGGACGTCATCGCTGTGGGTGGCCGCAGCATCGGCGAAGGCGAGGCAGAGGAAGACGCAGGGACTGCAGCGGATGGCGAGGACGACAGCGCACCCTGACTCGAGCTGGCGCGTGGAGGCGCGTCAGACAGTTCATGAGCCGCCGACGATGGCGCGTCGTCTACCTGTACCGATATAGGACGACTGTCCACATCGGAGACGGCCAGATGCTTTTCGTCGTCCGTCGCAACCACCGATGCAGCCTCCGTAGGCGCAGACGAATGCGTCGGCCACGCCGTAGGCTCCATTTGGAAATGCGACTCGTCGGGCGACAGGGGCTCGTCATTGACGCGCTGCAGGAAAGGATTGTGAGGTGAGCGATTCACTGGGGGCTTGGGCACCAAAGGCGAGCTAGGACGCGACGACGACAAACTCGTGGTGTGCGTGTTCGTCGGGGCCGACACCAAGGACGTGGACGATGCATTCACAGAGGGGGGTGTCGGGGAAGGGAGTGGAAGAACAGGCGACTTGTTCGGCAGTGGTGGTAGGGCTGGTGACGACAAGGTGCCTTGATCGGCCTCAGGAGCCACAGAAGGTACGTCCTCCGCAACAGGGACAGGCGGCGCGGACGGAGGCGCGGACGAAGCGGTATACACAGAAGGCGAGCTAATGGGGCCCGACGTGCCCATCGACGCGGTAGGTGGTGATACATCCACAGGCGAAGCTGTGACTGCAGAAAGAGAGGTTGTTGTGGGCTTAGGCACAAACAGCGGCGGCGGCGGGATCCGCGAGAGCGACAAATCGCCAATCGACGTCAAGGACGTATCAGGACTGGCCGCTGACAGGTCCAGTGGACGCATGGGCACATCTGGCCGACGGCCAGGGAGCGAAGGCCGAGCATTGTACTCGCTACGGTACGGCAGCGAGTCAGTCGAGCTGGAGCGAGGCATCGCCATGCGTTCTAGCGCAGGAGGACGCGGCAAATCTTGCGGCGGTAGCGGAGCTTCAGAGTTCTTCGCAGCAGATCGAAGATCCGCTCGGCTGCGTGAGCGGCGGAAGAAGCGCATGGGTGTCGACGGTTCGTCGACCGATCCATCATCCATGGACGACTTGGGGGTAGGCTGTGTAGAGTCTTTGCCCTTGGCCTCCGGCGTCTTGGTCTTGCCAGTCAACTTGCGGAGCGATAAAAGGGACACGCTACGCGATCGGTGCATTCGTGGCTTCGACGTAGGCGTTCCTTCGGAGTCCTCACGCGCCGTCGAGACGGGCGACGCAACACGCAAAGGCGACAGGGGCCGTTCTCTTGGCAAGTGCGTCGTGGATGAGGGAGGACTCGCGACAGGTGTGCCCCCACGCAGCGATGGTGAGCTTTCCGTCCGCATCATGCCATAGTTGTACAGGCTCGAGGTCGACGAGCTCGGGACGGCATCTTTCATGTGCTGGTTGGCCACGCGCGGCTGCCTCGGGAGGCGCGGCGTAGACTGCGCGGTAGGCGATCGCAACCGATCTTCACTGCCTTCCCGCCGATATCGTGCATGCGGACTCCTGCGCGAGCCCAGCTCGGGACTCAGAGGCAGAGGGCCATGCAGATAGCCATGCAGATCTGTGATATCGCCTTCCGAGGGGATCAGAGGAAGGACCGACACATCGAAATTGGCTGTCACGCCCGGCATCATGCCCCGGAGCGAAGGCGAGTCTTGCGCCTTCAGCTCTGGGGAGTTTTTATAGTAGGGATGTGGGACTGACACGTTGGAGGACGTAGCACAACCAACGCAGCGGCCGCAAGGGGCTGACAGGCGTGCAAGCGTGTGTCAATAGGGTCGGTGTCGCGATCCACAATTGTTGCGATGACATAATCCAACGACCCTAGCCGTTCAGTGCGCAGCTTGGCGGCTACCACGTGAGGCATTCCAGCTTATTACGCGCGCCGCTCCTTCCAGATTATGTACGAAGAACTATGTGTGGAGGACAGCGCAGCAGCAGCGACATTTCGACTAGGCATTGGAGGGATCACGCAGTGTTGTGACCAGCACGAAGACATCTGCAATACAAATCAAGAGAAAGATAGCCCATGACAGCAGTGCGATAGGCATGGCATTGTGAAAGGTGTACATTTTTTTGCCAGTCGCAGGGTCCAGGCGACGCCGCTCCGGCCACGCAAGACGCCAAAGCGGGGCAGTGGCATGCCGTACACGAGCCCACCATCGCGAGGATGTAGAGACGTTCGAGGCCGCACCAAGGTCATCGTCCCGAGAGATGGCCTCGGATGCCGGGACACTGCCGTAGGTCGAGGACGCAGACGACGTCGGCGCAGGCGCAGGCTCAGGAAGAATCTCACGAAGCATACGCTTAGGCGAGCACGTAATCACCAACAGAGGGAAACTGACAAAGGGGAGTGCCATAGAAAGAGCCACCTGTGATGCCACTAACATTTGGTCCAATCCATCACGACCTGCAACGACGGCAACGATCATGGACGGGATCACAGCAATGGCGCGCGTCAACAGACGTCGCATGAATGGCGTAAGCCGCCAGTGAATAAATCCTTCCGAAATGATCTGACCTGCCAAGGTCACCGTAATACTGGATGATTGACCTGCTGCGAGCAAGGCAATGGCAAACAAGATCGCTGGCGCTTTGCCGGTCGTTTCTCGCAGCAGATGGAATGCCTGGAATAGATCACCGACAATTTCCTTGTCGCCTGTATTGTTATGGCCATAATAAAAGGCCGCAGAGGCTACAATGAGAATCGCACTGTTGATAGTAATGGCAAACACGACGAGGCACACCGCAATGTCCCACGAGGCATGCTGCAAAGTCAAGTTCATGTACCGCAACGAGACAGGTTCTTTAGGCGCAGGCGCGTCACTCTGTACCATTTCTGGGACCTTGATGTTCGAGGCCACAAGACGCTGCCAAATGCTCTTTTTCTTCGTCGACAAAGACAGATCATCTTCTTCGTTTGTGGGGTTCGTCTCTTCCATTTCATTAAAGTCGCCAGCAAGGCGGTCAATCGTAGCAAAGTGCGAGCCCAGCACTAACGAGTGAGGCATAATGGTGGCACCCAAAATCGAAATGGAAACATACAGACCTTTCGATGTAAATACCGTCTTGGAAGGGACATAGCCATAAAATACATCGCCCCAGTCAGGCTCGACGTGGCCCAGCAAGATGCAGAAGCAGACTAGTACAATGATGACCAGCACGCCGATTAGCAGCTCAAAGAGACGCACACCTGTCGAAGGTCGGTACAAAATAAGGATAAGGAATACATCCGCGGTAGTGATGAGGACACCGGCCCAAAGAGGGAGGGAAGGAAAGAGCAAATTCAATGCGATAGCACTGCCGATCAGTTCAGCCAGCTCGGTAGCGATGATGGCCACTTCATTCACAAAATATAGGGGAATTAAAAGCAGCCAGTAGCGTAGCCGCATTTTTCGTGTATTCAGGGCCACTTCACTCGATATATCGTCCCGGAGACCCAATACGAGACGCCGGGTCTGCACAGAGAGATCTTGATGCGTCACTGCACCAAGACGACAGCTCAAGACTTGGAGTAGGACAGCAAACAGACCTGAAAGAAGAACAGTAAAAAGGAGTTTATAGCCAAATCGAGAGCCTGCCTCCATATCAGTGGCCCAGTTACCAGGGTCACAGTAGGCCACGGCGGCGATCAGCCCCGGTCCCAAGAAAGAGAGATGTCGGAGCAATGTATTGTACATCGTCGTGCCCAAGGACTTAGTCCTGGAAGCTGGCTGCTGAACAAGCGGCATCGATTCCCCTTCGAGAGACCGTTCTGAATTACCGATGTGTCTGGAGGGGAGGAGATAGGTAGATCTCTGCATGTCAATCGGATCGATCTGAAAAAAATTGTTCCTCCGTCGATAGCCTCAGGCGGTGTGACACGCTGCGTAAATTTTTGGCCAAATTGAGACCCGGAACACTCCGGTCGCTTTTCTCGTTGGTCCTTGTGGAGCTGATGCGGTCCCCTGGACTTCAAGGGTGGTGCGAGGGATCACGTGCCATCCTGCGTGCTCTGCCACGCTTCGAAGATGTCGTCGTCTCCTTTTCATCGACGTTGGACGATCATGTCACTACTTCAGTTCTGGGTTCCGCGGTTGACCCGCCTGAATACTACAGCGCGGAGCAGCACGCGTGCTTTACACAACACCTCTGCGGCTTTGCAAGCCCCTCGTCCTCTGACAATGATACCCAAAGCACACATCCTGTCTGGTACGGCGACGCCCAAGACGCCTTTGGACGTGGCAAAAGCGTATCCTGACCATCCTCTTATGCAGTTCTTCCAGCAAGTTCCGACAGAGATTGCGAAGGAGGGCACTGATGGCCGTCATGCTGACCAGCGTGAGACGCTGGCTGTGCCAGCGGCTGTGACGGAGTCCGACTTATCGAAGGATCACACGTCGCGTGCCTGGCTAGCCCCCGAGCTTCGTCGTAAGAGCAGTACGGACTTGCATACACTTTGGTATGTGCTTCTTATGGAACGCAACCGTCTTGCAACCAGCTGGGAGGAGCTGAAGCGTCACCACGCTGAAGGTTCCGCTCACATGCTTGGCCAGAGTCTCTCGTACCGTCACCACCGTGTATGTATATACCTATGAGAAACTAACACCACAGGTACGCAAATCGATGGCCCGGATTAAATATGTCCTGAACGAGCGTCGCCTCGCACTTATGGAGGCGCAGCGTCAGGCTCGGGAAGACGTCGATATACCCGCGGACGAGGCAGAGGAGAGTCTCTTTGAGGACGCGCCACGCACCCTCTAACGTCCGAATCGATCCCATCTCGCATCTACGAATAGCGTCCATAGTCGTGTTCTGCGTTTTGTGGTGGTACGTGCCTATACCCCCACGCCAGGGAAGGCAAAAAGGACGTTGAAACGCCCGCGCGCTCTGTTGCTTACGTCACAAATGCATCTGATCCAATAAGTTGACAGTGGAGGAGTGCACCTGTCACGGCCAAGTCGGGGCCACCTCGTAGTCTCCTTACGCACGCCACCCACAGAAGGTTGACACAGGGCATCCCTTGCATTGTAGGCCACACAGTGTAGCGGACGAAGATGCTTGAGGGTGTCTTGGCGTCGGTTCTGAACCGTTTCCTAGCGCCCTATGTGGACGGTCTGAACACCAATCAGCTCAATGTAGGCATCTGGAGTGGAGATGTCAAGCTGCGCAATCTGCGTTTGAAGCGATCTGCGCTCGACAAGCTTCGGCTTCCCATCGATGTAAAGGAGGGGTATCTCGGCCAGCTCACTTTGTCGATTCCATGGTCGAACCTCAAGGGGAAGTCTGTGCGAGTCTTGATCGAGAACGTGTCGTTGCTGGCCGCTCCTCGTGATGCTTCTGTGGCCGTGGACGAAGACGAGGAGGAAGAGCGTCAGCAGGCTTTAAAGCAGGAAAAACTTGCGCAATCGGAGGTAATTTCAGCGGGCTTAAGTGTCAAGCCTGAGGAAGAGGACACACAAAAGACTGAATCGTTTATTAGTTCGCTCGTGACGCGTGTCATTGACAATGTTCAAATCACAGTGCGCAACATCCATATCCGCTACGAGGACAAGATATCGAATCCCTTGCATCCTTTTTCGATCGGTATCACACTTGCAGAGCTGTCTGCTGTATCGACCGATGGCAATTGGGAGCCGACGTTTGTCCACAATTCGTCGTATGGTATCCATAAGCTGGCCCGCCTTGACTCCCTGTCCATCTACTGGAACACAGATGAAGAGTTTATCACGTCAGAATCAAGTGAAGATCTCCAGGACCGCCTGACTTCTCTGATCCCTGCCAAAGATAAACGCCCAGACCACCAATATATCCTAGAACCTGTGTCCGGTGTAGGCAAGTTGGTCATTCGTCATACAGCCACCAAGGAGCAACCAAAGATGGATGCCCAACTTGTGTTTAACCAAATCGGAATTACACTGGATAACCAGCAATACACGGATGGCCTGAACATGGTCAACCTGTTCAGTTTCTATGCGCGCCAAGTGCAATACCAACCGTTCCGTCCCACAGCTGCGGAACTCGAAGAGAATCGACCTCGTGCGCTCTTCCAGTTTGCCGCACGTGCTATTCGCAACGAAGTACACCAGCGCAGACGGGTCTGGACGTGGGAGTTTATTCGAGAGCGTCGGGATATGCGGCGCGAGTACATTCGGCTGTTCAAAGAATACCTGCATGCTGGTCCAACGATCAACTCGGATGGATCTGTCACGCCCAAGAGCGACGAGATTATGGCCCTAGAGCGCAAACTTGAGTACCGCGATATTCGTTTCTACCGTACGCTCGCGCGTCGCGAAGTTCGGAAAGAGCGGTTGGATACCCAGGTGGCCGAGGCCAAGGAGGAAAAGCGTGCTGCTACTTCGGGCGGATGGCTGGGCTGGCTATGGGGCTCCTCCTCCTCGGAGTCCAAGCCGGAAGACGATGTATCGCTGAATCAGCAGCAGCGCAAGGAGCTGTATGATGCGATTGAATGGGACGAAGAAACAGGCAAATCCATGCTTGTATCGCTGGATGACATCCCACCAGAGATTGTGCGCGTGCACGTCACGGCTAAGCTGAACGGGGGATTCTTGCAGCTGCGCGATAGCCAGACACGGCGTCCGCTTATGGCGATGGTGTTTGAAACGCTCCAGGGCGAGCTGCATCAGCGTATGCACAGCTTCCTCACGTCGATCTCCCTCGGCTCCTTGCGTGTGGAGGACAGCACGACGAAGGATAGCCAGTTCCGCGAAGTGGTGCGTGTCCGTGATGCCACCGATGTGGATGAATCCATCCCGCTGTTTTATTTGCAGTACGAGGACCATCCTTTGGATGGCCGTGCCGATTCCGCATTGGAACTGCGTATGCGTTCGCTGGAAATCGTGTACCACGCGTCATACATTACGGCCATCTCCCAGTTCTTCGAGACGCCTGAGACCGAGTTAGAAGTGATCGGTGCATTGATGGATGTGGCCAGTTCCAAGCTGGAAGGTCTGCGTCGTGAAACGCGAGCTGGCTTGGAGAATGCACTGGAAAACCACAAAAAGATGGACATTGCATTGGACGTGCAGTCGCCTATCTGGGTCTTGCCGGAGAGTGTCACGAGTCGTGATGGCGATGTGCTCATCCTGGATGCTGGCCACCTAGCCGTGCGTTCGTTGTTGGTCGAGCCGCAGACGATGGATGAACTTCGGTCTAAGCATTTTAGGAAGTATACGGACGAGGACTATCGCCAGCTGGAAGAGCTTATGTACGACCGCTACTTTATCAAGCTGGAGGCTGTACAGTTGGTGCTGGGCGACGACTACAATGCATGCATTCATGCATTGAGTGTGGAAGAAGAGCGTGAGCTGCACTTGCTTGAGCGTATCAACTTGTCGTTTACCTTACACAGCTCGATCCTTCCCAACGCCCCCAATCTGACGAAGTGCAAAGTCACAGGTTCGCTGCCCAGTCTGCAGATCCATTTCTCCGACAAGAAGTATCACACGCTCCTGAACTTGATCTCTGTTGCGATGCCAGGGGGCGACGAGCCTCCCACGCAGTCTCCGCCACTGAGGCGTATGGATTCGTACGATCCTTTGCATCAACGTCGTATGCGCATTGCCGATCAGCTGAGGGGCGTGGAAGATACGTTGTTGGACGAGGAGGATGTGTACGACGAAAATGTGAGCGAGCTGGATAGCGAGAACGAGACTTTCCAAGAGCCGCAGGTTGTTGGTCCTGAGCAGTTGTCCGAGCAGCAGACGAAGTTTGAGTTCCAGTTGGTCGTTGATCAAGTCTCGGGTACCATCAGCAAATCAGCTACCGACGATACAGCGGAGCAGCAGCTGGCCGAGGCGGTGTTTAGGCATTTCCGGCTGGGTGTGTATGTGCACAAATACAAGCTCCAAGTGGATGTGAGCCTTGGATCGCTGGATCTTGTCGATTGTGTAGTGGAGCAGGAGCCCATGTTCCGCCATATGATCACCTCGCGGGCGCTGGAGGAATGGACAGGACGTGCTGAGACACCTGAAGCGGACGCGCATGATCTTGTGTTTGTGCGCTTCATCAACGTCGAGCCAGAATCGGCCGATTTCCAGGAGGTGTATGATGGCATCGAGAACTCCGTCACGGTAACGCTCTCGACGATCAATCTAATGATTACGCGTGTCACCGTACTGACTGTCTACGACTGGATCCTGCAAACGTTTACGACGCCAGTGGAGGAAACGGCGCCCGCCAAGACAGTCTCCGCAACGACGACAGCCACGACGCCATCACGCTCTACACAGGCTGTTGAGGCCTCATCGTCGTCCAAGTTCCGTATGAAGCTGAAACTATCGTCCATTCTTCTTCGGTTGAACGACGATGGCGTCTTGCTTTCGACATTGACTTTGTCTACCGCGGACATTGCGATTCTCTTCCGCGACAATTCCATGCGTATGGCTGCGCGCGTGGGCTCGCTCTCGCTGATTGATGAGCTGCATCGTGACCGTGCTGATCCCTCGTTTGCGAATCTGCTTTCCATTGAAGGCGATGAACTAGTGGATATGGCGATGGAGACGTTTGACCCGCATGATGCACAGTACCCAGGCTACGACACCTACTTGTGGCTGCGATGCAACACACTGAAGCTCGTGTATGTCCCTGAGCCGTACGCGGATATTGTCGCCTTCTTTGCCAAGATGGCCAGTATGAAGTCTGTGTACCTCGTCGCAGCAGATGCTGCCTCCAATCAGGCATCGCAGCTCCAAGCTCGTCAAGGTCTGACCAAGTACGATATTTTGATTAAGAGTCCCATCGTGGTACTTCCGCAAGATATTCATGGATCGGACCAGTTGCGCGCTCACCTCGGCGAGATGTATGCGCACAATGTGATCAAACGCAAAGATACGACATACGAATCTACGCTTGAGGCAGGTCTGCGTCAGATCCGTGTCGTGTCCCTTCTCACGCATGAAGGTCAGCAGCATACGCTGCGCATGCTTGACGATGTGCATGTAGCGCTCACCTTAAAAGAAGAGGCGCCCATGTCACTTACCCCCACGGATGCGACACATACACTGCAGTTCTCTGCTAGCATTTCTGACATTACGATGTCGCTCACCCAGAGGCAGTACGCTGTGGTGATGGGCATTCTGAAGCACATCAACAAGGTGGGCCCTATGCCGGACGAGGCGGCATGTACTCCACCCTTGCCAGCATCTCCCCTAGCTATGCCGCCCAAGGCAGAGGCAGAGGCGGTGGCAGACGCAGACGCAGCCTCGGATCTGGCAGTCCCCATGGCTTTCTGCGAAGGTCATTTGAGTTTGCATGCCATTCATCTCCACTTGTTTGATGAGCATGCGACATCGCCCACGACGTTGGAAGACTCGCGCCTGTTTGAGTTCGTGCTGCAGGATGCGAAGTTGAAGGTGCATCAGGATGCAAAGACAGGCCGTGATATTGAGGTGGATATCAAGTCGTTTGCAGCGTACGATGCACGTCCGAAGCTTCAGTCGCAGTTCCGTGAGCTTATCCCGCCGATTTCGCACGATGGTCATCAGATCATTTTCAACTATACCATTTCGCCGCCTCCGGCGAACTCGGCAGTGGCCATCGTGACGATTGACAGTCCGAAGCTGATCTTCTCGCTGGATCCTCTGTTTGCGTTGACGCGCTTCCTATCGTCTGCTTCTGCGACTTCCTCGACTGTTACGTCGACCGTGGCTGCCATTACGGAGGCCAATATCGACGAAGAAGGGGATGACATACCTGCACTATGCCAGCAACCCAATTCCACGCTAGAGAATGGTGGCGCAAGCGATACGAACGCGGTGGTTGATACGGAAGCGCCTACCGAGGCCCAGACTGACACTACTGCCACTGTGCCGAGTACGAATGATAAGGCATTGAAGGCCGAACCTGAGGCGGAAGAGCCTGCTACTAACAAGGAGGATGAACCCTCTACCCCCTTGGCCTTCTCGTTCCGTGTAAATATCGTGGAGCCACGCTTTATTTTGCTCTCGTCGCCTGAGCAGGCCAATTCGCAGGCTCTTGTCATTATGATCCGCCAAGTGGTACTATCACAACAGACTATTTTGGCTTTGTCTATCACGCAGCTTGGCGTGTTTACGTGGCGCATGGATGCCCAGCAGGATCGGCACCGCTTGCTCAGCAATGTCGACATTTCGCTCTCGATGGATGCGCGCCTTACCGCTACCGGCATGCTGACCAGCATCGAAGTGGATATGGACCGTCTGTACTTGCGTCTTACACGCAGCGATATCCTCCTTATATCGACCGTGCTTTCGAAAGCACTGGAGCTGAGCCTGACTGGCGACGATGCCTTGTCACATCGTGCCTCTGCGACGACTACAGCATCGTCCACCACAGCGTCGAAAGCCCAAAGCAAAGCGGTCATCCCGTGCGGTATTCCCTCGTCGAACACGACCACGAACTCCAGCGACGGCCAAGTCCTCTTTGCACGTGAGATTCTTTTGGTGCGTGGCGCTGGTCTGCAGGTGATGTTGATCAGCGAAGTGCATACCCTGCCGCTCTTGGATCTGAAAGTCAATCCATTCGTGGTTAGTGCTACGGACTGGTCAGCTGACTTGCGTGTGCACACCGAGCTTGGCCTACGTCTGAACAACTTTAACTTGGCCACATCGTACTGGGAGCCGTTTATTGAGCCATGGGACTTGGACATTCGCTTTGAGACCACAGCTGTGCCGCTCAACAGCACATTCACCATCTCCTCCAACAAGTCTCTGGAGATCAACGTGGCAGCGCTCATGGTCGAGACAACCACCAACATGCTTGCTTACCTCGACCAGGACCACCATGTGAAGGAGGAAGCGAGGCATATGGCCCCCTTCCGCATCTGCAACCGGACAGGCTACCGCCTGAGTGTCTGGTCAGAGTCGACAGTCGGCACGAGTGGGCCACGCAACGGTGCGCACCGTCTAGACAATGGCCATGACATGCCTTGGGCCTTTGGAGATTGGCGTATGATGCGTGAAAATGCATCGGAAATTATGTACAACCGCCTTGCCGTGCATGTCGACGACATGCCTTGGGAGCGTGTGCGTCACATCTCGGTCGATCGCGAAGGCGAGTATGTCATGGCCTTGCGTCCCAAACTCAACCATGTCACACACCGCATTATGTGCGAAGTGAAGCTGGTGAACAATGTCAAGGTGATTACGTTCCAGTCCACGTTCCGTGTGGACAACCGTGCATTGATTCCCTTTGAAATTGGCCTCTTGGACGACAAGGGCGAATTGAGCTCGACGATTTTGCGGATCGAGCCCGGCACGCACTCTGCCTTGCCCATCTGCGATGCGTACGACAAGAAGATCAAGGTACGGCCTGATCCTGGCCTTGGCTACACGTGGTCCAATGAATCTGTGGGCTGGCAGGATCTCATGCTGCAAGCCTCGCGTGTATTTACATGCCCTGCGCTCGAAGACGGCGAGGCGCCGTTCCAGTTCCAGGCGTATGCGATCCGCGATATGCAGCATGCAAGCAGTCGAACGTATCCGCGCCTCACTCTGGCCTTGCGGGCCCCCGTTGAGATCGAAAACCTGCTGCCTTACGATATCCACTACCGCCTCTTCGATAAGAACTTGAACCTGAACTGGTCAAGCTACCTTCGCAAAGGCAATGTATCGCCTATTCACGTTGTGGCGTTACAGCACCTTCTCCTGCTAAGCATCGAGTTGGAAGACTCGGTGTACTCACCCAGCGAGTTCGCCATTATTGCGTCAGACAACCCAGACGATTTCCAAGTGGAGCATGTCTTGCCGCTTGCCGACGAATCCAACTTGAAGTTGGAGTTGCGCTTGCATTACTACACCTACCCTGACTCGGGTGGCGCGTTCAAAGTGCAGATCTACGCCCCGTATATCTTCCTGAACTTGTGCCGTCTGCCTGTCACGATCAAGTCGCGGCCCTGGGCAGGCCATTCCAAGATGGTGGCTGGGCAAGAGTCGGACGAGTCGGATGTCGATGCCTGGGAGCACACAAAGCCCTTCTTGCTCTCACGTGCGCGTGAGCGTAACAACCGCTTTGTACTGCGTGTAGGCAACTCGAGTTGGTCGAAGCCATTGTCGTTCGATGTGATTGGTTCGGAAGTGGGTGTCGCCATCCCATCGGCGCGCGGCGATCGCGAGTTGCACCTGGGTCTGGACATCGAGGATGGCCTGGCGAAGTTCAAGCTAAGCAAGGTCGTCAAGTTGACGCCGCGGTACATGGTGCAGAACATGCTTGAGGATACGATCTACTTAGCCGAGACCGAAGGCGGTGAAGCCATTACCATTGAGCCTGGCGAGCGTACGCCGCTGCACTGGCTGCATGTGTCATCTGATAAGCGTGCGGTCCTCAGCTACGAGAACCATGCCGGTGGGTGGACGGCCCCCTTCCTCATCGATAACATCGGTACCGTCTTTTTACGCGCGACAAGTCCTCGTGCACCGCAACACTTGCTTCAAGTGGATGTGCAGCTGAGCGGATCGGTGCTGTTTGTCCGCATCTTGCCTGTGACAGGTACATGGCCTTTCCTGCTCCGCAACGAAACGCAGCACAAGGTCTTGTTCATGCAGACGCCGACGGCTGGCGAGGCGCAGCGTGGTACGCATCGGACCGAGTTGAAACGCTACGTCTTGGAGCCGCGCAGCAAGATGAAATATGCATGGGACTACCCGGCCGACGCAGACAAATACATTCGCTTGCAAATCAACGGTACTGAGCGTGTCGTGAACATGTTTGAAATTGGCTCGTTGCTGCCATTCAAGTTCGGCGCTCGTGGATCCCAGCCAGGCGGTGTCGTATCTCTAGACATTCGTGCTGACAATGAAGCGCAAGTGCTAGTGATTTCTGACTACTCGGAATCCAAGAGCAAGTTCAAGATGGCGCAGAAGAAACTGCCGTCGTCCTCGGCTATGGTCAGCGACGACTTTGAGGCTGTGGATGTTGATACGTCCATTCTCTTTGCCTTCAAGGTGGAATTGGCTGGCCTCGGCGTCTCGCTGATTTCGTCCAAGGTGCGCGAGATTGCCTACATCACCTTCCGTGGTCTGGAACTGAGCTACACCGAGTCTCAAGTCACCACCGCTGTCAATGTCATCTGCAAGTGGATTCAGATCGATAACCAAACACCGGGCAGTATTTTCCCGATCGTCTTATACCCGACTGTGGTACCGAAAGACGGCAAGGAGTTGGATGTGCACCCCACGCTACAAGCCTCTGTGATTCGCAGCAAGGACGATACACACGGTGTTTACCACATAAAATACGCCTCTGTCTTGCTCCAGGAACTCACAGCCGAAGTTGACGAGGACTTCCTGTATGCGGTGTACGACTTTGTGCGTGCTAGCAGTACACGCGCTGAGAAGGAGTACGACGATAGCGTCTTCATCGAGCATCCGGATGATTTGCCCGAACCACCTCCCCAGGCGACGAGCAGCGACCAGATCTACATTGAGATCTTGCATTTGCAGCCGATTGCCTTGAATATCTCGTTCATGACGACCAACCAAACGGACATGGAAGACACAGAGAGCTCGCGTACGCTCTTCTTCTACATCTTCAATGTGCTTACCATGGTGCTTGGCAACGTCAACGAAGCCCCCGTACGTCTCAATGCGTTGGTGATTGAGAACGTGCGTATGTCCAAAGAAGTGCTCATGACGCGCATGGCCTACCACTACGGCCAGGACTTCCTGTTCCAGGTGCATCGCATCCTTGGCTCGGCTGACTTCTTGGGCAATCCCGTGGGTCTGTTCAACAATGTCAGCTCCGGTGTTGCTGATATTTTCTACGAACCGTACTATGGCCTTGTCATGCACGGTAACCGTGAGCTTGGTTTTGGTATTGCTCGAGGTGCTAGTAACTTTGTCAAGAAGACCGTGTTTGGTGTCACGGACAGTGTCTCGAAACTGACCGGCTCGATCAGCAAAGGCTTCGCCGCTGTCACGCTCGATCGCGAATTCCAATCTCGATGGAAGCGTTCTCACTTCCGCAACAAGCCCAAGCATGCGCTGTATGGTATCACTGCTGGCGCCAATGCGTTGCTGATCAGTGTGGCTAGTGGCATTGAAGGCTTAGCGCTCCGTCCTTTGGAAGGTGCTGAAGAAAATGGCGCTGCTGGCTTTGTCCAGGGCTTGGGCCGTGGTCTCGTTGGCGCTGTGACCAAGCCAGCTGCTGGGTTCTTTGATATGGCAAGCAGCATTACGGAGGGTCTACGCAATACTACGCTTATGTTCGAGCAGAACAACATTGACCGTGTGCGTTTGCCACGTTTCATCGCAAGTGACCATACCATTCGTCCCTACTCGGAACGCGAGGCGCTGGGCCAAATGTGGCTGCAGACGGCGGATCAAGGTCGACTCCTGCATGATGAGTACGTTGCTCATGCCAATACCCCTGGTCCTCATGGAGGTGCAACGATTATGCTCTCCGAAAGTCGCATCTTGTACATTCGCACAGGCCGCCTCAAAGTACTATGGGAAGTGGTCTGGTCGGACCTGAATACAATCTCACTGGAAAACGATGGCATTTCACTTGTGCTACGTGGCGGTGTCCTAGGTCCTTTCCTACCTATCACAGAATCCAGTACACGTCTCTGGCTCTTCCGTCAAATCTCGGGCGTCGTCCAGAAGTACAACGCCGCGCATTCGTAGCGAGGACGCTCCACAGGCTGGCCTCCCCTCCCCGATCCCGATGCCTACATAGTGATTTTAATTGCATTTTCGTCTCCATGCCGCAGTATTGGAGGTGTGTATTCATGCGCTGTCGGCCTATGTGATCACGGGAAATCCACCGCGCTTTTGCCTTTGCGTGACAGTCCACCGTGCACGACGTTGCGATCTGATTGAACGATCAACGACGTGGTACATCGCCCTACCATTGTATAACATCGAGAGCTTCTTTTTGTGTCTCTCGCTCCTTATACACAATGTCTGAAGGGCCTGGGAATAATGGACTTAGCTCTACGCCAGGTTTGGGCTCAGGTTTCGCGTTAGGCTCGATGTTGGGTCCTGGCCTGGGCCGTCAAGGCGATTCCAACCCCATGTACTACCCACAGGTAAGTGGCATATCTACTTACACATCAGCAGAACTCTCATCCCGCTTTCTATGCTGGTCACCAGGCGCAGTCGGGCTCACCACCACCTCGACCGCCGACGAACGACTCGTACAATAGCCATTTGGTCCCTTACTTGAATCAGCAGACGTCAAATGTGGGCGGCGAAGGCAATGATATGGGCGCTGGCGCAGCACCTCCATTGGATGCCTTTTATATACAGCAAGCGCCTGGTTCCTTTGCTGTACCACTCGACGTCCCTGACGTAAATGCGTATGGTCATGCTGCTACTGGTGGTGCTCTTTCCTCGAATGGACTGCCCATGCGCGGCCCACCAAACATGCCTGGATGGGCGCCCACCTCGCGTCAATCGCCTGCTGGCTCGCATGAAGGTGGTCCTCATGATGAATCGGATATGATGCATGCAGGCCAGCACAACGGCTATCCACCGTCGCTGGGCAGTGGTATGCCCTCGATGCCAGGCGCTGGCCGCAACTTCCCTGCCTCTATGTACCGCCCTAATGACGCGGCGGGCCATCGCCACATGATGATGGAGCAGGATCCACGTGGCAATCGCGCCATGATGAACAAGCGTCGTCGCACAAGCCCTATGCCGTTTGGCGAGAGTATGGACATGCAAGCGCGTTTCCGTGGGGCAGGAGGCGCCGGCGGGCCCGGCCGTCCTGGTATGCCAGCAGGCATGCGTGGAATGACGCGTCGCGATATGGAGGGTGGCAACCCGGAGGGTCTCACCGATCTCTTGCCGGAGACCGACGATGCGGCGGCTGCGGCAGCGGCCGCTGCGCCCTCAGGCGATCTGACGTCGTGGATTCTCGGTCCAGATGATGCGCCTGGTCGCCCCGCATCCTTTTCTATGCCTACGGATCCTGCAGCGTACTATCGACATGGTATGGCGCAGCCTCCAGGTGCAGGTCTGCGTTTGGATATGCCAGGTCTGGGTGCCCCTCCCATGGAAGCCCCGAAAGGTCTTGCGCCCTTGCGGTCGCATGCGCCGAATGCAGATGACGAGCCATTGTATGTCAATGCCAAGCAGTACCAGCGCATTCTGAAGCGCCGTGTCGCACGTGCGCGTATGGAGGAAAAGCGTCGTCATATGTTTATGATGGCCATCAAGCAGCGCGAAGAAGAAAAGGGCGGTACTGGCGAGATCAGCGAAGAGTGGGTGTCTGGTCTGCTGGCGCTCGACGAAGAGACGAAGAAGCCGTACTTGCATGAATCGCGTCATAAGCATGCGATGCGTCGTCCTCGTGGCCCCGGTGGACGTTTCTTGACGACCGAGGAGATTAAGAAGCGGGACCAGGAGCTGGCCGCGCAAAAAGCGAAGGAGGAAGCGGAAGCCAAGGCTGCTACTGCGTCTGCCTCTGGTGCGACGGGTACGGAGGGCCACAGTGATGCGCCATCCACGGCCGACGGTGGGGAGACGACCACAGCCGCAGCGACGAACGAGGGCGAGAAAGCTACCGCGTCTGAGCCGACAGAAGGCTCGTCGACGGCCGAGGCATTGGCCCCGTCAGCCTCTGCGAAGGATGACGCAGCATTATTGTGAACAGGTACGCTCAGCTCATACGCTTGGTCGACGTGGATGCTCCGCCTACCACTTTGTTGATAGCCGCCGACGGCGTAGGTATTGTTCTTGTATGTACACTTATTATTGCACGTGATGCAGAACGAGCGTTGGGGTAGGGCCCTTGATCCGATCCGTGCGCATGCACGCGTGCCTATGCATATCTCGATCGAGAGGGCATCGATTGCACGTTGACATCGCCAGTGCCATTGCCGTGTCTTTCCACGAAGAGGGGGGCTGGGATGCACAATGGGTTTGTGGACGGCTCTATTTGTTCTGTGTATTGTATGGGTATGGTACCTGCAAAGCCCCTTCGAGGTTCGTATTGTACGTCGCGTCCCTCCTACCTGTGCCACTGTCGTCTCCTCGGTGGTGATCACGATGCCCCTTGCGCGTCTCCCTTGTGAGCTGCAGTGGCGGATCCTGAGGCATGCAGTGCATGCCTCCTCCGCCAAGCAGGCCCACGTTGGCCTATCGTCGCTTTTACGACTTTCTCAAGCGACACGCCGAGCGTTATTACCGCAGGCGTATCATACCCTATGGATCACAACCCCGAAAGCGTTAAATGGGCTCAGGTATACTCTAGCTACGATTCATCCCGAGCTGGGCTCCTATATCCGAGCGCTGCACATCCGCTCATGCGGCTCCGCCCCGCCGCTAGCGCTGGAGCAGGTACTGGTCAGCGCGATGCACATCACCTACTTTTCCTTTGACGACGCATCGATGCGATTGCTGTGTGACAGCCATGTAGGGCGTCTCCAGCATATCGCCAAGCCCCATGTCTTATGCTGGATTTGGTATACTACACCTACCACGCGCATGCTCTACTACGCGGATAAACTACAACAGTTCCCCCTGTGGGACCATGTCCATACCCTCGAAATATCCGCGCATCCTGCCCTGGTGCCTGTCCTCTGCCGCCCTACGCCCTGGCCGGCGTTGAAACATGTGTACTGGTACGCCCCACCTCTGGCGCTGGATACACCATGGTGGTCCGATCAGCGTCGAACGATGCACCATTTGCAGGCATGGCGTGATCGCGGCGTGCACATTCACATCGACTAGGGCGGGAGGGGCCACGCTGCTATGCCATGCAATATGGCCATCGCTTTCGTGCTAGGCGCATGGGCCTCCGCTAAGGGTACCACGGCCGAAAGTATGGGCGTTTGCCGCTTGGCATCCAGGCAGAGCGGAATACGTAGCGAGGTAGCCGATTCTGTAAGTGGTGCTTGCGTCCACACCAGCCAGCTCCGGTCGAGGGTGCTGGTCGTGCCTTCGTTCAGAACGAGGCCCTGGTCCGTCCACGCAGCGCCATCCAACTGGATCGCACCGAGCGGCCATGCCGTCGAAGGCGCCGCCCTCTCTGGCTCGTCCCAACACCAGTGCGCATGCAGCAGCTCCAAGCTTGTCGACAGCGCCCGTGCCGCCATTTGGCGTGTCGCTGTGAGGTAGGCCGTCGGCGACGCAAGGCGCGCTAACGCCACCGGCTCCGAGACCGATGGCGGTGCGATGGCATACGCGTACTGCGCTTGCCGGTACGTGAGCCAGGCCCGTAGCGATGTGGGCGCCGTACCTGATTGCCATGTGGGAGGGACGCGGTCTTCACAAAGCCACGCATCCACATCGGCCGGCTCCGTGCGCTGCGCCTGCCGCCACGCTGCCAGCACAGGACGGACGCGATCAAGCCATGCCATCGCAGTCGCCTGCTCCTGCGCCCAGAATCGGTGCCATGGATCCTGCATGTCTGTGGCGGGTGACGCGGGCAACGAAGCTGGCACAAGGGACAGCCACGCATCAATCGCAGCGACGACAGGTGCAGGCGCTGTAGTCGTGGTCGTGGTGGCCACAGGTTGGTCCACGTCTTTTTCCCACGACCACGCTCGCGCAGCTCGTCGTTGGACCTCCGCGACACGCTCCAAAGCACGCATCGCTGCCGTGGCAGCCACGGCCCGCTCGGCCGCGGGCGCGAGGAGGAGCCAGTGCACAGGCTGGGGCTCTGGCAATGCTTGGATCCACGCGTGCCATGTGGCGCGCTTCCCACCGTCCGGCGCGATCCATGGCTGCGTCGCATGCGGTGCTATGACAAACTCTGAGGCAAACGCTTCCTCACATAGCACATGGCCCAGCAACGCATCCAGCATACGCCGGTCCACATCGGTTTCCATTCGTCCTCCATACACTCCCTGCGCCAACAACGTCTGCAGCGCATCCCATGGAATGTCGTCCGGGGCTAGATGCGACTGTGCCGCATGCGTCATGGCCGCAGCCAGGCACGTATCGACCGCTTGCCATGCCGCCTCTAAATCTGTGTCGAAAAACTCGTACGCTTGTGACCAGCCTAAGGGAGCGTGGCGCGTACGTTCCAAGGCGATCGTATGCACCACACTGACCAACATGTATACACGTTCTCTCTCCATCGGCCCAGGCGTGGTAGGCCGCGCTTGCAGCGCATGCCAGGCTGTGAGCAGACCCGCCTTGAGGCCAGCAGGCGGCTCGTACATTACCACCTGCGCTGCATCCATCAACGCGGTTGGCACCGAGGGCGTCAGTTCACATGTCATCCATATGCGGCTGTGAGGATCGGACTGCCACGTTGCGAGGCGCGAAGGGACATCGGCGATCCATGTAGGCGCCAAGTGAGCATTTTGAAGGAGGACCCACGTGCCGGCCTTGGATGCAGAGGAAAGCGCGGCATCAGCCTGGGCATGAGCATCGTGCGTACCCAGCATGATGGCTGTGCAAGCTTGCTGTTGTGATACCGCACAAGCTTCGACCGCTGCCGAGGCATCGTAGCCACTGACACCACACACGGCGATCGGCGTCGTAGCATCGACATGCTCGGCGATCTCGGCCAACGTCGGCAGGGGCATCTCCAGCCACGAAACACCGACCACGGCCCGCAGCAGCTGCATCAGCGCCGGCTCCAGCCGATCCGGTCGGTATGTGCGAAGCAAAAGGGCCTGACGGACCAAGGCATCCACCTCGTCCTCTTTCGCCGGCAACGGCGCAGGGTGCTGTTCTGGTGTGGGGCACGAGAGCCACGCGTCCCAATCCGCTGCATGCCGCGCTTTTTCATGCGCCGCCCACGCCAACGTCGGCGTCTCACGCCCGTCCAACAACGCCTGCATATCTTCGCCCTCCAACGCCCCCGCTTTCGGCCCTGCACGGCAGTACAGTTGCGCTAGCACAAGGGCAAGGACCAAGCGATCCGCTTGCAGGAGCGCCGGCGCCGTATAGAGGTAGGTGTACGTAAATAGGGCATCGTACAAGGCCCCTCGGCGCTTTTCCTCATTGCCCTCGGATTCGCGTGGAAGACGCAAAACACGTTCAAAAATGCGCTGGAAGAAAGGCCGATCAAAACGGTAAAAGGGATGCAAACACGTAAGAAGATCCAACGTAAAGTACAAGTGGCTGCAGGCGTCTGCCAGAGGTTTGTACGCCTGCGTACTTGTCTCCACCTGCTGCATAAGCGTCGTCGTCGACGCTGCTTGCGCTGCGACATCGTCGACCTCGGCTTTTAACGTCTCTAGCGTCTGGATCACACGCTCATCTTCCAGGATATGGCCCTGCGTCTCGTTGAGCGCTGTCAAGAGCGCCTGCTCCAGCCGCTGCAAACGACGTTGCAATTCATTTTGCGTCGCCAACAGAGACGAGCGCTGCGTTTCCATGTCGGGTCGCTCAACATGCAAGAGCTGCGCAAGGGCTTGGTCCTGCATACTCTGGCGCGTTAGCGTGAAGTTGACAATCTGCACACGCGCAAAAAGCGCTGGCGACAAGGAAAGACCACTATGTCGCGTGACAAGGACCAGTCGGAACGTCGGCGACCAGTCCACATCCAAAGTCCCTACACGGACCAACACACGACCCCCTGTATGTCGCTTCTCACGATTGAGGACAGGCAGCAAGATCGAGTCCAAATGCTCGGCTTCCGTGATCACCAACGTCGTCCCAAACCGCAAAGCCCGCTCGATCATTTGCACACATCCACCATCAAGGAACGATGTGACGTTCACAGGGGCCGCATCGGTACCATAGAGCGACATCAAAAAGGGCACGATGCGCCCTGATGGATCGATGAGAAGCGGCACACGTGAACATCGCTGTAACATGACGGCATTATCAATACTTAGGGCATCCACGGGCAAACCGCTTGCATGCCAGGCGGCTCGCTCATCGGCTGTCGATAGCGTATCCGCTAACGACAGCGACGTACGCACAGGAATAGCTAGCGTTTCCAACCGCGATTGCCATGCGTGCCATAGCATCGTCCGACAGGCCTGATCAAAAAAGCCGGCATACGCAATCATCGCTGCACAGAGTAACGAGTCGCCAAGAACAGTTCGAATCTGTGCTTGAAACGCTTCGCGCCCTTGCTCCCAACGCTCTCGCTCTCCGCTAAGTCCTTCGAGGAGCTGCATACTGCGTTGCACACGCTTCTGTACAGCTTCCATTTCATGAGTGAGGGCTTGTGTCTCGCGAATTAAGTCGGCATACTCGCGTTTGTAGGCACCAATACTCTTCTCAATGGCTGCCAGCGTTTCCTGGGCTTGTGCAGCCTCCGCTCGCGTGGCGGCAGCCTCGTCTTCCAACGCCGCAACACGCTCCCGCAGCGGTCCAATCCGCTCCAAAATATCTGCATAGCGTACTTGCGCCATCACCCACTGTGCTAGGGGGCCACAAGCCGTGCTGGCACGATGAATGGCTTCATAGTTGTACTCACGACGATCCAAGTACTCGTGTCGCACACGCTCACGGATCGCACGAGGTAGCGCATGTGCTGTATCCAGGTGTACCACCGTGGAAATGAAATCATCGCGACGAAGAATACTTTGGACACTCTTCCATCCATCAATGTAGTGACCCAACAAAATACACACAGACTCCATGGCCAACTTGACAGGCGCTGGCGGGTTGGCCATGGAGCGCACTTCGCTCAGGTGCTGCTTTTTAATATTGCTTACGGCTGCTTGAGCATGCAACACGGCGGGCTCCGCCTCAGCCAGCTCGTCCAGCACAGACGCACGCTGTTCTTCCAGCATGGCTTCTTGCTTATGCAGAGCCTCTTGGAGTGCCAGAGACGCCTCTCGCTCCATTTCTGCAGCCTGTTGCTGTTCCACCATACGCTGCAGGCGATCATTAGCTTCCTGATTAGCTGCCTCTAAGCGTGCTTGCTTGCTTGCCAATGATGCACGCAACTCTTCCACTTGCTCGACAGTCGCCTGTAATTTGTCCAAGCCCACGAGACGGAAACGCTGCTGGTCCTCAATCTGCTCACGTTGTTCTTGTACAATATCACGGAACGTATACAGCATGGACAGTAACTGTTGGGGTGACGCATGGTATTCACGGCCCGTCAATGTATGCACACGCTCCCCCAACTCTGTGACGCCAAAGTGCATCCATACGATTATCTCGATGATGGCATCGCGATAGTCGCCCAGATCAATCGACGACGTAAGATCGGTCGCCACCGTCCGGCACGCCTCCGCACTCCAATCGCCAGTAGGGTCGGCGTCGACGAACCGATGCGCCATGAACCAGGCTGCCTTGCGTGGTGGAGAGCGCTTCGACCACGCACGCGTCGTGTCGGTCAGACCCTCCTCGCGCCTGCGTCACGTGAAAACCACCATCCAACCCCTCGATCCATCGTACAAAACTCGATCTACAACTACAGTGGGTATGTAAGAAGCAGGTAATTAAGCCTCAGAGGTAGGCACATAGCCCAACTTGAGCTGCTCCTCCAAGCGGCGGATTTCCTCCATGCTTTGACTTTTGTCAATCGCCTCTGCGATGGCTGCCCTTTCACTTTCGGTAAGCGGACGCTGGGACGCGCCTGTCAAAGGTGCACCAGGCTCAAAGGAACGCGGTTGCGCTGGTGCGGCTGCTGTTTCAGACTGACCTGTGATTGAGATAGCGAGCTCGGACAAGCGCCCGTCTGCTGTCTCAAAGAGGTTGCGAGCAATGGTACGCTCGCGCTCTGTAATACGGCGAAAGTCAAGCACACGCAGGTGTGGCAGACGCCACACAATGAACTCGCGGTAATGCTTCTCACGAGCAATGGGATTCCCCATCAGACTAAGGTAGGTCAAGTGGCGCATTCGCTTTAGATTCGACAACTGTGAATAGTCTGCCACAGCATTGTTCGTGAGAATCAACGATTGCAAATAAGGCAATTGCTTGTGGATGTGAGGATCAATTCGCGAAACTAAATTGTTCGACATAGTCAAATGACGAAGACGTTCCATACGTGGAAAGTTGCCGAGGTAGCGGACGTCATTGTCGGTGAAATCCAATGCATCATTTACATCGCGAGCCGCACCCAAATTTTCGATGGCGGGAATTTTTAGTCCACGCAAGTCCAGCTCCCGCTCTTTCAGTGGATTAATAACCGACTCACACTGTGTGAGCAGCTCAGCGGTGAGCTTCATTGTCGCGAATGTACACGAAAAGGACACACGTCGCGCAACTGAATGAAACAAGCGCGAGCCAGCAAGCGACAGGCTACTTCGTGTTCGCAGACGACCTACGCCCACGTGGCATATCACGTGATACGCGGGTGGTGTTCGCGTTGTTCTACAGTGCGCCGATGCGAGTCGACACTTTCACCTTGTTGCTCTCTCTATCATGGCCTCGGCTCCAGCTGCTACGCCTGCCGCTGTGCCGGCCGTACCGGCCGTCCCGCGTAAGAAGCTCACGAACTATGTGGGTTTCGCGAATTTGCCAAACCAGGTTCACCGTGCTTCCATCCGTAAGGGATTCACATTTACTGCCATGGTAGTAGGTATGTATACACCATGTTATGCTCGTAACTAACAATTTCTAGGTGAAACTGGTCTGGGAAAGTCTACCCTGATTAACACTCTCTTTAACACCAACCTTGTTCCTAGCGGCGAGGAGCGTGTGGTAGGCCGTGAGCCGACGCAGACTGTCGGCATTGAGACCATCAGTGCTGACATTGAAGAGAACGAAGTGCGTCTTCGTCTCAACCTCATCGATACCCCTGGTTTCGGTGACTTTGTGAACAATGAGAACGCCTGGGAGCCTATTCTCCAGACCATTCGTGCTCGTTTCGATGCGTACCTCGAGCAGGAGAACCGCACGAGCCGCTCGAAGATTGTCGACAACCGTGTGCATGCGCTTCTGTACTTTATCCAGCCGACAGGCCATGCTCTGCGTCAGATTGATCTTGAATTCCTGACGCGGCTTCATAAGCTCGTGAATGTAATTCCGATCATTGCCAAGTCGGACACCGTGGCGGAGAGCGATATGCAGACCTACAAGCAGCGCATTCTGCGTGACTTGGAGTTCCACGGTATTGACATTGTAAAGCTCTCGACGCTTGGTTACGAGGATGAGGAGATGATTGCTGAGGTCAATGAGATCCAGAACCGCTTGCCGTTCGCTATTGTCGGCTCGAACGACCTGGTGAAGACAGTGGATGGCCGTGTCGTGCGTGGTCGTGCCTACCCATGGGGTGTGATTGAGGTCGACAACGAAGAACACTGCGACTTTGTGAAGCTTCGTCAGATGCTCATTCGCTCGAACATGGAGGATCTTCGTGAGTTGACTGAGGTTTTGTACGAGAATTACCGTGCTTCGAAGCTCCAAGAGCTCGGTATTTCGCAGGACGACAGCGTGTTCAGCGATGTCAACCCGTCAGCAAAGCAGGCCGAGGCTCGTGCAGTGCACGAGGCCAAGCTGGCAAAGATGGAGAGCGATATGAAGGCTGTGTTCCAGCGCAAGGTCGCCGAGAAGGAATCGAAGCTGAAGCAGAGCGAGGAGGAGCTGTACGCTCGCCACCGCCAGATGCGTGCTGCTCTGGACCAGCAGCGTCAGGAGCTGGAGGAGCGCAAGCGCCGTCTCCAAAACAGCCTGCGCTAAGCGCCTGTACACGCCGCATTCCTTTTCAGCATTCTTCCTTATGTATTGGCTATGATCGTGCCCTTTCTTTCTCCCTCTCCCTCTCCCTTTCCCCTTTTCTTTCCGTCTATAGTTGTAGTGTCTATCAATTCGCCTAGAACTAGCGTGACATTTTTCTCCACGTATGAACGGCATGAGAATGTGGCCCCAGCGTCAAGCATCACTTCACGTGACCCTCCGCGAGGGTCCCAGGGCGTGGTCACGTATTGAATCGCCTCGCGCCCTGTTGGTCTGCCACACGCGTCCTACCGGCCATCTTGCTTGCGAGATGGACGACGGGGATGGGCATGTGCCCATTGTGGACATAGACGTGGGCGAACTCCGCAAGTATTTGGAGGCTCTGCTCCCTATTGTCCTAGGCACCGACTCTGCATCGGTCGCCTCGATATGGTCGCAGACGCGTACAGAAGACTATGCCAAAACATTTTTGCAAGACAACACAGTGCCAGTCCTTTTTGTCGATCAGGTGGCAGAAGAAGAAGGTGCTGTCCATTATACCATTGCACAAAAACCAACGTGGTCCGGCAATCAAAGCTCTGTCGTGGCCCTGATGAAGCGGCAAGCCACGTTGGACGCTCACGTACCGCTAGCGTCACAAATACGTGTGGTCACTTTGCTTGGCGCTTGGTCTTCCGATGTTTCGAATCCGGATGCAGTCCACCTCTTAGAAACACCGTATGAAGCGCTAGAGCACGTCCTACACAACGTTATGGCGCCATGGGTCGATGCCTACGTGGAGGGGCACCCTGAGGACAGGGAAGAAGAGAGTAAGACAGGCGCGCCTCTTGTCCGACGTAAGCTGTCTGAATTGGAATGGAGCTTGCGGCATGTACAGCAACATATGGAGATCCCACAGGTGGTTCTAAATGTACATCCCATCATCGAAGCCACATGTGAACGTGTGGGTGACGATGTCAGTGCGAATGATCTAGAGCCTGCATCGTTGCTGGAAGACGATGCGTTTATCAATCGGTTGCATGCAGATATGAATGGCTGGGTTCGTGCGGTACAGACAGTGACCAAACTGGATCGTGATGCCTCGTCAGGCACAGCACTTCAAGAGGCCAACTTTTGGGCGGCGATGGAAAATGCCTTGGACTCCATGGACCGACAATTGCATGCGCCAGCCATTACATTGACACTGGATGTGCTGACGCGCGCCAAACGATTCCATGCCACTGTGTCGTTCCATGCCGATACAGGCCTGAAGGATTGCATGGAGAAAGTGCATGGCTACAATACGCTGCTTAAGGATCTGCCGCTGAATGATGTCGTGTCAGCCACGACCTTGGAAGGTCTAGCGGAAGCACAACGTACGGTCCTTGTCACGTTTACGAAGAAGCTGCGTGTAAGTACCTACCCCATTCGCCGTTCGCTGGACTTTGTCGAGGCGCTAGGCCGTGATGTGCGTGATGCTCTCCTGAAAGTGCTGGGAAGCATGAAACTCATGCAACTCGTCTACACCACATTTGCTGCGACCATGGCCATCGTCGACGAAATGCTGGACGAATGGGAAGAGAATGTGAAAGAGTTTGTATATGTGGCGCGCAATATTACTCGCAAGCGTGGCGACAAGTTTATTCCCATCAAGATTACGTCCCCCTTCATGGCATTACGTGCGCGATTGGCCTACATTGGCCGTCTTCGTCGTGCACATGAAGAACTAGTGGAGATGGTGCATGTGGGTCGTTATGGCAAGGCTCAGGGCGTAGAGGGCTCTGTGCAGGACATTGAGCATGCACTGGATGGGCTACGTCATATTGATGTGCTGGATACGAGCGACAAAGGCACAGCGGCGCTGAGCGAAGCAGAGACCCACTACAATGAGCGCGTTTCGCATGTGGAGACTCGTCTCATTGAGCAGCTACGTCAGCTCCTTCGGGATGCACGATCAGCGCGTGAGCGACTTCGTATCTTGGCGCATTTCAATCGACTGTTTGTCCGGCCTCGCGTTCGTGCTGCTGTACAAGAGTATCAAACGGTTCTCCTGCAAAGTGTGCGTACAGACCTTGACGCGTTGCGACGCAAGTTTCAGCAAGGGTACCGCCACTCAGATGCCCACCTTGTGGGCCAGCTGCGACACCAAGCTGAAATTGTAGGCGCTATTGTTTGGGTCAGCGAAATGGAGCGACAACTCCAACTGTATCGGCAGCGTGTCCAGGATGCGCTGGGAGATGGCTGGACGGACCATGTGGAGGGACAACGGCTGTATGCCGAAAGCGAGGCGTTCCTGCAGCAGCTCGATCCCCGCAAGTTGGTGTATGCCTGGGCCCAGGATATGGGCCATAGGGCCTCTCTGCCGCAGGGATATGTCCTTCAAGTGGTATCGACGCGAGATGGTGACGAAGAGCACAAAGCCTCGTCCGATAAGCTTCTTGTGCAGTACGATGCGCATACGTTTGCACTTGCGGACGAAGCCCATGCGCTAATGATGCTGGGCCAGGTGATTCCACAAGCCCTGGTCAGCCTATCGCGGGATGCGCGCCGTCTCTTTCCGTACGTGCTGGCTCTGGACAGTGCCCTACACACCCTGCACAAAGTCACGTCCAGTTTGGCTTCGGTGCCTATGATGGCGTCTCTATTGGCTCAGGCGCAGCTGGACACGCGAACGCACCTGGAAACGCTAATGCTCTGCCGCTGGGAGCACCTACTTGAAGGTGCGAATGGGTACGAAAACGAGTATGTGACGGCGGTGGATGCGCTGGGGAAGGCAGTTCTCCAGCTTGAATCCCTCGCCGATCAAGCGACGAGTGTCCAGGCGAAGCTGGATGCGTTGCTGACGCAGCTGAAAACATGCGAGTATACCAAGGACGCCTTCCAATCCACGCTGGCGTCCATGCAGTCGCAGATTTACGCCCTTACTCTTCAAGGGTTTGTCAATCTCCCTGCCTTTGTAAACGCATGGCAAGCGCGCGTAGACGATGTGCTTGTGTCGCGCATGGAAGAGGCTCTGACTGCGTTGTGTGCTAACCTCGACGATCCATCACAATGGCGCGAGGATCTCCCGATCGTGCATATTGTTGTGCGTTCCAATACACTGCAGCTTGACCCGCCTGTGGAGCAGGCACAAATGTACTGGTTCCAAGCGTTGGGCTCGTGCTTGGATACTGTGCTGCAGCAGGTGCAGCTCAACGTTACGTCTGAAGTATGGACGCGTCAAGAGCAACGCGCTCGCACACTGCAAGGCCTCATGGTGCGTCTACCGCCTGCTGCCTTGCAGGCGCCGCTGCAGCGTGTCCAACGTGCGATGGAAGAGGCGCGGGCGTATGCCGACCGATGGTTGGCCCTGCAAGTGCTCTGGGACGTGGAACCCGATACAGTCGCGCCCGATGCGTCCATGGAGACCTGGCTGTCGTTACTGTCCGAGATCCGCACGACGCGCTCCTTTATTGAAGCGCCAGCGAGGCGATCAAAGGGTCTGATCCATCTAGATGCGACGCTTGCGCAATCACGTGTTCTTACTCGCTTTGAGGCATGGTATGCAGCCCTTGGAACGCGCTTTGCTGCCTACTTGCATACGTGCCTCCGCGATATGCATACTACGATGACCACATGGCGCACCACTCTCGAGCCTCTGAGTGCGATGCACACCTCCACAACGCAAGTGGTCCAGCTGATTACTAGCGTGGCACAGCTCACGCACGAGCTTCGGACATGGACGCCGTATGTGGACCTGCTCGCGCAGGGTCAATCGCTGCTGCTGCAGCAGCGGTGGCCACGTCCCCAGGACTGGGTCTATGCGGAGCAAGTAAAAGCAGATCTATCGACGTTGCGAGAACTGCATGCTCAGAAGCATGCTTCCATTGAGGCCCAGCAAGAAAGCCTGCATGTACGCATGGCCCAGGAAACGCGCGCATTGTCTGCGCAAGCCCAATCCCTGCAGGAGGCCTGGGCGCATGAACGGCCTAGCCAAGGTGCTGTGCCTGTGGCCGAGGCCCTACGTGTGTTGGGCGAGTACGAAGCCCGTGTGAGTGCGCTGCAAAAGCAGGCGGGTATGCTAGCGGACGCACGCGAAGTCTTTGGCCTCGAAGCCCACGACGAAAGCATCTTGAGCGTCGTGGCTGACGAGGTTACGCGGCTCAAGCAGGTATGGAGTGCGCTCGCCGAGCTGTGGGGCGAGTTGGACGAACTTCGGCAGACGCCCTGGAGCCGCGTGCAAGTGCGTCAAGTGCGGCAGCGTTTGGAATCCATCCTGCGGTCCTGCCGTGCGCTGCCCAGTCGCGTTCGTGCGTACGAAGCATACGAAACGCTGCATGACCATGTTCAGTTTTTGCTAACGCACATCAAAGTGTTAGGCGATCTCCAATCCGAAGCGTTCCAATCGCGGCACTGGCGGTCCTTGCATACCAATCTCGGCGCGCCCCGGTACGTGGCCAGCACGCATACGTTGGGCGATGTATGGGCGCTCGATTGGCACTTGCATCTCACTACTATCCAAGCCGCGATTGCTGAGGCGCAAGGCGAGTATGCGTTGGACGTCTACTTGCAGCAAGTGCGCGACGCATGGACGGCGTACACACTAGAGCTGGTCGACTATCGGCATGAATGCATGCTTCTGCGTGGTTTTGATACGATTTTCCAGCTGGCACAAGAGCATGCTGGCGGATTGCAGGCCATGGCGGCCAGCGCATACTATCGTACATTTGAAGAAGAGGCGCACATGTGGGAGGAGCGCGTAGCCCGCATCCATACTACGTTTGATTTGTGGACCGATGTGCAACGCCAATGGGTCTACTTGCGTGGCGTATTTAGTGCCGGTGCTGATATGGCGCATATGCTTCCTGTGGAGAGCGGCCGATTCCAGAGCGTCAGCAGTGAGTTCTTGGCCCTGCTGAAAAAGGTCGTAAAGTCGCCACGTGTGCTGGACGTGATCCAGATTCCAGGGATCCGTGGGTCGTTGGAGCGACTTACAGAGCTCTTGCATCGAATTCAAACAGCTTTGGGCGAGTACTTGGAGCGTGAACGCGCACGATTCCCACGCTTTTACTTTGTGGGTGACGAAGATCTGCTGGATATGCTGGGTCATGGCCGCGATGTCGTCCACGCCTCTAAGCATCTGACTAAAATGTTTGCGGGCGTCGCATCAGTCGTGGTCGAGCAAGGTCAGATCCAGGCGATCCGTACGACAGCCGACGAAGTGGTCGATCTGCATACCCCGATTCCTGTGCGCCAAGATGTGCCTGTGCATGTATGGTTACAGGCACTTGAGCAAGGTATGCCACAGACCTTAAAAGCACTGCTCCCGTCCGTCTTGGAGCGTGTTGAAGCTCTTGATATGAATGACAAGGATGCGCTTGCGGCGTTCTTGGCCATGGCTCCAACGCAGCTGGTTCTGCTGGCTTGGCAAATCGCATTTGTACGTCGCGTGGAAGCGTGTCCGTCTCAGCCAGGACACTGGACAGCGAAGGACTTACAGCCTCTACATGCATGGATCACGGCGCCCTGCGCACACCTGTCATCGCTCGCAGGCGATGTTGCTACGCTTCGTCGCCCAGCCGAACAATGCCTAGCGCTGTTGCTCTTCCTCACTACGGTTCTCCACCAGATCACGGACGCGTCGCCGTTTGTTTGGCAACAGCAATTGCGTCATTACTGGGACGGCACCGAGGTCCATGTACGTATGGCGTATGCGTCCTTCACGTACGGCTTTGAGGTGTTAGGTGCACAAGAGCGCCTCATCCCTACGCCACTGACGAATGCAAGCTACATTACGCTTACGCAGGCGCTCAAGGCACGGCAGGGTGGCGCGCCATTTGGTCCAGCAGGGACCGGCAAAACAGAAACGGTCAAGGCTCTCGGTGCGGAGCTCGGTCGATGGGTGTTGGTGTTCAACTGTGACCAGCAGTTTGATGAGAGTGCGATGGCTCGTTTGTTGCTGGGCCTGGCACGTGTCGGTGCGTGGGGCTGCTTTGACGAGTTCAATCGATTGGATGAGCGTGTGTTGTCGAGTGTGTCACAGTCTATGCAGGCCGTGCAGCAGGCATTGGCGCATGAGACAGAAGCTCGGATTGGGTCGGTGCTTACGCGCGTCCAACCGTCTACAGGGCTCTTTGTTACGATGAACCCAAGCTATGCAGGGCGATCGCATTTGCCAGACAATCTGGTGAAGCTTTTCCGCCGCGTAGCCATGACGCAGCCAGATTCCACCTTGATCGTGGAAGGATGGCTGCGTATGCATGGATTTACTGATGCCAGTTCGTTGGCATGCAAGATGGTGACGCTGTTCCAGCTGTGTATGGAACAGCTGAGCGATGCACCTCACTACGACTTTGGATTGCGTGCGCTCAAAGCGGTACTGGTGGGCGCGGCTCATGCACGTCGATCGAACCCTGCAGAGTCGGAGATCAATGTAATTGTGCAGAGCGTGCAAGAGACGGTGCCCCCACGCTTGGTAGCCGAAGATGCGCCGTTGTTTGCCGAGCTGGTCGCGGATGTGTTCCCTGGCATTGCCCCCAGCTCTTCAATGTCGAAGGACCTGGTACAGGCCCTGGAGGCCGAATGTGAAGCACAGCATCTCGGGACGGGTGCCTGGCTTGAAAAGATATGGCAGCTACATCACGTTCTGGATATCGCACCAGGTGTGGTGTTGGTCGGTGAGGCTGGTACAGGCAAGACGCGGGCATGGCGTACGCTCCTGCAAGCCCTGGAGCGCGTCGAGCAGCGTGCCGGTGTAGCCCATGTATTAGACCCGAAAGTGCTTAGCAAGGAAGCATTGTATGGTACATGGGATCCCACGACGCGTGAATGGACGGATGGTCTCTTTACCTATACGCTTCGCCGCATTCTCGATCGTGCGTCGACACAGCGCCACTGGATCGTATTCGATGGCGACTTGGATCCGGACTGGGTCGAGACGCTGAATAGTGTGCTGGACGACAATCGACAGCTGACACTGCCGACCGGTGAACGTTTGCCGTTGCCCTCGAACGTCCGACTTCTCTTTGAGGTGGACTCAGTGGCGTATGCGACGCGTGCCACCATTACGCGATGTGGTATGGTATGGTTCCCCAGCGATGCTGTGACACCCGCTATGCGTCAATCGCATACAATGGCATGCTTGCAAGCCGCCTCGACAGACGATGATACCCTTTCGACACTCTCAGCGGCGCCTGGTGTCATTCCTGAGACGCAGCGGATCGTGGTCGAGGCCATTGAGGCATACTGGGCGCCTGGCAGTGTATGGGATGTCGCTCGTGCGTCCGCACTGCGTCATGCCCACTGCATGGTATGGAGCGAGGCACGTGCCTTGGCCGCTTGGTTGACGTGGATGCGCCGCGCTATCCAGCGCGCGGTCAGATACCAGGTGCGCCATCCTGATTTCCCTTTGAATGAGGCGGATATGCGGACGTACGCCCAACGCTCCTTCCTCTTGGCGACGCTATGGGCAATGGCCGGCGACGCTACCGACGAAGTGAGGCAGGAGGTATGTGCCGCTGTAGCCAAGCTGCCGTCCATGCCGACGGTCCCAGGCCGTACATGGTTCGACGTCGATGTGGACATCGCGCCTGGTGCGCCATGGCGTGCATGGTCGGAGGCCGTGCCGAAAATCCGCGTGGATGCACGTGTGCTCACAACGAGTGACTTGATCATCCCTACGGTCGATACAGTACGACATGAATCGCTTCTGCAGATGTGGCTGCATGAGCAGCGGCCTGTCGTGCTATGTGGCCCGCCCGGAGCCGGTAAGACTATGGTCCTACTGGAAGTCCTGCGTCGTTGGCCGGACGTGGATGTCGTGACGCTAAACTTCTCGTCGCAGACGACATGCGATACGTTGCTACGTACGTTGGAGTCGCACTGTGTGTACGAGTATACCGCCAGTGGTCAACGCCTGGTCCCACGAGCGCCTGGTCGTCGGTTGGTGTTGTTCTGCGACGAAATCAATTTGCCGACGCCGGACGCATGTGGTACGCAGCGTGTCTTGGCACTGCTGCGACAGTGGATTGAGCATGGCGGCTTTTACCGCCAGCTGGCCTGGGTCACGCTGGAACGTATCCAAATTGTCGGTGCATGCAATCCACCCACCGACGCTGGACGTACACCGCTACCGCCTCGGTGGCTGCGGCATACGCCCGTGGTCTGGGTGGGCTATCCCTCAGACGAGGCCTTGGTACAGATTTACAGCACGCTGGCGCAGGCGCTCTTGCAGTCTATGCCGTCACTCCTAGGCTATGTCGATGCCGTGGCGCGGGGTATGGTGACGTACTTCCGCGCGACGCAAGCGCACTTTTCTACGGCGCAGCAGGCGCATTATGTGTACTCTCCGCGTGAGTTGACGCGGTGGATTCGTGGCATGCACCAACTGATGACGACCGATACCGACTTGGACGACCTAGTTCGAATCTGGGCGCATGAAGCATTGCGTGTCTTCCAGGACCGCCTTGTGACCCCAGAGGACAAGGCATGGAGTGACGAGGCGCTGGACGAGGCGGCCCGTACTGCCTTCCCCGGCTTGGATGTGCGTCGCGTGCTACGTCGGCCGTTGCTGTACTCAGACTGGCTCTCGCGAACATCGAAGCGCGTTGATCGTGAGGCGCTACGTTCGTATGCGCACGCGCGTCTGCGTGGCTTTGCAGAGGAAGCGCTGGAGACAGAGCTGGTCTTGCATGATGCTGTGCTTGACTTGGCCCTACGCTGCGACCGTGTATTGCAGCAGCCGGCAGGCCACTTGCTGCTGATCGGTGTCGCAGGCTCTGGCCGCACGACTATGGCGCGCTTTTGTGCGTGGCTGCGAGGCTTGGCGCTGTACAATCTGCCCACGTCGCGTGCCTACGACGAAGCCCGCTTTGACGATGACCTGCGTGCGCTCTTGCGTCGGGTGGGTATTCGTGGCGAGCGTGTGTGCTGGACGCTGGACGAGAGCCAAATGGCCGTGCCGGCGCGTGTAGAGAAACTCAACACACTCTTGGCCAACGCCGAGGTGGCTGGGCTCTTCGAGGGGGATGAGTACACGTCGTTGTTGTCAGCCTTGCGTGACGCAGCTCAACGCCAAGGCTTGGTGTTGCATGCCGACGACGAACTGCTCTCGTTCTTCCGTGCCCAGATCACGGCGAATCTGCACGTGGTACTCACGATGACGCCACCACGCGACGATCTGACCAAGCGGGCGACAGCCTCGCCAGCGTTGTTGAACCGATGCACCTTAGTCTATTGCTGGTGAGCCCCTATCACGATACCTCTGCCTTGTTGTCTATAAACTTACATAGGGCTGTACTGATCCAACGCCTGTACAATCTTGCCCATCATGTTTTTCGGTCCTAATATAAATTCGCCATGATGGAAATCAGGCTCGTATTCAATCCGCTCTTCGAAGCCACTGCGCTTCAAAAACTTGATGACACTACTGGCCTTCACGACCGTATCTGCGCCAGCCAGATAGATACGCAAGTGCGATGGATCGCTGCGTTCAGGCAAATCATCGGCCAGCAGCACATTGGCGGACCAGTCAAAGTGCCGCATCAGCACATTCGCTGTGCCCAATTCACGGGCGACAAAGTAGCGCAAAACGTACTCCACAAACGAGTCGGTGGGCTTGTACAAGAAGCGGTAGCAAATGTGAGGCGCCCACAACTGGAAGCACACAGGGTCCACAAACAGGGACCGATGAATCAGTTCCGGCCAGGCACGCATGAGCCATGTGTGGACAATGGTGCCCATGCTGTGCGACAGCACATTCACGCCACACTTGTCCAGCCGATGACGCTCTAGCATGTGCCGAATGGATGTCGAGGCCTCATGGTACTTCCACGGGCGGAGGAAACGCTTCGAGAAGAATTCATACGAAACCCAGGGCTGCAAAGGCACCAACAAAGGGCGCATAGCCGGGCGACCACCTGGGGCGACCAACGCCTGGACGGCCGTAATGTACTGCACGACACCCAAGCCAAGGCCATGCAGGAAGAGCGCAGGGCGTGGTGCCTCCCCCCGTGCAGCCGCATCGGGCGTCCATCCAGCTGGCATGTATATCAGGTACGAGTATCCATCCACTTCATACCGATGCATGCCCAGCACAGAAAAGTACGCCTGTGACACGCGATTCATAAGGAAGGTGCCGACATACATGGCCAGCGGCCGCGAGTTCACATGCACAGGATCCAGCGTAAGTAGCATGACGCGCTTGTTTCGACGCTCCTTTGGCGTCAAGTCAACCTTCTCGGGGAAAGGCAGACCACGTCGCGCGGCAAACAAGTCCACAGCGCCGGCCAGGAACTTTTTCATGTCATGCGCATTGGAGTCTTCCGCGATCACTTCTTCATAGTACTTTCCAAAGAGCGACCAGGACAGCCAGTCTTGCACATCATGCAGCGAAATGTGCTCTGGGCGCACACCCAGGAACCAGCCGGCCATTTCATGACGGAACTCGACCGCTCGTGGATCGTCGAACGCCAGTGGCGCCTTGACAGTAGGTAGCTTGGCCTTGTCCTTCGATTGCTCCAGGTGTGGCACTATATCTTCGAGCCCATCAGACACACCAGTGGTCACGGCACGAACGACAAACTCCCGCGTCGCTGTGTGCGAGCCGGCCCGGCCCTGGATTTTTCGTGCGAGGAGTCGGTAGTAAATCGAGAACGACGACTCCAGCAGAGCGTAACAAAACAGGCCTCGCTGGCTCAGCCAACGCACAAGACGACGGCGATGCGCAACCTGCCATGGCAGTCGACCTGATGTGATCAAGCGCCAGAGTTCACTTGCATCACGCACGAAGTACGAACGGATGGCAATGTAGGCAATCACATACACCCAAGAGAGTGGGACGATGCCCCATAGTAGGAGCACAAGCGCCTGAGCTAGTGCCTTGGGCGGTTGGCGCTTCAATAGCATGAATGTGCGAGCCAAACCAATCGGCCAGGGCCCCGATAAATGGGATGGCAATGACGTCGATGCAGACGCTATTTTTAACCAAAAAGTGGAGCCGAGCCGAGCAACCCAGGCCAACCCCCCACCGCCCGCAGGCACGAAATCACACGGCCCTCACCGGCTACATCCATCGACATATGTACAAGCCTCCCAGCGGGCCATTTTAGGAAATCGTTCTACAGGCAATATATAGCAGTGTCATATTAAGGCGTAGTCGTTGTAGAGGCGGCCGAAGGAGCGCTAGCTTCGCTCGACGTAGCCCGCACAGCGTCGGACGCAGAACACGAAGCCTGGTCGGCAGCCATACGTGGCGTCTCAAAGCTCTTCATGCCCGACAGACCCCAGCGGTCCAGCATAGCTTTGTCCTGGTCCCATGACGAAGTTGGCGTGGTCAGCATGCGGTGGCCCGTGAAGATCGCATTCGCACCGGCCAGGAAAAGCATCGCCTGCTCGGATTCAGAGAACATGTGACGACCAGCAGCCAGACGCACAATCGACGTAGGCAAAACAATACGCGCCGTAGCCACTGTACGCAGCATTTCCTGGAACTTGATCGGCTCTTGGTCAGCCATCGGTGTGCCTTCAATGGCGACCAACGCATTCACAGGGAAGCTCTCCGGCGGCTCCGGCAATTGACTCATCTCCCAAATCAAACCAACACGGTCCTCCTCCTTCTCACCAAGACCCAGAATACCACCAGAGCATACCGCAATACCAGCATTGCGCACATTCTCAATCGTCTGCAAACGGTCGTCGTACGTGCGCGAGGTAATGACCTTGCCGTAATGCTCACGACTCGTATCAAGGTTGTGGTTGTACGCTGACAAGCCCGCTTCCTTCAGCTGCTGGGCCTGTTCCGGCGTAAGCATGCCGAGAGTGGTGCACACTTCCATGCCCATACCACGGATCTCACGCACCATGTCCAAAATGCGCTTGAAGCCACGCTTACGGCCGCCAATCTCACGCCACGCAGCGCCCATACAGAAACGAGTGCTGCCATTGGCTTTCGCACGACGCGCCTCCTCCAGCACAGTATCCAGCTCTTCCAGCTTCGAAGCTTTCGAGTGTGTATCGTAGCGGCTGCTTTGCGAGCAGTACGCGCAGTCTTCCGAACAGCCACCCTCCTTGATGTTCATTAGCGTGCACAGCTGAATACGGCTAGGGTCGTGGTGAGCACGATGCACGGACGCAGCCTGGAAAACAAGCTCCAGAAGCGGCTGGTCAAATAGTGCCTGCACGTCGCGCCTCTCCCACGAACGGCGCGGCGGAGGCGTCCATGTCGACGCGCCAGGTGCATTGGAGGAACGTGTGCCGTGGTAGTCCGTCGATGGCACAGCACTTACAACAGCTGTGCCCTTCCATCGACGCAGCACCATAACACCTTGTGGGCGTAGAGCTCGGCAAGCACTCATTGACGAGCCTAGCATTGATAGGAACGTTTGGTAAGAAAAGAAGATTCGATGTGCGTGCGTTTGGCGTACGCCCAACAACGCGCTAGGCGCCCTCTCGCACATACACTCGGCAACGCCACGGCGAGGCCCTGACGCTCGGCCGGACCTGCCGATGTCGGCGCACGTGGTGCTGATGTGGACACTGCAGATGAACCATGCAATCGTCCTTCCTCCTCTCGTCACAGCGAACGTGTATCGACAAGATGACTGACGTCGCGTCGGACCCTTCGTCTTCAGGTCCAAAGGATGCGAATAGCAAGTCCCTGAAGCAAGCCACCTTTGAAGAAGAATTGGAGAACCTGGCTTGCCGCTTTATTGTCAACCTTCCAGCCAACGAGCTGACGTCCATTGAGCGCATTGGTTTCCAGGTTGAACAAGCGTACGTCGTTATTTCCCTTGATAGAATAACTAACACGCCCTAGGCATTGGTTCTACTTGGACTTCCTATGCCCACAAAACCCGCAGCTGCCCCAGCGTAGCCTTCGGAAGTTCACCGAAGAGCTGCTCCATGTGGCTTCCCTAGCTGTACCACTTATTCAGTTGTACACATCGAGTGGCCCATCCAGCTTGAGCAAAGCATACAGCCAGTTCATGGAGTATAAAACACGCGTGCCTGTATGTGGTGCGATTCTTCTCTCAGAGGATTGGACCAAGTGCATTCTTGTTAAAGGGTGGGGCAAAGGCGCTTCATGGACCTTCCCTAAAGGCAAGATCAATCAGGATGAGCCGGAACGAGACTGCGCCATTCGAGAAGTGCGCGAAGAGACGGGCTTTGATGCTAGCGACCTCTTGCCTGAGAACAGCAAGGACTATTTTGAGCTGACACAGCGCGAGCAAAAGATCCGGCTCTATGTCATCCCAGGTGTGCCAGAGAGTACACAGATGGAAACACAGACGCGCCGCGAGATTTCACGTATTGAATGGTTCAAGTTGGGAGATTTGCCTACGGCCAAGAAACCCAAGTCACCCGCCGCGGACTTGGGCGGCAAGTTTTACATGGTGATGCCATTTGTCATGCGTCTCCGACGATGGATTCAGGCGAATAAGCGCACGCACCCACGCCGTCCCATCGTATCGACACCGACACCAGCACCCAAAGAAGCAGCACCAGGTCAGGTTAGTTTGGATGCACTCTTCGGCACAGTCGAATCACCCAAAGCTACCCCCACCAACAAACCTGGCCTCATTTCTCTCCCCCCGTCAGCAATGCGTCAAATGGCTCAAACAGCCAAGGCAGCATCGGCGCGTCAATTGCGTCAGCAGTCACCATCGATAAATGTGGATCGTACCCAAGACGAGGAGTCCAAAAAGAAGCTGCTACTTACGTTGCTGCAGGGGTCCCAGCCTCCGCCGCCTCCCGTGCCTCCGCAGCCATTGCCGGCGCCTCCATCACATATGCAAACGCAGCGTGTGGATGGCTCCACAGCATTGCGTGCATTGCTAGGTCTGGATCAAACTCAGATCCCCACCATGCTAAAGCCCGCTTATCCGCAGGCAGGTATGCCTTCCTCTGCTCCAGGGAATCGCGATACATTGTTGTCTATTTTGAACGGGCCAAAACCAGTGAATATGCCCTCATCTGGCCCTATGCTTGCACAGTTGGGCCAAATGCCAATGCACGTACCTATGCCCATGCCCATGCCTATGCCCATGCCTATGCCTATGCAGCAGCCACCTAGCCAAGATCGACCCATGCCTAGCCCATGGATGAATGCTAATGTCGCCCAGGCGGACCCAGCAACACGTCCTCCACCTCCTCCCACAGGCGATCATCATCGCGCTCAGCTCTTGTCGAGTTTGCGGAATGGGCCAACTCCGCACTCACCAACCTCGGCACCTGCTCCGATACCGCAGGCCGACAGGCCTCCTCCACACAACATCCCTCCGTCGACATGGCGTATGCACACCCCACCTGTAACCTCACCAGGTTCGTCGCATCAGCAAGCACTTCTGTCGACATTGCTAGGCTCAGGGCATCCAGGTACACCTACACAACATACCGGCGTGCCAACGCCACCACCTATGAGCCCTCAAGGTCCACCGCCTTCAAATGCGCCCACCCAGAACTTGCTGAGTATTCTAAATGACCCTCCACCCACCTCGGCGGCACCACCACAAAACCAGCCTCCAAACAGGGAGGCTTCAAATGCACTTCTTAGTACATTGTTACACGGTAATAGAATGTGGTAGATCTATACCCACAACGTAATGGTTCCGCTATGGTATACACAATGCATAGTGTACGTCTATTTTTAAAGCTTAAAGAAGCTTGAAACTGCGCGTAAGCTGGTCCATGACAGACACAGGAGCTGGACCTAGACCAACAACCGTGCGACTGCCAGGTGCTACCTGTGTTCGACCCCTACTCATGTTAGACGGACACCGCACTGTCCAATATACGTACGCGTCCTGAATGACAGCAGCAGGCACTCCGAGTTTTTTGGCCGTTTGCTGAAGCTCAAGTAACTGTGTTTCATCCGGCACTTTAATAGCAATCTTGGTTTGACTATCCTGTGAGTGAGAGGAATACGTACCCTAGCTGCTTCCACCGGTGAACGTATTCGGGTTGGGAACGCTTGGCCTTTTTATAGACTTCTAGGGTTGCATGACTTTTCCATAAGCCTTGTATCAAGTACGTACCCACACTGTGCTGCAATCTTGCCTTTGTCCATTTTGAGGTCCATTCGGACACCTAAAACCTAGCTGTCAGCTTACCAGTAGAGTATAGCATACCATTTTGCACGGCTCTGAAGATGAAGAAGAGTCATCCTCATCGCCATCTTCGAGATCGCTCACATCGTCATCGCTCTCATAGCCTGACCCTGACGTCCACTTGGAAACCAAATACCCAGATACAAAACCTGTGGCAAATAGGGCCAGGGCCCCTGTGTGCGCTGTGATGCTGCTCATAAAAAAAATATATGCGGAAAAATAAAATGGATTACCCTCAAACAAGGCGCCCGTGCGCAGATAAGCAACGCGCGCGCGGATTATGGCGTGACACAAATATTAGGGGCCTTATGGGCCTATTTTTCCCGCCTTTTAGGGCCCTTTCGCTTTGCGTGTGGTGTTTTTTCCGTCGGCCGAAAAAAATTAGCGCGCCACCTCGCGTTGCATAAATATAAGGAACGGTGGCGGGATTTTATCTCTTTACTATCAAATTCCATCATGCAAATTTTCGTTAAGACGCTCACTGGCAAGACGATCACCCTGGAGGTGGAGTCTTCAGACACGATCGACAATGTGAAGGCTAAGATCCAGGACAAGGAAGGTATTCCTCCGGACCAACAACGCTTGATCTTTGCTGGTAAGCAGTTGGAGGATGGGCGCACTCTGAGCGACTACAACATCCAGAAGGAGAGCACTCTTCACCTGGTTCTCCGTCTGCGCGGTGGTATGCAAATCTTCGTCAAGACTCTTACTGGCAAGACGATCACCCTGGAGGTGGAGTCTTCAGACACGATCGACAATGTGAAGGCTAAGATCCAGGACAAGGAAGGTATTCCTCCCGACCAACAGCGTCTTATTTTCGCTGGTAAGCAGTTGGAGGATGGCCGTACTTTGAGTGACTACAACATTCAGAAGGAGAGCACTCTTCACTTGGTGCTTCGCCTTCGTGGTGGTATGCAGATTTTCGTCAAGACTCTTACTGGTAAAACTATTACATTGGAAGTCGAATCCTCGGACACGATTGATAACGTCAAGGCTAAGATCCAGGACAAGGAGGGCATTCCACCGGACCAACAGCGTCTTATTTTCGCTGGTAAGCAGCTGGAGGATGGCCGCACTCTGAGCGACTACAACATCCAGAAGGAGAGCACGCTGCACCTTGTTCTCCGTCTGCGTGGTGGCCAGTAAGTTAGTCATTTGTTATAGCTTAGTTTTTTGAATGTCATCAAATCTTTTTTCATTGTTACACTATTGTTATATGCACAAAGTCAGAGTGTAGTGCCGCAAGGAAAGATCCGGCGTCGAATGAGATAGGTAGGCCATTACTCGCCGAAAATCTGCCAGGTGTTAGTCGCTATGCCGAAATCCCAAGATTCGTACCTTCTGTACACGCTTGAGCACGCCATCCTTCGATGGGTCTGCACCGTCAGCTTAAAGAAACCCGAAGAATACGTACCGTAAGGATGATCCTTGCTGGGAATCTCAAGGAGAGCTGGGAAGGCCTGCATATACTTGTCGACCAGGGGGCGGATCTTATCGGCGATATGTTGGTTGATAAGAACAATAGCAATGTCGTCGCGCTCCTTGGTAAACTTCATGAAGGCTTCTTCAATGTCAGCGGTCGGCGTCTTGTTATCCACGACGAAGAAGTTTTTGTCACCATCTTTGGACACGTCGCCGATACCAGCGAGGATGAAGCCGGTTGTCGAGTCCTTGCATGTGAGTACAAAGAGGTAGTACCTACCTCATCCGCGATAAGTGCGATTAGCGAGCGATGTCCAGCTTGCTGTTGGCCCGACATCGTATATGGTGCACAGTGACAGGCTCAGCGGTCGGGCTGACGACCCGTGCTCGTGGGGCCACGTGGCATGATGAAGGAGGCAGGAGAGCGGAGATGAACGACGCTTGCATAGCTCATCCTCGACTCGCAGGCCTGCGCAAGAGGTGATTTCCGCGATGGCGCCGACATTTTTGCCATCCAATGCTGCAGGCGGATCTGCGAGTACTTTTGCGTACGATGTTGGAGGTACGCCTTTATTGCAGCCTATCTCGAAGGCGGGCAACAACCCGTCGCGTGTATGCTACTTTTTCGATTCCGACATTGGAAACTTCCACTATGGCGCTGGCCATCCAATGAAGCCTATGCGTATTCGCATGTGCCACTCGCTCGTTATGAACTATGGACTGTATAAGAAGATGGAGATTTTTGTATGTGACGCTCGCACTAACTCGGTAGCGTGCCAAACCAGCGACAAAGAGGGAGATGTCGCAGTTCCACACGGATGACTACGTGGACTTTTTGAACCGTGTGACGCCGGAAAATGTGGACTCATACGTCCGTGAGCAGTCGAAGTGTATGTATAGTGTGTGTGAATGAGCTAATGGCAGACAATGTGGGGGATGATTGTCCTGTGTTTGATGGCTTGTTTGAGTACTGTTCCATTTCCGCGGGTGGCTCGATGGAAGGCGCTGCGCGTCTTTCGCGGGACAAGTGTGATATTGCGATCAACTGGGCTGGTGGTCTACACCATGCCAAGAAAGGCGAGGCAAGTGGATTTTGCTACATCAATGATATCGTGCTTGGTATTCTGGAGCTGCTTCGGTACCACCCGCGTGTTCTGTATATTGATATTGACGTGCACCATGGTGATGGTGTGGAAGAGGCATTTTACACGACGGACCGTGTCATGACCTGCTCGTTCCACAAGTACGGTGAGTTTTTCCCCGGTACAGGTGAGCTGCGTGACATTGGCTATGGCTCTGGCAAGCACTATGCATGCAATGTGCCATTGCGAGACGGCATTACCGATGAGACGTACCAGAGTGTATTCAAGCCTGTGATCCAGCGTATTATGGAGCAGTACCAGCCCACGGCTGTGGTCCTCCAGTGTGGGTCGGACTCCTTGGCGGGCGATAAGCTGGGTTGTTTCAACCTAAGTATGCGTGGCCATGCCAGCTGTGTGGAGTTTGTGAAGAGTTTTGGGTTGCCGCTTCTGCTGCTGGGCGGTGGTGGGTACACCATGCGCAATGTGAGCAGGGCATGGGCGTACGAGACGGGTCTCGCGTCCGGGCATGAATTGAGTCCAAGTACGTACGATAATGGAATGGTCTGACCTTCAGTTGTGCCTGTGAATGAGTACTACGAGTACTTTGGGCCAGAGTACCGTTTGGATGTGCTGCCGAGCAACATGGAAAATCTCAACACACGCACGTACTTGGACAAAGTCAAGGAGCAAGTGTTTGAGAACCTGCGCCATGTAGCGCATGCCCCCTCGGTCCAAGGTCATGTCGAGCCGCGTCTAGCGCACGATATGGCGTTGGACGATCAGGACGATGAAGACGACGATCCCGATGTGCGAGCGAGTGATCGTGTATTGGATCAGCGGGTGCAGCGCGATACGGAGATTGACGACTCGGACGACGAAGGGGAAGGTGATCGTCGTGACCGGCACAATTGGAAAGAGGATGCGATGGACATGGAGGCAGGGGAGACCAAGCCGGTGGTAGCCGAGGCCCCACCAGCAGGGGACAACGTAGCGCCGCCGTCGCAACTGCCGCCCACTCTCAACACCTCCGCATCGCCGGCGACCGAGGCACCCCATACCCAACGAGAGGCATCGTCTTCGTAATGTGTAGGTCTACAAGTCTATTCTATAGAGTCACAGCACGGTACGCATCCGCCTTGCGACGCGAGATAAAGTCGGCCGCAAAGCGACGGCCATCGAGAGTACTGCTGTTCGCGTACACGGCCTCCGCAATGATATCAGCTACATCCGGCGATGGGTTCAGCGGGAACGACAACAGCATCTCCACAAAGTCGTCCACATTCGCACGCAGGCCACGCAGTTGATCGCGGCAGTACTGCAAAAACTCGCTGGAAGGCGGCTGCGGCGTGGACGAAGGCGCGCCAGCTGTCGTGGCAGCACGGCGCGTGGCTGTAGGGATGCCGGCCGCCGTACCGGTAGGCCGAGGAATCCCGTCGTTCATTTGCGAGAGGGCATCGCGGCGGACTTGGTGCTTTGGCTTCATCGTGACCCAGCCATCTTCGTCCACTGTCGGCACGACTTTCGCAGTCGCAGCGGTGGACGGCGTAGCCGACGGCGTCGCGAGCGCGGGCGGTCGGCTGGGCAGCGGCGCAGGCTTCGGCAGGCCTGCAGGCTTCGCCGGGAGACCTGTGGGCTTTGTAGGCGCCGCGGCCTTCGACGACGAGCTCGGCACCGTCTTGCCGCCAGCCGCGACCTTGACCCAGCCGTGATCCTGCGAAGGCGTGGGCGCCGGGGCCTCGGTGTGCGTCGAAGAACGAAGGACCGAGTTGCTGTAGGCACTGGGCTTGGATGCCTGTGCCGCTATTTCGTGCGCGGCGCGTGCGCTTTCTTCCTGCTGGATCTGCGAGAGCGACTTGGCAGGCGTGGTCTTGGGCACATTCCATGCGGCAGTGATCGAGCGTGTAGGCGCAGCAGGCGACGAAGACGTCGTAGCAGACGAGACTTGGATCTGCGCCATGGCACGCGCCAGCATGGCCGAGTTCGCAGCGCGGTCCTTCGCGTCCTGCGCGGCGCGATCACGCTGTTCCGCCTCGAGAATCTCGCGCATGTTGGGCGTCGCATTGGACGCCTTGGAGGCCGACGAGGCCCAGGGCGCAGACTTGGCCGCCGCAGGCGTCTTGGCAGGCGTCGTGGGCGCTGCCACTGTCTCGGCAGGCTCAGTGGTCGTCGCAGGGGCCGCCGCCTCGTCGGCGGAGGCGGGCGTGGCCGCCGCCACGTCAGCAGGGGGCGCAGGGGCCTTGGTCGGCTTCACCTCTTCGTCCACGGCCGGTGTCGCGTCCGCTGGCGGGGCCGCAGGCTCAGCCTGGGCGTCGGCCGGCGGGACAGCCTCGGTCGACGACGTTGCCGGCACGACACTCGCATGCTCCGTTACCTGGGTATCGCCGTGGGTATCAGGCGACGTAGCGTGCGTGTCTGTAATAGGTTCTTGCTGCGCCTGCTCATCCATATCCTTCTGGACTTGCACGGCATGCGCGGCATCATGCGCAGCTTGCGATTGCATGGCCTGCAACATATCTTGCAGCGCAGCTGCATTGGCATGCGGCAGCGACGAAGCCATCACGCTTTGCATCATGGACAGCGTTTGCGACTCTGATGCGCCTGAGGCCATGAGCGACTGCAGCTGCGTCATTACACGCACAGCCGCAGCGATGTCATCCGCTGAGAAGTTCGACGGCGTGAGTGTCGTCCCGGCGGCGTGGGGCGCCGTCGTCGGAGAGGACGAAGACGGCGCGGTCTCAGTCGCGGTGCTAGGCATCATGCCGGCCCCCGGCACACGAGGGGAGTGCGGCGCAGGCATATGCGGGGAACTCCTATGCGAGGCCACGCCTGGCATGGCGCCAGGCGCCGGCCCCGGTGTCTGCGCGACATGCCGTCTCGGTGGGGGCACGAGGAACGGCTGCCCAGGGTAGCCCAGTTCTTGGACGAGCACATGAAGAGGCCGAAACTCAGGGTCCTCTTCCGGTCGAAGAAGCAGGTCCGAGTACAAGTACTGCTGCTCGTACCAGGCCTGCATGGCCGTCGCGGCAAAAGGGCCCTGGACCATCCCGCTAGGATCCAAGTAGAGCCATTTCTGTGTGTGGGGCGACCACGACGTAGCGGGGGGGACGGCAGGCGGTGGTGCGTCGAGGCCCGACGCACGCGGCCATACAGCCCCACGAGGCTCGTCAAAGGCGAAGGGCGCGGTCTCCTGGCTGGGCGTGCCAAACGCCTGTGCTTGTGGATGCGTACCAGGTGCTTGACTGAATGCATTCCAATATGGATTTTCACGTTCATCAGGTGCAAAGTAGGCATACGACATGGGATACATCTTGGACACTATTACCACAGCAGAAGTGGAAGAACTTCAAACAGGACCGGCGCCGCTGCGGTACCAAGAGGACTACCTAGGTGGCTTAGTCATCAACGACAGCGTTGCCGAAGCTTCGGACGCCAGGTCGTGCACACCGGACGCGAGCCACGGCGCGTCAGGCCGCTTACGAAAGCGTTCAAGTAGCGCTTCGATCGTGCTCTGGACGTACGCAGGCGCCGGCGCATACGTGGGCTGGAGGAGGTGAGTAGGTGTGTGCCATACGTACGTCGCAGGGGGGCCGTCGCAACGCGTCGACGACCATGGCCCAGAACCCGTGCCAAGCCCAGCCAGCGTCTTGCTCAACCACCTGCTGAACGAGGTGTGTGAATTCACGCTGCCAGGCAGGCTGGCCCGCCAGCATCGCACGTACGTCGTCCAGGGCCTGCGCGACATCCTCCACCTGCATGGGTGAGCACGGCAGCGACGTACCTCAGCTTCCATAGCATCGTACATGCTCGTAAGATTCATGGCATTGCACCAATTGTGGTTGATCTGGCATAAGTAGATAGATACGTACACTCATGCAGTCGGTCAAATTTTCCACTTCATGGTACCAGTTGGATGGCACAAAGATCGTTTGGCCAGGCTGCGATGGGTAAGGCGAGCGGCCCACACATACCTCTTGCTCAATTTCGTACACACGCTCACGCACCTGCCCCCACCCAGGCCAGCCTTCGTAGCCATCTTGGTACGCCCCAAGCTTCCCCGCATGAAAGGCTTGCTCCATCTCGGCATAGCGACTCGCTAGCGCCGACGTACGTCGCTCAGGGAACTGCCGAAGCCAACGCGCGTCGTCTGGCGCAAAAAGCCGCCATCGTTTGCGGCCCGCTATATTAGTAGACCACGAATAGGACGTGTACACGTCACGATGCAGAGGGGTATACGAGCCACGCGAGCCAAGATAGCAAAATCGAAAATCGTCCGCTTCATACGCTTCGGTGCTTTGCGTCAGCCAGGCATCCGAAGCGAAGGCGTACGTCGCCGTGGGGCGGGCATGCGGCGTTACATTGTTCATCCCTGGTGTTAGCCAACGTACACGTACAATCATCCGCAAAAAGACAGGGTGTCACATAGGGAAATGGACGCGACTGGTCCCGCGCGTGGGCATCAGTCCGCGACGAACGGACCAAGTGCCAGTCTTTAATATACACAGGCTCTGACGAAGTCCGAAGAAGGTGTATGGCATCTCGAAGCGCCATAGATCGTCTCTCGGCAGATCCTACAATGACAGGCACTTGATGGTCGCCAAAGTCGGCACACAACGCCTCCCAGTCGATACGGCCGTCGTGGCCGTATCGCTGTATCGCCGGCCAGGACGCCACCATCGCAGCCGGGAGCATCACAGGTAGATTGGGGGCCAAGTAATCACGCTGTCCATATTAGAAACGTACTACCTACGTAAAACTCGTCATAGCTAGGTACATGGTCCAATACTGGCACCACATACGACATGCTCGCTGCAAGAAGAACGCCCCGCCTCCACACTAACACTTCGTTTTCAAGACAGCTCCTGCCTACCTTTCTACAAACGGCCTGTGGGGAAACGAATAACACCTTCTTGGATCTGACCGTGAGCCATCTGGTACATACCACAATCGCTACCAGCACACCGTCACCACGGTACACACGAGCCATGATGAGGGCCCGGCCATTGCTTGCAGCTTGATTCTCAACGACCATCAACAACCAGTTGGACATGTCAAAGTCGTTATGGAACCACATTGTATGATCCAAGCTCGCCATCATGGAAGGAGGACCCTCACGCAGGTTGGCCAGCATATTGCCGAGCATGAATTGATCAATATGGAAGCCAAGCACAGCACGCTGGTCGTTGACGCTGCCAGGCGAATGACCACGCGCACGCAGCCAGTAGGCAAGCTTGGTCCCATACTGGATGTGACCATTCTCATCGAAGACCGTAGGTACAGCAGGGCGGAATTCCACAGGGAGATTCTGCTGGTCATTCGTATACTTAGTCAGGTATTTGTGCAAGATAGCTTCTTTCGGCGTGTGCTCCAGTGCCTTGAGATACCTCTCCGAGCCCGGTTGGCACATATCAGGTAGCAGCACTTCAGTAGGTAAATTGCTGTGCCCGTCCGGCATAAACTTCATCAGTTTGAACGTGCCCGTCGCGCCGATAATCGGCGGGGGTGCGTAAAACTGAGGCTGTGACGGCTCTGGCAGTTGGAAGGACACAGTCGCTGTGAAAATCAGCGTCTGATCCTGCATCGCATCCACGCGACGTGTCATGTACGACCGACCGTCACGAAGCTTCTTCACATAGTAGTAGATATGTTTCTGGTGCGAGGCGCGATTCAAGAATTTGCCCTGGGGTCAGCTAGCTTATCACATACATGAATTTCCTGCAAGGTCAGTAGGCGCTGAAAAAACGTACATGAAGCTCCATCTCAGGGCTCACAGTCTTGGTAGCCGCTTTCATGGATTGGGCAATCAAGGTACCACCGAAAACGGATTTGCCCATCACAGGCACCCAGTGCGACTGCATACGTTAGAGATCGACGCTACGCACACTCGAAATGCTCTCAAATTCACAGTAAGACGTTTGGCGCACATCCACATGCTGAGAGAGCCGCTCGTCCCATTCTTCCGCAGATAATTCCTTCTCCGACATGCTGGTAAAGGACGCGCAAAAGAGAGGTTGCACCCTCCTTAGGTCTTGGCTTCCAATTCCACAGAACCGCCTCGACTCCACTTAAGGCGAGCCCTCCGGCCGGCCAAGCCGGTCGTAGGCCTTGGCGCGTGGCCAAAGCCCTCGCCCGGCCGAAGGAGGGGGGATGGGCAGTCCACGTGGAGCTCCCCCGTGACACGACGCCCATTGCGCTAGGTGCGAGACATCGACAGCATCAGTACGCTGCACTAAGACATGGCTAGCTCAGCGGCCCCAGGTACTGCCGGGCCAGTAGGGGCCTATACCCAAGCAGGGCCTTCTACAACGACGCTCCGATCATCCCAGGTGCAGTCGCTGTTGTCTATGCTGAACTTTAACAACCCTCACTTCTCCCATACCGCCGCTGGCCAGAACGCCAAGCAGGGCGAATCGACAGTGCCGCAGGCACCGCCCATTTGGAAAATCCTTGTGATGGACCCAACAAGCACGGACATCCTAGCTACTAGTTTGCGTGTGCAGGACCTGCGTGAGAACGGTGTGACCCTGCATCTCCAGCTACATTCCGACCGCCCAGCTTTGCCTGACGTGCCAGCCATATACTTTGTGTCACCTACGAGTGAAAATATGGCACGCATTGCCAAAGATGTGGGTGTAGGCTTGTATGAGACGTTCTATATCAACTTCACATCGGCAGTGCCTCGCCCCTTCATGGAAGAGTTGGCCCAGGCAGTCGCAAAAGCAGGCGGCGGTGGTCAGATCCGGCAGGTGTATGACCAGTACCTGAACTACATTGTGTTACAGCCCAATCTGTTCCAGCTGTTGCCCAAGGGGCAGACCTCCAAGTCAGCGCCTGTACCTACGACCTACGAGCTCTTGCATGCGCCACAGGTGAGCCAGGAACAGGTGGAAGCGGAAACGGACCGTATTGCCAGTGGACTGCTCTCTGTGCTTGCGACGATGGGAACACTACCTATTATTCGCGCCCCCCGTGGTAGTGCTGCGGAACTGGTGAGCCGGAAGCTAGAGGCAAAGTTACGTGAGCAGACGACAGGTTCTCGTGCAGGTTCAGGGTTCTTTGGATCAAGTGCGTCGAGTTCATGGAACAAGGATCGACCTGTGCTGATCCTGATGGACCGCGATGTCGACTTGGTGCCCATGGTATCTCATTCATGGACCTACCAAGCGCTGGTGTATGATGTGTTGGAGACCAAGCTTAACCGCGTGACTGTGGCAGAACCGGAAAAACCAGCGGCTGCGAAAAAGTCGTACGACTTGGATGCCAAGGACTATTTCTGGGCGAAAAACGCGGAAGTGCCGTTCCCGCAGGTGGCGGAGGATATCGATGCAGAGCTGAATCAGTACCGCCAGGAAGCCAATGAAATTATGCGGTCCACAGGTATTAGCAGCATGGACGAAGTGGGCCAGTTGGATGCCTCGTCCAATGCCTCGCATCTCAAGGCAGCTGTGACAGCGCTGCCAAAGCTGACAGCGCGCAAGCAGACGATTGACGCGCATATGAACATTGCAACCGCGCTCTTGCAGGGCATCAAGACACGTGGGCTTGATGAGCTTTATCAGCTGGAAGAGGCTGTGACGCGACAGAGTAAGTCGACCATCATGGAGGCACTGCAAAATCCGTCCATTCCCAACCCAGAAGACAGGATGCGCCTGTTCTTGGTATACTATTTGTCTACACCGGACAGTGCTCTCTCACGCGTGGATGTAGAGGAGTTTGAGACGCTTCTCAAGGGCCAAGGTGTCGACCTGACTCCCTTGGTATATGCCAAAAAGTATGTGCCGATGTTGACTAACGATAATAGGGCTCGCGATATCATGCGATTCTCCCTGGCGGCGCCGACGCCTGCGCCGACGCAGGGCCGACATGAGCTGTTAAGGGGCTTTAGCTCGTTGAGCAGTCGGGTACGTATATCATCCAGACATGGCTAACACACGATAGCTCACAGACAAACTCAAGGATAGCCGCCTGGAAAATCTGGTCGCCGGCGTGAAGAACTTCTTGCCCATCCAAAAAGACTACGCCGTGACGCGTCTCGTGGCTTCAATCATGGACCCTGCTTCTGGAAATGCTCAGGCCCTGCAGGAGACGGATGATTACTTGTACATCGATCCACGCCAGCCACGTGGACGTGGTACGGCGATGGGCCCTGGGGGTGCCAAGGCTCGGCAGCCATTTGCCCATGCTATTGTGTTTGTGGTGGGTGGCGGGAGCCATGTGGAATTTGCCAACTTGCAAGAATATGTGTCACGTTCCGTGGCGACGTCAGGTGGGATTGCACTGGGTACGTCTAGTCCCAAGCAGATCACCTATGGAAGCACCGACATTCTCACGCCCTCGGCCTTCCTGCGCGCGTTGACCGTGCTGGGTGCTGCGTCATAGGCCATTCCACTTATAGCACTAAATCCATTCATTTTACCCTGGACAGCGTGTGGAGATGTGGAGAGCCGAAAAATAGGCTAATTTTGGATCGGATAACGACTCGGCGCTCTTGTACCTATACCATGTCGGACGAAGGTAAGATCAACGTGTTATTCTGCTGCCTGGGCAACATCTGCCGCAGCCCCATGGCGGAAGCTGTATTCGCAAAGATGGTGAAGGAACAAGGACTATCCAATCACTTTGGCGTTATTGACAGCTGTGGCACTGCTGATTACCACGAAGGCGAAGAGCCAGATCTTCGGTACGAGGCCCATGTCAAGTGATCGCTAACGTACAGCACTGTGCGTGTGTGCAAGAAGCATAACGTACCTGTCAATCATCTCGCGCGTGCGCTTCAACCCAACGATTTTACCAAGTTTGACTATATTTTTGGCATGGAGTACGTTGCCACTTATCTGAACGGGGCTTACACACAGTTCCAACAACCTCAAGAATATCCAACGTGCACAGCCCAAAAACTCGAGCACCAAGTATGTATACCCGTACGCCACTAATCGTACAGAGTCATGCTGTTCTCAGCCTTGTATGTATCTTGTCTACACCCATTGACATCCCCAGCGACGACAATTCCACGATCTATGACCCCTACTATGTACGTGTGATATATATGTGCTTACCGTCTCAGATTGGTGATCATGCCTTTGATAGCGTGTTCGAGCAATGCGAGCGGTACGTGCCCTCTCTTGACCCCTGTCCTAATCACCAGATATTCGCGTGCCTTCTTGGCTCATCTCAAACTGGGCCCGGGCGCACAATTGTAAATCGGCCGGGGCCCTTCGCCACCACTAAAATTCCTGCCACGTGGATCACCTCTTCTGTAGACATTTTTGCCAATAGAAAGAATCTTCCAGAGACGGCCGAGCCACCGGAAATTTCAACGCCACTGTCGCGTTGCAACGTGCATCGTATCCACTTTCTCACACGCCCATGACTGGATCGTTCCTCAGTCAACGTAGTGCGGGGGGCCTCAGCACCACTGCATCCAGCAGTATGCGGGTCTTGAAGGCACAAGCCTGGCAGGCCAAACCGGCGCCGTCGCGTGCTCTGGTGACCATGTCGTCTGCGGCTTCTCGCCGTGGTCCCACGACTCACGGCATGGTGCTGACGACCTCTCCGCACGTTCCTTCGTATCAGCGCGCATTCCATGCCAGCAGGGCACAGCTTTCTACCCCGAAAGATCCATATGCTACCCTCGGCGTGAAACGGGACGCAACAGCCAAGGAGATCAAACATGCTTACTATCAGCTTGCCAAGAAGTTCCACCCTGACACCAGCAAGGAGCCAGGCGCGAAAGAGCGCTTTGTCGAGATCCAGGCCGCTTACGACATCCTTAGTGATGAGAACAAGCGCGCTTCCTTCGACCAGTTTGGATCTGCGGACGGTCCCAGCGCTGGTGGATTTAACCCCTTCGGTGGTGCTGGTGCCTCGCCCTTTGGTGGCTTCCATCCAGGCAGTGCCGAGAGCATTTTCGAATCTCTCTTTGGCGGTGCTTTTGGCGGTGGCCCGCGTGGCACTCGCACTGGCTTTGGGGGTGAAGTCCGTGGCGAAGATATCGAAGCTACGGTGAACATCAGCTTCGAAGAAGCCTGCAAGGGCACGTCTCGCACTGTGACCATCAACCCTATCGACCGATGCGGCACCTGTTCAGGCTCAGGCCTGAAGGAGAATGCCAGGCGCTCGACGTGTCAGGTGTGTCGCGGTACAGGTACGCGTACCTTTGTCATCCAGGGTGGATTCCAAATGGCCAGTACATGTCCTGCTTGTAATGGTACTGGATCGACCATTGCGGCGGGTGACGAATGCTCGTCCTGCTCAGGGGCCGGTCGCGTCAAGTCGAAGCGCACTGTGTCCATTAATATTCCGGCGGGTGTCGACGATGGCTATCGCATTCGCCAAGATGGTGCTGGTGATGTGCCCCTCACAGGTGCTGGACCACCTGGCTCTCTCTTTGTTCGCATTCACGTCTTGCCGAGCAAGACATGGCGTCGTCAAGGCACCAACCTATTCTACCCAGCGCATATTCCGTTCTACACGGCTGTTCTTGGTGGCCGTGTGCGCGTGCCTACGTTGGACGGTGATGTGGACATCCGTGTCCCAGCTGGCACGCAAGCTGGTGATGAAATGATCCTTCAAGGCCGTGGCGTGCCTCGCCTTAGCGGTCGCAAGAACTACGATAACAACGGTGATCTCATGGTCCAGTTTGATGTCACGATACCAAGGTATGTTGTCCCTATGATAAAAGTACTTACATTTCCAGGTCCCTTACCAAGCGACAAAAGGAGCTGTTGCAGGCTTTCGTGGATGAGTACGAGGGCCGTACACCAAGCGATACAAGCAACACATCTAAGCCAGCATCCCCTGAGCCAAATACCGACACGAAGGCCAACGAATCTCAAGCTGAACAAAAGCATGATGGTGAGTCTTAATGGGCTGGCCTTAGTGCGGGCTGTATATCCGACAGGGTGATTAACTAGTGTGTTTAGGTTTCATTTCCCGTATGTTTGGCCATGTGGCGGACTGGTTGGCGGGTAAAAAGTAGCTAGGTTTCTATGTATAATCATCAATGCCAAGTCCTCAAGACGATGTACCGCAATAAAGGAGGAATGGTGTGGCTGGCAGGGTTGGGTAGGACCTCCTTATCTGGTTGTCTTGCAACTCCAGTACCATCCGAGCGCGCCAATGGTTTAGTGGTAAAATACAGCTTTGCCATCACTTCGATGTAGCTGTGCCGGGGGTTCGATTCCCCCTTGGCGCATTCCTTTTTCTGTTTGTCAGCTACATCAGCTTAGTCCTAAATACGTAATGAAAGCCGGTTCGGTCACCGACCGGCGCCAATGGTTTAGTGGTAAAATACAGCTTTGCCATCGTTTCGATGTAGCTGTGCCGGGGGTTCGATTCCCCCTTGGCGCATAACCTTTTTCCTTCTCAAGCCTATGCTTCTCTCTTTTACTTGGCCTTGCGCGCTTTTTATGTGCGGCTAACCATGTGCTCTGCGAACCTTTGGCATAGCTTCTACTGTACGAACTATAGAAAGGATTATTCTGCTGATGGCGCTGGCACATCTTCTGTGGAGGGCGCCTCGTTGACTCTCTCCTCTGTCGTGGCTGGCTCTGGTTCTGGCTCTTGCTGCTGCTGCTGCTGTTTCTTGCGGCCCTGCGGGTACGCTGAGAACTGGCGCTGGCCCTCCGGATCGGACAAGTCTGTATCGAACAAGCGGTAGGATAGGGCACTCTTTTCCTGCTTGTCCAGCATGAGGTTAGCCGATGCAATGGAGCGCCAGACAGGATAGCACAAGCCCACTGTCAGCTTATGACCATCGTGTTCACTTGGCTGGATATCCAGGACATAGCTGCCCATAGCCGACGCGCGAAGGCGCTCACCCACCTCGCCGGGAATGTTCTCCAGCACAGGGTAGTACTCCTTGATAAAGAAGGCCAAGTCTGACAGAGTCGCTCGAATCACCACCTTGTCACTGAGGTACGGGCGCATCGAGTGCAGCGAGTCACTCACTACACGCCAGCGGCATGTCAAGGATGCCGATACATTCTCACGGCGAGCCTGTGCATCTGCATTGACATCCATCGCATTCGGCGCTTGCGTCGCCTTGCTGACCGATTCTTGACGACCAAACACTTTGACACCGCAGTTGAGCAGACGAATCTTGAGTGGGTTCATGGTCGGGTGCACACCCATACCTGGGCCACCACCCGAAACAATGGCACGTACCGAGCTGGATGTCAGGTACACGCTACGCAGCGGCACCTGTTCAGGGTTGCGTACCAGCAGGTTGGCAGTGGGGAAGTTGTGCAAGCCGAACCATTCAACGCACGATTGCACCTCCGCGTTGGTGGGGTTGACGTACGCAAACGGATCTTCACGGTACGGCATACCACCAGCGCCAATGGCTACGCCTTCCTTGTGGTGACCACGGCGCTTTGCTTCACGGTCCGCCCGGTGCTTGTCCACCGGCACAACGCTCGGCGTTTCTGCCTCAGTCTCAGGCTGCGCGTCCGTCGCTGGTGCCTTTTCTTCCACTGCCTTGACACGCTTCGCTTCTTGCTCACCCTCGTCTTCGGCGGGGCGCTTGCCACTGGCCGACGAAGCATCGCTGGCACCAGCCGCCATGGCCTCCATCGCACGGACCATACCTGGCGCGAGCGACTGCGACTCTTCCGGCGTCGTGCTCTTCTTCGAGAGCACGGTCACGAAAAAGCCACCCGTGTTCTGCATGTGCGGGTATACACGGATGCAGCGCTCAATGTGCATGGCCTCCTCGTCGCCATGCGGCCAAAGGCTGGTAGGCGTGCGTGATGCCAAATCGGCATCGAGCGTCTGCAATGCGTCCCACGACTCGACCCATGGAATCACAGGGCGCTTGGTGTCCGTGGTTTCTTCTGCTGCTGCTGTCTCGGAATCGGCTGTGGCCTCGGTAGCCTTAGCCAGGTGGGCTCCACGGCCTGGCGACACCTTCCAGGACGTCATACCTGGGCGGCGCTTGAGGGAGGGTAGCATGTCCGAGGCATCGACAATCTCTACATCGCCCTTAAAGTGACGAATCGCCGCTGCCACCACTGCCTCATTCTCAATGGGGTTGAGTGAGCAGGTGGAATACACGAGACGGCCACCAGGACGTAGCAATGTCAGACCGCGAATGAGAATGCGCAGCTGCAAGGCGTGCAATCCCACACCGTTCATCGGTGTCCAGTCCTTCCAGATCGCCAGGTTCTTACGCAGTGTACCGTCACCAGAGCATGGCACGTCCGCCAAGATTCGGTCGTACTTGAGGTCACGCTGACGAATCTTGTCCTCCGGTGCCTCGCCCTTCCAAGCGACTTGGATGTTGGCCATGTTGCTCGCGTCGACGTTGGTCACACACAGGTTGGGCGAAGGCAGACGCTGGGCCTGGTGCACAAGCATGTGTGCACGCTTTGTATCTGAATCGTTGGCCACGACAATACCCATAGGCATAGGGTCAAACGCGTCTGGCTCCGTCGTCAAAGGAGAGTGAATGGCCTCAATCAGCTGCGCCGTCTTGGAGCCCGGCGCCGCACACATGTCCAGCACTAGGTGCTCAGGCCGCACGTCCAAGAACAGGGGCGGAAGCATAGATACAGCCTCCTGCCGCGAAATGGAGCCGACTTCTGTCTCATGCACCAGGAACTGCTGGAAACGCTTGAATTCCGGCGACTTACGCAGCACGTTCTTGCGGACGTCCAAGTGCCATCCAAGACCCTCTGGGTACCATTCCAACTGGCGAGGCGGCGTCACCTTCTCGCCCTCAAATTCCACATTTGAGAGGAAGGGCAGGTAAATGTTCTGCATCGCATCCAGCAGCTGACGAGCTGTCGGCTTGCCCGAGGTGATACGGAAGGTCGTGGGAAGCGGTGCACGCATGGCCGCTAGGAACGGCTCCCATTCCTCCCTCGGCAGAATGCCCTGCTCTTGGTAGTACGCTTCGCTGTTGGTTAGTGACGATCGGTCGCGGCCACGTACAATTTCGGGCTGGTCTGATCAAAGGCCGTGTAGGCAGCATGGCGCTCGCCCGTGCCGCTGCTCTGCTGACGACCTGACGACTTTCCGCCACGTCCGCGTCGGTATGCGCGGCCACGTCCCATAATGAAGATGGAGGCGAAACGAAGAGACACGCTGAATGTGTTGTTCGTCGTTACGGCGCCTGGCTGCGGAGGCGGACGAAAATTTTCCCACGTGACAGCGACACGCGAAAGGCTCCTGCCCCGACCTGCGAGCCTGCGAGCCAACATACACTACACGCTGGCACCGTGACAAGTCTTCTCTTCCTTGCCACATACCATGCTGCGCCGACCCCCCACGGCACTTACGTTGACCAAAGACGACGTAGATGAGATCCGACGCGCGACGGCCTCTTCAACGTCCTCTACGAGCCACCAAGGCACGCACAAGGCGGCCCCGGCCATGCATCCACCTCCCTCTACATCCACCACGTCCGAGGCGCCGCGCGATACATAGGGTGTCTGCCGCCCTTGTGAATCGCTAGGCGATCCCATACTCCTCTTGATTGTATTTGTAGGTAGCTGTCGCGTCATTGTTGGCATGGACCATTGGTGTACGCTGAAGCATGTATATAGACCTAGTAGGCCCATGTGCTAACACGTCAGACCCCCGGTGGTGGCGGCGGCACGGCCCTGTATTCTTATTGTGATCTACGCACGCGCTTCGTAGGCGTGTTCCTCAGTGGCGATGGACTCTTCCTCCCAAGGGCACGTACTTCGCCCCTACCACCAACCACGTGAAGACTTTTCGTTTATCTCTACCACGCCCTCGCCGCTTGCCGGTGGGGCACAGCGAGCTGGCTCGAATGCCGATGTAGGCGGGGCGAACGCCTCCGCGGCCTCGTCCGCCTTGTCTCTCCCACGCGCCAACAACCGGTACTTGCCACCGGATGCGGATGCTGCACTGGATATGGCCTCGGCAAAAACGTCCATTGGTGCTATTGTGACGTCGTTACTTGTGAGTGGCGCCTTGCAATACACCAGCACGTGTCTTGCGATGCCGTTCGAGGTGGGCAAGTTGCTGCTGCAAGTGCAGTGGGTGCCGCGTGAGGATGTATGGCTCAAGCTGCATGAGCCGCAAGCCTCGGAACGTGCGAGAAAGTCGTCGTCCCTGCATGATATCGACGAGGACCCATGGAGTGATACGCCAGAGAAGGCCATTACGCCTTGGGGCAGCGACGACGACGAGGATCACGACAGATACTTCCGTGATCCATCTACTCCCACCTCGCAAGGAAAGACCAAGTCGGCGCCACGTACGCCTGTGCGCCGCGTGGATGCCTATGGATACGTTGTACCCGACAGCCGTGGCGATCAAAGTGCACGGCCCGAGTTCTTGATGCCCATCGTCGTCAAGGGCGGCGTGTGGGAAATGATCAAGGCTGTAGCGCGTGGCAAGGAAGGGTGGATGGGTCTGTGGAAAGGCGCGCTGACCACCTTTTTGTTGGACGTCTCTACCTCGACGCTGCAACCCATTCTCTCTGGCATTTTGTCGATCTTTGCTCCTACAGCACTGAACCCCATGCCCATTGCCTTCTCACCCAAGCCGTTGACGACGCTATCTCTGCTCATGACGTCGCATCTTCTGACCGGCATCCTCGTCTCGCCGTTGGACCTGGTGCGCACGCGTCTTATTGCGCAGTCGACGCTGCGGCAGCACCGCAAGTACACGGGTCCCTTGGACGCTCTGCGCACCATTTTCCGTGAAGAGGGCGGGTGGCGTACGACGTACTTGCATCCCAACCTGATCGTTCCAACCATTCTCGACTTTTTGTTCCGTCCGCTCTTTGCGCTCGGTGCGCCGCTTGTGATCGAGAATGTGTTCCATCTCGATCCCAGTGCTGTGCCGATTTCGTATGCGCTGGCCGAGCTGGGTCTCTCGACGTTGTCGCTCATGATTACGCTGCCTATTGAAACAGTACGTCGTCGTCTCCAGCTGCAGTACCATGAGCCGCTGCGCCCTGATTCCATGCAGGGCCTCCTCGCCGTGCCCAACGCGAACACGGGCCGTCGTGGATTGCGGACGTGCGTGGAGACACGCCCGGTGCCGTACAGCGGCGTGGCGGAGGCCGTATACCGTATCGTCACGGAAGAAACGACGATCGTGCCGGTGCGCCGGGACGACAGTGACGACTCGTCGACCATTGCCGTGAGCGGCCAGGACCGTTTCGGTGGCATCCGTGGCCTCTATCGTGGTCTAGGCATGGGCTTCACAGCGAATCTACTTGTGTTTGTCCTGACACTCCTCACGGGCGAGCGCCAAGGATCCACAGGCTGGACGGAAATCTAGCTTCCTCTTTTCTGCATAGAATAGCCAAGTATATAATTACAAGATACGCACAAGCACAATGACAAGGACCAGGTAGGCAATCACCAACGTCAGCAGCGTGATGAGAATACTACTGCGCTCTGGCCATGGCACTACACTTGTACCGACCGCCTGTACTTCGTGCTTCAGCTCACGGCCCATCGCGCGCACCGAGAAGTGGGCCGCCACGCGTTCTTTGGCCGCGGCGGCCAGGCGAGCTCGTATATGCTCGTCCCAGGAGAGAATCGCGATGCAGGCCGAGGCCCACTGCTCTGCGTTGGGCGCGCGTAGGAACCCTGTGGCATCGAGGACTTGCGGACGACCAGTAATGTCCATCGACGCATCGACCACCGTCTCGAGTGGGCCGCCTGTGTTGGTCGCTACCACGGGCACGCCACAAGCCATAGCCTCCAGTGGCACAATGCCGAAGTGCTCATTTGTAGGTGTATAGAGCAAGGCTTGGGTCATGGGCGAGCAGAGCCACGCACGTAGCAGGGGACTCGGGAGAGAAGGGAGGAAGACAACATCGGCCTTTTGTACATGCACAGCGTCTGGCGGGGACAGCGGTGGCTCGTATGGAAGCGAGCGCGTCCACAACGTGACATGTCGTAGACCCAGCTGCGTCGCCTGCGCTTTGAGTGCATTCAGCGTCTCGATATTGTCGCGGACACGAGGATCGTAGCCGCCCGCACACACAAGGCGCACGTCTGTCTGCTGCAATCGGCGTATACGCGCCATTGTATCCAGTGCCAGGGCCACATTTTTCTTGGCTTCAAATCGATTGATAGAGAGGAAGGTGGGCCGCTTACGATCGTCCAACAAGAGCTCGACCATATCGAGGATCCGCACATCCGTGGCCGTTTGCATATAGGTTCGGTATGCCTCGTCCACATCCTCTGGATGGAACTGCGTGTCATCCACACCAGGGTATATAACACGGGGCTTGATGGGGAGTCGTGGGAACGCTTTGTGGAAATGCTTCGCCGTAAAGTACGAATTGGCCAACACGATATCCGCAAAGCTCGTCGTGGTTTCTTCCAGCACATCCAGCGGGAAACGGTACACGGATCGTGCTAGCGACCATAAGCCGCCCCATCCACGCTGCTGTGCTAGTGCTGCGCTGATCTCCTTGTCGGGAAAATGGCAGTAGTAAATCACACGGCGTCCGCAAATCAGCTTCAGAAGCGGGATAGCGATGGGCAACTGATCAATGATGAACACGTCCGGCAAAGGCTGTGGTTTCATGCTCGTGAAGCAAGCATACAAACCCGGGTACTGGCTCGCCAGTTTGCCTTGGCTTGTGGCGATGGCGACCTGGAGAACCAGCGAAAGCTGCTGCAAAATGGCCATCGGCAAGTGGAATCGGTGGAGAATCGACCGGGGAACGTAGGTCTTTGCGTGGAAAACATGGAGCGTGCCTGGCGTTAGTTCGTACTAGGACCACGTACCGTCGCGTGTCGGCTCGAAGGCGTGCGAAGGATCGAAATGCGATGTGATGATACGCACGTCGTGGCCTTGCTCTTGCAGGCTCACAGCCGCATCTACCACAAGTTTCTCTGCCCCACCGATCCCCAGGTCAGGGTGGACAAACGCCACACTAGGACTCTGTGACGTTTCGCGTTGGCTCATGGTCGTGTGCTTCTTGGCCGGCAGACACGATGGTCGACCGATGATCCTTTCTCTGCCCACCCAGTCAGTGCCTGTCTCCGCCCTGCCTGCGCTGCCCTGCGCTGCCCTGTGCGTGCCTGACCCACAGGTCACGTGAATCCACGCGGCTGGGCCACCGACGCGTTCGAGACAAGCAACACACGCGCAGCCTACCGAAGCGTCCTTCTCTTTCCTGGACGTCGACGAGCAGAGGCGGCATTGGTGCCTGTAGCTGCGCGTTCCCTCTAGCATACATCTGTTTGTAAGCATGTCTGTGATGACAGAGGAACAAATTCGCCGTGTGCTCGAGCAGGAGCTTGATCTCCACTGGCGTCCATCCCGTCCTACGACGGCCTCCTTGTTTTCTCCTCGTGCTTCCAAGCCACCCAAAGCGTTCTCTGATACCAAAGGCATGGATGCATGGCCCCTTGATTCGACAGATAGTGAATCGGACGCGGACGATGCGTTCCCTGCGACGGGCCTTCACTCCCCGGGCAACCACAGTATCTTTTTGGCTACGCCGAATCGACATACGCGCGCCCGCAGCAAAGTCCATCCACGTCCGCATCTAAGCGATCGGTACCAGGATGCTCTTGATATCTCCAAGATGGCTGGTCCAGACGCGTCCGTGGACACGACGCTGCGTGCATCGCGGCCATCGCACCCAGGCATCACGCCTCGTATACCTAGCCCCATTCAGCGACGCTCGCCGTCCTTGGGAAGTCGTCACTCTAGTGCAGAGACCATGGTGAACAGCGAGGATATGGACATGGAAAAACCACGTCCCACCTCGCGTGCCCCATATACCTACAAAGAACCACCCTCGTCACGACCTGAGCGTGTGGTATGGGCAGATGAGCAATTGTCGACGCTTACGCGATACCTGTCCTCTTTGGAGCATGACGTACAGAAGCTCCAGGCTGAAGCGCGAAGCACCGCGCCCCTTGCTCAAATGCAGGCTCGGCTGGACGTACTGGAGGAGCAAGTCGCGCGGCAAGGAGCCCAACTGGTACACGTACGCCATGCCTTGCGTGATCGTTCGCGTAGAGCCTCGGACTCGTTGTATATACCCGCACCTGAGCCAGACAACGAGACGATGGATGTGAATCAGCTGGCGTCGCGTATCGCGTCTCGTCTTGGCGTTGCTAGTGCAAAGCCAGCATCGCCTCCGGCGGCAAGTCCTCCTCCTACTTTCTCTCGATCCATTGAGCGATTGTACGATGAACTTCATCGACTTTCTCGAGCTGTGAGCAGTTTGCAGCACTCTATGCATCCTACGTCGGCCCCCGCAGCGCCTGCACCTGCATCTGCATCAGAAGACTTCTCGTTGGATGCTTCACGTATCGATGAGCCGTCTTTGCCTACGCAGGAGCGCTACGAACAGATCTGCCGCGCGGTGGCCGACGCCATGGGTCTCTCTTCTGGCATGGAGAAAAAGTCGGTGCGCAAAGACCAAATCCGTGCCCATCTGCGCCAGCAAGAGGCGGACGATGTAGCTATTGACTCGTTGCTCCGCCGTTTACAGCGCTCTCAAACGCCGACTCTCTCCGCGTCTGATGTGCGTCTGCTGGAACACTTGTTTGAGCAGCACAAGCGCGAGTTTCTTCACCAAAAGAAGCTGTACTGCGAGCTGGCTGATGAGCTCAAAGAGATGGAGCCTACGATGGACGCAACGAAGCGCCGCATCTTGGCCAACCATGTTCACGACTCCATCGATTCCTTGGAGGCGGAGGCGACGCGAATCAACGAGCTTCATGCTCACCTACTCCGCTATCATCGCTCTCCGTCGCGGCTCGCGCGCATGGATGGTTGACGGACGGGTTTGGCTATACCTTGTATTGTACATAGTGACATACACTCTACATATCATTCGTTTTTCTTCTTCGTCGGGTATCTAATTGGCCTGCCGCTGAATTTTCTCCAGCATGACTTCCACGCGTGCGCCCAGATCAGGCTGGCCGCGCTGACGACCCAAGCGACTGGGGCTCTTGCGGTTCCACTTCTCTCGACGCGCCTCACGTTCTTCGATGGCTTCTTCCTTGGTCCGCTTGGGCACAGGTTTCGCTGTAGCGTCCTTCTTCTTCGGTGGTTTATAAAAGTACGGTAGCTTTTTCGGCTTGGATGCTGGCTCCTTGGCGGGCTCACGTTCCTCCCGAGGCTGAAGCGTCTCTAAGCCATCCTCTTCGTCGTTCTCAGGCGCAAAGCGGCCCAGATCCTGCTTTGACGGCTCCAAGTCCACGCCCTCTGACTCTTCCGGCCCTCCTTCGTGTTTAAGCATCTTGTAATAGGCCTTCTTCACTTTGGCTTTATGGATCAAATCCGCTTTGTGCTTCTTGGCTGTGGATATGTCAGTACGCAGGCACACGTACCTCGCCCAATATACGCGCCATTCGGCACATTGGTGGCACCGACGGAAAATCCGCCTTTCGATCCCTTCGCTTGGGGACCCGAACGCGTGCGATGCTTCACGACACTTCGCTTCGAGAACTGTGCCATGGTCCTGCAACGTCCAACGATCGATCAGCAGGCTGCCACTTTTTTTGAGACGTGAGGGCGAGGATCACGTGAATTAAAAGTGTGAACGGGCACAATTTCTCTGTCTCTTCCATCTCGACAAAGACCTTTGGCAACAGCGTATGAGCATCCAGAACTTGGCCAGCTACGGTACGTGTATACTGTTTTTTTGGTGGACATGTGCTAACTATGACCATTAGATCCTTTTGCGGACCTTGGTGATGAACAGATTGTGACTGAGGAAGTCCCAGAGGAGAAGAAGAAGGCCGCTCAGGTGCACAACTACGTCCACATTCGTATCCAGCAGAGGAATGGTCGTAAGACGCTGACGACGTTGCAGGGTCTGCCGAAGGAGTACGACGCGAAGAAGCTGCTGAAGGCCTTCAAGAAGGAATTCGCTTGCAACGGCACGCTGGTAGATGATGAAGAGCTGGGTCAGGTTATTCAGCTCCAGGGTGACCAGCGCCAGAAAATCTCGATGTTCTTGATCGAGGAGGGTATTCCCAAGTCCGATGTTAAGGTGCACGGTTTCTAAGCTGGCCCTTACTGTCTCACATGTAATAACGATATGCTTTGTACATATGCGTGGTGCTGGCTTATGATCTGCTCACTCATGAAGAAACAAACGGAGCCATCCACTTGTGTGTGTCATGAACAAAGCTTTTACGTCCTAGTCACTTGAATGCATGATGTGCATCCTTCTCACTCCACTAGAACCCTGTCCTTTGGCTGTCGCCAAGGCTGGGTCATGGATAGTTGTTTCGTTCTACGTGAGCCCTCTTCGTGCTATGGTCCATGAACTGTCCTGTGGATACCATGTAGGTTTAAATATTGTAGTGACCTTCCCTTCACGCTTGGCCATCGTGGTCTCTTTCAGCCACCGTGGGACTACGAAGCTGGGGTGGGCCCTCATCCCTCCTTGACGTTAGGAGTACCTTATCACGTGGCACCAAAATTTTCCTTTGCCACCGCCCGGACCCACGCATATAGATTAACCACCGTGCTTCACGTTGGCGCTGAGCATAGTATGGGCAAAAAGAGGCAAGTTCGGAAATTCGGAGAGGTGAAACGGTTGTTGAACCCCAAAGACAACAGAATGTACGTCGATTTTGCGATCGGGTGACTAACATGACCAGCAAAGCCAATGACAAAGAGCATGCTATCGTCGAAGCCAAAAAGGCCGAGGAAAAGAAAAGGCGCATCGAAGTCGCTGCATCGTCCATGTTCTTTCAGCACAACTCTGCTCTGGGACCTCCCTACCGTGTCCTTGTCGATACCAACTTTATCAACTTCAGTTTGCAAAACAAGATCGAACTTGTGCAAGGCATGATGGACTGCTTGTACGCCAAAACCATTCCCTGCATTACTACGTGCGTCATTTCCGAGTTGGAAAAGCTTGGACCAAAGTACCGCATCGCTCTGCGTGTAGCGCGTGATCCTCGCTTTGAGCGACTGGAATGCACACACAAAGGCACATATGCAGATGACTGTATCATTGAGCGCATTAAGAGCCACAAATGTTACATTGTCGCCACTTGCGATCGCGAGCTTCGTCGACGTGTGCGCCAGGTGCCCGGTATCCCTTTGATGTATATTGCACGACGCCAATACAGGATCGAGCGTCTCCCTGATCAGGGCGCTCCAAATTAACTTTCTTGTATAACAGCATTCCCTATTTACGTATTATCCTAATGCCACATGGTACATATCATCACCGACCAGATAGCGCACATGCGATAAATGCTCATAGAGCCAAGCACGCACCGTATCTGTCCTCATACCGGCAATACGCAAAATCAACCCTGCCTGTTCTTTCCCCGTGGTCTGACGGTCGCTACCAGGGACCGGAGCACCTGAAAACAAGGGACTTGCACTCCATAGTACATCGGGTGGCTCTACGTGCGAGGCACCGAGTGTACCGCCGGAACGAAGCAAGGGTTGGGGTTGCTGAATGGTATCATATTCACGAAGTAGCGCCTCACACAAAGCTTTGCATTCAGGCCCGTACAGGATTACAAATGCAAAACATGTGTATGGTTCGCATCGACGTGCCAATTCCGTCTTGTCACTGCGCTGTAGCACCTCTGGCAAATCTTGCTCTAATTGCTGCCTGTCGCGTGCAATGACCTGCCCATCCACGCGCACTTCATTTCGGCTTTGGTATAAATAAAAATGCCAGAGTTCTGGGATGCGATAGAAATCTGTGGATTCACGAGGTCCGTCCACGGCCAACCGACCAGAAGTAAACCAGTCCAAGAGAACAAGGGAGGAGGTCGTTGCGCTCCTCAAGTCGATTCGTTGGACCTGAGAGTATCGCGAACGCGCATAACATGTCACTGGAGCGGGTAGCAGTATAAGGGTAGAGTTTTCGCGGACCAGGTACCGAATATACTGCTGCGAGGCTGGTGCCGGTCCTGATGCGCGTTTGATCACAGCTGGCGCATCTCCCCCTCGTCGTTCACGATACACTTTGGTGCTACCTTGTGTTAGGATCAGAAGACGTGTATCAGAGCCAACATCCACGTCCAGCTCTATGTTATCACCACAGACAAGACCACCTCCATAGCTTACCATGAAAAGTACGCCCACACCTTTGAAGGGAACTTTCCGATAAGCAGCCGCATTGATCGTCGCATCGCGGCAGGATTCTTGCGGTGTTAACAGCCGCAATGGGAAAGTAGCTTCTAGATGCGAAAATTTGGGAGCACCTATCTCACCATCATTCACACCTTTCCGAAGAATGGCACGACCGAAAGCATGCTGGCCATGGACCATTCTGTGTAATCTTCCAACGCGGAGCCCTATCACCCCAGACTTCTTCACACTTTAATTTGCGTCAGAACACGTGTGCCCGAAGCTTGGACCAGCTGACCCTAGTCTCGGCCGAATCAGCCACACTCCGCCCGACGGCGCAGTGATGCACGGGAGGAGCGCCGAGCTTTCAGTTGGGTCGCCCTGTCACCACTAGGTTGCGTGTAGGCATAGGTGTATTGCTTCCTGACGACGGTTTGCCTCGGTTTAGGATTTTTGAAGCACAGTACTGTGATTTCATCCAACGTACACCGAGTAAACCCTACTCACTATGAATGGCATCAAAATTCAAGGTATGTGGGGCGGGGCGGGACGTGTGTCCGTTTTGTACAGAATATGTTCTAACACATGGCAGGGATGGATGACCCATCCAAGGTCGTCAAGGTTTTGGCCTCTGACGGAAAGACTGGAAAGCAGCTTGAGATCGGTTACACCAACTGCCGTGTCATCGGCAACGGCAGTTTCGGTGTAGTGTTCCAGGCCCGTCTTGTGCGGTACAACCCTGATGGCACAGAAGTTCCTGCGTCGGAAGTCACAGATGGTAGTGACAGCATTGCCATCAAGAAAGTATTGCAAGATAAACGCTTCAAGGTATGTGAATCCCGAGCGATGCATGACTAACCCATCAGAATCGTGAACTTCAGATCATGCGCGTTCTGAGCCACCCCAATGTTGTGGACCTTCGTGCGTACTTCTACACCAATGGTGATAAGGTATGTTTCTTCTCTACCCCAATCACAGAAACTAACCGGCATAGCAAGACGAAGTGTTCCTAAACTTGGTGCTGGAGTACGTGCCCGAAACTGTGTACCGCGCTACTCGGCATTATACCAAAGTGAAGCAGACAATGCCGATGCTTCTTGTGAAACTATACATGTATCAAATTCTGCGCAGCCTGGCCTATATCCACTCCCTAGGTATTTGCCACCGCGATATCAAACCCCAAAACCTCCTTTTGGACCCTCGCACTGGTGTTTTGAAGCTGTGTGACTTTGGTTCTGCCAAGATCCTCGTACCTGGCGAACCGAATGTCAGTTATATCTGCTCGCGCTACTATCGTGCGCCTGAGCTTATTTTCGGTGCTACCAACTACACCACCAATATTGATATCTGGTCCACGGGCTGTGTCATGGCTGAATTGATGCAGGGTCTGCCATTATTCCCGGGTGAAAGTGGTATTGACCAGCTGGTTGAGATCATCAAGGTTCTGGGAACCCCCTCGCGTGAGCAAATCAAGACAATGAACCCTAACTACATGGAACACAAGTTCCCACAAATTCGTCCCCATCCTTTCCCGAAGATTTTCAGGCCACGCACCCCTGCTGATGCAATTGATCTGATTACCAACTTACTTCAATACACTCCGCATGCTCGCCTAACAGCTGTGGAAGCCCTGTGCCACCCCTTCTTTGACGAATTGAGGGACGAAGACGTGATTTTGTCAAATGGACGTCCCATGCCTGATCTCTTCAACTTTACTCGCGAGGAATTATCGATTCGCCCGGATCTCATCAAGCATCTTGTTCCTCCTAGGGCTGAGGAGGCATTGAAGCAGCGTGGTATTGATGTCCACAACTTCGAGCCCATCCCCGCCGAAGACTTGAGGGTTTCCCTTGAGTAAGAACTAGCAAGTCAAAGATCATCTCATTGCTGCTCTCAATGTTCCTCATATCACTATTATTGATCTTTCTAGTTATGGATTCTCTATGAATATTCACGAGTAGCGATTAGATCGCTTTGGGCTTTTTCCTTATACGTACATAACTTGTATGATGCTCTTTTGCGAATGCGCTTGGGCCTCTCTTTAAGACAGTGAATATTTCGAAACATTGGGCGCTCGGCCGAGGACCGGGGTAGCTGGAGAACTCCAAGGCCTGTCGCCAGGCTCGGTCCGCGTCACATTTCGGTTCGACTTCGTGCCTTGTCGACAGTCTAGAGAATGTTCATTATCAACTGGTTCTGGGTATGTATCATTCAACACAGTGGATAGGGCAATATGAACCTCAGCGCTTATTAGCCTTCTCCTCTTTTCCTTGTGCGTAGCCATACTAACATATGAACAGGATATCCTCGCTCAGCTGGGTACGTGCACGACATGCTTCTTGACAATTGGAACCCATGACTAACACATTGGATTTTCTACTATACAGGTCTTACCCACAAGAATGCCAAGATTCTCTTCCTTGGTCTTGACAATGCCGGTAAAACTGTATGTATTCGTCTATGTCGTTAGGGGCTTACACGGCAGACTCTCCTTCATATGTTGAAGAACGACCGTCTTGCCACCCTTCAGCCTACCCTTCACCCTAGTATGTATCACGTTCATGAATCACTAACATGCAGCGTCGGAGGAGCTGTCTATTGGCATGGTGAAGTTCACTACATACGATTTGGGTGGCCACCAACAGGGTATGTATTTGTCGTTTTTGGGACCTGAAATACTCACATGTTTCTAGCTCGTCGTCTTTGGAAGGACTACTTCCCTGAGGTCGATGGTATTGTCTTCCTGGTCGATTCGCAGGATGTGGATCGTTTCCCGGAGGCCCGTGCTGAACTTGATTCGCTTCTTTCGATTGAGGAGCTGAACAAGGTGCCGTTCCTGATTTTGGGCAACAAGATCGATGCTCCTGGCGCCGTTTCGGAGGAGGAACTTCGTCAGTCTCTGGGTCTGTTCCAGACCACTGGTAAGGGCTCGGTGCCTCTTAAGGACATCCGCCCTATCGAGCTGTTCATGTGCTCAGTGGTCATGCGCCAGGGCTATGGCGAGGGTTTCCGTTGGCTCTCGAACTACGTATGTATACTGCTGGTAAAGCTTACGCCTTTTACAGATTTAAGCCTTTCCTGGTGTAATGTTCCGCTCATGCTAGGCTGCTTAGGGACCCATATATTGGGCTTGTCACCGTAGCAGACCATCGGCTTCTCATAGATTGAGTAAGCATGTATAAACATTCTGTGGGGATCATCCAGGGTGCGCACATGGATTCCACATGGCGTTTGAGAGCCCGTATAGTTGATGAGAATAAGTCACGTGAAATATTACAAGGGCGAGCGGCCCCTACCTCAGGTCTAGCGCTCGTCTTCGAGTGGTACTTTACGACCTACGTCTCAAGGTATATTGGCATCATGGTCAGCACTTCGCGTCGCGTCAACCGCAAGGCCCACTTTGATGCCCCGGGTCACATTAGGAGGAAGATCATGTCGGCTCCTGTGAGCAAGGAGCTCCGCGCTGAGCACGGTGTACGTATTTAACGCAGGTTTTTGGTATGTGGTGCATCGGCTAGAAGATGTAATGTTGGTGGTTATTGCCATGTGCAGGATGATGTTTTTCTTCCTTTGTGTTATGATTATCACTGCAAACGTATGTGGCTAGCAACAACGTTTTTGCGTGATGGTATAGAGGGATATGTGATGATGCATCATTCAGCACTATGACCATTTTCATTCTTGCGTTTTGTCGTTCACACATGCTATTCAACCTGACTCGCGCTAACATGGACATTTACTAACCTGTAACAGCTCCGCTCGCTTCCGATCCGCAAGGATGACGAGGTCCTCGTTGTGCGTGGCTCGTCGCGTGGCTCGGAGGGCCGCATCGTCCAGGTCTACCGCAAGAAGTGGGTTGTCCACCTCGAGCGTCTCCAGAAGGAGAAGTCGAACGGTGCCACTGTGCAGATCCCGATCCACCCGTCGAACGTCGTGATCACCAAGATTAAGATGGACAAGGACCGGTATGTATTTGATGCTTTTGCGAGTGGGGCATGGGCTAACACCTTACAGCAAGGTTCTCATTGCGCGCAAGTCGGGCAAGAGCGTCGAGGAGGCTGAGGCCTAAGTTCTTCGTCACTGATTCCCTAGACTGTAGTATTCCAGCCTGATGGTCTATGATCAGCATGGCGCCACACTATGGCGGATTGTGCTATAGTTGTGAAAAAGCATACAGATTGCTCATTTTGGAAGTTGTTTGTCTATAGGCCTGGTCGGTGTCAGTGGCAGTGCCTAGTGAAGGCCTGAGAAGGACGCTTTGTATCTTGGGCCTGAGAGAGAAGCGGCCGGGGGCGTTGGTAGCATGGCGTGCTTCGAGGGGGCGCTTAGTCATTTTGACGTGATAAGTGCGCGGCGGCCACGGTGCCACAGTGTCCACTCTTGACCTACCACGGCCTATCGGGGCTACATTGTCCTCTACCGTTGGTCTCTAGATCGCAAACGTAAGGAGTTTGTGGACGCTCTCGTGGACTCAGATCGTACTGCTTTTTACAGTAGTGCTTATCTTTCGTCGGAGTGGTTCACTTTGTAATGGTAGAGACGAAATCGCGTCCAACTGTCGCTCATCGCCCCATATTCAATGCTGATGCATCTTCTTCGACAACGCCACAATCCAGCCCTTTGAAATCTGTGGATGGAGGCTCCGATGGCCATCCATCGATCACTGGGATGCATGTAGATGCGGCGAAGAAGCCATTGCGCATGTATGGGTATTCCATGACAGATACGCTTACGCGTCCTCCGGAGAACGATACATGTGGCGACCCATCGAAGGACAACAGCAAGCCTTCGACTATTACGTCTCTGATTTCTCGCTCAGAGAATCTATGTGTGCGACACCAACGCATGGCGGATGAAGGCGCGAATGCACGCTTGCAAAAGGTATGTACACCCTCGCGCCTCTTGTATTCGTGTCCCTCGTGATGGATCAGGCTGCAGGTCCTGCTCTCATGGCTGCTCAATTTCTCACGCAGAACATGTATGAGCAGCGAACGACGGCATGCCGTCGTTCGATGTGCTAGCCTGCCAGAGCATATCCACGTAGTTTGAAGCCCTGGTCTATTTCGAAGCTGGACTTTGGCTATAGAGGCGTTGGGACATGAACATACTAACATGCAGTCTATCGATGGATTGTCTCTCGACGAGAAAGAGGCTGTGAACACTGTATGGTCGCTTTTTTCCTCATCGCCCCACTCGCGTCGCGCCCTCATTTTGCGTGGTCTTCTGACAATGTGCTGTTCTAGCCAGCTTTCTCTTCTTGCTTCTGAGGTCGCGATGGCTGTGCGTATGGACCCTTTCTCTCTTTTCCCCCGCGAAGTGTCTTTGCGTATTCTTGGCTACTTGGATGCCATCAGCCTAGGCCGCGCTGCCCAGGTGAGTCGGCTCTGGCGTTCGCTCGCGGATAACGATTTGCTATGGCGCAACATGTGTGAGCAGCACATTGAACGCAAGTGTGAGAAGTGTGGTTGGGGCTTGCCTCGCTTGCCGGACAACCGAGGGCGCACGGGCGACCCCACCATGATTCTTTCCAGCTCGACAAGCACGAAGGACGACGAGTACCGCAAAGCGGCCTCTGCAGTATCAGACGGCAATTTACGGCGTACTATTACTGCTGCAGCAAATGCAGCAGCGATTGAGAAGCGCAAAAACTCGGTCACCCGTGAGTCGTCTCGCTCCTGCTCGCCCTGCGAGGATGATCACGAGAAGAAACGTGTGCGTACATCATCGCCCATTACTCGCCCATGGAAGGCCGTGTACTGCGAGCGTCTTGCTATCGAGCGAAACTGGCGCTATGGTCGTTATCGCGTTCAGGTGTTGCGTGGACACACGGAAGGTATCATGTGCCTTGCCTTCCGTGAGAAGTTGAGTCAGCTGCCTTATCCCGTCTTGGTGACGGGTGGCTATGATCGGACCATTCGTGTATGGAACTTGGCCACGGGCGAAACGCTTCGCGTGCTTACGGGCCATGCACGTGGCGTGCGCTGCCTCCAGTTCGACGACGTGAAGCTTATTACGGGCTCCATGGACCGTACGTTGAAGATCTGGAATTGGCGCACAGGGGAGCTGTTGCGTACGCTAGAGGGCCACACGGAGGGTATTGTGAGTTTGTGCTTTGATGACAATATTCTCGTGAGTGGCAGTGCGGACAGCAATATTCGTGTTTGGAACTTCCATACGGGTGAATGTTTCCCGCTGGACGGACACCGTGACTGGGTCAATGCATTGCAGCTGTGGTCGGGTCATAATCAGCTGACCAAGTCGCTGGATATGTTCCTATTTTCCGCATCCGATGACTTCACTGTCCGGCTATGGGATCTGCAACATCGTGAATCCATCATGGTCTTCCGTGGCCATGTCGGCCAAGTGCAGTCTATCAAAGTCGTGACCATGGATGTCTCGACGATTCGCAAACTTGCTCGTGGCTCGACGCGTGTGCTGGGCACGACCGAGTACGACTCCGACTCTAGTGATGAGGGCGGCACGCCCAAAGGGCAAGCAACGCCGCTCTCCACCTCGTTCACCAGCCAGGCAGCCGACGTATCGAATCTGCCTGAGCACTTTTTCCAGTCAGCAGGGCCAAGCACACGGCGTGCCACCTCGTCGCATGCGCGTCGTATCCCATCGACCTTGGTGCGTGTGCATGAGCGCCTGAGCGCGGCGGGACTTGTGCCTGCTCTTTCTCGCTACTCGACGTTGGCTGACGTGGAAGATGGCATCTTTGACGGGTCCGAAGACGACAAGGAAGCTGTGCCGAGTTGCAAGACCAAGCGACCTGTGCTGGTCTCTGGCTCGCTTGACAACACGCTGAAGCTCTGGGATATTCGGACTGGCCGCTGCTTCTATACGCTCTTTGGCCATGTGGAAGGTGTGTGGTGTGTGGATGTGGATACGCTGCGCATCGTGTCGGCCTCGCATGATCGCACCATCAAGATTTGGGACCGCGATACTGGCCAATGTCAAACGACGTTGGTCGGCCATCGTCGTGCTGTAACGACGTGTGCCTTGGGCGACGACAAGATTATTAGTGGCAGTGATGATGGCGATGTGCGTGTATGGAGTTTCTGTCCCCCCCGCGATGCGCCGGCGTGAGGAGGGGTCGTTTGTGATCATTTGTATGTACGATGTGCGTGTAAGGCTTGGTAGATGTCGCTGTGTATGATAGAAAACTATGCATGTATTATGATTCTCTATGGCTTCGGCAGCAACTCTTGCAAGATAGCAATCTCCCGCTCTTCCTTCTCTGCCAAGTCCATGCGCGGCGCTGGCTTGGCGTTGCGGTAGACTTTGGCGGCGTCGGTGCGCTTTTTAATTCCCTTTTGAATCATCTTGATAATGGACGGCGGCTTCTGATTCGGCTGCATCTTGGTCTTTTCCGCGTACTGCAAGTCCGTGAGAATACCCTGGCGTGAGTCGTGTGCTGGCTACGTACACCTAGCAACGTGGCCTTGTCTGAATCCTTCGCCAGACGGGCCTTCTTCCACTGTGCCTTGACAATCTCCAGCGTCGGGGCATCAAGTGGGTTCGGGCCTACTGCGGGCACCTTCTTGCCCTGCTCCAGGAGCGGACGGTACGTGGAAAACGTACGGCGCGCAGCACGCGCGGCCGGCAGCATGCGAAGCAGCATCATCGTCGTTCTGGTCTACGAGTCTACGTAATCAAACGCCTCCTCTGTCTTCCTCCACTCGAGCACCGTGGCGTGGACGCACGCGCAGAACGCACGCGTCTTGGCCCCGCACGGGGTCGTGGGGCCGTGCGACGACCCACAGCTTGGGCTCAATAGGGCGGCCGTCCCATTCAAAGATGAAGTGGGAGACTAGGCTTACGAGGAACGCCTTCATCTCTGCCACAGCTATTATGTAAGTCTGATCACCACGTACCGAATGCGCTGCCGATACAAGCACGTGGGCCGAGAAGGAAGGCGAGGCCATGATGGCCAGGGAACAAGCGCTGGCCTGGCATCGGCTCCCTCCATCGCTCAGGCCGGAACGACAGAGGATCGTCGCCCCACATATGGTCCATGGTACAGATCGACGTGAGGGGGATCAGGATGATCATACCGCGATGCACCTTGACGTACTGGCCATTGGCCAGAGGAATCCAGTCGTCGTGCAAGGGTGTTCGTGAAGTGGTATGAATCGCACTTTGCAAACGCAAGCACTCATGGATACACCAGTCGACGTACGGAATGGACTCAATCTCATCGACGGTCAGCATGCGCGTGTCGGCGTCTGCAGGCGCACCGCTTTGTGCTTGCGCCTGCAAACCCATAGCGAGACGCTTGGCTTCAATGGCATCGTACAGGGCCTGTTGTCGTGGAGGGTCTTTCGCGAGGAACAGAAGCATCCATGCGAGCTGTGTCGCTGTGGTTTCGTGGCCTGCAAAGATCAATGTCGAGACTTGCGCTTGCAGCTCTGCATCTGTGAGTGTGGCATGGTCCAAGACACTGCGTGGCCCTGCATCTTTGGAGGCAGGTGCTTTATGAGCATTTTGGTTGGCGCGCAATAGCGTAGCAAGGATATCAGGATGCGTTTCGTTGGCGTCTTCGTCTTGGATCCGAGTTTTCGCCTGCTGCACGATGTCCCCGGCGATGTCAAACAGCACTTGTGCCTCACGTCGGAAGCGTCGTGAGGCCAGCCCGATGGGGATTTTCTCCATCCATGGGAAGTACAAGGTGGCCGTGTCTAGTACCATGGTCCATCGCCCAGGCCGTGAGGCCATACGCAAGGTCCGGTCGAGCGCTGCCGTGAGAGGATGGGCCGACGACGCGTTGCCATGTGGGTCTGTTTGAACATGTTGGAGGGCGCGGAAATGCACACCCAATGCGCCTTCGCCGAGGGCGTCCAGCGTAGCGGCGCTAAGGAGCGCGTATATGTCTACCAATGTGCCATGGGACTGTGCGATGGTATGTATGTGTTGCGCCAGCGCTTCGGCATGGTGCGTGAACATGGGGTGTAGACGGCGCACAGCACGTGCATTCAGCCCAGGCTGCAACGCCCGCCGTTGGCGTTTGTGGACAGCCTGCTCTGCCACGAGCAAGCCTTCGCCCATCACGCCGCCAATAAGGCGCTGGGCGAGCCGCAGCTTGGGATATGCGTACGCCTGTTTCCGCAGGACGTGATCCAATGCCAACGGATCTGTCAGCATCAGGCGTGGCTCCTTCTGTCAGTCATCACCGAATACGTACGCCAAACATGGCCCAATACCGGACTGCGCCGCCGTACTTGGTGGCCCATGCACGGCAAACGGGCATGGCATTGTGCCGAAGGAAGGCCGGTAAATTGCCCAGGCACCAGGACGTGCGTGGAGGCCCCGGCACGTTACGTAGCCATGTCCACCACCGCAGCTGGGTACGCAGTAGGACGCCTACCATGTAGCTAAGCAGTAAAACCACACTGCCGACAAGGCCCCCACACGCCCAAAGCAAGGTAGGTAGCAGCATGGAGGAGAGGGCCGCTGGCGGATTCTGCGGATGCCTGTAGGGGGAAGGGATACGAGGGCCGTATCCATGCTACTGTATCTTACTAGGTATCAGGTCCATGCCTCTATATAGGACGGCCGTCTCTTTGTTGACCTGCGTACGCCCTGGCTTCGTTTGTTCTGTTCTTTGTTCCTGACGTGCATCTCCTCCACACCGAGTCGGTCTGTGCGAGCGATCACGTGGGCATCAGCGCGGCCGTACGACGCACCAGCGCTTTCTGGGCGAGCGCTTGCGGCGAGGTGCGCTGCACCGGGTCGGCTGTATCGTGCTGCGAACGCAGTGACGAGCCCACAAAGGCCGTCTGTGGGGCCGCACACACGTTCATCGGCATCGTAGCCATAGCGTCCAGAGCCGGCCCCAGTAGGAACAAGTGCTGCGCAGGCGACGTGGCGGTGGGGGCGCCAGGGAGAGATACGTCACTCGGCACCTGCAGTCGTTCAACAAAGGCAAGGATATAGTTGATTTCTTCAATGTAGATGCGTGGCATTGGCATCGCGCCACGTACTTGCAGATCTGCAACGTAGGTCGTGAGCAGGTCCGCACAGCGGGTCAGGACAATGGGCAGGACGAGCGACGCGATATGCCGCTCATCCGGCGTGGTCGCAGCGTCACACAGTCGGCATAGCATATCCCACACAAGGTACGCCACTTCTTCCCATGGTGGGGTGTAGGTCGGCCGATGCGGCGTACGTCGCGTCTGATACAAGTGTGTGGCCAGGACCAGCGTTGGTACAAACGTCGTAAGCGGCTCGTGGGCGTCGGCTTGCGCACCTGCGCGCGGCATGGTCTCCCGTTCAAGCGCGCAAAGCAACTTCTGCACCGCCTCGCACTCGTCTGCACGAAGCACATGCTGGGCCCGTGCACGTACACTCTGCGACGTCGTGGCGAAGAGCGCCTCCCAAAAGGGCGTGGCATTCGGGACACGTGATACGGCACGAGGGCCGTGCGTATGGATACACGTGAGCACGTCCATGGCCGTGTACCAAATATGGGCGGGAGGCACACCAGGGAACGCATGCAGGGGCGCCAAGAGCCATACCAGCATCGCCGGTACGGCGTCCACGTACAATGTGGCCTCGTCCGACGTGGGCTGGTACGTCGCCAGCCAGTACTGCAGCCATGTGCGCGCCAAGTCCATGCACGCTGTCTGGATGCGTGGTGGCGTGGACGAAGACGCTTGTCTTGATCGGTCCCATGCTGCCTCCATGCAGGCTTGCATGCATACCAAAGTCCGTTGAGCCAAGGCCGCGCTCGGTGCTGCGGTGCGTACTTCATCCATGGTCGATTTGATCATCATGGCCAGGCGCTGCAAGGCGCCCAACGTGGACGGCTCCACCCGTGCCAGGCCCTGTATAAGGCACGTACGCAGCGCCTCCAGCATGTGGCCTTGCTCCTGCTCTTGCCACGCAGTCGTGCGCTGCTGGTACAGGGCCTGGAGTAGCTCGACCAAGGCATGCAGGTCGTCCAGCGACGCTTGCGGTCGCATCGTACACAGCGCCTGTACACTTGCCCACGTCGCAGGCCACTGCGTCACGGCAGGATGTGAATCGTGCTGAACCATCTGCCGCAGTGCATCAATCGCTGCATGGCCGACGCGGGCATCGCCATGTGCATACGTCTGCTCGACAACACGAAGCCATCGCGACCAAATGGACGCCCAGGACGGCATCGAATGCAGTACGGAGACCATGCAGAAAATCTGCGCGGCACCTTCGAAAGCGAGGGGTGGAAGTGGCGGCGTTTCGAGGAGTGGTAGTAACACTTCCTTCATCACACGTTCCCAGTCTTCGGCACGTAAGGAGCTGCCGTACTGGACCAGCACTTGAAACAGGTGCGCTAGCGCCCCATTCGCGACATCGGCCTGCGGCACCTGTGCCACATCGCGCCAGCGATGCAAGAGCGTGAGCCACAAATGCACTGCATGTGTCTTTTGCCGCCGCTCCACTTCCTCTGTCAAGTCCCACAGCGCAGCGTTCGCTGAGAGCGCCATCGCGACATCTTCCTGCTGCCGACTGAAGCTCGGCAGCGCTTGCATGCACCGCTCCACATCCGCGTCTTTGAGGCCTTGAATATGCGACGCGCAAATCAATTGCAAGCATGCAAACGCTGTACGCAGCATCGGCACAGGCGCCGTACCGGCCTCGCGTATGGCCTGTGCATCCTGCGCAGCCGCGTCACAGGCCTTTAGCAGCAGATCCCATCCATCATGCACACTGTGCCCATGGGATGCCAACAGTGTATGCAGCGTCTCCAGCGCTACGCGGCGAATCGATACATCGCTAGCCTGTACGCCATGCTCGAGAATCGCGAGGGCCGTGAGTTCCTGGATAAGCCACCGTTGCTGACTCCCATCCTTCGTGGGTAACGCACGGAAGAAGACATACATCGTCGCAGTATAGACGTGCGCGGCGCTCAGTCGACGCCTCGCTGCGATGCTTGCCGAGGCAATGTGTGCACGCAGCCCCTGCAGCGTGGGCCATGCGCCTTGCGGCATGCGCGCCACCATGCGTGTGGCCCCACAGCGTGCAAATCGCTCGAGGAGACTCACAAGGACGTCAGGCAAGGGACTGGAGTCCGGCGCATCGCGCATTTGGTCCTGCGTCAACTCTATCAGCGTTTGCGCAAACTGATCCATCGTCACGTCGTCCCACGTCGCTGCCTGCTCAAATACGCCCCGTAGAAGTCGTGGAAGTTTGTCTTGCATCTCCGGGGAGAGCCACCGTCGTGGACCTTCTGTAATGCCTGCCAGCGCATCCAGTTCGGCAGGCAACTTCGCTGTCTCTTCCTGGCCCAAGCACGCGAGCGCCTGGGCTAGGCACTGCATTAGCACGCGCCAGCGCGTGCCTAGATGCGGGCCGAGAGTACAACATACATACGCCAATGCCGCCTGCGCCGCCTTGTTGCGTGAATGCACTTGCCGTGTACTGTACGCGGAGCTAGGCACGGCCACATCACACAGCGACGATAGCAGACGATCGCGCTCCTTCTCGAGGCTTGGGCACTTGCCTGTGACTTGCGCAAGGGTGGCCAGCGCCTGTAGCGCCTGCTCAAAGTACTCATCTGCGCCTTGCACTGTCAGAAATACACACAAACTCTCGTTCAGCGGATGGGAACACACCGCAAGCATGGCCTGCTGGTACGATGGTGGCATGGCAGCGAGGCCATGGGCCAGGTACATGAGTGACTGGAGGAGGAGTAGCGGGACATAGGTGGCCGGTAATATCGCCGTACCCACCATGGGCGCTTCCATCTTGTCCAGCTGGTCGAGCAAGGCGACCGCAGGCTGGCTGGACGGCTGCAGAGTATCTTGCCGGCCACTGAGAAAGCCTTCTGCGGCGCTCTTCACACCGGCCATCGCCGCATTGTAAAGAGTTTGACTGGTACGTCGGCTGGGGGTGGTCGGCTGCGATGGGCGCTGCTCCAACGCGGCCACCATATGCTGGTCCAGTAAGAGGCCATGTTTCGCACGCCGCGACGCCTGTTGTAGCGTAGCAATCATACCGGCCAGCACGGCAGGTGGCTGTGGCGTACCACGGCCATCGTACCAGTCCCATAACCGCTGCAAAAACGATGCATCAGCACAAAGTGCACGAATGGTCTCCCATGCCAGCACACGCTGCCAGAGCGCATGCTTTTCATCGGTCGTACGTAGCAGCGCCTGCAACAGAATCTCAATTTCAAGCACCACCTCTTCACTAAATTCACGGAGCAGCAAGCGTACCAGACGCACAATGCGGACATAGATTGAGAAAGAGTGCGGTTCACTGAGTGCTTTCAGCAGAAAGGGACAGGCAGCGCTGCGCAGAATGTACACCAGCTCCGGATGGCGCCCTTGCGAAAAGAGCCGTGGGTGGTTGATAAGCACACTCTCCAGCAGCTCCAACACGAAAGGCTTTGAAAGCGCCTGCAATGGAAGAAATGTAGCAGGTTCGCCATCCGCCAGTGTACACAAGTCATTCAGCAGATGGTACGCGTCCGACGAGCAGGGGAAGAGCGTCACGGGTCCATCTGGGAGCTGTGCTGTGGCTACAGGCAAAGGTGCTGTAGCCGCAGCATCCTCGTTTTTGATCGAATCAAACAAGTTGTCTTCTTCATGGACTTTTTCAAACACCATCATGATATTCTGGCGCAACGTCGCTGCGGCCGTCGAACTTACGACGGCGACACGTGAATGCTCATACAACGTGAAACAGAGCATGAGCGCACGCGAGAGTTGCGTATTCGTCACACTAGGGTACATAGACAAGAGACCAGAAACAGTCTGCAAAATCTTGAGCTGGACATCGACGTCTGTCCTGCCAGGGGCAGACAGCAGTTTGTGCAGCACGTCAATCACCATAGAGATAGCCTCGTCGGGCAACGCATGTAGCGTGATACTCCGTTGAAGGAGTGATAACGATATTTGGATCACTTTCGGTGTGCGTGTCTCACAACTTAGGATGATCGTCTGCAGCAGCGTATGCTGCGATAGATCACGGCATGATCGAAGTGTAGCAAGCGTGCTTTCTGCGTCACCCTGAAGGCGTTGCAGTACATTTTCGGCAGCCTGCCGTACCTCGGGGTACTTCCGTCTTGTTTCGGCCACAAGTACCTGAAGATCAGATACAAGCCGTTGGGGCATCCCGACACACCTTTCGTGCCAACGTAGAACGGTGAAGGAGAGATGGCCCAAGCCCTCCTCATCATCACCTCCACATCATGCAGGGGTCCTCACCCGCGGCCGCGCCGTCGGTCGGTTTTTGCAACAAAGTCTATCGGCTGTCGCCTCCACCGCTCGCCCAGCTAACGAGTGCTCAACCCTCCGCGCATGCGGGAGTGCGACGAGGACACCGTCCGCTCTCTGTTCGCAGAGAGAGGTGGGGATGCACTTCGTGCAGAAGATCTACCTGCTATGATGGAGGCGTACGCGTCTTCCTGTGGTAAACTGCTAGTAGCGCCTGGCGTAGCCCAACAAATCACCGCGTTTGCTCAAGACAACGCTCAACTGGAAATTGGGGTCGATGAGTTTTTGCATATGGTCAGTTCTCTTGATCAGGACATGGATGATTCTGTGGACACAACTGCCTCCTCTCTATTTGATAAAACAGAGACCTCCTTCGATACCACATGGGACTCTATTGCACCAGGCAGCCCAGCCAAAACTGACACACTTGCTCAAGTAGCACGCAGCGACGTGCAGTCTGCCTCGCCCTCGCCACGGCGCAGGCGTTTGGCTGCATCCCTATCCTCGATCAAGTCTGACTCGGATATCAATACAGCTGCGGCTCGTTCCGCTGTCATTCGCAAACTCGCTCGTGTGTCAGACGAATTGGAACACTTGCAAGACGATCACCAATCCTTGCTTGCACAAAAGGGCAAAATAGAAACGGACAATACATCGCTACGACGCCAAGTATCGTCCCTTACCAAAGAGCTGAAGAGCATGAAGGAGCATGAGCACTTGCTTGAGAGCCAAGTGCTGGGTTTGGAACAGCAGCTGAAGCAGACTCAAGCAGAATGCGAGGCCCATAAAATGGCTGCGAAGCAATTAGATGTACGTTTGCAGCAGCGTATAGCCTCGCATGCTGAGCTGGAGGCTAGTGAAGCACAACAAGAGAAGGAGCTGGAAGCGATCCGTGCCCAGTGCGAGGCGTATGTTGTCCAACTCCAATCCATGCAGTCCACGTGCCAAGCACACACAGACACCATCAGTCAACTTGAGTCCACCATCACTGCACTGGAGCAGGTTCAGACTGATGCTGAACGCTGGCAATCCGAAATTGAGGCATCACGTTTAATGCACGTACGTCTCGAACAAGAGCTAAATGAGCTCAAGCAGATGACGGAGCAACATGGCATCCCAGCTTTGTCGTTTGATTTAGCCCCCTGGGATGACTGGGTCGATCTTCTTGATAAGGCTGACGTCGAGGACGACGTGGACGAAGCTTCTACAGAAGCCCAAGCATCGGTCAGCACGTCGTCACAAGCAGGATCGCCTTCCACGTCTCGCAGCGCATCGCCTCAGACACAGCCAGAGCCTGCCACGCCGACACGGTCATCGACACTGACACACTCCGAGGAGACGCCTAAGCCAGAGCCAGCTGTGGCTAAGTCTCTTCTTCTCACTGCGAACAGCGAATCTCCAACGAAGGAGGCCGGAGAGAAAACCGAGCTGGGTGACCCTTCCTCGAGTGAGGGCATATGTACAGATTTGGAGGATGGCCACGTGCTGCATACAGACACAACAACGTCTGAGTTGCTGCCAACCACGACTGACAACGAGGCTGTGCCGCCTCCCTTCTCGGCGACTGTCGCTTCGACTACGTGTCCTCCCCCTGCTGTTAAAATGCCAGTTACTGCCGATTGGCAGACGCTGCTCTCGTCCACGCTCAAGGATGTCAAAGTCGCACCCAATGCCCCAGGTCCTACTAATTATACTTGGCTTCGCATTCTTGGCGTTCACATCCTCCTTGTTCTTACTGGGATGTGGCTCGGTATGTGGGTCTATCATTGGTCCTTGTTTGGGTCTCCCTCGCATGTGTATACTATCTTTATGGACAGGCGATGGATCGAGACCAATATGCTGACAGACACTTCGATGTTTGACAAGCCTTTGGAAGGTAGTCTTTCGTCGTTTTCTTCTGCATAATCCTGACGATGAAAGCATCTCAGCCACGGTTTTCATCACATCAGCACCAGCCATGCGTTCGTCTCCCTTCTTTTATAGGCCTTGTCTCATTCCTGTATTGTACCTTTTGTATTTCATACCTATTGAGAGATCTTGCCCAGTCCAGCGGCATGTTCAGCCGCTGTCTGAATGGTACGCGCCACCGTGGATCGGAGGTTGCCATCTTCCATTTGGAGCAGACCAGCAATGGTGCATCCACCTGGTGTCGTAACACTATCCTTGATAGCAGCTGGGTGCATACCTGTTTGCAACACCATACGAGCCGCTCCCTGCATAGCTTTCCATGTTAGTATAAAATCATACATACTTTGCGCCGCCAACTCCAACGCTTCCGGGCGCGGAAGGCCCATCATGACACCGCCATCAGCCATAGCCTCCAAGAACAAAGCCACAAAGGCTGGGCCAGAGCCAGCCAAAGCCGTAGCTGCGTCAAAGTACTTTTCATCAAGGAAACGACAGGTTCCCACAGCCGAAAAGATAGAGGCCAGCACATCGCGATCCATTTGACTAAGGTGAGGCTCGTTCGAGATCACCGTCATACCTTCACGGATCTTGCTGGGCGTGTTGGGCATGGCTCGAACCACCTTCGTGGTAGGTCCCACCATGGTAGCCAATCTAGCACTGGTAATACCAGCGACAATGCTGACAAGGATCTTCCCTTCCAGTGCTTCACGCATGCCTTCTTCACTGAGAAATTCTGTTACTCGCTGGGGCTTGCAGCATAGAAGAACAATATCGCCCTGTTTCGCTGCTTCAACATTGTTCTGCACTAGGATTTCGACATTCTCATATCCGGCATGGGCGAACAGTCGCTCAAGACGCTTGGCGGTAGCAGAGCGACCCACTGTTGTGATGTACCTGGTGGGCAATGGTGCATCTGTGTTGGTTTCACTAGCCAGAGATGATACAGACCGCTCGACAGGCGTCTCATTCTGTACACGAGCCTTGATTGTATCCATCACACCCGATAGAATAGCGCTGCCCATTGTACCGCAGGCCAGCACGGCCAAAGTTGTCTGTGATGATGCCATAATGTCGATCCGGAGAGAGAACGGCACAGTGACACTCGCAGCCGATAACGCATATCAGCTGCGGTCTTTGTCATCAATCAGCAGGGTGCCCAGTGATGCTCCATCCATCGATCCCTTGCCTGCTTTTTCTTTCCGTGCTAGTAGGACTATCGTTCTATTTGACATCAATGTACCTTTTTGCCAATATATACACAATGCAAGGTCCACGCACTACTTCTTGTCATGTCGAGCAGGTCGTTTCGCAGGCAAGGTCATTTTTCTAGCGCCTTTCCGTAGCCCACATCGCCATAAGACGATAGGGTAAAGTATAGACGCAAGGTATTACTCATTCATATCCTTCTTGCTTTTCTGCAACGCGGCCATGTATTGCCTAGTATTGTACCTACGTAGTGAGGGAAGAAGCGGGGCCTCGCTGCCTTCGCTTCTGCACGGGTTGCGTAAGCACCGATCATCCTAAGATATCCACCTCCATTGTGTGTTGACGCGGCCACCGTCGAGGCTTGGTACGTTGTCCACCAGCGCGATGGAGGAAATTGGCATCCTCCTTACGGAGACCCGGGCCTCTGGCTCGAGTTCACGCTCTTCTACACGTACAAAGACCCCTCAGGATATGTACCATTACTACAAAAAGCTGCAGCAACAGCTTGAGTTCTTGAATACCATGGAGGAGTATGTGGTATGTATTCTTTCGCTTGGGATTTCTCGCTAACAGGACCAGAAAGACGAACACCGCAACTTGAAGCGTGAGCTTGTTCGTGCGCAAGAGGAAGTGAAAAGGATCCAGTCTGTTCCGTTGGTGATCGGACAGTTCCTCGAACCCATTGACCATATGACAGGCATTGTTGGCTCGACGACGGGCTCGAATTATGTTGTCCGCATTTTATCGACGATTGACCGTGAGTTGCTGCGACCAGGCAGTAGTGTTGCTTTGCACCGCCACTCGAACTCTCTGGTCGAGGTGCTACCGCCCGAATCTGACTCAAGCATTGTGATGATGGGCCAAAATGAGCGTCCCACAGAGACCTACCAAGATATTGGTGGTCTGGACGTGCAAAAGCAGGAAATTCGTGAGGCGGTAGAGCTTCCCCTGGTCCAATTTGATCTGTATCGTCAAATCGGTATTGACCCGCCTCGTGGCGTGCTGCTATACGGCCCGCCAGGTACGGGTAAGACTATGCTGGTGAAAGCTGTGGCCAATGCCACTACTGCGTCATTCATTCGCGTGGTGGGTTCGGAGTTTGTGCAGAAGTACCTGGGTGAGGGTCCGCGTATGGTGCGTGATGTCTTCCGCATGGCGCGTGAGAATGCACCTTCGATCATCTTCATTGATGAGATTGATGCGATTGCCACCAAGCGTTTCGATGCACAGACAGGTGCCGACCGCGAAGTCCAGCGTATTCTACTGGAACTTCTTACGCAAATGGATGGTTTCGACCAGGGCAGCAATGTGAAGGTGATCATGGCGACCAACCGTGCTGACACCCTGGATCCTGCGTTGTTGCGTCCTGGTCGTTTGGATCGTAAGATTGAATTCCCGCTGCCCAACCGCCGTGAGAAGCGCCTGATCTTCCAGACCATCTGTGGTCGCATGAGTTTGAGTCCTGATGTGGACTTGGAGGACTACGTGAGCCGCCCTGACAAGCTGTCTTGTGCTGAGATTGCGTCCGTGTGCCAGGCTGCGGGTCTGCAAGCTGTACGGAAGAACCGCTATGTTGTGCTGCCTGCGGACTTCGATGAAGCATTCAAGCAGCTCTCGAAGAAGGGCGATGATAACCGTATGGACTTCTATCAGTAAACTTTGATAGCTTTTGTATCATGCTGCTGGCCACGACCATGCGCGCCTCTGCACGCGTGCCCCCTCTGGCTGCGAGAGACGCGTTGCGCACCAGCGTGCAGCTGCCTGCTTTTTTCCCTAGCCACCGGGCCAACTGCATGCTGACAAAGCGGGTTCCTCGGAGGACGCGCCGCCCGGTTTGACTCTTGCGACCGTGCACATCGTATATAAAGATCGCGGCCACGATCGGCCCATCTCGTTTGTGGCTACGTGCCTATTGTGCCTTACGTTGAGAGCGTTTCTCTTTCGCACGTTTTCCTTGCACTAGAGTTGTCGCCGCCATGGACGAGCTTCCAGGCGACGACGACTTTTTGTCGTGCATGCTGCTAGAGTATGTCCCTCTTGCCTTGCTGACGATTGCTGCAGCTCGTTGGAGTTCGAGCCTAGCATTGTAACGCATAAAATGAACCCGCATTTCCGTCCGGTGCGCTTTGATCGTGATACCATTGCCCAGATCATCCGGCGTCATGTGATTTGGGAGCGCGACATTACCAAAGCGGTATCTGTGTTTAATGAGTACGTGCTGCTCGTGCCCTTCTTACCTTGCAGGTTGCCTGTGGTGCGCAAGCATGTAGCCAGGAAAACACCTGCGCAGCGCCAAGTATTTGATTCGTACGTATGAGCACGCTTACGTGGCAGTCATGTTCAGCGCTATATGCAAGCGTACCTCCCCACGGCCGGGTTTGAGTATGCGGTGACGTATAGGTACCGCGTAGCTAGGTTACGCCGTCTCGCGCACATTGAAGATGCTGCACAAGCAGAGACAGCACGATACCATGCCCACCTTTCCCCCGGCCGAACAGATCTGTGTGTACTTGCACTTCGATCGTTCCAACCGGACGATACCATTACGTTCTGCACTGCTGCCTTGAAAGACTTGACGCGTGCAGAGGATGAGGCCTTGCGTGAAGAGGCCGCGCAGGCGCGAGCTGCTGACGTACGTGACGGCCACGTCCGACCGCAACGTGATTTTTCTATCATTCGCTCATCGAGTCGCAAGTGCAGCCAGCTATTGCTGGGTCCCGCTCGTTTTATTAACCATGACTGCCAGCCCAATGCCGAGTTCCGTCGGTCAGGGAACCAGCTGACGATCCGGTGCATTCGTCCTATTAAGCGCAACGAAGAGATCACGACCTACTATGGCGACAACTATTTTGAGCTGGGCAACAAGGAATGCATGTGTGCGACCTGTGAAAAGTACCAACGTGGGTTCTTTGCATCGCATGTGGCCGACGAGAGTGTGTCTACGCCAGCCAGTACAGAAAGCACGCTGGAGGATGGGCGTACGCTTCGTTCGCGCTCGGCGCGGGAAGCTGCCGCGTCTCAAGCCGCGCAGATCGTCACGTCGCCCGATGACATGATTGCCTACCAGCTGAATCCTGATGCCCAAGGTCCTGAATGTGAGTGCCTCACATGTCATGCCCTCTTCCGCGCGCCTGAGAAATGGTGGACCCCTGATGAGTGTGCTCGGTGTGAGCGCCACTACAAACTCTTCAAGTGCGATTGGCCTGGACGTTACCCTAAAGAGAATCCTGCTGAGCAAACCACCATCGCACGACCACTGAAACGTCGCGCTGCCATGGAGAACGGCTCGACTACGACCAAGCGGCCGCGGGCGAAAACGGTGCAAACACCGGAGCCGACGGTGTCGCAGGATATTTCGTCCCCCGTCAAGCTTAGTCCGGTACGTGAATGTCGTGAGGCGTCGCCCGTGAGCGACACAGAGCCACCGCCCAAAGACCCACACGCTCGACCACGCTCACTGCGTCGGTTTGAGCTGCACAGTGACGATAGCGACGATGCCTTGGACGCCATTCATCTCGGCCCACGGATCCTGGGGCATGGGGCAAGTACCGATGTATTGGCTTCGTACTGGGGCGCACCGGAAGGCGAGCGACGTGTGCGGCGGCCCACGACGATGGGCATGCCGCTTGCTAGCGAGCGTATCGCGTCTGCTCACGTAACTAAGCGTGTGCCTTCCTCGTCACGACCCCAAGGACGTCCTGCCAAAGCACCACGGCGGATCGTTTCCGAGCCATCTGAACGATCGGTATCTGCGCCGTTGCCCAAGACCGAGGTACCCACACCATCGCCACGCTCCTCGCTCTCGCCACCCCCCCCTCCTTCGCCGCCTTCGCCACCGACAACGGCGCCCGTGATTGCGACAAAAGGGCCCGCACGGACCTCCATTTCGAATCTGGCCCTGTTTTGGTCTGGCGGTGTGGAAGGCCGAACACGGCAGCAAGCTAAAAAGGCCCAGGCGTTGGCGAGTACGACACAATCTCCACGCACCTCGGCGCGCGTCTCACGAACGGCCTCGCCGGCGCCTGTGACGGTCGTCAAACCGGAGCCGCCCAGCTCACGAAGCGTTTCGGACGTGCCATTGCCACTTCGTTCTTCGTCGCCCGCAGCCCCGGCCAAGCCAGTTGCTTCGCCCTTGGTCAAAGTGGAGCGGTCAGCCTCGAGTCTGTCGCCTGGGCCTTCCGAGATGCCGTCAGGGGCGCCGCAACCGCCGTTGCCGGCCCTGCCACCCCGGCCGACGGCCACGTCGCTACCTCCGGGTGTGCCTCCGCGCCAGCCGCTCCGTCGCAACTTGCGCTGGGGCAATGGCAAGACCAGTATGAGCCGTCCACCCACCCAGACGATGCCAATGCGCGTGGTATGGCCTTCCATGGTCAAGACGGAATCTCTCTCGCCGGCGCCGCCCATACCTGGTGTGCCACGTCCCTTGTCGTCGTCGTCGGCATCCTCCTCCTCATCGTCGTCGTCGTCGACGACATCACCACCCCCGCAGCCATCATCGGCTTCGCACACATCCACAGCGCCCCTTCCGTAGCGCGGGACTTGCCCTGTATGTCTTATAGAATCCATTGTATACTATGCTATATGCATTCCTGGTGCCTACCAACCTCCGCGCGACGGCGGCGGCGGCATGCTGGGCGGCGGCCCTGGCGGCATGGCCGCGTACGATCCTGGCGTCCGTCCGCCATAGTACGCACCACCAGGGGTCGTTCCACCGCCATAGTAGCCTGGTGTTACGCCGCCACCGGCATGCAGCGCGGGCGTACGTCCACCAGCGCCACCACCTCGCGACGCGTTCATCTGTGCCATGTACTGTGTCTTGAACGCATTGCTGAGGGCTGCGACATCGGCCAGCTGTGTCGCCTGTCCCAACTTGAAGGCACCTGGCAAGACCTTGACAGGCCACGTCTGAATAGGAGCCTGGCTATTCGCCTTGAACGCCAAGTTGAAGTAGCCAGGATGATCCTTGTTCAGGCCAAATGCATACACTGAACGATTCGGGTTGGCCAGCGAGGCATTGGTCAGGTACGTATGCAGCGCCTCTTCGTCGGCCCCCTTGTACTTTTCATGGTTCATCATCATCTCGACCATAGCCGCCATCGGTCGCACATGGTTTACAATGAGATCGTCCAAATCCGCGTACGAGCCCATATCAGCCACACGCAAAATACGACCAAGCGCATGGTCGTTCTCCTTGTCGAGCTCCAGCACGTCAATGTGCTGGTACACACCCTCGTCCACTTTCCACGTCACCGCCAAATGGTCCATCCCCCGCGAACTGGGCCGCACGACCACAGCGCCACGTGGCTGCGTCGCGAGGAAGTGCTGCGCCTGCACGGCATTGAAGTTGTGGAAGTTCGGGTGGTCAATCACACGACGGCCAATGCGGCTCTGATGACGACGGCGAGCGCGTTCTTCCGCTGCTTCGCTCGCGAGCTGGGCGCGATCGTGGTCAAAGTATACAGGGTCCACAGGTGTGTGCGTTTGCGCAGGGTTCACATGCTCAAACGCCTCGGACCGGAGACTAAGCTCTGCCCGCATACGATGCAGGTCCAGCTGCACGACCACGGCATTGAGCGTCTGGCCAGAGCGGAATAGGCGACGAAGACGCACGTCTCGCGCATTGTAGCCGGGCATAATATCACGGCCGGCAATGGTGCCTTCCAAGCCGGACTCCAGGCGCACACGGAGGAACCCTTCCATGTCGCGGCCCTCTTCCACGCGCGTCACCGTCGCAGGGACCACGTAGCCTTCTGAGAGCGTACGACGCGTCTCGCCTGTGAACATCGTAAACAGCTCTTCCGTATTGGGCAGCGTCTGCGACAGACGCCAGTCGTCATAGGGCCGGATCAGTTCCTGCTTGCACGAGAACAACGTAAGTCGCTTGCGCAAACCACGCTTCTCCCACAACATCGCCGCATAGTGGTCCAAATCCAGCGCCGCCAACTTCTCGGCAGGGTGGGCATCCTGCATAATCTCCGCACAAGCCACACTGGGATGCTCGCCTTCCAGGTCCTCTTCGTGCTTGTTCAGCGCATCACGGGCCATTTGGCGAGGGAAGTCGTAGTCTTCTGGATGAATCCGCGTCGTGTCAAGCACATCCGGTTGCGCCTCTTCCTCCAGCAGCATGTCTGTCGCCGCATCTTGATCAATGCGCAAGAACGAAATGGCATTGTTCCACACCACAAACGGCAGAATCCCACGGCGTACCAGCACCTCTCGGTTGATCACGACTCCATCCAGACGCGTCTGGATCGCGTGCACCAACGCATGCGCTTTACGTGGCCCCAGACCCGCGACGAACGGCAGCAGGCACTGGGTGTACGAGTCGGTGAGTGCCGCATGCAGATCCACTCCGATATCGTTCACAAGCATCACAATCGCACGCTCCAAGTGCGACCGCAAACGATCGGTCGGAAGCAAACGCTGAGCGGGATCAAACTGCACCGCCGTGACATCCGCGCCCAGCGCGGCAAACTCATTCACGGGCGATTGCGCATACCGCGCCAATCCCACACAGTAGCGCGCCAATACACTCAGCTCCGGGAACTCGGTGGCTGCACGCGCACTGTGCTGGTACAAACGCGCGACATCATCATACACACTCACCACGTCGATACGCGCATGCTCAATGGCGGCTCCCTCCAGCTGCTCTTCCTGGATCCGCTCCTCGAGCGCACGTGTAACCAACTCTTGGATTTGGTTCTTCAAATCCTGCGAACGCGGACTGAATCCATTCACGACCACGACATCGGGACGACGACGACGCAGCAGTGCGAGGAACTGGGTTTGCGGGTTGGCTTCAGGCGTCTCTTCGTCATTCACCGCACGCGGTGCCCGCAATGTATCGTACGTAGCACGGTCCAGCAAGCGGCCAAACTCGTCCAAAAAGATCGCACAGATCTCACTGCGTCGAGGATCACCAGTACCGTGCGACACAGCCAGCACACGCGGTACGTGCGATGCAATTTCCACAGCGGGATCGCCCTGCCGACTTATCATACCAGCCGATTGCACAGGCCCACCTTCCACACGCTGCGTCAGGCGCTGCTCACAGTGCCGCAAGAGCGATTCACGACACTCTTCGACCAACCATTCACGCGTCCACGCACGACCTAGGGGAAGCAGGAACGACGCACAGGCCTCTTCAATCACAGCGTGACGCTCGTCGTTCCATGCTTGCGACAAAGCGCTTACGCCATCGCTCACAAACTGGTCCTGCAACCGACGTTCCAGCACGTTGGCCATCTCCGTCGGTAGACGCAGCGTCACGTGCACAAGACGCTCTTCGTCCGCATTGACGATCTGCAGAAGCTGCGAGGCATTTTGAAGTAGCGCAGCGACGGGCTTGCCACGCAGAAACTTGAAGCTGTAGTATGGATGCGTCTCATCAATGCGAGTCATACCGCGCTCTGTCGGCTCCACGTCCAGCAGTGCCGACGTGCGGAACATTGTACGGACCTCCCGACGTAGTGCAGGCTCCTTGCCGATTTCATGCGCTAACATGGTACGTGCCAGCGCCAAAACGGCCTTGGCATCAACGGCACCAGGCGCAGTGCCGACATACTCTTCTGCCACAGCACTAGGAGCCAAAGCCTCATCCTCTGGCACATGGTGACGCAGATCACCAGCTACATTGGCCGCCAGTTGCGAGGAGGACAGACCCATCCGTTGCACCAACTGTGCGAGCGGCGTGTGCTTACGCTGCTCGTACTCACTCACCACAGTCGGACGCTTAAGTGTCGAAATGTCTTGCGACTTGGCCAACGCCGTTGCTTCACGGAAACGCTCGCCAAAGCGCATTGCAAGCCATTCAGAGATGTCACTAACTTCTTCCAATGAACCCGCCTGTGCAATCAGCTCTTCCACAATCGCACGCGCTTCATCCATCTCAGGTGTCGAGGGAGGGTACGTCGCAGCGAGCTCCTCAAATGTCTGGCGCAGCGCATCCTTGCGTGCCAGCAAAAGTTTGTACTTGATGCCCAGCGTACTCAGAGTAAGCAGTTCCTGACGCACAAGCAGCGTCGCAGTCGATTTCTGTGTCCCTTCCAGTTGCGTCCGCTCAAGCTCATCAAGCCGATGCTGCGTTAGGAACGAGACTTCCAGCAAGTCGTTAAGCATATAGGAGAGCATTTGACGAACACACATATGCCATTCACCACGTAGTCGCGCATGCGTAGCTCCATCGTCCAGGAATTCCGCCGTGCAGCGAGGAGAGATACGTGTGGACGCCCACTGCGTCGCATCATCCAACTCTGCCTCAGTGAGCTTCCGTTCCAAGAGCTTCAAGCCATCCTCACCGGGGATTGCAAGCTGGATTCGTTCAGGGATATCAATCTGCTTGATCCGATCGTCTTCATCGGTGAGCATGCGCTCTTGAATTTGGGCAGGCTCGAAAATCTAGCGTAAGTATACTTCATACACGTACATCTTTATATTCCATACGCGCCTTCTGGCTTTCCTCGCCCTCTTCTTCATCTTCTTCGAGGGCCCAGGCATAATCCTCGCCGTTGCCAAAGATGTCATGCACTTCGTCCCAGGCCTCCAGGTCCATACCGACCTTACGAGGGTCAACGCGCGCTCCAGATGCACGCGCACGTCGCCGCTCCTCAAGACGCTCACGACGTTTGGCTTCCCGTTCCTCTTCGTTAAGGCCGGCCAGCTCTTCATCTTCTTCATCGTCCTCAATGAAATCGTCCAGCTCGTCATCGTATGGATCCAAGGGCATGGCGTTCGCATCCTCCTCGTCATCGAAGATATGCGCCAGATCCTCTTCGCGATGGCCATCGGAGCCTGGTCGTGCGCGCTTATTGCGCGCAGCCTCTGGACGTGTATTTTCCGAAAGCAGAGCCAGGTCATCTTCATCTAGCTCTTCTTCCATATCACGGTGGCGGTAACGCCGCTTACGCTTATGTGACCGCTCCTCTTCACCATCCTCTTCATCAACATCGTCATCAATGAAACCTTCCGCAACACGGCGTTGCTCTTCTTCATCATCGTCATCGTCTTCTTCGTCGCTACTATCGAGACCGAGGACATTGCCTGACTCTTTCATCAGGTCCTCACCCTCGTCGTCACTACTTCGTGCTGCGACGGGCTCGTCAGCCGCCGTACGAAGGCGGGCCGCGTCCATGGCGACGACTAGGAAACCAACCGTCTACGACGACGACGCTGCCACGAAACGCGACGGTGTATCGTCACGTGATCGACCGGGGGAGGGAAGGATGCGCTGCTATGGCTATGTGGAGAGCGTATGGAGTTGTACCGCGAGGGCTGAGCATCCTTGGTTCACATCGCTGACGCCCCGCATCAGCTCGCGTGGAAACGGATAGGACACGGCCACAGCTCGTACCAAGGTAGATATATGGATAATGGACTGGATGGTGAGCGCATAAATACGTACTCGCACAAACTGGTTGGCGTCTTCCCATAACTGATGCGTATCGCGGCTGCTCGCATGCAAGGGAAACTCACCGACTCGCTCGCAAGAGGTTTGTAGTTGCTTAGTTAGATCCAACGTATGTTTGCACGCCTCCTCCACGTCACGGAGTCGCTTGTACCGCGTATCGCCTGGCGACTGAGGCGTCTCTCCCTCATCGATGCGTCGCAGACCTTCCTGGACATAGGCTCGCAGTTCAGACCACGTAGTGGTAGCATTGCTTGCCACTTGCATAATTAAGGAAGACATTCCATCGTTTGATGCCTCTGATTTAAGACTTTGGCCAGATCGCATGCGGGATAACGTCGTGCCAGGCCGTGGGGACGCAGGTGTGCGAAAGGTCGAAGGTTTCGACGTGTCGCGTGGTGAGAGCGCTGGTGAGCGAAGTGCTGGTATCGAAGGTCTTCGTCCATACAGTTTACTAATGGGTGTACTGGACGCAGACGGTACAACGTCCATATCGCTAGCGTCATGCATGTCAATGGGCGTTCCGAAAGACGTATCTGCCTGACTTGGTTTGCGAACCGAACGAAGAAGCGGCGTCTGGGGCGGAACAGGTTGGCTGGTCTCTTGTGACACGAATTCTGTCACATCCTGCATGGCTGGTGCCATCATTTCGGCACAGTTGCGGAGCTCAGCTATACTTCCATAGAGCAAAAGCAAGAGTGTTCGCGTAAATCGAGGATCCACGCTTTGTTCAAGCTGTGGCATCTTGGTATACAGCATCATCACAGCGCGACGAAACATGCGAACACTTTCATTGCAGGCTTCCATGACGTTGCGTATAATCGAAGTATCAGGTACGCCTGTTTGAGCCGATGCATCAAGCCGGTCTAGGGCCGCAATCAAGGCGCTCATTGACTTGGCTGCCATGCTTAGGACACGCTGTAAGTGCGCCACCAATCGTTCGTCATTGGAAACAGAAGTGTGCTGATTTACTGCCGTGTAGATTTGGGACAGGGCAAACAATACGCCACGAATCGCGTCCACAAACTTCAATACGGATTTGGGCATCGATGGGATATGCGGCGGCGCAGGGGGCAGGGCAGAAAGCCGGCGGAAATAGCGTGTACGTTCTGAATCCATCGGCTCGATATCAGATGGCACTTGTGTCCCCGACACACTACGATCCGATCGCGCGTTCGGTGGGGAGCTAAATTGGGATGCAGCAGCGGCCGCCTCCGCGGCGGCCTGCGTTACGCCCACTGTAGGCAAGTTCAACGTCCGGAGTCCCTGGCGACGAGCATCTGTATTTGTCTGTGTGGGCACTGGCACGCGTACAATGCGTGGCTTGGGCACAGGTGGGCTGGCGTCCTCCATGGTTCCCCCCGTACTCCCCACAATCTGTCCTCTGTCCAATGCTCAGCGGCCGAAGGTGGGTTTGCGGCGTCGCCTGTGCGCAGAGGACCAAAGTGTGGAGGTGCTCAATGTCTATGGCCACCCAGCGCTTGAGATGTCAAAATCGCTTAGTCATTCATGCAACCAAGCTGCGACGTGGAGACATCCGCATAGATGGTCTATGGACCAACTTCTAACTATGCTGGAGTACAAAGACCAGCCATCATGAGCGGATCACCAGCCCTTACCTGCAGTGCCATCAACCCCCCAGCATCGCCCTCTGTCCCCTCGTCACCTCTCTTTTCTAGGCCCCTTCAAGTTTCTTTTAGCTATGGACAGCAGCAACATGGAGCTACGCGCACCGGAAGTGGCTCATGCCAGCGTTGATCGCTCGCGATCGCCATCTCCCATCCCTTCTCGCTCTTCTTCTACCCCCAATGACACTCGCATGCCTCGTGATGGTGCTCGCTGGAGCGAGCGCGAACGCGAGCGCAAGAACTCGACGCAACCCTCGCGCGATGTGATCCTCCTTGGGCTGGACCCTGACGTGGATGGCGATAAGCTGCGCCAGCTTGTGACAGCGCTTGCCGACATGGTACAGGCACGTCTCGCTCCCCCTCCTCAAGACGTGACTGTGATTCGCGACCGGAACACTGGTGCGTCCAAGGGCTTTGGTTTCGTTAAGTTCGACACGCTGGAAGATGCGAAGCGTTTCGTGCTGACACATGCGCCTTTCATTCACAACTCGGAGCAGTGGCTGGGCCCTGCGCCGAACCCCAACATGCGCCGGAAGCGTATCAAGATTGACTTTAGTAACAGCGAGAGGCCCCAGGGCGGTATCTCGTACTACGAGCAGCACAATGCACCGAACTCCAAGGAACAGCTGAAGCGTGCGCGTGCTCGCCGCTCCAAGTCGGGATCGGAAGAACCGGAAGCAGATGAAGTGATTGATACCGATAATGAGAATGCTGGCATTCGTGATGCTTCCGCCGGCCCGACTGACATGCTCCTTCTTACGCTGGTTCGCAAAGATGTGACGACCAAGGAGATGGGCCAGGCACTGATGGACGTGACACAGAGTCTTGAGCAAGTTCTTCTTCTTCGCGACCGTGAATCGCGTGCCTCGACTGGCAAAGTCTTGGCTGTTTACCGCAATGTGGATGCTGCGAAGGCTGCGTTGGCCATCCTCCGCAATCGTGCGACGTTGCCGCTGGGTATTCTAGGCCAGCCGAACGTCGAGCCTGTGAAAACGTCGTTTGCTGACCCTGTGGTGCTGGAGGAGGCCGATCCCTATGACCCTACTAGCGCCCCATGGGTGTTTGTCGACCAAAAGGAAAAGACGTGGCGCTACGAGGATGAGTCCCTTGGCTTTGATGTGTGGACAAAGGACGACATGTCCACGGAGACGTCGCGTCGCTCGTCAGTGACGTCGGTCGACACGCCGACATCGAGCACAGTCTCGCTACCTCTCCCTGCTGTCGCCCCTGCCACTACGATGGCCCCGGTGATGTCGAATGGCACCACGTACTTTATCCAGAGCACCGTAACGAAGTCGGCACCGATGCCGACAGCTCCGGCGCCGCCTGCCACGGCCGCTGCCGCTGCCGCGGCAGAGGCGATGGGCCCGATGCAAAACTCACCTCATGCCATTCTTCGTCTCTTAAACTTTGCTGATGTGCCACGCCGCATTTGTCTGCTGTGCCAGCGCCAGTTCAAGTCGCCGGAGATCTTGGCGCGTCATGCGGTGGAAAGCCCCCTCCACCAAACCAACTTGGATGATGAAGCCATGTGCCGTGCTGGTGCTGCGCGCGTCATTGCGAATGCCTCCCATTCGAAGGAAAACGAGTCTGTGGCTGCCTCGATCCCTGTGGCCACGGAAAAGGCTGCTGTGCCTTCTACGACTGACTACGCACCTGTTCGTCCTGCTCTTCGCTCTATGGGCTGGAACATGGACAGTACGAGCAGCATGGTTAGCTGGGCAGCTTCGCAGCCGCTAGCCCCCATGTCCTCCATGGGCCCTCTCCGCCCTATGACCCCGTTGTAGATTCGCATCATACCCCGCGCGTCTCTCTCCATGTCTTCATGACACTTACACTTAGTTTACCTAGTTGATACTGTTTATCATCGCTATAGTTCTTACTATGTTGATGGAGTTCCTCCCCTTCTCAATGCAAGGCAAGTGCCCTGGGCACGAGCCGTATTCCTTTGCGTGTTGCCCGACATTCTACCCAGGGCAGGCAGGGCTGCGTGGCCTGAGCTGCGCACCTCCACTGGTCCGGAGGCCTTACTGTGGAACGCGTACCTCCACTCGTGGCTTGCGTGGACACGCGATCCTTATGTCGAAGTACAGTGGCCTTCCTGATATTGTAGGTGTGAATCACGGCCTTACCTCTAGGATACCGACACGGATGTATATGAAACGAATCCTGTGCCACGTCCTCAGGTGGTGACTTTGTCTACAGAGGATCTATCTGAAGACGAGTGCATTGAGACAGAGCTAGCTGCATTGGATACAGGCAGTGTGAATGTGACCCAGGCCACGGAGGCGTTCAAGGCGTCGGTAGCGTCCGATCATACATCGTCTCTACCTTCGTATCTGGACAAAGACAAGGTCGGTCTACCCTCCGTCCTGCCAGAGTCTACGTCGCCCTTGTCGCGATTGTATTATTTGCAGGAGGAGGCCCGTCAGTTGGAAGAGGAGTTGGCCAGTAAGGACGAAAAGGCCCATACACCGACCCCATCGTCTCTGACTGCCTACCTTCATCGCTTACAATCGCGATTTGATCGTATGCAGATTCAAGCAGAGGCATCAGAAGCCAATGTATCCCTCTCATCCATGATTGCAGCACTGGGGCAAGGCTCGTCGACGTCCGCCGCTGCGCCAGGCACATCTACACAGGACGCTTCTAAAATTGTACCGGACATAGAGGCACGCATCCATGCCCTGGAGCAGCGATTGGGTACGAATGTACTGGAGCCAGGTACCTCGCTGGCTTCGACAGTGGCGCGCTTGGAGTCTCATATGGCCTTGCTGACCCAACCGCGACACTTGGATGCCATTATCGCCCGTGCCAAAATGGTTACCTCGGAGTTGGAGCGTGCACAGGAACGTCGCGAGCAGTTTTCCTCGGCGCTGGACGATGAGACACTGGCGCAAGTGGAGCAATTGTATGCGTTACAGCTGCGCATCGAGCCGCTCGAGCCGTTGGCGCCTGCGTTGCTTGCGCGCTTGCAGTCGCTGGCGCCCTTGCACGCCTCTGCCTCCGAGTTTGCTTCCACGCTGGACCATGTGGAAAAGCAGCAAGAAGTTTGGCAAGCTCGGTACACCGAACTGCAAGCCTTGCTGCACAATGTACAAGAGAGTCTACAGAGCAATATGGAAGTGACGCGCCGAAATTTAGAGGCATTGCAGTTACGATTGGACACGATATCTACGACTAAAACTTCTCCGCCATGATAAGGACAACGAGGGATGTCCATCCAGTAAACGGATAATTTCGGCGGCCTTCACCTGTTGAAGCATCGTATTGCTCCCACGTATACCCTGTTTTCTCATATGCCTGTCATTGGTTAGTTGTTTGCGTACATACATTCAATACAGTGCTGATAATATTGCTTCGAAGATCTTTGTACAGTGTCGCTGCCTCTGCCGCATAGGGCCCAGGCTGTTGTTGGTACATGTGCAGCGATCGAAGGATCAAATAGTTCACAGGGACCCAGATCGCACCACGCCAGTAATCTTCGTCTGTGCCATAGAGTGGGTGGCTCATGCTGAGGCTGCGAATGCCATAGTCAGACCACAGAGCCTTTTTGTCGCGAAGCATACGCAGTGTACTGCCGAGTTGCTCGCTATCAGGCGGCAAGAGCTGTAGCATCATCGGGAACAAACTCACATAGCCAGCGTGGCACTCAAAGTACGACGAATCGGACTCATCTACCGACAAGTCACAGAACATGTGCTCATCGGGGTTCCAATGCAGATCAACCAGGTTTGCCTCAATGCTCGAGGCCTGGTCGTCGTACTCCTCGGCATCGTCATCCCATCCAATTAAACGAGCCCATCGCTTCATAGCATGCGCAAACGAGCCCATCCACGAATGCAGATCCACATGGAGCTCTCCTACATGGGGCACTGAAGCGCGTGGGTAATCGTCCAAGCCACTCGTTAGGACATGCGTCGCTGAGCGGCCACGCCAGCGGTACGCTTCATGGCGCGATGTCGCATCACGATCCCACTGACGAATCTGGCCTCGCTGTGTACGTCGGAACCAGGCATAGTGGCGCTGCCATGGTTCGTATAGCGCCTGAAGATGCTTTTGCAGGACCTTGGCTTCGTCCTGATCCATCTCCGCATCCGTGCTCGTCATCCAGACGTCCACACCACCCATTTGATCTTGGATCCGCTGCAGATGCTCTTCCATGTTCTCCAAGAACGTTTGCAAGCCAAAAATCAACGTCGGTGGGTTCGCGTAGAGAGGGTACTGTGTCTGGAAGGGGCCAGGTACGCGACTGCGTGCTTCCTCACCCAGAATTTGCTCACGTGCGACCCAGCCATCGTCATCAATAAGTTGCGTCCATGACTCAAACAGCGACATGGCCAACGTAGGGTCCCAGGCACTAATGTGCAGCAAGTGGAAGCCTTCGTCCCAGTAAAACCCGCGCGGGAAAAACGAGCGACTGGGCGTCGCAGTCCAGAGTTGCATAGGTCCTTCAGGCAATGGCTGAGCATTGTCCATATCATGCAGCACCAAACCCTCCTCGTCAGCGGGACGACGGTCCACGAGGCTTTCGCCGAAGTAGTAGCCGATGCTGCCAAGGATTTGAGCAGTAAGTTCCCGCGCAAATGTGACATGTTTCGGCGTGAAAGAGGATGACAGGCCAAATAAATGTTCAAAACGAGCATCGTACGCCTCTTTGTGACGCATCAGTGCCAACGTGAGTGTATCCGAATGAAGCTTGTCCGTCGCTGGCGAGACATGGCTGTCAAAGAAGACGTCGTACGAAAAGTTGCCTTGGTACGTTTTCTGTAGTACATACATTGTAGGATGAGCGTCAGTCCGATTCGAGAGCTGCACTGCTTCGGCAGGGCGAGGAAGTTGCTGCTTCGCTTCCATGAAGGCCTGCAACCTCAAGCGGAGATCCTCCACAATATGGTCAGAACCGCGCCACACATGCGACGGATTGATGGTGCGAGCCGAAAAGGAGGTGATTGGCACGTTCTTGACAGCCTGGTTGGTAGCAGGCTCTTCGGTGCGCAGCGAGAAGCCGCCCAGATGTGGACCGGCCACGCGACCCTCGCTATCCACTTCAAGCGACTCAGATCGCGACTCGCTGCCCACATAGAAAAAGCTGGTAAGCTCTGCGGGGCGCGACTCATCTAGTACAGTGCCCTGGACACGCAAGGCCCAGTGCCCTGGCTGCCCTTCGAGGTGCCCTGACTTGACGAAGCTGGTCGTGATCTTGTAGTTGTGTAGGCGATCCACAATGTCCTGTTCGCCGAAATGACGGCCATCATGGTACGTCCACTTAAAATAGTCAATACCATTGTTGTCCGAGGCGCTATGCCGCATCGAATTTGCATATGCAAAATCAGCTGTGGAAAACCATGCTAGGCCCGTGAGCAAAGAATCAGGCTCTCGTGGCCGCATACCGAAGTACAGCTGCGGTCGATATGTGCCCCACAGTGTCGAGCTATTGTCAGACAGGGCAAGCACTGTGGGCCAGAGCCATGCACCCAGGGCCAGCAGTGGCACAAGCTGCATCCTGACAATGAGGTCTGTGCTGTTCGCGAGCGCGCGCGTCGCCAAGCGGAGGGGGGGGGGGTCTGGCCGCACCGCCGCTACATCATCGCCTCTCACGTGTCAGAAAGTGCATAAATCCACATAGATTCAAGCGATTTCTATGCGCGTGTCAATCCGCGTCAACAGTTTCGTCTTGACAACGCAGCGACCGACGTTGGCCTGCTGTGTGTGCACCATTAACGGACGCTCTATTTAGAAAAACGCGCTTCCCTACGTACATCAGATGGCTCGCCGATTTTTGGCGACACTCACTGATCTATTCGACTCGAGTGGACCAGGCAGCGCGTCACGCACATCTCGGTCGAGCCATGGCCCATACTTTCGTGACAATGCCCCTGGCGCTCAGTCTACAGCCGCACTGACTTCGGTGAATCCGAATCAATCATTCTTGGATCAATCCAGCGTATCTCTTCCCATGCACACGACTCCAGAGATCAGAAAAAATAGCTCTGTTGTACGTGCATGGCAACGTATTCTTCACTTTTGCGAGCAAGACTACGAGGAGCTACGTGATACACTCAACTGGCCTGCTACGCCTGAGCAGCTCAATGAACTTCAGCACAATTTGGGACAAGTGCTCCCGACGGCGGTATGTGAATGGCTCTTGTGCTGCAACGGTCAAGAAATTGAGTCAAAGGCGTCATGCAGCGACGGCTTGTTTTTTGGACTGCCTTTTCTTAGTACAGACGCCATTTTGCGTGAATGGCAGTTCTGGCGTTATGTGGACAAAGATCCTGAGACGGGCGCTAATGCCCAGTTGAAGTCTCGTATGCGCAGCTGTCCGCACAATTGGATTCGCAAAGAGTACTCGTGCCCTGGCTGGATCCCTCTCGTGGCCGACGGTATGGGAAACTATTTGGGTGTTGATCTTTCACCTGATCCCCGTGGTAGTGGAAAGCCTGGGCAGGTCATTTTGTTTGGCCGTGATTTTGATACAAAGGTGGTACTGTGGGGATGCGATGGTGCCGATGGATGGGCCAAGTTCTTGCTGACATTTATTGATGAATTGGAAGCTGGCACGACGTATAAAGTGGAAGGCGTCGGGGAAGGTGAAGGAGCAGGCACCGAGGATGACATTGGCTACCAGTCCTACTTTGATGCAGCAGGTGACGTGGGCGGTGAGGGACGTGTGCAGTTCCAACTGACAGGTGAATACATGCATTGGCCTGTATTGGACAGCTGGGCTGACCGCTCTATGCGTGCTTGGGTAACAGCAGGAATGGCGTCTCGTCGCTTGTCAGAGGCGGGCTCAGAAGCATCCTCGATCAATGAGATCAGAGATGTGTCCACCTCGTCGACTGCTATTGATCCTATGGATCCGTTGATGATGCGTTCTCGTGCTTCCCAAAAGTCAAGAACCATGACGCCGCGTGCTTCCCGGCCATCGACCCCCTACTCGCAACGCCATTTGTCCTCTCGACGCCAGTCCCAAGAGTCAGGTACTGCTTCACCTACAAAGAGACGCGCGATGCCTGTTCCACTACCTCTTCTCGACCTACCGACAATCGAAGATTTACGCGCTGCTGAGGCTGCGGAAGCGGCCAGGTTGTCACGCGATGGCTCGCGACTGGATCACTTGCGGCCATTTGCCTTGGGCTCTGGAAAGCGGTCGCCTATGTACAGCAATGTGGTCAGTTCTTCTGTATCGGTACCTATGGACGAAACATTGGAAATGACGGACCGGGGGGGCATGCTTCCATCTACCAACCTTGATGAAGGTCGTGTTCCATCTCGGCCATCCCTTGGCCAAAAATACTCATTGGGATCAAGAAGTACAGCTCAGCTAATTGATTCCAGTGCGAGCCACAATGAAGTGCATGGGCAAGTGATCGATATACCCCCTTCACCAACCCATTAATATTCTCCTAGAGTTGGTAGTCGCTAGATGTGCTTTTTTCTCGCTGAAGCCTCGTTGGCTAACCGACCCGATGAGGGCATGACAAGAGGCCCGATTGTCACGATCTGGGGTCCCACAGGCCACATGGCGGCACTGCTCCGTCATTGTGACCAGTGCAATACCTGATCGTTGTACTATTTCGTCTGTCTTGGTCGTCAACGTCGATGGCGGGTGCGTCGACACCAAACCGCTACCCTGGACTCTTTGCTGCCTTTCCATCAAATGAATGGACAGAGGAGAGAGAGTCAGAGAGCGAGAGTGAGGATGAATTTGATGAAGAAACACCTACCTTGGCTTGGCAGGGCCTCTTCCCCACAGCGAACGGCATTCCCCCTTCACCGCAGTTAGATCCTCATTCAGAGCGGCTTTTCTGGCAGGGATCCAACCCTCGCTCAAGTCGGCCTAGTTTATTGCGCCTTCCCTTCGATTTGGGCAGTGGAAATGTGTTTTGGGGATTTCACAGGAAGCGCAGACGACCAGGGCTATCACGCTATGGCTCCATTGAGACAAGCCCTAGTCGTTTCTTTTCTACGCCAGGCACCCAAGGTCGGGGGCAAACGAATGTATTGCATCATGTTGGGTACCGTAATCAACTTCGCACGTCACTAGCAGACAGCATTGAGTCACTGCACATGCCTCCCACACCAGTAGTAGGGCCTCGTCGGAATGTCTTCGTTCATGCTTTTAGGCCAACAACCACAGCGATCGATAATTTACTGAGCAGCTGGCCCAGAAGAATCTTTGTTTTGATTTGCATTCCCGTCATGTTGGTACTATGTTGGTGTGGTGTTCCATTTCCCACGGGCGAACAAGGATCATCGCCCATCCCTAATGCGAACTTCTGGTTCTTCTTATTCTGGTACTTTGGGTGTTACGTGGCTGTGGCCCTCATTTTCATCACACAGTTGTTCACACTCTATCGCTTGAATTGGTGGCCGAAAGCCATTGGCGCGAAATGGTCGTACACCTTTTTCTGGACCCTAAGTCTTACTTGCGGGTACTTGATGTACCAGTTCGATGTATCAGGATCTTCTGCGCACTCAAAGATCCCAGACGAAGATGAACGACAATGGGAGCTGAAAACAGAATGGGTATTGCTTACATTCGCCACAATGGCTATGCCTGCGTTCATTTGTTTTATTGGCCTCCGCCGAAGCGGGCGACAAAGGTACCAACACTCTGTCTCGTATACCCAGCAAACATTCTCGACACGAGATACCATGTGGCGAATTCCGGCGTCGTATAAACGTTTTCTATGGTTCATCACATCTCTAGGTATCTCGCTCGTCACTCTATTAGCGGGCCAAGTTTACGCTATTGTGTTTATGTCAACACTACCTCACACAAGTATGGAAGGCACGGCTTATGTTACTTTTTGGATGATCACAGTGCACATTTTGGGTGCCATCGTTCAATGGATAATGACTGAAAAGGTTCGAAGTCGCTCCCTACTATATGCGTTTAAGTATTACTATTTCATGGTCTACTTTATCTTTTACCGGAACCTTTTCGCTCGCCTGCGAAGCTTTGACCAATTCGCTCTAGTACAACTGTTGAGCTCCATGTGGATTTGTATATGGTACCCCATCACGATGTCCCGACCTTTTTTACGTATCCTTAATCACTTCAACTCTCGCCCTTCCTCGTATGAAATGCATGTGGAAAAAGTGAGCATGTATTTCTATCTTCGAAATACGGCTCAGCACACAACAATGCTTGCTTTCCTTGGCTGGCTCTCGATTTTGCATTTCGGCATTAATCAGCCATTGTATCCACTATTTTCCTTCGACGATAAAGATCCTTATAATTACCGCCTGACAATGTTTGGTTCACTAGCTATTTGGGCCTCAGAAATTGCTTCGAACCTACTGGCAACAACGGTACGTTTGCTTCTCAACTAATGGTAAGCTCTGTCGAGTTGTGTATGGTATCCAAGTGGCTCAACTTGGTTTGGCAGAGATGCGCCTCTATCCAGAACTTGTACCAACGTTGGTATGGACAAGTCTTCATGTACTTATGAATATGCTTTTCTTCCTCATTGTATGTTTTCGCATTCTTCTTACCGCAGAAACTTAATTTTGCATAACGACTAAAAATACACTCGGACTGCCTGCGCCAACTGGGACTCCGCAGGACAATACGGGCACTTCACCTTTGGCCGTCCTTTAGCTAGTGCAGTAAGACTATCTTGGCATATAACGTGACCACATGGCATGCACATAGGAGGATTGGCTTCCGTAGCAGGTTCTTTGCTAACAGGACACAAAAATGTGCTGTGGAAGTGTAGATGAGGAGGCAAGGGGATTTCCACAGGCAACTCATTCGCTTGATTCCATTCGTTTCCACGTTGCTTCATTAGACTGCGCACCTTCATGATGCGGCTAAGCGCAATGTTGGCACCCAAATCCACACTCACTTGAAGCGGCGACAGCTGCGGTATGGTGGCAATAGCGCAAAAGTCTTTGAGAAGCTGCTCTCTGAATTGTGTTTCTTCATCATAGATAGTCGAAATCAGAGTATGGTATTTTTGAGGAGCATTTACAAGCATGGCTTCTTCAGAAGGGGCAGTATGTAGTGGAATTCCATGTTCGTTCACCTCGAAAGAAGGAAGGAAAAGTAGAAGAGTCAGAAGCTGTTGGATTTGGTCCATGTAAATGGATGCAAATTTTTTAAACATATGACGTCCATATGCACTTGCCATTTGGATATTGGTCGAGCAGGTGGAAGGAGCGGTCCAATTCATAGGGCGGCATGAGCTGAGAGTGCCCATGGATATCCGGAGAAATTGACCACGGTAAAGCCAGAATTCCAGCGGACTATGCCGTGCAAATAAATCCTCGCTGTGCTTCGTGGCCCAAGATGAAAGGACTGTGATATTGTTTTCTGAGACAGCCTGCAGTAGAGATTGCAACGTTGAAAACAGCTGTGCTCGAGACTCGAGTAAAAGAGCCCCAGACTCCTGACGGTCAGTGATATTGACAGATCACATACATTTTTGAACATTTCGGCTAAGTCATACTTCCCATTCCGAAGTAAATGATCCATGATCGAAGCATCGATGGCGTGCAGACACTCGTCAGTAGCAAACAACGAGGGGTCGAACAGGTTCTCAGGAGTCATAGGAAACTTGCGCTCAATAGCACGATATAGTTTATTGATAGCAGCATAGTATTTTTTATTCTCTGTATTGATAGTTTTTTGCACTTCTTCGAACATTGGTAGTAAAGACATGGGCAAATCATTGCTCCCTTGTAGGTCCGCTGTGCGCTCTATACCTTGAATAACTGAGTTAAGCATGCAAGAAACAGTATATGTATCTCCCGCCTCTTTTTCAAAAAAGGGGGAGAGGTCTCTCAAGCTTTGCCCGAATTGCTCCATAGCATGAGGCGGATATCAAATGAAGCCATGCAGGTGGTAGCCACAATGTGGGATGATATGTATGACTAATTAAAAGGTCCGTGCGATTGCGTAGCGTTACCCTGCGGCCCCACATAGAATAGTCTTGAAAGAATTTTGGTACAATTGGACTCTGCTAAGTACAACCCATGGATAAAATTGAGACAGCATATATATGACAGTGCATGTCTACTAGCACAGAAGTTTTTAGGTATATATAAAGCCCTAAATACATAGGTGAATTTTCGTCATGACGTTGTGAAGGAAAACGAAGTACTTCACCTCGGCTAGTCCCAATCAAGATCATCATCATCATCATATTCTTGTCCTCGGATTTCAGAAGACTTTTCATCGTCATTTTCCTCATCAGAAAGCTTTTTCTCTTGTGTAGGAGCACCAGACTGACCACGTTGGGGTGGATCGATGGCACCTACAGCTGTCAAAAGAAGCTCAATATCTTATATTAGCGTCATAGAGTACACATACCTTGCATTTTAGTATTCATGCCATCCAAACCAATCTCTGGCCGTAAGCCGATAATTTGACGGCGAAGCTCGCCATTCCGGTAAATAAGCAAAGTTGGTAGATTATGGTCGGGATAGTTTGGTATGCACTGGTTTCCAACAATACTCACAAACTTGGTAGAGGGATGCTTGGCCGCCAGTGTATCGAGGAATCCTGACACAAGTCGACAAGTCTCCATACCCGAGTTATATAGAAAGCACACCACGCCCGTACCTTTTCGGGCCTCATCTGTCTCGGATAAATTCCCAGGCTCTTTACTGGCCTCAGTCACTTCACGAGTATAATCAGGACGAGAGATGGGGTATACGCGACCAAACCTCGCCTTGGAACTAGCAGCTGCCAGTTCACGCATTCGCTGCTGGCGGATTTGCTGTAGGATACGCTCTTCATCGTCGTCCGCAGTCTCTAGCTCCTCATCTAGATCCTCCACAGTGGCTTGCAACCGTGCGCGATGGCGCTGCTCTGATTCACGGGGCAACTCTGGCGAAGGCGAACGCGAGGGGGGTTTGGGTGGGATAATACCATGAGCTCGAAGGGCATCATGACTGTATTGTTAGTCTCTTGGGACATACAATTCGGTATCTTCGTTTGGATCAACTTGGACCTGTGGCATGATGCGTGACTATCAAGACGCGTCAACGCGTTCGTAATTTGGCGTAATAAACTAGTGCGATATTCCACCGCTTGTAGATTGGAAGCAACAGGGCGGAGGGAATAAGGGGGCGCACGTGCTATGCTCTGTCCCTTCACGTGGGGGTGTGCTAAAAAAAATTAAAAATGTGGCACACACATGTGCACAGGACAAGCACAGCATTTATAAAACCGGACCCAAGCACTTTCGTCGCTACCTCTCGACCCCTGTCTTAGCTTTTAATCATGTCTCTCTTCGTTCCTTCGTCTGTTTTGAGCCCTGAGAGTCTTGGTACTATTGAGGTGTTCGGCACCATCTTGTCCACCCAGACTCAGTCTCTTCTCATTGCCCTTAGCGAGCTGGGTATCAAGTTCATCCACCACCCTGCTATGCCCAACTCGCCTGAGGTTAGCCAGCTCTCTCCCTTCGGTACCATCCCTGTGATGGTTCACCGCCCGAGTGCTATTTACGCCTCGAAGGACATTGTCTGCTTCTACGAGATGTCGGCTATTGCCCAGTACATTGATGAGGTGCTTAACGTCCAGTCGTCTGCCGAGGGCAAGTCGGACGCTCTGATGCCCAAGCTCGCGGACAGCCACAGTGGTAAGTATGCTGACTCGGCCCTGCTCCGTGCTGAGGTCCGCCAGCTTTGCTCGGTCATCCGCACGTACATCCAGAATGTGGTGGAAGACCAGTACGTGAAGCCGTACTTTGCTCTCCGTAACAACGGTGCGTCGGAGAGCGACATCAGCGTTGCCCTCTCGGAGCAGCTCGACACTGCCATCTCTGCTCTCATCTACCTCGAGCGTATCATCCACAACGTCCAGCAGAAGCTGAACATTGGTGCTGACGCTGACTTTTTGTTCGGCAAGCCAACCTGGGTTGCTGCCCACCTGTTCCCTATCCTGCGTGACTTCCGTGCTACTGGCCCTAAGGTCCTCATTGGTGGCCCCAACGAGCGTCTTCCTCACCTGACCAAGTTCCTGCAGTCCTTCGAGAACCGTCCGAGTGCCCAGGCTGTCCTCAAGGGCACCTTTGCCGCCTCGGCCTAAGCGCAGCTTTCAAATTTCTTGGGAGAGATTACTGTCAACATGTAGGATTTCTTTATTTGCTCTTAATCTTAGATGGTATTAGGCCTCCAATTTTGGTAATGAATGGCCCAATGTGTGCAATGGGTTGGTGCACGTGCATGCTAAAAACTCCACCTTACTTATCTGACTGCATATGCGTTGACGACTTGGCCCTGTAATCCGCCAATGATGATAAAACCTGGTTGCCTGCCTTTTCGTAACGCGCTCCTTTGCATTGTGCTAGTAGCATCCAAAGTGACTGCGCGTTTTGCGCGACATGACTAGGCATTTCGTCTAGCGCAAAACATAGCGCGTCGAGCCCCACAGGAAAAGCGCCTGGTGGACCCGGCCAAGGTTTTAATAAGCCATCAAAGACTTGATCAGCTCGCCTGTCAGTAACATGGAAATACATACATAAATCATGTGCAAGAAGTGCGAGTCCAAAAAATCCCTCGCTCATTACGAGAGCACTCTGCCGGGCATAGCAGACCATATGACATAAAGCGTCTATGATAGAGACGTCTTGTAATTGTTCGAATCCATTGAGAATATTAGCTTGCAATGCCTCCTCAGATATAGATTGCTCAAAAGCCACCTCCTGATGTTGAAGCTTATTATTCTTGAGCGAGAAAATGTTGCGAAGTAGCATCACAAAAATACGAGCGACCTGAATCCGAAGAGTTTGATCATCAGTACGTGACCATAAAGCAATTAGCCGAGGCAAGATGCTTTGGCCACTAAGCTTTGATTGCATTATCATTAGAGCGACTCCAGGATGTTCAGTCGAGGATGCAATGTTCTTAATTAAGTTCAAGATGTTGGATTGCACAAATTTTGCCATATCATGTTGAGGATCCAAATACACAGGGAGAAGATCTACTACCTTGGCCAACACCTTTTGTTTGTTGTCCTCTGGTATGGCGAAGTTGGCAAGTGCACCAGAAGCAGAATGAGCAATTCGGTTGCTGTCTCTGGCATTAGACCAGTGGTACACAATTCGTTCAAGGAGAGCGGTGTTTGAACAAAGAGCCAGGCTACGCTTGTGGCCACGGGCAAGATTGCCTGACAGCAAAAGCAGACAGGTAATAAACAATGTGTCGCCTGCTTCTTGATGTAAACCAGCTAATATGAAGTCAAGAAACCAGCTTTGGGTATCAGCTTGATCATTCTGCAAAGGACAAAGTGTTTCCAGGTATTTGTCTTGTCCTGCTATTTCAACAAGCACATGAGAAGAGGATTTGCGCAAAAGTGTGAAGGCCTCAGTTACCTCGACGCAAAAGTCATCGGTAAGTAAACTCTGCTTGACATTGCGTGGAAAAGATAATGCGACAATGTTAAGAATTCCTTTCATAGATTCTTGACCTTGCGACATGATGGCATCAATAAGAACTTCATTGTCAGAGTGACTGGATAGTATATTAGAGATGCATGTCATTATAGTGAGTTCTTTCTCCAGGATATCCGTGTCGGTCTTGGGGGCATCAGTACTAGATGCCCAATGCTGAATCCAAAACAAAATAGCTTGAACAAGCAGTGGATCCCATGTTATTGTCTTTCTTTCTCCAATACTTTCCCTGACATCATCTAATAATCGCCAGCCCCATTCTTGCATTTGATAAGTAACAAAAACAAGTTCATTTATGTCGTTTTGTGACATGACGTTAAACCATAGCGTAGAACCGAGAAGTTTGGAGATTGACTGAAGAGCCTCCCTTTGAAGTATCAATTTGGCCTCATCAAAGTCCATTTGAATATTAAGTAGCGCTCCCAAACTCATCATATATAGTTTGATTGATGCCACCTCATGACAATTTGGGGAGGAAGTGTCATACTCGTCGAGAATTCGGATCAGAACTGGAATAGCTTGTGAATGAAGAAGAATGGATCTGTTGTTGTCTGATTCAAGTTAGATGATATGTTACATACCATGATCAACGCATAAGTTAGCCAGAATTCGCAAAGCTTCAAGCCGATTTGCAATGGAGGATTCATGCAGGATCCGGAGACAGAGCTGGGGTAAATTAGTCTGCCCTAGTTCATTTCGAAGCCTTTCGCTTCGTAACTCATCGCCAATATTGTGTAATATAGTGTGAATTTCGTCACTTTCCTCATATGAAATAGAATAGCGGGCAGCGACCTGTCGGATCTCATCCACTATGACGTCTGATTCTGAAATCATGGTGGAAAGAGCTGCAGCTCCGCCACCTCCACAATGTACGTGTCTTGCCATCATTATGGTTTCTCGTCCGCCGGTGTCAGCGCTAGAACAGACGGCAATGAGCCGTTTCTTTTGCGCGCGCCAATTTGCAGTGATTGGAGCTAGTACGGACCGTTCCAAATTTGGGAACCATGTGCTTCGATGGTACATTGATCGGCATATGCCAGTTACACCAGTTCATCCAAAGCAAGAGAGTATTGAAGGTATTCGAGCCGTGAAGGAGCTTAAGGAGGCGACTGAGCAGGCACCCAATAAGTTCGAAGCTTTGACAGGTGTTTCTATCATTACACCCCCTTCGATAACAAAAATGATTTTGGAAAAATACGCGCAAGAATCACAAATTGAGGGGTTCTGGCTTCAGCCCGGAGCAGCAGATGGGATTGTCGGTAGGTAACAGAATGCACAATTACCATTAACATTACAGTTAAATGGATTCAGGAGCAACCAGAAGAGGTGCAAAGTAAAATTGTTTATTCCGGACCATGCGTGCTTGTAGAAGGAGACAAACTTGCTCGATCCTGTGGACGGCTATGATCCAGCTTTTGTACTGTGCTAGAACCTGTACATTTTGGGCTGTATTAAAACAGGCTATAACAATTTCTGAAAGAGTTCATCATCATAGGAGAGATTAATCACTAGATCGAATAGATGGCAGATGAAAAGACTTAAACTTCTTCGCGAGACTAAGCTTGCGAAACAGCAGGCGCTGGAGCTGTTGGAACTGACGCATCTGGGTAAGCATACGTGTAGGATGCAGTAGATTGAGGATAGTGGGTATAAGTCTCCGTCATTTGTGGGATTTCAGAGTTCACGTGGTCAGTCTTGGTGAGAGTACGGACATCTTGCGTAGAGAAAGTCGACTCTTGTCCATGATTTGGGTCGGATGCATGAATTGGCCAGGCATATGCGGCGGGCGTGTCTTGAGTAGCAGTAGGCACGGAGTGCTTGTGGAGACCATGTTCTCTTTGAATAGGAATAGCCGGATCCCAAGCTCCAGTATACGCTTCCTCATGAACAAGCTGTGGTATATTACGACTGTATCGATCCATGCCTCCTCCTCCTCCTTGACCCGTTTCAGCATAAATCGTATCCAGGGCTCGCGCGTTCCGCCTCTTTTTTATTTGACGGTATAGTAACCACGATGCAACAAGAACAACAATCAAGCCCACAACTCCACCAACGACACCACCAACGACAGCACCTACATCTGTTTTAGCTTCCTTGGGAGGAGTTGGTAAGTTACTGCTTGGCGCAGGAAGCACGGACGTGATAGTACGGTTCGTTATAACAGTTTTGCCTTGTACAGATGAAGTCTCCGTGGAAGTGACAATGACTTGACGTCGCACCCGCTTCAGACTAGCATTATCGAATGCTATAGTAGGTGTAGCAGTTGGACGCATGCCTGACTTATGGAGCTGCGACATCGTACAGCGTAGACGGATGCTACCGCGTAATTGCACAGCCGACAAGCGTGCAAATGAGCCTCGACCAGGGGGCGAACTCAATAATCGCATGACTAAACAATCTCTCGCTCCATACGACTTTCAAAGGGCCGACGCTTGCACCCCTACCATGTTGGGGAGAACTATTCGAAAGGGCAATGGTTGAAAACTCATTCAAAATACAGATATATAGGTTTATGTACGTGTAGCTTTAGAGTGGTCGTTACTTTGAATATTGTGGCATTTCTGGTGGCGTCGAAGATTGGAGTTCACACTGAAACAGCGACCACAACCTGGGACATCACAACGGAAAGGCTTCTCTCCCGTATGTGAGTGGATATGGGTCCGCAGACTTGACGGTCGAGAGAATCGCTTTTTGCAGTAGCTGCATTCAAACTTCCCTCCTTGACTAGTTTGACGGCCACTATTACGCTTGATGTAGTGTGCAGACGGTGAAGTCTTAGTAGAAGAAATCGTGTTGGATTCATTCTTCATAACGGGGGAAGATTTTTTCAAAATATCGCCTGAAACGTTTGTCGTGTATTTCAAATTTTCTTCACCTGAAAGTGACTTAATGTGCTCAGCAGAAGAAGCCGTGCCCATATCCTCAAAGAATCCTGGAAGTTCATTGCTAGGAGTAGCGGGGTCGCTATCACTTGATCCACTCGAGGAAAAGGAGGCGTATCTGTACGGAGTATCGCGGTGGGGGTAATCGTCGTAAGACAACATGGTAGGTCGTTCAGAGATGCTGTTGAAGGGGGAAGTTTCCAGGACCCTGGTCCTGTGCAAAGAAGCATCACTGTGACCCGTCCAAGTACCCATGCGCCTGTTATGTTGGGGAGCCATAGACCGATGCCATACATTAACGGTGCCAGACTGATACATGCCATGATCTGTAGGGTGTTCATCCCTCATGTTCATACTTTGCAATTTCGTAGGAAGAGATGAACTTAGATATGGCGGAGAGATGCTTCGTCCATAATCATAACTAGATTTCCGGTAGGAAGGGCAATGGTAAGAATTATACGGATGAGATCGAGATCGGGAATGGCTCCGTGCGGTAGCAGGTGAATGCAGATTGTACGACATCACTTCGGGCATATGGAGTCCTGGTGTAGAAATGTTGTGTGAACAAGACGGATGGACATAGTGTGATCGCTGGTGACCTGCATTGAGCTCATATGACAACAAGTTGCGAATCCCAGGGAGGCTTTGTCCTGCCATAGAATTGTTTTGGCTTGACAAAGGCGATGTCGCTAATCTAGAAGATAAAATCATGATGGTAGGAGTGATAAGTGACGGCTGTGTTTGCTAGTATCATAAAGAAATACAATACGCCCCGGGCTGAGCCTGACGCCCCTTTGGTCGTTGGGGTAACCCCGACATAAAGAGGAAAATCGCATTCCTGTTGGCGGCCTTGACGTCACCTTGGTCTGTGCGGATTACCCTGACCAGATGTGGCGTAAAATTAATTGATATTGGCTGGAAATTCTCAGCAGTTTGCCAGACAAACACTAAATTGGGGATATAGGGATACGAAAATAGCAGCTTCTTAGGTCATGGGAATTTCCGACGATCAGGTGCTAAAATATGATTGGTCCAATTAGATATCAATCCTGGGATCGCGCAGCCTCGTCGTTTAAGCGAGACTGTAATCGAAAGTCTACGGCAGCCAGGTGACGATCGCTCAAAGGAGCTGGGGGTGGGGGTGGCCCTGACGGCCCGTAGCGATCTGGGCTAATCAATCCAGAAGATGGGAGACTTGATTTACCCTTATAATGCGAAAGAGAGTTCAAAGGGGTCATCGTGGGAAACGAAGAAAAATCACAAGACGATAATGACGCCTTGCGACTTTCAGCTGGCGTTCCACCCCACAAAGAAGTACGCGACTGAGCACCTGATGGGGTGCCATCGTCAATGTCAAAATCCTCTTCTTCCTCATCATGAGTATCGTCGTCGTCGTCCTCTTCGGGTGCGTTGCCCTCTGTGTTCTCTGTGGGATGCTGTAAATTATCAGAATCGTTGGTAGAGGTACCATAATGTTCTCCCCCTCCTTTGGATAGAACTTTGTGCTTTTTGTCTTTCCCTTTTGCAGGTCTGAAACTCATTTGATGCTTACGCTGGTTCCAGTTGAGTGTGCGCGAAACAGAATCAAACCATGGGCTCTTAATATCCTCAGGGCTCACCGTAATGAAGGGATAAGGCGAGGCCGTAATAAGCACATGATCACCACGTTTAATTTCAATACGACCTCGTCCGTCGAAGCTAGCCCAGGCATTACCACGCGAGCCGTAGGGAACAGCAATGCGCATTTCCATAGTATCTGGGATAAGCATAGGGCGGAATGACAGTGTATGGGCACAAATAGGCGTCATGAGTATGGCAGGGATGTTTGGATGGACCAGAGAACCACCTGCAGAAAGGGAATAGGCTGTCGAGCCGGTAGGTGTGGAAATACAAAGACCATCAGCTTGTGCTGTGGTCAGATGAATATCGTCGGCAAATACTTCCAGCATAGTAACATATGGACTTGGTCCTCGATCGACAACGAGGTCATTCAAAAATTCGATCGATTCAACAGGACGAGTACGGAAATAGTCCGTCTCGTTGTCAACAGGGATTTGTGTGTCATTGGCATCAGCCCCCGACTCCATTTCAATTGAGCACCAGCCACGGTTTTTAATATTACGGATAACCACGTCTTCGGTAGATGATTCGATCAATTTTCTGCGGCGACGAGCGATCGCAGGGTCAATTTTATCGATAGCACGATAAACTGTAGCACGGAAACGCATGCGCATATTGAGACGTGTGCCTTGGTCAAGGATATGGGAGAGCGTTGTCTTGTAGTCTTCAAATTTAAAGGGAGTGAGAAAGCCCAGGGAGCCCAGGGAGAAGGGAATAACAGGAGGAACATTCGTCTGGAAGAGCCAAGAGGCGAAAAGGACAGTACCGTCGCCGCCCAAGGTGATAACAAAGTCAAAAAGCGATGGAGATTTGGTGCATAGGTCACTATTCCAAAAACGCAACTGCCCCTCATCACTCGCCAGACATTGGTTTGTATTATTTTTGGCAGTATCCTTGCTCGTGGGCTCAAACAGGTGAGGGTGTTCTTCCTTCATGCCTGCCACATTGAAACGTTTAGAGGTCTTTAATTGCTCATCCACGTACACGATCAGTCCTCGTTTCCGTCCTGGACGAGGGCGTGTCATGAGCCAAAGACTAAGCTCCCGCGTGCATAAAACAAGGTGGTTATCACGCGCTTTGGTTATAATCAAGATGCTCTCTGTGTTGGAATGGACGCGAGCTCGATCTATTTTGTTAGTCATGAAAATACATACACAGACTCTTGTACATCTCCCGTACGCTGACAGCTGTTCTGGAAAGCTGTTGCGACATATTACTCATACGATCCACGGTAGGATCAGTGCAGGGATCAGAATCAGGGTCGCTCTCATTCTGTGATAGGTTTTCGCTTAGGCTTTTTTGTGACTTCTCTAACACGACATCGATGGAAGGTGGCTCTGTTACGGTATATTCCACATCTTTAGTCTGCGACATGGCCGTAGATAATGGTCGCCGGAGTATAAACTCGGTGCTGCGACTACGGCATGTGAGAAAAACGAAATTTTTTTTGCGCACGAGACACTCCGAGCATGCAACAAGCGCAAGACGCTACCGAGTGGCGCTTTGATCCAGCTATGGCACGCGTGATTGATGTCGCATCGCTGGCTAAGGCACGCGTCCTTGTGCCATATGGTCTGGCGTCAACCCTAGCGTTCATTGCTATGATATACAAAGCACGCCGTGAATATATGGACGAAGCTATGGCAGCTGCATGGGTCGCTAATAGCAACGGCTGCATGGCGGTATGTGGCACGATTGCTCACGACAGATTATGTTCAACTTTATTGCCTTTGTACTGATTGGAAGCGGTAGAGTACTGCAAATGGTCTTGCTGGGCCGGCTCCGCCGTCAGGAATTAGATGTACGTGTGCATATTGACTCATCATCCTAGACACTTCGTGAAGCGATTGGCATTGAGCTTTTCGACATGATGGTAACTCTGACGATGGTGTTTTATAAGTTCGATATTCGCTATTTGATGCTTGCAGGCGTTCTTATGATGCACAGCATGTTCCAGCGACTTTGTTCAGCGCGTATGGACTCTGTATGTACAGAAATGACTGACTCTTAGATGAATCAGGTTCCAACGGTTCCCCGCCATTGGCATGTGCGCATGGCGTTCCTGTTCACCTATCTCCAATCCAACCTGACTGTATTGGTACCTGCCATGATTCTGTTCCTTTTGCAAAATGCGGGACCGGGTAATGTGATGATCTTGTTTGCTACGGATGGCATTATATACCAAATCCACTTACTTGCTCTGATGGCACTCTATGCATGCACTTTCTACGAACTACAGCAACAAGAGCCCTGGGAAGCGAAAAGCAAGTTTGTTTCGCTTATTGAGTTTCTTCGGGATTTGGCTATGTTTCTTGCCTATCCTGTCTGCTATGGCCTCGCCCTTCGGTATGTCCCGCTTACATCGCACTTCATTTTGCCATTCAATGCATTGCGGAATTTCGCATTGTTAGGCTACTCTCTGTATTCTCGCGTTCTTCGCTACATACGGTTCCGGGCTGCTACGCGAGACATGGACAACAAGTACCCTGCTCTCTCCGCTGACGAGGTGGGGCAGATGTCTGACCCGACCTGCATTATTTGCAGGGAGGAATTCACAGCCAACGTGTCAAACCAAGGAGAAACTGCAAGAAGGCTTTTTTGCGGACATGTGTTCCATTTACGATGCCTTCAGTCTTGGTTGGAGCGACAACAAAGTTGCCCCACGTGTCGTCGCGACATTCTAGCCTCGCCAGCTGCGTCGTCGCCCCCACAAACACGCCCAGGGTCTGGTACCAATGCAAGTTACACAAATTCGGCTTCAACATCTCATACCACACCCAGTACAGCATCTACATCCGGCGCGAGTCCGACGATGACGCCGCTGCAGACGCTCCTCCAGCGGTTCAAACAGGAGAGCAACGTGAGGCAAGCTTCCACAGAACACACTCAGTCTCCAACAACAGAGTTGAAGTCGCACCCTGTACAGACGGAATCCACGTTAGATCCAAGAGAAGCAGTACGACAAGCTACACTGAAGCGATTTGGCAATGCGACCTCTGCTGAAACGATTAAGCGTCAGGAAGATACCTCTCCAAGCATGATACCACTCTTCAACCCTGCTCAAGTACCTAACTATGCAACATACTACATGCCTCGCCTGCCACATCCTTTGGCAGAATGGATTCAACCATCTGCGACAAAGTCGCAAGCTCCGACCGAAAATTTGCCCGAAGAAACAGAGACCCGCTTACAGACACAGCTGCGCACCTTGGAAGAAACACAGCAGCTTTTACAGCATGCCATGCATCGTGTCCAAGACGCTCTACAAGACCCGACCTCCCCTGCTACCTCCAATGGGAAGGGGAAGGAGAAAGCACGCGAAGCTTATGACCATTCTGACACCCTGGAATCCTACATACAACATGAAGAGGATTTGTAAGGCGCGTTAGGCTGAGTCGTGCAAGTAGTGTAAATATAGTTCCTAGAATCATGGTATTCAAGTAAGCTTATCACTACAGATGGTATATAGCATTGAGAAAATGCTTAGGGTACGGGGCTTACTTCTTCTTCGGTGTCTTCAGTTTGATTTGCTCATCGCCAATAAAGATACCCTTGCCCTTGTACGGTTCGGGCTTCCGGTACTGACGGATGGTCTGTGCAAATTGTCCAAGATTCTCTTTGTTCGCACTTGTCAGTTTAATGACAGTGGGCGATGGTGTTTGCGCTTTGATGCCGTAGGGAATGGGGATAAGTACAGGGTGGGAATAGCCTAGACGCAGGTTCAACCTCTCGTTCTGGCCAGACGATTCAACCAAGCGCTTTGCACGGTCAATCTCCGTCTGTTTCTGATCAGCTGCATACCAGTGACCACGGCCACGCTCCAATTCCACCTCCAGAGGATGCTTCCGTGGCAATGGATCAGGCTCAACGCTCGCACGATAACCAACACCAACAAGGCGGAGGGACACCTCATGGCCTTCCTCGACACCCTTGATAGCATTCGCACACAGCGCGCGAGTCAGCCCCCATATGCCGCGCTGCAGCTTGGAGTTCTCATCCTCGATAGAAAACGAAATGGTGCGCAACTTCGTCTCTGCATCTTCACCCCAATTGGTATTCACAAAGTGGTGAAGAGGTACAACAATTTCACCTTTCGGGCCTGTAAACACAAGTGTCTTGGCCTTGCGCATCAAGGCGGACAGAGGCCGTGTGGGGCGGGGCTGCGGTGGGAAGTCCAGCACGGTCATGGTAGTCGTCTCTGGCATTTTCACTGGCTCACGACGGGTATGGATCGCACGTAGTAAAGTAGGGATTGCCGAATGCGAACTTTTTGTCCTGATACGGAGGCTGGCCGTAATGGCCTGGGGCCTCCATGCTGGGAACCACATCACAGGCATACCCTTCCCAACGTATGCACAGACGTTCTCGGCGAACCACGGCTATGGCGACGACGTGGTGGTGCATGCTGACTAAGTTTGAGTTATCAAAACTATAATTGTCACGTGATAGGATGGGCCTCTGCGTTAGGTGAAGCCTCATCCTGGTCGTTCTCTCTAGCTTCCCATCGTTGCTATATACCAAAGGTATGTGTGCTTGGAGACTGCATGGGAACGTCGTATATCGTAGGTGACGATGGATGGCAATAGTATTGTCATGCTTTGCATACAGTGCTTTTTGTGAAGAAAACCATGTGTCATCTATGATTGAATACGACGTGCTCCATATGGTCTAGGACGAATCTTCGCAGAATTTGTACTAACGCATTTCCTAGATGGCTCAGCGGCTGACTCTGCGCAAGCGCAACCCTTACAACACCAGGTCGAACCGCCGGCGCGTCGTGAAGACCCCGAGCGGTGAGCTGCGCTACCTTCACATCAAGAAGCTGCCCACTGCCCCGAAGTGCGGTGACTGCCACACTATCCTCCCGGGTGTGAAGGCCCTTCGCCCGCGTGCTTACGCCACTGTGTCGAAGCGTGAGAAGACTGTCCAGCGTGCCTACGGTGGTAGCCGCTGCGCTGACTGCGTCCGCACTCGGTATGTATTTTCAGAGAAAAAGGAAGAATACTAACATCACAGCGTCATCCGCGCCTTCCTTGTTGAGGAGTCGAAGATAGTCAAGAACGTTCTCAAGGCTCAGCAGGCCAAGCAGCAGTAAGCTTTTTCAACAACCTGTATGGTTCGTTGATTAATGGCTTTCTGTGACTATTTTCTTCGTACAAAATTGTCCTTATGTGATCTTCCCCATTCAGGGATATGACCTGCATGTGTAGCTTCTAGCACCCATGCGGTGTAAGATAGGGATATATGTGCTTGATAGCGCAAACATGATCTACATATGCAAGTGTGCGCGTGTGTTTTGTGCGAGTGTGTGTGTATGCACGGGAGAGAAGGATAGTTTAGGACCATGTTGTCTATGTGAATACGAGTGCTCTACCAAGCTGCTACAGGGCTGGTACAATGCGGCACGTCCTTCATGCTGCGACGGCGCCCCTATGACCACCCATCAGCGTCTTGCACCTTTTTTCGTTCGTCCAGCCCGATGCTTAGGGGACTAGTCAGCAATAGTAATAAACCAATCAAGTCTCGTTTTGCACAAATAACGTGTGCCCCGGATGAAGGGAATAGTGACAGTAAAGTGTATGCACGTAAGGCTTGACCCCACCACCTATACACGAACGTCACGTTTATTTGTGTGAACGTCGTGCATCGATTCCATCTCCAAATTTTGGTAGAGAGCCTTGGAGAGAAAGTCACTACGTTAAATTGGGCTAGTGTCTACGGTCACAAAACAGCGGCGTCAGAACCAGGCACCCTGGAACGAGCGTACATTCTGTGTGTGGTGCGAAAGAGTGCATTTTGTCACTGAAAGGACTCTGCATTCGTGTACCGTCTCACCTAGACAAGGAGACCTCTTTATCTAGTTCCATGATTTTTGACGAGCCAAGTTCCTCTACGGCCATGTCGCAAAATGGGGAAGAGATTGTCCCTGATCCTCCTGAGATGGATGCAGCCGACTTTATGCATACGCCACAGTCTGGGCGTATGGAGGAGTCAATGACAGAGAGTGAGCTTGGAAACTCTATGTACAAGCGAACGGCTGACCAAATGGAGGGACATACGCCGTCGTCAACAGGGTCGCGAGACGCGGGTAGCAGTGGTGGTACGCAAAAACAAAAATCGACGCGTGGCGCGCGCGCTTGCACCAACTGCCACCGGTTGAAGATGAAGTGTGAAGGTGCTGAAAATGGCGGACCATGCCTTCGGTGTGCACGCAGTGGACATGAATGCATATTCCTGGAAAGCAATCGTGGCCGAAAGTCGGACAAACGCCGTAAAACGGCTGCTATGCAGCAAAGTCTGAAAAAGGTCGAACATATGCTGGTTTCTTTACTACAGAATATGAATGACACACCTGCAGCCACCATGTCGCCGATCGATGCGACATTCTCGCAGGCCAAACTGAAACACAGGAGCACGAAACCGGGCGCAGATACCAACATTTCCCCCGCCGCAGTTGACATGCTGGTCGAACGTGTGCGCAAACTTGTGTCCGCAGAAGGACTGGACAATGCTAAGACGCATTCCATCCGCGGCATTGCCGAGCAGACTGCCAAGTTCATGCAACAACTTGGTCTGCTAGATGAGACTACCTGCTCAAACCTGTTTGATCCTAGTGATGAACGATTCCTTAAAAAGTTGCTGCAGACTGCCTTAAAGGGAAATGCGTCGATGGACCGTACGAATCCCTCTACGTCGAGCGACAAGATGGATTCGACACGCATGCCGCATTTGCCAGACAACACGCTGAACCCCTTGGGCCTTTTTGCAGAGGCCAGTTTGCAAAATTGGCAACGCAATAACTCAGAAAACCAACGCAACAAACAATTCCCACATTCTTCACGGCATGACAGCCCAGGGACGCTGCCTGGTGGTGATACACCCGGAGTGGAAGGGTTGAACCAAGGCGCACTCCCCCATGGTCAGTCTGGTGCTAGCAAGGACGTGCCGCGGCAGTATGGTGTTGCAAACGAGTCGTACTTCCACTCGAGCACAATGACGCCGATGGCTGCGATGGAAAACGGTGGTGATTCGCCACCGGAGCTGCTAACAGAAGGCATTGTCTCATCAGAGGAGGCGCTCGAATTGTTTCGCATCTTTTTCCATCACTGCTCGCTGCACATGTTCCTCCTCGATCCCGAGTGGCATACGCCGACGTTTGTGTGCTCTCGCTCGCCGTTTTTGTTTACGTGCGTGTGTGCGGTGGCATCAAAATTCTATACACGTCGGCGGGACTTGTATGTACAGTGCCAGCGCCGCGCTATCAAGAGCGCCTTCGATGTGATGAGCCGTGGGCATAAGTCGCCTGAGATCGTGCAAGGGTTCCTGCTCCTGACGCTGTACAACCAGCCGGTAGAACGGTATGAGGAGGATCGGACATGGCTCTTTGCAGGTGTCGCGATCCGCATGGCACAAGACTTGAACCTGCACCGCAAGACAGTGATGTCGAACGAGGAGAAGGAAGATGAAAATAAGATGCGTGACGTGCTCAATCGCGAGCGTACGTGGTACATTTGCTTCTGTGTGGACCGTACGCTAAGTGCACAGATGGGCAAGCCGTACAGCATCCGCGAAGACTTTCTGATTCGGCATGCAGCGGAATGGTGTTTGCAGCCGTTCAGTCGACCATGGGATTTGGGTATTTGTGCGCTTGTCGATTTGCTGCGTGTGCAGACGCGCCAGTTGGACTTTTTGTACTCTTCGACGGTGACGCCGTCTGGTTTGAACGTCGATTTGGACTACCCAGCGATCCTCCCTTCGTTCAACGAGCAGCTCAGTGAGACAATGCAGTTCTGGTACCGATTGGGCCTCGATTCTGTGACGCGAACGTGGCGCCCACTTTCGTCGAGCAATCCTCAGACGGACATGTCGAAGCCACCGCATCCAGACAATATCGCCTTGACGCCATCGCAGAGAAACAAGGAGCGAGGGGAGGACAAGGACAAGAATCCTGATACTGCAGATAAGGACAAGAACATGTCGAAAGCGTTTTTGCCGCTACTGCAGAATCTCGTGATGGATCTGGGCAATTCGGGTGTGGCGGATACGCTGCGTGTTTCGACGCTCTTAGCGCTGCATCAGGCGGGTCCTCCTGGCGATGACGCAGATCTGAGCACACGATCGATGTACTACATTGCACGGCAAGCGCCGCTGCGGTACAACTATGCGATCTTGGTCCTCAACTCGTTTGGTCTGCAGTATGCTCTGGAACGACCAAGTGATGGCATTTCTGCGGACAAGCCACAGTACTTGGTTCGCTGTGTGCATGCTGCGAAAGAGATTATTGCTACTGTGAAGTACGGCATGCGGGAAATTCTGCGGTACGCTCCAGACCCGACCTTTGTCGTGGTTGCCTATGCATGTGTCTTCCTCCTGAAACTGATCCAACCGATGTTTGCCAAGTACATCAATGAGGAGGAGATTATTGCGTTGGTGAACAATACCATCGAAGTGCTGGAAGAGGCAGCGGTCGACCCATCGCATACGCCCGCACTCTACGCGTCGTTCCTTCGCTCATTGGTCCAGTCGCGGCATGAGTCCAGCATGGATAGCGCTTCGCATGGCCACGCCGCGGCCGAAGCGGGACCGTCAGGCGCGGGCGCTACGCACGCGGCATCGATGGGCGAGCCACACCGGGCAGGGACTGGGCCAGCCAACGACCCATCGCTTGCGCCCCCACCCCGCTCGCCCACGTCGATGACCGTGGATCCCACGCAAGTGAACCCGATGGTCGCGGAGTTGGCCGCGAGCGATCCCATGCATATGAACAATGCCCATGGCAGCGAGTTGGAGCTGGACCCGTCAGGGGTGCCCACCACGCTGTCCATGCCTATGGATACATCGACTGTGCCGATCAGTATGCCTGCGCCGCATGATACCTTCCCCGACATTCAAGGTTGGGATGCGATGCAATATGCCAAGGCCCAGGGTGTGGATGTGAATCGTGTGCTTGACAACAGCTTCTGGGCGAGTTTACTGCCGCCTGGGTATGGCAGTGGTGGTCCCAACCCTGTCCCGTCGTTTGACCTCTCGCGTGAGTCGGACTTGTTCCGCCCCTCCTCGGCGTCAGGTGGTCGGGCAGCGTTGACACCTGGCGCGACGCGGGCCTCGTCGCCCACGCTGATGCTGGGCCATTTCCCACTGTGATAGAGGGTGTCATGCTCTATAGACTTTTCATACCATCTAGTGTCTAGATAGGCACGACACGCTGAAGCCATCGGCCCAAGTCGTGGATCTCGGCAGGACAAGCAGAGTGCGGCATCGCGTACTCGTGCCATTCGGCCTTCGACCCAAAGCCCAGCTCGTTCTGAAGCCGGTCGTGCGTCATTTGGCCGAAGGAGAAATCAACAATCTGATCTTGTGTACCATGTGCCTGGAAGATAGGGAACGTCGAGGTGCTGCTTCGCATCGATGCCACCTTCTTGTGCAAGGGCAGCCATGACGAAAGGGCCGCGACACCGGCGAGGGGCTCCTTGTTCGTCACGCCCAGAAGCAGGGACACTGCGCCACCCTGACTGAAGCCTGCGACTACGATACGGTTCAGTGGGACGGCATGGCCATTCAAGCCTGGCGCGCTCCCGTCGACTTCTTGCTGGATCAGCGAACGCACAGCGCTCACACTCTCAAGCAGACCCGCCTCGTCTTCCTCACGATCCAGGCTCAGGAGCGAAAAAACTATCATGAACATTGTAGATGTACGTACCATCAAACCAGCCAGTCATCTTCATGCCCATATTCAGCGTAATGGGACGCACAGGAGCAGTGGGCAGCACGAAGCGAATATGTTGCAAGGCTTGGTCTCGACCCAGCATCCGTGCTACATCAAGCCAGCCTTGAGCCGTATCTCCAAGACCATGCAGAAGGAACACGGTCGCACTAGGCATGCCACCCGCTGCCGGGGGTACAATCACCGTTTTGAGGGCGGCTGCAGCTGCTGAAGCCATGGTGAAGTGGGGATACGACTCCCCACCGGTGCCGGGGCCACCCACCGCGCCCACCGGCGCACGCAGGCACGCCTAGGGAGGGTCAAAATGACACAATTACGTCAGCATGAGCGAGCCACGCCCAGCTTTGACCGGCGCACGGCTTGCGTGGAGCGACGACCATGGTGATCTCCAAGCGTGCCGGTGCCCGCAAGGCAGGCGGTGCTGCAAAGGCGCCGCCCCCCGTAGTGAATCGCGGAATCGCCAAAGCAGACTGGCGTGAAGGCTTCAAAAAGCCGCAAGCAGGCGTGTCCGATATGACCCTGCTCACGCAGATTACCAACGAGGCTATCAATGACAATCTTCATAAACGCTTTGCCAATGGCGAGATTTACGTACGTATGCTTGGCCCTCACACCACAGACATATATCGGCAATGTGCTCATCTCTGTGAACCCCTTTCGCGACCTAGGCATCTATACTGACGAGGTGCTGCATTCGTACCGTGGCAAGAACCGTCTAGAGATGCCGCCGCATGTATACGCCATTGCAGAAGGCGCCTACTACAATATGCTGGCGTACAAAGAAAACCAGTGCGTGATCATTTCCGGCGAGTCCGGTGCAGGAAAGACCGAAGCGGCCAAGCGTATCATGCAGTACATTGCCGCAGTGAGTGGAAACGAGGCTGCAGCGAGTGGCATTCACAACATCAAGGATATGGTCCTCGCGACCAACCCTCTTTTGGAAAGTTTTGGGTGTGCCAAGACGCTGCGAAACAACAACAGCTCACGTCACGGCAAGTATCTGGAAATTATGTTTGATGCGCAGGGCACGCCGGTAGGTGCAACGATCACCAACTACCTGCTCGAAAAGGGCCGTGTCGTTGGCCAGATCCGCAACGAGCGCAATTTCCATATCTTCTACCAGTTTACCAAAGCTGCCACACCGCAGCAGCGCGAGATGTTTGGTCTGCAAGGCCCGGAGGCGTATGCGTACACGGCTGATAGCCAGTGTCTCGACGTGCCTGGCATTGACGATCATGCAGACTTTGCTGCGGCAATGGAAGCGATGAAGATCATCGGGCTGTCGGAGGATGAGAAGACAAGTATCCTGCGTATGCTTGCCTCGATCCTGTGGCTAGGCAACGTGCACTTTGTCGAGAACGAGCAGGGCGATGCAGCGATTGCCAACCCAGACGTGACAGAGTTTGTGGCATACCTGCTGCAAGTCGATGCAGCAGCGGTTCAGCGTGCCTTAGTCCAGCGGATCATGGAGACGCAGCGTGGTGGCCGCCGTGGCTCCGTGTACGAAGTGCCACTCAACCCGACGCAGGCAGCTGCGGTGCGTGACGCGCTGAGCAAGGCCATTTACAACAACCTGTTTGAGTGGATTGTGGCACGTGTGAACCAGTCGCTGCATGTACGTGGCGGTGCGGCGAATGTCATTGGTGTGCTGGACATTTACGGCTTTGAGATCTTTGACAACAACTCGTTCGAGCAGTTGTGCATCAACTATGTGAACGAGAAGCTGCAACAGATCTTCATTGAGCTGACGCTGAAGAAGGAGCAGGAGGAGTATGCGCAGGAACAGATCCAGTGGACCCCGATCAAGTATTTTAACAACAAGATCGTATGTGACTTGATTGAGTCGAAGCGGCCACCTGGTATCTTTTCGGCACTGAACGATGCTGTCGCCACGGCGCATGCCGACCCTGCTGCGGCAGACAACTCGTTTGTGCAGCGCACGTCGATGCTTTCATCGAACCCGCACTTTGAGGCGCGCGGAAACAAGTTCCTGGTGCGCCATTATGCCGGCGATGTGATGTACAATGTGACGGGCATGACAGAGAAAAACAAGGATGCGCTGCTCAAGGACATCCTAAACTTGGTCGATAGTTCGTCCAATGCTTTCCTCAAGGGTCTTTTCCCCGATCGCCCGGATCCTGATAGCAAGAAGCGTCCGCCGACAGCTGGCGATCGCATCAAGGCCAGTGCGAATTTGCTGGTGGACAATTTGATGCAGGCGCAGCCGTCGTACATTCGCACGATCAAGCCGAACCAAAACAAGAGCCCAAGTGAGTATGATACGCAAGCGATTGTGCATCAGATCAAGTATCTGGGTCTGCAGGAGAATATTCGCGTACGTCGTGCTGGGTTTGCGTACCGCAACACGTTTGAAAAGATTGTGCAGCGATTCTACCTGCTCTCGCCAGCCACGTCGTATGCTGGTGACTACATTTGGCAGGGCGATGCGCGCAGTGGATGTGAGCGTATTTTCCACGACACGGGCATTGCGCGTGACGAGTGGCAATTGGGCGTTACCAAAGGCTTTATCAAGAACCCTGAGACGCTCTTTGCGTTGGAAACGATGCGCGATCGGTACTGGCACAATATGGCCATGCGGATTCAACGTGCATGGCGTGCGTACTTGCGCCGCCGCGAAGAAAGCGCACGCCGTATCCAGCGCGCATGGCGGCGTAGCCGCGAAGGCCACGAGTTTTTGGAGTTGCGTGAATATGGCCACCAGATTTTGGCCGGCCGCAAGGAACGCCGTCGATTCAGTCTGATTAGTATGCGTCGATTCCTGGGTGATTACTTGGACGTGAATGGCTCGTCGGCAGAGGGACGTATGCTACGGGCGAGTGCCAATTTGCCTGGCACGGAACTTGTGGTGTTTAGTGGGCGTGCGCAGCTGCTTGTCGCGCGTCTGGGCCGCTCGTCGATTCGCAGCCCTCGTTTCTTGCTGATGACGTCGCGGGCCGTGTACATTCTCGTGACGCACTTGGTCAACAAGCGCCCACAGACTACGACAGAGCGTGTGATTCCTCTCACGGCCATCCGCAGTGTGGGCTTCTCGCATCTTCGTGACGACTGGATGGTCCTCCAGACGGGTCTGGACGAAGGAGATCCGCTCCTGCACTGCGATTTCAAGACAGAGTTTGTCGCGCATTTGCTGCAGCAGACGCGGGGTCAGACGCATGTCACGATCGCGCCGCAATTGGAGTACGTGCGCAAAGGACGCAAGAAGGCGCACATCTCGTTCCGGAAAGATGAGACGGTGCACTTGGGCGACATTTACAAGAGTTCCGTGGTCACGGTCGGCTCAGGTGAGCCGCCCAACAGTGTATCGAGGCCACCGGCCCGCATGCTCCCCAAATCAGAGCGCACAGCACGTACGCGACGTGCAGCGCCGGCAGCGGCAGCACGTCCACGTCCACGTCCAGTGCCCACGGCGCTGCCCAGTGGTGGAGGCATGACACCCGCTGCCCCGCCGCGTCCAACTACGACGACCACGAACAAGCCCATGCCGCCCCCACCTCCCGCTCGCTCGACCGCACCGATGCCGACGACGACGACCACACGCAGTGTCCCTGCGGCGCCTGGGCCCAGTGGACAGGGCTTGCCGTCGTACTTGCAAGCAGCGCCAGCCGCGCCTCCAGCCCCTGCGGCTAGTGGTATACCATCGTATCTGCAATCGACCTCAACTTCTGCGTTGGCCCCGCCTGTGACACAGATTGGCTCCGCGGCGCCGCCCGCCGCCAGTGTAGCAGCAGTACCAACGCCGGCGCCGGCACCTGCACCTGCACCGCCGGCATCGCGAGGACCACCGCCACCGCCGCCGCCAGCGCCGGCCTCGCAACGTTTGCCGCGCTACCGTGCATTGTACGATTTCGCGACAGTCGAGTCGGGTGAATTGCCGTTGACCAAGGGCGATATCGTCGAGCTGGAAGACAAAGAGGGCAACGGTTGGTGGCTCGTGAAGAAGGGGGGCGCAGAGGGATGGGCTCCCGCTGACTACTTGGAACTCGTCCCTGAGACCACGCCGAAGCCACGTCCCCCGCCGCCAGCGAAGCCGACCGGCGCCAAGCCGGTCATGGCATCGTCTGCACCGACGACAGCGAGCCGCGCCGATCCGCCGCCGCAATGGACACCAGCCGACACGCAGGCCGCCCCGATCGCTGTGATGCCAGGGATGGGCGATCCAGGTGGCTTTGCAGCGGTGCTGGCCCGCAAGAAGGCCGAGAATGCCGCTGCGGCTGCCGCCGCGCAAGGCGGTGGGGCGCCGCCGCCGCCGCCCATGTAACAATGTGGAGGGCCGTGGCTTAGTCACGCTGGACGACAACGACACCGACCCATAGACAGCTAGCTTTCCACCACGACATTGCCACGTAGGGCGTAGGCGATGTCCGCCGAGGGAGAGACCCAGCCTACATTGGCCCAGGAGGCCGCGTCGGGAGAGAGCGAGGTAGTCGCGCCCTTGCTGCCGTCGACGCCGCCGGCGTCGACGACGCCGACGACCAGCGTCACACGGCCACGTGCGATGCTCCGACCCTACGAAATTGTATGGTACGTAGGCGCAATCGTCTCACAGAAGGGTGGCTGGCGTGATTGCCGTCATGGTATTTCTGCATGTAACATCGCAGGTGTTTATTATGTGGCCATACTATCGTTCGACACCGTCGTTTACGTTTGCACAGCTGATGCGCGTCTTGATCCCGCTGAATTTGCTGGGTGCCTACATGTACTATGCGTACTACATGTGCCTGACCTCGGATCCCGGTGGCGTGCCGGTGGACTGGCGCCAGCCTCCAGAGGTGCACTCCGGCTGGAAGCGATACTGCTACAAGTGCCATGCGTACAAACCACCGCGCGCTCATCACTGCCGCGTATGCCGTCGATGTGTACTGCGAATGGATCATCACTGTCCATGGATTGGCAACTGTGTAGGCTACGGCACGTACTTGCACTTTCTCAAGTACACGACAGGTGTCGTGATCGCCATTACGTTCCACTTGACGATGATCACGTTGCGTGTGTTTGACTACTGGAATTTTTATCATGTCATGGTACGTAAGCGTCGGCTCACACATAGCCACGACCTTCCACCATGGAAGCGGTGATGATTGTGCTCAATTATATGCTGGGCATTCCGACGATCGCTCTTGTGACGTTCCTTACGTTGTACCACTACTACCTGCTGGCCACCAATACCACCTCGATCGAGTCCTGGGAAAAGGACCGCGTAGCCCGGCAAATTCGGCGTGGTCAGATTCCCTTCACCCGCTTCCCCTTTGATGTGGGATGCTGGCCCAATATCTGCGCTGTGCTGGGGCCCCATGTCCTCCTATGGCCGTGGCTCCGTCGCTCGCCCGGCGACGGTTTGCACTTTGATGTCTCATCCAAAGACAGCGATGCACAGTATGCATGGCCGCCCCAGGATCCACGTACATACCTTCAACACCGCCGTCGTCGTCACCGTCCCAAGCTCATGTCGCCATTCACGTACGGCGACGAGCAGCTGAATCCCAACTTGCAAGCGTCGCGGCAGGGCCACACACAGCCCCAAGCGCAAGCCCATGCGACCTTACGCCATCGTCCGCCCATGGCAGATGCGGACACCACAGCTGCGATGGACGATGGCTTCTACGACTCGTACTCGAGTGAAGGCGAGAGTGATCACGACTCGGCATCGGAGCATGAGATGGCGGTGCCCTCCGGCACAGTTCGTGTGCGGCGCGGCAGTGAAGGGTTCGAAGTACGTCCACCGCACTACGGCCGAGCCTTGTGGGAGCAGTTCGGCGCCGAGGCGTTCCCAGCAGGTACAGAGCCGCCGCCTGAGTACGACACCTGGACGCCGGAAGAGCAGGCGTGGATGGCCGAGCATGGCGACCGTGAATACGCACATGGCACCTTTGCCGATTACGGTATGCATTCCTATGACAATGACGATAATGACAACGTGCCCCTGGGAGTACTGGCAAGGACTTCGTAGACATTACATAACAGTACAATTTTCATCGCCCATATCGCCCAGCATATTGTTCAGCCCCGCCAGCTCAGATGGCATATCGCCCAGCAACTCTTGCGGCGGCGTGCCGAGGTCCTGGAGATGCGTGACGAGATCTGTAATCTTCTTGCGCGCTTCTGCATCCGAGTCGCTGTACGTCGGCGACTCAAACACCGCGAGAATCTCGCCCATCGTCGCCTGCTGCTCGCCGTACTGCTTGCGTGTCTCCGCATCAAGTTTTTCCGCCTCAGGAGACGCCAAGTACGCGGGGAACCGGCCATGCAAGTCCTTCAGAGGCTCGTACAAGATCTCCTTGTTCATCAAGTCTTCCATCATCTGCGCCAGCATCTTGTTGAGCTCCGGCATCTCGCCATCGCCGCCAGCGCTAGAGAGCGCCTCCAGAACCTGGGCCAAGTCGGAATCGCCATCCAGACCCAGCGAGGCCAGAGGGTTGCTACTGCCAGCGCCCTTGGCGTTCTTCGTCGCAGACTCGTTCGACTGCTTTAGCTTCTCCATCGTCGCCTTCACCGCGTCCTGGAAGCTCTTTTCCCCGCCGTCCGGCACAGTAGGCGCAGGCATATCCTTGTCCATGCTCTCCAAGTTACCGGACAGCATCTTCTCAAACTGTTTCATCAGCTCGTCTTCCGCAATAGGGGCCGAGGCCGCATCCTCTTTGTCGCCACGGCCTTGGGCCTCCGATGGCGGCACAGCAGGGTCTTGAGCCGCTGCCATATGCTTGCCCAGCTGGGCCATGAACGATTCCATGTTCTTGGTCAGTTCTTCCACAAACTCGTCGGAAAGCGGGTCCTCGTCGGCCGCCGCCTCGGCGCTCTCGGTGGCTGCCGCAGGGGCCGACGATGACGTGGACGACGTCGCCGCCGCGTCAGTCGCCGATGCGGCGGCAGAGTCGGTCGCACTCGGCGCAGCCTGCTGGAAATCGTCTAGCACATCTGCATTGTAGTTAGTTTACGCCCAAAGGTGCAAACATACCGTCTAGATCGTCCACATCATCCGCAGTGGGCTTGGGAACACTCATGATGGAAGACGCAGGATGACAGATCGGCGGGTGTGCAATCGCAATATTTTCCGCGCTGCGCTTCGCCCCTCGTGCCCACACACCCACACCGCGTTGCCGCCGCAGGCTGGCGGGGGAGGAAACACGTGTGGAGGAAGAACGGTCGTGCGGCTTTTGCCATGGCAGCCCATGCCTTGCAGGCCTATGTAGCCGAGGCAGGGTCGGCACGCCCGCCGATTGTGCACGTTGACGTGTCAGACGCGGTGCCAGGTACGTATGGAGCGCGCTCACACGACAGCGGGTCGTGGTTTGGTCGCTACATGCACGACAAAGGTACGCGCTCGTTTGTGACTGACAAAAGTGTGGTGACGTGCTGTTGTCCATCCCGCCTCGCGCGCTCCTCAACCCCGTGGCACTGACGCGAGGCCAACGTGTGCCTTGGACACCGGCCAAACGAGGGGACGCGGCGCCAAATCCATCCCCCCTGTCCACCCACCAACTTCTGGCGTTCGTATTGGCGCTCTGGAAGAGCACCATGCGGCGAGCAGAGACGCCTACGACCAAGTACGACGCCTTCTTTGCCTCGCTACCGACCTCTTTTCCTACCGTACCATTGACATGGGACGTGGACAAGCGCACAGATCTGCTAGACGCGCTCCCGCCCTCCGCAGCACATCGACAGACACAGCTACAGCGCCGCTGCTATGCGGACTGGGCACGTGTCGAGGCGTTGGACGATGCGACAGTGGCTTCGATTTGGTCGTGTATCCATACCTCGAGCTTCGTACGTCCTACCTTCGACGAGTTTGTGTGGGGATGGCTGTGTACCAACTCGCGCTGCGTGTACATGGATCTAAACTATGTGCGTCATGAAGACAATTTTACCTTGGCGCCGCTGCTAGATATGGCGAATCATACGGCCCGAACGGAGCTGGAGTGCAAAGTGCGGTACAGTCGGTCAGATGGCTTGGAGTTATGTGCGCCGCGCCAGCCATTGTCGCCCGGCGACGAAGTGTGCATCACGTATGGCCCGCACGGCAATGCTATGCTGCTGGTGGAGTACGGTTTTGTGCTGCCCATGACGCTGCATCCAGAGACGCCATGGCCGGGCAATCCACATAGCGATGTGAGTGTGGACGATATGGTCCTGACCCTGCTGGATGAGCAGGGCGCGATCGGTGCGTGGAAACGAGCGCTCTTGCAGAGCGAGGGGTACTGGGGAGACTACACTTTGCATCCTATGCCGGCGCCCGCGCATCCTTCGCATCGTTTGCGTACAGCGCTGCGGTTGGTATGTATGGATGTACAAGATACGCGCCCACCCCCCCTGGCGTCGGACGACCAGAGCGTGAAAAAGCGCAGGACGCCACGCATCTACACGCGCGACGATGCACAGCGAGCGTGGCGCCTTGTCACGCATGGCGGGCGCGATGCGATCTCGGACGAGAACGAACGGGCTGTGCGGCGCCACGTTCTTACGCTCTGTACGAAGGTGGAGCAGGAGCATCAAAAGCGATGGGCCTCGCTGGAGGGCCAAGAAGGTGAAGCGGTAGAGATGCTTCGTTCCTTGCTACGGGAAGAAAGACAGATTGCCCGGTTAGTCTATGCGAGTGCCGAGCGTGAGGACGCTTGGTAGGGCGAAGAAAGAAGACACGTCACTGGGGCTTCTCCTTCACTTCGGCGGGGAAACGCTTGCGAATCGCACGCACCATTTTGAAGAACCACATGTAATTCAAAACGTTGAGGGATGGAAGTCCAATAGTGTACAGCAACTTGTAGCCGAGGGGCAACGTGCGGTGCGTCGGCGTCCAGATGAGGGTAATGAGCGAGTACGACATGTACACACCCAGCAGCAGACGTACGCCGACATACGTGAGCAACAGCAGCAATGCATTCACAAACTGGATACGCGAGCCTGTCAGATGGAGCTTGTCGAGGAACCAGTGGATATTGAGGAACGGCGTGCTCAGCTCCCAAATCAAAATGCCGAGGCCATCAAACATGAACAAGGGCTTGTACACAAGGATGCAAGCGACCAAGCCCAGCACACCGTGCAGCACAAACGCAAAGCCCTCGTACCGCAGCGAGACAATCACGTCCCATACAAAGTAGCCCAGCGACAGGGCATACATCTGGCCCAACGTGTAGTCGTAGCCCCACAAACGATCAGTGCTCTCGTCGATACCGAGCCAGAAATAGAGCGCCAGGGGCGCGACGACCATCGAGTGTGTGAACGAGACGACATGGATGTCCCATTGCGTCCGGGTACGTGCAGGCATGTTGGCAAATGAACGAGGGAAAAGTTTCGGTGATACTCCATGCGAGAGGAGTTGGACCGACCACCACAGCAGCATAGCCCGAAGAATGCTCACAAGGTGAATAGAGAGGTACGGAAGATCCATGGCCTCCGTGTATGGACGCGCCCATTCGGCGATGGCTGCGCGATTCAGCACACCCATGATTGACACTGGAAGACAGGGAACGGAAAGAGCTGTGGACACCAAGTGGAGGTGGCAGCGGCGGCCTCCAGGCTCCAGGAAGGGAGGACATCATCGATCGCGTCGTTGTCGACCCTGCGGGGAGGCGAAGGCTCATGCACGGAATGCTAAAAAAATATCATCTATAGGAGGTATGGCATAAAAGATGGGTATCGCACATAGCACCCATAGGTGTCATGCCGTCCGAAGTCGAAAAGAAGAGGGGAAAGGGAGGCGACAAGGCTTACTGAACATTAGAGAGAGCGCTAAGCACAGCCTTGAGACCCGCCGAGGTAATGTCAACATCGATACCGACACCCCATACGCCCTTGGGCTTGGACGCACCCTCGGCGTTGCCGTCATCGGCCTTCACCAACTCGACGTAGGAAGCAGCCTGCGAACGCGACTGGCCCTTGTTGGTCGATGCGTCGGTACCGATCGCAAGCATACCAGGGCGTGTAATGGCGTGCTCGGAGTACTCACGCACATTGTACGCCACGCCAAACTGCTTCTCCATCGCATCGAGGATGGCCGAGATGGGACCATTGCCGTGGCCAGTGACCTCCACCACCTCGCCGTTGTGCGCAATCTTTCCGTGGAACGTACGGTGACGCGGCGTGGCCTCGCCCGCCTCGACGGGCTTCTCGTCGTCGTCGTTCGTAAGCTTGAACGAACGCAAAGCAAAGCGGCCCTCGTTCTTACCGTGGCCAGCCACCGGCACATGGTAGGTCTCGCTGAAAGCCTGCGTAATGTCGCCTGGCGTAATCTCCTTGCTCGTCTTGTCAGCGATGGCCTGCACCACCTGATAGAACGCCACCTGGAGACGGCGCGGAAGCTCCACACCCAGCGACTGCGTAAGGAGGTAGGCGATACCGCCCTTGCCACTCTGGCTGTTCACACGGATCACCGCCTCGTAGTCCATACCGAGATCCGCCGGGTCCACAGGCAGGTAGGGCATGTGCCACAGCTTGTCGCCCGAGGCCTGGCGCTTCTCCTGCGAGGCAAAGCCCTTCTTGATTGCATCCTGGTGCGAACCACTGAACGCTGTCATCACCAGCTCACCCGCGTACGGGTGGCGAGGGTGCACAGGGATATCGTTGCAGCTCGTCACCACCTCGACGATCGACGGGAGGTCCGTGAGCACCAGCGGACCAGGCTGCACACCTTGGGTGTACAGGTTGAGAGCGAGCGTGATCAGATCCACGTTGCCGGTACGCTCACCGTTGCCGAACAGGCAGCCTTCGACACGGTCGCCACCGGCCAGCATACCCAGCTCGGCAGCCGCCACACCGGTACCACGGTCGTTGTGCGGGTGCAGCGAAATCGTGATCGCCTCGCGGTCCTTCACGTTGCGGCAGAAGTACTCAATCTGGTCCGCATAGTGGTTCGGCGGGCCCACTTCCACGGTGGCGGGCAGGTTGAAAATGATCGGGTTCTCCTTGGTCGCCAGGCCGTACGCCTCACGCACAGCCTCACACACGCGGATCGCAAAGTCTGGCTCGGTCTGCGTGAACGTCTCAGGGGAGTACTCGTACCGGAACGTCGTGCCACCGTTCTCCGGCTTGCTGTATTCATCAATAAGCTGGCGCACAAGCTTCGTGTGGCGCACAGCGAGGTCCAGCGTGCGGTCCTGGTCGTTGCCGAAAACCACTTCGCGGAACAGAGGCGAGGTGGCGTTGTACATGTGCACGATCACATGCTTCGCGCCCTTGATAGACTCAAAGGTGCGACGGATAAGCTCCTCGCGTGCCGGCATTAGCACCTGAATCCAGACATCGTCAGGGATGTGGCCATTCTCGATGATGCGGCGCACGAAGCCGAAGTCTGTGTCACTAGCCGAGGGGAATGCCACCTCGATTTCCTTGAAGCCACACTCAACAATCTTCTTGAACATGAGCATCTTTTGGTCTTCCGTCATGGGATTGGCCAGGGCTTGGTTGCCATCACGCAAGTCCACCGACGTCCAGATCGGAGCTGTGCGCTGGACCTTGCTGGGCCATTGCCTATCAGACAGATGGATGGGTGTATATCCTTTGTACTTCTCACCGGGGTTCATACTGGCAAGCGAACGTAAGAAAGATCGACCTGCGCTTTCCAGCTTTCAGAAAACCTTCGACGGACTGACTCATCCGCCCGGCTCGTGGGTCGTCGGCCTCGCCCCAAAAGTCACGTGGCGGACAAGTGGCCCTCGTGGGATGACGAGCACGGGCCTTCCTTGACTGGCGATGCATTATTGGCTCAATCGGGGCCGCTAGGTGAGCGCGGGAGAGACGTACAGCGTGAGTTAAGAACGCCGGAGTTAACAGTCTCACGTTGTCCTCATACAATATGGTGTTCACTCCGTCTGAAGTTGACGAAAAAGCGATTGCCACCATCCGTATGTATCGCTGAGGCGTGTGTGTGCAGAGACTAACATGCTGTAGGCACCCTTGCGGCGGATATTGTGGCCAAGGTAGGTAACGCCCAAAGTGGCGTAAACGAAAACAGCCATACTAACTTCGCCAGTCCAAGTCGGGCCACCCAGGTGCCCCCATGGGTCTTGCCCCGCTCGCCCACCTTCTCTGGAGTCGCGTGATTACGTGCGACCCGAAGGACTCGCACTGGCTCAACCGTGACCGCTTCGTCCTCTCGAACGGTCATGCTTGTGCGCTGCAGTACATTATCCTTCACCTGATGGGCTACAACCTTTCGATGGATGATCTCAAGTCGTTCCGCCAGCTGCACTCGCTCACCCCTGGCCACCCGGAGGCCAACCACACGGACGGTATTGAAGTGACCTCCGGTCCTCTTGGCCAGGGCTTTGCCCAGGCTGTGGGTCTGGCCATTGCCCAGAAGAACGCCGCTGCCACTTTCAACAAGGACGACTTCGAGCTGTTCAACAACAATACCTACGTGTTCCTTGGTGACGGCTGTATGCAGGAGGGTGTGTGCTCTGAGGCCGCCTCGCTTGCTGGTCACCTGAAGCTCAACAACCTCGTTGCTTTCTACGACGACAACAAGATCACCATCGACGGTGACACGATCGTGTCGTTCACGGAGGACGTGGCTAAGCGCTTCGAGGCATACGAGTGGAACGTGCTTCACGTGAAGAACGGTGACTCGGACCTGGACGCCATGTACCAGGCCATCGAGAAGGCGCAGGCGGAGAAGGAAAAGCCGACCCTCGTTATCGTGGAGACTACCATTGGTTTCGGTTCGTTGAACCAGGGTAAGGAGAGCACGCACGGCGCGCCGCTCAAGCCGGATGATGTTCGCCAGCTCAAGGAGAAGTTCGGCTTCAACCCTGATGAGACTTTTGTTGTGCCGGACGAGGTGGCGGAGGCCTACGCTTCGTACGCCCAGCGCGGTGCTGAGAAGCACGCTGAGTGGGAGAAGCTCTTCAGCGACTACAAGGCCAAGTACGCCGAGGAGCATGCTGAGATTATGCGCCGTAAGGAGCGCAAGCTACCGGAAGGCTGGGAGAAAGTCTTGCCTGTGTACTCGCCGGAAGACAAGCCTATGGCTACGCGTAAGCTTTCGGAGGCGGTGCTCCAGAAGATCAGTAGTGTGCTGCCCGAGCTGATGGGTGGCTCGGCCGACTTGACAGGCTCGAACCTGACCCGCTGGTCGGAGGCTATTGATTTCCAGCCGCCGTCGCTGAACATCGGTGAGTACAAGGGCCGCTACATCCGCTACGGTGTGCGTGAGCATGCTATGGGTGCGATTATGAACGGTATCTATGCGTACGGTCTGCACATCGCGACGGGTGGTACCTTCTTCAACTTCGTCACCTACGGCTGGGGTGCTCTTCGTCTCTCGGCTCTGTCCAAGTTCCAGACCATTTGGATTGCTACACACGACTCGATCGGTCTTGGTGAGGATGGTCCGACCCACCAGCCAATCGAGGTGGCGGCTGCCTGCCGCTCTCTGCCGAACCTAGACTTCTGGCGCCCGGCTGATGGTAACGAGACATCGGCTGCTTACCTGGTGGCGCTCCAGACGTTCTACCGCCCTTCGGTGCTGGCCTTTTCGCGTCAGAACCTGCCGCAGCTCGAGGGCTCGACCATTGAGAAGGCTGCAAAGGGTGGTTACGTTCTAGTGGAGGAGCAGGACGCTGACCTGACGTTGGTGTCGACCGGGTCGGAGGTCTCGATCTGTCTCAACGCTGTGAAGAAGCTCAAGGAGCAGGGCTTCAAGACCCGTGTTGTTTCGATGCCTTGCTTCAGCGTGTTCGACAGCCAGCCCATTGACTACCGTCTCTCGGTGCTGCCGTCTGGCCACCCCATCCTCTCGGTGGAGGCCTACAGCACGCTGGGCTGGGGCCGCTACTCGCACGTGCACCACGGTCTCGACAAGTTCGGTACGTCGGCGCCGTATGAAGAAGCGTACAAGAACCTCCAGCTCACTGACGTGGACATTGCGGATCGCGCTTTGAAGGTGGTGGACTTCTACAAGAAGCAGGATCAGAGGGTGCTCTCGCCCCTGATTTTCGAAACTATCCTGTAAATGCCGTCCGTAGTCGTCACCGGATAGATCGCTGAACGTCTTTGATAAGCACGTGCATTTTCGCCTTAGCCATCGTAGTGGCCAAGACAATCCATCCCACTTGAGAATATTGGGCCCTTTTTTCCCTATCGCGTAGATTACATAACTCTTCCTATAATCGTTGCTCGCTTGCTGCGGAGCGGACGACATGAGCGTGGAGGTCGAGGAAGGCGAGCTTGACATACCTAGCCACGGCGGGGGCTAGGCTTGAATACAGCCTGCTCCACGGTCTCTGACTCGGACGGCGCGTCAGTGCGTTGCGCTACACGCTCTCTTTCCCGATAGAACGCTGCCTGCCGCATTTCTCGGTCGGCCTGTTGTCTGAGTGCATCCGCATGGTCCATGAGACGCATCGCCTCTTCTTGCTCCTTGGCAGCCTGATCGCGCATCTCTAGTACACGTGCATTATGCCGTACCATCTCGATACGTTCTTTGTCCCTCAGCAGTTCCTAGCTATTAGTTCATACACTCGTCTCACGGGCGTACCTCGATGGTGGGCGGAGTATGGCGCGTATGACGCATCCACGCATCCCACTGAATCGGCATATCCTTTGGATTATAGTCGCTGGGATACTTCCACGAGTTCCATTTTACCACACTGACATAGGTAAGTGGCGACGAAAGCACATACCGTCGTGTCCGATTCGGATCGTTTGCGCCTTGCAAGGATGGCAGCTCATAGTATACGTTGTTCTCCAGATCACGGCCCACAATGTACCGGGCCTTGCCGATACGAAGCACGCGCGATACCGTTTGCCAAATTGACGACGAGGACATAGCCAACGACCAAGGCACGAGGGAGGCCACGGACGTACGTCCAGCCTGCGTCATCATGGAGGTGTGTATTATACACTACAGACTACGCGTCGAGGCGCGTGTCGAGCTACGGCAAGCCGGCGTCGCGCCATGCCGTCCATGACGCGGGCCCCTCTGAAGTGACGCGGCGTACAGCAATGTTCTCTTTCTGTGCGCCAAAGTACCCCTGGTCCGCCCATGCGCAGAGATCTGCCTGGGAAAAAGGGCCAAACACCTTGGTCTCTGGATCCACGCTCGTGCCTTGCGCCTTGGCCGCCTGGGCCAAGTAGGAAGGCGTCCATTTGTATTCCCACTGCTCCTGTGGTATTGGTGCAGGCAACTCCTCGGTATCCGACTCGTCTACTCGTGGCCTCGCTGGATCCCACTCGTCCGGCACGATCTTGGCACGGCGTACCATACGTACGAGGCCTTCGTACACTTCATCGTAGATATTCATCTGACCAAACGACGACATAAGCACACTGCTGATGTGTGTAAACTGATCAAACGAAGCTTGGGCCTCCTGACCATGGGCGCCCGTCTTTTTAGCGTTCGTAGCTTCTTTGCCCAAGCGCTGCAACGTGTCCAATACGGTCTCGCCTGGCTGCATATGCAAAGCAAGCGACTTCATAGCATGCTCCATCGTAGGGAATTCGGATTCTTCTTGTTGCTGCCGGGCCTGCTCTGCCTGCTCGCGTCGTCGCTGCGCCTCGCTCGCGGCCTTGATCGTTTTCTTATTGTACTGACCCTCCAGCCAGCGGTCGTTCTGCGAGAACTGATCGCGAGCGTTACGAATATAGTTGCCATCCTCATCGAACTGGCCACTTGCCATCTCCGCCTTCATGTTGAACTTCTCAATACGGTACCCCATACCACGCTTGTTAACACTGGACGCGCCGTCCCCAGGCGATCCTGGCGGCGTCCGCTCTGCCTCGGCATTGGCATCCCGGAACTGTGTACTCTTCAAAGACTGCTCAAATTCGTATTCAGGGTCCTCTTCATGATCGATTTCGTCATCCTCATCGTCGTCCATCTGTGTCCGCGCACCAAATTCCTGGCCGTCAATTTCTGAGAGCTTGAGGAAGCGTGGTTCTTTGGACGACGTGGCCTCTGTCTCCGTGGGCTCGGAATCACCAAACATATCATCGTCTTCGTCATCTTTCTTCTCGCCTTCTTTCCATTGCTGGCGGTGCGACGTGCTAGGCTCCTCATCTGAGTCTTCAGAGTCGTAGCCTTCTGTCATGACACGTCCACGGCGTGTTTTGGCTTGGCGGGCGGCCTGCTCTTCCAAGCCTAGATCACCGTCGGCATCCTCCCCCACACCAGCATGCACATGCGCGCGCTTCCCTGAAGCACTTGTGGGCGCCCAGCTGGCTTTGCGCTTCATGGAGGGACAAGAGAGGCGTGTCGCGTTGGTGGCCGCTGTTCCTCCACATGCGCCGTCGACTGGCTTCGACAGGCTGCGTTGCGTTTTTCTCCAGACCCTGTCGTCATGGCGGGGGAGGCAGTGCGTCGTATTCAGCTGCCGCCGCATTCGGAATACCGCATTGAACTGGATGCTGGCGAATCTATAGCTCTTCGATTCTGCCCGAATCCTATTTCCGGCCACTATGGCGATGCTGAGGTCTTTGGCGCGCCATTGATCGCAGGTGCCCAAGAGCGTTGGTACACGTTTGGCAACGAAGCCAAGTTTGCTATTTCGTCCTGGGGTGGTGCCGACATTGAAATCGCTGGCACAGCGTCCACAGAGTACATGGCAGATGAGCCATCGCACACGTATACCTACCGCGCCAATCTTCATTTGAATCTGGAACGTGCACGTATTCGAGCACGCGAGCAATTGCGTACCGATAGCCAGCTGCAAAAGCAATTGCATGACATGGATGTTTCTACACGCACGACGCCGCCATCGTACGAGGAGTCTGCAGCTGTACCTGGACACGAGTGGTACCAAGCGGCTGGCCAAGGGCCGCGTGTTATGGTCGTGGGGCCTGAAAGTGCAGGCAAGACGAGTCTTGTTACGTTTTTGGCCAACTATGCGCTTCGATCACCTATCCTGGCCAGTGTCGAAGAGGGGGCCGAAGCTGCGCGTCGGCTCTCGGAGAACCAACAAAACGAAGGCGATGAATCGGACGACGAGGCGACGCGCGCCGAAGGGTCGAAGCATGAGAAGATCAGTGAGGTTACCGGCTGGTGGCCCATGATTGTCTCGCTTGATCCTGCTGAAGGAGCTGTGCCTGTGCCTGGCTGCATCAGCGCAATTCCCCTTATGCCGACGCCTACCAACTGCCTTCCGTCTCCTTCGCCCGCTCTTCCATATGGTGTGACGCCACAAACCACCGGCTCGTTGCCCCCGAGCGTTTCCACCGTACACAGTGTGATGCCACTTACGCTTTGGATGGGGAAGCAAAATGTGCGGGACAATGAGCGTCATTCCCGCCGTGTGATCGACTGGCTGGCGTTCCATGTGGAAAAGCGTATGATCAAGGATCTGCGTGCTCGTATGTCTGGTCTTTTGATTGATATGCCTGGTACGATTACCGCCGATGGCCGAACGCGCTACGACTTCATCCGGTACTGTGCGCGGGCCTTTAAAGTGGATACCATCGTCGTTGTAGGCCATGAGAAGCTGAACTTGGAGCTCTCGCGGATCTATGCCAGCGACACGAGCGGCCAAGCGCCGCAGATTGTCAAGATTCCTCGCTCGGGCGGCGCTGTGGACGTGGATGAAGTGTACAAGCAAAAACTTGTCGATCTGCAAATCCGATCGTACTTTTACGGCATGTCGTCTCCCAGCAAAGAGACAGCGGCAGCCGACGACGAGGCGTCTGGTACGCAGCCTGCCTTCCAAGCCGTGATGAGCGAGCCACTGGGTGGTGTACCTACCCTGAACCCATACTCCAGCACGATTCCGCTGGATCTATTGCAGGTATTCCGTATCGGCCAGGACCGCGTAGCGCCGTCGTCGGCGTTGCCTATTGGCGCAGAGCGGGCCTTGTCAGAGCTGCAGGTGGTGAAGCTTGATCCAACAAACAACTCCAGCGACTTATCCTCCCTTTTGCACTCGGTATTGGCGCTTATTGAGCCGCCGCCACGCAAAGAGCCAGTCTCGGACGACGAACCCGATGCTATGTACGACGACGACGAGCTTCTTGGCTCGACGCTTACGGGCTTTGTTCATGTGTACGTATGTCTCTTCTCACACGCAGTTCGGAACTCGATTCCAATCGCAAGAAGCTCACGGTGCTCTCGCCCAAGCCGGGCAAGCTCCCTTCCATCACGGCCTTAATTGGCGTACGTACACAGCGCGTGGCAGAGATACTGACCAAGACAGAACCTGCACTGGCAGGACACATGAGAGAGAGAGAGAGCCTGTTCATGGAGATAAGAGTGTATGCTATCTTCACACATTATACTAGTATCCTATGGGAATGCCGTTGCGCCATGGTGGAAGCAGGCGGATTTAAAAGTCGCCACCACCAAAGTCGCCACCACCAAAGTCGCCGCCGCCGCCCATATCGTTCATTTCACCTTGTTGGTAGCCGTCCATATAGGCATCTTGCTGCATATCGTGCATACCGTCGGCCAGGGCCATACCACCCAGCAGACCAACACCACCACCCAGCAGACCTGAGCCCATAGGGCCCATGCCACCGCCCATACGACCACCGCCCAGGAGGCCGCCACCGCCCATGCCACCGAGGCGTGAGCCACCGCCCATCATCATGGGCGGCTGTTGCATCATGACGGGCTGCTGGTACACTGGCTGCGACGCATACATGGGCCGCTGCTGCACAGGCTGCGGTTGTGTGTAAGTTTGGCCTTGGCTAGGGGGCGGGTTCGAAGGGGGCTGGTACTTCTGCTGCGCTTCATCCGCCGGGTGGATCCATGTTGAGCGTGGCGGGTTCGCGCGCGTATCGACGTAGAAATACTGCTTGTAGCTGCAACATGGTTAGTCATGAGGAAGTACGTACTTGTCATCCCACTGCTTCACCCAGCCATCTGGCAATGGGCGCGAGTCACCACCATTGCTAGTGGCGCTCCGGTTCGTCTCGTAGGGAGGGGGGTTGTCTTTCTTCTCAGTCATAATGAGTTAGATCTATGGGGAAAATGTCACCGTGCGCTTGACGCCCTATAAAGTTGACAGGCGGCCCTCGAGCCAAGCGTGATCGGTGAATTTAATTCCCCGCGTTCCACGTGATGCGGTCGAACTCCTCGGCGCCCCGCCGGGTTTATGTACTAACGGCCACGTGCCTTATGGCCTATCACACTCAATGGAAGGGCATTGGACTACGGGTGCTCTAGCTAGGAAGGCATCGATCGCACTGCAAAGCACACGCAGCTCAACTACGAGAGGAAGAAGGGGGTTCAAGATGGCTCTAAGAATAGGGACGAAGCAAATAGGATACAACCAGACTGCCAAGATGCAGAGAGCAAAGAGACCATCATGATGGCGAGAATGTCTCCAGAGCATTGCAGCCCCATGGTAATTCGGTATATACATTCCCCTTCCACGCCATTACGCGGATCCCTTCTTCTTCTGCTTGCGGGGTGGTGTCACCGGCCGACCCATGTTGATGCCACCGTATGCATATTTTTGCTTCTTCTCTGCCGGCTTCAAAATCTGGAACGAACAGAGCAGCGTCTCATCGACGCTCATCATCGCACCTGCATTGTCAAACTCACCACAGTAGTTGGGCGCAGAGAACAGCGTCACAAGTTGCCGCTTGGCAAAGAACTCGTAGCCATCCTCTACGACTTGGTGTGCACGACAAATCAGGTCCATATCGTGCTTAGCAAGGAATCGCGACACCACATCTGGTCCGAACGTAAACGATACACCACGGTCGTTCTCCGACCACCCAGAAATATCCTTGTCAGGGTCCGACCACAGAAGATCACACAACAGACCAGTGTCCGGCACATCCGTCGGTCGCATCACGCGGCGGATCTGCTCCATGCTCTGAAGATCAGGCGACAAACCACCATGCATCGTGAAAATCTTTTCATCAATGATTGCAGCAATAGGAAGACAGTTGAAGCAGTCTGTGAATGTCTTCCACAGCTTAATGTTGAATCGGCGCTTGCATTCGTCGTAGAAGCCGTAGATACGGTTGATACTGGCACACTCGTGGTTGCCGCGAAGAATGAAGAAGTTCTCCGGGTACTTGATTTTGTACGCAAGCAGCAGGCATATCGTTTCCAAGCTCTGCTTACCGCGGTCCACATAGTCACCAAGGAAAAGGTAGTTGGACTCCGGTGGGAAGCCGCCATACTCGAACAGGCGGAGCAAGTCGTAGTACTGACCATGGATATCACCTGGTATGTCAGAAACCCGATCGTCTATACATACCGCAAATCTTGATAGGAGCTTCCAGTTCCAGCAGGATAGGCTGGTTAATGAAAATGTCACGCGCTGTCAAGCAGAGGTATTTGATCTCATACTCTTCCAGTTGTACCGGCTTGCCAGGGCGCGAACCACGCACTTTCACGTAAGTATGGCTATAGGGTTGCCACGTACCTTCTAGAAGGCGGTCAATGATATTGTCAATGTCCACTTCAGGTTGGTTTTCAGCCATAGTGAAAAAAAAGTGGCTGTCTGCGTAAGCACCAGTTCACTGCGCGACAGAACTGCTAGAAGTTCTGCGTGAGCGTGTAAAGAGTGCTCCAGCCCTCTGAACGCACACACAGCTGTCCTTCTCGCTGAATACGTACATGTTAGGGGCACAGAAGAAGGGTCAAAAACGTTTCAATACAACTTCTGATCCCGATACCAGTAATACCAAAAAAGGGATAAGGTGCGTCGCGGAGAGATTCACTACCTTTCAAACGTAGTACAGGAAACTCTTACTCAACCTGAACGCTTTCGCAAACAGTGTCAAAGATCCGCGTAGGCTTTGGCGAGACCGATGGTCGTGATCGTTGCCTCGGGTCAAATTCGCAGCCCGCTTGTTTGGCTGGCATGAAGCCCAAGATTTCTGCATTTATTTTTTTGACAAAACAAAAAGAGGCTCAATCTGAGCCACTATAACTATACCTAATAGGTGTTATAACTTATGGCACGCGATGGACCGCATCGCCTACGAGGACGCGGTGGGGTATGCATTTACGCCGAGGAGGGAGCGAGCACAGCTCGCGCCGCGGCGCGACTACTGGAAGGAGCTGGTGGGTCCACATCCGGTGCATAGACCGAGTCGAGGAGGAGTTTTGTGACCAGTGTGTCAATCTTGTCCACGTTGCTCGCGGTGATTTGGGTGTCAGCGCCTTTTGGCGGGGCCGGTGCGTTCATCAGACGCGATGTGCACTATACGAGTCAGAGCTGTAGCATTGACGTACCATCTTAATTCCCCACAACGTGCGTACCCAAGGGCCGCGCACACGATCCGTCTTGTTGTTGTAGTTCTCGCGCGACATGTTCCCCTCGCCGAGTTCCAAAATGCGCAGGTAGATCTTGTACGCCTTGGCGACTTCGCCCGACGTGTACAGTGTCTCGGCGTACTTCAGAAGGTAGAAACTGTTGTGGGGGGCCAAGAGCACAAGCTCTTCTAACGCGTACGCAGCCTGTGCATACTTATACTGTTGCAGGTACAAGGACGCAAGTTCCAGCCATGCCTCTTGGTCCGCTGGGAACATATCCACCAGTTCAGCCAAGCCTTCTGTGGCCATAGCGAGGCCGTTGGGCATCGCCCTGAAGCATGCTAGACGGCGCTTGTTTGCGAGCTAGGCAGGTTAGCTTTGGACTATGTATAGGACGTACGATATTCGACGGCTCTTTCTTAATGAGCTCCTCATAAAGCTGTTTCGCCTCCTCCGTCTTGCCCTTGGCCTCAAGGATCACACCCTGCAACAATTGCACACGCGACGAGTCCGTGAAGCGGGCCTTCAGACGCGCTTGGCAGAGCTTGTGTTAGAGATCCAGGCATACGTACCTCCGCCAAATCCAATTTCCCCAGCTCCGCTGCGGCAAGGCCTAGCTGCTCCAGGAAGGCCCACACATCATTACCGAGCTTGTGAAGCTGGTTGTGCTCCAGCAGCCATTCGCCGTACCGAATCACCTCAAACGGTTCACGATCGAGCGTGCTTTTAAGATCAGATAGAAAGGTACACGTACATTCGCTGATTTTCAAGCCATTCCAGGGCTTGCTCGAGCGTGATAGCGCTGCTTGCTGTCATCTTGCACGACGCTCCCTACGTAGGCACAGGGCCGGCTGGCCTCCGCTCGCGGACGATGCACGACGGGGCCTCCTCCACTTCGGCCGAGACCGACATCCGACGACCTTCAAGCACGCCCGCTCGTCCTCGGTTTTGTCTCACCTGAGGAACCGATTGTTTGCACATCAAAATGGTACGTATACGCGTGAGGGCATGGTTGTCTTACTATCCTAGGGAGCTGGTCCTCGTTACCCTTACCCGAAGGAGGTCTGGTCGCCGGCTGGTATGTATCGCAAGTGCGTGCGGAGGACTAACGAACAGGTGGCTGGTGGACTCGGTAGGTGGTCTTCCCCTGGTTTGTACTGACACGACCAGTCCGAAGAACTGGGCGTCCAACACGTTTGTGGTTGGTGTAGCTATTGCTATGGCCGGTTACGGTATCTTTAAGTTCAGCTCGGAAAACGAATGGCGTCACCAGTCGCCCATTCATCCGATTCCGTCGCAAATGGTATGTAAGGTGGAAGGCGTTGGATGCTAACGCTGGCAGTGGGCTCGCCAGTTCCGTGAGGGCGAGTTGCAGGTGAAGCCTGAGTAATGGCGGCTATATAGCTCGCTATGATTGAAATATATATATATATGCTTCTTCTCTGCAACCTATTTACTTTTTCTGCGGTGCTTGAATGGTACAGTGCTCCAGCAAAGCATGGTAGATCGGCATCAATTGGCTGCAAGTTGTAAGTGGATGTGGGTACATACGCAATGGTGTCCTTCACAATGCTGGGCTGCTCTTCCAGCGGCGTCTCCATCTTGGTCTCTTGAAAGCCACTGCTCTGCTCTGCGGCGGCATGGTACGTTCCCCACTTGGCCCAAATGTCGACGGCGCCCTGGTCCCACGAGAGCATTGAGGGGTCAAACGGTACCTGGGTCGCCTCGCAGTACAAGCTCACGACGTAGCCTGGGTGGCTCAGCAGCACCGAGGCATCCATCAACGGTGGAGGGCCGTGGGAGGTCTGGACTGGCCATGCTGCGAAACGCTCGTCGTCGGGGTCTGTGTGGAACGTCGAGGCTGGGTTGGCCATCCAGTCATACAGCCGTTGAAGTTCGACGAAGCCCATTTCAGCCGGATCAAAGAAATTGAAGCCTGCCGCGTTGTTCTGGGTGCACTTGTAGTAGCTGGGCACGCTACGTTCTGGTGTGCGCATGAGGAACGTGTGTTTGAAGCGGCGGAGCAGGGCTGTGGGCAGTACGGTCGGATTCTCCATCGGCGATGGAGGCGCTGCCGTGGTGGCCTCGTCTGTGGCAGGGAACACCTTCGAGGTGGGGTGCCATGCGTGCAATGAGCTGGCGGGGAAAATGAACTGCGCCATGTCCTGTGTGTTGTGAGATCATGCGTGGAAGGGCTACGTACCTTGATGAATAGGAAGCGATGCGATGTACCATCCTGGTTCTTTGCATCGTCGAGCAGCTTCATAGCTACCTGCTCGATCGACGAGTGGTACGCTTCGTGCTCACGGCATTCGTCCTCCGAGTACCGTTTGCAAGGTCGGGCTTCGCCAAAGTAGAACGGGTCGCTAAATGGCTCATGGTACACTTTGGTGTCCTTGCGCTGAAGGAACGAGCGTTCAAATGCCGTAGAGCACGAGCGTGGATGGCACCACACAATAATCGGTACGGCGCTCATGACAGGTGTCAAACAGGGTCTTTGGGTGCGGACCCAAATCTTCTTCCTGGGGGGTCCCGTGCCCCGTGCGCTGATGCGTGGCGGGGCGGATGTTCATAGGGTGGATGGTGTGTGCTACGCATCCTTCCACGTGCAACTACGCGTCGTCACACGCGCGTGGATTGTGGCTTTCGGTGGGCCGCTTACGATGCGGGGCTCCAGCGTAGCGCAGCACCGCATTCCGCCGGTGTATGCGTGCTACTGCCTACGATCCCTCTCCAAGGCGAATCATACGTACGTAGGCTCCACGCCTGATCCGATCCGTCGGTTTCGGCAGCACAATGGCGACGTCAAGCAAGGAGCGTTTTATACACGCTTTGCGCGCCCATGGGTCATGGACATGCTCGTGTACGGCTTTCCTTCTAAGATCGCTGCTCTGCAGTTCGAGTGGTCATGGCAGATGCCCCATGTATCGCGCCACTTGCGTGCTACGACGACGATGGCGTCTCGTGCTATCGGCACCTATACAGGGCGTAGTATGCAGCCGCTCTTCCCTGCTACGCGGAAACAGACATCCACTTCTCGACGTGGCCGCAAGAAAGTGCGGTGGCGCTCCAGCGTCGTACCAGAGCATAAGATCGCTGTCGTACGGGCGCTTCTAGCGTCGGAACCATTTTGTTTTTGGGGCCTAAAAGTCGTGCTGTTGACCGAGTACGCGTACGGCGTATGGCACTACATGGCGTCACAGGCCCAGGCCTCTACACAAACGCTCCGTCCATCGTCACGCATTACCCAACGTGTTCTTCCTCCCGGCTATCCTACCTATACGTGTGATTTCCATGGCGTGCTCGGCACAGCTACGCCGCTCTCTGTGTCGTCCCAGGCTCGCTACCCACGCCTGCCCGAAGCTGGCACATGCTCAGCGTGGCAAAAGAAAAAGCGCGCGCCCGAGAGTCTCTTGTACGCCGAGCAGAGTGCATGGGCGGAGCCTATCCCACCGGCGCGCGATGCAGAGACGCTCGGCTTGACCAGGGAGGTCTTGGCGCAAGCGCCATCGCGCGCCGACGGCGCTGTGCCATGGGCCGAGATGCCCTGGAACGAGGCCATGACGGCTGCTGCCGCCGCCACCTCCTCTCCCCAGCCCTGCTCCTTGTGCGGGGATGCCATTGAGGCGGATAAGCCTCTGACTTATACCCGCTGTCCCAGCATGTCCTGCGATCAGGTGTACCATCTCACATGCTTAGCACGGCATGCCCTCTCTCATGAATCGCCTGCCTCGCCACGTACGTTCTGCCTGCCTGTGCAAACGGACTGCCCATCGTGCCGCCAAGCTGCCGTACCATGGCCTGACGTCGTGCGCCGCGTCTTTCGACGCGCCGAGGCTGCTACCGCAGCGCCAGCCACCCCCCCACGAACGCGCTCACGCCAGACTCGCACGGTACGCGAGGAACGCCCGTAGATTCTGTACACTGTCCATCAGAGCCGCATACAGCGGCGCATCCACACGCCGATTCACCTGCTTGGCCACCGCGGTGATGCTCGGCAGGCGCTGCGTCAGCGCGGCTTGCATATGCGCCTCCGTGTACACCGAGTCCCAGGGCGCTAGTTCGTTGGCGTACGTATCGACAATGGCATTCAGCACGGCAATCAGGGTCTCGGCGTCTGGGCCCTGTTGCAAGATCTCGAGCCAGAATGTAGCGAGGCGCACGTACACGGCGTGGTATGCTGGCGGCGGCCTCGTCGTCGTCATGCCCTTGGTCTCGTAACGGTACCATTGCGATCGGGCTAGCACGGCCAGCGTGCCAATGCACTGGACACGCACTGCCGGCTGATGAGCCGAGTGGTACGCGGCCATGAGCGCCTGGACTGGTGTAGCAATCTCGTCGCCTTGCGTCAATGGCAACTGCCCTTCCAGGATCCGTGCCATCGACCAAAGACATCCAAGGCACGTACTCACCATCGCCAGGCCATCGGACGCCAGCGATCCAGCGGTCGACGTGCTCGACATGGCCGTGGTCGGCGTCGTCATCGGTGCATTCGCAACACTCTCTACGCCTGCCCACGAAGCCGCCGTCTCAAACACACGCGTCCACAGCGTTTGCAACGTCGTCTGAGCCGCCGTCGGGCCTGCCATGCCTCCTTGCTCTTCTTCGTCATCGTTCAGGTACGTCGTGCCGACCCACGCACGCCATGCGGCAATGTGCGCTAGGGCCTCCTCGTCCTCGGGCCACTGCGAAGGCGGCGGCGGCGCTTGGGACGCCAGGCGCCACAGGCCATTGTGCAGCGCGGCCAACGCGCGTGATTCAATGGCACGTGCATGCATGCCTGCCGCGTCCGTGTGCTGCGACGCGTCGGTCGGCGTCGCGAGACGAAGGAGCGCCTCGGTCCACGACGAGTGAAGCCATGCTACGGGCGTGAAGCGCTGCAGACGCGCGGCAGCATCGACCTCCGCGTCGTCGTCCATCGCATCTGGATCGACACGCGTAGAGAAGACAAGGCCCATGGCACCTGCCACATCCGCCGCGAGCTCCAAGCACACTTCCACCACGTGCTGTTCCTCCCCGGCGAAGGTCGACGTCGAGGCGTGCACCAGCACAGGGCCCAACTGCGCGACCAACGCCTGCTCCACGTACTCGGACAGCGGCATGGCCGACGTGGTGGTGCACATAGGATCGAGGCTGTCGTCTGCCGGACCGTCCTCGTCCTCCTCGACGCCTTCCCCTGTGTCGTGCAAGGACGTATACACACGAACCAACGCCGCATTCGCCGCGGCACCAAGCATCGCTACGGCAGGCGACGCATCTGTACGCAAAAGCGCTCCCGCCGATGTCAGCTGCTGCAGCCGCCCTTCGCCGCGTTTCTGTGCTTCCAGCAGCTGGGCTGGCGTGGCACGAGCCGCGGCCGGCGAAGGCGTACGACTGCGCTCGCCCGCAATGCCGCGCGCAAAGCCGGTGGTATCTTCGTCGGTGAGGGAGCCAAGGACTTGCGCACTGGCCAGTCCCCACTGTACCAAGGCGCGCGCACACTCTGCGCCATGCGGCACCTGCTCTGCATGCGTACTGGCCAACGTGCCTACGTGCACGGCTTGACAGAGCCATGCACTGAGCGCTTCCGCGACGAGCGGCGACGGCGACGACGGCTCCGACCAGTCCCAGGCCAGCGCCCGCGCCACATACTTCTCACTCGCCTCGCACATACACGCAAGCGACGTCACGACATTGACACACAGCTCGGCCAAGCACTGCGCCGCGGCTGAATCCATAGCGGCCAACGATGTCATCACATCATGGCCCCAACCATGCACGTCCAGGGTATCTTGCGCATCATCGCCTACAAATTCGGCGGTCGCACCGGCGGTAGCCGACGGCAATTTGCCCTGCGCGAGCTTGGCCGCTTGCCGTCGTTCTTTGCGATTCATCTGTTCCACAGGCTTGCTCAGCAGGCGCTCACGTTCCGCCAGCAGCGGCGCTCGTGCACGTTCCAGGCGCTGCTCCTGGTTCTGCAAACCCAGTGCGGCCCACCGCAACACTTGTAGCACCGTCTCTAGACCCCCCTTGTTGACAATCTGCGCGAGGACATCGTCGGTGCTGCCCACGCACAAATTGCGCAGCGCACCACTTGCCTCGCGGCGTACTTCGAGGTTTGTATCGGAGGCCAAGGCGTACAAGACACGTGGAATCACTTTGTTGTCCAGGAGAAGCTGACGATGCTTTGCATCGTCCTCGACTAGCAGCGTAGAGACGGAAGCCAAGGCCCATACTTTGTCCCCCGTCTCAATCGCAGGTGCCGATGCATCTGTACCGAGACTCGCCAACGCCGGGATGATTTGCGCAGCCGAGGGCGTTTGGACTTCGATGCTAGGCCTGTGCATAGGATCATGTCGTCGCGCACGCTGAGCGCGCCGCGCTACATCCGGCCGTGCTTTCGGCATGCCTTGGGAAACGACTGAAGTGTGGAGGCGTTCTCTTTCTCTCGCCCCCCTTTTTTTTGGCAGCGGCTTTGTCAGCATGTGTCGTGCTCAGGGCCGCGTCCGGCCCCGCCGCGTGCGCTGTGTCGCAGGCTGGCTGCGTGAGCCCTGCCTGCGCGCCCAGACCACCTGCTTGTTCTTCGTTGTCCATGGCCGCCGCACCTCCTGCCGCGCAGGTGCAGGGTGCTACCATGGCACCCTTTCGTGGGCAGCGCAAACTGCAGCCTGGTATGCGTGTCAAGGTCGGAGCGCATATCGTGACAGTGCAGCGCTTTCTCAGTCAGGGCGGCTTTGCCCATGTCTACCTAGCCCAAGCCGATACACCCGTTCGCATGCCAGGGCAAGCGCCGCCAGGCGATACGCACCTGGTCCTGAAACATATGTGTGTATGGAACAAGGAAGCACTCGCGACCGTACGGGCCGAGGTGGAGCATCATGTAAGTACCCGCCGATCTGACCGCAGCGTACATTGCAAGGGCATGCCTCGATCGTGCACTTTGTCGAAGCCTCTGCTGCTACACTGGTAGGCGATGGCTGGGAAATTTTCATCCTGATGGAGTACTGTGGCGGGGGTGGCCTCATTGATTTCCTGAATACGCGATGGCAGCAGCGCTTGTCGGAACAGGAAGTGCTGCGTCTCTTTCGCGACGTATGCGAAGGCGTTCAGGTCATGCATCACCAGGACCCCGTGCTTGTTCACCGCGATATCAAGATCGAAAATGTGCTGCTTACAGCGACGCAGCCTCCTCGTTTTAAGCTGTGTGACTTTGGCTCCTGCTTCCCTGTGTTGTCGACCAAGCCTGCGCGTAGCGCTGAAGAGCTTCGGCGGCTGGAGATGGAACTGAATCAGCACACGACCATTCAGTACCGTGCCCCGGAAATGATCGATCTCGGGATGCAGGTGGCCATTACAGAAAAGGCCGATATTTGGGCGCTGGGTGTGTTCTTGTACAAATTGTGCTACTACACCACCCCGTTCGAGGCACCGGGCGCGGGGCCCGCCGCGATCTTACAGGCACGCTACGAATGCCCTTCCAAGCCATCGTACTCTGCAGACCTTCAGCATCTAATTCATACCATGCTGCGCGTGCAAGCGGCCGAGCGGCCGACCATTGATCGGGTTGTGAAATATGTCGAAGACCTTCTTCGCACGAGTGATACAGCGTCTCGACCGCCCAAGCCACGTCCGACATCGCCGATCCCCTCAAGCTCGACGTTGCGTCGATCGGCTACCTATACCGCCAAACCCACAGCTACTTCCTCCCCTGCGCCCTCAACGACGACACGACAGTCCAGACTCCCACCCTCGTCGGATACCCCCAGTACGGGCAAGGCCTCGCCTCGGCCACCGTCAGCCAAGCCTGTGCCCTCGTCGCCGCCCCCGAGCGCTGCACGGTCTCAGGGCCGGCCAGAGTCGCTGATTTTGGATGTCGACGAAGCAGCCGAACGCTTCCCGAGCTTGCAGTCGCTGGACAAGCAGCATCCGATACCTCGTCGCAGCGTTCGTGATATGGTCCGTGATATGAATTTGCATGAGACGCCCGCCTCGTCTTCTTCGCCGTCCGTCTCCATTGCGATGGACCAACGTGGCCCACCACGTCCTCGTACAGCCTCCGAAAAGCCGGCTCATACCCTGGTGGCTTTTGACGATAGCGTGCCATCATCATCCAGTGACGACGAAGTGGAGGCACCGGAAGAGGCAGAGGCCACCCTTCGCATTCGTCCACGCTCGTTTGTGCCTTCGCCCCCCCCGCTGGTGCAGTCCTCGCCGTCGTCGTCCCTGCATGATCTGTTGGCTCAAAATGAGACGGCGCCTTCCAAGCCCGAGGTATCGCCAAGTGCGCCAGCGCAGGACGAACTTCACTCGTTGGCCGAGCATGAAAAGGCTCTACGTCGCTTGCTGGGCGAGGAATCCCTGGACGAAGACCGTCGTTCGCCGCCCTTGCCGCTGCCCACTCGACGTCCTCGCTCGCCTTCCCGCACGTCTTCTGCACGACCTGGAAAGCCACCCAAGCCTGGCCCAAGTGCCAAGCCATCGCTGCGGGAACGTACTTCGCCACCCACAGGCGATCTTCTGCACATGGGCTCGTCTAGTACGTCGTCGGCTGCTGCACGACGCGCACCTGCATGGGACAACGACGAGGAAGCGGCCCCGAGCGCTTCCTCGCTCCGGCACACGTCCAGTGCTACGGCCTCATCGACGCCGACGCCGACGTCCGTGGCGCGTGCTCCGCCTTCCTCGTCGTCCACCGCTGCTGCTGAACCGGCTGAGGCACCCGCCGCGCCGACCACCACACGCGTCCAGCTGCGTGCATCGACTTGGGATGCCGCGACGAAAGCGCCTGCGAAGGTGTACGTCGATGCAAGTACATCGCCCGGCCTTCCTTCCTCCGCGTCGTCCACCACCCCTCGTCCTCACTCGAGCCACGCCCCTTTGACCGCGGCCTCCTCCACATCAAAGGCGCGGCCTGTCCTGGCGTCCTCGGCACGACGTACGTCGGGGATTGCCAGCGATACGCCCGTCGTGGCGCCGGTCCCGCGCGTAGCCGGCAAGCCAGCATCGACCATGCCGCCGACGGTGGCAGCTGCTTCCCTTGATGCTGCGTTGGCCCAGCAGCGGGCCGGTCAGGTTCGCTTGACAAAACGCGAGACTCAAAACCCTGCCTCGTCGTTGAGATCGCCACGTCCTACAGCGCTTGCTCAGCCCGGCTTGGCAGCGACGCGGCCACCGCCGTGTCCTGCTCCTATGGCTGACAACACCGAGGAAGAAGCGCCGTTCCAAGGTGTCAGTGCGCTCATTCGGCAGTGGCAGGGACAGTAGTACACTTCTACAAGACATACTTACTTACATAGGGGAAAAGCACACTTACGATCGTGCGATCCTGCAATTCATTGACGTACAAAGCGCCAAACACTAGGATGATGGTAATGGGGGCCGTGTAGAAAATGTACGACACGAAAATGGTACCGCTGATCAACGATTCCACGTTGCTGTTGGGGTCGGCCTTTTGTTTGGTGATCTGTGCTAGCGTCAGTGCTGGTGGCGATCCAATTAAGAGGCAGGCACAGGCAATGAACACAGGATCATCCACAACACTCGTACGCACACGCAGGCACACGTATGCCACGAGCGGGAATAGAAGCAGAGGCGTGACAATCATACGACTCGAGGCCGCGGCAATAATCGTACGCCATGTCGCGCGTTTCCGACGACGTTCAATCTCGAGCCAACGCTCACGCTCAAACGAGCCTTCGTCCAGGTACGAGCGACGGTTGATCAGCATCGTCGACGGCGCATCATCGCCAGCAAAGTATGCACCCAACACGAGAATCGATAGAGGAATACTGCACTGCCCCATTTGCTCAATGGCGCCGACCAGTGCTGAGAACGATACTAGCTGCTTTTGCAGTGGCGGAATCAGGGCCACAATGAAACTCAGCAGGGCGGACCAGAGGGGCACTGTCATGAACGCCACAAAGGCGTTGAAGGGCGCCTTGATCCAGTGTGTCCAGAACCAGGCGAACCCACTCAGAGGCGGATGCCGCGGGGTCACAGCGTCATCAGCGTACGATTCTGGCTCTTCTGTGAAAATCTCATTCCGCAAAGGCGAGCTCGTCTCCGGTGCGCGCGACAAAAACGGACCACGGTTGGCCAGCGTCGAGCGGTGCTGATGATCGATCAAAAAGTCCGTCACGTCGTCACGGAATCCCGAACGGTTCTGCGCCTCGTCATTGTCCATTGCCACGGTAGGGTGTTCTTCTTTGACATGTGTCAGGAGTTTCGCACCAATACTCCAACGTTGAACCGTTCCGAGCGTCGAGAACATGACTAGGTAGGTCAGAGCGCGACCGAGCATATCGTTGGGCGTGTCGGTATCTTGACCATTACGTATCCAGTGCAGTTCTGGCACAGCAAAGACCAGCGACGAGATCAACGCGACAGGGAGCGTATTCGAGTTCGGCGTAATTGAGCAGGCCATGACAAAATTCCGCTGACCGCGAGGGATACGGAGAAGCCGCGAGGTTATCACCGATGCAACCGCCGAGAAAAAGGACACGACAAAGAAGCCAATAGGCACAATCGCCAGCTCTACCATGCGCTCGGGCGAGAGATAGAACGCCACTTTGGAAAACAGCAGGGCAGGTGTGAATACAGACACATTCAGCTTGTTCATTTTCCCTTGCATCTTCTTATCTAGCACACCGATGGACGCCATCAAGTAGCCCACCGAGCATACCAATATAATTTGCAAGATCGATGAAAAGGTCACCTGTATCAGGCCGAGAATCGGTCCGGCGTCCAGGCTCATTGTCAAACGTCGGTCTACAAGACAAAAGACACACCTGGGCCGCCACGCCCTGTCCGTGGGTGTCACTCCCGCACGGATCGCACATGGGCGGCCCAATGCGCGCGCCGCTCCCGATTATGTCATCATCGTTATGCATGACCGCCTAATCTGCCTGCCTGCGAGTCTACCTACCAAAGGGTCCAGATCTTGAGCTGGTCCCCACCTACGAGCCCTATGTAGACGTAGACGTAGCATTCTGTTGGGCATTCGCGCGAGCAGCGCGTACTTTTTGGGCGCGCTTCACTGCGCGCATACGTTTCCGGCGACCAGCGCCACGTTCTGTAGGTTAGCGTGCGGCCTAGCGTACATACTTGAGCCACCAATCTTGACCTTGCCTCCATTCTCCTCGATCTTCTTACGTGATGCCACGAGGAGCTTGTCCACACGGCGCTCCTTGGCCTTGTCACGCTTTTTTAACATGCCTGCCAGGTTGCTCCGCAGCATCGTCAAATACGACTCCTGGAATGCAAGGATTTGGGATGGTGCCACCTTTTCGTTAGGCAATTCATACGTACGATTGTGCTAAATCGCGTACGGCCTACGCTTCGTCCATCTGACACGCGGAACAGGACCGAGCTCTGTGTACCTTCTTTTTCACCACCTAGTCGCATGAGTGGTCCTTGTCAGTCATACGTACATGGCTTGGTCGTAATATACACCGAATTCTTCTCCTTGGCGCTCTCAAAGAGCTTCTCAAGTCGAGTTAGGAACTAGTAGGTCAGCCATGTTCGCGCTCGCTACGTACCACGTCCGTCTCGACACGCATCGCAAGCAGCAGCAAGGACCACGTCGCCGCCGTCCTCCACGAACGCCCTCTCCTCGTGAAACATCACGTGACAGACCCCTGAACGCGACGCTCCACTGCACGATCCGGGGCTCTGGCAGCCGGCATGCTTCGAAGTCAGGATGATTTCGATGATGAATGGCAAGAAATGCCAATTGAACATATTGGCACATCCGAAGATCCAGATCTAAGCTTTGACAATCTCGATGACGATGTAGCCTTGTCGCCAGCGACACGCCGCGCCGTCCGTGAAGCCAAAACGATGCGTCGACGTCGTGAGCATTTGCGGGGCCGAGGGACGACAGCGCAAGGTGGCACTTCGAATGTCGCAGGAAAGCACCTTGATGTTCACGATGTGCGTGGCTACGATTGGCGTACACGTCCCCATGCGGACAAAGATGACATCAGTCCTTTGCCGCTTGACAACCAGGGGTACACACAAGTGCGCTTGGATGAAGACGAGGAAGAATATGAGCTCCAAGCAGCTACCGACTATTTGTTCCAGGAAGATGTGAATCGGATTGATGATTCGGATGATCCTACCGCTGCCCCCATTTCGCAGTTGGCTATGACGAAACGTTTGCTTTCCGAGTCTCAAAAAATTGCATACGTTGGCTTGTGCAGCACATTGTCGCATCAAATGCTTCGCGAAATTGAAATGTTGCAACTCAAGGATCGTGGAGCGGCTGTACAAAGTGCCAAGGAATGGATTCTTCGTGTCATGGTTCGTTTGTACCAGCATTTGGACATTGAGCCCACAGAGCAAGCCATGATCGAGTCGCTGTCTCAACATGGCATCTTACCCACAGACTTATCACCTAGTCTGGTAACCACACATACCATCCCCAACCCAGCATACAATCCCAGGTTAGCACGCCAACTTGCTGCCGAAGATGCTTCTAAAGAGACATCCACAGCTCCGACACATACCCCGTCGCCGTCGGATCCGTCTGTGGCCGAGCCTACGATACCAGAGACGTCCCAAGAGGCTTCGGCTAATGCTTCCACTCCGGAAGCGCCTGTACTTACAGACCCCAATTCTGCTGCTCAAATTGCAGAGCGTCAGCATGAGGAGGCCCCTCTCACAGCCACGACGGTCGCGCCGACGGACCTCACGACACCTTCCACGGAGCCAATGCCTCATTCCATGACGCTGGATGGCGTCACGACCGAAATCAGTGAGACTAGCAAGACCATAACTCTGGATATTCGATGGACAGTGCTGTGTGACTTCTTCCTTGTTTTAACCGCGGACAGTGTGTACGATGCACGTTCTCGTGTCCTTCTGGAGCGTCTTGCAGAAACGTTGGGACTAACATGGATGGATGTCACAAAGTTTGAAAAGCGAATTACAGATGCCTTGGAGATCGAGGAGTATGTCCAGGCACTGGGCGATAAGGGTGTGACAGAAAAACATGCCAAGGCCTCACGCAATCGCCGCATGGTCATGATGGGTTTGGCGACTTTGGGTGGTGGTCTTGTCATTGGTCTTTCTGCAGGTCTGCTGGCGCCTGTAATTGGTGCTGGTATCGGTGCCGCGTTGGGCGCTGTAGGCATCAGTGGTACGTCAGCCTTTCTGGGCGGCGTAGGCGGTGCGACCATCATCACGACGACAGGTACGATTAGTGGCGCCACGCTAGGCGGTCGTGGTATGAGCCGCCGTGTGCGCAGTGTCAAGACGTTCGAGTTCCGTCCCTTGCACTACCACAAACGCGTGAACTGCATTGTCACCGTACCGGGCTTCCTCAAAGGCCCCGAGGACGATCCGACATTGCCGTATAGTGTGATTGATCCTGTGATGGGCGATGCATTCAGTATTATGTGGGAGCCAGAGATGATGCGTGATATGGGTAATGCCATGTCGATTCTATGGAATGAGACGCTTGTGCAGGGCGTGCAACAAGTGCTAGCGGCTACCGTTGCTGGTGCTATGTTTAGCGGTACGTCTGACTTGAACTTATGACAGCGCTGGCTTGGCCATTATGGCTTTCCAAGCTCAATTACTTGATTGACAATCCATGGTCGAACGCCACGGAGCGTGCTCGAGCAGCGGGAGCGATCTTGGCCGACGTCTTGATCAACCGCCAGCTGGGTGTGCGCCCTATCACCTTGGTGGGCTTCAGTTTGGGCGCACGTATGATTTTCTATGCGCTCCTAGAACTGGCCAAGAAGAAGGCCTTTGGTGTTGTGCAAAACGTGTATATTATGGGCGCCCCTGTGACAGCGAATGAGGCCGAATGGAAGTTGGCCCGTAGCACTGTATCAGGCAAATTTGTCAACGGTACGTCCTCCAACCAACCCACTTACCTTAGCCTATTCGAGATCTGACTGGCTCCTGGCGTACTTGCATCGCGCGACTGCTGGAGGCGTCCGCAGCATTGCCGGTCTGCATCCTGTGAAATACGATTGCCGTATCGAGAATGTCGATGTGACACATCTCGTACCTGGCCACTTGTCGTATCGTGCATTGACGCCTCTTGTGCTCGGTGAACTGGGCTTCAAGACGACGGCGGATTACTTTGATGAGCCAGAAGACCTGGAGAAACTGCCTGAACGAGAAGTGGTAGAGACCGATTCGACCAAGGCTGCGACGGTCGCCGCTCCTTCCAAGTTGGCTGGGCTGACCAATTTGTTTAAGCGTGGCGAGAAATCGGCGCCTTCGTCGAAAGACGACGACGACTTGCCCGAGCGTCTGGATACGCCTGTGGATGGCCCTGAGGACGCGGGAGCACCGACATTGGTGGCAGCGGCAGCAGCCGAAACTGTCGACACCGAGCAGGAAAGCGGCGATGATCTGCCGACACCTGCTACCTCTGATCGCTCCCAGGAGGAGAAGGTGGCACATATCCGCGACGCTCGTGCGCGGCAAGATGCAGCGGAGGCGAGCACGCCTGACGATGTCACACGTTCCTCCCCTGAGCGCGAAGAGAGCGTGACGTCTTCGCAGAGTCGAGAGGCGTCGTCTGCCAACACGCCCGCGCCATTGACAGAGAACGATACTTCTCTTGATCGCCCCTCTACGCCGACTCCAAGTAGCCCACGGCTAGCCACGCCGCCCACGTTGCCAGAGGCGGACGCCATACCCCCGCCCGACAACGAGGCTGCCAACACGTCTTCCTACTCTCACTATGGCCTATCATCGGAAGAAGCGCAATCCTTAGCACGCCAATTCCATGGGTTGTCTATGAGCGCTTCTACTACGCCGACCAAGAAAGCTGACGTGGGCCACACCGACGAGGATACGCCGTGGGGGGCCTCGGACGCCAATCCGTGGGATTGAGGTAGATTTGCAAATTTGTACGAGTTTCTCCACCCCCTATAGGTACGCTCCGCAAGGGCGCACGAGCCTTCTACCTACTGCCTCTCCCTTGATGCCGTTTCATCTGCCGTTCTCGTTCCGCAAGGGCGGGTCGAAGCCTGTAGGCAATGAGCATGGCTATGCCATGGTCGGCTACTTCCCGAACTGGTCGATCTACCAAAAAGGGTACAAGCCGCATCATGTACCGATTGAGCAGCTTTCGCATGTATTGTATGCGTTTGCGAATGTCAACCCCGACGATGGGACGGTGTATCTTTCTGATCCGTGGGCAGATGAGCAGATTCAGTATGAAGGGGATGATGCACACCAGGGTCATGCCCTGTATGGCAACCTGCATCAGTTCTTGCGTTTCAAGAAGCAGCATCGTCACTTGAAGCTGCTTCTCTCGGTCGGTGGCTGGTCGTATTCCGCCAACTTCCGTGGCATGCAAAGTGCAGAGAAGCGTTTGAACTTTGCGCAGTCGTGTGTCAAGATCCTAGCCAACTATGGCCTTGATGGCATTGATAGTACGTACGCTATGTCTAACCACCACAGTCGATTGGGAGTACCCATCCACGCGGGTTGAGGCGGAGGCGTATGTGAAGCTCCTTGACGTTGTACGGAAGGACTTGGATATGTATGGTGAGCGCGCTACGCCTGATGCTCCTCACTACCTGCTCACAGTCGCCGCGCCATGTTCCCCGCAGCAGTACGAGCTCCTTGACCTGGCTGGCATGGATCGGTTCTTGGACTTTTGGAACTTGATGGCGTACGATTTCAGCGGCAGTTGGGATCAGGTGGCGAATCACCAAGCCAATCTCTATGGGGGAGCGATCTCTGTGTCGAAAGCGGTGGACGACTACCAACGTGCTGGCGTCCCGAGCAACAAGCTGGTCCTGGGTATTCCGCTGTACGGCCGTGGCTTTGACGGTACCAAAGGTCCTGGCCAGCCGTACCAGAAAGTGAGTGACGTGGAAGGCGGTGTGTTTCTGTACAAGGCCTTGCCTCTGCATGGCGCTGAGGAGCAGTTCAGCGAGCGCGAAGGTGCGTCGTGGTCGTACAATGGCCACCAATTTATTTCGTACGACTCCCCCCAGGCCACAAAAGCCAAAGCGGCGTTCATCCAGCAAAAGCAGTTGCGAGGTGCCATGTTCTGGGAAATGAGCGGCGACCATCCCACAAGCCATGAACGTTCGCTGATCCGGTGCATGGCGTCTGAGCTCCATACGTTGGATTCGTCGCCGAACCACACGTCGTACCCGGAGAGTGTCTTTGACAACGTGCGTCATTCCTAACTACGAAGCCGAAGGATCGTCGTCCTCGGCAAATATCGTCTTGGGCTGTGTCTTGGCATACACCGACGTGAATCGAGGATCCTTTTCTGCCTTGTCTGCGTACTTGAGTAGGGCTCTGTAGGTGTGTTAGTGTATCGTATACGTACTCTCGTGGATCCTCCGACCGCAAATCGCCTTCCCATAACTCCTCCATCAGCGGCTGCAGCGCAGAGCGGCCAATACGACCACCCTTGCCACGGCCTTCCAGCGGTCGTTCTGGTACACGCACATTGCGTGGGTTCTTGGGGAACTGCCGCTTCTTGTGCACAGGATCAATCCAGTCTTCTTCCTCTTCAGGGATCATGATCGGGACATCGGCATACGGATCAATCTCGGACGGATCCGCCGTGTACGGGTTCGCCCTCGATCGCGCTCGCTTGGCCAAGGCCAGCATCGCGCCACGCTGCGAGGCATGGCGATCGTAGTAGACATGCACAGCCCCAGCACGTGTCGAGGCAAACACTTGGTTGATGCGTGGATGCCATGCCAGGCGAATGACACTCGACTCACTGACGGTGTGCATGTACGTTGTGGAAAGGGTATGAACGTCCAGCACGGCGAGCTGACCCCATCGGCTGTGTGGGTCATGGAGGCTCGACGAGCCCTCGGGCACGGCTGCTACGCCAGTCAGAATGTGCTGACCATCCGGACTCAGCAACACATCTGTCTTGTCACTACCATTTGGCAGGCCATCCCGCTGGACCACCGGCGTTCGTAGTTGGCGTAGATCCCATACTTTCACGGTATCATCCGCCCCTCGCGATAACAGCGTCCATCCATCGGGGGCGACGGCCAAGGACGTCGCACTTTGTCCATGCGCATGCGCCTGTAGCACCGTGGCAGAGGGACGTGCATAGTTTCCACTGGTCGACCATACATACAATGCGCCATCGTGCCCTGCCGCGACAATCGAACGGGCGTCCGGCGTGTACGTCGTAGCGGTGACTTTGGTCTTCGTTCCACGGTCCTTGGAGCGGACGACAATCACACTCTTTTGCTTGGTTTTCTGCCCGACATCCCAAATTCGCACAGTGCTATCACTACCACCGGTGATGAACATAGTATCGTCTTGCGGGTTCCACCCACCACACGTCATATCGCTAATGTGCCCTGTCGTATGGCGCATATCACGCATAAACACGTCGCCCTTGTTAAACACACACAGCTCATGGCCATCATAGTCATACAGACGCGGCTGCGTCGTGGCACAAAGGCACAGCAAGTGCTTGGTAAAGGGAGCAAACGCCAACTCTACGACGGGGTAGTTTTCCGCGGCTTCAAACGAGGTAAACGGACGTAGATCCGACGTCATACCGCCGAAATCCCACAACTTCACATCGTAGTCGTGCGAACCTGTTGCTACACGTGCACCAGAGCGATCAATACTAAGCGCTGTCACGGCTTTGGTATGTTCGACGAGTTGGATGGAGGCGCTAAGAGGTAGGCCCGCATACTCTCGCAGATGCGCCCAAGCCTGTTCTTCCTCCTCTGCAGTCTCTTTCTCAGGTGAAATTGGTACTTCCGGAGGCCCTACCCCTACCTTCTCTGCTGTGGCGGCTTCAGCAGAAGGCGCAGGCCTTGCCTCCTCGTCGTCGTCGTCATCGTCATCATCCTCAAACTCATCGTCGTCGGCAAACGCGTCCTCCTTCTCCTGCTCCTGTGCGAGTGCCGTGGTCTGTGCTTCACTCCTATTGTGACTTTTCGTAGTGCGAGATGCCATGCCTGGCGCTTTGCCGAAGCCCATCGGCAGCATCGCCCGCAAGGTCTCTTCGTCCGCCATGATGGACGTGACGCGTACACCGCCTCCACTTTTTCATCTCGCTCCTCATGCAGTTCCGTGCGCCGTCGTTCCATGTGACGCAGGACGATACCCATGTCACTGTACATGTTTCAACACAGGACGTACATGCGAAGGAGGCACGTACTGCGGCTGAGGGCCGCACGTTTGGCTGCTACGTGGATCCTTTCTACCTTCCGTACGTTCATGCTCACTAACCCAGCCTAGATTGGTCCTCCCTTGCCCCGTGACGACCTTGCATGATACCCTCGCCCTGCAACCGAACGTGTCATCGGAGGCCTGTATGTATGATGATACCACAAAAACACTGCATATCCGCCTTGAAAAGGCCGAAGCTGGCCAAGTGTTTCCCAACTTGGACACACTGCAGCCGCAGTTGTTGTCGGACGAAGAGATGCAGCAATGGGAAAAAGATGCCGCCCAGCAAACGGAGTATGCGTATGGCTTAGAGCAGACACGGGCGCCTATGCCACGAACCTTGCAAGCCATGGCCGATGCGGGCCAGTTGCCCTATCTGGACATCGTTGATCCTGGCTCGATGACCGATGCACAGCGCCAAGCGGAAGCGGACGCCAAAGAAGTGGCCAAGTGGGACGAAGGCATGTACTTGGACAGCTACGTGGATATGGACGGCGAAGTAGCCGGTGTCCTACGTGTCATGCCTACCATACTTACACGGACCGACCTGCCGGCCGTTCCCCCGCGCTCCTCCTCCAGCGCGGCCGAGGTCCTCTCGACGCAGGCGACGGCGCTGCTGGTCCAACTCTTGTTTGCGTACATGTATGAAATGCATGTCTCCTACAATGATCCCTCCACTGAATCCGCGTGGACCCTCTGCAAACTTTGCCGCTCTTTGTGCTGCAGCAGCGATCCCCAAGCGGCAGGCACTACGCTTCCGACGGTGGTCCGTGCATGCTACCGCCGTGCATTGACGTACCCCTTGTACCGATCCTGGGCCTTGTGTGAGCGTGTGCGTGCCGACATGGTGCAGTGCCTACGTTCCGAGAAGGTGATAGAGCGATGCCTTGCGATCCTCCAAGAGGTGGACGGTATGTTTGCCTTGGCGCCCAGTGGGACAGGCCTCACTGAGCAAACGGAGTTGGTCCTCCATACTGTGTGGCAGTGGTGGATAGCGCCCTTGCAATCCTGGCTGCCTACGACTACCGCTGCCCACTGGGCCGAGGTGGCATCTCAGCTTTCTGCGCCTACCAAAGCGGAGGTGGGCGAGCCGGGCGGATGGGATCTCGAGGCGCTCGAACTCGCTGCCCAAGCCGCGCTGGCCGAAGGGGAAGGCGGCTATGTATAGGTGTCACGTAGTCCATGTGGAGGTCTCCTCGCAACGACGACGGCCACGCCCCGCGAGAGAGGCATGCCTCTCGATGTGGCAGGTGCCAAGCGGCCACCTTCTCCTACCAACGATGCCCCGACACAGCGTGTCCGCTTAGACAGAAAGGATGTGAGCATTGCGCTAGAGTACCAGCGTCATATTCAGCGCGTCACCGCCTTTGTTGTCGTGAGCACGACGTGGGCCCTGGATACCCCGCTGCCATGCCATGTCCTTCAAAAGGAGAACGATACCATTCTTCACTTTTCTCATGCATCGTTGGAAGATATCTACATACGTACGCCATGGCCGATTCTGCTAGGGACGTACACGGCGGCGTGGTCGGATGGGTACGTGCTGACGATGCCCACCGCCGCAGCCTCGCGCATGCCGCCGATCATTGTGAGTACGCCATGGCTCGCGTTGCAGGAGCCGGTCTATGGACTGGCCTGTGGATCGTGTGGTGCAGATGTTGTGCGTTTTGCTGGGCCGTCGCAACTTCGTGCCTTGCCATCGGAGGGCTGGGAAGAGCTGGTCGATGCGTGGATGTGCCACGGTGATCAGCGGCTCAATGTCAGTGTCGCCCGTGGGCGCGAAGACGTAGACATGCATCGAATTCCAGCCGAGGACGAAGTATGGGTCGGCACTATGCTGCTCAAAACGTCCAATGCACCGCTTGTCCCAGGCGCTATCGATGTGGGCGAGACGACGTGGACTCTCCAGGAGGTACGTATCTACTGAGCCAAAGGGGATCGCACAACGGACCAGCAGAGAGCTAGCATCGGCCTTTTCTACCGTGGCATTTCTCTAGCCTATTTGGATGGAGAATGCGATGCCTCTGGGCATTTTAGCTGATACTACGGGTCCTAGATTGTACGCTCTTTCTACACAGGGATCCCCAAGGCATGGATGTCTGTCACACGGAGCGTGATACTTACGTCCAGGACACGTATCCACTCACCTGTCATGCATGCCATGTAACCTTAGGCACTGCATGGCAGAAGGAGGCACAGCAGCCTACGGCGCTGCATTGGCTGCCTTGCAGTGTCGTAGCCAGTCAGCCCTCGTCTCTCCCTGCGTCGTTCTGGGCATGCGTGCTTACCAACTATCTCATTGAGCAGACAGAACGGCAGGCTGTGCACCATTTTCTCGTATGCGATATGGAGGCCCCGTCTCACCCACCCTGCTTGCTTCTTTGGGTCTTCCAGCCATGCCTGGCTATCGCATTGCCGCCGCGGCATACGCCTGTGTACGCCACGAAACTGCTGTACCAACGCGTCGCAACCACGCCGTCTATACCTCATGCGGTGCTTACGCTGCCTCGGCACTTATGCCATGCATTGGCAGACGCCTTGCCAGCCAGTGCATCGATCTACCCAGCCGCCCGACGGGCCTTGGGCGAGTGGCATGTAGGTTGGCTTCCACGTAGTTGGGACGAGAATATAGTAGCTACTTAAATTCGCTTGGTTTTGGGTTTGCCAGGGACAACCAGCTCACCTTCCACGCCGCGGGCCTCGACACCAATGCGCGGCAGGAAAGCCAAGTACCGAATCGGGTCCCGGGACTTGAGGTATCGTAGAATCTTGGCGCGCTGATGCACCATCCGACGCATAGAGCGGCGGTTACTGTTATCGTGCCGACTGTGCAGCAAATGCTCGGTCAGGTTACGGATCCGGTATGTCAGTAGCGCTGCCTGCACTTCAGGCGAGCCTGTGTCAGGACCGCCATGCGAGGTAGGGCGGCCGAAGTGCTCGATAATACGGCGTGTGTTTTCCACTTGAATGCCCCGGCCACTGGCATTGCGCAAATCCAAGATGCGCGAGAGCGTTTCGGCACTTTGCGCCTGCTCTGCCTCAAGCTGCTGCAGATCATCGACCATGGCATCGGAACCTGCCGAGTCCAACGCACGATCTGTCGTCATGACGCGGGGTAGCGATTGGAACAAAGTGCGACGGTCGGTTTCATCCATGCCGAAGTTGAGACGGCGAGGACCGCCATATTTCTCCATCACCTCTTCAAGCTTCGCATCCTCATCACGCGGCGTCGGCGCTACCGGCTGCAACTGACCACGGCGGTCTTCTTGCACGCCCCATACTTCTTCCTTCGAAAGGATGAGCTTTGCCAGCTCCGAGTTTTCCCACAGCGCACGACCCTCATCATTTAGCTGGTGACCCAACACAGGGTCAGGCTTTGACATGTCAAAGAGGCGCTGCTTCACTTCGCGCTGGGCCAAGTTAGCCTGACGCCGAAGACGTGCTGCGCGTTTGCGCTTGCTCTCCATAGCAGGTACACTGGTATGAAACGATGCGGCGGAGGTGGCTGCTGCGGCTGGCTGCCTCAGCAGCGTCGCTGGCACACGCACAAGCTGCCGCCATCCGTGAACTGGCCACATGATCAATCTACGACGGCGCTTTGCAGAGCCCAAGGTCGGTCAAGGAGCAACGACGACTGGCGGAGGCGCTCGTAGCTTTCGCTGCGGCAAGCACGTGACTTTGTACTCTCTTCTTCGTGCGGTGCCGCGCAACGGTTGTCCTTTGATCAAAAACGCAAGTGTACGTATAGGGTGTACGTTGCGCGTACTAACCCAGTAGCTCCAAGCCACACCCGACCGAATTTTCCACAGCGGTATGGGTGCCAAGAGGACCTATGGTTCTCGTTGGGGACGAGAGTATCACTGCAATCTTAGGAATCTAGGCGATATGCTTCGGCGATGATTGTCTGGAGCCAACACATTGTAGGACATTTCTAGTGTATAGAAGAAGGTGTTTTTAGGGCCAAAGACTACGTTGATGTCTACGGGTATGGAGGCGGTAGAGAGAGAGCGTGGGCAACGAGAGTCTACTTTTCAAAGCCGTTTCGTATGCCTGCCAACCTTGATTGTCTCCGTTCGATCTATAGCACCCTGGTATGGCCTGTCTGTCCATGTATGACTTGCATAAGAGAGAGAAACGTGCACGTTCCTGATGAGAGTGCGGCACAGAGCGACCGTGTTTGGTTTTATTTTGCGTAAGGCACCCCACGTGCGTGACACATCGACATCTGAACGCCATGCGGCCGTGCGAGGAACTTAAGCATGAAGTTGTATGTATATGAGCCTGCTAACATCTCAGCGCTCGCTACTTAGAGGAAAATGCCGTAGACGAGTGGCGACGTGCCTATATCAACTACCGTGGCCTCAAGAAGCTCATTAAGCGTGTGGATGAGCATCATGAAGAGCGAAAGCTTTTGCTCAACGTGTCACAGCCACAGCGCCAAGCCAGTGACGGTCCTGCGACTCGACTCCTGCGCAAGGGCCAAGGGATCGTGCGTGGTATGAGTACAGATGCCTACGGTCGAGGGTATGGTACAATGCAGGACGATCGCGAGATCGAAGCGCAAGTCCCTTTGCCACCGGTCTTGCTCAAAGGCACGGGGCTGCGTTTGAAGGAGGAGGAGGAAGAGGGGGACGAAGAAGGGGTATTTGTTGATGAGGAGGCTGAAGAAGAAGGCGTGACATCCACATCACATCACCTATTTTTTCAGGGAAGGGATGAGGATGAGGTCGAGCAGCCAGCGAGGAAGACACGGTTCAAAGATGGCGAAGTGAATCGCTCTGCGACATGGGTCGTCCCGGGCGATCTTGGTACGTGAATCTCTGACTGACCCAGACAATACCGATGTAACGTTTGACGAGCTGATTGAAATGCTATTTGATAAGGAAGAACGCAAGTTCTTTAGCGCGTTGGATCATGAACTCGCGCGCATTGTGTCGTTCTTCGATACACAAGAGCAAGAAGCGATTGAGCGACTTTCCACACTGGTCGCACAGCTCCAGCAGCTACAAGAGCATCGCCGTGAGTTCAAAACACGTACACGCCGTTTGTCCGGTGGAGCTATTGGTCTCTCGCGCTTGCTGGCCAAAGTGCCGCGTGGTGTAGACGCGGAGGAAGTCCAACGTCTCAAGCTAAGTGTACAGAACCGTGAAATGAATCCCGCTCCGGAGAACGTTTCGAGCGACGAAGATATGGGTGATAAGCGCCGTGCTCAAGCTATGGAGCACGTCCAGAACTTGCACATTGCCAATCTACGTACCGATTCCGTGTCGCCCTCTGGGACGACGACATCGAAATCATTTGATCCTGTGCACTACAAAGCAGCGCGCAAGAAGCTGCGAGAGGCATGCATAGAGAACTACCGTGCGTTGGAAATTCTCAACAACTATCGCATTCTGAATCGGACGGCGTTCATGAAGATCCTAAAAAAGTTTGACAAGACCCTGGAAGTGCATACGATGCATAAGTATTATGACCAGCGTGTCATGACCTCGTCCTTGGTCCAGTCCGAGGCCGTGCCCAAGATGCTGCATGCCATCGAAGAGGTGTTTGCGTGCTACTTTGAACATGGCAATCGCAAGCGTGCACGCGATATCTTGCGTTCAGGCTCCTCGCAGACCATCTTGGCGCAATTCCATGGGCATCATGGGAGCACGTTCCGTACAGGTCTGTACCTCGGTCTGGCACTGGGCCTAGCTGCCGAAGGGCTTCGTGGTGCGCTGCAGGAGTCTACGCCAGACCTTATCCCCTCGTATCAGACCCTTATGGTCATGTATGCGACGTTGTTTATTCCCACGCTTTTTGCGCTGCTCTTTGGTCTGAACTTGATTGCGTGGCAACGTGTACGCATCAATACAGTGTTCATCTTTGAGTTTGATGCGCGCCATGCGCTGGAACCGACACAATACTTTGAGATGCCTGCGCTGCTGCTGTTCCTCCTTTCGATCTGTTGGTATGCGTCGTTTGTGGGCAACCCTGCGTGGATGCCATGGTCACCTACAACGTGGCCGTTGGTATGGCTTCTTACTGTTGTGGCCCTGCTTGTGAATCCGCTTGAGATGATGCACAAATCCAGTCGCTACTGGATGCTTCGCTCTCTTGCGCGTGTGTGTACTGGTGGTGTGATGTACAGTGTCGAGTTTCGTGACTTTTTCCTGGGCGACGAGCTGAACAGTCTGGCCTACTCCGTCTCGAATATGTGGGTTTTCGCGTGTGAATACGATCATGGTTGGTACTGGCCTGATCAATGTGCAGGCACGCAAACGTACTGGACGCCTGTTCTTTCCGCACTGCCAGCAACGCTGCGTCTGACACAGTGCTTGCGTCGGTACATTGATACCAATGGCAAGATGCGCATCCATCTTGTGAATGCGTTCAAGTACCTCTCGTCGATCCTCAATGTCCTATTTTACTTCCGCTATCGCCAGGCAGGCTCGCAAGGCGTGCTGCCCCATGGTCTATGGGTCCTCTTTGCTACGATCAATTCACTGTATACGTGTACCTGGGACATTGCGATCGACTGGAATCTGCTGCAGAAGTCGTCGCGCTATCCACTTCTACGTTCGCACCTTGCGTACGATGATATTTGGCCGATGTACTATGTCGCGATGGTCGTGAACATCATGATTCGATTTGTATGGGTCATTTACCTATTTGGGGATGCTAGCTCGGTACCTCTGCGAGCGTTTGTCGCCGCGATGCTGGAGATGCTGCGTCGATGGCAATGGAACTTTGTGCGCTTAGAGAACGAGCATCTCGGTAATGCCGACTCGTTCAAGATCGTACGTGACTTGCCGCTGCCCTACCCTGTGCGTCGCCGCCATGGCTCCGACTACGGGGATGAAGACGAGTACGAAAGCGAAAGCGATACACGCACATTGGGCCATGGATCGCAAATGTCCACCAACGAGTCGCGCATTCGCGATGCCTTGCGGGAGACGCAGATGCACCTGGACGAAGTGCGACAGCGCCGAACTACGACGCTGTAAGCTGCCTACGTCGGCGGCTCATTGTGCCATGCATACGGCCTTCGTTCGCGTGGCGCTAAGGGCGGCAGCGCTGAGATCTGCAGAGACGGCGTGGTAGGCGCCTCTCCTGGCTGCAGTAAATCGCTGATGTGTAAGTCGCCATGATACATACTCCAACAAGAATCCCAAGCCAAGACCCACATCATTCAGGAGCTGAGCACAGTTGCGCGTAATGTCGATGGCTTCCTGTACGATCCGTGGGTCCTGATCCACGCCATACACTTGGCGTCGGAACGTATCAGCATACGCCCGAACCTGCTCGGAGGCCCACTGCACGAAACCGGATGCCATTTTGTAGTCCTTAAACGCGGCCATGTACCAGTCGCCTGTGTTTTTGATCAATGTAAAGTAGAGCATCGCCAATTCGGAAATATACAAACTTACATCGCCTTCGTACTTGATCTGTCGCGTGCGCCGACGTAGCAAATCCGAGCGCGCTTCCAGCAGCAAATCACGCGCTTCGCGACCCTTGTCAAGACGGACCAACAGCGCAGCGTCGCGCACGACGGTCGACTTGCGTTGGTACGGCGAAACGAGCTCGGCACTGATCGCACTCACCAATTCGTTGGCAGAGGCATTCAAGTGCTCCACGAGCAAGAACAGCGGCCCTTCCGAGACCGGGCGATTCGCGAGGCGCTTTCGCCCATCCTCGACCAGGGCCACGGCCTGCTCCCATTCGCGCAGCGCAATGTGCACAGCGAGCTCATCCACGACGTCGTGGAGCCATGGGCCAAGCGTCGGAAGATCATCGGCCGACGCTGCCGCTGCGTCTTTCGTACCGGTGCCATCTAGGCCACTGGTCGCGGGGTCCATGGTATCTGCCAGCACGACATCGTCACCACGCCGTTGCGCCTCTGCCCGTGCTTGCCGCTCCTTTTTCATCTTCGCAGCAAGGGCCTCACCGACACCGCGGAACGCACGGAGCAACGCACGCTTGTCTTGAGGGTGCTCTGTTTTGTACACAAACGACTCTTTGCCATGCTTGATTTTGAGGGCATGTCGTACATCTTTCGAGTCTTTCAAATCCACCACTACAATCTCCGACAAGCTGAAGCAGCGCTCGGCGACTAGGTGGACACGGCTGCCATAGTGTCGCTTGCGCTGCACGGCCACAAGCAACATATCGTCCAGCAGGAAGAGCGCAATGGATTGCTTGGGCTTGTAGGTCGCGGCATTCAGCTCGACAAACTGACTTGTCTCAGCAATCAAGTGACGGCCTGGCACATACGGCACCAGCCGCTGTGACCCTTCAATGTTCTCCCACAGCGACGCGAGCTGCGCTTTGTAAATATGCTCCAAGTCTGCTGCACTGCGTTTTTGATGCTTCAGCGAAGCAGGGAGCAACGCGTCGCCGTCCAACACGCCATCGCTGATGGGATCGTGCAAATGCATTTGCTGTGGGATCTGCTTCCATTCGCTAAGTAGCTCTTTGAATTCCAGCATATCGTTCTCAAACGTCGCAATTTCACGGCTGATCGTGATGAATTCCGTGTAGTTTTTAAACACTTGCTCTTTGAGCTGCTGCTGCGTCGTGGTGTGGATCGTTCCCAGCGTTGTACGTAGACTTTGTAGTCCTGCCTCACTTTGCTGCTGCACGCTCGTCATCACAAACCGGTGTGGATCAAACGACTCAGATGCAAACACGTCCGCGTTCACGCCAGGGAGTGTATGCGATTCCCAGGCTTCCGGGCCGGGCGTACTTGTCTCGCCAGCTTGGGACAAGGTCGGCGTAGCCGTAGGCAACAGGGCTGGTACTGGCGGCACAGGCGGCGCAGCATCTTCTGCCACACTCTCCAAGCCACCGCGGCCAGCCACCGGGCCCAGGTGACTCAAGCCGCCCATATACGAAGGCATCGCCGACGAAGAGGCGTACCGCATCGACAACCGATTCCGGACCTTGTCTTCAGCATCTGCCTCCGTCGCTAGTGGCTTGCGTGATGGCCGCGGTACAACACCTGTACTAGGCAGGCCATCTTTGGCGTACAGCGTCGTAGGACGCGTACGTAGCGAGCGCGACATGGTCGTTGAAGGTCGCCTCCACGCGCACGTACCTGCTGCGAGCCAGCGAGCGATGAGGGATGGGCCAGGTGGGCTTGCACGCGAGGCCAGGCTAGGCCGCTTACCTCATCAGCCTGGCAGGGCAGGCGCTCCGCGACCTGGATCGAGAGGACACCACCGTGCTGCGCCTTGGACGATGTCGTTCCATCCAGACGCGCTTGTCACGCGGCAGTCGGCGGTCAATGCAACGACGGATCCACAGAATGCGGACGACAGCGAATTGTGGCGAAGTGCCGCAGCGCGGTACGAACAGAAACGATGGGCGGAGCAGAGTGAAAAAGGTACGTCCCCATACGAGCCCTGACATGCAGCTCTGTACCAAGACGCCACATTTAAGCGCTACCAGGCCAATGTAGAAAAGGCATTGGCCAAGTTTGATAGCGTGGCCGAGTGGGCCGACTTCATTTCGTTCCTGGGCCGCCTATTGAAAGTGCTCCAAAGCGCGCCGAAGTACAATGTCATTCCGACGAAGCTCATCGTCGCGAAACGACTCTCGCAATGCTTGAACCCGGCGCTCCCTACCGGTGTGCATACCCGCGCCCTCGACGTATATACCCACATCTTCACCGTGCTAGGAGCGGATGGCCTACGTCGTGATCTCGCCGTATGGACGCCCGGTCTTCTCCCGTTCTTCCCCCATGCTGCCACATCCATTCGAGGCGTCGTATTGGGCCTGTATGAACGTTTCTACTTACCACTAGGTGTTGATTTGCGTCCACTCACACGCGCCTTGCTCCTGTCGCTCTTGCCGGGCCTCGAAGAAGAAGGCAGCGAGTTTTTCGATCGTGTGGTGACTCTGCTCGATCGCATCGCGACGTCTGTCCAGCCTGCGTTCTTCTTCCAGAACATGTGGAACGTTCTTATGGCGTCCCCCAGTGTACGTCTATGTGCTCTGAACTACTTGGCCCGACGGATGCCGACGATCGGCGCGGCTGGCGCCCCCACCTTGGCGAGCATGCATGTGTCGCTCTTAGCGCAGGCCATGGCACATACGCTTCAAGACGATGCGCTACTCGTACGTCGTCAAGCGCTCGACTTTTTGATTACACACATGGCCTGGTCGTCCGATGTCATGCGGGACCTAAGGTCTGCGGACAAGGAGGCATTGACATATGCAGCGCTATGCACGGTGCTGCGTCGTGATATCAGTCTGAATCGGCGCCTGTATACCTGGCTGGTGAGTGCAGAGAACGATGAACAGGCCCAAGAGACCTACTTTCAGACACACGCCTTGCCCAGTGCTCGTCGCGCCTTGCACGATGCCATGGCCCATACACGAGAGGCACAGCGGCCTTACAAAGTCCTTGTATCGCTCATGGACAAGAGCACGATTGCGCAGCCACTCTTGCAGGCGATGGTCCTGGATGTGTTTGACACGCTCGTGGCACATACAAATTTGCGGGCCGATGCGGAATTGTATCCCACAGCGCAGACGCTTTTTGAGGCCTTGGAGGCCCATGTGCTGTACCAACAGCTGTACCGCGGCATGCTTGCGCAGATGGAGAACGAGGCGTCTCGCGATGTGCTCTCCTTGTGTGAGCGTATTCTGGACGCCTTTCGTCCCCACGACGAGGAGGCTGTGCACACGCATCTCCCTGTTTTATGCCTGGCCCTCGTTGGTGAAGCGGATGCACGGTGGCAGGCACGGACCGTGTCGGCCACGGCCGTCGTCCATGCTTTGAAGGTGGTAGACGCTATGGTCCAACGACTCGATGCGTCCGCTGTGGTGGCCACCAAGAGCGAAGACCAGACGAGCGGCCATATATCCCTTCGCACACCCGCTGCGCAATGGTACGGCGACGAGGAAGTAGAGTCTGTGCCCACGCTTCGCTCGCCAGCCTATCTCCAGGCGTGGATGGAGGCGTTGCTGCGCATGGCCTTACCGGCCCCTGTGGATCGGGCCGAGGGTGATGCGGGTGTGACATCGGCGTGCTGGACGCTGCTGGACCGCATGCTTACGTTGCTGGATACGGCCGTTGCGACATTGGATACCACGACGCATCTCACGTTGGATGTGGCGGCATGGAATGAGGCTCTCTTTGCGTACATCCGCCGCGCATCCTCGTTTGCGTCGCCGCATGCTGCGCTACGCATGGCGATGCGATTGTCGAACAGCCAGTGCATTGATGGCGCTTTTGACTTTGCAACACAGGCGCACAGCGATATTGTGATGCAATGCCTCCTTGATGCATTGCAACCGGCATCCTTTCGCCACCATACGGAGGCCGTTGCCTTGTTCTGGGACGTGGATGCGCTCACGGGCGAAAATGAATACGCAACGCACTTTTTGTGCACACAGCTCACGCACTCTGCCTCGGCCTGTGCACGTGCGATGGATGCCCTGGGCACTCTATGGCGGCTCAGCACGGATGCGGCTCGGCGCTTGGAGGCGCCTGTCTTTCTCGTGCTGGATCGTTTGCGGTCGCACCATGTAATGGAGAAGCACCAAAGTGAACTGTGGCTGTGTGCCTATGTATCTTCGTACGATACGTTGCTTCAGTTGTTGCTCCACAACTTGGTCCGAGTCCCGGCTACGCGGACCATGTCGCATGTGAACATCTCAACACAGCACGGCGCCTCGGTCGAGGTGCCTGTGTACGAGTACACAGAGCCCTTTGATCAAGCGTTTATGAACTACTACTTGGCTACCTTGACCTCGCTTTTGACCATCGATGGTGTACGAGTACTGCACAGTGCCCAATCGACTGTCTTCACATGGGCTTCCGACGAAGCTTCATGCCAGATCGAAGAGGGCCCTATTTCGAATGTCTTGAAAGAGTACGTCCTCGTTCTCCTCCGCTCTATGCCATCTACACACGCCGCCGAGTCGGATGAGGCCACGTATGCACTCTGCCTAGAACTGCTTCGCTTGCTCCTTGCCATGGAGCCAGACCAGACATGGTGCTCGAGCGTGGAAACGGGCCTTCACGATGTGCTTCTCCTAGCCATGCACCGTGGCGATACACCTACCCAGGTCCTGGTCCTTCGTACCATACGCGAAGTCCTCCTTGTGCACTACCGCACATCGTACATGTCGGCGGAGGCAAGTGCGTCGTTTGCTTCGCTCCTGCAGGTGGGTCTGCTTCGTACGACCAACGATACGGCCCTCTTTGCGTGGATGGACTTGGCACATACACTTCTTCCCTTGACCGACAAGGCCGTACAGGCCTTTATGCTTCCGCTTTGCTCCACTGTTCGTGCGTTGCTTCTTACGGCCATGCAGTCGTACGATACCACCACCGCACGTGCATGGAGGCCCACACACGACGCAACCTTGCATCGTGTGCCCCGTACAGAGCTGGAGCTGAATCAACTTACCGCTGTATTGGAACACACCCTCGTGCAAGCCATGTCGTCGCACCACTCGAATGAAGTGGAACGGGTCCGACGTCCCGAGACATCCGGCGGGTTCCTGGGTAACATTTCCAGTGTGTTCCTCAGTGATAGCAGCACTGCCTCCCGCACATCATCGAGCCATGCTGGCACGTCGCGCAGTATCGCCGATGTGGTGCAGGCGCTGGCCTATGCGTGGATCGTCGCGAGAGCCGATCCTCGCCTGGAAGCGGTGGTAACACGCACGCGTGCTGCATTGGAGCGTCTTTACGGGCTGTACACCTCGGCTACGGTGGACGCGATCATGGAGTACTGGTCGCGTGCTTCCCGCGCAGCGTTGGATGCTACAGATGAAGAGCATGTGCTGGACGACACACTGGCGCTGCTGGCGTGTTTAGCGCCGAGTGCGCAGATTGTGTGTACGTCGCTATGTGATGCCATTGCCGGACGTGTCAGTTCCAATGACCGCGCGAAGAAACAGGGCCGTACGAGCTTCGTGAGTGAGGTGGTCCTGTTCCAGTTCCTGGACTTGTACACGGAACGTCTGGATGCACCGTTCATTCCGCAAGTGTGGCCCATTTTCAGTATACTGGCCAAGTCGATTAGCAGCACAACCAACAAGGCTTGGGTCTTTGGCATGTTGCGTCTCGTTACCCAGCTGGGTGTGAAACTCGCGACAACGCGTGCCTTTGAGGATGCACGCATGCGCCGTGATGTGCAGGACACATTTATGCGTTTGTCCGAGCTAACTATCTCGCTATATGCGCGCTCCCTGGACATTTCTGCGTCATCAGGGCGCGATAGCGATGCGGTCTCTGCCTTGAGTGAGAAGGATGATGCAGGGGACGGTGTAGCCGTACCACCAGCGCCAGCTGTCGTCGTTCAGTGCCTAGGTGCTCAAGTACTTCCTGCGTATGTCTCCCTGCGTATCGACAATGATAAACTGGTGGCGATCTCCACAAGTATGGTATACTATGTCGTGGCACCGGGTGTGCGTACGCGTGGCCGCACGCTGGATCCAGAGCCGCTGGTCTTGGATACACTGGTACGGTTGAGTCGTATGCCCACAACTATCAAGACATGGCGCACGCAAGTCTTGGACGCATTTATGGATGCGAAGTTCTTTACGCAAACATCGTCACTGGGACGCCAATGGGCTCCGATTGTGCATGCACTACTTCAAGCGGAACGCGAACGTTGGACCGATGTTCTGGGCCGTATCAATGCCACGCCCACATCCAACTTGTTCACGAGCCGCGAGGCTGATCTGTACGCGCGCGTGACCGCCATACGCCGCCTCTCGTACGTGGTATACACAGGGAAGACGAATGATTTCCTTGCACAGCTTCCTCAAATCCAAGAAAAGGTGGTCGAGATCGTGCGATCGCAACCAGCTGAGATCGTGCAAGCCGAAGTGTTCTTGTGTATGCGTGTGTTGTTGTGCCGATTTGCCTCGCAACACCTCACAGGCTTTTGGCCGATCATTTTGACAGAGATGTTGCGTATTCTCGGCGAGGCCAAGTCGTCATCTTCTCTGCCAGCGGACAAGTCCGATGCCCTGTATCTTATTGGCAGCGTCGCCAAGCTCGCCGACTATCTCATCACCCTCCAGACGGAAGACTTCCAGATTCACCAATGGCTCCTTATCACGGATACACCAGATGCTATGAACGACCAAAGTGACTGGTCCGCCGAGTCTTTATTGGACTGTATTGGCGCTCTGGCTGCCAAGGAGCACCCTCCCGCGACCGAGGCAGCGGACGATGTCGTGGTACGGGCCCAAGAAAGGAAACCAATGCTGGCTGCCTCACGCCTCGACAACGCAGCAGGGCTGACGCCTTTCTTTGCAAATGCGTCGCGCGCTTTCTACGAGTGTCAATTTGAAGGTGACGTGGATTGGGATACGATTAATACCTGCCTTCTACAGGACCTGTTTGAACCTATACGCACTCGGCTGTAGTTTTGTACCATTTCACAATATTTTGATTGCCTGCGCTTTTGTTCCTTGTTTTGGTCGATCTCACTGGGGCTAGCCACGGAAAATCAGGCAATTTCGTCCATTTGCCCTTCGGCCCGTTCGCACGGACCTTGCCGCTATGTGAGAAAAAAAAATGACCAGCACGGGGCTCGAACCCGCAACCTCCTGATATGCTCAGCTCGTACGAGCTTTCGTAGTCAGACACACTACCAATTGTGCTAACCGGCCGTTGCGATGCCGGTGTCGAATTAGCCTATATACCTAGGTGCATATCGCTACGGTTCGTCCAAACCCTTCGAGTCCACTCGTCGTGTATTGCGTTCAGTTGCTACGCTAGATAATTCTATGCACTCACTATGGAAAGCGCATCGTTAGTGGTTAAAGATGACAGCATTCTTAGTCTGCCACTGGCCCTTGTGTGCTTTGACTTTTTGCCTCTCTTGGAAGTAGTCTTCACCACTTGGGCCACCATACACCCATTCCACGGTGTCAGAACTTTGGTGGAACCATTGGGGCTGGTACGTTTCTCCAGCATCTTCCATCTGTTTACGGCGTGCGCGCTGTTCGTTCTCCAGCGTGTGCTTCAGCTCCTCTGCCGAGTCTGCATCACCGTCTTCCAAGGCACGCTGGTCAGGACGCAAGCGTGAATCGGTTGGCGGCAATACATTCTTTAGGTCGTCCGTAATCTCATTCAGCGAGAGGGCAAAGTAGGTAAAGCCATAGTACTTGGCCGGGTTAGGCGGCATCGGGTCCACCTCCCAAAGCACCTGAAGGTGGTCCTTCTGCATCACACGGGCTATTTGTTCATCCCACTTGCCCTTGAGGGTACCCACTTTGGAGTTGTTCGCATCGTAGAGTGTGCCTTCGATTTGGTTCCTGTTGGCAGCGCCGCCGAAGTATGAGCCTTCCTTGAACTGAATGACCAATCGTTCTTTCGTCTTCAGATTGGTAATGGCCATCTCACCGACATGCTCCAGGTACTTATTACCGGCAAGAAGGTTACGCATAAAGGAGCTGGGCTTGGTAATGCTGTACCGATCACCTGTCTCCAGCTCCACGACTTGGGCACCTTCCGCAATAAGCTCTAGCGACTTGCCCCAGAACTTGTTCTTCACAGTTCCAGCCGCAGACACGGACCAACCATCGCCTTTGGCGTACGATGCAATCACAGGCGGACGATGGACCACCTTTTCTGCGACAAAGTACATGTTGCGATCAGCGCGAATGCACTCGTACGTCTCACCAAGCAATGGGTTAAAGGGCTTGCGCGTCGTGCGCTGCGCCGTTGATGCGTAACTGCTCACAGCAAATGCACCCACCAACGAAAGACGTTCTGTGCTATCCGAGGCCTTCGCTGCACGCTCCAGCAGCTTGGGAGCATATTCATACTCCTCTGCTACCGCCTGCAGAAGCGAGAGAGGACAGTTGAAAGTCACAGGGAAGGAAATGGTCGACAGATCCTTACCGACATTCTTCTTCAGGATCGAGAACAGCGACATTTCTTCACCTGTCACAGGCGCTGGCAATTGCTTGCGGTACGTCACTTGTTCCGAGGCAGGCAGCGGCAACTCTGTGGGCGTAGGAAGGACCGGCTTTGAGTCTTCCTCCTCATCCACATACATGTTAGCATCGTCGTCTTCCTCATCGTCATAATCGCCATTACTCTGGATTTCATATTCGACGCCATCGTACATATCGTTGGCATCATAAAAGTCGTGCTCGCCATCATCGCCTCCAGGTTGCGGCGATGCACTACCAGATCCCATCGAGCCAGCAGCAACACCTAGGCCTGCACCAGCTGCCAAGCCTGCACCAGCACCAAAGCCAGCTGCGGCGCCGTGCGAGTGGCTATGCGTTGATCCCGTCTGAGAGGCTGCTGACATAGAAGCCGCATCACCTCCCCTAGATCGCCTCGCAAGCTGCTGGCGGATATCACCGTGGTGACCATGTAGAACCTGGAGGGATGAAATCACATCATCAATGTCTTCAGAATGTTGTGTCTTGTTCACAGTCCTGAGCTTCGCAATGCACGCCGCAAGGAGCTCATCGACTTGGCCCATCGTACCCGCCTGCGGCTGCTGCGCCGGCGAATGCGCTGCACCTCCATTCAAGAACTTGCGAAGATCTGTCCTCCATTCCATAAAATCGTTCTGGTTCAGCATCTTGAAATCTGCCCCTGTTAGTTTCGCGAGAATGAGAAGTACGTACGGAATACCGTGGAGCCGCTGTCGACGTGGATCGTGCCTAAGCAGGGTAAGAATATGCTGCTGCATACATACCATGTCGGATGTCAGAAGACACACTAGCGTGCGGCACGTCGATCACTCCGCGCGAATTGCTCTCAGGATTGGTCGAGTACGACAGTGTACCATCCTCGAAAATAATGAGCCAGCGCTTGGCGTAGCCTCATATATTAGCCATATGTGCTACCCTAAACGTACCTTGGAGCTTCTTCTTCTTCCTCTTAAGGACCCAGCCGGAGCGGAGGACCTTCGCGTTGCTCGCGTCCATGTCGGTGCACAAGGTCCGTGAACAACGTAAACCTTTGTTCGGGGTTCGGCGTGGGGTCCCGGCTTGGGCACAATTTCAATGACTAAACCTATGGCCGGCTACTTGGGAAGTTGGCGCGTTGAATCCGGTGGCCCTCCCCCCCTTTACTGTGGAGGAAGTGTAGGCGTGCGCGGCGATTCATTTTGGAGAACCGCCTCCGCATACATCATCTTGTAGCGTACAAGTTCTTCTGCCATCTCATCATGCGAGAGCTTCTCCATGACGACGCGCTTCACAAGGTCAACATGCTCAGCATTGAGATGACTTAGCTGTTCCTCTAACGACTGTACACGCATCTGGAGATTGCGGTTGACCAAGCGCAATGCCTCCATTTCCACTTGTCGCTCATTGGCCTGCTTGGCCTGGTCGTAAAACTCGTTCGCATAAGCATCCAAGGTGTACTGAGGAATCTTGATCTTAAATGCATCACGCACCAGCTCACCGATACGAACACTCTCGGGCTTTCCCTCCGTTTTCTCGTTCGTGTAGACATCAATCAAATAGTCTTTCAGGAACTCTAGACACCCTTCAAAGTCCAGTTCCAGAAGCTTAGCCTCATTCTTGCTCATTAGAGCCAAGGCAAATCGGAACATCGCCTCAATACCTTCGGCAAAAATCGAGTCCAAAATGCGGTACACCACCTCCAATGGGAATCGGTATGAAAACAATGTCATAAACCATTGGCTTGCATACATGCTGCTCTTAATACCACGTCGCAGTAAGTGCATATACAATGCTGGAAGCGTCTCCTCAACGATACGGTCGAATTGGTACAATCGAAGCTGCAACGATGGCATGTTTGCTAAGGTGAGCCCATTTGCACACGTACGAATATAATGTCCACGCAAGTCATAGTTCTGCATCAAGCGGACCAACGTGCTAAAAGCCTCTTCATCAGGCATCTATTATGTCAGTATACACAGCACGCACATTCAAAAGAAGAGGGCCCACAATAAATTGCATGCCTTGACAGTATCCACATTCAGGGTCGTACAACGAATAAGCTTTTACCACATTGTACAGATTCTCTTGGCCCACGCCCCGCACATCTTTGAAATACTCTTGGGATGGGAAAGTCCTGTTCAAGTCACGTCGGATCGCTGCCTCATGGGGGCATGGCAGCGACAAATATCGCGCATACTGTGCTTCCAGCTCCTCATCCTTGCTACTACTAAGTAGCTGCCACATCATACCACGCAGGGCGGATGGAATACCAGAATAAATGGCTTTGCTCAGCTCAATCGGACTGGTAGAGAGAATGCTGTTATAGTCTTTTGTTAGCTACATTTTCCACATACTTTTAATGAGACCCCCCCAGAACTCCCAGTCAATATTTTCAGCTTCGCTCTCGTCCATACCGGACCCTGTCTTCTCCTCTTTGTCATCCAAGACCAGGCCAAAATCTTTGCTTGCCCCGCCGACACCATCCGCCTCGGCCTCACTCTTGGCCTGGTTGCGCATCTGCAAACGCTCGAAGCTTTGTCGAAGTTTACCCATACCCATAGCACTGCGACGCATAGCCTTGGGATCCTGATTCAACTTGCGATTCTGTGAGACCATACTGGCCAAAATCAAATCGTACTCTGAATCATTAATACGGTCAGCCTTCTCCGATGCAGCTCGCTGTTTTGCCGTATACGTGGATAGGGGAGGGAGCGGCGGCGGCTTCGACGCGGCAGACTCAGAAACCTTGGCAGCATTTTTGCCTGGTTCTGCAAACGGATTTTCAATTATCTTGCTAGGCTCTAACATGGAGGCCGCACCCACAGAGGGCGAAATGGGATCCGGCTTGTGCGCAGCTGACACCACAGCTTTAGCGGCCTCCAAATCGATCGGAACCTCCGCAACGTCTTCTGACATGGACCTCGATGCACGGATAGAGGCAGAAGACAGCTCTTCCGGCGGGAGTCGCTGCTCAGCCGTTGTTGTACCTGTGCTCGACGCATCGGACTCCTCTGGAACATGTCAATCATCTCCATTGAATTGAACGTACCCTCTCCACTATCCTCCTCGTCCTCGTCATCATCATCTGTTTCCTCCTCGTCATCATCATCCGTTTCATCCTCGTCTGTTTCCTCGTCCGAATCATCGTCGCTATCTTCTGTATCGTCCGTTTCTTCGGAACTAGCAGTCGTATCGCTTTCTGTAGGAGCTGTACTCTTGCTCTCAGAGTCCGTATCAATATCAGTACCTGTGGTACTTGATTTGTCCTCTTCTTCTGTGACTACTAATTTGTTCCGTGCAGCCGCACGCGCAGCGGCACCAGCCTTTCCACGTACCATTACCTTCGTGGCCGTGTAGAAGCGTGCTGTAGTACCTCACGACAATGCACGTCTTTCTAAGCTTCCTGCATGCATGTGCTCTGTGGGGAAGTACATTCACACGTGGACCCACGTGCAGCTCTAGGTATACACACAGCCTTCCACGTCACCTTGCGTGTCGGAACGCCACCACACTGTTGTGCGGCCTATATATTGCCCTCGCACTTGGTCACTACGCCCTAAAGGACGTGGACTTATATCCGGTGGGGGATTAGCTTATTTATGTCTACTGCCCAAAAAGCTGTGATTGAACCCACGCTCCTCGCGCACACCGAGTCGGGGAGCGACTGCTCCTCTAGTATAGGTTCTCCCACGAATGGCTTGAAACGGCCAGCAGAGGGAGAGCCTTCTTGTTTTCACGCATCCAAGGGAAGAAGGTCCTCTGAAGAGGAGAAACTTGCTCGGCGCCTAGCTCGTCAGCAACGTAACCGCAAATCTGCGCAAGTCTCGCGTGAAAAGAAGAAGGCATATGTGGACCAACTTGAACAAGAGGTGGTAGCCCTTCGTCAGGAGAAACAGTTGTATCAGCTTCGAGATGCGGCAGCATCTAAGAAGCGCGTTGAATTGGAGGAGAAGGTGGATGATCTGAGTTCAAAGGTTCGTCATTTGGAGTCCTTGTTGGGCGACTTAGTGAAACGATCGAGTGGTACTATTTTGGAGACGACGAGTGCAAACATGCATAGCGTTCGCACGGAAGGAGAGACGTCAAGTTTCAAGCAAGATGTTGTGACAGAGCCCATGTTCAAGTCTAGTAGTGCAAGCGCAGCGCCGGCTGCTCTGTCGACCCTATGTGGCGCTTCGAGCTCTGCTTTGGCTCTTCCGACTCTGAGCACTCACCTCCCAGCAGCGGAGGTGACAAATTCTTCTACGGAGGAGTTGGCCCAGCAGTGGGTGCTCTCTCAACAGTCGGCACTGAAGCCAGCAAAGTTCGGCCCATCACAGGCGAGTCGACAACGCCAGCAGCCCATGGCAGCAGCCTTGCTTCTCACGTCTTTGAACGCGGCACTTCACACATCTCCAACGAAGCTGACTCCTCTTTCTTGTGGCCAGACGCAAGCATGCTTGCCCCTGCTGTCCCAGAAAGCAGCGACTCCTTCTATTCGTCCGTCGTCAACTGGCTTGCCAATGCAACCAATGCTGAAACTCCGTTTCAAGATTCCTCATGCACGAGTTCAGAAGGTTCTGGAGAAATATTCTCAGCGCCCAGTGACTGTGTAACTACGCCTCACGACCTGGACCTGCTCACATCTTCCTTCACGCCTTGTGTTGACAGCCATCCCAGTGTCGCTTCAAGCGCGCAGGAATCAAACTCTCCCTCTTTAATTACGACTCCCCTGCCTTCTGTGCAAATGGCAGATCCACTTGTACCATCCATGTTGGATTCTTCTACTATACAGACTGACGAACCACTATTCCCACCATCGTATGACTATTTGGATGTGGATCTGCCATCGAATCTCTTCCCTCAGTTGTATACTGAGTCGTTGGATCCTGTACATATGCCGATGTATTCTTCGTCTTCTTCACGTGTGCCTTGTTTATGAGTTGTGTATGGTTTATAGGCGTTATTACAATGCAATGTTGACTCCCATTTCGATAAAGCCTTTCTGCCTTTCGTCGTGCTAGCCCGATGTCCTTGCCCGATCCGTCAAGTCGATGACGTACACTGCAGCAGGTGGCACATGCCCCATCATGATCTACCACGTGACTAACTACAAATTATTCACGTGACACTTCATGGGCAGTCCTGGGCATGGAAGGCACTGTCTTCCGTCGAAGCTAACGCCCTACCCACGAACACTCGTCCTCAAGGTGTGTGTTACGCTTGGCAGATTGGTCGTTGTTTGTTGTGCGACACCCTCTTGACGCTCACTACACGACCATAGCTGTCTATTGCACTTTCTGTGAACGGAATACTAACATCACTACAGGCTCAATATGGGTATTACTCGGGACTCGCGTCACAAGCGGTCGGCGACCGGTGCTCGCCACGCCTTCTACCGCAAGAAGAGGCAGTTTGAGCTCGGTCGTCAGCCGGCTAACACTCGTCTTGGCCCGAAGCGCATCCACGATGTGCGCGTTCGTGGCGGTAACATCAAGCAGCGTGCCCTGCGTCTTGACAGCGGCAACTTTGCTTGGGGCTCGGAGCACATCACTGCCAAGTCGCGTATTCTTGGTGTCGTTTACAACGCCTCGAACAACGAGCTTGTCCGTACCAACACTCTTGTGAAGGGCGCCGTTATCCAGATTGACGCTACTCCTTTCCGCATGGCTTACGAGAAGCACTACGGTCAGCCCGTGACCAAGCGCCGCATGCCGGGCAACCAGACCACTGAGGAGGTCAAGAAGAGCAACCACGTTGAGCGCAAGCTGGCTGAGCGCCGCAAGGACGCCAAGGTCGACCCGCTCGTCGAGCAGCAGTTCTCTGCTGGTCGTCTCTACGCCGTTATTTCGAGCCGCCCCGGTCAGTCGGGCCGCGCCGATGGCTACATCCTCGAGGGCTCGGAGCTTGAGTTCTACGTTCGTCGGCTCCGCTCGGCCAAGTCGAAGCACGCCTAATGTGTTTTTTGACTTGGGATATCCAAAAGTGGTCCTTTGGGCGCGTAGGATGAGGGGTGATTGCGGTGCATTCATTCTACGTACTCCCCTTTTCTGTCTAGTTTGACGTCCATACTCGTATCAATGTGACCTGTCTCTGATTCAATAGATGTGCAAAGCGTGCCTTTTTTAAGATAGTACAAAGCGGCTTTAGGCTTGATGGCGCTGCTTGCCTTTTTTTCTTGGTACAGAAAATGCCGTGAGCATCGATCATCGGCGCAGTATCGGGCCTACGTCCACGTGAAAGGCTCGTGCGCGTATACCACAGTGCGTTGGTTCTGCCCGCACGCTCGTCGATCATAACGACACTATGCGATCTCCTCGAGTTTTGCTGGTCAATGATGACGGCCCTCCTTCTGATGTATGTATAATAGCTCTTGAATTTATGCCAGTCATCTCCATACATCCTTGAGGTGTATCAACAGCTGATCTCACTAGGCTGGGATGTACGCGTTGTCATCCCCAGTTCACGTATGTATACATGAGTAGCTCACCCTCAGAGAAATCATGGTATGTTGTATGAGACGCTGATCTCGTGCAGGAGTGGCACAAATTATTCTGTGTCCAATACACATGTGCGCTACTGGTAGTAAGTATTCTCGTATTGCCTGACGCAACTCAGCTATTATCCTCTACGGGACAATTATCTTGGCGCTCATCCTGACACGCGCCATTGCTGGAGTCACGAGCGCCGTCCTATTCAAAAAGAGCGTGGAGAAATTGGTGAATGGGTGCTGGTCGATGGTGTGCCTTCGACCTGTACCAATGTCGGCTTGTATACCGGTGATGCGCTGTTTGGACCGGATGGGGCAGGCCCCATCGACCTCGTTATATCAGGTCCCAATTATGGCCGAAATACAGGCACTGCATTTTCTGTGAGTTCAGGTACGCTCGGAGCTGCTCTCTCCGGCTCTCTATGTGATGTTCGGTCTATTGCTGTGAGCTTCTGCCACTTTAAGACAAATCCACCAACGTTGGATGGCCGTCGAGAAGGTCCTGGCCTTACGCCTGAGGTATTCAAGGAGCTTTCCATCCTCGCCTGCACGTACACCTTGCGTCTCTGCAAGCAGTTGTGGGAAACATGGGATCAGGATGAACATGTTCAGTCGTACTCGATCAATATTCCTATTGCCGAGACGTTGCGACGTCCTGTGGTACATTGGACGCGCATTTGGCACAGTCGGCATGGCCAATACTATCCTCTTCCTTCCTCTGGCGCAGAGGATTGGGGTGTCATGCCATCTGGCATTGAGCCCAAGGACTTGCCTGATGAAGATCCTGCGTGTGCCTACTTGGCCTTTCATCCGAATCTGGTGCGCGCTATGGAGCCGGCCGTTATTGAGCCAGGCACAGATGTTTGGGCCATTACGCAAGGTGCCATTTCCATCTCGCGCCTCGTCGCTTGCTTTGAGCAAGTGGACGCAGGTTCACGGCCTGTTCCATCCTGTGTTGTATAGTGCATATATGTTGTAGACGATATACATAATACGTTATCTACCGGACTACCAGCTTACGCTTCCGTCGTGCCTTTTCTTCGATCTTTTCACGAACTGCAGCTTCATCCAGTTCGTCCAAGTTCGTGTCCGGCTTTTCAAACAGTTCTGTCGTGCGGCGCAACACTTCTTGACTTTGTAAGTATCGCAATGCAGCCATATTGAACCCAATCATCGTTTTCTGTTTCGAAAGCACATCTTTCACATGTGTACGCAGACGAACCATCGTTGTGCGCATCACGCGGTTCGCTACAATCTGGGCATGATGTGTGCGTAGCAAGAAGAACAGGATCCGCGCAGCCAGCGACACGTTCCATTCCTTAGTAATCCATACATCGATATAAGCGAAGAGCGAGACGACACGGTCGAATGGCAACACTAGCAGTGCGTCTTCTAGATGTGTAGGCAGGATCTTTTCCACAACACGCAGCACATATTTGTGCGTATCTGGCTCATCCATCCCAGAGAACGCCGCTTGAATGAGCGGATGCACAGGCACAGACGATGCATCTTGGCCCTGCTTCACGGCTTGAGCACGCTGGGCCAGGTCCGCATCCGCGGTCTCCAGTGCTTCGATCACACGCTCGCCTGCCATGAGGGACTCGGTGGTGCTCTTTGTGACCGCCTCAGCCTCTGCCCCCGATTGTTCTGTAGCTGCATCGTTCTGCGCCGTTGCAGCACTCTCGTACATTTGCTCGAGCTCCTTTTCACGCTCTTCCTCAAGGAACAGAGGTTCATCTGTCTTCTCCCACACGCGGATACTGCGATCCGCACCTGCTGTCACCACCAGACGGCCAAGATGACCCGTGGACAGCGCCCAGACTTCACCATGATGACCTTCCATAGTCTGCACGCCGACAAATCGATCGCCGTCCCAGTACTTGACTTTCCCATCCTTGCCCACCGTCCAGAAACGATGCGAAGCGCCTTCGCGGCCACCCTGCAAACCCCCGCCTTGCTGCCCATGTTCGAACGCTACCTGCATAATCGAGTCATCATGTGCAAAGAGACTTCGGTGGCAATCACCAAAGTCAAGACCCCATATCTTGACATTCTTATCCGCACTGCACGTTACACACAGTTTTGAGTCGCCTGAAATATCGAGGGATAGCACAGGTAACTTGTGTCCGTACAAGGACAAGAAAAACTTGAGAGAGTCAGCGTAAAACACTTTCACTGTGTTGTCCAGCAGTGAGACAGCCAAAAGCTTCCCATCGGGCGAGAATCGTGTGCACAGTACATCGTCTGTCAGCTTGAGTGTGCGTACATGCACCATTGAAAGCTGAGAGCCCTGCTCTGTTTGTGCCATCTCAAACTCCCAGAACTTGACTTCCTTGTCGGCACTGCCTGTCACGGCACTTAGGCCACTAGGATGGATGGCGATACTCCAAAGTGGGCCTTGATGTGCCTCTAAGGTTTCAATAGCCATACCGGCTGGAACATCAAACGTATGCAGTGTGCCATCCTTGCAACCTACTAGCACATACCTGTCACCAGGCAGCCATGTTACACACAGTGCAAACGACGAAACAGGCAATGTGCGAATGCAACGACCTGTGCGAATGTTCCAAATTTTCAGCTGGCCGCTACCACACACCGATGCCAGGAGCGAATCATCACTTGACAGGGCCACACCACGTACATCACTGCGATGTCCAGGGAGTTCCAGCACATTTGAAACCGTGGCTTCAATGGCACCCTTCTTTTCCTCTTTGCTGCGCGGTGGTGGCGGAATCGTATGCGTTTCAGCAGAGTTGGTCGTCAGTGCACAAAGAACAGGCACAGGGGCATCATGAGAAGGAGCAGCACCACTTGGGAACGAGAAGCTGCGGATACGACCAATGGTGGGGCGGATGACAACGTACGCCTCCAAACGTGTAAGCCAAGTGATGGCTGGCGCCTCTGTCGGCACCTCATCACCCTTCTCACGTGCACGTTTCAAGCGACGCTGTTGCTTTTTGGTGGCTTCTGCCTCAGTACGAATGCGATACACATGAATGGACCGATCACCACTCATAGCAGCCATGTAATAACCGTAGAAGGCCAGTTGTGAGACGCGATGACTTGTCGGCAAATCAATTGTGCCTTGCGATTCGAAAAATTGGGTCGTGGTGCCTTCTTTGCTTTCCAAACCACGCTCCAGCGCCTTTTGATCTGCCTCCCAAAGACGGACATGGCCGTTCGACCCACCTGTAACAACCAAGGGTGACTGATCAGGCACCGCATGGACACTGAGACTCCACAGTTGTTCATCGCCTGATACGATCGTCTCAATACAATGTTGCAGCCGTAAGTCCCATAGTTTCAGCAAGCCATCTTTGGCAGCTGACACAAGGTAGTCTGTGCTCGATGCGTCCGTTTTGTAAGGCAAGAAGGCCACGCCTGTGATGGCATCATGGTGGCTTTTGAGGCTGCCGGTAAGCGTACTCGAATACATACCGGAACAGACCAGACTCTGAGACGGTATCCCAGACAATCACACTGGTATCTTGGCTGCCACTGGCTAGTAGCATGCCGTTGGGATCAAACGCAAGAGTGGTCACCGCGCGTTGGTGTCCGTGAAAGGTGAGAAGAACGGTGGCTGTATCCGCGTCCCACAATCGAATAGATCCGTCCGCATATCCTACAGCAAACCTGTTTGTATACGGTTCAGGTGACCGTGCAATGGCTGAGACTTCGACACGGTAGCCAATTTCGTGCCACATCGCTCGCTGTAGGCGTTAGTTGGAAGACATTACGTACCTGCTCGCCTCGTTTCATGTCCCATACAAGCACATCTTCCAGTGCAGGTAAGAAGGCAATCTTCCCATTTGCATCCAGTATAGCATTTGCCGCATTGGAGCTCACAAGGCCAAAGGCCGCTGTAGGCTCATGGCGATCATACGACCGCACCATGATGCAGGGAGCGTCGTTGGTGGTCACGGTGCGCAACAAAAAAAATCTCGTCTTACGTGGGCATGACTAACAAAAACGCTCCCCGCCTCCGCTCGCACGTTCGTGCGGCGTGCAGAACCCAACTTGGCGGCATAGAGCTAAGCTTACCCATACTTTAACACCATGAGTGCTGAGCAACCTGGTCCTGGGCTTTCAAGTGAGAATCAAGGTGGATGGATGCATGTATGTACAAGAATGATCTGACCAGTAGTTCCTCAAGTCCATCGCCAGCTTTTCGGGCGATCTTAGCAAAATGACAGCGCCGTCGTTCATTTTGTCGCCCGTGTCGCTGACCGAGTACCCGAGCTAGTATGTATTGCTGCGCTGCTCACCTTCTAGCTGGGGAGAGCACCCCGATACCTTTAACGAGGTCCAGGAGGGAAAGACGCCGGAGGAGCGTATGGTAGCTGTGCTTCGTTGGTTCATTGCCACACTCAAGGGTCAGTACACCTCGCGCAACACCAGCATGGGTCACGAGAAGAAGCCGCTTAACCCCGTGCTTAGTGAAGTGTTTTACGGTAAATGGCCTGACCACAGTGGTCGTGGTGAATTGACGCTTGTGTCGGAGCAAGTGTCGCACCACCCCCCGATCACTGCGTACTACTTGGAGAACAAGAAGGCCGGCGTAAGTGTGCAGGGCCACAGCGGTCAGAAGACCTCATTCAATGGCCGTACAATCTCTGTGCTGCAGGTGGGCCACGCCTTCATGCGTCTGAAGCGTCCAGAGGGTGAGGATGAGGTGTACCTGATTACTCTTCCTACGCTTCACATCGATGGTTTGTGGTACGGATCGCCCTACATTGAGCTGGCCGACACGACGTACATTCACTCATCGACGGGCTATCTCGCCACTATCAACTACAGTGGCCGTGGCTACTTCTCGGGCAAGGCCCACTCCTTCCATGCGACGGTGACGCAGTCTGGTTCATCGACCTCGTTGTTGGAGGTCGCCGGCGATTGGTCGGGAAGCAGCACTGTGAAGAAGGGCACTCTTCTTCCTGTAAGCTCTACGTTCTGGGATGCGAACGTGAGCCCTCGCGAGGAGATTCAGGTCAAGCCAATTTCAGAGATGGGCGAGTACGAGAGCCGCCGCTTGTGGCAGGTTGTTTCCCAGGGTATCCGGACAGGCAACTATGACGTGGCGTCGAAGGACAAGTCGCGTATTGAGAACGAGCAGCGTGCGCTACGCAAGAAGCGCGAGGAGGAAGGCACGAAGCACGAGTTGAAGCACTTTGAGCTCATTGAGAATGATCCGGATTACGCCAAGCTCGCTGTGGCATGCAAGAACCAACCGAACACGCAGTCCACGTACCGCTTCACTACCGGTCCTACGAATGCGTAATCCATGTGTTTGTGTCATGCATAGTGCATAATGTAGATGTGCTCGGCGTAGCTGTTGATAGGACTATCTTTCTCTGCGAGTCGTCGTGGACGGTCCTCCACATGTTTGTTGAACGTTGGTTGGCGAGGCTGACTACTTGCGTCTCCACGACTGACGTTCGCACACACGGCGGCCAGGCGCATCATGCCTAGTGTAGATGCGTCGGCATGGCCTTCCTGGCTCGCCGAGACAGGGGTACGTTGCCAACGACTAACCCAAGATTTTTCAAAACCTCTCTAATGAGGAACGTGAGCACGCGGTGCATGCCGCTGTACGTGGCCTTGTGCGGTCGTATGCAGAACCTTTGGTCGCTTCACGTACTCCTGAGGCCGTTCAAAAGGCACTGCATACGACGCCATCTTATGCCGATGCTATGGATTCTTTATGTGACTGGATCACTTCGACGCCACGCGCGCTGGAGTCGCTCCTTGTGCCTATGCCAGTCGGTGCCTATCCTCTGGACTATACCACGCTGGATTTGTACATGGTCCCACGCTTAATTGGCGCGCTCAGTGTCCTGTGCACTCATGTACAACAAGCCTCGAACACGACAGAGACTGCTATGCAGTACTCAGGTGCGCTCCTACATGCTATGAAAGAAGCTGCAGGGGCTACGATGCGTGTCATCGGCACTGTACTGCACGTGTGCCTCTCCTCTACACACCAACACAGCCACGTTCGTTTCCTTTTGTACGATGCTCTCCGTGCCGGTGCGCGCATGGTGTCGTTACGTATACCCAATACATGGCATATGCATACCCTTTCTATGCCAGGCACGTTACGTGACAAAGCCACTCCAGGGCAATTGGTCTTGGGCAGCCACGACCCCGTGCCTCTGTCCATGGCCTTGTCCACTCCATCCCATGTGCCTGTGGCAGTCAGAGCACCAGGGACGCCTGCCTATGCATGGTCGGCAGCGGATGCGGCGCTGTTTGTCATTCCTGTGGACGAGGTATTTGGGCCAGCGTTGGCCGATCACCTTGTGATGCTAAGCACACGCATCGCCTCTGAACTTGCGCTGGTATTTCCCTCTGCAATGCAGGATATCGTGGAGTGTGCGACGTATGCGACACTGGCGTGCTTGCCTGACCTCCCTGAGCACTTGACGCTACTTCAAGCCGAGGCCATGCAAGCTGCCATTCGTGTGCTTCCTGACTCTTTCTCGTTCTTTCATTTGGTTCGTGTCTGTGGTACCTCTTTGGCCTTTCATTCCATGGAGGAAGCGGTATGTACGTGTCTGTATGATGTCCTTGGCCATGCACGTTCCACGCTGTGTGCCTACCGTGCCCGCGAAAAAGCGTTGCCACCAGAAGTGTACGGGATTCTAGGCGATGCACGAGCGCTGTTGCCTACCCTGCTACACCAAGCGCAGCAGCATCAAGGTATCTGGCGTCAGTGCTACGCAGCACAGCTGGGGCTGGCCCTTTCTCTGCTGGACAGCGATCCATGGACCGACGAGGAGTGGCGGCAGGTGGACGAACTGGATGAAAGCGCCCTCATGGAAGAGTGTACACGATTGCATACGAGTCCACGCCGCCGCAGCCCAAGTCCCTCGTTGTGCGTCCAGCATCATGGTGCTCGAAAACGCGCCAGAATCGACGCACCCACAATCCCATGCCCTTCGGATCCATGCACCTATTGCGACAGCGCCGACCTTGATATGTCAAACCCTGCGCCATGGACCATTACGACACTGGACGAGCTGCCAGACGTCTGGTCACATGTCACCTTCTCTGATCCACATCAAGCTATGCCGTGCTTACAAGATATGCTACGTATGACGATGCATGCCGCTCCAGATGTGCTTGTTCAATGTCCCTTTGATACCTGGTTAGGTCTCCTACGATCTGCTCTAATGCATGTGCATCGTGGTGTACGTATTCGCGCCGGCCGTCTATTGTATGTGATGGTGTCGCGATTTGCCTCCGCGCCGTTACACTCTGCTGCGCGCCTCGCCGCCTTAGTACAGCTAGCCACGGACGGCACCAAGTCGTCGGACCGCAAAATTCAAGAGACATCTCTCTCCACAGTGGCGCTGCTGGGTCGTATTCAGCACGATGCTTCCTTTGTCTTGGTGGTCACGGCATTGATCCATGGTCTGTACCTTCCTCACATCTACCTGCGTGCTTTGGCCAGTGCAGAGACCATCCAACTTGCGTTGTATCGCAAATGCACAACCTTCCAGTTGCTCTCTCAGCATCTTGATACCGTGTGCCACGTCGCTCTTTCGGCCCACATCGGCGCTATGCAGGCACTGGGGGAGCTGGCTCGCCTTGTCGGGATGAATGTCCCTACGTTTTTGCAAACCACGCTAGATTATACCCTTCCTCTTCTTCTGGAACAACATGCGCATCATATGGGCCATGCTCAGTCGCATATTGAGGCGCTGGCTACCACGGTAGGTCAGCCTGTACCAGGCTTGTGTCTCTCGCACGTCTCTGCCGTGTTTCAGCATGTGTATCTGCTACCACCTGACGTACGTGATGCGAGTGTCCAAGCTTTCCTATCGCTGCTGGGCACACGGAGCGTTACGGTTGCTAGCCTGCTTCGTAGCCGGCTGCACGACGTGCTGGGCTGGCTGGTCATGCACCTCGGCTCTCCCACCACTCACGAAGTCGAAGCGGCTTTGCAAGGCCTGGAATGCGTCCGCTCGACTATGGCGACAAGCGGAAAGTGGCGCGGCATGGATCTCACGTCTTTTCTGCAGGAAGAAGTCCTTGCGATTCTCACTTGGATCAATGATGAGCTTAGTGGTGTGCATGGCAAAATGCGCATAGCACGTCAGGCTATGGCGGTACGCAGTATCGGGGCCTTGGTCCAGCAAATTGGGGCTGTGGCGGCTCGCGTAGCACCGCAAGTGTTGGCCAGTCTGACAAGCACCCTGCAAAAGCCCGGATTGGCCATGCCTACATTGGAAAGCTGGTACCATGTTGTTCAAGCACTGCGTGGCGCTGACCTGGGAAGTGTGGTGGGCCCTACCGCCGCCGCCTTACTGCACGTGTGGCCCACCTTGGATGTCGAAGAACGGCGTATGGGCGGCCAGGTTTTGCGCTGCGCGATCCTTGAACGCACAACAGATCCAAGCTTTTTGAACGATGTACCAAGTCTTGATGCGCTGGATGAAGATGTGCCAGATGTAGCCCAGCGGATTCGTGCGACGAGGCGTGTATGGGACGACGAGGCTTACTTCCGGCATATCTTGGAGCGAGTTGCAAATGACAGTGCTGCCATTTGTCTGCAGTCTCTGCATGAACTGCGCACCTTTCTTCAAGAGCGTCGTGCGTGCATTGCCATATGGACGACAGGCAATGTGTTTCATGCGTTGATCGGTCAGTGTATCCGTGTGCTTATGGCCGTAGCCTCCCGTACCGAATGGGGGGAGCATGTGCAACGTGTCTGCCTTGCGTGCCTAGGTTTGCTGGGCGCCGTCGATCCCGATCGTTTGGAGATGCCACCTGAAGAGCCGATCTTTGTGTTGCTGTCCGATTTCGATCAGGCAGATGAGAGTCTGACACTGGCTCAACGCCTGCTCGTGGAGTTGGTCGTCCCTGCCTTTCGTGCGACCAATGATACAAAGCACCAAGCCGCGCTGGCGTATGCCATCCAAGAGCTTCTGAAATTCTGTCATTTCACACCGGCGCTCTTGGAGGCGAATGCTCCCAGTCGTGTACCCGACAAGGTACGTCGACGATGGGCAGCATTACCAGAGGCCATGCTCCCCACGCTCCTACCTCTTCTCAATTCGCGCTACGTTGTCCAGCATACAGAGCCACGGCCCCGCACTACGCCATTGTACTTGCATTCAGTTTCGTACCGTGACTGGATCCAGGCCTGGGCCCTCTTGCTGATTCGGCAGGCTCGTGAAGGTGATGCTGCGACGCTATTTGGTGTATTTATATCTGTCGTACGTGATCACGATGTAGGCGTAGCGCAGTACCTGCTACCACACTTGGTTCTGCATACGCTGATTTCAGGCACAGAGGCACAGCGACGTGGTGTCCTTGATGAGTTTCGTGCTGTCTTGGCTGACCAAGCGTCACCTACGCAAGGCTATGATCCCGAGCGGCGCCGACTTACAGCGCAAGCGTTGTTCACCGTGCTCGATCATGTCGGTCACTGGATGCGGCGTATGCGTCTCGTACCGCCTCGAGCGGCGAAGCGCAGTCGACTTCGTGATGCGCTACAGGATGTGCAAGCCATTATGGATGAGCTTTCGCCGGACCTTCTCGCACAAGCCTCCCTGCAATGTGACGCGTATGCTCGTGCTCTCTTACACTTTGAGTACCGTATTCGAGCTGTGCGCCAGCAGCAGTCGTCTGACACACTGCAATCGTACTATGAGACAATGCACGAAATCTATGCGAGTCTTGATGATCCCGATGGCATGGAAGGTATCTCGACCAAAGTCTTATCGCCCTCTTTGGAGCACCAAATTCGCGAGCATGAAAGTACCGGACGCTGGACCGATGCTCAGAGCTGCTGGGAAGTCGAGCTGCAACGTCGGCCTGATGATGTGCGGTTGCATGTTGGTCTGCTCCGATGCTTGCGCAATCTGGGACATTACGATACCCTTCGCACGCATATTCGCGGTGTCTTAGCCGTGCATCCGACCTGGCAAGCACAGCTCGCGCCATTTCAGATTGAGGGCGCTTGTATTATGGCCGATTGGGACGCGGTTCGGGCCTTGGTACAACAAGGTCATGCCGTGCCCGAATTGGGCATGGCTCGTGCATTGCTGGCGATTCGTGAGCAGGACACAAGGGCTTTGGGCGAGGCTGTTGAAGAAGCACGGTCTCAGCTGGGGCGCCACTTGCTGGGCCCTGCGCGTGTATCGTATACGCAGGCGTACGATGCTGTATCCCAATTGCACATGCTATGTGAATTGGAACTGATCTTCCACGATCAGCATAACGCGTCCTTGCCTGGCACACTAGCGTCCCGCTTCCATGCTACATTGCCGTCGTTCCGTACACGTGAGCCTATCTTGAGTTTGCGTCGTTCGGCGTTGCAAGCCTCTCATGCCTCAGCCTCTGAGCTAGGCGATTGCTGGATCCTAAGTGCCAAGACCGCACGTAAGGCCGGGCATACACAAACCGCGTACAGTGCTGTGCTACAAGCGATGCAGTGTGACGCGCCCTATGCGTTTATGCAAAAGGCTAAATTGCTCGCCGATAGTGATCAAGTGCAGGCGGCTTTGCAGGTGCTAAACAATGCCCTGCAATCATCAGAGGCCCAGGCATCGCAAGACAAGCATGCGCTAGCGCAAGCCCATTTGCTTCGTGCGCGTCTCGTGGAGGAAACCGCACGTTTCCAGCAGAACGATATTATCCAGCACTACAAGACCTGCACGAGTCTGGACCCTGACTCTGAGAAGATTTGGTACTACCTAGGCCACTTTTACGATGCACCAGGCGGTGGGCCGGTGGGCAACCAAATGCTCCTGCAGCTCAGCGTATGCCGTTTCTACATGAAATCGGCACAACATGGCACCAAGTTCTTGTACCGCACATTGCCACGCATGCTTACCATTTGGCTGGATGCAGGTAACGAGTTGGCGGACTCAGATACGAAGGCGGAAGATGATTCCAAGCAGGCGCAGCAGCAGTTTGACAAGATCAACGATATGATGCTCAAGTCTGTACGTCATTTAGCGCGATACCAATGGTTCGCTGTTCTGCCTCAACTGGTTGCGCGTATTGTGCACAAAAACGAGGCCGTATGGCAGGTCCTGCTCGAGATTATTGTGGCGGTAGTGGTTGCCTATCCGCAGCAAGGCGTGTGGGCCTTGATTGCAGGGTCCCACTCCAAGGACAAGCGCCGGAAACAACGGTACGAACGCATTATGGAGCGAATCTCATCGGTGCCGGAGCGTGCGTACCGTGATGTCGTGCCGATTATCGAGGCGGCGGAGCGTGTGTCAACCGAGCTTCTTCACCTGTGCGAGTTTCATGTGCACAAAGAGGCGACGCTGAGTATGCAGCGTCATTTCCCTGCCTTGATTGCCGCGGTCCAAACCACGCCACTGATTTTGCCACTGCAATCGTCGGTCAACGTCAATTTGCCGCCTGATAACCATGTGCACACTGATCACCGGCCGTTCCCACGGAATTTGCCGACGATCCAAGGCTTCGATGATACCATTGAGATTATGCACTCGTTGCAGAAGCCACGTAAAGTGGTCATCCATGCTTCGGATGGCCACAAGTATCCTTTCCTGTGCAAACCACGCGATGACCTGCGCAAAGATGCGCGTCTTATGGAGTTTGACTCGATGATCAACAAGCTGCTACAAAGCAACTCAGAGTCACGTCGTCGACGTTTGTACATCCGGACGTATGCTGTGATCATTCTCAATGAAGAATGCGGTCTGATTGAATGGGTGCCCAATACCATTGCGTACCGCCAAATCTTGACCAAGCACTATGCCGCGTTGGACATTCCCATGTACACATCAGACCTGAAGACGTTGCTGGATGAAGCGCGTGCGAACCCCAAGAATGCGGCGCAGATCTTTGACACGAAAGTCGTGTCGCGCTACCCCCCCGTATTCCACGCATGGTTCCTAGAGACGTTCCCGGAGCCCAGTGCGTGGTTCAAAGCACGATCGGCGTATGCTCGCACGGCGGCTGTTATGTCGATCGTTGGGTTTGTGCTGGGTCTGGGCGATCGGCATGGTGACAACATCCTGTTTGATGCTGGTTCAGGCGATACTGTGCACGTTGATTTGAACTGCTTGTTTGAGAAAGGCATGACATTTGAAATTCCGGAGCGTGTGCCTTTCCGGCTGACGCACAACATGGTAGATGCGTTGGGCGTGGCAGGGGTCGAAGGGGCGTTCCGTCGGACGGCCGAAATTACGATGGGGATTCTGCGCGACAACAAAGAGTCGCTCATGAGCGTATTGCAGGCCATGGTCCATGATCCGCTTGGCGAGTGGGTCGCGACGGAGCGACGTGCACGTCATCGGCATGGCGATAAGACCGCATCGACAGCAGCGGCTGGTGCGGGAGCCCGCAAAGCGCTCAAATCGGTATCTGACAAGCTGGATGGGCGATTACGTCGTCCTGGTCTTTCTGATGAAGTGCGACATACGACCAAAAATCTTGTCCACATGCTCATTTGCGACGCAACTAGCTCGCAAAACCTCGGTCAAATGTATGTAGGATGGGCGCCTTATTTGTAAACTTATACACACTACACTTCCCATGCTTTGGGCTCGCCATCGTCGCGCGGCATACCACGTCGGTCCACTTCGGGCACCGCCAGGGTCGCCTCGCCAGCGTTTTGCGCGGCGCGGCGCTTTTCGTCGGCGACCTCCGCCAGGCGGCGGTGGTGCTCGACCTCATCCAAAATGCCACGTGCATTTTGGTTATGCTCCAACTCTTCCGCCACAAGAATACCGAGACGCTCTGCGTCTTCTGCAGACCGACACAACATCGTCTCCGTGTGCTGGCACGACTGCTTGCCATCCAACGAGACAATCACCGCACTTAGCGTGAGTCGACAGCCCTCTGCAGGCGGCATGGGAGGGATAGGCACGCGCGTCGGCAACACGCCACTCTGTGCAAGCTCCATGGGCGTCTCAATCCGCTCATGCATCTTGCCTTCCAGTTCGTCGTGATCTTCCAAGCGCGTCGTCACACCTAGGGGAATTGAACAACCGCCTTCCATGCGATGCATCAAGGCCCGTTCTGCGACACAGCGCCAGGTCGAGCGCCAGTTGGAAATACTGCGAATGAGCGTCCGCACCTTTTCATCACGCTCTTGGTTCGGGCCACGTGGCGTACGTACTTCCACGCCCAGCGCACCCTGGCCGACCGCGTACTGCATATCGGTGCCGACCAGATAGGACGTGATGCGATCCTCCAAGTTCATCCGCTTCAGTCCAGCTGCCGCGAGGACAATCGCAGTATAAGGCCCGTCTTTGGCATCGAGCTTCGCCAGACGTGTTTGGATGTTGCCGCGGACATCGCTGAACATCAGATGAGGGAAGGCACGGCGCAGCAGCGCTACACGGCGTACCGACGACGTGCCTACCACAGAACCACGAGGAAGATCGTTGATTGATTTATACGGCAGACCTTGCTTGACGACCAGGGCGTCGCGTGGGTCCTCTCGCTCCAGGATCGCAGCAAGCTCTAGGCCATCCGGTAGCGTCGTAGGTACATCCTTCAGACTGTGCACAATGGCATCGACACTACCAGCAACGAGCGCGACTTCCAATTCCTTCGTCCAGATAGCACGGCCTTCGCCACCGATCACGTACAGCGGCGAGCGTTGGTTGTTGTCGCCCAGTGTCGCCATGGTACGCACTGGGAAATGGTATGGCACAAGTTCTTTTGTTCTGTCTTCTTCAAAGCCACGCAGCAGCCTGTGAACCCCGGCGATTTCTTCGTTGGTATCCGCCGCCTCCGCAGCGTGGGGGGCAAACGCTGGCGAGTTGCCGCCGTAGCGCGCTTCCAGCATGAGTTGGACTTCCGTCGCCTGGCACACAGCTAGCGCACTTTTTCGACTGGACAAGACAAGCAAATGCTCGGGGTCCTGCAGTTCCACTGGGTCAGGCGTGAGGCTCTCTGTCGTCACTTCCATCGACGAGAGGTTTTGGCCATCTTCTGGTTGCCGAAAGAAGATGCAATGCTCGCCCGACGGATTCTGTAGCTTGGAGGGAGGAGCCACAGGTATCTCGGGATGGCCTGGTGGGAGCGGCGTGTCCTTGGCATGTGGCACAGGACACTGTGGCACATCAGTGTGGGGCTCAGCCGCTTCGAGAGTCATGGCACGAGAAGAACCAGGGTGGAGTACCTCCGGCCGCATATATCACGTGCAGCCCCTGCTCGCCGCTTTTTTTCTTGCGACGTACTCGGTCTGTGCAGCGTGGTGTGGTATGTCGACATCGAGCGAGCGCGCGGCTGCGCGTGAGCAGGCCCTCTCGGCGCGCCTGTTTGGGGCCGGCAGTGCTTCGGTGCCTGACCTTTCTGAGCACCAACTAAAGCATATGGATGATGATATGGTACGTGAGGTTGTGCTAACGTGTAGCTCTTCACGCTAGATTCGGGCGGCGATATGCCGATGTTGGTCGAAGAAGCCACGGAGACGACAGACACAGCGGTCAACGAACCATCGCTGTGGAATGATGCCGACGATGAGCGGATTACCGTGCCACTAGCAGGCCCTGGCGCGCGTGCGCCCGATGGGTCCGTACGAGGGACAAAACGTCTGCGCAAGCTGCGTACCAGTGCAGGCGAGACGTCCATTTCCGGCGTAGAGTACCAGCGCCGATTGCGCAAGCAGTATGTATCTATGTCACTGACTCCAGGTTTGAGCGATTGCATCCACGACCCGCCTGGGCGAAGCTCGGGACTCGTGCTAAGGATACCAACGAGTCGTCGCTGTTGCGCGACCTGCTGAGCTCCGATGCTGGGCTGGCCGCCACACACAGCGCATTGAAACGGCTCACATATGATCGCTTGGATGTGGAACGGCTTCGCGATGCGAACGAAGCGCAAGGTCGTATGGCAGAGCCGGCGGCCATTGAGCAAATCCAATTTCATCCCAGTGCGCGCTCGCATGTGCTGATGACAGCGTCACGCGACCGTCGTGTACGTCTGTTCCAGATCAATGGCACGTCGAATCCGCTGCTAGAGTCGCTGCATGTGCCTGACCTGCCAGTCAAGACGGCACAGTTCCATCCATCGGGCTCGTCTGTGCTGATTGCAGGCCCACGTCCATACCTGTACGCCTATGATATCCGGTCGGGCAAGACCCTGCGGTCGAGCCCATGGCGAGGTGCAGGTCGTGTGGTCTCTAGTGCCACTGGCACAGAAGCGGACGCGGGGGCCGAGCGTGACCTGAGCTTCATTCAGTTCCAGCCAGGCGCTGCGTCGCGCTTGGTGGCGGTCGGTGGTCGCCGTGGCCAAGTACATTTGCTTGATTGGGGTGCAGGGGCCGCTGGGCAGACGGGTGGTCAGCGTATTGGTGAGCTGCGTATGAACGCGCCCCTCGCAGGTATGGCATGGGCTACCGTTCCAGGCAGTGTGGAAGGGCTTGACGAAGCCAGTGCAAACGAGCATCGTTTGTTGACACTCTCGACGGAAGGACGTGTGCACGTATGGGACGTACGTAGTCGCTCGTGTCCTGTCACAGCCTACGATACAGGGCTCTACGGCGCCAAAGGACTGCAAGTCGCGCCGACCATGCCGAGCTACTGGGCGATCGGCTCAAGTTATGGCATTGTGAACATGTACGGTGGTGTGGGCACTGGAGCGACGGAGAGCTCGGCCTTGGATGAGCTGCTTACGACACCTGCCTCCTCGACACTGGCCGACGATGTGCGTATGACGGCGCGTAAGAGTCTTGGATCGTTGACGACGGCGACGACGTCGATCCACTTTAATCACGATGCGCAGCTCATGGCGATTGCTAGCCGACACAAGAAAGACGCGTTGCGTATGATCCACGTGCCTACGCTGCAAACCTACGCAAATTGGCCGACGGCAGGCACACCGCTGGGCCACGTGTCTTCCTTGGCATTTTCGACGCAGAGCGAGTACATGGCGATTGGCAATACGCGTGGCCGCGTATTGCTCTATGCCCTGCGTGCCTACATGTAGAGATAGGGAGCTACTGAACAAGCATACGAACGGCCAGGCGGACCAAATGCGCCATGCGCTCGAGGAAACCGGTAAACAAGTCTGGCAAGGGCATACGCCATAATGGCAGCGTCAACAATTCATAGATGGTGAGGAAGCGCAAATCGGTCCACGCATCTGGATCGCCTACTGACACGCGGTGCTCCATGCACCCAATTGGACCTGCCACACCTCGTGCGCGGACCGCGAGGCGGTACCGCCCAAACTCGAGCTCTCGCGTGATGTTCCAGCCACCACGCACATCTGGCGCGCCAAGTGTGCGCCGAGTAACGCTGTAAATCAACATGCGCACCTTTTCGTCAAACTGCGAGCGCCATTGCACATGGCCTGCGCCGCCCAACAGACCACCAACTTGGACCAGGGGTACATAATACGCAAACAAGAACGAGGGGTCGTCCAAGCTCGTATTCGTCGGTGGCGCCAACTTGCTGTGCTCAAACGAGCGGCGCCAGTATACATCGGGCGCATCGCACAGCGATGGAGTTTTTAGCATGCGTGTAGGCACAACCGCCCAGTCCATCGCGTACACAGATACAGGGTCCATGGCATCCGAGGGATCGTACGGCGTCTCGACAAACGCCTGCCAGCTCACGAACACTTCGATGAGTCCTCGTAATGGCAAGGCATATCTACCACGGAACCCATGAAACGTCTGCGGCGGGTCTTCCCCATGCGCTGCCACAGTAAGGGATGTGGATTCCGCAAAGGGAACTATTTCCGACGTGCCCTGGGAGGATCGATAGGCGAGCTGTGGATGGAAATAGGTCCATCCATGCGCCTCCGGCTCTGCGTAGGTCGTCCAGCTCAGGGCAGGGCGGGCCACACGGATCTCCAGTTGGCGTGCACGGAAGGGATACGGCTCAAAGCCTTCTTCGATGTACCGCTTCAGTGGATCAGCCGGCACGGTTTGAGATGCTGGCATCCTCGAAATGGGTTCGTTTGGAGCGTAGGCCACGACATCACCGACGTGGACCTTGTCACCCACATGCACTTGGACATGGTCAGCATCCAGTCCAAGATATTGGTGCACAAACCCCCAAGCATCCCGCACCATCACACACCATATCTCCTCATCGTTCATGCCTTGATCGGGGCCGACGAAGGGCGGCCGCGCCCGATGGACGCTGCCACTCCATACTATCGTGCCATGCACTGAGGTACGAATGGGAACGCCTGTTGTTTGGTTCGTCTGTACACGTATGGATACACCGCGCGACCTAATGTCAGTGAAAATCAACACACCATGTCGCGTTCGTGAGTTTATATGTATGATGTGAGCCTGCCATAAAAGGATCGGTCATTACTGCGGTAAGTCGGTATCACAACGTACATCCACTCAAGCGAGGTGGCTCTGTACCGTCCCATGCCTGCACAGGACGTCGACTAGGCGCATCGCCACGGCTCACGTACTCATGCGGCGCAATGGGCCAGCGTGCACGAGCTTCCATCGGCTGTGTGACATGACCAACCCACCATCGAAGCTGCACCTTTTCGCCGCTGAGCGTATACGTATCCAGTACGATGGCAAGGGACCGAAGAACGGATTCGTTGGTCGGCGCACGCAATTGCGCGATAGGACTCGTAGCCACGATCACACCCCAATCAGGTTGTAGCAGAGATCGTGCGAGGGATTGGGTATATGCTGGCTGGTACATGGCCCAGTCTTTGTGTTCACAGGCCTCCAGGAATGAGGTTGTGTTGGGTTGGCACGCTTGGGCTTCAGCCCATGTACGTTCTTGCACCGCAGAGAGACGCAAGGTCGCATTGTCGACCTGCAAGGCGTCTGCATCCATATACAAGTACATAGGCGCATCATAGGGCAAATTGAGGTATAAGCCTTCATGCGAAAGGCGAGCCTTTTCATAGGCGAGGCCCTCGGTCGTTACAAGTCCGACCACAAGGTACCCAGCCCATCGAAAGCGCATTGTCGCTACGTTACCCCAGCGGCGCGAGTGTGTGTTGTCTTTTTTCATTCATGCATGCATGACGCGCCCTGCCTGGCCCTGTCTTGAGCCTCGTGGCTCTCCTATTTTTTTTTTTCCTCCACCCAGCATGGCCAAGGGTCATTCGCAGAAGGACGGTCTGCCGTCCACGCCAGTCGAGAGGATCAAGGCCCTGCAAGCGTCGTTGGCTTCGTCGACGGACTTGAATCCGATCGCGACATTGATCACAGATGCACGCCGCTTGCATTCGAAGCTTGAACGTTCAGCGGATGAGCGTACCCTCATCAAGGCACTCACCCTCGCTGTGCGTGTTGTCTGCCAGAGTTTTGTGAGCCTTTGCGAGAAGGATGGCATGGACCTGGAGCATGTGGATGAGCATGGCCGACTTACTTGGGCGGAGGCAACGGATGCGAAAGGCAAGGTGGCCAAGTGGCTCAAGCAGCAATGGAATGCGTTCCTCTCGCTGCTCCATGACGAATTGCTTCTGTCGGGCTCATCGTCGGTGCGTCTGGCAGCGCTGGATATAAGTATGTCATTGCAGACGGCCGCATCGGAAACGCTGCATCGTCATGCACTTGCGAAGCAGTCTAGCACAGGGCGCTGGTCTGTTACGCCTTTCCGTTCTCTCGTGCAAACGTGCTTATGGCGCACGATGGCCGACGATGTGATAGATACATTGGCCGAGTCGTATCTGGAAGTCTACGACGACGTGCGGTACATGTTTTGTAAAGAGATCAGTCGCCTCCTGCGCCACGTCCCCGACGCTTCCTTGCAGCATGCACACATTCGTTCCCATGCACGCACATGGCTGTGCCGCATCACGGCCATTCCTACCGAGGTGTCTCACCTGAACAATTTCCTAGTGCCGCACCTCGCCAAGGGACCAAAGAAAAGGAAAGCAAAGAAATCAAAGCCGCACTTCACGGAAGATGGAGGTAGTGACGACGATGACGAAGAAGTCCAGACCGCGCCGATCTTTTCAGATACTGAAGACGAGGAAGACGAGGCAGAGCGTCCCGCTGCTGTTCAAGCCAGCAAGAAACGGCGTCGGGCGCGTAATGCAGGCCTTCTTGAGTCGGTTCACTCCTTGCCCGCGCAGCGCCAGGCATTTGCAGCGGCTTGGCTCGGCTTACTTCTGCCTCAAACGCACACGGACGCCCAGGGCCACCTGATCGTTCACGGTGGCGCATTGACTCTGGCCGAGACCCATGATATTCTCGTGCGTCTGCATGCGCAGATTCTTCCTCATCTGCCCAAGCCGACCATGCTGCACGACTTCTTGGTCGACTGTTTAGATACCAAGGGCACGACTGCCCTCTTGGCCCTCAATGGTCTATTCACATTGATTGTGCACCACAACCTCGACTACCCTGCCTTCTATACGCGCTTGTATGGCCTGCTTGACGCCTCCGTGATGCATACGCGCTACCGCAGTCGGTTCATGCGTATGCTCGATACCTTTTTAGCCTCTACGCACCTGCCTGTGGCTATTATTGCGTCGTTTATCAAGCGGCTTAGCCGTCTTTCCCTGCGAGCCACTCCAGCCGCGCTCGTAGAGATCGTGCCGTTTGTTTGGAACCTGCTTAAGCGCCATCCCAGCTGCATGCCGATGATTCACCGTGAGTGGCAAGGAGATCACTTGGCATTGGGACCCAGTGGTGTCCAAGATGGATTCAATGCACAGGAGACCAACCCCCTGCATACCGGCGCCCTTCAAAGCTCTCTTTGGGAACTGTCCACGTTTGGCGCCTACCGCCTGAGCCAGGCAAGTCAGCAAGGAGCTACTACGTCTGGTGGTGACACGCATTACTTGGGCTCCGTCACGACCTTTGCCTCGATTCTTGCCGAGCCTTTCACGCAGAACAAGTATGAGCTGGAAGACTTTTTGGACTCGACGTACACCACCATGTTCGAGACAGAAACCAAAAAGACACTCCAGCGTCGTCAGCGCGCGAACAAGCCCGTGGTCCCACCGGCCGTAGCGCCGCTGGATATCACACTATCTGTGCCGCCTCTGCTTGCTGATAAATCAGGGCATGCGGACGTTGCCGTTCGTCGTGAGACACGTAAGCGCTTGCGGCTGTACGCCTTTCCGACGGACGCTCTGCCACAGGGCGATACACCGCTGGAGCAAGATCGACGTGCGATGCCCGTAGATGATTGTGCGCGTCTATGGGAATATGTATAGTTATGGTCGAATAGCGCGTATGATAAAGAGCTGTTCGCGATTCGCGCGTCGTTGCAGGACAATGGCTGCGTCCAAGCCATGCGCCTGAAGTGTCCGTACAATCGCTGGTGGATCGTTTTGCCTAATGGCAACGAGGTAGAACCGGCCGCCTGGTCGCAATAGACGCTGTAATTAGCTCCGCATACGCATACCTCAACCAGCCCCTCTGTCATCATAGCGTCAAGCAGTTTGGTGCCGTACACACCACCTGCCCATGCACCGCCCAAGTCTGCGCGTTGCTGTTCCAACGCTTCTTCTTCATCCGTGGTTGCGACGTAGGGAGGATTAAAGAGTAATAGATCTACTGCGCCCTCTATGCGTGGTACCAATGCGTCGACGAGGGACGTAAGAATAGGCTGCAGTGTCGTCTTCATTTATAAGACCATTGGCACGTACCTGATTTACAATACCTGTTTCCTTTGTGCATGCGGCTGCAACTGGGTTGATGTCTGTACATAGATAAACTGAATATAAGTCACCTCAGGCATACCGGCTGATGATCCCAAAATTCGGGCGACAAAGGCTGATACACAGCCACTACCAGACCTTGGATTAGCCAGACGACACGTACCCAATTTCAACGCAAAGCGAAGCGCCAAGGGCCTGTAAGGCGCCCCCATCTTCTTCGATTGCATCCATCAACGCAAATGTATCTTCGGCTGGATCGTAGACATGATCCGCATACTCTTTCCGACGTAGGTGCGCAATCTCCGGCGTGGGGATCATGCGCGGCGCACGGTCATAAGAAGCCCTGTCGCTCACGACACGCCAGAAGCGTAGTATCACGTGATGCGAATCACCACCGTCGGCGCGGTCGCGCCTAGGACGCTCTCTTGCACGATGGCGTCGAACGGCCCGCCTGGGAACGGCGGTATACCACCCAATGCGCCTCCTATGCAAGGACGTGCACCGCAAGGAAACCCAGGGATGCCTATGTCGAATTTGCAGGCGCTTCAGCCTGCCCTGGCCAACAACCCCGAATTCATGGCGATTGTGAATGCCGCTCGCCAAGGTCGCGTCAGTGAAGAGCAGCTTCAGCAGGTATGTCATCGCCCTTGTTCCTCACATCTTTCCAGATCCGCCTGATTTTGGCACAACAGCAGCGTCAAAATGCAGTACAAGTACGTCGTATTCATGCTCACCTGTAGCAACAAGTCAATGTCGCTCGGCCTGTACAGTCGATGTATGGCAATGATGCCAATGGCATGGCACAACCCCAAAACAACTACCTACAACAGCAGGCACAACAGCAGGCGCAGCAGCAGGCGCAAGCACAAGCACAGCAGAAAGGCCCACCTCTACCTAATCTTGGACCTCATGCTCAGCTGCCTCGTCATGAAGCGACACTTATGGAAAACTTCAATCGAGTCATGTCTCCCCTGATGTTAAATATTTCTCAAATTGAAGCGTCCCTACGGAACCCGAACCTCTCTGCGCAGGAAAAGCAGCAGCAACAAAACCTGTACAATGAACTAAAAAGCAAGCAGTTGAGTCTTGCCCGGCAAGTAGCTGTAGCTCGTGAGCAGGCCCGTGCTAAGGATCAGCAGCAGTTCCAGCTTTTGCTGCAGCAGCAACAGCAGCAACAGCAGCAACAGCAACAGCAGCAACAGCAGCCATCGTCACAGGCTCCACAAGCACAGACACCACAGGCACAGCCGCAGCAGCCCCCACAGCCATCACAGCAGCATCAGGCGCAACAGCAACCACAAGTGTCACAGCCACAGATGCAGCATATGCATCCACAGCAGGTGCAATCACAGCAGGCACCACAACAGCAGGCACCACAGCAAAGTACTGCACAGAAGGCCATATCACAACCCTCTTCTGGTCCATCGCAATCGACGCAGGGCGCCTCTACTCAAGGTGCTTCTGCCAATACAGGCGCAGACCGTATGAACAATGCCCAGGGCACACCCAAGATGGGCACCAATGCCTTCCCTTCCACGCCGCAAAGTGGCTCACGCACTCTTCCCACGGATCTTCATGCACGAAAAGAAGGACAGGATACTCCTACCACGGCTGCGAATGCTCAAGCGGCCGCTGCGATCCGCCCCTCTGCCTCGCAAGCGAACTGGGCCAATGGCGCGCCTGCCGCTGCCATTGCTCAGCCCTCTTCCCTTCTGCCTACGGGCGGCCAAGGTGCTGTGTCGAGTAATAGTCCGTTGGCCAACCTGATTTCGCAGCAAACGTCTACACCTCAGCCCTTCCCGAATGCTTCTGGTCCTCGTCCTACCTTGACGCAGGGCCTGGGTGCCACACCTGTCACCAGTACGCCGCCTGTGCTTGTTCGACCGAACCCGCTTGGCCGTACAGGGATCCTTGGAAAAAGCTTAGCTACGGCTGGCCGTGGTCAGCAAGGCTGGGAAGATCTCCTGGGGTTGTCGTCGACCGATCACCATGCGCAGACAGACGACAATCTACACTTGAGTCTTGATGGAGAGAATTTGCCTTCACAGCTGGCAGATCTGCTAGGCTCTTCGTCGTCGAACTCGTTGAATTTGTCAGGAGCTGCCGCTGGTAGCAACCGTCTTCTTACCAAGCGCAAAGTGCAGGAGCTTGTCAGCGAGATCGACCCAAGCGAGCAGTTGGATGGCGACGTGGAGGATCTTCTATTGGAAATTGCAGACGAGTTCATCGAGAGCGTCACATCGTTTGGCTGTCGTTTGGCCAAGCACCGAAAGGGCGATCGTCTGGAAGTCAAAGACATTCAATTGCATCTGGAGCGCAATTGGAATTTGCGTGTACCCTTCCCTGGCTCCATGCCTATTCCTCCCACACGAACCAAGGCGCCTAACACCACGAAGAATGCAGCTGGTGGTGCGAATAACAACTAAGTAGCTAGCTATATGATGATGGAATTCACTCCTTTTTGTGACGCTGTGCACGCGCACGCGAGCGCATAAATGTCACTAGGAGGCCCCACAAAAGACCAAACGGTGGGACGAGCCAACTGAGGAGCCACAACAGCGTGAAGGAGGGCTGACGTGACTCACGTCGCCATCGCGCTAGCAACTTGCCCACCTCAGCACGGAGACGTGGCGGCGATGATTCCGTCGCATCAATTGAGTTGTCGATGACGACGTCAGCATACTCCACTTTCTGCGAAAGCGCCATTTGGGCCGCGAGACGTGAGCGAGCATCCGACTCGGTAAGCCCTTTGTTGGCATCGCGGGAGAGCATACGCTTGAGCTGCTGATTCTCATCACTTCTGTAAGTCGCTTCGTACGTACCACCACACAATCACAATCTCGGCACACCACTTGTATAGCCCTGCCTCAATCAACAACGGCGTATCCACGACAACGCGCTTCGCACCAGTCAGCCACAGACGTACCAAGCGCCATGCCATGACGCGACGAATCGCTGAGTGAGTGATCGTATTCAGCGCCTTGGTCCTTTCCTTGTTCGCGAAGGCCAAGCGACCCAATTCAGCCCGATTCAACGTGCCATCCTCCTGGAGAATGCTGGGGCCAAATTCTTTCGCGAGCTTTTTCAGCGTAGGAGAGCCTTTCTGGACAACTTCTCGCGCAATCACATCCAAATCCACAAGTGGTACTTTATTTTCCTTCAGGATGTTCGATACCGTGGACTTGCCGGAGGCAATACCACCAGAGAGACCAACAACTACATGTTACTTTCACCTTCAACGTACTGATCATGGCGGCCGTGGTCAGGACCCATGCGGCCTCCACTTTCATTTTTTTCCTCTCGCACGCACGTCGGTCCCCACCATGTCGCTGCAGGTGCCGTCCCAGGTCCTATGTCCTCCTTGTGCGGTGGACGGATACGTAAGCCAGGGAGAGAGTGTACCGTACATTACACAACTTGTGACACCATTGGCTTCCCCTGTGCACTTGTTGTCCCTTTGTGACGATGGCGCTCTGCGCATGTTTGACAAGAACCGTCTCGTGACTCCGATGCAAACCATTCGCGATGGGCATACCAAGGATCTGACAGCGCTGGACACTATCTCTAGCAATCCCTCCGCATGGATTGGTACATCTCGGAATGGCTCCATGTGCGTATGGGATGCGCGTTCAGGGCCAACGCCCATCGGGCAGTTGCAAGGGCCCAGCGGCGCGCCTTATTTGTCGCTTGCCACCAGCCATTTCGCCGTCGCGGCAGGTACAGAGCTGCAGGGCAGTGATGCGTATGTTGATTTGTGGGATCTTCGGCAGATGAATGCACCGGTGCATACCTATGTGGAAGCCCATTCAGACGATGTTACGTCCCTGGTTTTCCATGATGACCAAACTGCGCATGCTCATGTCCTTCTCAGCGGTGGTATGGACGGTCTTGTGTGTGCTATTGATACATCCATTGCCAAGGAAGAAGATGCTGTAATTTCTGTGGGAAACACCAATGCCAGTCTGGCGCGCATTGGATGGGCCGCGAAGCCCACGTCCTACGCCTTCACGCCCTCTGAACCGTTGACCGACGTTGGCATGGATGAAAAGGATACTGCCCTCTCTAATGATCCACGGAGAATTCATCTGGGTCCAGTATACGCTGTAAGCAATATGCAGACAGTGAGCCTATGGGACGCTGATAAGGTACGTACTTACATGTTCTCACTCCAGATGGACTGTCTACGTAGTGAGTTGGATGCACGTGCGCCCACCAGTTTCCGGCCCGCCTGGGTGACGGACTATGTCATTGATGCCTCAGCCACAGCTCCATGTTCTGTATTGAGCACGTCGTCGACGGGCTTGTTCGTCTATGGCGGCGACCAAGAGTACGTCTCGCAAACACTAACGCCGTTACAGAGGTGGTATAGCCCTAATGAGCCTAGAAATCCCTGCATCGTCATCCCCAGATACAGTGCAGTGGACATTGCATGCTAGATTCCCCAGCGGCCAAACGCAAGCACAAGCCCACAACGACATTGTACGTTGCGTGCATTGGGACGAAACGACGCAGCGTCTCTTTTCGGGGGGCGAAGATGGGCGGTTGTTGGCATGGTCTCTCGACACATCAGAAGCGCCAGAAGCGCCAGCCCCCTCTGCAACACCTAGTTCGCTTCATGGCGGGCGTACCAAGCGCGCCGGCCTGGACGTGGGCAAGCGGCGGTACTCGCCGTATGCGTAAGAACCTCTTTCACATGCCTTGGCTCTTGGTCTGACGTAGGTGGAGGTAGCCGAAGTCGTATTGTAGCCACCACCTTGTAAGGCTTAGGCTCATGCTACGCAGGCTTCCGAGCGTTGTTGCCTATCGTCGCCTCCCGAACTACCGTGGTCCTACACTCCGAACTATCATGTCATCTTCCAAAACAATTCAGCTTGGGGACAGGACGCTCGAAGAACATGCGCCGTACTTTTACATTGATCGGCCCGTGCCATTAGGGAGCGCGTCGAGTATGAATGCCCCTGATGTTGTGATGCTATTTGGCTGGATGGATGCTGAATTGCGCTACGTGTACAAATATGCGGAGAAGTACCGCGGCATGTTCCCCCATGCGCATGTCATGATCATTCTGTCGTCGTACGAATCGTGCTTTGTGAAGACAGGTGCTGCGTGGAGAGAGTCCTCGGCGCTGATTCAAAAGGAATTAGCGTCTATTGCCGATGAGCGCATGAATCATGGGTCCACTACTTCGACTGTAGTGCACTGCTTTTCCAACGGTGGTATGATCCAATATAGCGCTTTTGCTTCGCACTTGAACTATGAGGCGAAAAACTTCCCTGTCCCAGTGGCCACCATCCTGGATTCGTCGCCAGGGTATGGCGAGCTAAGCACATTGCTAGGTGCTACATTGATGCGCTTTACGGGCAACACCTGGCTGGACTCTGTGAAGCGACTGGGCGTCCGGGCGTTTGTCTCCGCAGTCCACTTCCTCCACGTCGGTCTAAGCTTGCTTGGCCCGGATACCAATAACATTGAGTGGATGCGTCGCGTCACGAACAAATGCCGACTGTGGGCGTGGCGATCGAAGGACGACGTAAGCACTATGCTTCCTCCTCGTCTGTACTTGCACACTGAAGCGGATGTTTTTATCAAGCCTGAGGCCGTATCACAACATGCAGAGGATGCCCAGAAAACCAATCACCAAGGCCCACCTGCCGTCATCGATATGGAGCGTACGGAAGGCCCCGTTTCCTGGCCACCTCTGTCTACGGTGCGCACCCGACGGGCATGCTGGACAACGCCCAAACACTGTGCGATTGGCCGAACATTCCACGATCAGTATTGGTCACTTGTGCAAAGTTTCCTACAAGAGGTAAGCACACTACCAAATGCACCGAAAGCTAGCAAGCTCTGATCTATAGATTATGCCTTGACTGGTTCATAGGTCGTCACCAACTCTTCTGCACTCGTCGGATGGACAGCCACAGTGTTGTCAAAGTCCTTCTTCGTAGCGCCCATCTTCACGGCAATGCCTACCACTTGGATCAGTTCATCCGAGCCCAGACCAATCATGTGCACACCAACGACGCGCTCTTCCTCGCCAGCGCACACAATCTTGTACGTCGTAGGCACTTTATGCGTAAGCAGGCCATAGTACATAGAGTTGAAGCGGGTACGGTACACCGTCACATTGTCATCACCATACTTGGCCCGCGCCTCTGCTTCCGTCAAGCCCACGGTACCTGCCGCGGGGTGACTGAAGATCGCGGAAGGAATATTGTCGTAGTCCAGGTAATCGACTTTGAACTTCGGGCCACCGAACAGGCGGTTCGACAAACGACGGCCCGCCGCAATCGCTACAGGCGTGAGTAGCCCCTTGCCTTGCACATCGCCAATGGCATACACGCCCGGCACATTAGTGTTTTGGTACTTATCCACCACAATATTGCCCCGGCGATCCATCTCGACGCCAATCTCCTCCAGACCCAAGTTCCACGTGTTCGGACTACGGCCAATGGCCCACACCAACGTATCCACCTCGAGGGTCTTGCCCGTATCGAGGTGCAGCAGGAGAGGACCGCCTTTGGTCCCTTCCACGCGTTGAACGCTTGAGTGCGTGTACACGTCCAAGGCCGATTGGTGCATGTAGTCTGTCAGCGTATCTGAGATGATGGGATCGAAGCTACGCAGCACCTTGTCTGTGCGGATAATCATGCTCGTCTCGGTGCCCAGAGCACGAAACACACCCGCCAACTCCACAGCAATGTAGCCTGCACCAACCACGGCGGCGCGCTTGGGCTGCTTCTGCAGGGCAAAAAAGCCATCCGAGTCCAGACCTAGACTCGCGCCAGGGATTTGCTCTTCCGTTGGGACAGTAGGGCGACCGCCTGTCGCGATCACAATGTGGTCGGCAGTGAGTGTCACTTCCTTGTCCAGCGCCTGATCAGCTCCAGGTGTGACAAGAACCTGGCCGTTCCCCAGCAGCTTGCCGTGACCGGAAATGTAGTCCACATGGTCCTTTTCCAGATTCCGGTCATAAATGCCATTTAAACGACGGATGTAAGCCTCACGTCGCTCCACCAAGACGCCCCAATCTACCGTAGGGATCTTGTGTGGAATCCCATCGTCTGTAAAGCCGTAGTCAATGGCATCATACATCTTGTCTTGCAGATCCGCAGCATGCCACATGATCTTCTTAGGCACACAGCCCAAGTTCACACAAGTACCACCAAGTCGGCCTGCTTCCTCAATGACAGCGACTTTTGCACCATACTTTGCAGCACGGCGACTGACACCCATACCACCTGAGCCACCACCGATCACAAGCATATCATAATGCGTGCTGGGATGCGACTTGGGAGGCAGCGCAGCCATCGGCGACGTATGCAGCGACTGAGCGCCCAGCCTCGTCACAGGCTGGCATCGGCGTAGCGCTAGGCGAGAGACATGGCCTGTTGCCTGCCTCTCGCAGGCAACCGCAAGAACGCCAGCGTTGAATCGAATCATCAAGGGTGTATGTTGCGAACCCTGGCATTTTGGCGCCGCACGGCCCTGCGTCCTCCACGTGAAAATTTTTGGCAGCTACAAAAATACGGGCAGGCGCATTGGCCCATCCATCTGCACGTTTTCGAGTGCGTCGGGGGATCTGCCGATAACACTAGCGGCGGCCCTCTACCTCGCTTTCCTAACATGGAGAGTCGCACATATAGTAGGATAGATCACTATAGATAACTGTCCTAGTGGACATATTACTCTTTGACCGGCTCATAGGTAGTTACCAGCTCCTCCGCGCTCGTGGGGTGGACAGCTACAGTGTTGTCAAAGTCCTGCTTCGTAGCGCCCATCTTCACGGCAATGCCGACGGTCTGGATCGACTCGTCCGAGCCCATACCGACCATATGCACGCCAACTACACGCTCTTCCTCACCCACACACACAATCTTGTATGCTGTAGGCGCCTTCTTGGTAAGGAGACCATAGTACATAGGCGTGAAACGAGTGCGGTAGATGGTGATCTTGTCCTGACTAAACTTCTTTCGCGCCTCGGGCTCCGATAAGCCAACAGAGCCCACAGCTGGGTGGCTGAAAATGGCCGATGGCACATTGTCGTAGTCGAGATGGTCATCCTTGAATTTGGGTCCACCAAACAGGCGATTCGACAGACGACGGCCAGCTGCAATAGCGACAGGCGTAAGAAGGACTTTGCCCTGAATATCGCCCACAGCGTATACGCCAGGCACACTTGTGTTCTGGTACTTGTCGACCTGAATCTGGCCCTTCTCATCCAGCTTCACACCGATATCTTCAAGGCCCAAGTTCCACGTGTTGGGGTGACGGCCAATCGCCCAAATCAGTGAATCCACCTCCAACGTCTTGCCTGTATCAAAGGTAAGGTGAAGAGGGCCTCCACGCTCTCCTTCCACGCGCTTCACATTGGTCTCCTTGTGTACAGTCAACCCAGTTTTGCCCATGTAATCCATAAGCGTATCTGAAATGATCGGGTCAAAGTTACGCAAGAACTTGTCGTGGCGGATGATCAAGTGCGTCTCAGAGCCCAGCGTATTCAGTACACCAGCCAGCTCTACAGCAATGTAGCCAGCACCGACCACGGCGACGCGCTTCGGCTGCTGACGCAGAGCGAAAAAGCCGTCCGAGTCAATACCAAGGCTAGCACCAGGGATCTGATCATCTGAGGGAATGCTAGGACGGCCACCCGTAGCCACCACAATGTGGTCAGCTGTGAGTGTCACCTCCTTCTCCAGCGAGCCATCCACGCCAGGTGTGACCAGGACCTTACCGTTACCGAGCAACTTGCCATGACCGGAGATGTAATCCACATTGTCCTTTTGGAGGTTGCTATCGTAGATCCCATTCAAACGATGCACGTAAGCATCGCGCTTTTCCGCCAAGTAGGCCCAGTCCACTGTGGGCACGTTGAACGAATGTCCCGCCTCCCGGAAGCCGTACTCAGCCGCCTCGTTCAGTCTGTCCTGCAGGTCTGCAGCATGCCACATCAGCTTCTTGGGCACACAGCCTACATTGACACAAGTGCCACCCAACTTGCCTGACTCCTCAATCACACCCACCTTAGCGCCATACTTGGCTGCACGACGACTAGCTCCCATACCACCGGAGCCGCCACCGATGACAAGCATGTCATAGTGAGTCTTGGGTTTCTCGATAGGTGGCATATTGACAGAAGGTAAGTGACTGTTGTTGTTTAAGTGGATAGATACCTGCTGTAAACGACCAGCAGGGTTGGATATGGTGATCAAAGAGGCACGGTTGCTAGAAGCGCAGATGTATATTGCAACGACTCCCTTGGATCCCTCCCCTGCGCAGCCCCAGCCCACGGACCATCTTCACGTGATATCCATGTGGAGGAACTGGCGTGTGCCGACCAGATGGAAACGCACCGCAACCGCACTTTCGATCGCGCCTCACGACGATCACAGATGCCGCCAGCTACGCCCTTCCGTAGCTATGCAGGATCTCGAGCCACGCCATATGACGCAGATACATCCTACAGGCGTAGCGGTATAGACGCAGCTGGGGATGCGACTGCCTCGCAACGAACAGAGGCCACAGGGCGCGGCCGCCGTCCGTTCCAGCAACTAGGCCTTTTTCACAAAGACTTACGCGTGTTGATGTACGCCTATGGTGACGTGGCGAACCCTCTTCCTGAAAGTGTGGCAGTACTAGAAGAGATTACGGTGGATTTCCTTACCGACTTGTGCCTACGGGCCGAGCCATCTTTGTATACCCTCGGCCTCTCCTCGTCGCAGCTTGAAGCCAGTGCCGCTGAGTCGTTCGGCGAGCCTGTAACGAGTGCCTCACTTATTGGCCAAACATCGGCGGCGCAGACATATCGGCATCGTGCGAAGCTCGATGACTTTAAGCATGCGCTTCGGCATGACTATAAGAAGCTTGGTCGCTTGGAGCAGCTGCTGTATGCTGACAAGATGGTGCAAGAAGCGCGCCGCATTGGCGGTGTAGAGGATGTGGCGGCCAGTGCAGGTGCGTTGGTCCATGGCGATCCTAAGACATCTACCTAAGACAAGGCAATACCCCATACTTTGAGCTGCGCGCGACGTGCGTCTACGTCGAACGGCGCGCCTTTCTTTGGCTCGTACGCAAGAAGGGCGTCGGGTATACTTGATGGTGTTGATGGCGACCAAATCTGCTGCGCCAATGAGGCTTGCAGCGTCGGTGCGAGACGCAGGGGCGCGCCCCATACCTCCTTATCATGCCACAAGGCGGCACTGACGTGATGCAGCGCAATGGCGTACAGGAATGGCTGGGCCGTACCTACACGCTTCGCTACGAGCGCATCAGCGTAGTGAGCGAGTACCATGGCATCGGTTTCGCAGGGCCATAAGTATGCCTCCAACCGCTCGCCACGGACGACAGGCGCTTGATCAGACTTGATCGTGATACCCGGGAGGAGCGAAGCGTAATCGCTCCATACCAAACGCCTATAGTCCACCGGGTAGATCATAGCGAGGGGAGGCAACAGCACTTGCGCAAAGAGCGGATCGTTCATGGAAATAGCCTCATAGAGGCCAATGAGGTCCGTATACATCTGATAGTACGGCACCGCGGTACCATGCACTTGCAAAGCAGCCTCTTCGAGCGTGGGTTGCGGCCGCTGAGATGCATGCTTGTTGGCCCATTCAATGACGGACCGCATACGCTGAGCGATGCTGGGACGCGCATACAAATCGCGCCCTGTAGCTGCGCCTGTGGCCTGCGGCGTAGAGGCCGGCGAGGCTTCCAGCAGAAAGATTTTCTGCAAGCCAAGCCATAAGAACGCACTGGGCAAGTCGTCGTAGTGGGCCACCGCCTCCACCAGTTGCAGCGTCGACTCGACAATCTGCGCTTCGCTGTAATCCCACGAAGGCGGGAGCGCATCGCGGGCATTGAGTGCGACCGCCTCTGCACTATGCAGCAGATCATCCAAGGCCAGCCAGGCCCAATCACGACGCAAGGGAAGACCTGCGGCAGGACTACGCCACAATTCCGCTTCCGTTTGCGGGTCCATCGGAAGAGGCCATGGTGAAGGGCCCGGCAGGCATAACGACGGCACGTCCTCTACGTCGTACCGCAATGCAGCGAGCATGGATGTGTCGTTGATAGGGGGCATATTGGCCAGGAAAAAGGGCGATAAGACGGACCATACTTCCGGGTCGACGGCCTTGACAATCTTCTCAAGCCATGTCCGAGCCATTGCTCCCTCTGTACCAGTCATTGTACGTACGGAAGCCAGCTGAAGTTCGGGCGTGGTATCACTGCAGCAATGTGCCACGATCCATGCATGCTGAGCCGGCACAATGCCACAATCGCGCATGGCCGGGGTTACCAAGTTAGATAATGGCCATTGCAGTAACGTTGTCTTCCAAGCGATGACGCGTGTCTCCAACTTGAGCCACTGGGTATATCGCAACACCTTGGTCAAGCCACCGAGCATACTTGCTACATGCGTCAAGTGCGACGCTGTATGGTGCACCGTGACAGGACGTTGCGACGTAAGTGCTAGGGCCTGCGTGGGCGTCAATAGGGTGTCAAGAAGATCGGCCCAGCGCGTCATTGAGCTTTCCAACGACGTTACCGTGCTAAGCATCGACGATGTGTCGACCTGGAGCGCACATGCGGCGTCCAGCCACATACCTACATGCCGAAGAGCTGCGGCGTATACACCCAGAGCGGCAGCCGATGACGTAGTTGTCAGGGTAGTGGGAGGAAGACGCAGCATATCACAGGCCAAGGCGCCCCAGGATTCGACCAGGGGCCAGTTCACACCGAGATCACCGTGTTTCGGCGCGACAATAGCAGCGTGCGTCCACGCTTCAAACACGTCAAAGAGAGCACGCATGGTAGCAAGTCGAACATCCTCGGCACTGGGCATCGATGCAAACTGCGTAGACGCCCACTGAGCCCAACGCGGTAGAGCCGACCATATCTCACGCACACTCACACTCAAGCATCGGAATCGGCCCAGCACAGCAAGCGTACGTAGAGCCAAGCAGGCAAGGGTATGCTCGTAGTCGGTCTTGCTCGAGGCTGACCCAGTCAATACATCCTGGGGAGGAAGTAAGATGTAGCGTAGCATAGGATCTAACGCGCCCTGCTCGACCAAGGCCTGGGCGGCCGCCCGAGAGGACTGCACGCAGCGGTACAGGGCGACCATCGCCTCGGTCATGGGCCATGGCATATCGCCCAAAGGCCATGCATATTTCGTCAGACCATACGAGACCAACGCATGCACGAGCCGGGGCCAGCGTGGCAAGGTGGTGCCGGCCTCGTTGGAATGAGTCACGAGGCCATACACCAGCCTCACCACGGTGGGGCCAGCAGTCTCATCCTGCTCGAGCCATGTGGACAGCGCCTCGTAGACATTCGATACGAGCAACGCGGCGGCCCAGTTGTGCTGCCACATCTCGAGCGGCGATGCATCGGGATGATGAAAGGCCGGGGCCTGGGCATGACACGACCACGCCTCCGACGCTGATCGCGACGCATGCCATAGCCAATTCAGGTCTGGCTCGGCCCAAAGGGGGTTGGATGTGAGAGCGAGGGCATGCGACGGCACCATAGACACAGACTGTACGGCTGACGCAAGACATTCGCCAGCAGCTTTACGTACACTTCGATGCCGATCATCCAAGAGCCACCGGGCAAAGTACAGAATCGAAGCGCGACGTCGACGTGCCTCGGCCTCGAGATCCTGGTACGCCAGGTGCGCAGTCATGCCGTCCTCGCGCTCACGCTCTTGCAAAGGGTACGTACGAACAATCCGCTCGAGAATCTGCAAGGCCATGATCCGTTGCGATGCGACATGGCTGCGTGCCAGATGCAAAAGCTCGTCGAGTGTGTACCCTGGCGTATGTGGGTCGCTACCGTGATGATGCAAGCCGGCTAGGTAGGTCGCATCAGGCGCTTCGGACCATGTCGTACGCTCGCCATTGGTCAAGTGGCCATGGAAATCAAAGCGTGCCAAGACATGCGAGGACGGGGAATCCGATGTCACGGTCCATTCCAAGGCAGGAGGTACGACGTCAGGTTCGTCGGGGAAATAAGTATCATGCAAAGACTGGAGCGTCGCTTGCTCCGCTAGGTCGGTCTGGGCCGCGGCCGGCGGTGGTGCCGAGGGAGCCGCAGGAGGCGCCGACGTTGTGTCCACGTCCTCGGCAAACCGCTCTAACGAGGGCCATCCTTGAGGTGGACGGCGCGATGTCGATGACGCTGCGCCTTGAGCAACGTCAGGCGTACGCGCCGTCGGACGAGCAGGCTGGTCGGCCACCTCGTCGCTCTCGGCTGCATGGCCCGGGTCCCATTCCAGGTAGTTGGTCGTGTGTGCCGACGCCTGACGTCGTGCCGATAAGCGCGCTAGTATGTCTTTGCCGAAAAACGCCTCGGCATCACGTAATTCGTCTTCCATGGTTTCATAGTTCATGCTAGCGATTTTCCGTTCATTTTCTTCCGAGATGTCGTGCATAAGAGACGACAACGCGTCAGGCCCGGCTCCGCCGCCGGGATCGCGGGTGGGATCCATGGCGAGTGGGGACGCTTCTTTTTCCCGCTCCGCGATAGCAGACGTAGACGAGGCAAGAGGACGCGAACGATCAGGTGCCTGGCCCTGGGCGCGCAAAAGGCGTGAACGTCGAAAGGCAGACATGGGCTTTTCATCTAGCGACGCCGTGGGATGGGCGGAAGACGCCTCCGCCGATGTGCGCTCCATGATGGCGCCCATAATCGGCCCGCGACGAGGCGTTGTCGCCTCCCCCGCCGAGGCGGCCGCAGTGCTCACCGCAGGCGCTTTGGCGCGTGTAACTTTGGCCGCCGGAGGCCATTGTACCAGATCCTCGTCGTCCAACGCAGCGCGTGCCATGGCATCGGCACGTGGACGTACCTGCTCACGCACCATGATGACGAACGAACGTCTCCACGAAGGATTGGGAAGGGGGTGGGGGACTATGTGGAGGAAGCGAGACTATCGCAGGGACGAAGATCGACCCAGTACATGCGCGGCGCGGAGGAGGACGTGATGTAGAGGCCTTCCGCGGCGTTGGTCATGAACGTCTCGCAGCGGAAGGGGCGGGAGGAGGAGGTAACAGGGGTGATGCGTACGCGAGGGAACGCCAAATGACCCGTGCTCACAGGGACAAACGTGGCTTCGACTGTATGGTGCGCCATCTGCGCCGAGGCATCCACAGTCCACACGCCCTTTTTGTGGCCCCATACGATCCAGTGATCATAGTCGCCCAGGATGTTGTACTGCAGTTCCACGTCCGAGAACGTGTCAACGGCCCAGTGGAACGACGTCGCGATATCAATACGCACTGGCACAGGTGTGCCGAGCGGTACATGCGACGCCGTCGATGCACGCATCGTGACGGCGTTCACAGCGTCGACGACAGGCACATCCAGCGGTAGGGAAAGCTGCCGCCATGCCAGGGATGCCTGAGAAGCGGCCCACGCCGTGGCTTGGGCCTCGTTCGCCCAGCTAGGCGACGGACCCTTGTCGTCGGGCGGCGCGAGAGTCAGCGCATCGTCGACGTGCGAACACGCGTCATGCCAGCGCTGCAGGAGGGCATACAGTGTCTCCACACGTTCGCTATCGCGTGGCCAACCCCATTGCCGGACTGTTTGCGACCAGAACGCCTCGTCGAGCGTCGTAGGCAGCGTTGTCCTCGTCTTTACATGTGCGCGAATCGCGGCATGAAGCAGCGCCTGATCGCCATCGTCCCATGCAGGCACCGTGGCGAGCGCTAGGGCGAGCGCATACAGCCCGCGACCTTGCACTTCGTCGGTGTGCATCCGGTACGTCACATGCAAAGTACATGGCGGCTCGTTGGCTTCGCGTGGCTGGTCGCCCGTCTTGGCGAACTGCACCAAGAACGTGCTCGTATCCTTTGGTGCCAAGGTATAAGCCTCAGTCGGCGCCGGCAACGTGGCCTGCATGGATGCGGACGACGGCGTAATACGCAGAGGCGCCATCCGCAGCGAAGGACCAGGCATCGCTTCCAACGAAAGCTTCGAGAGAAGCGTATCCAGCCGGAAAAAGTCTTGGATGTTGATGCTAAAAGGCAAGCCCAGCTCCGCTGCCAGTGTACGCTGCCACGTATGCCATGCCGATGTCCCCTCTTCCTGGTACCGCATCGTGATATGCCATTGCACTCGGGCCGCACGTGAGACATGCGTCAGCGGTACTGTGATACGTGCGTGGTGGCGCGCTCGTAGCGACGTCAACACGATGGCCTCGGCGTCCTCTTGCGAGCCCACTTGCAGCGCGCAGCCGTCCGGCAAGGTGGCTTCGTACGACGAGCTCGGCGTCCATCGCGTCTCGTCCATAGACTGCCAACGAAGGATGGCGCGTGATAGCGACGTACGACCGGCTTGGACGACCACGTCAATGGTACGTGCATGGGCCAGGGAGACATGTTTCGGCGCCTCGAGACGTACATCCATCGCCGCGCCATCCGCTGGAATGCAAAGGCGATGGCGCGTATATTCCATGTACTGCGCATCAGCCAACGTCAAGGGCAGTGTGTGTACATGCACTTGTTCCAGCATGACGCGGCCAAGACGGAGCTGCGTCGTCTGGATATGGAAAAGGCCCTGGAAGGCTGTTGTGCATGTAAGTGTCAGCGTGTTGGGGCCAGGCACAAGCGAGGTGGGCCCACATGTGAGCAGGATCTGATCCTGCCGATAGTTCGTCAGGCATACGCTCACGAGGTCGACATCGAGAGGACGAGGCAAGTACGACGTGACACACACAGTGATCGACACTTCATCGCGAGTACGCCGCACGCTGGTATCGTCAATACGTACGTCGCAGCCATTGTAGCCTAGCAGTGTGGTATCGACATGTTGTGCCTCACTTGCCTGACAAAGCGTAAAGAGCAACGCCTGCTCGTCCATCGGCGGTGGGAGGTGCGGCATTTGCACTCGCCACTGGCACAGAGCTTGTACGGCAGCTACCATGGCCTCCGTATAGAGGGGCCCATGCGCCAGGCCTTGCTGATCAAGGCAGTGCAAGAACATGGCATGCGTCGGGCCCAGCAAGGCAGAGAGCGACGACGCCTGGGATAAGAGCTCGCGCAAGAGCTTCTCTGCGTCCGCATACGCCCCACGTTCGGTTTCCAGGCACGCGAGCAAGTATTTCAAACGCAATGTTCGGGGCATCTGCTGACTGAGTGTCGCTGCAAGAATCGCGCGGTGCAGTACATTGCGACACTGCGAGTCAAACACATCCTGCTTCTTAATCGCTTCCAGCAGCTCTTTGCGTGTAAGATGGGCATCCCGTCGGTACCGTGCCGAGGTGGGTGCCAAGTACGCAAACGGCGGCTTGCTGGGTACATGGCCTGTTTGCACGCCGAGGCTGATAAGCTGCCGTACAGCCAGCTCGAGCAGCTCTGCCTTCGCCGCATGGAACGCTTGCGTGGTCTTCGCATCTTCAGACTCGCCCTGCCACTCGACTAGCCACGCCTGGCACTGCTCCACAGCATCCACCGCCACGGAAAACGACCAGGCCTCAATAAACCCTTGCGCCAGCTCGGATTTGTACGGCCGCAGCAGGCGCGCGACATGAACGACAAACAGAGGCGTCTGCTGCATCACACGCACAACGTCGCCTACGGCACCAAGCAGCATAGAGTAGCGTGCATACAAATAGCACATCATATCAAACAACGTAATTCGTTCGTTGGCCAGCAACTGCTCGTACGGCTTGCGCAGTGGGCCCAGCAGCAGCAGACTATCGTCGCCAGGCTCCTGTCCACCGGGCGGAAACGTGGTCGGCTTGTCGAGCAACAACGGCATGATCTTGTTGTGAACTTGATCGTACAAATGCAGCGCATCGTGCATGAGATCCAGACCTTCCATGGTATGAATGAGAGCCTCATAACGCAAGAGCAGATCACAGATACTCGTTTCGTGGGCCGAAGCCGTGACAATACGTCGGTCCTGGACGTCAACAAGCCGCCCAAGAGACGCTAGTATGAGCTCTTTCATCCGGGCTATCAGCTCAATCCACACAGTCGGATCGGTATCTTGGACGTTGGTCGGAAGTTTGTGCAACGGCAGCACACGCTCGACCGTACTTGTATTGAAATCAGCACGTAGTTTCTCCAAAACAGAACTCTTGCTCGATGTATAAAAGCGGCCCATCTTACCACTAGCCGACGACGAGGAAGACATCGAAGAGGGCGTCCCAGGCACATGGGGCAAGACAACAATCAAGTACTCAGGCGTAAGCACGGGCTTGGCACTGCCTGGCTCATCCTCGTAGTCCGTCGGCATATGCGACGGCAGCGATGCCATCCAGTTGCGGATTTCGTTGCGCACTTGCGCACGGTACAGATCACTGTCGTCACACGATACAAAGTACAAGTGCACACAGGGCAAGCGAAAAAGGACAGGCACGGACCGCGTCGATGCATCGTGCGAGGCCAACGGCACGAGATGAATAGGCATCTCTTGCAATGTGCGCAGCGCAGACGCCGTCTTCCCATGCGCGGAAATGGACGTCGAGGGCAACGACTGGACAGTCGTGGATGGACGCCAATGCAAATTTCGCAAGGGCATCTGCTCTGTAAGAAGCGTCATCGCGTGCGCCAGCTGCACATTCGCATGCGACGAGGAGTGCGTCGCATACGTGACAGGCACAGCCGGCATATCTAAAGTCGACATGCTAGAGGGAGGCACACTGCGCCTCACAGTGTTACTCAATCAACCCCACGATCGGCGTGCATCCACGAAGGTGGTCAGTGCACGTGACTACAACGCCCTGATGGGACCATGACAGAGGCCCGATCGAGCGGCTGGATCATGCATGCCTTGCGTATATTCACACTACATAGCCTCTACCAGGGCCTTGAGCTGTTCCTCTTTGAGAATCTCAAATTGACCCGTCATCCGCCCATCCTTGGCGGTCCTGGGCGTGACCTGGGCTAGTTGGACATTGTGCTCATCGAGCTTCTCTTCCATGACCTGCTTGAGTACACGCAGCGTGAGCAGCGATGCTTCATGCAAAGACAGATCCTTCTTGTACTTCTCCTGCAGCTCACTCTGTGCACCTTCCGAGCCACTGCCGATCGCCTTGGCATCGTAACGAACATATGTGCCTGAGGGATCCGCATGGAAGAGCTGCGGTCCATTTTCATCGATACCCACAATGAGAAGCGCCACGCCAAACGGCCGACTCATCATGGCCTCATCATCTTCTGTATTCTCACCAAAGCGCAAAGCCAGGTCGCCCACGGCCTGCGCGGCACTCTCCACTTTGATCTCCTCATCGTACACGAAACGGTGATTTTGCGCAGTCACACGCGCATGATCAATCATAGTACGTGCATCGGCCGTGAGTCCACTCATCGCAGCACCCAGGTGCGAATCGATCTCCATGATCTTTTCAATGGAGCTGCTTTCCAGCAGCGACGATTGGACACGCTTCTCAACACCCAGCACGACGCCTTCGCGTGTAACAATGCCCACAGTCGTGGAGCCTAGCTTGATAGCTTCCAGCGCATATTCGACTTGGAACAAACGACCCTCTGGCGAGAAGGTGTTCACACCGCGATCGTACTCAGACCGCGTCAGAAACATGACCGTACAGGAGGCAAGTCGTTGGACGCGTACGTAGGAGACCTGCTCCTCGATCACTGTCCGACAGCATCGCTTAGTCAGCGCACCCGCCCAGCGCGACCGTGGCGCGGAGCCAAGCAACACTGACACACGCCCTTGATCACAACAGTTGTGTGCGTGGTGGTGCATCATGGTACGTAACAGACATAAGGATATGGCTAACAGTGGGTAGGATCTGGAGGAAATGTATGTCATACATGATCTAATATCTCAGCGGCCAGAAGCTCTCGAACCTGACGTTCTACGACCTGAAGCAATTCTACACGCAGGCGAAGAACTATGCACTGAACATCAGTGAAATTGAGGCCAAGGTCCGCGAGGCGACGAACGATGACCCATGGTAGGTAGGTGACCTCAGCTTATTCCACAGGGGTGCCAGTTCCACGTTGATGCAGGAGATTGCGCAAGCGTATGTATCAATACATTACGAGCTGACTCAACAGCACCTACAACTAGTACGAAGACAACGCTATGTCCACGCTAACATCACAGCCATGACTTTAATGAGATCATGCCGACAATTTTCCGGCGATTCATGGAGAAAGAAGCGCACGATTGGCGCCAAATTTACAAGGTAGGTCGGCAATTCGTGCTTATGGTCTAGTCGCTGCAGCTGCTGGAGTACCTTGTGAAGAACGGATCTGAACGCGTTGTGGATGAGGCGCGTGCACACCTCTCTACGATCAAGATTCTTCGAAGCTTCCATTACATTGACGATCAAGGCAAAGATCAAGGCCTAAACAGTACGTTGCCATTACCCTGACCATTCAGTCCGCAACCGCGCCAAAGAGCTTGCAGCGCTGCTCTCAGATGTCGAAATGATCCGCGCTGAACGTCGGAAGGCTCGGGCTAATCGGACCAAGTACCAGGGCTCGGGCAACACGGACTTTGTGCCGGGCAGTGGGGGTGGTCGTTATGGCGGCTTCAGTAGCGACGCATACTATGCTAGTGGTGGCTCCGTCGGCCATAGCGGCAGTGCCGCTGCTTATGGTTCCCAGTCACCGTCGCAACCTGAATACGATGAGTACGATGCGGGTGCGGATGAATCAGCGCCTCGCTCATCGTCGACAGCCGTCACGTCGTCGGCCTCTAAGAATACAGCCACGTCGCAGCCTGCCGTCGCTGACCTTTTCAGCTTTGACGATGATGATGAGCCGCTTGCTGCGCCTCAAACTACCACGGCACCAGCACCAGCATTAGCTACAGCCGCATCGGCTCAGGATGACTTTGACGATTTCCAGTCGGCAGCGCCTGTGACGACTTCGCCACCCACTACGGCCGCCGCTCCGACCTCGTCCGGCCCCAAGAATGCCGCTCTCTTTGACCTGCTGGATGACAAGAAAACAAGCGCAACGTCGACCACTACGGCAGCAGCGATGCCTCCGATGACTGCCTCGAAAGGAATGGCGCGACCTGTACAGCCTACGACTGCGCCCAAGCCCTCGGTGTCTCTCTTTGATGACTTGTGGGCTGAATCGCGCGGAAAAGCATCCAATGCCGAAGACAAGGGAAAGAAATCCATGGCTCAGCTGGCCAAGGATCAAACAAGCAACTCGGTGTGGGCTTCGTCGACAGCCCCTAAATCGAGCCAGAGCGGCGCTTCGAAAGACTTGTTTGATTTGTTGTAGGGTACCAGTTAGTGACTATATATAGAAGAATGTGAAACGATTGACAATGTCACCCAAATGCTACCTATCAAGGCCGTTCCTGTAAGAAGAAGCACACCACGCTCGCACAACTTCATTAAGGACCGTACATGCGCGGCCAACACGGTATGCTCTGTGGAACTTGCCTCCAATGTTTCTTCTTCATCGTCCGACTCTGCCATGTACGATGGAGAGACACGGTCATCCTGCCTCGCAAAGTATTCCACCAGCACGAGACGGAGGTACGCGCTGCCGTCCAAGAAGGGTAAAGGCAACATGTTCCAGCCTACCAAGGCCATATTCACCATGATAAAAAACGACAACAGGGTATGTAGTCGCTGCACAAGCCAGGTGCGTAGGCTGGCGCTTAGGATATACCGAAAGGGACCTCCCAGCTGTTGCTGAGTCAAAGACATGCTAGTCCGTAAACTTCGTAAAGAGCCTCGAAGTACGACCATATCATCCGACGATGTATATACACGAGCGAGGGGCGCTGAAATCGCGGGACGAATGCATACGGCTTGCCCACATTGCTTCGTGGAAAGACAGCGTGGGCGAGACTCCGTCATGACAGCCATAGGATCCATGCACTTTTCCACGTTGTGGTCTGTTGCGAACAAAGAGAGGGAGGACGAGCTATCGCAATGCGGCTCGGCCCAAGACCAATCACTAGCATCCATGCACCATCCATGCTCGGGTTCCGCCGCATGTTCAGTAAAAAGCAGCCATGTCTCGGTGCGTTGTGCCGGTGTGAGAGAGCGTAAAGGCTGGTCATTCAGCTGGGTAATGGTACGCCCACGTGAGAAATACGAGGCCAAAGAGGCATCGCGAATCTTTGTCACGACTAAACCACCAGCATCAGTGAGAAAGAGAGAGCCCACCCATTGTATTAGCACGCATACGATAACAAGGACAGCATTGTGCCATACGCCTGCACTAATGACACGCGCCAGGTGGATACGAGGCAGAGCAAGTCGATCAGGGAGCATCACATGAGCGACTGGAAGACATGGGAATAGAATGGACAGGCCGACCTTCTCAGGCTCGATGCGATGAAGAGCTGCGGCTATCGCATGACCCGCTTCATGCACAAATTCAGAAAGAAATACGACGATAAGAAGTAAAGGCACATCACTCCAAGGTATGGTCCATCCGGGAATCTACGGTAAGTATACTTGTACATACCATAGGCTTCATCCACAAAGGTGACGATATCGCAGGCCCTGTACCTATATCGACACGCTTGTGAAGTGCGTGTGTCGCGGAAGGCGAAGAAAAAGCATACTGCAAGACCTGAGCGCATGTAATGGCCATAAGAGCTACAGTACCAGCCATGGCCAAGCCAGCAGTAGCCGTACCTACATCGTACCAAGCACTAGCCCATGCCCGGTACGCGGAACGAAGCCATGGCTCGACAATACTACTAGGCCATTCGTTCCACGACATCGTCTCAGCTGTGATAACACCTAGGCGCATGGACACGCTCCATTCTCCTAGAGTGACATGACGTAGCCCATACCTTTGAAGTGAGAAGAGCACAAACCATACGCCTACACACAGCAGCGGTACAGCCAGCGTCATGAACAAGATGGACGATCACTTGTCATGCTCTCGCACAGACATGGGGTCTGGACGAGCGGAGGTGCTCGGCCGAGCATGATCCCTCCACTACTACGCGCCTAGTACGCGCGACGGCGAGCCACGCACGACGACGTCCATGAGCGCCAGCACGAAGCAGTTGGGTGTCACGCCACCGATCTCTCTGAGTGGACCGACTGAGAGAGATATTGAAGTGACGAAGGCGCTCGAGGATGAGCTTCGAGCGAACAATGTATTTGAATCGCCGGAAGAAGCCAAGTTACGGTACGTTTGCTCCAGGCTGACTCCTCTCCAGCGAAGTGGTACTAGGTCGCGTAGATGCGCTAGTCAAGGAATTTGTGTACCGTGCGTCCATGGCTCATGGTCTGTCGGAAAGCGCAGCACGTGCAGCTGGTGGTAAAATCTTCACATTCGGCTCGTACCGATTGGGCGTGCATGGACCTGGCTCCGATATTGATACCTTGTGCGTGGCGCCCAAGCATGTTCATCGCGAAGACTTCTTCACTATCTTTGAATCCCTTTTGAAAGAACGAGATGATGTAACAGAAGTAGCGCCTGTGCCTGAGGCCTACGTCCCCTTGATCAAGACGAAATTCATGGGCATTTCGATCGATTTCTTGTTTGCAACCATTGCGCTGCCGCGCATTGATGACTCTTTGGATTTGCGTGATGACAGCTTGCTTAAAAACCTGGATGAGCGCGAAGTGCGTAGTCTTGGTGGTTCGCGTGTCACTGATGAGATTCTGAGCTTGGTACCCAACGTCCCAGTGTTCCGTCTAGCTTTGCGCTGTATCAAGCTGTGGGCCAGTCGTCGGGCGATTTACTCCAACGTGCTTGGTTTCCTTGGTGGTGTGGCCTGGGCGATGCTCGTGGCACGGATTTGCCAGCTGTATCCTAACGAAGTGGCGGGTGCCATTGTGAGCCGCTTCTTCATTATTCTCCTGCAGTGGAAATGGCCGCAACCTGTGCTGCTCAAGAACATTGAGGATGGGCCGCTGCCGATTCGTGTGTGGAACCCACGTCTGTACCCAACTGATCGTTTGCATCGTATGCCTATCATCACACCTGCATACCCATCTATGTGTGCTACACACAACGTCTCGCAATCTACACAGATGATCATGACTCAGGAATTCCAACGTGGCTCGGAAATTGTTGACCGGATTTTCCTGGGCAAAGCGACTTGGAGTGAGTTGTTTGAAAAACATGACTTTTTCCACAAGTATAAGTATTACCTCCAAGTCATCGCGTCTTCGGGGTCCGCCGACCTGCAACTCAAATGGCAAGGTACGGTGGAATCACGTCTCCGTCAGCTGATCATGAAACTGGAACTGGTGCCGTCGCTGATTCTTGCACACCCCTTTGTCAAGGGCTTTAATCAAGAAAGTGTATGTCTATCTGATGAAGAAGTAAGGCAGGTAGCCACAGGAGACGTGCCTGCCGAAGTGGCAGCACGTACCACGCTGCAAGAGTTGCCAGAAGGCGAGGCGGCCAAAGAAAAGGATGAATCCACACAAGCCAGTGATGACAAGACAGGTAAACGAACTGTTTACACAACGACGTTCTACATTGGTCTTAAGGTAGAGCCTCGGCAACCCCACGAAGGCACTACGCGTCGCTTTGATATCTCGTACCCTATTCTTGACTTTACACAGAAGGTGAAGCAATGGGATCAGTTTGATGAGTCGGCTATGGGCATCGTAGTGCGGTCCATTAAAGGGTATGTTATGGAAGGAGACTTACAGACAGCACCAACCTGCCCGATTACGTCTTTGATGGTGACCCACGCCCTCGCAAGGTGGCAAGCAAGCGGTCAAAGAACAAGGTATGTCCGTTTTATGCATTATGTCTCACACTAGCAGCATGCTGGCACATCGCAGGAAGAAGAAGCCAGTAAGAAGGCAAAAGCAGAAGACCTGGCACCTATCGAAAGCACGTCCGGGTCTACGTGATGAGGTAATACCTGATGCCCTATCATGTACATGGCTCTGGCAGATGGGATGACGTAGAACGTTCCCCTTTTTACATAAATGTATGGCCTAATAGGTATAATGAAATGCAATGACATGCACCTGTCTGCGTATCGTGCTTTGACCTCCGCCCTTGAGAAGGTTGTGACACACGGCCCAAGCCTTTGGCATGACAAACCGGAAACACACTGACATGATCTAGCGACATTAAAATCAAAAGGAGCGAACGGGCTCTATCCGGCCCCTCTTCCCGTACTGCTGGGCAAGGTATCCCAATGAAACCTCTACGTTTCACCGCATGGCTCCTAGGCATATGGACATGCGTAGTCTGGGCCCGTATGGAAGTGAAACACCCTCTCCCTTCACTCCCCAATGTATCAGCACCGTGGATTGGACATATGGATTTCTTTCAGGCTGTGCCTCGTTCACTAGCTGATCATAATCTTACAGCCTCGAGTACAAAGAAAGAGGGTGCCTCTCCTTCGTCCTCCATGTCTTTACGATCCACGCCTGAAAGTCGGACGTCCAAGTCGGCCCACACGACCCTCTCCATGCGCCCCTCTTCCATACCGGAGACTGCACAGGCAAGTGACAAATCTACCCAATCCAAGAGCACGACGACACCTCATGGAAAAGAGTCAAGCTCAGCGCGGACAACGTCAGAGACAGAGCAAGTGACTGTATCCCAGACGGAGCCCACGAGTGGGACTTTAGAGTCGACAGGAAGTACATCCACCCCAAAGAGGGAAACGAGCACAACGCCAGCGTCGTCAACGGAGTTGTCCGACACTACATCGTCGAGATCCGCGACAGTCACGGCGACCGAGTCATCGCAAGATTCGTCGTCATCCAGCAGAGGGCAACGCTTGTCCACAAGTGCGAAGCATTCCAGTTCGAATTCTTCGCTGACCACGTCTGAGAAGGCACCACAGACGACTACATCGGCTGCATCTACAATGGCACATAAAGGTGCTACGACAACCAAGAAGCAGCCCACTACGACGACTTCTGTAAAAGTTGTATCAGATACTAGTACGCGGACACATGTTGAGTCGACCACCACAACCACACGGTTGACCGAAACGGAGACGCGGACCTCCGTGTCGACCAAGACGTCCATTCGGCATACGACCAAGGTAAAGACAAAGACGGAGACTAGTACGGCATCATACATCGATACGGTCAGCAAGACGGGGACGAGGACGTCATTGTCGACAATAACGCTGAGCACTCCAACAGTAGAACGGACTACACAGGCGGCGTCCGGCCACACGTCTGCAACGACACAATTCGTGAATCATACTTCATCAAAGACGTCAATAGTGACCAGGTCTACGTACAGCCTGAGTACGACATGGCCCACATCGTCTTTAAGCAACAGTAAAAGCGCAAAGATATTGACGACATCAACAGCGAGGGCGAGTGAGAGCATGCCGACATCGATCGTTCAAGGAAGTAGTGGTGCGAAGGAACCCACTTTTTCTGATAGCAAAGAGTTGGAGTCCTTCAAGTATCAATTTGTCAATACGGATACACTTCTGCTCTCGCGAACTCAGCCGTCCTCGTCGTCCACGGGCAATGGACGATCTAAGGCCAGCCCAGCTACTGCGAAAGGCACGACGCTCACTTTCCCCGATCCTATGGCTGTGACTTCCACACCTGGAGCGCAAAGCACTATGAGTATGACGCTATCTCCACAAGAGCTCCAACTTCCGAAGTCGATCGTCCCTAACGGTACAGAACCGACACCAAATGAGACCATGGTGCTTATTTCGATCCTATTCAAGAATGATATGGATTGGTCATGGGTCGTAGCACAGCGAGCTACCACAGCCCAGATATTCACGTATATGCCGAAGATCATTGCTTACGCTATTCGTGGCCGAGAAGACGATGTCCAAACTGTCCAGCTAAGACAGTTTCAAAATGAGTCATCTGTAAATGCATCGTATCGTGTAATGTACTTGGCTTATCTCGACAAGAACATGGGCCTGGCGTTAAAGCATGCTATTCAGGACCCGTCATCCTCGTTTTACCACGCCCCCTTCGGCCCCGTATCCCAACAACTGGCAGCAGAGGTGGATTCATCGTTTTCCCTCTTTTCCTACTCGTCGGTGCCGTTGTCTGAGGCAAAGGATTTGTCGCCAGTGACGAAAAAGGCCTTGATTGGGTGCTTTGCTGGTGTAGGAGGGCTCCTTGTTCTGGGCCTGGTAGTTTGGCTTGTGCTAAAGAACAAGAAACGGTCCAGGTGTGCCTTGAAACGGACCGATACCATTAATTCGTTTGGCAATACAATCGATCCTGTAAGCACATTGTCAATTGCTACCTCAAGCAGCACTCTGCAGGAGGGTTCATCTGATGGAGGTATGCCCAGCCGCGTCACTAGTCGGTCAGAAACGCTGGATGATCCCTTCCGAGGACCCCTCTCTTCCAGAACAGTGGAAACGGATCCATTTTCTACGCCGTACCCTGTTCGTCATACATCCATCTCTGCCGGCAGACGATGGTTGCATTCGAATCATACCGCGAACAGCTATGAAGGAGACCAGCCTACTAGTCGAGACCAGCTTATACCTCATGTGCAGACGATTGCTCATGCGTCAAATATGGGGTCCATGTAGGAACAAAGGGGTTGTAGGAATATAGGACGTACGATACAAAGAAAAGAAGGAGGAACCTATTCACGTTCCAAGAGCAAAGAGAGGCCCAATAAGCCAAGGACAACCACTTTCGCGGCCGGGTAGTCATTCAGCAGGATAGTGATGTAGCCTGCGTACGGCACAAATCCTCGCACACGACCTACAATCTGATCGTCACGAATCCACCGTGGGCCTTTGTAGAGCATAATGTCATCATCAGCATTGTTGTCGCCCTTGGTCAGTAAAAGCTGGCCCTTCTTGCCATTGTCACGAGCTTCCACAACGCGATGCACGATAGGGATTTCTGTGTTGGGCACCTTGTATACAGTAATTTCACCAACCTCTATCGGTTTGCTAGGCATTGTGAGAAAAAGCAGATCACCACGATGAAAGGCAGGCTCCATACTACCACTCAGCACAACCACCACAGGCGATTCAGTGTTGGTCAGCAAGCTCACACCTTTCCACACAGCTAGTGCCAGAGAGATAACTTGAAGCATTTGCACAAACTGCGCAGCCTGGCGGCGCCAAGACTGCGTGACCGTACCTGCCACACTAGCAAACATGACGGAAACGCGATGATAGGAAGTACAGCCAAGTGAGAGGGGTCGACTTTCTCATGCATTCAAAGAGCGCATGGACACGGTGTATCACGTGCCACGTGGTCGTGCGCGTCGTGCGTTTCCCCCACATACTACGTCAGGTCTGGCGAGCATACGATGGCGACGCGGCCAAGGCCGCGCGTATTTCGTAAGACGTCTTCGCTCTCAGGGACGACAAAATCAGATGCAGGTTTAAATACGTATACGGACGACTCGTTTTTCGTAGCATCGCGTGCGCGGACGAACACGAAGCTGCTGGTCGATGACGAAGTGGACTCCTCCTTCCAGCCCAGTCCAGAGACTGCTGGTGATCTTTCACGCGAGTGTGGAGACGATATCTATCGTCATCGACGTAAGAGAAAGGCGCTAGACTTTGACTGGGTATCGCAAGAGCCACATACCACGTCACACACTGACGTACAGCGTTTGTCTGTAGAGACACCCCTGTCTCCGTCTGCCGCCAACACACTCGCAAGAGCAACCACGTTATCTGACTCTCTTCAGAATCAGAAGAGAGACCTAAGTATTTCACCTCCTCCCCCGGATTTTGAAAAAGAAGCGCAGATCTATGCCCAAAATGCCATCGCCCAAGTAACCAGTGAGCATCGCGAAAAACTAGCAGCGCTTCAAGTGGATTTGGGGCTGTGGGACGATAATTCCAGTGATACGTCATTCGAGCTCAATGCAGGGTTAGCACAGTACTACCGGGGCCATGATGCACACAAGTTACGTGAACAAGCGATTGCACGTGAAAAGGCAAGAGAAGAGCAATTGGCTCAGCAAGAAACGACCACCAATGTCGTACAAGTCTCAGACGATGACGAGGCCCCTTCGCAAGCGCCAATCTACATTGTGGATGACTCGTCCGATGAGGAGCCAACAGTTTCTTCGACGCAGGAAGATACCGCCGTATCAGCGCCGCAGCCGTCGGCATTTGCGCAGGAAGATCCAGATACCCTACTTGTCACCCTACGTGGGGCGCGTCAATTGGACGTGCAAGTCAAAGTCCGGGCCACTACTCGTATGGATACCATGCTAATGCATTTTTTACAGACGCATGCTTCGTCTTTAACAGCCGAAGAAAAGGCCAAAGCCCGTCTCTATTTTGAAGGCGAACTATTGTCTATGACCTCCAGTGTACAAGATATAGACCTGGAGGACGGCGATATGTTGGACGTCATGTGGTAGTTGGGGCCGATTTACGCACCCTTGTAGTTGTACTTCAGATTCGACAAACCAATCGTCTCGCGCTCCGCCTTGTGGATCCACCATTCAATAAGAAGGTGAATGCCCAAAGCGCCGAAGGGGAACGTCCACCAAGCCGCATCCAAGAAGGCACCGGCACCAAAGGTAAGCAGCGGTGCAGGCCATGTGCACACCCACAGGAAGCCCAAGTAGACAATCTGAGGCGGCAGAACCTTGGCGAGGTGCTGACCCTCGGACTGCTGCGTGGGGTCCGCCTTCACATTCTTCGTGGGCTGCAGGCGAAGGTCACGCAGCACAGGCACAAGCCATCCAGGCGCAGTTCCGAAAGGATGAGGCTGCGCAGGGAAAGCCACGCCCTTCATCTTCACAAGGCCTGCGCGGGAAGCACACTCACGGCCAGCTAAGAACATGATATAGGTAAGAAAGCCAAAGATAAACATATAAATGGGGAACGCCGGCAGATACGTCAAGTCATCCTCCGTTCCAATGATTGAATGGTGCTGCAGGTACAACGTAACATGGCTTTTGCTGTGGTTGCCCAACAAGTAGGAGGGGATCGGCGTCAGGTATAGGAAGACCACCAGCGTGTACACCACCAGCATACCAGCACGGTAGACGAAGTTGGCCTTGTCATTGTCGTGGCGAATCTGCTGGATCACATTTTCCTGCTCTGGCATGGTCAGTGGAGGTATTATTCCGTACCCTGTTCGTCCATAATATCATCATATTTCGAGAGGAGCTCCTCGTTCGCACCACGTTGACGACTCGTCATGGTGGTTAATCGGCTTCCAAGACTTACGCGCGAAATGCCACGCGTCCTGCGTGACCCACTAAAAAAGAAAGCATGTGAAAGACCTACTAGGCATGACCACGCACACCTGAACATCCTCCACTCTCCACCGCCTAGGCGCGACGCAACGCCCTCTTCTCGCAGGGCCATGGCGCAGCCGAATGCTGAGGATGTGAATCCTTTGCATGTACAATGGAAGAATCCAGAGTATCTTGCCTTCTTAAGCGCACAGAAGGGACTGGCAGGGGTCAGCCAGTCTGTCTTGGACACATCCAATGTCATGGATTACTTTAGCTCGTCTCCGTTTTACGACCGGCGCAGCAACAATGAGCATGTTCGCATGCAAAGTGCTGCTTTGATGGCAGAGATCATGGCGACACAACCGCAATCATCAGAAGAAGTCCTAAAGAAAATGGCGAGACGACACGAAGAAGAGCTAAAGTACGTTGACGGACCATTAACAGTAGACGCTTTACCGGTCTGGAATTTGCCTTGGTACATGCACGCCCCCCTGGCTGTTTTGTGATCCATAAACGGTGGCGCAGAGGTCCTGATCGAGGTAGGTATACCCTACACACTCACATCCGCCAGTGGACCCTCCCTTAGCAGCGTACTATGTTATCAACGACTGTGTGTATCAAGCGCCAGATATGTACACGATTCTTTCCACGCGATTGGTAGGTACTCCAGTTCAATTAACCAAAGCAATCCTCTTTACTCGGCCTGCGTACTACACTTGGCTTGCATCGTGAGCATCGGTCGACGTTCAATCCGCGGCGTGGATACTACGGACGGTTTTTGACAGCTGATCAACCTTCCCCGACTGCGCAGGCATCAGCATCGGCAACAGACGCACCGCCAGTGGGAACCAGTACAGAGAACCAGGATACGGTAATACCAGAGGCCATGATAGAGTCATAAATATCTACTTTGATAGATTTGTATAATACATATGGGCATTAAGATACATCGTGTCGTGCACGCTTCGCAGGCGGCGTGGGAGAGGTCGTAATGTTGCTAGACGGTGTCGTATCTGAGGATGGAGATTCACGTGGCGTGCCTAGCAGAATCTCCAAGCCAAGAATACCTTTGCGACTAGGCCCCGTGAATCCACCGCGAATCGGACTGCGGCAAACAGGGCAAAGGCCTTTGATGCGTTCCGTGCCGTTGGTCGCGCGTAGTCGTGTCGCTGAGAGCTGTGAATCTCGACGCGAGGGTGACGGATCCATCGTAGCCTGTGTCTGCCTCTGCTGCCGCCTTTCTTGTAAAATTTCGCGCGCATTATCCACAGATACGCCAGCAACATTGGCCAGGGTCATAGCAGCGCCACTGCCCAGTGGCGTGAATAAATGCTGTGCGGAGGCCGCAGAAGCGAATTCATGAGGCGCGTCATGCTCTTGCCTAGCATTGGTAGCCAGAGAATCAAACAAACAAGAGCCACAGAAAATGTGACCACAGGGTGTAACACTCACGTTTTGGGGAGGACATAGACAGATAGGACATCGATAGGTAGAAAAGAGGGCGTTTTGCACAGAGGGCGGCTTTCGTGGCGCGGTCGCTGCACGGCGCATAGCTTCACGAGCAGCTTCGATTTTTCGTTTGCGCAGGTCCGCAGCAGTGAGCTTGCGCACGGCTTCTACGTAACAATCATCCTCCGCCTCCCCCTCATCGCTCACTTCAATCACAGAAGGGCGTGGTGGTAATGAAGTGAGAAAGGGAGAAGCTGGAGCAGACGTAGACTCTGATCCTGATGCGGTAGAAAAATGCCCCTGAGGATCAGATGGACTGACACTATGCGAATCCTCTGAAGGCATGGGGGAATCACATGGGCGTTGCACGACGTGCATTCAAGTGTCCATGCGTGTGTGCGTTCTTGTGGAGGAAGCGGCCATGCAATCCAAGCCTGGCACCTCCACAGTAGGGGTCCAGTCAAGCTGTACCGCTTAGCAATCAACCGAAGATGCCGCGTCGGTCGAAACCGGGGGCCGTGCTGGGGGTAAATTAGCAAATCAGGTATTTTGACGAGGCCTGCCCGCCCAGCGGGGCCGGGCTCCATGAGCGAGCGTAGCGATTCTTCTCCTTTCTCTCTGAGACTTTTCGAGTCGCCCACATCTCAGCCGCTTCAAAGACATTGTCGTGATGTCGGCCCGTCTGTTCTTGGCAAACACTCTCAAGGGCAACGTGCGTGTGCCGTTTGCCTCGCGCTCGCTGGCCTCGGCTGCCGCCCGCCAGGTATGTTGCTAGCGCGTCTTTGGAAAGGCAAATTCTAACATGTATGCCAGCCCCTGACACAGGTGACTATGCTCCCCAACGGCTTGACGGTCGCTACTGAGTCGAACCCCACGTCGCAGACTGCCACCGTCGGTGCGTGGATTGACGCTGGTTCGCGCTCGGAGTCGGCACGCACCAACGGTACTGCGCACTTTTTGGAGCACATGGCGTTCAAGGGTATGTATATCGGCAGACTTACATGTAGGCACCAACAACCGCTCGCAGCAGGCGCTGGAGCTTGAGGTGGAGAACCTTGGTGCGCATCTCAACGCGTACACCTCGCGTGAGCAGACCGTCTTTTACGCCAAGGCCTTCCGTCAGGATGTCGGTAAGGCTGTGGACATTATCTCGGATATTCTGCAGAACTCGAAGCTCGACGCCTCGGCGATTGAGCGTGAGCGTGATGTGATCCTGCGTGAGCAGGAGGAGGTTGACAAGCAGGTCGAGGAGGTCGTGTTCGACCACCTGCACTCGGTGGCCTTCCAGGGCCAGGCTCTGGGCCGTACTATTCTGGGCCCCAAGGAGAACATCCTCTCGATCAACCGTGAGGACCTTTCCAGCTACATTAAGTCGAAGTACACGGCTGACCGCATGGTCCTGGTTGGTGCCGGTGGTGTTGAGCACGAGGAGCTTGTGAACCTGGCCAAGCAGCACTTTAGCGGTCTGCCTGTGTCGCAGAACCCGATCAAGCTCGGTGAGAGCCAGTACGAGCCGAGCCAGTTTGTTGGCTCGGAGGTCCGTGTGCGTGATGACACTGCCTCGACCTGCAACGTGGCCATTGCCGTGGAGGGTTGCAGCTGGAAGTCGCCTGACTACTTCCCTATGCTTGTGATGCAGTCGATTTTCGGCAACTGGGACCGTTCGCTCGGCTCCTCGCCGCTGCTCTCGAGCCGCCTGTCGCACATCATCTCGTCGAACAACCTTGCTAACTCGTTCATGCACTTTAGCACGTCATACTCGGACACGGGTCTCTGGGGTGTGTACATGGTGAGCGAGAACTTGATGAACCTCGATGACATGATCCACTTTACTCTGAAGGAGTGGCAGCGCGCCTCGACGGGCCCTGCGCCAGCGGAGGTCGCTCGTGCCAAGGCGCAGCTTAAGGCATCGCTGCTGCTGGGCCTTGACGGTACCACTGCGATTGCTGAGGACATTGGCCGCCAGCTTGTCACGACTGGCAAGCGCTTCACGCCGCAGGAGATTGAGGCTGCGATTGACGCTGTCACCCCGGCTGAGATCCAGCGTGTGGCGCAGAAGTACCTGTGGGACAAGGACATTGCGATTGCCGCGACTGGCCGCGTGGAGGGTTTGATGGACTACAACCGCATCCGCGCTGACATGTCGACGCTCCTGTACTAATCGCTTTCCCTTCGGACAAATCGATAGAAACATGATAGTCTCGGACATGTGACATCGCTTTGGACTGTGAGGTGGCTAGGCCCACATGTGCAGCGAGGCAGAGCACTCAATCGAAGAGAGGTTGCACGCCCATCTACAGAAAATCAGTTCAGATGTGGGTAGATACGGGCAAGGCTATATATATATGCACTCGCATTGACATTAGAGCGTGCACTGCAAATCGTTAGTATCGTGTCCAAGGCGACGGGCCGTAGGCACATCGCTGCCTAGCCCAAGAATACGTACGCTCATAGCATCTTGGCTCCTCGTGTTCAGGATCAGGGCCACAATTAGACCGTACAGACCCAGCACTTCGGCGAAAATGAGAATCAGAATCATACCAATGTAGAGACGCGGCTGCTGCGCGGTACCACGCACACCAGCGTCACCAACGATACCAATGGCGAAACCGGCAGCGAGACCAGCGAGACCGACAGAGAGACCGGCACCGAGCTGAATGAAGCCAGCGTAGAGAGTCATCGGCGACTTGACTGTGCGTGTCAGTGGACCACGGCCTAATACATACTGTCACCCGAAATGAGCACACTGACCACAAGACCGTAAATCTAAGAGGTTAGCCTGCATGTTCTTCACCGTGCACAAAAGATACGTACAGCAATGATACCAGCCATAACCACAGGAATAATACACTTGATGAGGAGATCCGGACGAAGCACACCCATAGCCGAGATACCTACACCGGACTTGGCGGTGCCGTAACTGGCACCGAGACAGGTGAACACAATGGCCGCCGTCACACCCTACCATGTCGATACAACATGTCGAAGCAAGTCGACAAGCACATCGATGTTAGCATTCCGATCTTCGCCAGCGAAGTCTGCACGTACCATAGCACCGAAGAACGGCGCGTATACAGGGCAAAGATCCATGTTAATACTGTCACTCATTATGCAACGTTGGACGAAGCGCAAGAAAACAAGATGAGCGAGCGTGCGTGCCTACCACCGATCCCGGCAGCCACCGCCCGCCCTTCGTAGGCCCACGTTGCCACGGGCCCGCCGCTTCGGCCGCAGTAGGTCACGTGAGACAGAGAAATCGAGCGAGTGACAAGGTGTGGGTCTGCTTGCAAATCAGCACGCAACGAGCGGTGGAGTGGCGCGGTGTGGAGAGAAGAAGTGGCTGCCGGCTACTGAGTCATGCGGAGGTTTTCACGCTTCTTTGGCACGAGAGATCATGACGTCGTCCACGAAGCCGCGCACGATCTACCAAAAGATCTTTGATTCGCATCTGATCTCGGAGGAGGAAGATGGTACTTGTCTCATTTACATTGACCGCCATTTGGTCCACGAAGTGACCTCGCCGCAGGCGTTTGAGGGTCTGCGTATGGCCGGTCGTCCGGTGCGTCGTCCGGACTGCACGCTGGCCACCGTGGACCACAACATCCCGACGATCAGCCGTAAGACGTACACGGACACCAAGTCGTTCGTGCAGGAGCCGGACTCGCGTCTGCAGTGTGTGACGCTGGAGCAGAACGTGAAGGAGTTTGGTCTTACGTTCTTTGGCCTGACGGATGCGCGTCAGGGAATCGTGCACGTTATCGGCCCTGAACAGGGTTTCACCGTGCCCGGTGCGACGCTGGTATGTGGTGACTCGCACACAAGTACGCATGGTGCGTTTGGTGTGCTGGCGTTCGGTATCGGTACGTCGGAAGTCGAGCATGTGCTTGCCACACAGACGCTGCTGCAGAAGCGTATGAAGAACATTCTTATTGACGTCAATGGCGAGCTGCCGGAAGGTGTGACCAGCAAGGACATCATCCTGCATGTCATTGGTCTCATTGGCACAGCGGGTGGCACTGGCGGTGTGCTTGAATTCGCCGGCTCGACGATCCGTGGCCTCTCGATGGAGGCGCGTATGAGTATGTGCAACATGGCCATTGAGGCAGGTGCGCGTGCCGGTCTCATTGCGCCTGACCAGAAGACCCTGGACTACTTGAAGGGCCGTCCTCTCGTGCCGCAGGGCGAGGATTGGGATCGCGCTGCGAAGTACTGGCTCTCGCTCGCCAGCGACGAGGGCGCGCAGTACGACAAGGTCGTGCGCATCGATGCGAAGGACATTCCCCCCACTGTGACGTGGGGTACCAGCCCGCAGGACACAGTGCCGATCACCGGTACCGTCCCGGACCCCAAGAACGCCCCGAGCGAGGAGCTGGCGAACGAGTGGGAGCATGCACTGAAGTACATGGGCCTGGAGCCCAATGTGCCGGTAGAGCAAATCAAAATCGACAAGGTATTCATTGGCTCGTGCACCAACTCGCGTATTGAGGACCTGCGTGCGGCGGCGCGTGTGCTGCATGGCCGCAAGGTCGCGCCGCATGTCCAGGCGATGCTGGTGCCTGGCTCGGGTCTGGTGAAAAAGCAGGCGGAGGCGGAAGGTCTCGATACTGTATTCAAGGCGGCCGGCTTTGACTGGCGTGAGGCGGGCTGCTCGATGTGCCTTGGTATGAACCCGGATCAGCTGTCGCCAGGCGAGCGCTGCGCCTCGACGTCAAACCGCAACTTTGAGGGTCGTCAGGGTGCTGGTGGTCGTACGCACCTCATGAGCCCGGCGATGGCCGCAGCCGCAGCGGTGACGGGCTACCTGACCGACGTGCGCAAGCTGAATGCTGGCTCGCTTCCAGGCTTTGCCGCTTCGGAGGCTGGCTTTGAGATTGCTAAGCAGGATGCGCTGCAGTTTGTCGAGCAGGGTGCGGTGCGTGCGCCTGCCGAGTCCGCGCCGCCTGTGCACACATCGCACGCGGAGACCTCCAAGGCCTCGGCGCAGGCGAAGCCTGCGGCGGGCGCGCAGGGTATGGAGCCGTTCCGGGTGCTGAAGGGCATTGCTGCGCCGATGGAGCGCTCGAATGTGAACACGGATGTGATCATCCCGAAGCAGTTTCTCAAGACGATCAAGCGTACGGGTCTGGGCTCGGCGTTGTTCTGGCCGCTGCGGTACGATGTGCAAACAGGTGAGCCGATTGCGGACTTTGTGCTCAACCAGAAGCCGTACGACCATGCGAAGATTCTTGTCGTGGCTGGCAGCAACTTTGGCTGTGGCTCGTCGCGTGAGCATGCGCCATGGTCGCTGCTCGACTTTGGCATTCGCGCCGTCATTGCGGAGAGCTTTGCGGATATCTTCCGCAACAATATGACGAAGAACGGCCAGCTGCCTGTGATCCTCAAGCCGGAGGAAATCCAGCGTGTGCTCCAGGACGCGCAGGCCGGCAAGGAAGTCACGGTGGATCTCGAGCAGCAAAAGGTCATTTGCGAGGACGGCACAGCGTTCAGCTTCGACGTCGCGCCGTTCACGCGTCACTGCCTGCTCAACGGCTTGGACGATATTGCGCTCACGCTGCAGAAAGAGGCGGAGATTCGCGCCTTCGAAAAGGGCCGCGTCGATACCCCGTGGCTCAACGGTGTGGTCTACGGCAAGGGCATTTCCGCGGCGGAGGCTCGCATGGCCAAGCCGACCACGGACTGGTAGAGAAATGGACTGCACTCCTACATGGTACATAGGCTATTTTCCATGCTATATCAATCAAAGTACGTTTGCAAGGTGCTCGCAAGCTGCTTGGCATAGTACACGCCTACCTCGGTCGCCTGATGAATCGTATCGAGATTCAGCTCGCCCTCGCCACGCTGTCGAAGTCCATAGACACGCCCACTGGCCGAGGCCAATACAGCGATACTCGATGACAGCGCCGACTCTTCTTCCAACGTAGGATCAAGTAAAAAGGTATCACGGACAGGGTACACAGACACACACACAGGCATGTCGTCACGGCCATGCAGGGGCACGCCATCGTCCCATTCACTCGCCAGCGCAAAGTCCACAGCATGCGACTCGGCATGGCCAGGCGCATTCGCATGCCCACGCGTAATGTACTTGATGCCCGCAGGATCGTCTTCGCCCACATTGGTATCCTCCTGCGTAGTATCTGTCGCAAGAATCTGGGTCGAAGGCAAACGTGTATCCCACAGGGCTGAGTAGACAGCCGCAAAGACGGCATCCAGGACATTGCCGCCACTCCAGGACATGACATAAACATCAAGATGCAACTTCCAGTACTTGGACGACGGCACAACAATAAACTGCCGCGCTGTAAAAGGTCCAAGCATGGTCCCAGCCTCAGCAAAGCATGCCTGAATCATATCTTGGATCAAACTGGTCATCATGCCCAACTCAGTGGCATTGTGCTCATGGAGCAAGGCAGGTGAATATTCTACCAATGCCTGAACGCGGGGCATCGACGGCATCCATGGACGGAACGCTTTCTCGGTTGACGAGGAGCCTACCTGCATAGGCACCACAGGTGCGTCCATCGTCTCAATTTCGGCCTTGACACCACACAGCACTTCAGTACTGCCGAGCAATACACGTGCAGATCCATCGGCCTGCTGCGACGCAGGCGCCTCAACTTCGATGGCTCGAAACTCGGATAAAGTACGTCCATCCGGACGGTGCGCTGGTGAGGCTTGTAGGCCATCCAGCAAGAAACTGCGCTCTGCGCGTGAGAGCGCTGCAGGCGCCATGGTCGTCGACAGACAGGCCTCGAAGCAGCGCTTCCTATCACGTGATAGAGAGCGTTTCGCGTCGACCCACGCGTGGAGGCATGCATTCGTCCTACACCAACACCCCTGTGCCCCGAGCGATGGCAGCAGCGCCGCTCCGTGAGCAGCCCGTGGCACAAGATGCGCGGCGTGTGCGTGGGACACTGCATCTACTCGCACATGATGGATCAGAAAAGGGCAGGTTCGTCATGTCAAAGATCACAACATCCCTAGGTCGGTGCGTAGAGAAAATAACACTCACATCCCAGCGCCCTTTCCAACGACGTACGTCTCTTGCTCGAAGATGTTAGTCGACTGCACTGCAGTATTGTATTCGACAAAGAAAATCATGCAACTCTTCATATTTACGGCGCAAATGGTGTATGGCATAATCATTCGCTTCTCAAACCACAGGATCGGAACACGTGTGTGTCGCTGGCTGACGGTGACCAGTTAAAAATTTCAAAGCATCTCCTTCGCTTTGCGTATGGGACACCCTATGAAGAAAAAGAAGAAGGTATGGTATCGCAAGCAGAGGATATTCAAGATACGACGTGTGTGCCTGGAGAAGACAACGTACCAAGCCCGTCATCCTCCTATCTTGAGAATGATGTGACTCCCACACCTACGCAAGACGAAGCAGAACAGGATCCAGAACTACCTGCCTGTACGGCTCCCCTGGGAGAACAACTCGGTAATCTGTCAGTCTCGCAGACAAGCGCTACCACGGACTCCCACGAAGGCCATGGTACGGCGCAGACAAATTTGATACCGGAAAAGACCTACAATGAGCCTGCACCGTCAGCTACGTCCACACCGAGGCGAGCACGACGTGCCTCTCATCTAACAACGACCATTCCCCGTCGTCAGAGTGCGCGTCTGAAAGCTCGTGCTAGTTTGCCATCGATGCGTAGTGCATGGACGCCGGAGCATGCCAAGAGGCCTGTCTTGGTATCCCAACATGTGGACATACCTGAAAAGGATACGACATCGATATCTACTGTGGACGGTACGCAAAATTTATCTGCTTCCCTGCCTCAAGAAGAGAGTATGACAAGCTCCTCGATTGCGGTGCAAGAGTCAGACAAAGCTCGCGATCCTACGTTGGAAGATATGGATCAGAAGAGTATGTCCATGGAAATGGATGGGGGAAACACTTTAACCCCCAGCATCGATGGTAGTACAGAAACTTTGTGTTTGAATACAGCAGAAGAGAGCCTTGTCGACGCTGAGCTGCAAGCTGTTCCATCTCTTCCGTCCAGCCCCTTTTCACCGAGGAACTCGTCTGTGCTGTCACCACGCGTCCCCCATTCACGCCCCTTATCGGGGATGATGATGAGCACGCCATTGGTTTGGTCACCATCAAAGTCGCGAAAAGTAAGCCTTCGTACAGCGACCTTGCTCAAACGAAGTGCGCAATACCCTATTCTACCCATGGATGTACCCAGAGACCGACAGTCATCAGCATCAATGCTAGACAGTTCCCCCCATACACAAGCATCTATGGGTTCAAAAGATATGGACTTGAATAGCTCGTCGTACCTAGCGTATGACGAATCAGATGCCCCATCCAGCGATGACGAAGAAGAAGCGGAAGTGGAGAAAAGCCTCGAACTTAGCACAGAGGTTGGTACTACGCCGTCGCCTAAGCCAAAGCCTCTCGGCCCACACTTCCTGACACCCCAAGCGGACAAGCCAACAAAGGTCGAAACTCGTCGTCTCTCGGACATCCAAGCCACAAAGGAAAATGACAAGAGGACGCCAATGCCGTGTCATCGATCATCATGGCAATGGCTTAGAAATATGCTGTCGCCTAGCTCTTTATCCGCCGAATCGGAGGCAGAATCTAAGGCAGAGGACATGGAGGCGAGGGAATATCCTTCTATGATGGACACAAGTGATGTGGTGCCAGAGGGGGAAAATACAAGGGACGACGAAGAAACGGACAAGACACCGAAAGTTGCGGAGCCGGAAGAGGTGGCAGAAGAAGTGGCGGAAGAGCCCGTCTCCAACACCAGTATCGAAGCAGGCAGATCCACTCTGGCCGTCGAGTGTCTCCAAGAGAAAAAGCCAGAGCCACCCACTCCCGATATGCGTGTATTGAAGCACATGTTCTCCGAGCCACGACCAGTGGCTGGTGTCGATACAGCTCTTTCTGACTTCCGCCACTTGGTGTATGCACAGGAACGTACGATGGCTCCACTACCAGATCTAAGTTTAGCACAGGCATGGACGACCTTGGAAGTGGACAAACCCCCTTCGACTCTGGTGTCAGCAGAGACAGAGACAGTGCAAAGTGACCAAGCGCCGCCTGTGATAGAGGATGCCGATGCGCCTAATGATACCAGAATATCTGCTGCACCGACCCTTGCACCTGCGCCAACGCAGCCAAATGTAGAGCGCCGTCGATCCAGCAGGTTGTCGGAGCCAAGGCGACGTTCTATAATTTCGCTGACTTCTGCTCCGTTGGATTCAACATCCTCACAGTCGGCCCATCTGCAAGATCTAAATCCGGTGAGGGCACCATTGACTAACTTGAAATCAGTGACCAATGTGGCTGCATCTGCCTCTAATGTCGACTCGGACATGGCTTTGCGCCGAAGTACACGCATTGTGACGAAGAAAGAACCATATGTGCCCGTTCGAAGACAAATTGTACCACGCAATAATATGAAACTCCCACGCATTGGCACATTGCCTTCGAACATGACGCGAGGGACGTCTACCGATGCAGCATCTGCAGACTTATCCGCTAAAACAACGCCGACTACAGGAGTAGCTGGACGGTTGCCCACTGCCTCTTCGAGACTGCCTACCTCGACAAGCGCTGCGCCTCGCGCACGAACATTAAACGTATCCTCTATTCCTTTATCGAAAACCACAACTACGAGCTCGTCACAAACTAGAACTGCCCAGTCTCTGAAGAAAGAGCCAAGCAGGACGATGCGGGCCCAAACTGACCGTTCAATGCCATTACCTCCAGGCGGACAGCCCAAGTAGGTACAATAGAAACAATTACTATGTGACGCCGTCGAGCCGCATATGTCGCTTATGTGAGAAAATGAATGATGGCTATAGAGGGGCATCGATTACGCAATCAATCAAGATTATGATGTCTGTTCTATTAAAAAAAACTTGATTGGCTCACGTGTCAGTTTATGTATTTTTCCGATGCTAAAACATATTGAAACGATTGGGCCTCATGAATGCATAATTACATGGTACGTTCTAGACTACAATGCTTAAGTTCCTAGTTGATTGGGCTAGTGAAAGTAAAGTCTTATTTCACTCGTAGGCAACAAGAGAGAGATTTGCAATATAGCTCAACGACAACCTATCGCCATAGGCTCTCACAAATGACAGATTGTCACCATACCCCTTTTCACTGATAGAGATAGATCTATTATTGGCTTCGATCTAATTCAGAATTAATGGGCTGGAACAAATTATTGTAGTTTCCGAATAAACGCGGTGAAAAGTGGGGGAATTGAGCATTTGATTGACGCACGGCGGGTCTAATTGAAAGCTGCACAGACTGTAAGGTGCAGATGTCCGATATACCCACTGGTGTCAACTAAAGCGGGACTAATACAATTTCTGATTTTTTTTCCGCTGTCAGGTTGTCCCCCAGCTCCATTCTCTCCCTCTTGGTATTGCAGACGGCCGTCCTGCTGTAGACCAGAGGGAAGAGGTACAATTATACAAAGTGATAACATGGACGATTCTAAACTGAATCCGTCCATTGACAGGTCTGCTCTAAAACAAACGTCCAGTGATGATATCAAAGATCTGAACATTCATGACCATCCCACTTCGCATAAAAGGCCTTATCAGGACGGTTCCCTTCCTTCTGCCGTACCTGCTGCCTGTAGGCTCCCGCCAATAGACGCCTACAGAGCGACGCCGGCCCCATCCCAATTACGGTACTCTTCTACATCCCCCACGGCTCGGGTGCCCTTGTACAAGTCCCATTCATTGCCGGTGCTTGCAACACTCAAGCCGCCGCATGCAACGCGCAGCAATGAAAGTGAGCGGGAAAGTGTTTATGGATCACCACCTGGTACCAAATCAAGCCGTCCTATTTGGCGTGGTCTTCTTGATAACCCAGGTTCATTTGGCCGAGAACATGAATCTCGGTTTGGCTCAGAGTCGCGTCGCACGTCGGGTTCCATGTACTTTGAGTCACCTACTAATCGTGCCTACATGCACCCTCACCATAATTGGAAATGGGATGGACACCCGGACTCTTGGCCTGTATCTCAGCGCGACAGTCAGTCAGGTACAATCGAAGAACATCAAGCCCCTCACCAAAGACTTCCTCGCTCTTTCATGACTCGCTCTTCATCCAATTCTATGAGAGACAGACCCATGACATCCGACAATCACTCTCCCCCCGACCAATTGTACACCAGTCCAAGCATGCCAGAACTACCTCGACTTAGTGAGGAAACAATGACGCGGTATTCGCGGCCTTCTCTTCCTGAACATCGTTCTTGGTATGCTAGCTCTTCATACAGCGGGCATCGCATGGCGCCGTACAACCGTGCGCGTACTTCCTTTCATCCAGATCGTCGCTGGCCCAGTACAAGCGATATGTATGATCGATATGGTCATGGTGGAATGTCTAACTATTCTCCGCACACTCGTGGTCATTACCCACCCCAATATTCCTCAATGGCTGGTCGTCGAACACCGTCGCCTCAAGGAATGCGCGCTTACGATTACCCTCATACCAGCCAACACAGGTCTTATGCCAATGACCCCACTGCTTATCGTTCTGAGACGGAATCTATGTATTACAATAATGCACCTCTGAAGAATGAAGGAGAGTTGCACGATCATGCAGGAGCTTCGGCATCGAGCCAGATGTCAGTACAAGGAAAACAGAGTAAAGGTAAAGACCACGCGAATGTTTCCAGTTCATCAGAGCAGCAAAAGTCTGCCCAAACCATTCCTAAGCGAGGCGGAAAACTTCCAAAGCATATTACAGATATGCTTAAATCGTGGCTTTTGGAACACGCAGACCATCCTTATCCAACTGAAGAGGAAAAGCGGGCATTTTGTGACTACACGGGACTTGACATTTGCCAGATCTCCAATTGGTTTGTCAATGCCCGAAGACGTATTCTTGTGCCGCAAAATAGCCGATCTACTACGACCTCTGCTACAACAACATCTGCAACTGAATGACATCATACGGGACACAAATGAAATCCACCTTTATGGAGACAATGTAATTGTGTTTGGTCATAGTTTCTACGATTTTTTTTCTTAAATAGCATCGAACTAATTCTCAATCTCATCCTTTCGTTCGTATCTCACGTAGATTCTGTGTAGGAATTGGGAATGGAGATGATCACTCGGTTTTGCTCATGTGCCGATGTAGAGATGATGGCCAAAATGAGCGAAAACCGACTAAATACTTATCTCCACAGATGTGCTGCATTGACATCAAATATCGACTTTATTGTATGGGGGACAATCCACCCTTTTCTTTGCCTGGTTATAGCTGGGATCCAGCGTATGTTCACGTTTTATCGCAAGGTTAACCTAAAAAAGAAGGAAGCGATTCTTCAAAACTAGTGAAAAAACCAAAACAGTCAATCCGACTAGTCTCAATGACAGTCTAACGAGCAAACCAACACCACGTCCGAGAAGTGTGCCTTCTTTGGATAGAACGCACACACCAAGACCTCTCCGCTCACCGGGAGTTCAAACTGGTCATATTCCTTTGTCATATGTACATCAATACCAAAGGTACGTATCTCACTATTGGCTTATGATTCAGAGGTGTGATTCTTAATATGGTAAAACATTTTGGTGTATGCCAAACAATTGATGTGAATGGCATAGGGTCTACGTACCAGCATATTACAAAGATCCTTGTATGTTTTCGAGAAACTCACAATCTAGGCTGCACCAATTTCTCCTGCTCACAACTCTCTCTGTGTACTCTTTGAAGATGGCAAACTTTTATGGTATGTAATGCCTTACTTATTTTAGTATGAAAGCAGATCACATTTTAGATGAGTTCTCACAACTTCATACCAGCTATTATTTTAACCGCGCATCTACGTCATTTTCTGACTCTACACAGAACCTATTTCTCACGTCAACTGCACCTATTACACTGTATCAGCTCACAAAATCTTCCGGGTTGCTTGTCCAAGCTTTTGTTGAGGATCGGTTAAATGTCCATGTGACATCTACTGCTACAAGCTCACGAAATGTGCAAATATCATACAATGGGCCTAGTTGGACTGCCCATTCAGATCTACGGTGCATGGATGTGTGGGAACTTGAGTCTTCAGCCAACCTTGGTCTTGTGATTGCACTCGGTATCGGGAACCATGTATTTGTATTGTATGTTTCTCTTCGTGAGGAAACGCCACAATGGAGAATGCGAATGCAATGTACAAAAAGTGACGTGATGGCAGTCTCAATGTGTGCCAATAGCCCTACGATGATTCATCTTATGGCAGGAACACGATCTGGACTAGTCTTGCATACTTCCCTATCTGTATCCATGAACTGGTCTTCTAAAGATGCCATACCACCTGATCAAACATATTCATATACGAGACACAAAGCATCTGTTAGCCATGTGTATTTGATGGCAACATCTGAATTCATTGTGGCCTATACTGACGGAACTCTCCTGCTGAGTGATTTAAACAAATGTATGGATACACCTACACGGATTTTTAACGGGCATCGCAACCATTTTATGCAAGGCTTGGTAAGTAAAGAATGAGATTCTTATATATATTAGGGATTTGATGTTGACCCTCTCCGAAAACTCGTATGCTGCGCGGGCGACGACAAACAGATTCGTATATGGCATCTATCGGAGTCTGAGCCAATTTGTACTCTTCCTTACTCCCGAGGTGCTGGAAAATACACAAGCTCGTCAATCACTGAATTTCCAAACAATATAAAGGCCGTTTCTTGGGGCTATTCTACGCAAAACTCGACTCAGACTGCATTCCAATTATGTCTTTATGTAGGATGCAGACACCAAGTGTTGGTGTATGCGTGGTCGCCGCAAGACTTGCATTGATCTTACATTTGTATATGCACGGACCATATAGCAAAACTATACCCATCACATGACCACCATATGACACGTGACACATTTCCCATTTGTGGTTCCAGTACGACCGCAACTTCAAGGCCCTTTGTCACTACACAACCGCTGTCATTTATCATGTCGCCGGCCACTGGTACGTATAGTGCTATCGGTGTCATCGTCGCTATGGCAAAGCTGTTATAGAGACGTGTGATACGGAAAGCTTGGTATTGGAATGAACATGGATACTAACATTTTTCTCACCACAGACAAGAAGGTTTCGTCTACGCGGAAGGCGAATGTTGCCAAGAAGGTTGTCCAGAAGGGCAGCTCGGGTCAGCTGCGTGTGCGTAAGGTGCGCACCTCGGCTTCGTTCCACCGCCCGAAGACCCTCCGTCTTGCGCGCAACCCGAAATACCCTCGCAAGAGCGCTCCCCACTTGCCGCGCACTGACGCCCACAAGATTCTTCTTTTCCCTCTCAACACTGAGAGCGCCATGAAGAAGATTGAGGAGGTGAACACCCTGGTGTTCATTGTGGACCGCAAGGCCAACAAGTACCAGATTAAGCAGGCCCTGAAGAAGGTGTACGATGTGGACGCTGCTAAGATCAACACCCTCATCCGCCCGGACGGCAAGAAGAAGGCGTTTATTCGCCTCACTGCTGACCAGGATGCTCTTGACGTGTCCAACCGCATTGGTTTCATTTAAAGTCATGTCTTTTTTTTAGGCATGCAAACCAAAAGACGTCACTGTACAGTAGCACTATATCTGTTCGTGATGTACGTAGGCGATACAACCGTGGATGAAAATTCAACAAGGTGCGCTTCTTCGCTATCCTGAGTGTGTATGTATGTCCGTCATATCGTCCGTTCATAAAATGCGGCATGCATCTGGCAATTAGCCTGGCAGTCTGTTCATAGTCCGGCCAGCTGCTTCACGCTAGAGGGCATAGTTGGTGGGGCATGTCCCACTATAATGGTCCCATTCCCACCAACGGCCAAGTCATTGGGTATCTCTGCAAAGCCCACTTCAGGATGGAGAGCCTCCGTATACATAGGCACTGTGAGCATGTCTCCCTGCTCGATGGGGGCTTCTGCCTTGGGCGAGTCGTTCGGGTGCAGCAACGGAATGTGTTGCAATACTTGGGTACGCAACCAAACCAATGGCGATGGGTTCTTCTCTTCTGACTTGGATTCAAAAATACTCGGCAAAGCTGAGCGCGGCAAGACTTCCAATTGTACCATTTTCTTGTCCACCTGCCTTACTCGCCAAGGATTGATCTGTGGTCCTCCCGAGCCAATTCCTGTAGATGGTTTCGACTTGGCTTCATCATGCGCTGTAAATAAGGCTTGTGTAGCTTCAATAATGGGATGATAGATCCATCGCTCGCCCTGCGGCCCAGCAAACCATCCCAAATGGCCGCCGCACTTACTGCGCGCTAAAACAACGTTGGGATTGCCCTGGATGGCCTGGACAACATGTTGCAATGTGGATGATGATACAATTGGATCATCATCTGCATTTAGTGCCAATAGAGGACGGGCCACATTATGGATTACACGAAGCGGCGAGCTGTGTTGATAGTACGCTTCTGCTGATTCGAACGGAAAATCACCATAAGGGCTGGGCAAACCACCCCCAAGCCTCGTTATAACATGGTCAACAAATCGCAGAGTACCTTTGCGTGGCTTTTGAAATGATGGCATGGCAATTGGTTTCGTTGGATCAGGATCAACCTTTGTGCCAAACATCATTTCCAAGGGCGACCAAAAAGCAGGAGACAATGCCAAAGTATCAGCATGGTTTCGCACCATGCTACCGAGGTTTGTCCCCATGGCATAAGCATAGACCATGGATACCCACGTAGATTCCAAGCAGTCACTTGTCTGTTGCAACTCAAACGGAGCACCCACAGCAATCGCACCAATGAATGGAGTAGACTTCCCAACTTCGCCCATGAATTTTGTCATGATAGCACCACCTAGGGAGAAACCCATTGCTAACATGGGCGATTGAGGGAACATACGCGTCAGTAATAGCATCGCACATTCTAAATCCGTTGTCTTGCAGGCGGAATATAGTTGCGGCGATGTCACCGGTGTGTGAGCACACCCGCGGAAGTTTACAACCACACAGCGCATACCTGCTCCCCCCTCTTCCTTTGGTTTCACCATCTTTGCCACAGTATTCCGAACATAACTCTCGTAGGATCCACCAGTGAGACCGTGCAAGATGACGACTGTCGGCACAGCCTCCTCTTCTGTTGGTTCCGCCAATGCAAGCGGTGCAATGTCTAGGGAGATCAAACCACCATCTGGTGTCATGATCACCTTACGTTTATATTCCACCTTATCCACATTGGTGAAGTCTGCTACGGCTGACCAGACGGTTTGCATATGTCCAGAAGGGAGCCAACGTGTCGGCCACGCTTGGTTTGTCCCAGCGAGGCTGGGGCATTTCTGCCGAAGTAAGGTTGCCAAAGCATTTACTGTTCCTTCACTATATTCCAGCACAAAGTCGAATGGTCGTGGCAAAAGAGCATTGCGAGCCACACCGAACATGGACCTCATGTTGTGCCAAGACCGTGAAGTAAACGCAAGGACCGTGCGTTCCAAAAAAGTTATCAACGTAGGGTCTATGTCCAGTCACGAGACTTGCCGGGTGGATGGGCCTATAGTCTGAGTCATGGGTAATTTTGAAAATAAAAAATAGAACGCCACCGTGAGGTGGATAAACGGACTCGCCGGTAAAGAGCGATAGGCCACCTTTTCGCTACGATGGCTTCGGTATCATTGGAGACCAAGCCAACCTCAAAGCCGGGCGTCATAGAGGAGGTGCCTTCTCAGGCACTCTCTCATGCCGCTACGTCTGAAATGAATCAAGAACTGTATATGGAAGGGCGTGATCGCCTTGTAACCTCTATTGATGCTACCAACGAAATCCTTAGTGGCCTGCGCCAGTTTAACAAGGACCAGTGGGTGCTTCGCTACCCTACCAAGGCGAGCAGCGAGTCGATGCCTCTGTCCGTCCTACGTCTGGACTTGAAACTTGGTGCAGCTCAGAATGCTAGCACTCTCGTTGATTCCATGGAGAAGTCGACCGTGGGCCAGCTTCTGGAGGAGCGTATGTCTCGCTCTTTACAGCACCTTAAGAACCTTCGAGTTCGTATCACAGACACTCAGTCTAAGGTACTTGTCACTGGTGATTTAAACGCTGGTAAGTCTACCTTTATCAATGCTTTGATGCGTCGCGAGCTGGTGCCGACCGACCAGCAGCCATGCACTTCTGTTTTCTGCGAGATTCATGATGCTGTGCGTGACAATGAGGACCGTGAGGAAGTGCATCTCATTCGTGACATGGCTTCGTACGATGCGAAGGATCCCTCGACCTTTGAAGTCCGTGGCCTTGACGAACTGGAGGCTGTTTTCGCCGAGGAAGAAGAGCGGGAACACACTGAGCTTCCAGTGCTCAAGGTGTTCTGCCGCGACGTTCAGGCGGCCAAGGAAAGCTTGCTACACAACGGTGCTGTCGATATTGCACTGATTGACGCTCCTGGTCTGAACCAGGACAGCGTGAAGACCACGGCTCTGTTTGCTCGTGAAGAGGAGATTGATGTGGTTGTATTCGTTGTGAGTGCTGAGAACCATTTCACTTTAAGTGCTTGTGAGTTCCTTCAGAATGCGAGCAACGAGAAGGCGTACGTCTTTGTGGTCGTCAACAAGTACGACCAGATTCGCAACAAAGACAAGTGCCGTCGCCGTGTGCTTGAACAGATTCGCGAGCTGAGTCCGCGTACATACGAAGAGGCGGAAGAGCTCGTGCACTTTGTTGACTCGCGCTCGGTATGCGACATGGCCGAGGAGGCCAAGGAATTGAGCGACCAGGTGAAGCGCTTTGAGAACTTGGAACAGAACCTGCACGACTTTGTGCTTCGCCGGCGTGCCAAGTCGAAGCTGCTACCAGCCAAGACATACATGGACCGGCTTCTGTCGGACGTCATGTTCTTGGTCCAACTGAATGAACAAGCTGCTAGGTCCGATCTTGCTGCGGCACGCCGGGACCTAAGCAAGAGCCGCCCTGCCCTTGAGAAGTGTGAAACAAGCGCTGTGAAGGCTCAGCGTCTGGTCGAGGGTGAAGAGGACAAAGTGGTTTCTGCTGTGGCTCAGTCCACGGAAGAGGCTGTAGCTCTTGCGCTGGAGACAATTGGTCGCGGCGAGTCGGCCCATGCCTCGGTGACGTTGCCTGCGTACCCTGGCCTGTTCAGCCTGTGGCAATATGCCCAAGATGTGCGTCATGCTCTATTGGAGAGTGTCCAGGCCGCTGTGACTGAGTGTGAAACTCTGGCTCGCAACGCAACGACCGAGGCTGTTACTAAGATCAGCCAGACGGGTGAATCCTTCCTGCCGAAGGATGTTGATGTCCCGAAGCGTGTGTTCGTGCCTGAGGCCATGTTTGCGAAGAAGCCTGAGAACACTATGTTTACGGGCCTGGGTGTAAGCACGGACGCTGTGGCAGTTCGTTTGACCGACTTGTTTGATGTGCCGCACCACTTTACTGTGCTTATTGGTGCGAACGAATCGAAGAAGACACCAGAGAATGATGCGGATTCCCAGGCCCTTGTGCCTAGCATGACGATTGGCCTGGGTGCTCTTAGCCTGGTGGGTACGCAGGCGTTCAACCTCAAGACCATTGCTGAGGCTATTGTGCGTGTAACCGACCTACTTGGCAGCCGGGTGGTTCGTCGCTGGGCGGCGCCGGTTCTGTTCATGGTAGGTGTGGGTGCTGTGGCCTGGGTGGTAACAGACTTACCGAACGCTGTGCCACGGAACGTGGGCCGTAGCCTGAAGCACGAGCTGATGAACGGCCACAGTGTCGTGCACTTGCCGAGCAACAGTGCTGCTCTGCTGCGCCACTCTTCCAACGTATTTGCCACTATGCATGGTATGCGGACGACGCGTGAAGTACGTAAAGTTCTCCGTCTCGCTAGCTGGGACATCCAGGAGAAGTTCCGCGTTGCCATTGCTCAACGTCGTGCCGATGTCCAGAAGGCGGAGGCACAAGAAAAGCTTGCCTCGGCTGCGCTGGCATGGCTCACAGAGACGGCTGCGCGCAGTGCTTCTGTGCAAACCCAAGTCGCCAGCGCTTTGTAATGACATGATCCAGCCTTGATCCATTCTCTGTTCCTTGTACCACACATCTCCATCTCTACTAGTACTAGATTGATATAGACGCATATACTATACTACTCTTCTCTGATTCGAGCCACGTGATTTCGATGCGACAGCGATCTGGGGCGGAGGTACGTCGCTGTGGATGTGCGGGTGGTCTGTTCGTCTGCGACTATGTCTGACGGTGTCTCCGACTCGAAAGCCGACACATCCCCCTCGCGTGCCAAGTCGTTGCTCTCGCGCTATGGCGGTGAGAATGGTCCGACTGGCCATGCATCGATGGGTGATTCTGAGTCGCCCGTGTCTCTTAGTTCATTTATCGGCGGCAAGGCACAGACCCCACGGCTTGGCAAGTTGGCTGGTGATGGCCGCACATCGATGAGTCCAGACAGTGAGAAAGAGTTCCAGGGCTTGCCGGGTATGGCCAAGCCAGGTTCTATGGCCAGCTTTATGGAGCAGCGCCAGCGTGAAATGTTCCCGGAACACGCCAAGGAGGCTGTCAGCCCACCTTCCGAACTTGGACCCGAACCTGCTGCAAAGCAAGAGAAGAAGGAGACACCTTCCGTGACATCGCTTCCAAAGCGCAGCACATCAGGCAAAGAAATGGTCGTGCTCATTTCAGGCTCTGGCAGTAACCTCCAAGCTTTAATTGATGCTACATGCGGCGACAAGCCTGTTATACCAGACGCTCAAATCGTGCGTGTCATCTCGAACCGTATGAAGGTATTTGGTCTTGAACGTGCCAGGAATGTAGAGCCGCCGATTCCTACTCAAGTCCACAGCCTGAAAACTTACCAAAACCGCAACCCTGGCAAGACGCGCGATGACTATGATCTCGTGCTCGCCGAGCGCGTTTTGGGTGAAGGTCGTCTCCCTGACCTGATTGTCCTGGCTGGGTTTATGCACATTGTATCAGAAACCTTTTTGAGCGCCTTGGGTCATGAGACCTCGTTGGCATCGCCGCCAGCGTTCAGCAAACGTCCACCGCACCCGATCCCCATCATCAATTTGCACCCTGCGCTGCCTGGTGCGTTCGATGGTGCGGGAGCAATTGAGCGTGCCTATGAAGCGTTCCAAGAAGGAAAGATCGAGCATACAGGTGTTATGGTGCACAAGGTTGTGGCTGAGGTCGACCGCGGTGCGCCTATTATTGTGCGCAAGGTGCCTATTTATAAGGAGGATTCTCTGGACGACCTTGAAACCAGGATGCACAGCGTTGAGCATGAAATTATCGTTGAAGCCGCTGCCAAGGTTCTTGCAGGTGCAGAAGAGATGGCTGTCGAGCCAGTTCCACCTGTGCACTCCCAAGAGCCCACTGTTTTCTTACGTTGGGGCAAGGATAAGTCATGGACGCCTGTGCCTCAACCCCTTGTTGTATACGACTCAGACGTGATCTGGGTCCAAGGAGCCACACCATTCCTATGGCTTGGCCATGCTGTCACAGACGGCTGGGATGCTGTGCTGCCCAAGGGGGACTGCGCAAAGATCCAAGCGTCTGCGACAATTATTCATCAAGGCCGTGAACCTACCACCTTTTTGCAAGTGGTTGGCGGTGTGCTAGTAACGCGACAGGGTGAGCCTGATGCGTCTGAGCCAACAGAGCAGCTGTTCACTGTGCGTCATGGCGAGCATGGCATCTATATCGACGAGGTAGCGTTTGCCGCTGCGTCAGTCAGTGCCGCCTTTAGTGCTGTGGCTTGTACGTCTCGGGGTCTCTTTGTGTGGCACGGCTTAGGCAGTGGATCTGAGCAGCGTGAACATGCAACGAAATGGGCACGCTTGCTAGGTTCTTCCAGCAAGGAACTTGATTCGTCGTCGTTCTTTGCCTTATTTAAAGATGACGTCTACGCTGACGGTTGGCACCATCGTCACCGCACTTCGCTTCCACCATCGCAGCGCGAAGCTGTGATGTATTCTCCTGCTTCATCATCCGCTCCTGTACCGTTCTCACTAGGCGCTATTCAGTCGAATGCTATCACTCTGGTGGACGGCCGTCTCGAGATCTATGTGATTGTCGGTGCGCAGGCTCGTGGCGATCGCAAGGGCATTGACGCCGCCTTGGCACGTGCTGAAAAGTTGGCCCAGCGTAGTGATCCGACACAAATGCAGCCTGCTATCCATGTCCTTGTGCTTCCTAGCGTGGCTCCCCTGGACTTGGTAACTTTGGCGCGCGATCCCTGGTACGCCAACGTGTTCACAGCGGAGGCGGACAAATCCACTGCCATCTTTATGAATGTGCACTCATTGGCCGAAGCGAAGGCTCAGCTGGCTGGTGCACGGCCTGCGCCTCCCTCCACGCTTCCGACCAATCGCAATTTCTTGCCCGTGGGGGTGCAACCCGGTGCATAATATTGTATAGGATTTTAGCCGTCAAACAATCTGACCTTCCATTGACTAGTGCTTGGCAGGCGACTCGCCCTATTCACATTTTCTCGGTCCCATGAGTGGCTCCGATAAGGAAGATGTCCAGCAAGACTGGCAGGTAGATGATGGGTATGGCAGTTTTGGATACAGCCGCCCTGCTCTACCTGCACCGCTGGCTTTGCATAACAATGAACCGGAGCTTCCTCGTGACGCGTCATCATGGTCGACGATGCTGCCACCATCAGCAACCGACGTCACTTTGTACAATGGATACAGGCAGGAGGGAGTCATACATCCCAACTACCCACCATACTCTCCTTCGCCTCTGCAACCCGAAGGCTTGGCGTACTCTCCCATGCAGCCAAGCCACGCTATGCAGTCTATTACCAATGGCCCCCATCCCCTCATGCCGTCATACCCAACGCAAGACTCTATTGCAGCACTCACAAAGGCTGAACTAGGTGATCCTATTCAAATGACACCGCGTGTGTACGACCCAATGGCCAGTCCTATTGAGCCTCAGGGTCCAGCCTTTGCATCCACATTATGGTATGATGATGAAAATTCCAATTTGATGCACACACCACACATGGGCATGTCGACACCGCGATTTGGTACGAACTATGCTTTTCAGTCGCCTATGTACAGCACTGAGGCACCTTCTACACCACAGCAACACAAACCTTACTCTCAGACGACGCCGTATTCTCCATGGCGACATAGCACAGGTCCCTCGAAGACGCGCCTGAAAGATGACAGCTCTGCGAATCTCACAAGTGAGAAAATTGACACGGAAAATGTCATGCAGCCTACCACGAAAAAGTCAAAATTGGGCAAGAAGAGTCAAGTGGGTAAAGCCGGAAAGCCAGCAACGCCTCCTGGACCCAAACCCGTGAAACTGGGCGAATTGTTCCGTTATGCTACACCATTAGAACGTCTTCTCAACTTGACAGGCCTGATCTGTGGTGCAGCATCTGGGGCCGCCCAACCTCTCATGACCATTCTCTTCGGTAATCTCACGACCAAGTTTTTGGCCTTGAATGACCCTACATTGACACAGGACGAGTGGGTTCGTCAGGCTCTGGACACTGTGTCTTCTGTAAACCACGACGCTCTGTACCTTGTCATTATTGGTATTTGTTCGTTTGTGGTCATCTATGTGTACATGGCGATTTTTGTATATACGGGTGAAGTTATCACACAACGCATTCGTAAGGAATATCTACGAGCCATTTTGCGCCAGGAAGTGGCGTATTTTGACAAACTGGGTGCAGGTGAGATTACCACGCGTATCCAGAGCGATATTCAGTTGATTCAGGATGGTATTAGCGACAAGCTGCCTTTGATGGTGGCGTTTATTTCCACGTTTATTACCGGTTTCGTCGTGGCCTATGTACGCAACTGGAAACTGGCTCTCGTCATGACGTCGATCTTGCCTTGTATTGTGGGTGCTGCTATTGTTATGAATATGTTTGTGTCCAAATACCAGCAAGTGGAATTGGAGCATGTGGCGAAAGCAGCATCCATTGCCGAAGAGTCTCTCTCGACGATTCGCACAATCAAAGCGTTTGCTATGAATGCACATATCAGCAAGCTTTATCAAGCGCGGAATGGCATTGCGCTGAACGCAAGCAAGCGTCGTGCCATGGCATCTGGTATTGGAATTGGCGCCTTTTTCTTCTGTATCTACTGTGCCTATGCCCTAGCCTTCTATTTCGGCTCCAAGCTGGTGGCTGACGGTGAAGTCCAAAGTGGTATCGTAATGAATGTCATTTTCTCGGTGCTCATTGGTGCGTTTAGTATGGCGATGCTGGCACCCAACCTCCAGTCTTTGAGCTTTGCGCAGGCGGCTGGCGGTAAAGTGTTCGAAACCATCGACCGGAAACCCGCCATTGACTCATCGAGCCCGGACGGTCTCCGCCCTGAAAAATGCTATGGTCATCTATCTGTGCGACATGTGGATTTCAAGTACCCTTCTCGTCCTGATGTTCAAATCTTAAAGGATTTTAACCTGGAGATGCACCCTGGCCAAACGACGGCTCTTGTGGGCCCCTCGGGTTCTGGTAAGAGTACCATTATTTCGCTGGTTGAACGTTTCTACGACCCTAACGAGGGCCAAGTCTTTTTGGATGGCATTCCCTTGCCAGAGTTGAATATCCAGTGGCTGCGTACGCAAATTGGCCTCGTAGCACAAGAGCCAGTGTTGTTCGCCACGACCGTGTGGGAGAACATTGCGTTTGGTCTGCTACACACGCAGTACGAACACTGGTCGGAGAGTGAGAAGGACAAACTGATTGTTCATGCCGCAAAGCTTGCGAATGCCCACGACTTTATCATGCAGCTTCCCCAAGGGTACCAGACGCACGTGGGTGAACGTGCTTCTCTACTTAGCGGTGGTCAAAAGCAGCGTGTATCTATCGCGCGTGCTGTGGTGAAGAATCCTAGTATCTTGCTACTGGATGAAGCTACCAGTGCATTGGATACCCAGAGCGAAGGAATTGTGCAGGAAGCCTTGGATCGTGCCGCTCATGGCCGTACCACGATCACGGTAGCTCATCGTCTGAGTACCATCAAGAATGCCGATAATATCGTGGTCATGAAGGGTGGTATTATTATGGAGCAGGGAAAACACAATGATCTTCTTGATTTGCCTGAGGGTTTGTATGCCAGTTTAGTATCGGCCCAGCGTGTGCACAACAGCAATACACAGACCATGATCAGTGCGCCTGTCTCTGGTGTAGGTGCCATGGGCGTGGAGCCGAATATTGTCGAACCTGTGATGCCGAGCCTAAAGCATGTCAAGTCTCATGTCAGCATGACATCGGTGGACAGCACGTTGACACATGTTATGAAGTTCCAGGGCATGAAGATGGGCGCGTACGATGAAAAGCCATTGAAGCAGAAAACGAAGAGTCTTGGCTTCTTACTCATGCGACTAAGCCGAATTGGCCACGATCTCATTGGCCCCTACTTTCTGCCAGGTGTGCTGTGTGCGATCGCCACAGGCGCTGCTTATCCGTGCTTCTCTATCCTTTTTGGCTTGGCCCTGACGAATTACAGTCGGTGCCCGAATCTGCCTGGCGGCCAGGCATGTCCTGAGCCGGAGCGCTCGCAAATGCGGCATACGGCCAACCACCATGCTCTGTATTTCTTCATCATTGCAATTTTGTCGACCATCACCACTGTGTTTCAAAACTCTTTGATTCAGCAAGGCTCAGCTATCCTTATGCAGCGTTTGCGCAGCATGATGCTTAGTGCGTATATGCGTGCCGATGTGGCCTACTTTGACGAGGAAGACCACAGCAGCGGTACGCTGACGTCGTCCCTGGCGGAAAATACACTCAAGATTAACAGCTTTATTGGCGTATCCATGGGCGCGATTGTGCAATCGATTGCGACGCTGATTATTGGTGCGATTATCGCCCTCATTTATGGCTGGAAGCTAGCGTTGGTTGTGATTGCATGCGTTCCCTTTACGCTCTCAGCCGGCTTCGTACGCCTGAAACTCGTGGTACAAAAAGATGTCAAGGTTCGCAAGGTGCACTTGGGCACCTCGCAAATGGCCTGTGAATCGGCCGCTGCTATTCGGACTGTGGCATCGCTGACGCGCGAAGAGGATTGTCTTGAGCGCTACACGGATGCCTTGCAAAAGGCATCTATGGTCGCGAAGAAAGCCGCCTTGATAGGCAACCTCTTTTATGCGCTGGCGCAAGCCACCTCCTTCTTTGTCATTGCGCTGGGTTTCTGGTACGGCTACCAGCTCTTGCTCCGGCAGGAGTACAATGCAAGTCAGTTCTTTACTATCTTTACAGCCGTGGTCTTTGGCAGTATTCAAGCTGGTAACGTGTTTAATTTCGTGCCAGATATTTCCAATGCCGCGGCCGCAGGCACGAACATGTTTGCCTTGCTAGACAACAAGCCCAGCATTGATATCGAGTCTCACGATGGCATTGTGCTGGATCACTGCGAGGGTCACTTGCAGTTCGAGGGCGTACAGTTTGAGTATCCATCGCGCCCAGGTATCCCTGTTCTTCGCGGTGTGGATTTGGACGTGCACCCAGGCACGCATGTGGCGTTGGTTGGTCCTTCCGGTTGCGGTAAATCTACGACCATTCAGCTTATTGAGCGTTTCTACGATGTGACAGGTGGTCGCATTTTGCTAGATGGCCATGATATTCGTACTCTCAACCTCCAATCTCTCCGGAAGTATATTGCGCTTGTGTCGCAAGAGCCTACTCTGTATGATGGAACGATCGGCTTCAACTTGCGCCTGGGCGCCTTAGAGGACCCTAGCGCTGTTACGATGGACCAGATGCGTGAAGCGGCTCGTTCTGCCAACATTCTGGAATTTATCGAGGGCCTACCTGATGGTTTCGAGACGGAAGTGGGTGGCAAGGGTACCCAACTCAGTGGTGGTCAGAAGCAGCGAATTGCGATTGCTCGCGCGTTGATTCGTAACCCTAAAATCCTTTTGCTGGACGAGGCGACCAGTGCTTTGGACTCTGACTCTGAAAAGATTGTACAACAAGCGCTTGACCGTGCCTCTGCGGGGCGTACTACTATTTCCATTGCGCACCGGTTGGCCACCATTGCTCGCGCCCATTGCATCTACGCATTCCAAGATGGTGTGATTGCCGAGTCAGGCGATCATCAAACGTTGATGAACCATAAAGGCATTTATGCAAATCTTGTGGCCCTGCAGGCCCTGGAGAAACAAGTGTAAATTTAGACCTATATACTGTAATATCCTACGTAGAACGCATTAGATTGTTAGACGTCGTCCTGCAAAGGCACGGACGGCCGTTGAAAGTGTGTGCGAGTGCTTTCCACGTGGAGAGAGGCCACCGAGGTGGAGGTGGCGGAGGGCCCCATTAGGAAATGTGGCGACCCAACGCTCGTTTTCGCACATTCACTGACTTCTACGTTCTCGCACGTCAGGGACCATGCAGTTGAGTATTGGTAAGTGGGCCATGTTGGCAGCACTAGTGACAAGCATTGTCACGGCGCGATCCAACATGGCAAAGGTCTATTCGGAGAAGGATCCACAGAACTACGTGCAGGAGCATATGGCTGCCGAGCACCATATCGGTGCGTTTGACCTGGCCAGCTTCTTCGCGTTGCATGACCTGGACCGCAATGGTATCCTGGAACGTTCTGAAATCGAGGCCATCTATGGTGTTCACCACTCCCTTTCGCGTAAGCACTCGCCAAATGCCGAGATCCACGATGAGAAGGCTGATAAGATTGTGCGTGAAGTCCTTCGCCGCCTTGATTACAACAAAGATGGTGTGATTACACGCGCCGAGTTCCTTCGCGCGGGCAAAGGCGGCCTTCCTCAGTTCCCAGAATATGGCAAGAATGCGCTTGGCCATCATTACGACGATGAATCAGAATATTATGTTCACCACGAGAGTCTATATCACAACCGCCCAGAAGACCAGACGGACGAAGCATACTCCCACGAAGAAGATATCAAGCATTTTAATGACCATGCACGCATTGAGCGTGAAGAAGAAGAGCGCGAGCGCTTTGCAGAGGGTCTTCCTTCGATCGAAGAGGAGGCGCGCTTGAAGGCACAGGCCGCTCGGGAAGGCAAAAAATACGAAAGTCAGTATGAAAAGCAGTTCTCTCCTGAGATGGAGGCCAACGCCAGAGAGTATGAAGCTATGAGCCATCTTGGCGCGGCGGGCCGCGACTTGCTCTCCTCCCAGCACACCTTCAAGACCCCCGATGGCGTCCGTAAAGTCGAGGCGACAAAGGAGAACGTAATTCTCGCTCAAGGCAACTTTGGCGAGGCGGATGAGCCGCCTGTGTTTGCGGCGGGCGATGAAGGTGCAGCTCGTGCGCCCATCGATCACATCGACGGTGAGACGGAGCTGGGCCGTAAGATCCGACTTGATCGCGCTCGTCGTGAAGCGAGTGGTCGTCCGCGCTACGGCCAGGGTACAAATGGCTTTGCAAAGCCCAAAGACGATGCCGATCGACTGAAGGCGAATATGCCTTACAAATATCGTATGAAGAAGAACAGCTTCTTGCGCGATTTGTAGGCAAATCAGTGTGCGCATAAACCCATTCCATTTCCCCTATAAAATAGCATTCGTACTTATAGAGCTTGTAGAAGAGAATGCCAAGATACAAGGCACCAAGGTGGGCATGACCACTACGTGGCAGATGGACGAGCGTTCAGCATGAGTGTGCGCATACGCTCCAGAGATGCGAGAGCGCGACCACTTGTGATCGAGTCTCTAGCCAGCTGGGCACACACTTTCTTGTCGCCCTGACCGAACCCAGCGACGTACAGCAGTGCGGCTGCTTGCAGTACCGTGTAGTCAAAGATCGCGCGAAGGTTGGTGCCCGTCGGGATAGGCTCCAACTTGGCCGTCGGTACAGGGCCATCAACAGTGAGGGGTGCATCAAGAGGCGCATCTGGCAGGTCGTTAGGGTGCGAGAACATATGCATCACAACAGCCGCATTTTGCGAAGCGGAACCGGACTGAACCTGATCCAGCTCATGCGTAGGCAGGCCAAAGTCGGCAGGTGTAATGACCTGGTGCACAATCTCGCCACGAACCACTTCCCATACATCCGTAGGGCCAGCAGGGCTAATTTCATCGAGGCCTTCCTGCCCGCAGACGACCCAAAAGTGTTCCATACCTGCAAGACGCAGCGTTTCTGCGTATACGCGGCCCAGACCCGAGCTGTGAACACCGTAGACACCACGTTGCGGTCGCGCAGGGTTCATTAATGGGCCGAGAATATTAAAGAGAGTAGGGAAACCCAGCGAGGCCCGAATCGGTGCCAATGGCATCATAGCGCGGTGAAACATGGGCGCGCAGAAGAACACACAGGAACTTTGGCCTAGCAGCCCAGCTGCCTTCTCTGCAGGAACGTCCAGCAGAGGGATGCCCAACGACAACAGAAGCTCTGCCGAGCCTGAGGTAGAAGACGACGCTTTGCCGCCATGTTTGCATACATGCATGCCTTCGACGCCGGCAGCGACGAAAGAGGCCGTAGTGGATACATTGAACGTGTCCTTCCCGTCACCACCCGTCCCGACCAGGTCAACCAGCCCATGATAGTCAGTGCCAGGCGACGCCTCCATGGTCGGGGTAGGCACTGGGATAACCTGGTCGAGGAACTTTTTGCGCATGAAAGTGAGTGTGCTGGGCTCGCGATCAATGCCACTGACACGCAGCGACGTCAACGCAGCGCCAATGGCCGCATGGTGAGCGGGGTTGCTGGTAAAGTCTACATCAGCAAAGTGGGCCAAGAGCTTCTCAATCTGGTCCTGTGAGAGAGGCGCACTGGGGGGGCGCATCGCCCCTGTGGGCGGGGCTGGCACAGGTATGCTCTGGGCCAACTGGCTCACTAAAGGTTTGAATGTAGCGAGCGAATGTGACATGGCACGAAGCAGGTCCTTTCTTACGCGCAGCCAATGTAAGCCTCCGCGTGGATCGGCTCGTGCGTGGCGCCGCGCGACACGACGCACACCCACCCTTACGGCCGAAACCTCCACGCTAAAGCCTAACGCCAAGGAGGGATGTGCAAGCGCCACTTTCGTGACCGGTGCCACCACCACCATGGGAAAGACGCAATCCAAGCTCTCGCCGGAGCAACTATCTGAACTGCAGAAAATTACGTACTGTACGTATGAATCATCCTAATAGACGCAGTCGACCGCAAGGAATTGCAGCAATGGTACAAAGGCTTTATGAGTGATTGTCCATCGGGCACGCTGGATAAGGATGAGTTCTCAAGGATCTACAAGCAGTTCTTCCCTTTCGGCGACCCAGCTCCGTTGGCGGAATACGTGTTCAATGTCTTTGATGAAAATAAGAACGGCTCGATTGACTTCAAAGAGTTTATTTGCGCTTTGAGTGTCACAAGCCGAGGACGCCTCGATGAGAAACTTCGATGGGCGTTCCAGCTGTACGATATCAATGGCGATGGGTCTATCACGTACAATGAGATGCTTACCATTGTCCAGGCTATCTATAAAATGACAGGGAATATGGTGAAGCTGCCCGAAGATGAAGACACGCCTGAAAAACGCGTCGACAAGATCTTCTCGCTGATGGATCGCGACAAGAATGCGGAGTTGTCATTTGAAGAATTCCGCGAAGGCTCAAAGCAAGACCCATCGATTGTCCAAGCTCTCTCGCTCTATGATGGACTCGTCTAAGCACTCTGTATCTATCCCCTTCCCCCATGTTCTGTATCATACATAGACACCGACATTGCTTTTTCTGTTTTACAAGGCGCACACCTCGACCAGGGCTTCGGTCTGCAGGTGCTCCATCCAGTTGTGCAAAAAGACACGCGACACAGACGTGTCCTTGCCATGCTCGCCAATCGTCTCAGCGTCCCCGATGACAACCAGCTGACGCTTGGCTCGTGTCATGGCCACATTCAAGCGTCGACGATCTTGCAAGAAGCCCACGGTATGTTGGTCATTGCTACGGACCAAGCTGAGAATGACCACGTCCTTTTCACGGCCTTGCATGCCGTCCACTGTACCGACTTCTACCTCCGCACCGTACTTGGCACGGAGCTGCTGGCTCAGCAAGCTCACTTGCGCTGCATACGGTGAGAGAACCGCTACCTGCGACGGCTCGATCCCATGCGACACAAGCGTGGCCATATGCTCCAACACAAGCGTGGCCTCATTTTCATTGATGTGGGAATGTGTTTGCAAGAGGGACTCTTCTTCACGCTCATAATAGCCCAGTCCTGTAGTATCGTAGAACACTAGCGGCGCACAGAATACATCCGCATCATCACCGTCGACGCCCAAGTCTGTCAGCCGAATATGAGCACAAGAGGTATGGGCAGATAGTTTGCCATGGTACAATGCCTCATTGGGATAAGACATAATCTCTTCATTCATCCGATACTGGACAGAGAGCAGAGCTTTGCATCCATCACCATACAACTGCAGCAGACGATCAAACAGTGTCACTTCTAAACTCGATGCAGGAGGTAGTGTCTTTGACACGGATCGTGACCGCAGCGCCGGTGCGTCGGCCTTGACTGTGGGCGGCAGTTGCAGGTGATCACCGCTCAAAATTATCTTGCCATGCGCAGCGAGACGAAGAAGAGGCGTCCAGCAAGACATCTCCAGGGCTTGGCACGCCTCATCGATAATCACGTAGTCAAATACACGTCCCTCCAGCTCACGACTGCCTGCCCCATGACATGTCGCCATCACAATGCGCGTGTTGTGCAGCACAGTTCCAGCCAACGCGCGATCGCGCCGTCGGTATTCCTTGCGCAACTCACGCACTTGCTCCCACATTTGCCGACGCTCAGCGCCTTTAGGACGAGGCGCCTTTCGAGCGCTCTTATTGCCAGCGCGTGCCCCTGCTGGTGGCGATAAGACCATCATCAAATCATCGATTTCTTTCGCCACATCTCGCATCAACTGGCCCTCATCAGATTGACTGCACTGTACATCCAACGTCGCTCCTGTCAAAGAAGAGAGAACACGCGCAGGGTGTCCAATCCGAGTAACACCACAGCCAGCTTCGGCTAACGCTTCTTTGTAGGCAGGCGTTGTGACGACTCGTTCCAGCAGATTGTCTACGGCCAAGTTGCTTGCGCCGCATACGAGGATCCGTGCGTTGGGGTGCAAGATAGCTAGTTGAACAATGAGCTCAGCCATGGTAGTTGTTTTACCAGTCCCTGGTGGCCCGTGAATAAGGGCTAGCTGCTCTGCACGAAGAGCGAACGAGATTGCTTGTAGTTGCGTTTCATTCAGACGTGTCTGCAAAGGCGTCCAAGCAGGGGCATGGCTGGTCCACGAAGGCACATCCAGCCCCATACATACACGAAACAAAGGATGCGTGGCAGTTATTGACATAGCGGTCTCCGAAGATGGCGGGGGTGGCATGCCCAAAGCATCGGCCAACGATGTCAGCGTCTTCACCAGGCGATCGTACGTTGCATCATTGGCCAACTTGATCACGCGCACGACCGGTGGCAGAGAAGGACTCTCATCCTCTGGCGTCTTGGATCGGTCCTGCAGAGCAATGGTAATCTTGGTATCTGATGCACGAAAAACGACGCCACGTTCACTGACAGGTATAGCTCCCTTCTTCGCGTCATGTTCTTCCACAAGGCAAATATCGCCTGGCCGAAATGTATGTGGTCCAAACAGGGCAGACGTATGTAGCGCCGTGGAATGCTCCAATTCCACCAGACTGGTGTAAGTAGCTGACGTGAACGTACGTTTTGGCGTCCTGCCCAGTGCGAACCTGCGTGACCGTCAAGCCCAGCAGGGCCAATCCATGCCTGGCTAACACACGAGGTGAGCACTGTGCTAAGAGCAATTTATTCTGCTCAGCTTCTTCATGACGTTCGTGTTCCAACAGCTGGTACTGCCGCTGAAGCCATGTCTGCACGTCAGCCGCACTGGGAGGCGAAGGCCTGTGCACGGTGCTCATGTCGAGTACGAATGCAGCTCTGCAGAGTGCACGAGGAGGATCTGCAAAAGGCCACGTGGCATTTGTCAACCCCCGACTTCCCCGTATTGCTCCGGGTGAACGGCTCATCCTGACCACGATGCGTGCTTCGCTTGTGAACCAGCTGCGTGTACTTGTGCCCGTGAAGCGCACGATTGACTATGGTATGTATGGCATGGATCTAACAAGTAAGCCGTCAAGATCCGTGTGGCTTCCGACGGAAAGGGTGTGGACACCAACGTCCAGCACTCGATGAACCCCTTCGACGAGATTGCCGTGGAGGAGGCTGTGCGTCTGCGTGAGCGCAACAAGGAGGCCGTGAAGCGTATCACGGTCGTCTCGGCGGGCCCGACCAAGTCGCAGGATGTCTTGCGTACGGCGCTGGCTATGGGTGCGGACGACGCCATCCACGTGGATGTGCCGAACGCGATTGAGCCGCTCGCTGTGAGCAAGATTCTTCGTGCGATTGTCGAAAAGGAGTCCGGCGAGGATGAGATCGGCATGGTCATCCTTGGTAAGCAGGCCATTGACGACGATGCCAGCCAGACTGGTCAGATGCTGGCTGGTCTGCTGAACTGGCCGCAGGCTACGTTCGCCTCGAAGGTCGAGCTGGAAGGCAAGGGCGACAAGGGTGACAAGGTGAAGGTTACTCGTGAGGTGGACGGTGGTCTGGCTATCGTGGAAACCCAGGTGCCGCTGGTCGTTACTACGGACTTGCGTCTCAATGAGCCGCGCTACGCCTCGTTGCCGAACATTATGAAGGCCAAGAAGAAGAAGATGACCAAGTACAGCATTGCCGATCTCGGTCTTGAGAAGGACGTGGAGCCTCGCCTGGAGACTCTGAAGGTCAGCGAACCTCCGCAGAGGCAGGGTGGTGCTAAGGTCGAGAATGTTGATGAGCTGATTGCCAAGCTCAAGGAGGCTGGCCGTATCTAAGGGTCATGTATTCACCTGTAGGGTCCTTCCTTAGATTTGCATTTTAGAATTCTCCCTCTCCATACAAGGGCCGGCGGACGCCTGGACCGGTCTGACTAAGCCACGTGGCCGATGAAGAGAGGAGGCTGAGTGACAAGCAGGCCTGAGCGTCCTCTTACGCCAATCGGCTTACGTCCGAACGCGCGGGAAAATGAGCTAAAGCCTCTTTTAACAGGCAGCAGAACCACAAACGATCTTGTCGGACGACCACCATGTCGGAGAAAGGGGGCCTAACACCAAACTTCACATTGCAAAACTATGCCCAGTTTTTTGCGGCAGGTGGTCTGTGTGCCACTCTCACGCATGGAGGCCTGACGCCCATCGATGTAGTCAAGACGCGCTTGCAGTTAGAGCCGAAAGGAAGCAAGGAGACGATGGCATCCATGGCCCGCGGGATCATTGCAAAAGAAGGTCCTGGTGGCCTTCTCGCAGGCTTTGGTCCCACAGCTGTTGGATACTTGATCCAGGGTGGTGCGAAATTCTGCGGTTACGAGTTCTTTAAGAAGCAGGCGATTGACTTTTTGGGTTCGAAGGAGCGCGCACGTGAATACCGCCAGCTTGTCTACCTTGGGTCGGCAAGCTGCGCCGAAGTCATTGCTACGACGCTACTTACTCCGCTGGAGGCAGCGCGTATCCGTCTGGTGTCAGAGCGTGGCTATGCCAAGGGTCTTGTCGGCGCCGTGTCGCGTATGGCTAAGGAGGAGGGTATACGTGGCTTCTACGCAGGCTACGCTCCGATCCTGTGCAAGCAGGTTCCCTACGCGATTGGTCAATTCTACACGAACGAAATGATGCACAACTTGGTTCAGATTACGATTTCGCAGGAGACCCTGGCGAAGTACGGCAAGGTCGGTGAGGTCAGTGTGCAGCTTGGCTGTGGTATTGTGGCTGGTGTTGCGGCTGCTGTACTTTCGCACCCGGCTGACACGCTCCTTTCGAAGATCAACAAGGGTGGCGGCGGCAGTGGCTCTGCCATGAAGAAGCTGGTGGTGCTGGCCAAGGAAACGGGTCCGATCGGTATCTGGGCAGGTCTCAGCACTAGGATTCTCATGACGGCCATCTTGGTCAGTGGCCAGTTCCTGATCTATGAGCAGACGAAGTTGGCCTTTGGCGCCCCTCGTTCGATTGAAATTCACTAAGAAGAAGGTACAGAACGACGCGTCGCTGTTGAAGCCTCGGGCATGGCCGTGGTCACGGCCTCAGCATCGGAGAGGGTTTGACCCGCCGGCGCATCCGGTACGGCGTCTTCCTCCGTCTGAGTCTTGGAGGCAGGTGTAGACACCACCGACGCAGAGGCTGCCGCGAGTCGCTGTTGCGCCTTGGCACGCTCGGCAAGGAGACGGTTGTTCATGGCGATGAGCTCAGGCGGCACGAGCTCGTCCCACATGTTCTTGCGCCAGCTACGCTGGAATTCTGTATCACTGAATGTCGTCGTAGCTCGGGTACGTGCCACTTGACGAATCTTCATAGCAACATCTGCAGGCATACACATAAGACGATAAGCAGTCTTAACATATTCATCGAGAGTGCGTGCGTGGAAGCCTGTTTCCATGCCATCCACCGGCACAGCAATGTCTTGCATAGGACCGGCGGACGCGTGAGAGAGCGTAAGCAAACCGGCTGCCATGAACTCTACAACGGCAATACCAAAGTGCTCATCGACCATGGTACTCAGACCGATGTTGGCTTGACGCATTTTTTCCAGCAGCACGGAGTACGGCGCATCGATATGCCACTCAAGATGGTTCTCAATTAAGAGCTCTTTTGCGAGGGCTTTGAGCGAGGCCAAGCGCTTTTGGTCCGCCTCATTCCGGCAGCTGCCAATCAAAATCAGACGTAGAGGCCGATCGGCCCCACGAGAAGACTTGAGTTCAGGATGCTTGTCCAGGAGTCCACGAAGAATACGCAACTGCAGTTCATGGTCTTTCTCCGGACGGAATTGCGCAACGCTCACCATCCAGCGCGTCTGACGATGATCCAGTGGGATTTTGGCGAACGACTCGGTATCGCAGGGCGGGTGCACAATGCGGAGCGTGGGCAGTTGCGGTGTCGACCAGGGACGAGGTACGCGGTACTGCAACAGATCCTGGATGTGCGCATGGGTCCACGTACCATTGCACACAATCACATCGGCCTTGCGCAACGCAGCACCGTACTTGGCAGCAAAAATGCGGTAGTACACATACTTGACCCACGACACAGGCGCATATGCAGCAATCCACGACGAGTTGGTTACACCAGCCTCGCGATTTCGCACACGACGCAGCATATCTGTACTAATCGTAGGATAGTGGACATACGCACCCACGCGCACCTGTTTGGAGAAGTTCTTAACCGGGCTCAGGGCAAAAGCATAGCCAGTCGTGTCGATAAACACGTCCGGTACCAGCATACCAAGCGCTTCGTATCCCAAACGGTTTGCCCCGTACGCCTGGCCAGCAAGCGTGAAGGCAGGCCAGAATGTATCACTGACCAAGTAGCGATTGCGTAGCGGGAGGAAGTGAAGACGCGAAGCATCGACTTCTAAGCCAAATCGCTCCTTAGCGCGCGCGAGCATATCTTCTTTCGATACCCCACCTTGGAGGGGACTAATATCACCCGTGTACACAACGCAAATAATGTTGGCATCGGTTTGTTGCTGGTACTTGATGGCCTCGAACAAGACACGCTCGCCTCCTCCGCCTCCATGGCTGTATGGGTGCAGGAATCCAACGAACATGTACATACGTCCATCGTTCAGACGACCCAGCTTTTGCAAGATCTGACGACGCTTTTCACCATTCGTGTCACGTAGCGCAGCACGCCACGCAACATTAGCAAGGAAATTGCATCCTGTAAGTGTGGCAATAAAGATTAGAAATAGGCGGACCCAGTAAAACAGATCTGGGTCGTCCCACAATGCGCGGAGCGACATGACAAGAGAGGAAGAAGGGTCTAGACGTGTTTTGCTCGCTTGCGTGTGCGTAGTTCGGCCTCCCTGCTGTCTGCCTGCAATCAACTAAACGTGCGCATGTGGAGGACATAGACGCACGCGTGCGCACGCACGTACACCCCCCGTCACGTACGCCACGCGAGGCACGCCGCCGCACCACGATGGACCGTGATTTCTACTCGTTCGTGGCCGCACGCGATGTGCCTACCGAATTGAGTGTACGAATGTAGGTACCTTATACATGTATTGACATGGCAGCGCGTGCGTTGATGGACCGCTCCCGTCCCACTCCCCTGCCGATATGGTCGCAGAGCCTATGTATCAGTTTCGCGGGGTGAACCAACCGTACGTGAGATCGGCACTGACATCATCGTAGACTAGGTCCACCTCTGTGCCTGCGGTGTGAGCTGTACGCCAACAATAAACCACTCGCGTTGCCCGTATACACATCCCTCTCTTCTCCGGGATCGCGGCATAGGTACGTCCTACATCGTCTAACGGCTTCTCAGCTGGAACGAATGGCTTCATTTCCCTTACCCCATCGCAGACGTACCTCTGGATGCACAACTCGTATTTACACTTCTTGACATTGCTGGCCCTTTCCAGGAAGTCGTTTTGGGTGGGACGACGATGCCTCTTTTTGGCAAGCGAGGGTACGTGTCAGGTAGTGTACTTACCTTCCCAGCACACTCCGCCGTGGACAGCAACGTCTAGGGCTCTGGCGCGGTCAAGCAGGTGATCCACATAGCCCCACGTCAACGCCACATCGTCATGATACCACATCCGAGGCTGCGCGTCTAGATAAGTGCGTCAAACGTCATCAACGCGGCACGATCCCCGCCGATCCCTGGCTCGATGCACTTACATTTCACCGCATCGACGAGATTCGCGAGGCGCATGTTGCAGCATCACAGGACCTTGTGCTCACCATTGAAATGCCCGCATGGGACCAGCCTGTGGTGTTCGGCGACGTAGAGCCTGTCCTCAGCCCTTGGCGTCCGGCTAGCCATGGTGCTGTGCGCATGCCAGCAAACGACACGCCTACCTCTTCACAAGGCCAAGGCTCTTTATTGGCCCAAACACCGTGGATTACACCTTCTCTTTTCATGGTGACGGATCCGGAAGCTGAGAGTGAGAACATTGTCGAGGCCAAGCACCGCCGCCTCGTGCGAAGTCAACGTCTGCCTGATTCAGATCGAGAGCGTAAGCCTACGGCGGCAGTGCGCGATCAGCTTCAGTCACTACTCGCTTCCCCTCCTACACGTGTACTGACCTCCGAAGAAATGGACCTGATTTGGTCGTTCCGGTACTATTTGACGCGCTTCTCTGCGGGTCTGACCAAGTTTGTAAAGTCTGTCGTGTGGTCCGACGCGCAAGAAGCCCAGCAGGCCACCGAGGACCTGTTGCCAATGTGGGCGGAGCCGCAGCTGTCCGATGCGCTGGAACTTTTAGGCCCTACCTTCCGCCACTTGGCTGTACGGACATACGCTGTACGACAGCTGCATAAAGCCAGCGATGCGGAGCTTATGCTATACTTGCTCCAGCTTGTGCAAGCACTCAAGTTTGATGAAACAGCATGGCGTACTGCAGACGCCACGCAAAAAGACATGTACACCAAAGCCTCTAGCTTGGAAGCGCCGCTACGTTTGATCGATTGGCTATGTCTTCGAGGAGCCCGCCATGTCGAATTGGGGACTAGACTCTACTGGTACATCACAGCGGAGCAGTCCGATGCGCGACATGGTGAATTATACCAACGTATTGCTGATACGCTGTGGGGCGTCTTTTCTTCGGAGAACCTGGAGCTTGTAAGTATGTTGGAACGACAACGCCACTTTGTCGATGTGCTTTCTACACGCAGCGCAGAGATCCGTCGCTCGCGAGATGCACGGCCGAAGAAAATTGAACGGTTGCATGCATGGCTTATGGACAAAAAGACAGGGCTTCGTGTCCTGCAGCCTCCGTTGGCGCTGCCCTTGGATCCCCTAGTCCACATCACCGGGATTGTGCCCGAAAACAGTACGGTGTTTAAGAGCAATTTATTCCCACTCCGACTGGAATGCCGTACGACCAACGAAGACGCGTCACCGTATACCATGATTGTGAAAAATGGTGACGATCTGCGCCAAGACCAGCTGGTGATCCAGTTATTCGCCCTCATGGACCAGCTGCTTCGTGCAGAGAATTTGGATCTGAGGATTACGCCGTACCATGTGCTCGCCACAGGACCCCAGGATGGAATGGTTCAGTATGTGCCCAGCATGAGCGTTGCGGCCGTCGTTGCACAGCATGGTGATCTACTTAGCTACTTGCGTGCGCATCACCCTGACCCTGCGAATGCGGCCACGTTCCATGTGCAAGCGTCGGTGCTAGATACCTTTGTGCGCAGTTGTGGTATGTTGTTTCGCTGACGTATACTTACCTTGCATAGCCGGCTACTGTGTTATCACCTACCTGCTTGGCGTGGGCGATCGTCATCTGGACAATTTGCTGCTCGCCCCCGATGGACGGTTCTTCCATGTGGACTTCGGCTACATTCTTGGCCGCGATCCCAAACCCTTCCCACCTCCAGTCAAGATCTGTAAGGAGATGGTCGATGCGATGGGTGGCCCTTCTTCTATGTACTATATGCGCTTCAAAAAACTATGCCATACGGCATTCGCGTGCCTACGAAAAAATGCGAACCTGATTCTCAACCTGGTCTCGCTCATGGTCGAAGCAGATATACCCGACATTCGCGCCGAGCCGGATAAGGCTGTGGTGAAAATCCAGGAAAAGTTTATGCTGGACGTGAATGAGGAGCAAGCTGCTACACGCTTCGAGGGCTTACTCAATGATACGTCCTACATTTCTTCCATGTTTGATCGATTGCATAACATGGCACAGTACTTCCGTCCATAATGTTCGTAGTGGGCTTACTGTACCTCCACTTGTTGCCGCAAAGAGGAAAGGGAGTTTTGTCGCTTGGCTTGTGGCTTTGTTGTGATGGACGCTCTTCGTGCGCGGTACCCAGACCGCATCCCGATCCATCTATCCAATGGCATTGCCTACTTATGGGAGGTGTCAGGTACGTATGATATACTCTTTGACGTGGCTAGATGTCGAGCAAGCGCGCACGCAGCACCATTTATGCGGCCTGCTTAGCGGCACGTTGCCCTTGATTCCTCAGCAGAACGTATTTCTGGGCCTACCACTTCGCCTAATTCCCGAAGAAGTGGTGTATCTGCTTCGACAAAGTATGTACGAGGCTTGGCATGGACACTAACTAAAGATGCGGCCATTCTGATTGACGAGGCACAGGCCTTTGTGACCCCCACGTTCGAAGAGCGAGAGGCGTTCCTACAGAGGCAAGAGCAAGATATTCACCAGCAGAAAGAACGTACTCTTGCTCAACAACAGGAGCAACGGGAACGTATCGAAGCAAAGTTACGCTCCGATGGCGGAAATGGCGCACTAGAACGTCGACGTGCTCGTCAGGCTGCCAAGGGTCAAGTGGATGCCCCTGCAGTGCCTGAAATGCCTGCATCGGAAGCACTAGAGCGTTTGCCTTACGTCCATTATACCCCTGGACCATCTACCACCCTGCCAGGCTACCGTCCATGCACGCAAGCCATGGCGGAGAGTGGGACGGAGGCACACGTGAACGCCTATACTAGCTTGCAAGAGGCATACCAAGCAGGTGTGTGGACGTATCCAGAGACGCTAGAGCAGCGTGCTCGCTGTGCTGTATTTGAAGACCTACATGAGCGTGGTTATTTCATGAGTACAGGGCTGCGATTCGGAGGTGATTTTGTTGTATACCCAGGTGACCCCCTACGATACCATTCGCACTACACAGCAGCTGTCTTAGCGACACCCGAACAACCTATGGCGGCCTATCATATCGTAGCATCAGGCCGCTTAGGCACGGCCGTGAAGAAATCGCACCTGCTCTGCCAAGCGAATACCCGTATTGTCAACGAAGAGGAGGCGCGTGAGCGGCGCATCGCGGGGCTCGACGATACCAACGAGCGGTGGGGCGACGTGGAATATTGGAGTCTGGCATGGGCCGGTTTTGGTACATAGGTCTATGGCTAGTCTGCAACAGCCTCGATTGCATGGCGTTTTTCTTTCCGATCCGCTGCTGAGGCATCTCGTGTGCGTCAAGGCGCGCCGCGCCATAGACCTATGCAGGATAAGGTGGGCATGTGCACGTGATGCCAGCTGCGTGAAAGTGAAGGGTCCGAGCATGGCACGTCCTCCGTCCTACCTACATCATGGCACAAACAGTGGCTACCAAGCCTTTTGAAGGCCAGAAGCCCGGTACGTCGGGTCTTCGTAAGCGTGTAAAGGTCTTTGAGCAGGAGAACTACACGGAGAACTTTGTGCAGTCCATTCTTTCTGCCATCCCCGGCGGTGCGAAGGGTGCGACTCTCGTCGTTGGTGGTGACGGTCGCTACTTTTCGCAGCCGGCTGTTCAGAAGATTGTGCGTTTGGCAGCAGGCAACGGTGTGTCGAAGCTGATTATCGGTCAGAACGGTATCCTCTCCACGCCAGCAGCGTCACATGTCATTCGCCTGCGCAAGGCGACAGGCGGTATTCTTCTTACCGCGAGCCACAACCCAGGTGGCCCCAATGCCGACTTTGGTATCAAGTACAATATGGAGAACGGTGGACCTGCTCCGGAGGGCGTCACCAACAAGATTTACGAGCTGACGACCAAGATTGACCACTACCTTGTGGAGCAGGGTGAGGACGTCGATCTGGCCTCGATCGGTGAGACGACCTTTGGCTCGATGAAGGTGGAAGTAATCGATTCTGTGAAGGACTATGTGGAATACCTCTCGAAGATCTTTGACTTTGACATGATCAAGTCGTTCCTGCGCTCGGGCTCGTTCAAGGTGCGCTTTGATGCCCTGCACGGTGTCACAGGCCCCTATGCGCGTGCGCTCTTTGTCGAGTGCTTTGGCTTGCCAGAAGCAGCTGTGCAAAACTGTGTGCCGTCGCCTGACTTTGGTGGAGGTCACCCGGACCCGAACTTGACATATGCCAAGTCGCTCGTCGATGCTGTGCAGCAGGAGGGCCTGGACTTTGGCGCTGCAAGCGATGGTGATGGTGACCGCAACATGATTCTCGGCAAGAACGCGTTTGTGAACCCCAGTGATAGTGTGGCCATCATCGCAGACTGGGCTGAGCGTGCCATTCCCTACTTCAAGTCGGGTGTGCGTGGTGTCGCTCGCAGCATGCCGACGAGTGGTGCCATTGATCTCGTTGCGAAGGAGCGCAAGTATGAGTGCTTTGAGGTGCCTACAGGCTGGAAGTTCTTCGGCAACCTGATGGATGCTGGTCGCCTTTCGATCTGCGGTGAAGAGAGCTTCGGTACAGGCTCGGACCACATTCGTGAGAAGGACGGTCTGTGGGCTGTAGTGGCATGGCTCAGCATCGTCTCCAAGGCAAATGAGGAGAAGCCTGGTACGTCTGTGGCGGATGTGCTGCAGGCACACTATGAGAAGTACGGCCGCAATTTCTTCAGTCGTTACGACTACGAGGAGGTGGAGAGTGCGGGAGCCAATGCTATGATGGACGGCTTGCGCTCCAAGTTTGCCGACGCGTCCTTTGTGGGCACGTCGCTGGGTTCCTTTAAGGTCGCGGATGCGGGCGACTTTAGCTACACAGACCCTATTGATGGCAGTGTGAGCAAGAACCAAGGCCTGTACGTCCGCATGGAGGACGGCTCGCGTTTGGTGTTCCGTCTGAGTGGCACCGGCAGCGCGGGTGCCACGATCCGTCTGTACGTGGAGAAGTACTCCTCGGACCCTGCCGAGTACAAGGCCGACGTGCAGCAGGCCCTCAAGCCGATCATCGACGTGGCACTGGAGCTGAGTGCCTTGCAGAAGCACACTGGTCGCGAGAAGCCTACTGTGATTACATAATGGTGCTGCGAAGCGGCTATTCCTTCATGGCCCGGGCGCATGTGTCCTGTTGAGACGAAAGGTGTTCTCTTGGGCTCATGATGCTTCGTGGCGTGTATAGAAACCTTTTCCTCTCACGTTCATATTCTACGAAGATGCTCCCGACCTCTATGCGAGCGGTGATTGTTGACCAGGGAAAGGGCCCATCGAGTGCTTTGCGCCTAGGCGAGGTCCCTACGCCTGTGCTACAGGTCGAGAACGAGCCGCCCTCGATTATCGTCAAAGTGCGTGCTTTTGGCCTGAATCGCATGGATCTTTATCAGCGCGAGGGTAAGTACCCCGTTCCCCCGGGTATTAGTGAGATTCTCGGCGTGGAGTTCAGCGGTGAAGTAGCGGGAGTGGGCCAGGGCGTGTCGGGCTTTCAGCCAGGGGATTCGGTGCTCGGCCTTGCACAAGGTGGCGCCTATGCTGAATATATCAAAGTCCCTGCGTCTATGACACTTCAAAAGTCGCCCAAGCTGAGTTGGGAGCAAGCTGCGGCCATTCCTGAGGCGTTCCTGACCGCCTACCAGGCGTTGGAGCTTCTCACTTCGCAAAAGCCTGGCGACAATGTCCTGATTCATGCAGGTGCTTCGGGTGTCGGCTTGGCCGCTATTCAGCTTGCACGCTTGCGCGGTGCACGTACCATATATGTGACGGCTGGATCACAAGAGAAAATTGATGTGTGCAAGTCACTGGGCGCGACTGAGGGTTTCAACTACAAAGAGTCGGACTGGGCCGCGGAGCTTCACAAGGCGACGAACGGCCAAGGCGTGGATGTAATTTTGGACTTTGTCGGCGCGTCGTACTTTGCCAACAACCTGAAATCCCTGCGGCGCGATGGACGTATGTCCGTCCAGGCATTCCTGGGTGGGTCCACTCTGCCCCAAGGCACCAACCTAGCCCCTCTGTTGGCCAAGCGACTTCGCATTGAAGGAAGCACATTGCGTAGTCGTTCCGTGGAGTACCAAACAAAGTTGGTCCAAGGATTCTTGCAGAGCGGTGGTCTCGAGGCGCTTGAGCGCGGTGCCGATGGCACGAAGAACGACAAAGCGCTGCAGCTGATCATTCACAAGGCATTTGACTGGCACGATATTAAGCAAGCCCATGACGAAATGGAGGCAAACAAAAACATTGGCAAGATGGTGGTCACAATTTCCTAAGCTATAGTACATGAGTATCTAAGATATATTACGCCGAAAATTCGGTACGAAGAGGCACACTGGGCTTCGGAGCTTCTTCACGCTCCATGCCAGACGAAATGCTCGCCTGGTACTTATCCTGAATCGTAGTGAAGACACGATCCAGCTCATCCAGGGCATCGCGCATGGCAACCATGGCGGTAACAGTGTTTTCTACAGGTTAGTACTGTTACAGAGAGCAACCAGGAATTCGATCAGGAGGAACAATTGGTTTGCGTATAAATAAACTCCCCAACATCGCCTTAGGGCTCTGGGGTAGGTAGTTGTCATCCCGTCGGTCTTGGAAGCTGAGATACACACCTTGCATCTGAACACGCATGTGAATTTTGTTCTCAGATGGATGCGGCAGACTAATGTCAGTGCATGGGGGAAACGTACGTATAACCACAGAACTCAACACGCGGACTGGTCTAGTGTTAGTACGGCATCGCATCAAACAAGCGAAAACATCTTTCCCCATCATAAACGAAGAATTCCATTTTTGTAACCCCCATCACTGTTGTATATCGTGACATATAGTGTCGGGACAAAAAAGGTTATAATCATAGGGGAAAGGATGCTTGGGTCATCGCACGTACTCTTTCATCAACATGTAGCGAAGAGCATTGCCCATAGTATGATCCTCGTCCAGGATACAGAAAGTCACAGAAGTCAACTCCGCATCGTGGCCAGGAAGCTATCTATTAGGTCTCGACGCGTCCCACATACCAAGGTGATCTTGCCTCGCACTGCACTGGCGTCCGACTCGTCCATGGCGGTATTCGAGCAGCAAAAAAAAATCGGCGCGAACCTACCTCGGCTGTACAGGCTACATCGCTGACAAAGCATACTGCGCTGACCCCGCTAAACCGGGAGGGAAGGGCCAAACGCACTGCTTACCGAGCTTGGCCGCCATGTCGTGGTTATTGGGGAAGAGTATGTATGATGGTCAAGCAAAACTAACGTAACAAAGAGCTCAAAGATAACCCAGTATTCCCCTTTGGGTCATCGTCGTCGTCGTCATCCTCCGCCTCGGCCCCGGCTTCGACATCGGATGTCAATGCGCCAGCTTCTGTCCCCCGAGAATCGACAGCGGAGCTGGATGCCGCAAAAGCGCCAGCGTCAGGCGCTGTGTCTGCTGCTCCAGTACATACGACACGATCAGACTTGCTTACGGTCAGCGTAATCAACGGCCAAGGACTCACCCTGCCGTCAGGCACGACGCTTGCGTCCCCAAGCACGGACCAAGCGGGCCCATCCAAGATGGCACAACGTCAGCGCCATGCAAGCCTACCTTACGTGGTGCTGGAGTTTGATAAAAATGAGGTCCTAATTATGGCATCAGGAGGTACATTGGAGGCGCCTCAATGGCAGTTTTCAGCCAACTTTGACGTATCACGAAAAGCTGAAGTCATGTTGCATGTGTATCTCCGCAGTGAAGCAGTGGCCTCTTCGGGGCAGCAGGCATCCATTCTCGCTCCACCCGCCATACAGCCATCTATGAAACAGCATCTCTCGCCCAATGCAAACCAGTTCATGGGTGGGAATGACTTGTATATGGGTATGGCCAAGTTGGTCCCTTCATTCGAAAATTCTCATACCATTGATACCTGGCTACCGCTCATGGGTAGCACAGGAAAGATTCGTGTGCAGATGGCCTTCCGATCACAGCTCGGCACGTCGCTGAACATTGAGTCCTTTGAGCTTTTAAAAGTCATTGGAAAAGGCAGCTTTGGCAAGGTGATGCAAGTACGAAAGCGTGATACGTCTCGGATCTACGCTTTGAAAATCATCCGAAAAGCGCACATTATATCGCGCTCGGAAGTGACACATACGCTAGCAGAACGGACGGTGTTGGCCCAAGTGAACTCCCCCTTCATTGTCCCGCTCAAGTTCTCATTCCAAAGCCCCGACAAATTATACTTGGGCTTGGCCTTTGTCAATGGCGGCGAATTGTTCCATCATTTGCAGCGAGAAGGCCGCTTTAGCGAGGAGCGATCGCGCTTCTACGCAGCAGAGCTGTTTTGTGCCTTGGAACACTTGCACAGCTTTAATGTAATTTATCGTGACTTGAAGCCAGAGAATATCCTGCTGGACTACACTGGGCATATCGCGTTATGTGATTTTGGCTTGTGCAAGCTGAATATGGGGGATCAAGAAACGACCAATACATTCTGCGGCACGCCAGAATACTTAGCGCCTGAGCTACTGCTAGGGCGAGGCTATACCAAAGCCGTGGACTGGTGGACGCTCGGTGTCCTGCTATATGAAATGCTCACAGGTCTTCCACCCTTTTACTCAGAAGACGTGAACGAAATGTACCGTAAAATTCTCAACGACCCTTTGATATTCCCTCATGATGTACAGTATGAAGCACGCGATATTCTGGTACGCCTACTTCAGAGAAATCCGAAAGAAAGGCTCGGATCACTCGCCAATGGTGTGGCCGATATCAAGAATCATCCATTTTTCACCAAGCACATTGACTGGGACTTGCTCCTTGCTAAGAAAGTACAGCCACCGTTTAAACCAGGTGTGGCTTCTGCTTTCGATACCTCCAATTTTGACCCAGAATTTACCAATGAACCAGCTATGGACAGTGTCGTAGACGACAGCCACATGATCAGCGACGCTGTCCAAGAACAGTTTGCTGGCTTTAGCTATACCGCTGCACCAGAGAATGCAAGTGGAGATGGCTTGTGGAGCTAGGTAGATTCGACCAACTGTATGGCTTTGATATGAGGAATGGACATTTTTGCAATTTTTCTAAGTCGCGCTTAAGTACCCACCCCACAAAGTTAAGAGCGCGCTACGTTTTCTTTTCTCTTACTTAGGGCAATGCGGGGCTTTTTCGTGTGGCTGGCCTTCGCAGTAGCCGCCGTGTCGGTTACTGTATTGGCGCAGGACCCTATCCGGAGCCCGACCAATGACTACTTTACGCCTCGTCCCACTTTCACGCCTGCAACTACATTTGTGAGTGCTACGAATGGCCAGCCTACAATGATCAGCGGTGTTGGTCCCGCTGTAGCTCCGAGCTCCTATACCTGGAATTACACAAAGCCGACGCAGACTGTACCGGCCCCTGGCAACCAAACCCTATCTCAGAGTCTGATTAAAGCAGGCTATGGACCCAGTGTGAGTCAGCTGTTACCATCTGGCAATGGTGTTCAGGTATGTATACGTCCTATCATTGGGTCATCTAACCTTCCAGACACCGATTGGCGTGGATGGAGCCTGGGCAATCAAGGCGCCAAGTGTAGCAGTCCTCTGCACGATTGTCCTGGTTCTCCTTGGCCTCGCCACCCTGTAAAATATAACAAGTATCCGTCCTTGTTTGTGTTGTAGCTGTCGACTCTGATAATGCATGCATTATGCCACACTGAATCTTAAACGACGAGGGGAATTGTGTACCCAAGCTATAGACTATGAGAATGACGTCTGTGGTGATGCTGCGTTAGACCCAGGCATCACGTTCGGCGGTACATGTGCTGCATTCATCGCTTTCGTGGCCTGCGCCTGCGCAGAAAGCTGAGATGGCGTGCCGGGATGCACTGCCGTAGCCGGCATCATGCCTTGCGACGATGGCTTATCTTCAAGCATTTCGTACATCAGCACAAAGCTCTTTGACACCTTTTCCCATGATCCAGGGTCGAAAAAGACATACGTGCCTCGTTCATAGGTAGGTGTCTTTTGCAGTGGCTCCGTATTCGGCTCTTTCGTAAGCCACAAATGCAAGCCTTTATGATACCGCCAGTTTCGTGCATACAGCTCTTGGGCCGCTACTTCTTGTAATACGTCACGCGGCGTCGAGTAGAAAATAAAGAACAGTGTCTCATCGCTGAAACTAGCAATCTTTGTCTGGGCAGGGGGAGGGGTTTGGACATTATAGCAGCTGGGCAATTGGTACGCCGGCTCCACCTGCATAGAGGCAATGGTCGGGTCTTGAGACCACGGCGTGACAAAGGAGGTATGCAGCGGTTCCGCTGAGTCCAAGTTCATGCCAAAGCCCTGCAGATTGGTACCCATGGTGAGCATAGCCATGTCAGGGTCTTGCGTCTTGATCAAGCTAACCAAGCCCACGAGACCAAATCGGTCCACAGGCGATGACAATACCTGATAGATGGGCAAGGGAATCGCTGTGTCGCTGCTCACCGCCGGCATCGAACTGGCGTCAACCTTGGCATCGGGCGTTGCAACGGCTTCATTGGACGCGGCGGCAGCGCCAGTCCGAGGTACGGCTATCCGACTCATGCCAGTAGGCGGCTGGGAGTCGTACGATGGGGGAACCCAGCCACTAACGCCTTGTGATGATTGGTTCACAGCACTAGAAGAAGCCTCAGCAGATAAACCTGGTTTTCGCGCGAGCTCTTGAGCCTACGGGTCAGTCCAAAGGTATACGTACAATCGAGGGACGTGGCGCCTCATGTTGCCACGCTGAGCCATGGTCCGCCCCAAAGGAGGGAGCTGATGGCATATTAGAGTTTCTGCTATCCTGTGGCGCATGCGCACGATTCAGGGCAGGGAACTCGTCAGGGGTAAAGGGCGCGCCACTTCGCGGCATCATAACAGCTGAATTGGACACACCAGTGCCGGCATGACTCGCATACGTCGAGAATACGTTGGCAGACGATGGCGTCGATGCATTCGTATGATGTGGTACCTGAGATCCCAACGCAGGGAACTCGGCCATGTCGAGATTCGAGGTGCCAGACAACGCAGCGGAAGCGTAGCCAGGGTGCCCCCCTGATATGCTACCGGCGCCAAAGCCCAGCGTCTGATTAGGAGTCCAGGAAGTAGGACGGCTAGGGATGTGAATATTCACGCAAATAGAGTACGTACCCTGCAGTCATGCTCTTAAACGTAGCACGTCACCTGGCGATAGACGAAGAGGCACAAAAAGTCGTGTCCGCCGGCGGCGCCAGCGCGTTAGAACGCTGTCGCCCAGCCCTCGCAACAAAAGGGAGCCCCTGTTACGCGGACTCCACAAGTACTAGAACCGACCTACTGGGTCTACAAATACAGCCTGTCAACATGCACGCGAAAGCCTGGCGTGGAACTCGCACCGATTCGTCGCGTGCAGTTTGTTGTTTGTTATAGACCAAGATCAGCCATGGCGTCGGGGCCGCCCAAAGAGCAGATCGCAGAGATCTTCAAGAGCTTCAAGAATGCTCATAAGGCCAACAAGGTATGCTTTGACTGTGGTGCGAAGAATCCGACGTGGGCCAGTGCGACCTTTGCGGTGTACATCTGTCTGGACTGCTCGTCAGTGCACCGCAACATGGGCGTTCACATCACGTTTGTCCGATCGACCAACCTGGATTCATGGACGTGGCAGCAGCTGCGTCTCATGAAGGTGGGAGGCAATGGTGCTGCGAGTGACTTTTTCGCGGCTCATGGCGGTAGTGCCTTGCTCGCCTCTTCCACGGAAGGCAAGGTGAAGTATACATCCCAGGTAGCTCAGCAGTACAAGGAGGAGCTGCATCGCCGTGCTATGCAGGATGCAGGCGGACTCCCTCTGACGTCTCCGTTCGCGCTTCCTGGTGCAGCGGGGGCTGGAAAACTCGCGAAGACCAAGGACGATATGGACTTTTTCGATGAATGGGATGCGCCTGCACAGCCAGCGCCTGCGATTGCCGAAACACCGCTGGCAGAGGCTGTAACACAGGCAAACACAGTGCCCGTACCAGAGGCTGTGCCTGCACCAGATGCAGCGCCTGTGGCAGCTGTGCCTACGCCGCGCCCCGTGTCCTCGGCGTCCCTTCGCACGGCACAGCGACCTGGTGGCACGTTGGGCGCTGTACGTGCAGGTGCTGCACGCCCTGGTGCTGGTGCCGGTATGGGAGCTCGGCCCACCAAGCTCGGCCTGGGTGTGCGGAAGACAGCTACACCTATCAACTTTGACGAAGCAGAGCGTCGTGTGAAACTGGAGCAGGAACGTGCTGCGCAGGCAGCCCTAGAAGCCCAGGAAGCGGCGGCGGCAGCGCAGGCGGCGGCAGCTGCAGCGGCTCCACCGATCAGTGATGCCGCCGTAAGCCAGGCGGATACCTCGGCCGGGTCTACTTCGGCTTCGCTGGATACCACCACGCCGGAGAAAGCCAAGAGCCCGGCGCGTGCGAACATTTCAGGCAACGCGGGCGTGGACCGTCTTGGTATGGGCTTTTCCCGCTTGGGCTTGGCCCAAGCACGAACCAATGCAGCACTGCAGTCCAAGAGCGTGAAGAAGTCAGAAGACCCAAGCGAAGAATCTAATTATGCACGCCAGAACTTTGCGTCTCAAAAATGTAAGTGTTCGTGGTGACTAACAGCAGCAATTTCAAGCGATCAATACTTCCAACGTGGTGGATACGATCCCAACCTGTCTTCTGAGGCGCAGTCACGTCTTGCGAGCTTCCAAGGTAAGACATCCATCTCCTCCAACCAGTACTTTGGCCGGGACGACGACGATGAGGAAGACCCGGTCGATGAAACCGAAGACTTTGGCGACTTTGCGGAACTCGAAGCCTCGGCTAAGGCGTACTACCGCAAGATCATGGCCAACCCAGATGTACAACAAGGCATTGAGACCATTCGGGCAGGCGCGCTGAAACTGTCTCAGTACCTTGAGGACCTGAGCCGGAATGGCGCGTGATGATACATACACACCTCCATAGTTGATAAGCTTGGTCATGACTCTTGTATCGACACCTCGTGATTCGCGCTTCTTCCTCTTCGACCTTCCTCATGTCGACTTTTGGCAGCTACTATCGCGTATCTACGTTTGGAGAATCACACTGCAAGGCTGTGGGCTGCATTGTGGATGGCATCCCACCTGGCATTGCAGTCGAGGAGCAGGACATTCAACGCCAGCTGACGCGACGTCGCCCTGGCCAAAGCTCTTTGACCACACCTCGTGATGAGAAGGACAAAGTCGAGATCCTGTCTGGTACTGAGCGCAACGTAACACTGGGTACGCCTGTAGCCATGATGGTGCGCAACCAAGACCAGCGCCCGCATGATTACACGGACGACACGTTGGATGCAATTCCTCGCCCTAGCCACGCTGATTACACGTACTTGGAGAAGTACGGCGTGAAGGCGAGCAGTGGTGGTGGACGCAGCAGTGCTCGTGAAACAATTGGACGTGTAGCCGCTGGTGCCTTGGCGGAGAAGTACTTGAAAGACACGCTGGGCGTGGAGATCGTGGCTTTCGTGTCCTCTGTCGGCCGTGTGACGCTGCCCTCGTACAACGATGAGGATGATGAAGAGCCTTTATCGAAGGAGTATGTGGACATCCTCAACACCGTCACTCGCGAGCAAGTCGATAAGGAGAATGTGCGCTGCCCTAATGCCGAAGTGGCTGAGCGTATGCGTGAGGTACGTACTACGTGGACTAACCATGGTAGCGCATCATGGCTGCGAAAGAAAAGAATGATTCCATTGGTGGCACTGTGACATGTGTGATCCGCAATGTTCCAGTGGGCCTTGGTGAGCCATCGTTTGACAAGATAGAGGCCAAGCTTGCTCATGCTATGCTCAGCATTCCAGCGACGAAGGGCTTTGAAATTGGCTCTGGTTTCCGTGGTACATGCGTTCCTGGCAGCAAGCACAATGACCCCTTTTTCGCTAAGACGGATGGCACACTGGGTACTACGACAAACTGGAGTGGTGGTATCCAGGGCGGTATTACGAATGGTGAGAACATTTACTTCCGGTATGTGGCAATGTGCCTATTGTTTCTGACATTGTAGCATTGCTTTCAAGCCCCCGGCAACCATTTCCCAAGAGCAAAACACAGCGCGCTACGATGGTCAGCCGGCTGTACTTGAGACGCGTGGCCGACACGATCCCTGTGTCGTGCCCCGGGCCGTCCCCATCGTCGAATCGATGGCAGCACTGGTGCTCATGGACATGGTGCTTGCTCAGTCTGCCCGTACGGGTGCGGCAAGCCGTGTGGACCCGGCCGCTGTGAGTGCGCTGCCAAAGAGCATGAAGAAGTACAACCACGCGTGAACATTGACGTCATCCTTCATATAGATGTGATAATGAAAACGCAAAAAAAGTATAGAAGAAAGGAAGTACATATGTACCATTGAAAGCTGCAGGAGGTATCTAGCGTGAGAAACTTGGTATACAATAGACGATGAAACATCGCTAATTTATTTCTTCTTGCCTTTCATCGTAGCACGACGACCCTCACCTGGACATTGTTAGTTTCATCATTTATAACACGTCTCTACAAATACATACCCTTCTTAGGTGGCCCCTTTCCAAGCATCCTCTTGCGGTCAACATCCTTAAGACGCTGAAACTCTTCCGGAAGCATCAACGATGGCATTTCAGGAATAACAGCACGGATAGAAGAAAGTTTCACTTGCGGCGGATAGTACTTGAGCATCGCATCGCCAACCAGAGCTTTCTTCAAATACTTTGCTCCCGTACGAACATTGTTGGGGTTATATGTGGTACCAAATACTTGGCACCGAAGTGCATTGAGGGCCGCTAGAGACTTGGCCGGTACACTTGGCATCGTATGTAGAGGAATTCCAGACCAACTTGCGACGATAGCTCGACGTTGATCACGTGCAGTCCTCCACACCTAGGACAAGGTGGGGACAGATAATGCCGTGAGCCGACGCTTAAGTTCGCTACAGAAGCATTGTGAAATACTTCAACAGATATTTGACAATGATGCTATAATTATAAAGTTGATAAGTATGTATATGTTTCAAAGAGAATGTTTCAAAAAATTATTTCATGAAACACTTCAACGGTGGTAGGACAAAAGCTCCTCCAGATCATGCAAATGCGCAAGGCATTCCATCATAAGTTAAACGTTACATCAAGGGAAAAGAGAGTCTTGGTCTTTAGTCTCTGGCTCGGTCATCGACGTATGGGCCTGTGACTGTGTATGAACGGCATCGGACCCAAATAGAGTAGACGTCGCCGATGCACGGACAAACGCATTCGCCTGGATCGGCTCAGCCAAGCCATGGATTTGAGAGCTAGAAGAATCGTGAGCCAACGTAGATGAAGTTGAGAGCTTAGGCAGCTCAACAATCTCCAATTGAGAAGGGGCGGCTTCATACGTGGGGACTTGATGGATGGGAGCAGAGGCGAGTGTGGGCACAGCATCAAGCTCATCCTCCTCTTCATCTTCGTATGACCCATCAGATTCGCCATCGGAAAGAACATTAGGGTCTTCGTTACGCAAGACGGGAACAACAGGGCCGACGATTTCATTCGCATCTTTGACTTTCTTAGAGCTCTGGGTAGTGGCTCGAGTAGCACCTGTGCCAATCGGCAGTTTCTCGTCGCTATCAGTCTTCTTCTCGCAGAGTTCAGAAGTAAGAGTGGCAGAGGGTGAAATCTTCTCCTGAGGAGCTTCCTCGTAACGCATGCCAACAATACGCAAATTAGCCAAGGCCTTTTCGCGATCCTCCATCGCTGACGAAGAGAATTTGAATCGGTCACTCACGCTGATCCATGTGCGAAGCAGGACAAGCATGAAAGCACAGAAGAGGACAACAACCACGGGAATAATGATCATCATCAAAGAAGAAATGGGAACACGCGAGTGAGGGAATGCCTGGAAAATGTAATAGCCATCAGGATCATGCTTGATATTGGCATGACTCTTAATTATTACATTTTCCTTCGCATCGTCAAGTGCGAAGGGAGCAGCAAGGACAAACCCTTCCTCTAACTTAGGAAAACCTGGCTGCTCTGGCGAGGATGCATCGAGAATCAAAGGGTTAGCCAGTGCTACCCGAGTAAATACAGCAAGGTTAAGGATAATTTTGGTAGCCATGCTGGTGACGTTACAGCAAGAACTACCGAGAGATAAAGACAATTGTAAATGAATGAACTACCAACGAGAGCTACAGCGGGCCATTGAACAAAACACCCCGTGCTGACACCGAGAAGGTTGCTTCAAATTAGGTTACACGGGTTACTTCACATACTGATCAGGTATTCAATTGTCCAATTAGAGATAATTGTATATTGTATTTATAGAAGACTTGCAAATAGTCATGCAGGGGCCTCTGTATGCATCTCTAGACAGCTTAAAAACCGTTACTAAATCTTAGTTACCCATGCACAATTTTGCCAATCCTAGATCTATATTTATAAAAAGATTATAGCCAATCAATATGCATAGGAAACAATAGAACAATAAACTCACCGGGATATGGCATATAGAAACGTGCCAGGAACCTATGACTAAGGGCCATACGCGGGAAGCCTGCAGAAATAAAATAAACAACAGCCAAATAGTTACGCTTCGAGGAAATTGTCGCTCTTAAAATACGACCTCGCTATTGTCATATGTATATAGCCAATCACATGTATGTTTAGGCAAGGCCTCAGTACAGTTAAAGCAAGAACCGTGAAACTGCGCCTTTGATTCGCTTGTTTACATAAGCCTCAAATCGCCGCCAACGGCGTCTACTGCATAACCAGTGGTTAATGAAGCGAGCTCGCTCTTGAAGTCCGCAATTTAACGGACTTGGCTGTGAACTTCCGACCCCGTGCCTGGCAAATAAGTTTGGCCCCAAATAAGCCTACTTTATCTCTCAAAGAGGTAAGTCGGCTTTGTCTCTCCTTCACCCATCGCTCTTGGACGGTCTACGGCGTCAAGAGTGCGGAAGGTACACAGCTGCTCCGCTTAGTTAACACGTAAATTACGGCAAGCATTGGTATGGAACGGTTAACAAGACCCCATCAGACAGAGGGCTCGTTATTTACCAACTCACGGAGTCCATCAGCCTCGCCGCACCCCCCTTCCATGAGTGAAGATGGCTCAGACTGGGATTCAGACAAATCCTGCACTACTCCAAAGTCTGATATCCAATTCGTGAGCGAGCGCTGCCCGACCTACGTCGGGTATATCAAGACGCCTGCTGATGCCATTCTTCTTTTGGCAGCCTGTGATCTTCCAGATGCACCCGCGAATCCGCGCCTTCCGACTCCGCCGCGCAGAATCTCGCGGAGATTGCTTGACAATGAACGTGCGGCACTGATTCACTCAGGATCGATCTTTGTTTGGGATGAGCGAGAGGCAAGCATGAGGCGGTGGACAGATGGTCGCTGCTGGAGCGCCAGCCGTGTTAGTGGATGTTTTCTCACTTACCGAGAACTTGAAGTTCGGAAAAAGAACTCGGAGAATGTCAAAGATGGAGCAAAGATCAACTTGTATAAGCCAGATGGCCTGATCAAGCAGTCTTTCAGTATTACCACTGCCTCCAACCGGAAATTGCATGTAATTTCTTACTTTAGTAAGAACGATATCAGGTCGGGACGTTTGCAGCGCGTCAGCAAAGACCCTCGTATTGTTGGAGCAAACCAAGACTCGTGGAATGTCCGTGTTGACGAACATGAATACGGTGAATTATTGAATCGTGAGACGGAAGAAGTCCCGAACTACCTGATCATGAATTCGGAAGTGTCATTTGTGTCTTCAACACCTTATATGGGTGTTAAACGCTCCCATGAAGACGACGTTTTTACGTCAAACGCTTCGGACGACGCTGCGTATGCCACTGGCAGGTCCAGGGCCCCAGCGTTCCGAACTTATGACTCTCAATTCCCATCTCGCCATTATGGTGACGTGCGCAGTCATGTTCCGACGGATGATATGAATTATAAGCGTATTCGGTATGATGGGCATTATTCGCCACCATACCCCCCACACTATTCGAGCCAGGGTGTCTGGAAACCATCTTATGAGATGCCGTTGTACAGCATGGGGAAAAGGACAAGTATGTCTCCCCCTATGCCTCCAAAATACCCATCGCAGTCATCATACCCATTTGAGTCACAACGACCTCATACCAGTATTCGCTCTATTTCTCAGTCTGTGGATGCCGAAAGGGGGGCTATGGTTGCACTTGCAAACCTGCGCGGGCATGGAGAAAGGACAGTGTCTTCGTCTTTGCCGCGACCAGAACTCCCCCGCCTGGCCAGCACTCTGCGCTCAGCGCCGCGTTACCCGTCTATGTCTTTGACGGATCGCCGTACCCTTCAAAAACTCAGTGTCCCGATGTAGTATCAATATTTAGCCCCTAGCTTCATACCTCTCTGAACAATGCAGTATATAACCCACCCTGGCGAAGAATTGTGCAAGTGCACCTCAATCTGGGAGTCTTTGGAGTTCAAGGACACGCGCAAGCTGGTCGGTATCAATGTGATTGGTGGTCTATATTTACCTCCACGTAAATACATCCAACACGTAGTCCAGCAGCCCCCATCATAATGTCGGTGCGCCAGCGCGCCGAGTATTCGCCATCTAGATATAGGGTGGCGCCATCTATGAACTACCGTATGTATTATACTTGAATCTGACAAGCAATAGCATATCCTGCACCTGCACCTGAAAAAAAGAGACGGTATAAGCCTGGCACAGTGGCGCTTCGAGAAATCCGGAAATACCAGCGTTCTACAGACTTGTTGATCTCAAAGCTTCCTTTTGCACGTGTGGTCCGTGAGGTAGCGGATGAATTTATCGAGGCCAACTATGACTCCAGTGCTAGTGCAGTGGGTCTACGATGGCAAAGTTCTGCGATTCTTGCGTTGCAGGAAGCGACAGAAGCCTACCTGGTCCACCTGTTTGAAGATGCGAACTTATGTGCCATCCATGCCAAGCGTGTAACGATCATGCAACGTGACATCCAACTAGCACGTCGTATTCGAGGTGTTTGGGGCGGTATGGGGTAATGGTACAAGACGTTCTATGACCTTATACAAAAATGAGAGGCGCGCCATGTCACAGCCACGCATCATAGTTGCAAGCGCGGCTTTTTCCGTTGCACCCAGCTATCCAGCGACCGCCAGAAAAAGGCGACAAGCTGTTTGTCTGTATGCCGCTTCGTTCGGTCCACCTGTATATTGTAAGTCCAGAGAAGTCAAAGCCCACGTACCTGGAGCTGGGTTACGTTCCAATCCTTCACCTGAGCACTTGGGGCTTCGTTGTTCCAGCGCACATAGACACCCATAGCTAATGTTGTATGAGTACATGTCATCGTATACGTACCATTTCGGAATAGATCACGCGGGTCGGTCCATCGGTAGGATTTGAACTGCCACGCCTGACCCGTGGTAAAAACAGCAATCACACGATTCCATGGATCCTGGGCGCTGCCAGGGGGACCATTGCCGAGTCGGTTCACAGCCTCTGCATTGTCCACCACAAGGATACGGCGCGTGAGAGAGCCAGTCTGGCCGGTAGAGCTACTCTCATCTGACGAGGGTGCTCGAATGGTAACGACCAATTCCGCTAAGCCATTCGCTTGTTGTCGAGCTTCTTCGGGCGGGACGAAGACGCCATCTTGCAAGAGGGCCTTGACATTAAACATATTGACAAGGGCAGTAGGGGAATTTGACAAGAGAATGATGGGGTCTTGCGCACGAGACTTGCGAGCTGCATTGGCTGGAGCACTCGTCGGTGGATTTTTGGCGGAAGACGACGTCGCGGCCTTGGCTGACGATGACATACGGCGCTTCGCAGCCTCTAGCTGCGGTGCAAGCTGCTTGCGCAGGCCCAATAAGTCGGACGAGGAGCGTGTTCCAGGCGCCACGTCGTCCGCCTCTGTACAATGCGACCCGCGCAAAGCATCGTCACGTTCCAGCAAGACAACTTCGTACTTGGACCGTAAACGGCGTACAAATTCTGCATCCTCTGCATCCGGTACATATACCCGCTTTGTGGTATGTGTTTGAGCCTCAGTGCCTGGCTGAGCTGTGGACGCGGAGGCGGCTGAAGGCGCTGTGCCATTGGGTGCGGTAGCGTCTTCCCCAGTTCCGGGTAGCGGTACAACACCGTCCCAGACCTCGCGCTTCCCAAGCAGGTACTCGAGTACAGCTGGACGTTCTAGAGCTGGTAGAGGTGTCATTTGTGCAAGAGTAGCACTGCGCAAGTATGCACCCGTTCGCTCGTCGCGTTGCTGCACGGCAAAGACGAGAGCTGCGATGGACATGAATGCCTCAGGCTCAGACTCGGGTGTCGGCGCACCGCCCTCCCGTGCCTTGGTATCATGCGTACGTAGGATTCGTGTAGGTGTTCCAGCGGGATACACTTGTTCCGGCGCGGCATCGGATACCTGCAGGGTGGTGGCATCCACGTGCAAAATGACAACCGAAGCAGCGTCCTTCACAGAGTCGACGACAGCGCCATCGGTATCGCGTAGTTGGATGTGCTGAAGCGGCGCATCGGCTGATGCGCAAAGAGAGGCGCGAAGGCTCAGGAGAGGATCCAGCGATCCGACCGCGTCGCCCATCGTCGTCAGGGAGAATCGGTAGGTCGACTGCCCAACTCATCCTCGCACCACGACTGGGCGTGGGCCTAGCAGTCTGGCTTATGTAAGACACGAAGGGCAACGAGAGGACGTGAAACTACGGCGCGCGGCCCTTCCAGGGGGGCGAAGGCGGGGAAAGTGTGTGTCGTAACATAAACCTATAGAGAAAGTCGCCCGCGGGCTGCAACAGAAAGACGAGGTGATAGGCGCACCATCGTATTCACGACAAGATGTCGCATGATCCGGATAAACACGTGGAGCATGTTCAAAACAAGCTGCGTGCCTTTTTCCGAAGCCTGCGTCACCCGGCTGAGCCGCAGGCGTACTAAAAATGGGACACTACAGGCCATACGCCTGTACCCCAGCATGCAAAGAACGCAAAGGACGAGAGTGCTGCAGCGACACGATGAACGAGCACGACGCGCTCGACGTGCTGCCATTGATGCAGTTGGTACAATGGGATGGAATCAGGGGCATGCTGCGAGAGGAATTGTACGCCGCGGTGACTGGGTCCAAAGACCACAGGATCATTGGGTGCTGCCTGGGGAGAGATGGGTGACATGTGCTGAAGAAGCCGGTTCTTCATACACATGGACATCGCAAAGGGCGGGCCGTAAGGGTGCAGTCCTACGCGGTACGACGCAAAGGACGGAGGCGACCAAGGCGAAAGAAGCATCGCATGATCGCCTGCACACCATCCACCGAAAATCCAGAGCCATGGCATGCCCAGGAATCCGAACCAAAACAGACGCACAGCATCGGGATCGGCTATGGGCTTTTCGGGTCGCGGATGCAAAACATGATACGGCACCCGGGATCGTGACGAGTGCGTACGATCGCTCATCCATGGGGACCGTGTCCCTCGCTCGTCCTCGTACTTAAAACGGGGCGGAGAGCGTCGCGACATACCAGGCTGCTCCAGCCCATGCATTTCCGCCAAATGCAAGGGACGTAAGCGTGTCCGAGAAGCGGGCACTGGTGTACTGGGGCTAGAGGAGGAATGGTCATAAAGGTCATCATCGTCAGGCACCGACAAAGAGGGCGACATGTGAATGTACAGGCCATGCAAATCACCAGCAGAGCCACGTCGGGAGGACCGCGCGGGAGGCCCTGTCGGTGTATCCTGCAAGGACTCGTCGCCAAAGTACTTGGACACAAGCTGCAGGGATCGCAGTGGCGGGGACGCTGGATGCGTCGATAGAGCCAGGGCGGCCCACTCTGTCAGCTCACCTTCAGGCATAGCGGCTGGTGGCGTCGTAGGTACAAGCTGTGCAGGGGTATGCGGTGATCCATACGATGGCTCAAAGGCGTACATGAGCCCTGGGAACCATCGCTCGAGACCACTATGCGATGCAGGTGATGCATCATCACGATGCCATGCCTGCTTGTGAAGATGTGACGAAGCATCGCTGATGGTTTGCCGCCGCGTATGTGCCCGAGGCGGCGGCGCTGTGGGCGTGGAGACGACCCCTGAATGACTGGGAGAGCGAGCCAGTCGCGGCGGTTCTGTGACGACGCGCCGAGTCAGTACAGACGGGTCCTTGGTCTGGAACGACACACCTAGCCCATGAAGATGCGAATCAGGCGATGGCATAGGTGGTCGACGAGGCTGTGTTCGTGAGAGACGTGGGGATGAGTGTGTAGCCATCGATGGAGATCCGCCAGAGAAGCTCGGCTCAGGAAACCCAGACTGGAGTGGCGTATCGATAGAGCGAGACGCAGTCGTGGCAGATTCGGAAAAAAGGGGCGAACTGCTGGATTGGGAAGAGCTGCCTAGTGTAGGCACCGAGCTGGCCGCATAGGAAGGGTACGCAGAAGGCTCAAACCGCATAAAGGAGGCGTCGTGCGCCGATAAAGGGTACTTGGCATGACTTCCTACCATTCGCCAAGGCGGCAGTGTTCGCGAGGCCGCTTCGGCGGACGCAAGACCAGGCATCCGCGGTGAGCGCCACGAACGATACAGATCATGATTGTAGTCCATAGGGTCCGGCATACCACCCCACAGATGCGTATCTGCGTGTGCTTCCTTGGACTCGTACATGGACGGAGAGGCGTACATGCCACGCCGGCTCGCACCGTCACGAATGTATGCCATACCCGACCGCCTACGCCGCATCGTGCCAGGCGCCGAGGCCGAGCCGGGAGACTGAGTCTCTCCCCCCGCCCCGGGAAGAGCGCCTTGGCGATCCGTAGGATCAGAGGAATAGAAGACATCGCGAGACATGACGGCGCATGTAAGCGTCAATGTCTCTCACCACGTCGACACGTAGGACCGAGCAAACAAGCCGTCGACGTGGATGGAGAACGCAGTGTTCATAGATGTCTACAGCCAATAAGCAACCGCACGTGGAGGACCGCCGAGAATGCGTCGCCCCACACCTGCCAGCGCTTGGCATACGACCGCCCATGGTGACCGTGCCCCTACGTAAGACGTGGCATTGTAGCACGCCATGAGAGCTACCAGGGACCAAAGCTACGTACATGCTACCTACTACACCCGCATCTCCTCTTATGCGAAATACACAGAATAGCCCCCCTATATAGCTTCCTCGTACAGACTTCTGCCGCGATCGCCGCATGGTAACGACGTGTCTATGCGATGTCGTAAAGCAAAGTCGCCAGCCATGGGCATGTCTGAACGCCTGCCTACCTGCAACGAAGAGCCTCGCAAGCCGATAAGAAAAACCCAGTCCTGGCAAATGTATTATCTCCAACCTCCACATCCAAACGCACACACCGGTGACACGTGGCGTCTATCCATCGACCACCAGCATGAAAGGCATCGCACAAGAGAATTATGCATACGCCCCGGACGAGCTCCCTATGGGTGGCACGATCCCTTCTGAGCGTCTTCCAGAGGGTATGGAGATGCCGCGCCTCTTTCAGCCCCTTGAATTGACCTGCGGTAGGAAGAAGATGGTACTGAAGAACCGCGTAGCAGCGGCGCCTATGTGCATGTACTCGAGTCGGGATGGTTTCCCGACCCCGTTCCATGTGGCGCACCTAGGTCAGATGGTGCTTCATGGCGTAGGTACCGTCCTCGTGGAAGCGACAGCCGTGTCGGCTGACGGCCGCATTTCGCCGAATGACATGGGTATATACAAGGAGGAGCATGTGCCTGCACATGCTTCCCTCGTCGCCTCGCTGAAGAGCATGTCGGGTGGCGTTCGTGTGGGTATTCAGCTGGCTCATGCGGGACGTAAGGCCAGTACTTGGCCGATGGTGAAGACCCGTGCTTCGCCCAGCTCGCCCAATGTCCCAGTCGACCAAGGTGGTTGGGAAGTGGTGGGCCCATCGCCCATTCCGTTCGGCGAAAAGTACCTGGTACCCCACGAGCTGTCCTACTCGCAGATTCGTCACTTGGAGGACGAATTTGTGCGGGCCGCTGACCGTGCTTTCCGTGCTGGCTACGATTTCGTGGAACTGCATTCGGCGCATGGCTACCTCATGTCGTCGTTCAACTCCCCCATGTCCAACAAGCGCACAGATATGTACGGCGGGTCGTTTGAGAATCGTACGCGTTTCCTCTTGAACATCGTCCGTCGCATCCGCGATCAGTTCCCCGACAAGGGCCTGTGGATACGTCTCAACGGCACTGATGGTATGGAAGATGCAGAAGAAGAAAGCTGGACCGTCGAATCAACGGTAGAACTGGCGCCATTGCTCGAGGAGGCCGGTGTAGATTTGCTGGACCTGAGTAGTGGTGGTATCGGCAAAGAGCCCTCGTTCGCAAACAAGCCTGGTTATCAGGTCCCATACTCCAAGGCAGTCAAGGATCTGGGCCTCAGCCGTATGCATGTAAGTGCTGTGGGCGCCCTTAACTTTGGTACGGAAGAAAAGCCTACTATGTCTGGTCTATTCGCAGAACAAATGCTTCAATCGAACGCTACGGACTTGGTAACGATCGGACGTGCACTCCTAGGCGACCCATGCTGGGTTGAAAAGGCGGCGGAGAACCTCACAGGTGTTCCATGTGTGCATGCCTTGCAGTATATTTATGGTGTTGGCTCACTGAAGAAGTTCACGCCTGGGCAACCCAAGTAGAAAGACAAAGGCAACTTGCACGTATAGAAGGACTGATGGTTGTGTGGAGCTGCCACGTGGTAGGCTGGGTCGGGTTCCCGGCTTTGACCGTGACCCGAGAGAATTTCTCGTCTCTACCTTACCTAGTAACAAACCGCTATGGACCCCCTCGTGTACAAGAAGTACGTGTCATATGTGCCGTAGCGCTCCTGTCGTGTGCTTTATGTTGGGCAATGGTTTTTTAACGTGGACCTGGCCGGCATGGGACTGTGGCGCTATGCTTTTACAAAAAATGTTGCTTCGGACAGATAAGGACTAACACACGCAGGAACACTATCCCCCAGCGCCAGCGCATCTACCAGGCTGACCCGCGCCCTGTGTACCAGCGTCTTCCGGGCTCGAAGCTGTACTTCGGTATCTTCCAGGTGTTTTTCTGGACTGGTATCGCCGGTATCTCGGTGGGTACTTACAACATGATCATGGTATGTATTTTTACAAAAATGATGAACAATGACTTGCTAACACGTGTGGTAGGGCAAGAAGCAGTAAATGCTAGCCTTGCACCGTTGAATGCTGGCATGGGATCGCCTGTTGCGTCCATTTCATAACCAACGCAATGGCTCATGCCATGCTATCATTCGATCATGTTTTTTATCCTTTTCTGCTACGCCATCACTTAGTATGACTCCAGTAGATTGAATATTGGTGTCTCTGACGTTTGCTCTGGTGTCTAACATACATCAGTGGACCACTACATTATATGTGGTAGATCGAATTTTGTCAAGGTATAAGATGTGTCTGTTCTATGAAAAGGAGTGTATCAGCTAGTTGTGTGTGCCGCCCTCCTGGATTCATTGGTTCTTTGTCGTAGGAGAGGATGTAGTCTGTAGCGTGAGAGTTTGCGTCTTCAAATGCGCCCTCTACGCCTTCTGCACTTGTCGTTCGGTTGCCCCAAACAGAAGGTAGCTCAAAATTTGGCAATTTTAGTCATCTACCACTCAACCTCAGAGGCCAGATCGCTATCATTAAATTCATCATTCGAGTCCGTGAGCTCCAAGTCCGTCGAAGGCGGGGTGTCGAGACCCGCAACACCCTGCTGCAACAGACCAGCTGTCAAGGGACGCGGGGGACGGGTATATGCAGTAGAAGACGCCACACTTGATGCCATGCTGGCAGTCGTACTAGCAGAACTGCTCCTGCGATGCCGTGGGCGCTGCGTCCATGCGCGCTGCGCTCTTGTACCCCGCAACAATGGATTAGGATGCATAATCCACGTCAGCCGCGCATTCTCCGTAGACGACAAGGACTCTGTTCGTGAGAAACTCGGGCAGTCCAATGTTCGTGCTACGCAATGCACAGCCATGCGAGCATAGCCATCATCGACACGCCATACAAGGCAGGTCGGAGATCGGCGGAGCTCGACAATTGCATCTTTCCCCGTGCCATCGGCATGCGAAAGCAACACACGCGGCAATACACCACTGTTCCCCGTCTGTATATGCACCATTTGACGAAGCCATGCCTGTATCTCTCGTTGCGCTGTGCCTATAAGCTGCTCGACAAATGTCAGCGGAGCTTTTGTCGGCGCAGAGGCATCCTGAGAAATTGACATCGCTTCAAACATGTCCGAAAATACTTCGGAAGAGTATGCACGCCCAAGCCGTAAACGAAGGTACTGCTGTGCATCTCGCAAACTCAAGGTGAACTGACCTTGCAACGCGGAAGTCATCTCAAACGTAGCCACATCGTGGCCAGGCAGCAAAACATCGGCCACCACATCGCCTTTGTTGCCTGTCACCATAGACAACGTCTCCAAGTTTGGGCCCGCAAAAGTCGAGCGAACTTCGTTTGCAGGCACCGTGTAGTCCTTAGGACATGGTCGGACTGTATGTGGGTTCGATGCAAAGCGGCCTAGGATGTTAGCACGTCGAGAGCGTGACGACACGTACTGTTTTCACTGCGACGAGCACGACGCTTTCCCACATGCTTTGCATTGGGAGACACAGAGGCGGATGGGCGAAAGAATCCATCGCGCGTCTGTCTCGATGAGGGCTGGGTATGGCTAATGCGAGGGTTTCGCAGAATGGCAGGCATGGACATCGGTATCGGGCCGTCGCGCACGGGGGCGGAGGGGGATGATCCACCCCCATACTCTGTCAACACGTTAGGCATCGATGAATCATGCGGCTGCTCTACATTTGAAACGCTTTCCAAGATTGACGGCGTCTCGAGTGGCAATGACATGCAATTCGAGGGTCAATGGCAAGTCGACCGCATCCTTTCTTTCCTCCACGTGCAAAAACAGCAACCGCGTTAGTAGATTTTCTCATGCAAAGGTTTATTTTTGGCTTGAAACTACGTTGCTTATTAGATACAAACACATCACGTCCCCTTCCGACAGGGAGGCATGGTACAAAAGGCGTAATATATAAACTTAACGTATGCGGATGAGCCAAGCCGCAATGTAAGCGATGGATAAAGGGTTCATAGGTGGAAAGGAGTTCGTGTGTGTAGCCGAAAAAGGACAGCAGAGAGGGAGCATAACGAGCCTGGTATTTATCTGGGCACAAAGAACGAGCTTCCACCTGACGAGTTACGTGTCATGCCAGTAGAAAGGGGGTAGTCAGCGGCCGCTGCCTCCTTGTGGTCGTTCGGCGAGGGTGTGCGCGACTGGTCAAACGTGCGCGACATGCCGCGCGACAAGTTGTCGTGCGATTGTACCGAGCCATCGTAGTCAGAGAGCATGTTATCCTTTGTATCCCAGTTTGCATGGCGCGATCCGACACTGAATTCGAGGTCCTCACGTGTAATCGAGTCCCAGTATTTGTATACCATCATCACGGAAAGCAGGGAACAGAGGGTACCGAAGAATGTGCCATCAATGTAGTGCTTCACGCTCTCGCAGATCTGGTTGCTGAAGCCGTACATGAGAATGCAACCAGCCGCAAAGGCCAAGCAGCCACAGATAATGTCATTCAGAGGCCACAGTTCATCCAGCGTGCGAAGCACCAGGATGACTTGCGAAACGACATAGAACAGCACCATAATCACAGGGAATGCAAACTCAAAGAACCACAGACCTGCCTGGTCCTTGATGTTTCCATTGTACGTCTCTGCCGCGACAACAAAGGAGATGATCCACAGAATCAGCGCGCTGATGCGCATCGACCAAAGGGAGAGGGCCGAGCCATCTTCAGCGAACTGGAAGCCAACAAAACCGTTGAGCATCAGGCACCAAAAGATAGCCGTCTTAAGGCCGATATAAATGGCCGTAAACCACTGCAAGTTAGCTGGGTCACGATGTTCATACATACCAGGTATGCGCCCATGTACGTGGGAATCACAGCCGAGTCCAGGAACATGACCAGGAACTCCGAAATACCGTACAAGATCAGGAAAAAAAGGATTTCCTTGCGACCTACTGCCGTGTATTTCGAGTTGACGTGCCAGAGCATAATAAATGTCATAATGATCGCAGCCATATGGATAATACAGGTAGCTGCAGTTGTTAGCCGTTGTGCCAAACGTACCCGGCTGGAAAATAATCGTGTTGTTAATATCAATGTTACGCGAGTAGCATTGCGGCACCAATCCCGTTGAACCACCCAGAAGAGGGCACGACACCATAGCAATTGTGTCGCAGACACCATTGTAGTTTCCGAACGAAAAACCCATAGCGTCTACAAGCCGCCGTCAAGGGAGAAAGGTAAAGGTCGTTTTCGAGGTTGACGACAAGATTCTGACATCGAAACACGGGCCTACCAGGCCTTCCAACACGGAGAAAGAGGCGGGCAAAAAGGCGACTACAAAAAAACATGCTGACATCATCACACAGCCGTGCATACTCTACGACAAAGCCTATTTAAGGCCGCAAGTAGCAGCATACAAATTCGACTTCAGAAAGAAGAGGAGGGGACGAGGAGACTACTAAGCCGCGGGGTACTGCATGCGGGACTCGAGACCCCGCAAGTTTTCTTCCTTGGCCAGGAGCTCCTGACGCTTCTCCATAATCTCACGCTGCACGCGAAGCTCGATTTCACGCAGCTTCTCCTCTTCGCGACGCAACTGTTCTTCTTTAAGGCGCACACTCTGGTTCATCAGATCTTCGCTCTGGAGCGAGGCATCCGCGGCATAATCCGAAGGCATGCCGCGCGAGAGCTTCTCAGTACGGTAGTTCTCGTAGAGGAAGTCGTGTGTAATCTCCTTTAGGTCGTTCAAGTGCGTGCCAAAGATCGCCCCCTTGAGACGAGCAAAGTCACAGTGCTCTGGGTTGTACACTTCGACAGTTCCCCACGGGTACGCGCGACCGAGCACCATCTCGCCCGTCGCCGACGGCACATGGTCCTCCGAGCTCACAATAGCAAACGGAAGAAGCGAGCGCAGCTCACTGTTCTCTGCAATCGTGTCAGGGTGGTCCTCTTCCATGTCGAAGGGGAAGTTATAAATAGGAATACCGTAGTACTCAATGTCCTCCATCACACGCTTACGGAACTCCAGCAGTTCCGTGGGCGAGAGCGAGTCTGCTTTACCAATGACCGGAATCACGTTAACACGCGGACTCAAGCGCTTCATGAATTCAATGTCCACCTCGCGCAGCGAGTGACCCGTCGGCGTAATGAAGTAAATCAGAGCGTGGACACGATTGTCACGGAAGCGAGGGTTACGACGAATACGCGACTCTTCCGAGAGAATGTCGTCATACTGACGTTCAATAAAGGACAGGATCTCCTCAAACATGTATGTGTTGTCGATGCTGTCGCCAAAGCCGGGTGTGTCCACCACGGTAAGGCCGATGCGCATACCCTCCGCCTCAACTTCTGTTTGATGTTAGCCCTTCCCTCAAGGTGCCTGGTACATACCAAGGTTTACGGGCTGGATCTGGAGTCCCAGCTCAATGCCAGCTGCCTGAGCATTGTCTGCGTCCTTGTGCTCAATCACATTTTGCTCGCACAAAGTGTTGACGAAGGTGGTCTTGCCTTCGCATGTTAGCGTGTGGTTGTTGCATTACGAACACATACCTGAGCCACTAGCGCCCACTACCATGAGGCAGAAAGACACACCCTTCTTCGCAGGGCGTCGTCGCGATTCTATGGTCGAGCGCGCGTCCATGGTGATCACCGTCAACCAAGTGTTGCAGTAAGAAACCGAGTGTCTGTGTTGCTTGGGCGACTTGACCAAACAGCGGGGCGCCTTGTCCGTGGCTGGAGTTGACTGATGAACATCCACGTGTGCCACGCGCACAGATCACGTGACACGGACGAGGACGAGGGAGGTGGAGAAGCCCGACCGGCGATCCGACGAGTCATTTCGTGTCGTAAGCTGACGCAATCGAGGCGAAAAAGTTCATGCGCGGATCGGCAGAGAAGACCGGGTTAGCGTCCTTGCACCATGACTGCGCCGGTCCAAGCTTTTACGCGTGCTAAGCCGGCAACATCGCCGCGCGATGCATCGCCTTTTTCAATGATGGCTATGCAGCAGGCGATTGCCGAGCCTTTGGCACAAGAAATTGTTGCGCTTGAAGGTCAATCGCCCCCTTCGCATCTGCATGGTCGCACGCGCTCTGTATCGATCCCTGGCTCTTCCAAGGCGCCGCGTATGCTGCAGCCTGTGAACATGGATACCATCCGCATTCTTCTTCTAGAGAATGTGAGCCAGGGTGCTGTGAAGATGCTGCGTGAGCAAGGTTTCGAGGTCGACTTTTACACGGGCGCGTGGGGCGAAGACGAGCTAGTGGAGAAGATTGGCGACTACCATGCGATCGGTATTCGCTCCAAGACACGTCTAACTCGTCGTGTGTTTGAGGCAGCCCATCAGCTGCTGGTTGTGGGCTGCTTCTGCATCGGCACGAACCAAGTGGACCTGGAGGCAGCGACCAAGCACGGTATTGCCGTGTTCAACTCACCCTTTGCGAACTCGCGTTCAGTGGCTGAGCTGGTGATTGGCGAGCTTGTGTGTCTGTCGCGCCAGTTGGCCGACCGTGCGATGGAAATGCGTCAGGGCACCTGGAACAAGGTGTCGAAAGGCTGCTACGAGCTGCGTGGCAAGCTACTTGGAATTGTGGGCTATGGTCACATTGGCTCACAGCTGTCTGTGTTGGCTGAGTCGATGGGTATGCGTGTGATTTACCATGATGTGCTGCCGCTCATGCCACTCGGCAGTGCGCGCCAGGCCGATTCGCTGGAAGAGCTGCTTAGCACGGCGGACTTTGTGAGTCTGCACGTACCTGAGCTGCCTGAGACGCGTGGTATGATTGGTGCCAAGGAACTGGCGCTGATGAAGCCTGGCGCTTACCTGATCAACAACTCGCGTGGTACTGTGGTGGATATCCCTGCCCTTGTGGATTCGCTGAAGAGCAAGCATCTGGGTGGTTGTGCTGTGGATGTGTTCCCTCGTGAGCCGGCGAAGAATGGCGAGAATACGTTCAATGACGAGCTGAACTCCTGGGCGTCGGAGCTGCAGAAGCAGAGCAACGTGATTATGACGCCGCACATTGGTGGTAGCACTGAGGAGGCGCAACGTATGATTGGTATTGAGGTCGGCAATGCACTGTGCCGTTACATTCTGTACGGTGGCAGTACTGGTGCGGTGAACTTCCCTGAGGTCAACCTGCGTCCGATTACTGAGCAAGAGACCCGTTCTATCCGTATTTGCTACGTGCACCACAACCAGCCTGGTGCGCTGTTGGCTGTCAACGAGATTATTGGAAGCCACAATGTCGACAAGCAGAGCACGGATTCCCTGAAGGATCTGGCCTATCTGCTGGCTGATATTAGTGACGTGTCCGAATCGGATATCCAGGACATCTACTCGCGTCTGACCAAGACGCCCGCATGCATCCTCACCCGTCTACTGTCGTAAATGATCGCAATCACCCTGTTTCTTGTTGGCTTTGGTCCTTGCACGCCTTCCTCAACGAAGGCCTCCTTTCTCTGGAGGCGACGACTCGACATAGTAGGCCGTACATATGATTACATAAGACTCTCCTTCCTAGGTCGCGACGGCGAACTTGCGCGCGAGAAAGGGTGTCGCAGTCTTCTTTTTACAGGCTTCTCTTGGTAGCCGACCGTTGGCATGCCTCGTCGAATTCCTACACAGGTGTCGCAGACAGTGAGTCGCCTACTTGAAGGTGGCTACTTGAAGCAGCAGCCCGCTTGGTACGAAGCCACGCTGCGGTACCCGCCCGCCATGCCGCCGCCGCATCAAAGTGTTCAGCGGCCCGATGATGATCTGCCACGTTCGTTGCAGAGTCATGTACGTCGTCAGCCGCATGATGCGGCAGCCAAGGCGCAAGGCCGTTCACGTCTGAATATGCACAAGAAGCTGCGTTCTCAACTTCCAGCGCTTCGACCTCAGCCGATTGTGTACGAAGCGGACCGCATTCGCCGTCAGTTCTTCCGTGACCACCCATGGGAAGCCAAGCGTCCCAAGACGCTGGTGGAGACAGACTATGTTCTGGACACGCAGCCGGAGCCTACGATCCCTGCGGGCCAACTACCGGAGCTCTCGATGTGGAGCCGGATGAACCCCTCGGTGGAAGAGTACGTATGTCCCTTCTTTAACTTACCTCCAGTGTCATTCAATGCACGCTCAAGACGAGCGAAGTGGGTAACATGTCGCTCTCGAAAGCGTACCGTCGCACTATCGCTACGTACCATGCGATTCAGGCCGAGCGTGAGCACCAAATTCGGTATGCGGTGCTGGAGGCTCGTGCCTGGGGCGCGGATCTTGGTCCTACGGAGACGGAGCGTGGCTTTATCAAGGAGAGGGCCGAGCTGGACAAATGGGCGTCCCTTTCTGCGGACTTGCACCTTCCTGAGGCCATGCCGGCGTCGACGGCGTCCGACGCGACGACGGCGGGACGTACTAAGCGCACCGATGGCTCGTTTACCGCTGGTGCAGCGTACATGACATCCGCGACGTCTGTGAGCCGCGGTGAGGCGCTAGTCTCGTCGGCGACGGAGACGGGTGCCTTCTCCTCAGCGTCGACGGCTGACGCGGCGACGACGACGACGTCGTCGTCGTCGGACGATTATCTTGGTATTGGCGCATCGCTGCGTTCTTAGAGTCATACCCTTGAATCCTTTTCTAGATACTAGCGCTACAGATCGGTGCCTTCCAAGTCCAGCTCTTCGTTTTCGACCAGGTCATGGAGCAGGGAGAATACGCTGTACAAGGGGAAGCCGACGACATTGTTATAGTCGCCTTCCACCGACTGGATCAGCAGCGCGCCCCGGCCCTGAATCGCAAAGCCGCCTGCCCGATCCAGTCCCTCTCCGCTATCGACGTACGCATGCAGCAGTTCGTAGGGCGTATCCGCAAAGTGCACGCGTGTGCGTTCAAAGACTGTGTGTACTTTGTAGCCAGGCGCTTGCAAGATGGGATGGATCAGCGCTACGCCGGTAATGACCTGGCAGGTGTGGCCTGCCATGTCTGCGAGCATACGAAGGTTATCGCGTTTGTCTTTAGGCTTCTCCAGGATCTCGTTTTGGAACACAATCACCGTGTCCGCCGCGATGACCAAGTCAGGCGGGTGTTCCGGCGTCTCACGCACAAGGCGCTCATACACCTCCTTGGCCTTATGCGTGGCTGTATCGACGGGGTACTCGTACAGTGTATCTTCGTGAAAGTCTGATTTAGCCAAGTCTTCCTGGAAACGCGACGGCACGACGTCTGGATGCACGCCGACCGAGGCCAGAAGATCCAGGCGGCGTGGGCTGCCGCTCGCCAGCACAATGCGCTTGCCTGTCAGGCGCGTAAAGACAGGCGTCTTGAGGGCATCGGTCGCAATGCAGTTGGACTGGCCTTCCACTGCTCCTGCCGCCGACATGCTAAGGCCCATGAACGAACGAAGAAGAGGGACAAGTGTCTGTGCGTCGCCGTCGCTGGTCGGACGTGGACGCCGTCGCGTATCGGCCGACGCCCTCCACGTCAGTCGGTCGGCGCCTGCGCGTCTGGGGCGGCGGCTGGCGTTTCTTCTCTTCTCGATCGCTCCACTACGCTGCGCCATGGACGTTGTGCTGGACGGTGAAGCGCCCCTCTCTGCCGATGACTCGCTTTCCTTCCCCCTCCTCAAGCTCATTGTCGAGGCGAGGAATGAGCATGGTATGCGGCAGCAGGACTGGGCTCGCTACCGCAAGTACTGTACGACCAAGACCCAACGTATACGCTCGACACTGCAGTTGACGCATATCGATGCGGCCTCGCACAAACAGACCAAGCCCAAACGCAGCCACAAACGGACGAAGCGCCTGACGCCCGAGCAGCAAAGTGCCGCTGCCAAAGGCCAAGGGCATACGTTTGTTCGTCGTACTATTGCGTTGGAGCAGGTCACGGACACGCGGCCGATGGAGCTGCTTCTCTTCGAAGCCGAGCACTGTTGGTCGGCGGCCGAAGAGCTCTGGGCGCAGCAGACGGAAGAGACACGCGCCGTGCTGCGCCGCCGTAGCCTTGGCCGTGCACGTCGGGCTGTGCACTATGCCGAGCAGCTCGTGGCCCTGTCCAACGCCCTGCCCGCGCTGGACACGCCCAGCCGCGCGCAGTGCTTGGCCTACCAGGGCCTCGTGCGTAGTGCGCAGCAGTTTATTCAGGGCCGGTGGGAGGCAACGCTGCGTGTCGCGGCTGTGACGCGCCAGCTACTTACTTGCCTGGCTGAATGCAGCTCGTCGAGTCGTGAAGAGGCGCTGGCCAGCAGCTTCTTGGATGGCTTGGATGCGCAGATCCGCTTTGCTGCCTACTCCCTCGGCGACACCGACGACACAGACACGACTGTGCAGCGTATCGCTACGCCGAGTGCTTGTGAAGAGACGCTCCCTGGCTTCGAGGCTGTGACCACTGCGTTGCGCACGACGCATACGTCGGCGCCGACGGCACCGTTGGAACTGCCATGGCGTCAGACGACCATTCCTGTACCCACAGTGGAACTGCACGATGTCGTGACGCGTGTGCGTGCGGAAGAACAAGGGCTGCAGCGTTCTGTCCAGGCAAGCGCGTCTTCTTCTGCAGCGCGCGCTTCATCGTCGTCCAAGACTCGTGCTCGTCTCACGCATGCGGAGCGCAACGCGAAGCGCCGAGGCAACAGTCATGCAGGTGCGCAGCGCTTGCACGACGGCCGTGCGAACCACAGCGAGATGGATCCTTTCGATCGTGCGCTGAGTGCCTTGACGGATGCGGAATCTGTGGCGCGTACATTGGTCGAGGAGAATGCCGAAGCGCTGGCCAAGACGCACTCGGCTCGCTACGAGGCAGCTGGTCTGACGCTGCGCCGTGCGCATGAATGGCTCACGTACCGCCTGATGTGCGTGCGCGTGGCTCGCAATGTCCGCTTGCTGGCGGATGTCCAGGCGCGAGCAGAGAAACGCGAAGCGCGTGCGTTGTCGTTGGCCGATGAACGCTCGTGTCGTACTGCGCGTCGGCCTACCACGACGACTACGACCTCCACACCCAGCCCAAAGAAACCACAGCCAGGCTCGCGTGCGAAGCGACCACGCTCCACGCCGAAGCGCTTTGTTCGCCCTCCTGGCCGCAGTGGCACACGTCGCGTCGCGAAACAGCGTCGTACGGCGCAGACCCAGCGTGCCGATGAGGCCGTGCGGGCTCAGCAAGAGCGCCGTCGTCTGCGCCTCGTGCCTGGTCTAGCCAAGCTGCTGGATACCATGGATAGCAGCTTGCTCGCTATGGGCGGCTTGGAAATGGTCGAAGCTGAGCCGGATGTATCCAACCTGCTGGAAGCGAAGCGATTCTACTACTGTGCTGTACTGCTGGAGCATTTGGCACATGCCTTTGCGCAGTACCACCTGCCGGCAGAGGCATTGGTCCTGCTTCAGCGTGCCGACCTGTACATCCGCCAAGCCTCGCAATCGCTTGAGCTGGCTGAGGGCGCCGACGATGAAGATGCGCAGTTTGTTCCCTACCTGCTGGGCGACGACAAGGCTATTCTGTCGACGCAAACGCAGCGCATTCAGCAGCTTCGCTTGCATGTACTCAAAGACATGGATGTGACGCCTGCCTCGTCCCAGGCCCCCACGTCGATCCAGTCGACCAAGTCCGGTCAGACGTTGTACTACCATGCTTTGCATCACGTCTCGTTCGATCCTGTGGATGTAGAGCATGCCGTCACACAAGCACGTACGATGGTCCCTACATCCACAGATTCTACGTGGGTGGATGAAGATGACGAGGAGGCTATGGACGACGCCGAGGAAGATGCGCGTCTCGACGTCGACGCCCAGCCTATGGAGGAAGACACACCCGCCATGCCGATTGCCTCAGCGCCTCCCACAGATGGTCCCTTCGATCCTATGAATGCACTCGAAGAAGAGGAGGAGAGGGAGAACGAGGCGAAGAAGTCGCGTGGATGGCTACGTGGCTGGTTTAAGTAGACAGTCGGTAGGATTCCCTCTTCTCTGCGTGTCTTCCATGGCGTGTCTTTAGGCAGCCGGACCCTATCTCTCGCCTACAGCGAGAAGACGCTGGCTAGCCGACGTAAGGATTTGTCATACCCATGGGTCTTATGTAATATTTTCTTTCTTGCGTATGCGCTGGCCTCGTTGTCGATCTCTCTCCCCTCCCTCTCTCCCCCTCTTTCTCGGCCGTCCTGTCTCGGCCGTCACCACAACTCTCGGCCGCTGTGGCTCTCTACTACCACCGCGTCGCGTACGAAGAGACGCGTCGTGTATCATCGGCCGATTTGCCTCCACCTACGCACGAACGTAGGACGCAGCTTTCCTCGTTGTACGAGTGCGTTGCAGGGCAGCCTTGCCTACAGCGCCTCCTCCGAGCTTCGTTCGCTCCCTAGCTACCTTGTTGATGGATCGCAGCGGCGCTGACGCTTTGCCGCCTCACGCACTCCCAGTGCCATCTACACAAACTTTTAGCATGAACGACCACGCCAACCAACACTACCATGCCGTGGACGCGCTCTCTTCCAACGTCTTACCACCAGCACGAGATCGCTTGCCACCGCCCGAACCGCCAGCCAAGCCGCCTTCGACCAAGCGCCGCAAGATCAACACATGTTTCCCTTGCAAGCAGCGTAAAGTCAAGTGCGATCGGCAGCAGCCTTACTGCGGCCAGTGCCAGAAACACCGCATTCCCGCGGAACGATGCATCTGGTCCTCGGACGTAGCACTACCCACGAATATGCACAGCGCTGCCTCGACCCTGTCGTACTCCAAGCCAGATGCGTCGCATGCATCCATGGGCATAGGGGCAGGCGATTGGACGAACTCTCAAGGAGCTCCAGATCTCGCTCTGGACAATGATACACGCGCGGTGATTGAACGCATCAGTCATCTGGAGCAGCGCTTGGCGACCAATACAGCGTCTCAGCCCTCTTCACATGATTTACCGACCAACTCGACAAGCCAGACGCAGATCGATCCTATTTTGCTCGCTGGCACTGGCTTGTCACTTGGCGATGTAAATGGGGAGCGCTCTAGCGCGGCAGCCCTCTCTCAAGATGCTGCTGTAGCTGCTGAATTGGCCTTTTGGCGAGCTAAAATGGAGCAGCATCAACGTCCCACTCACTCGAATGACAACACGCAAATGGCTCAAATGCAAGCGGAGCAGAATATTGCTGCCGATGCATTGGCTATGTTTGCTCGACACAGCCAGCAAGGCTCGATTAGCGGCAGTGATCAAGGGATGGGCCGATCCGCTGCGGTTGGCGCAGGCACCGATGCTTTGCCGCGCCAAACTATTGTTAATGCATTGCTGGATAGCGCAGCGTTTAGTATGAGCTCCTCTTCATCTCGTGTCCGTGCTGCTCTTGACTTGCTCCCTGATACCCAGCAAACTGACTACTTGCTCAAGATCTTGCAGACGGTAGACCTGCACGTATCGTATGGCATTAGCTGGCGCCTCGTCAAGATGCAGCTCAGCACGCTGCGCACCCAACTGGCCAGTTGGAACCGTATGCATACCACGGTGCCTGAGCAGCTCGACCTATCCTTCCTAGCATTGCTTCTTGTCCTACTAGGTCTTGCGGCACAATACACAGAGTCACGGTTCTTTATTGAACAGGGCTTCTGCTCCTCGCCTGATCAGGTTGATGCCTTTGTGGACACTTGGATCGATCATGCGCAAGCGCTAATGGCTGCTGATGACTTTGTTAACAAGACCAACTGGAATCACATTGCTGCCCTCCTACTCTGCGTCGACCACCATGCTTCACGGGGTCGCCTTCTTGTCTCTCTCATGACATTGTCTACCCTTGTTCGTTTAGCGGAACAGCAGGGCTACCACCGCCTAGGCTCGGCTACAGACGATGAACAGGCGTGGCGACAAGCACCTGAAAGCAAGCAGGTATGCGTATCTGCTGTTGTCGCCACAGCTCGTCCAGGGACGTGGGTGCGGCCCACAAGCACTATGACGAGCCTTCCAGACCGTTCTCATCTTGTGCGTGAAGCTGCCCGTCGCCTATGGTACCGCATTGCCTGCAAAGATATGGTGGTAAGTGCTGTTGTACAGCGCGTGTCCCAAATCAACCCATCGCGGGCCAACACGGCTGCCCCATTGAACGTGGATGAGGATGATTTGCCGGACGGCGAATCCCATGCTCTTCCTCCTATTAAGGACAACGGCCGCCCGACTATCAATAACTTGACGCCTCACCTGTACGAAATTGCGGACTTGGGACGCCAATGGGGCAACTTGATCCAGTCACAATCTCTTACGTACACGCATGTGCTGGAATTCGATGCCAAGTTCCGTGGTTTGCTATCCAACTTGCCGATCTACTTGCGCCCTGATCCGGCTCTCGAGCAATTGCCAGAAGTTCGCCAGGAACAAGCTCAGCGGCCTTACTTGGCCATGCACCGTCTTATTGTATTTGAGGCCGTGAATCACCGCCTGCTTGTTTTGCATCGTGACTATATATGTTTGGGCCACCGCGATGAAAAGTATGCCTATTCGACACGCGTGGCCGTTGATGCAGCACGCACGATTATTTCTTGTCGCCAGCAGATCGATAATGTGCATCCGTCTGTTCAACGTCATGCCTCTTTCCGGCACCATCTGTTCCAGGCTGCGATTGTACTTACATTGCACCTGCTTGAGCTTACTGCAAAATCGCAAGGCTCATCGCAAGTCGCGCATCAACTTCGCGATGATATTGCCCTAATTATGAACTATATTACTGGTACAGGAGAGCTTCGTCATCCTCTGCCCACATCGCAAAAAATTGCCCTCAAGTTGATTGATGTACTTTTGGCTGCTGCCAATACTCGGCAGCATAAGATGGATGGGGCAACCAGCGCTGATAAGACACTTAGTAATACCGATTCAACTGCCGCCTCCATGCCATCGATGGGCATGGAAAATGACGCCTCAGGTGACCTGTTCCAACTCAACGCCTCCGCATCCAGTCAGGATGTGATTGCTGATACGGCCAATGCATTCTCACAGGAAATGTTGGATCCCAACTTCGCCAACAAACCTTCTCTCGCCGAATTCTTTGCCTCTTTGGACGAGTTGATGGTGCCTATCTACTGATTCTATTTTATCTGTGTATCTGTTCGTAGCTCTTCCAAAAGCGTATGGAGCAGCGCTTGCACCTCGCTCCATGTTTGTACAAGTAGAACAGACATTTTCCTCTCAGCAGCAGCTAATTTCAACCATTCTGACGGTGTGCATAACAGGGAGTTCAGCCCAATGCGCTCCAGTGTTTGCAAGAAGCTTTCACTTGGGCTCATCAAAATACCCACATCTGCCCATTGCAGGCAGAGCCAATCCGTCATAGCATCGCCGATATACACGTGGAGAGAGTCTGTACACGACGAAGCAAGGAGTTCAACTCTCTTCATTTTGTCTGTGCAAGAAACCATCATGTCGGTGTTGTCTGGACCAACAATTTGCCCTGTGCATTTCCCTGTTTGTTCATCCCACTCGAGCTCATTTGCTTGAATGCTCTTCCAGCCGAGTTTGCACAGCGCTCCATATGGCAACCCCACGTCATAACCACGCGCATACAATAGGCCATCAAATATAAAACGACTTGACCAATTGACGCTCACGATATGTGCTTCAATCAACTTCTTGTCGGCTGCATCTGTCATCCATTCTGACATGGCCTTCCATCCTGAGCGGAATTCAATGTTTTTGATGCGCTGGCACCTTTGCTCCATAGTCGTACCCGAAAATAATCCATCATCTGCTAATATTCTTAATGGCCCATATTCAGCTCGACCTTGTTCTACAATATACTCAATGAGACGCTCCGGCGTATCAATTTCTCCAAACGACTTTTTGAATGCTTCATAGTTGCGTAAATACGCATCTTGATAATATTCAAAAGGCTTTTTGTTTGGCAAAAGCTCTTGTTCTGTAGGTGCAAGAAGGGAAATGGTATCACTGTTGGTTATTGTCCCATCCCAGTCTATCAACAGCAGCAAATTTGGGGCAGATGGCATGAAGGAAAACTTTGTGGCAGCTTTTACGCACGGCCCACTGCACACTCTTCGTAATCTAAATATTTTCTACGCTCAGTGCATGCACAGCTGAGTCCAATAGTTTAATGGTTATGACGTATCCTTCACAACGTGGATCGTTCGGATAAGATCCCGGTTCAATTCCGGGTTGGACTACTTTTTACTGTCGAATTCACTTTCAAGTGAAAAAATTAGATATTATTCTTATATAAATTTAAGTTTCCCCACTTCAAGGCCGAAGTCCAATAGTTTAATGGTTATGACGTATCCTTCACAACGTGGATCGTTCGGATAAGATCCCGGTTCAATTCCGGGTTGGACTACATTTTTGTTTTTGTCGTCACGAATAACCCCTTCAATCGTTGAAGTCAGTATGCAAGAATCATTTTTAACCTCGATCTAATTGCACTTGGCATATTCCATGATCTTCGTATTTACAAGTTCTATATGATACGTATAGGAATAGTTGCTGAGATATATAACATGAATATGTGTGTGGATCCAACAAGCGGAGAAAAAAATTTACACAAAAGTGAAAATGAAGCAAGCAATATCTTGCTTATGGTCTTGGTAGCCCGTTAGGTTTGGCCTTGTAATGTGAGAAGGTAAGGATGATCGGTGGGTGTGTCAGGATGGAATTGAATCTTGCCTTGTCGGAACAAAGTGCTTGCTGGTACTTTAACCTGCGGCTTGACAGAGTTACTGTTTTCGTCCTGACCCATTTTCCACATGCCACCAACACTTGTACCGATAATTGCGGGCACCATAGCCATAATTGCGTGAGGATGAATATTATTTTCACGCATCAACTTTGCGTTGTTCTTGAGTACCAGGTTGCTAGCGCGCAATCGGCCACCGCGAATGTTGGAAAAAGCACCAATTTGCTTAGCAATTTGTCCAATGGCCGGCTCATTCCAGTTCGACAATGACACAGTATCAGAGTCCTCGTTAGGCACGGCCACAGGCAATGCATTAGGATCCTTCATTAGTTTGAGTTTAATAAGCAGACGCTCGAGAGGCGCCGTTGGGCACATGCGCGTAAGTGCACCCAGGGGCCATGAGACAAAGCCGGCCACCAATGAGATACCCCAATCACGGCCATTCAGCGGCTTGACACTGAAGACAGAGTCACCCTTGAAGATAATCAATACTTGGCAGCCAACTTCCACGAGTAGAATAAGAAGGAACCAAATATTTCGGTGGATACCATCAAAGATATTCAGGTGGCGATCCAGGCGACGAGCATTCACTTGGTTGAACAGCTGACACCATACAAATATGTTGAAAATTAAAGACTTTAGCTCCATTTTGTTGTATAACTGAACAGCTTCCACATCGCTGTTCAGATTAAGAATATCCATGCCACGATAGTAAAGGACAAAGATCAAAATGATCTGATACGCTGATTGAACGGCGATCTGCTTCCACATATCTGCCGAGATAAGTGGGGCTGTGACCCGACTCGGCTTGCGGTTCAATGACTTAGGATCAGCGGGGTCCGTGGCGAGTGCAAGCGCTGCTAGCGTATCCATGATCAAATTCAGCCAAAGCAGTTGGACAGCCGTCAATACTGAGCTTTCATCGGAGGTTGACACGGCCGAGACGAACGTTACAACCACAGCTACCACGTTGACAGTCAGCTGGAATTGCAAAAACTTGCGCACAGCATCGTTAACGCAGCGACCCCATTTGATCGCACTAACAATACTGGAGAAATTGTCGTCCAGCAAAATAATATCGCTTGCCTCCTTGGCCACCTCAGAGCCTGCAATACCCATCGAGAATCCAACGTTGGCTGACTTGAGTGCTGGTCCATCGTTTGTACCATCCCCAGTCACACCCACCACTTCTCCCATAGATTTCAGCGTGTCAATGAGCGTCTTCTTGTCTTCGGGACTGGAGCGTGCCAGAATATGGAGGTGTGGCGCCAATTCCATAAGATCGTTGCGGCTTAGTTGACGGAATACTGGGCCTTCAATCGCAACACCTCCCGCTGTATAAAGGCCACATTGCTTGCCGATAGAGCTAGCCGTTAGGATGTTGTCACCAGTACACATCTTAACCGTGACACCTGCACGTCCACATGCACTGACAGCATCAGGTACACCATAACGCAAGGGATCTTCAATAGCCATGATGCTAATCACCGTAAGATCCTTGGCCAGGTCCTCAAACTGCACTTCACCGGCATCATCAACGCTAGCACCTGGGGGCGGCCATACGTCAAAGTCTCGGTAGCAAAGACCCATGGTACGCAGAGATTGGGAAGCATAGTTTTCAATGATGCGACCAAGTTCCGTACGTGTAGCTTCATCGATTGACTTGATTTGAATACGGCCTGCTGTACTCTCTTGAACCAATATAACTCCCGTCGAAAGGCCTACCATGATCTCGCTAGCACCTTTGATGTAGAGGCGATATCCGTCGTCATTCTTAATAACAACGCCCATCGCCTTCCTCTTGGAGCTAAAAGGGATCACTTGAACCACACTCGCAGACGTACGAACTTGATCATACTGTGCCCAGTCCAGACGTCGCACTAAGCTAAGAAGGGCCGATTCCGTTTTCGATCCAATGAAGATCTCTCCTTTTGATGCTTTCTCCAGCACGGATTCCTTCTTAGAGCGGTGCAAAGTCATGAGCTTACCCCACCAAGGGATCTTCTTTGTGGCTGTCACAACCTGTTCGCTCTCGTCCACTTCCGCAGGAATAAAGGCCGTGGAGTTGATACAGATTTGTTCCACAAGCAATGTACGGAGTGGCGAGGGTAGACGATCTGTAAGCTCATCTAACGATATGGCCCTTTGATCCTTCTCAGCATTTGCGATCTCTGTTTTGATAGAGTCAAGGAACAGAAGATCATCACCGATACAGCCAGCCACTACGCTCATATTATTCTGTGTCAAAGTACCCGTTTTATCCGTACAAATACAAGTAGCATTGGCCATGGTTTCACAGGCACCCAAGACTCGGACAAGCAAGTTCTGGTTAGACATACGTCGGGTAGCAAACGCCAAGGCCAGGGTCACAGCCAAGGGAAGACCTTCAGGTACAGCAACGACAATCACCGTGACAGCGATAATCAGTACGTTCATGAAAGTTTCACCATATTCACGACCATCGGGGTTCGGATCGTAACCATAGTTTACAAAGAAACGGATCATCAGCGCAAGGAAAAGCAAGCCACCAGCTGTTGTACCAAGCTTAGCAATCAGTTCGGCCAGATAGTTGAGTTTCTCCTGCAGTGGAGTGTTCTCTGGCTCCTGCCGAAGCGAGAGCATTAATTTTCCATGCATGCTGAAAGGACCAACGGCTGTGACAACAAAATCACCCACGCCCTCCAGGACCTTCGAGCCAGAAATCATAAACACACTCTTGTGCTTGACAGATCCACTTTCGCGCTCCCGGAGATATTCGTCGTACGTAACTTTCTGGATCATATCGGATTCACCTGTAACACTGGATTCATCGCATTTGATGTTATGCGATCGAAGGACCACACCATCAAAAGCAATCACTTCACCAGGTTCCACGGTGACAATGTCACCTACAACGACATCATGCACGTCCACTTGGGCTTTCTTCCCATCACGCAGCACCGTGACGTTGCGAGCCTCCTTCTTTGCGTCCAATACACGGAATTGCTTTTCTTTCTGCCAGTCGTTAATTGAGCCAACAAGGTCTACCACAATCACGGCGACCAAAATGGCAACACCTTCCACCCAATCTACAGCAGGCGCCTTGCATTCCGTTTGGCCGGGTGGGGGATCCAAACATGGCACAAATTCAGGGGGCGGGGAAAAGTCCGTGTACAAACCCAGAGCCAGAGATACAATGGATGCAATAATCAGCAAAATAAGCATTTTGTCTTGCAAAGCCAGCCACATGAGAAGAAGAAGGCCCTTGGATTTGCGTGCAGGTAGAACGTTCGTGCCAAAAACATTGGTCCGCTGCTCAATGGTACCTGCATATTTCATCGTCTTTTCCAAAGTGTGGTCTTTGAAATGAATACCCGTTTCCGTGCTAGTTCCAATACCGTGCATCAAACCATCAATACCACCCATACCCTCAAGCTTATTGAAGTCTTCGGGGTCAATAAGCGAGCATAGCTCGCCAGGGTTGTATTTGAAAGGGGCGGGGTCTTTCCATTTCTGTTGCTCCAATTCCTTCTTTAGCTGTTCCATTTTGGCCGTCTCTGTGTCACCGCGCATTACCAGTGCCCACAGCCGAGAAAAGAATCCATCCGTCTTAGGAGTGTCTTCTTCCTTTTCCATATACTGAGATGGATGTTCTTCATGAACCTCGGCGCTGTGACTGGTGCCTGAGTGCTTCATGGACATGTGCTCAGAGTGGTCCAAAGGGCTACCTTGCGAGGACGTTGTATACGAATTAACATGCTTGCCTGTGTCAATATATTGTGTTAGGTCTGACGCCTTGGGCGAAGCGTTGAGCTCCGTATTTGAGCTTAACGGTGCCAATTGGATGATGGATGGATGATGTATTTGCTGGCTTTCCTGAGTGACTGAATCTACCACAGCAATAGGAGGTGGTAATTGTAAATGCGTGTCATTTTGTGTGACATTATTTATAGTTAACACCATAACGCCTTAGTCCGGTATCAGCCACAGCAGGTGGCGTTCACTCAGACTCTCGTTGTCCAGGTCGATAGATGCACGCCTGGATATCGGGTGTGCGTGTGGCTTGGCACGTGTAGGCCACGTGATGATGCATTTGAAATCAGGGACCTTCTCCGCGGGGCTGACGGCGGAGAAATTCCCGTGCATAGCCAAAATGAACGCGTAAGCTCTGACAATTTTATATACAAGAACGATCGCTGTTGTTTGGACGTTGGCTTCTTCATCTACAGATGAGCAACAAAATGCGGGCTATGGCCATCAAGGGCTATGGGAAAAACTCTCCTTTGGTGGAAATGGAATTTCCTATTCCTGACGTGAAGGAGCATGATGTGCTGATTGAAATTCATGCTGCCAGTGTGAACCCCATCGACTTCAAAATCCGCAATGGTGATGTGAGGCTGCTCATGTCTTCGCCGATGCCTTTTATCCTAGGCAACGATCTATCTGGTGTTGTCAAGCAGGTTGGAGGGCAGGTAACAAAATTTCGTGTGGGTGATAAAGTCTACACGCGACCACCGCATGACCGCTCAGGCACCTTTGCTGAGTTTATCGCTGTGAACGAAGATCATGTCGCACCCATGCCCAAAGGCATGAGTTTTGAGGACGCTGCTAGCATCCCTCTTGTGGGCCTTACTGCTTACCAAGCTCTGCACGACTGTCTCCACGCAAAGCAAGGTGATAAAGTTCTAATTCATGCTGGTGCTGGTGGTTTTGGAACATTTGCTATCCAACTAGCAAAACAAATGGGCCTTTATGTGGCAACAACCGCAAGTGAGAAAGGGCATGATCTGGTCAAATCGCTAGGTGCCGATGAAATCGTCAACTATCGTACGGAGAAGTTTGAAGAGAAGCTCCATGACTACGATGGTGTTATCGATACCATCGGTGGTAACACTTTGCTGAATTCTTTCAAGGTTGTGAAGAAAGGACATAAGGTTGTTTCGATTAGTGCTATTCCCGATGGTGAATTCGGTCGAAAGCACCGCCTTGGTTTTGTTGTTACTTCTCTATTACGCCTGGCCTCTGCCCGTATTGTCTACAACGCTTCATGCCAGGGTGCTGTGTATGAATTCCTTCTTATGCAGGAAAACGGATCTCAGCTCCGTGAAATTACCAAACTAGTTGAGGACGGAAAGATCAAGCCTGTCATCGATCGTGTCTATTCGTTTGAGGAGGCGCAACAAGCTCTACACTATGTTGAATCTGGTCGTGCGAAAGGCAAAGTGGTCATCAAGGTTCACCCCAACTAATTCTTTTCTTTTTATTTTATTTTATTTTTTTTTCTTCATTATAGACAATGTATTCTTATAGCCCCAGGCTACGGAGGATACCCAACCAGCCACGACCGCCCCATTCCACCCAGAGGCGCAGACTTTGGGTGTGCTGACGTAGAAACTCATACGCACCCGGGGTTGTTGCAAGGCGGCGAAGCAGATTGATGGCTTGCTCCTGCGTCATGGAAGGCTGTGTCACTAAGGCCAATTCTGCTGTCCCGTACGAAAAGGCCAATCGGCTTCGTTTGGTGAACCACTCGGTTCCTTTCTCAGTCACAAGGTCTGTGGCGAATGTTGCGTCTTCTGCAATTTGCACTGCACGCGCCATGACAGGGCCAGGGTTTGGAATCGTAGGTGTTTTTGATAGAAAGGGGATAAAGGTTGGAGATTGTCCTAATAGCGGCTCAGAAGCCAGCAGTGTAAATGCGGGCAGCAAATGCGATCGGACAGGCACACTGTGTTTCAGTCGCTCACAGAGCCAGTCCACAGTGCTTTCATACGCATGTGTTTCCGTTCCCTTGTTGCTATACTCCTGTTTCATCCGCTTTAGCACTTCATTGTCCCAGGCCTGCAAAAGGCGGCGTGGGCCGGCTGTGGACGCAGAGTCAGGCCCAGGGAACAAAGCGGCCAACGCACGATCCAACTTAGCTGCATCGACATTCGGGTATTCTTGGAGGGTTTGTCTGATAGCAGCTACCGTGAAACCTTTCGTTGGCACATGTACTAGAGATTTACGAAGCAGCTCTTGAACTGCAATACGACCATTCATAGTGTCTGTCGTTGGATGCGGAGTTGCGTGATTCCTATTTGTGGAGGTTTGTGAACCTAGCTCTTCCAAGTCCTACGTTCTTACACCCAAATAAGCACTTCTCCGTCATCGCCTGTGCTAGCCAGCATGGTAGGTGGGGTGGTTCCATCCTTGGCTGGGGCCCAAGCTACACAATTGATATCGGAGGCACCATGCGCTTGTGCCATCTCAGCGGTCACAGACACTTGAAACTTATCCGAATCGTTGTCCTTGCCCTGTCCTGTTAGTTGTCCCTGTTTCTGTGCACATACAAGATAGAACACCACAATCTTCCCATCAGCACCTGCAGCCGCCAATTTTCCAAATGCTTGCATAGGATCTGATTCATCTCCCATAGCCCAACTCAAGCTATAAATCGATCGAGTGAACTGGCCTTCCAGTCGTTGAAGTTCGAGCCATTTGTCTCCGGCTCGTCCGGGAATCCTACCTTCCGACTCCATGCCCATGTTCTCACACTCGTCTGCAGAATACCTGCGCCAGATCCGGATCGTCAAGTCGTCCGAAGCCGAAGCCAAGTACTTTCCACAAGGTGAAAAGCTTAGCGACCAGACTGTAGAGGTATGTCCTTTCAGTGTAGAGTAACAGAACCAATCTTCGGATGGATCATCGAGGTAAAATTTGATTGTATTATCGTACGAGGCCGACGCTAATAGCTTCAATGTTAGTAATGTATAGACGTACTTCTTCTTTTGGATGCCAGGCCACCGCTTTGACATCTTGTGTATGCTCCATCATCACGCCTAAGCATTCGAAATCCGATTCAGGTTGCACTTCCCAAATCCACACACTCTTGTCTCGACTGCAACTCGCCAGTAAATTCCCATTGTAGCTGAATTCAACACTCTTGCACTCGCTGTCGTGCCCTTCTAGCGTCCCCGTACAATCCCATTCAGGCTCAGAAGGGTCGGATGAATCTTTCATGTCGTCCGGGATGCGCTCCCAGATTCCCACTGTACTATCAAACGAACCTGTAGCCAGAATCTCGCCTGACGGAGACCAAGACACATGACGCACTGTGCGCTTGTGCCCAGTAGGTATAACCTCCTTTAATGAAAACACGGTTTCCGACTGTCCACTGACGCCTGATGGCAGATCCATATAGGTAAAGAGGCGCACGTCTCTGTCTGTGGAGCAAGATGCTAGGATGGGCTGCTTTGGATTCCATGCCACATGCCATGCTACGTCTGAATGGCCTGGATTATTCGTATACAAATGCTTTTGAACATACCTGGCAATCTAGCTAGTTGCCGCAGGGGCCGTGGACTCGTCATGGCGCAAGTGTGACAAGATTTGTGGTACGTGGACGTTGTCCTCCTATTCCTCCACATAACTAGTTGTCAAGCAGCGTGACTTTGGCCTACAGATAGAAACGACTATGATGATGCTTTTGTTTTACCCCACCAGTGTGCAACTTCTTCTCTTATGTGTTCCAAGTCATCTTCGTTTAGGTCACTAACAGTGTCCCATTCATGGTCGAATTCAATGGCAATGGCGTTAAGTGGTGAGGGTATCTGCGATTTCGTATCCATTGAAGATGTAGACTGAGGTGTGAGAGCATGTAAGAACGTCATAGGCGGCAGTTTCCAGCTATTTTCACGGAGACGTTTGTGCTTATATTAGAGGGACAATACGTACCCGCTCGCGATCCTCGTCCATCCTTCGTAGAATATCAGCTCTAGACACCTGAGCTAGGGGAGGTAGATCATGACCCGAGTCTCCTTCACGAATGCTATGCCTGTTAATAGATCCGGACATACCTGCTGACACGGGCTTCTGTGGTATTTATGAGCCGGTTTAGAAGAGCTTGATCGAAAATATGTTTTGATTGCCAAGAGGAGAGAATCTGCGGGAGTCAGAAACAACTAGTGATCCACGTACTTGTTTTGTGCTTCCACCATTGATAACTGCATCCCAACTTCCTTCAGGCACAACGAGGTCCACAATGGCCGGTAGATCTCGTACTGCCAGTGTGCGGTATACTGCAACTTCGGCGGGGCTGGTCTGAAAATCGTCTGCTAGGAATGCATCAAGCATAAATAGTACATTAATGCGCGTGTTTGCGGATGCCTGGCGTTAAGAAGAACACAACACATACCTTTGAGCATTCTGTAACGATACAATCCCATATATCGTCTGGACATTTGTTTGCATACTTCAATGCAAATGATACAATTTTTCGGATGGATTGTTGGCTTGCATTTAGATGCTTTAGAAGTTCTAAAAACTCCATACGTATCTGGAATGCGTCCATGATCAACTGCTCACCACGTTCTACTTGTACGCAACTCCCACCTTTCAACCTTTCACGTATGCTCTGTGGATCTGGGCCCCTGCGCGACTAAGAGCGCGTTGGGAAAGATTCGCACAACAATAAAAAATTCGATTTTTGCCCACTCCTTCCATCTCTATGTCTACAGACACGGCCAAGCCGCAAACACTGGAAGAGGCGAACCAGCGATATGAAGCTTTGAAGGCCCAACTGAAAGAGGGATTGGATCGCAAACGACAAACAGATCATGACCTAACGGACCTTGAATCCCAAATCTATTTGTACGAAGGTTCTTACCTTAGCAGCACAGCTTTAAGCGGCGGGAACGTGATTCGTGGATTCGACTCCTACCTTAAGGCCAACGCAGCTACCGCCACAGGTATGCGTGTTACTACCTCAGTACAGCCTCCTTCTTCGGAGGATCGTATGTTTAGCTCGAGCAGTGCTACATATCAGCGAAGTCTGGCTCTTAAGATGAACGAACCTGTTACGGAGAACAAAAGCTCAGCACCCTCTGCTACTGCTCAACCATCTGGATATAAACTCAAGAAGAAAAACTAACAACTACTCTAGACAATTTAGTTTATGTTGCATCCGCTTTATGTACAGTATCAATATTGACGAGCTTCTGGTACAAAAAGTCCGCACCAAATCACATAATAAGAGCCAACGACACAAAGAAGCAGAGGACCGCGATGACAGAAGGCGGCATACGTGCGTAGAGCGATTCTGCTCCATTCAACTTTTCAGGGACAACTCCATTTCGACCCGGTTGCAACGGGCGCTGACCAGAAGCAGGTTTGTTCTCACCATTGTAGTCGTGGACGAACAAGGCCTGAATACCAGCGGGCGATGTCAAAATATCGAACGCATTGTGTCCCACACCGGAAACCTGACCAGAGTAGATGTGATCGGGTATCTTATTCGGCGTAGGATTGTTAGGCATACTCGTCAGCTCTTTGGTTACCCAATTCACCATACGGTCGACATGACCTTTGCCTTGCGTCATGGCCTCACACGATGTATCAGAGTTCAGGCCATCACTTTGTCCCACTAGGTAGAATTGCTCCCATTGCAAAACCCGATTACGAATATCTTCGGGCGTGTCCTTTTGACGAGTGTAATAAGCCGGCAAGCTACCATCGAGACCGTACTTGTATTCATTGAAGGTCGTACAGTTCTCTGGCACAGGCAAAGGACGTCTATTGTCCAGGTACATGTACGAAGCAGGGCTCGCGATCAGATAATGCACCATGTTCACCTTATCCATATTCGTATTCATGGCGAGGTGACGAGCGGCTACTTGGCCTCCTCGACTAAAACCAGAGATCACGACCTTCTTCATGTTGGGGAACATAGTAGTGTTCGTAAAGTAGTTGACATATTTATCGAGGACATCCCCTGACGAAAGTCCAGCGCTTTGCTGATCTGAAGACAGTTCCACATTCGTTTTCAGCTTGCGCGACTCGAGTACACTTCGCTTGTTCGACGAGCCATTCTTTGACTTCTTCGAACTATTCGAGCTCTTCGTCTGAAACGGTGGGTTGGCAAGTTTGCCTTTCTGGTCATACACAGGATAAGTTGCATCCAAAACTTCGCCCCATGAGTTGCTGTCCCAGATCAGGGAATGCGAATTGCTTGTATTGCTTTGATCGACAGGGTAGGCGCCAGCATCCAAAACGTCAAAGAACATCGGTGCCGCAAGGACAATTTCATCCTTAGAAATATCACTTTCCTGGCTAGCCTGATCCATTGACACGTTCAAATACTGCCACATGTTCCACGCATCACGCGTTTCTCCATGGATCTGAATGACAGCACGTTTAATCTTCGACGGATCATAGTTGGCTGTGACGTACGTAGTTATTGTGGTACCATTTCCATCAAGAACAAACGTAGTAGTATCAATGTTTGCACCTGGGATGGGTGGTAGTGTGTTGTATCCATTCTCATATTCATTGCTATCACCGTTCGGAAAGAATGTAGGATCCTTCAATTTGGACGATGCACGAGTCTCCAACATGGCCATCTCGCTTTGGCCTGGGTAAGCTAGAGAAGTTGTAGCCCATAGCAACGTTGCTGTTGTCCACACAAAAAGTGTATTCAACAACATGGTGTTCAAGAAGGATGATGTGCGGAAAAGACACAGCCGCAATGACTGTGCATTATTTTGCCGCGTGGGCTTTGCTCGCTTCACTGGAGCCTATTCTCGCTCAATTAGAAGCAAGAGATTTTGACTTGTACACGTTCACAAGCTATTGATAAAAATAGCACGCACATTTTTCCGCACTTTTTATCAATTACATAATCTATTTTTTTGAAATGCAGTAGACCTTTCGCCACGACAGCAGCCAGGCGTTCGTTGTGATGGAGGGATCGAACGTGGAACATGCAGCTACTCGTACAAGCAAGCCTCATCGCAAGAATACCCTTTTCGTGACAAGGATACCCTTCAATGTAACAAATACAGATTTAGAAACGTTTTTCAGTGATATCGGCCCTTTAAGGCGAGCCTTCGTTGTGACAGACAAGGAGACTCGTCAATCTAAAGGTGTTGGTTATGTTACGTATACCGATGGAGCTGATGCCGAGAAGGCACTAGACAAGCTTCAAGGTGCTAGTATTGATGGAAGCAAACGTCATATCCAGCTTCAATGGGCGGACCAAAAATCCACCTCCAAAGAGGCACAGTCTTCGTCTGTTCCTGGGGCCGTCCCTTCCAATCGCCGCAATGCTGCCTTGCCAGAACGTGACCCTGATGCTGTACGAACGATCGTTATCTCTGGTCTTTCCGGATGCAATCCCGCCGCCGACGTAAAAACATTGTACAAACGGGTTCGCAAGATTGGTGACGTTGAACACATTGCATTTGCGGAAATAGACGGTGCTACCTCTACCGATGTAGCTCATGTTCTCTTTCGCACTCCCAATCATGCTATGCAAGCTGTTCCTAAACTTCATGCTCATCAATTCAAGGGTGCTCAACTGAGTGTTGAATTGAAGAAGCGTGTGGATAACGCTTTGCGTCGGGAACTCCATATGCGAGATGATACGCGCACAAAACGCAAGTCAATGCAAGATCAAATCGAGAAGTTTTCTGGCAATGCCTGGTCAAGCGACTCATCTCGTCTGAGCCGTGACAGTCGTCTTATTGTGCGCAATATCCCCTTTGATATGACTGTGGAGGACCTCCGTGCTATCTTTCTTCCATATGGTGCCCTTTATGACGTGTCGATTCCTACAAAGGAAGCTAAAGAGGGCTCCGCCAAGGCTCCGCAAGGACGAGGTTTCGCCTTTATTTGGTTCGTATCCAAATCAGATGCTGCCAAAGCTATTGATGCGGTCAATGGCGTAGAGCTCCGTCACGGGGCTGCCGAACAGGCATTACTAAAAAAGGCCCAAGGGAAAAAGGGACGCGATGCCGCCAAAGAAGCCTTAGCTCAAGTTCACAAGACGGCTCAGCCTGCTCGCCCTGTTGCTGTGGATTGGTCGCTTTCTCAGAAAGATTGGCTTGCACAGGCGGAGGACAATGAGGCAGAGCCAGTGGATGCCGAGTTACCTATTTCTCGGAAACGTCCGCATGAGGAAGAAGAAGAGGACGAGGAAGATTCTGAGAGCGGCGACGATGACTCTGATGCTGAGGAGTCGTCTTCAAACTCGATGCAAGAGGATGAGAGCACTACGGAGCCGCCCAAGCTCGCCCCGCCTGAAGCCGGTACAACCTTGTTTGTCCGAAACTTGCCATACCAGGCTACAGAGCAAGAGCTGAAGGACCTGTTTCGCTCTTTTGGACCTCTTCGTTATGCCCGCATTACTATGGATCCAGCCACGAAGCGTAGCCGTGGCACAGGCTTCTTGTGCTTTTGGAAGAAAGAATCTGCTGATGCTCTATTGCATGACGCTGATATTGTACAGCGTGAGACTGCAGCTGCTGGTGTAGATTCAAGTCTCCCGAAGTCGAATCCTTTCTCTGTCCCTTCTGTGATTACAGCTGATCCATCTGCGCCGCTTGTTGCACGATTTACTTTACATGGCCGAGTACTCCATGTTGTTCGTGCTGTGACTAGAGAGACCGCAGGCCAGCTGGAAGAATCTGCACGTAAGCTACGCGAAAAAGGTGACAAGCGAAACACCTGGCTCTTGCGCGAGGGAGTGCCGTTCCCTAACACACCCCTTGCTGCCTCGCTCTCTGAGACTGAGATTGAGCGTCGGATGAGGTCATTCTCTATACGGCGTGCCCAGCTCGGTGCTAACCCGTCTTTGCATGTATCTAAAACACGTCTCTCGGTGCACCAGCTTCCTCTCTTTGTGTCTAACAAGATGCTGAAGCGTCTAGCTCTCCATGCTCTTCGGAAGTTTGGCGACGAGGTAAAAGCAGGGGAGCGCACGGATCTAGATGCAGATGAAAAGGCAGACAAGACACTAAGCTCGAATGCGAAGACTAGCGACAGTGGTAAGAACCGTCCACCGCCTTCAGTGGTCGTCCAATCCAAGGTGGTGCTGCAGAATGAGCGAGTCGACCCAATTACAGGGCGTGGCCGCTCACGTGGCTATGGCTTTTTGGAGCTACGATCTTTCCAGCACGCACTGAAAGTGTTGCGCTGGATCAATGGAAACAAAGCAGTTGCCAAACTCTTAACACAATGGTGGCGCGAAGAACTTGACGCCTTGTTGACTAAACTTAAGGTTGACAACTCTGATGACGCTCGCATCCGCGCTAAGCGAGTTGAAAGTGTGCTACAAGACCTTGAGGACAAGGGTAAGTCTGAGGCACGGGGTGTTCTCCGCCTTGAATTCTCTATTGAGAATATCATTACTGTGCGAAAACGTACTCTTCGACAAGAACAGGCCCGCGATCATGCCACTAAACGTCGGAAGCTGTCTCAATTGGCATTGGATGAAACGCCAGAATCTATCCCCACGACAGAGCCGTCAGAAGTCCACTCTGCATCTCCACCTAAAAAACTTGGTTCCTTGATTGGCAAAAAACGGGCTATGCGTAAAAAAAAGCGAGCCATGTCATGAGGGCGTGTCTATTCTGGGAATTAATAGTTTTTAGGAAGCGATACCATTGGACAACATAGCGCCACATCTTATGACCTTTTGGAGGCCCGTGTGCTCGCCACTATATATGAGGAGCGGGTCTGGCTCAGCTTCTCAGTAGTACCTCAGTACCTTTAATTCTTTGTGAAACACTATGTCTGATCAAGACGTTTCCACAGAGCATCTGTCGGCTATTCTGTCGAAGATGGCTAGTAAGCACCATCCGTTCCTGGCGCAAGCGCGTTCGGGCGTCAGTACCCCAGATGATCACAAAATCCAGAACAACACTGGCTACGTTGAAACCGTATTCGAGGACAAGAAAGTACAGGCTGAGAAGGTTCAACAGATTCTTGAGCAAGAAGGATTTATCCCTCAAGAGCTTATCCCCTCAGAAGTCGGTTGGTTCTATGAGAACCTTGGTATCGATGACATGTACTTTGAACGGGAGTCTGCGGAGACCATTGCGAGTCACATTCTTGCTTTATACGGTGCCAAGATTTCCGAGTACACGAACAATACTGGTCACATCAATATTGATCTTCAGAAGAAGTCTGAAAACTCTGCTGTCTTCATCCATTCTAGTGAGCCAGGTGTAAGCAAAGCCGACGGCAAGAACTGGGAGCGTACGATCGATGAACAGTATCTGAACAAGTCAAATGTCGACTGTGCTTTCCGTCTAGAGACCTACCGCTCAACAGGAAGTGGTCCATCAGGGTCGCCTGAACAGCTTCGCTGCTACTTCTTACAGAAGTGCGAATTCGCACAGCCGGTACCGGAAAAGGATTCGAAAGAGTCCCTGGATATCCGTGCTGTGTCAGACCAAACGTTTTTGACTAAGGCTAGTGAAAACACCTTGTCCATTTACCAGGGCGTTATGGAAGAAGCATTGCGTCGCGATGGTCCTGTCATTGAAATGTTTGAAGTGATGGGCTCTAAGGAACGCCGTGTTGTCATTGCTTCTCGGATGGGTGCTACGTCCAACTTCTTTAGCGCTGTTTCGGACCTGTACCACTTTTATGGCCTATATTCTTCGCGCAAGTATGTGGAGCAGTTCAGTAATGGCATTACAATTCTGTCTCTTTACTTGAACCCATTGCCTGGCGCCAACTCTCCCCCGATTGAGTTGAGCATTTACCAGATCCTGAAAGAAATCTCTTTGATCTTCGTATTGCCCGATAACCCTTTCTTTACGGCAAGCGAGTCCAAGTCCAATCATGCTGTCCAGGAGGCCACATACGCATATGTGGGTTGGCTCTTTGCTCAACACTTTTGCAATCGTCTGGGCTCGGCCTATGAGGCTCTTCTCAAAATTATTGATGAGAATGATGCCCACCAAGCCGCTGTGCTGAACGATATCAAGCTGCGTCTTCGTGAAGAGACATTTACTCGTCAGTCTATCTTTGAAGTCATCGAACGCTTTCCTCATGTGGTCCGGCTACTCTATGTCCACTTTGCGAACATCCACTATCCCATGAACGGTGGGGAGCAGACTATGCAGACTCTCAGTCGTCAGCGTTTAACTCGTGAAACACTCTTGACAGATGAGCAAATGAATGATTACATCATTAAGAGCGCAAACAACATGCATGAGCGCTTTGTGCTCCAAGCTCTGTTGGCCTTCAACAAGTCGGTTCTCAAGACGAACTTCTATACTCCAACGAAGGTCGCTCTAAGTTTCCGTCTGAACCCCTCTTTCCTGCGTGAAAGTGAATACCCATTGAAGCCTTACGGTATTTTCTTCGTGGTTGGTTCCAACTTCCGTGGTTTCCATGTTCGATTCCGCGATGTGGCACGCGGTGGTATCCGTATTATTCGAAGCCGTAACCGAGAGAACTATTCCATTAACCAGCGAACTCTGTTCGATGAGAACTACGGTCTTGCTCGTACGCAGCACCTGAAGAACAAAGATATTCCAGAAGGTGGTGCTAAAGGTACTATTCTCCCTAATGTGGATGCCGATCCGCGTCTGTGCTTTATGCAATATGTGGATGCTCTTCTTGATCTTCTTATCAAGGGCACGACCCCTGGTGTGAAGGAGGAGATTGTTGACCTTGTTGGCAAAGACGAGATCCTCTTTTTGGGTCCGGATGAGGGTACAGCTGACTTTATGGACTGGGGTGCTGAGCATGCACGCTCGCGTGGGGCCCCCTGGTGGAAGTCATTCACGACTGGTAAGCCTGCTTCCACATTGGGTGGTGTCCCTCACGATGTCTTCGGCATGACATCCTTGTCAATCCGCCAATACATCTATGGTATTCTGCGCAAGCACAACCTTCGCGAGGAGGACATTACCAAGGTTCAAACAGGTGGCCCCGATGGTGACTTGGGTTCCAATGAGATTCTTCTGTCGAAAGACAAGACGATTGCCATCATCGACGGATCTGGCGTGGTCCATGATCCTCATGGTCTGGATCGTGAAGAGCTAGTGCGTCTTGCTAAGGCACGGAAGATGATTTCCCACTTTGACACCAGCAAGCTCTCGAAGGATGGCTATCGTATTCTGATTGAAGACCGCAATGTGAAGCTGCCTTCCGGTGAAGTAGTGGGTGACGGTGTTGCTTTCCGCAACAAGGCTCACCTTATTTTCGAGGCGGACTTGTTCGTGCCATGTGGTGGACGCCCTGAGTCCATCAACATTTCCAATGTTCATGAACTGCTCACCGAAGATCTCAAGTGCCACTATAAATACATTGTGGAAGGTGCCAATCTATTTATTACTCGTCAGGCTCGCTTGGAATTGGAGAAGAACAGTGTCATTCTTTACCCTGATGCCAGTGCCAACAAGGGTGGTGTGACGTCGAGCAGTCTGGAAGTGTTGGTCGGCCTTAGTCTTACGGATGAAGAGTACATCTCGAATATGGTCTTCAACGATGGCAAGCCCACGACGTTCTACATGGACTATGTTCACGATATTCAGGACATCATTGGCCGCAATGCGAAGGGCGAGTTCGAAGCGATTTGGCGCGAGCACCAAGAGACGGGTAAACCGCGATCGGTTATTTCTACAGAACTGTCAACGACTCTCAACCAAATCTCTGAAGATATTGAGGAGACTGACCTGTACGACCAGGAGACTTTGCGTAAGGCTGTTCTTATTCACGTCTTCCCCAACTCCCTTATCGCAAAGGTGGGCTTGGATGAGCTGATTCGCCGTGTGCCTGCCTCTTACCTGAAGAGCGCTTTTGCTGCCCAAGTCGCTGCCAGCTTTGTCTATGCCAAAGGCCCAAGGGCCAGCCACGTGGACTTCTACAACCACATCAACCAGCTTCTGAAGTTCTACGAATAGATATACATAATTGCAATATTTTTTTTTGAGAGCTTATGTGATTAGGTGGGCGTCAAGCATTCGCTCCGACATGGCATCTCCTTTCTACGTTTATCCGTGTGATTGGATATTGAGGTTTCCTCCCTTTACGAATCCCGTCGGGCATAGTCCTGGCCTCCACATGGGCGTTGCCAAGTCCTTTTTGCCACTACTGGTAGGCACATTGTTGGGTTGCTTAACGCTACAGCCATCCGCTAGTAAGCTTGGTACTTACTATTTCTCCTTGGAAAGTAGCGAGGAAATTATTCCACAAAAATGATGCGTCCCATTTCTAAGGCACCGCTGCGTGCCTTGAGCATGTCGCGAGCGCGTCAGCCCTTTCCAACATCGTCTGGCTGGCGTATGCTGACTTCGTCTGCTCGTGTTGCCAATGTGCAATCTAGCAAGCCATCGCCACCTTCCCCGAATGACTCATTTGCCAACACCACCAATGCATTCTATGCTGAACAAATGTACCGTCACTGGAAGGAAGACCCTAAGTCGGTGCACAGTAGCTGGGATGCTTATTTCTCTGGTTTGGACAACGGCTTGCCGAGCAGCCAGGCTTTCCAGCCAGCTCCCAGCCAGCTGGCCATGCCCGGCACTGGCGGTATTGAACAGGCGCCTGACCATCCTGCTGATGACTACTTGAAGCTTCAGCTGCTGGTGCGTGCTCACCAGGTTCGTGGTCATATGCTCGCTAAGATCGATCCCCTTGGTATTTTGGACTCGGAGCGTGCCAAGAACGTGCCTAAGGAGATGGACCCTTCTTACTACGGCTGGTCTGAAAAGGATCTTGACAAAGAGATGCAGCTTGGTCCTGGTGTGCTGCCTAACTTTGTGAGCAAGGGCACCAAGACCTTGACGATCCGTCAGATCATCGACGCGTGCCGCAGCACGTACTGTGGCTCGATCGGTTACGAGTACGTTCATGTGCCTGACCGTAAGAAGTGTGACTGGCTGCGTGCGCGCATTGAAGTTCCTGAGCCGTACAAGTACTCTGTGGAGGAGAAGCGCCGGATCTTTGACCGCCTGACCTGGTCTGACTCGTTTGAGCGTTTCATTGCCTCAAAATACCCGAATGAAAAGCGTTTCGGTCTTGAGGGTGCTGAGTCCATGATTCCTGGTATCAAGACCATTATTGACCGTGCGGTCGAGTTCGGTGTGAGCTCAGTTACCATGGGTATGCCTCACCGTGGCCGTCTCAATGTCCTGGGTAACGTTATTCGCCGCCCTATTGAGGGTATTTTGCACCAGTTCGCTGACCACTCGAACGAGGACGGTGGTGGTGACGTAAAGTACCACCTGGGTGCCAACTACGTTCGTCCGACGCCTAGCGGATCAAAGGTCTCTCTTTCGCTTGTTGCTAACCCTTCGCACTTGGAAGCTGAAGACCCTGTTGTGCTTGGTAAGACTCGTGCTATTCAGGAGTTCAACAAGGACAAGGAGCACAAGACCTCGATGGCTTTGCTGTTGCATGGTGACGCTGCCTTTGCTGGTCAGGGTGTCGTGTACGAGACCATGGGCATGTACAACCTGCCAAAGTATGCCACGGGTGGTACTATCCACATCATTGTGAACAACCAGATTGGTTTCACGACGGACCCTCGCTTTGCTCGTTCGACCATGTACCCGTCTGACATTGCGAAGAGCATTGAGGCTCCGATCTTCCACGTCAACGCCGATGATGTGGAAGCTGTCGACTTTATTTGCAAGCTTGCTGTGGACTACCGCAATGAGTTTAAGAAGGATGTGGTGATTGACTTGATGTGCTACCGTCGTCATGGCCACAACGAAATCGACCAGCCGTCGTTCACTCAGCCGCGTATGTACGAGGCTATTGCCAAGCAGGTGCCCACGCTTAAGCATTACGCCAAGCGCCTGGTTGACGAGGGCTCCTTTACACAGGAGGAGGTCGACGAGCATGAGAAGTGGGTGTGGGGTATGCTGCAGGAGGCGTACGAGAAGAGCAAGACGTACGAACCTGAAGAGCGTCAGTGGCTCTCAAGCGCTTGGGAGGGCTTCCCATCGCCGAAGGAGCTGAAGGAAAACATCCTCGAGCAGCGTGAGACTGGTGTGGACTTGGAGCGTCTCAAGTACATTGGCAATGCCGCGTCGTCGTACCCTGAGGGCTTCACTGTGCACAAGAACCTGGTGCGTATTCTGAAGAACCGCATCAAGGCTGTGGAGTCGGGCGAAGGCATTGACATGAGCACGGCCGAGGCCCTCGCCTTTGGTTCGCTGGCCATGGAGGACATCTTTGTCCGTATTTCGGGTCAGGATGTGGAGCGTGGTACGTTCTCTCAGCGCCACGCTGTGCTTCACGACCAGAAGAACGAGGAGACCTACACCCCGCTCGACCATCTCTCGGAAGACCAGGCTCCATTCTCGATTTGCAACAGTTCGTTGTCTGAGTACGGTGCCCTCGGTTTCGAGCTCGGTTTCTCGCTTGTTGACCCGAAGAACCTGACCATTTGGGAGGCGCAGTTCGGTGACTTTGCCAACACTGCTCAGTGCATTATTGACCAGTTCATTGCTTCGGGTGAGCACAAGTGGCTCCAGCGTACTGGTCTGGTCCTCAACCTGCCTCACGGTTACGATGGTCAGGGTCCTGAGCACTCGAGTGCCCGTATTGAGCGCTTCTTGCAGCTTTGCGATGACCACCCGTACCACTTCCCGACGAAGGAGGAGCTGCAGCGCCAGCACCAGGACTCCAACATGGCTGTGGTATACTGCACTACGCCTGCCAACGTTTTCCACGTTCTTCGTCGCCAGGTCCACCGTGACTTCCGCAAGCCTCTTATCCACCTTTTCAGCAAGTCGTTGCTGCGTCATCCGGAGGCTCGCTCGAAGCTGGAGGATATGGGTCCGGGCACTTACTTCCAGCGCTACATTCCGGAGCCTCACAACTCGGAAGGCAAGGATGAGCTTGTGCCTCCGGAGGAGATCAAACGTCACATTCTTACTTGCGGTCAGACGTACTTCGCTCTTTTGCAGTACCGTCGTGAGAACAACATCAAAGACGTGGCTATCTCGCGTATTGAGCAGATTGCGCCTCTGCACTACGAAGCTCTTGTGGAGAGCTTGGACAAGTACCCCAACGCTGACTTGATGTACGCCCAGGAGGAGCCGCTGAACAACGGTGCCTGGTCGTACCTGGAGCCGCGTCTGCGCACGACGTGCAACCACACTGAGCACCACAAGGGCAAGGAGTTCATGGTGGCTTCGCGTCCGCCGTCGAGCTCGGTGGCCACGGGTAACAAGGGCGCTCACCAGGCTGAGCTCAAGGCTTACGTGAAGGCTGCGTTCAACCTGGACCGTAGCGTGCACGATGACCACTAAAGGTAGACAACAAGTCCTTTATTTGGTTCGTAGGTTACGTGAAACGAAACAACAGTTAGAGACCATTTTAGGTATGTCTACACTATTCGTGTACTTCGTTCTTTTCCATACATTGTACCTACATGGGCGAACTTCGTAGGATGCAATCTTAACTTTCACATCTCTAAATAGACAGGCTGTCGGTACAGTTGGCCCTATTTATATACAGTCTGGCTCCCAAGATGCGCCAAGGAGGCCGAGTCGGGCTTATCGGTTGACTGTGCCAACCACCATAGTCAACAAATTTGCCTCGTTAAAGCATAGGTCTTTATGCTGATGTAGCTTGGGGAGCCGAAGCAGCGGTAGTTGCGTTCTTTGTTTTCTTGTCGTCATCTGTTGTTGTCGTCACCGCGGCGGGAATGATGATCACACAGAGCAAAATGATAATGACAACAATGATCAAGATCCGCATCTTAACATCTTTCCACCACATACGCTTTCGCACCTGGTTCGCACCTCGACGGAAACCCTGTGCCGATACAGCCAAACTGTCCGTCTTGTTTTGCAGACTGTCCAGGTTCTCACCACGCTCGTTCACCTTATTGATGTTGTCGCGCATGACGCCGACAGTTTCGTCGATCTGAGCCTGAATTTGAGCGGTACGCGAGCTCCCAGCACCCACATTCGGTTTTGACGAGCTTTCGGCACTGCTTGGCGGAATATAGGGATCGTAATGCGATGAATTCCTGGTCTCCATGGTGGCGACTATGACAATGCTACAGTGTGCCTGGCGCGATCCGTTCGCATCGCTTTGTCAGCAACACTGGCGCCCGGTCATTTTAGATTTAACATGTGCTTGCGCCCGTCTCCACGTGGCATCCATATGGTACCACTGAAACTACATGATGCACGTGATATTTTCGGATTCTTCGCAGGTGCCTTTCGTGACCCAGTTGCGTCCAGCCAGACTAGGACGGACTCATCGTTCGACGACTTCGTCACATTCAGCATGGTACGTACAATGGAATAACGCCGGTGTTGCATGTGTATTTCATGCCCACTACATGCATGAATACGGTATGCGTGTAAGGATGAAGGTATACATTGTCATCGTTACCGGCGTTCCGCCAATGTCAACAGATGTCTAACATGTAACAGGCCCGCTACGCGTTTGACGATACCAAGCTGACGGAGAAGACGGCCAAGTCGCGCGGCGCTTACCTGCGTGTTCACTTCAAGAACACGCGCGAGACTGCCGCCGCCGTCAATGGTATGAAGCTCCAGAAGGCTTACGCTTACCTCGACAACGTTGTTGAGCACCAGCAGGCCATTCCTTTCCGCCGCTTCAACGGTGGTGTTGGCCGCACCCAGCAGGTGAAGGAGTTCAAGACTACTCAGGGTCGCTGGCCGGTGAAGTCGGTCAAGTTCCTTCTTGGCCTTCTTAAGAACGCCGAGGCGAACGCTGAGGCTAAGGGTCTTGACACTGAGGCTCTTGTTATCCGCAACATTGCTGTGCAGCAGGCCCCGAAGACTTACCGCCGCACTTACCGTGCTCACGGTCGTATCAACCCGTACCGCAGCTCGCCGTGCCACATTGAGATCCACCTTGCTGAGCCCGCTGAGCAGGTCGCCAAGGCTACCTCGAATGTGGCTGTTCGCCTGAACAAGCGCCAGCTCGCCAAGAAGCGCGTGGCTGCTGCCCGTGCTATCGCCCCGGCTGCGACTGCTTAAATGCAGTGACCTCTTGTCACGGATATGCGTTTGCATGTTACGAGGTTGTGTATCCTTTATATAAGATGCATTGTCTCGGTCTTTTACCTTTTGCCTCCCAGGTCTCGGTTGATGCCGTAGTACAATAGCGCTTTGCGCGGCATGAGTTTTGCTAGCCGCTCTGCCAAAAATGAAACTCATCTTCCGATACTATGTATGTGATACAATAGTGAGTCTGGGTGTGATGTTGGGTCTAGCCCGCTGAGGGAGCCATCTTCTGGTTTTCGATTTGGCTTCTGGAACAGGGACTTTAGTCGGCCGTTCCCTACCGACTTGTCCCTCCACTCGTAACTGTGTAGTACGAAACATCCGTGCACCTAACGACCAACTACATTAGCATGAGCGAGTGCAAGGCAACGCCACCGCCTCTGACGGGCACACTAGCTCTGTATCAGACCTCGCCCATTCCGTTGCCGTACTTTGAGTCCAATGGATCACATCCCAACAAGCTCGTATTCATCCCTGGCCTAACAGACACCATGGGCGTCGTGCCTTATCTCCCTCGATTGGCGCAAACACTCGACAAGATCGGCTATTCGCTTGTACAATTTGTCAAGTGCTCTGACTTGGGGGGGTTTGGAACTTCGTCTTTAGAAGGTGACGCGCAAGAAATCGCTCAATTAGTGGAGCATCTGAAAAGCCGTGACACGGCTCCATGCACAGGAAAGCTTGTGGTTATGGGACATTCCACCGGATGCCAAGATGTGATTCAACTTCTCTCACGGGATAGGGCTCTATCATCCACGAAGCCTGGCTCTCTTATTCACATTGATGGCGGGATATGCCAAGCCCCTGTCTCTGACTATGAGTTTTTTAAACATTCATTGGATTCCAATCCCTTAGGCCAGCAACAGTGGGCCGAAAGCCAATCTCTCTTGGATAAGGGCAAGCCTAGTGCCCTTCTTTCTCGCGAGCATGTAGCTCCTGTGCCGGCGTCTACTCATGGTCGCGGTCCTGGTAATTCTGAAGTGGCCCTTAACCCAGCGTTTACCGCATACCGATTTGCTAGTCTGAATGGTCCTAATGGTGATGATGATTTCTTTAGTACGAATCTTCCAGATGAGAGGGTGCAAGAGGTTTTACAACCAGCCTTATCTCGTGCATCCTTGCTCATGCTATTGGGAGAAGAAGAGTACGTTTTCTGTACCAACTAACGATCAGCGAATATGTGCCCACGAAGGCAAATGTTCCCGCAATGACTGAGCGATGGCACCGTGTGCTGCACAGCGATCGTTTCCACACGGCTTTTATACCCAAAGCCAGCCATAAAGTGGACAATGAGAGCGCGCAAGTGTTCCTGTGCAATACCGTTTCCGCCTTTTTGCAAGATCTTCATTAGTTACACTCGTACTCTACACATAGTCTTCCAAGATATAAATATATACTTAATAGAGAGATAGCCATCGCGACTGGCACAAGTCGTCAATCGTCCATCGTGTTCTTGGATTAGTGTCTAACAAATGCTCCAATACTTGTCGTGCTTCAGAGCGAGACCCTTCCGGTTCGTTATCATTATTATTCCAATTTGGTTCACCTTGTCGATTTTCCCGTTCACTGTCGGACAAGAGACGGTATGGCATTTCATAATCGCCGTTGGAGATACGCCGGATCATACGCGACTGTATTCCATCCATGAAAGGTAGTTGTCCCGCCAACAAAGCATATAGGATACATCCCAGGGCCCACATGTCACGCGCAAAGACAGGCATGTCTGGCGGAAGGGAGGGGCGGTTGTGAGAAGGGACAGAGTCTTCCAGGTATGGTTCCAAATCCATGTATGAGATCAATTCTGGTGCGACGTAGGCCACGGTGCCGCAGGGCGTAGGGGCCGAGTTGGCGCCCAAGTAGGAATCCGTCCGCACTTTTTGTGACAGACCGAAATCAGCAATTTTCCAAGTAATGGGCCCATCTTGGTCATCTTCCGGCTCGAATCCGAGCACATTTTCCAACTTGAGATCATTGTGCACTACATGCGCCACTTTATGCAGACAATAAATGGCAGACGCCAATTGACGCATGATGTCACGGGCAGCTCGGATAGAGATGCCTTTCGATTTATTGGCCGATAGGGATGCACGGGTAGAGGTGCCACTGGTCAAACTCATTACTTGCTGTGGTCCTTTGTTAGACATGGTTTCCTCTTTCTTGCCCTCTTGACGAACAAAGCGGAGCAAATTTCCAGAACGGCTAAATTGCATGACAAGATAATGTCGGGTGTTGTTCGTATTTTCAGCTGGATCATCAAGAATTCTCTTTTCATAATGGATGAGCTGGAGGAGATGAGGATGATGTGGCAACTCTTTCCAAATATCAAGCTCTTGCTTAGCATCGCAGGATGCCATATTTTCTGGGTATATCACTTTCACGGCCACACCATTCAGCTTCGTTGAGCGATTCCAATGCTCTGCTTCATATACAGTCGAACTTCCGCCAAACGCCACCGCACTCTTTAGGCAGAAATGGCGTTCAGGCGGCCCGAATTCGTATCCTTTTTCAGGATCTTCCATCTTCGATGACCGTGAGCTTCCGCGTTGCGCTCCAAAAGAACCTTGTGAGAGCTTTCGTGCTGTAGTCATTTGGTCATGACCGCTTCGCACTGAAGAGGCACGTCGTAGGTACGTAGAGATGGTGCCATGCGACTGGGGGCGACTCTCCGACGAGGAGCCGCTCATGCTGTTCATCCTCCCAAGCCATTCAGATGCCGTAGTTCCTGTAGATGTGGCTCGACTCTGAAGTAAGCTCTGCCCGAGGTCCTTTGCCTCTCGGGACGGTGGCCCATTCATGGTCGTTAGGGATAAAGTTTTTTGGTTGCCACCTGTGCTGTTTTGGGATACAAGCTGTTCCCAGGCCCATGATCGAGCTTCATGAAGTGTATCTTCACTGCCTCGTTCTTCCTCTATGTCCTGTCCCTTTCGTGGGGGGATGTCTACGGGGGCGGGCTTTGTCATACGTTCGTGGTCAATAAGAGAGACCTGATTAAATTACCGACCGATCTTGTATGCGGGGCAAGACTTTAAAGCCCATCTCTGGCACGTGCATATGTGGAGGCTTGGATCTACGGCGTCAGGGCATGCACTTGCAACGCCTTTCACCACATACTCCTGTCTGGCATGGCACGGAAGTCGAACAAGCCACGTGTCACAAGTGCATACCAGCGGTTCATAAAAACGGAGCTAGCTAAATTAAAGGAGCAATTCCCAGATATGGAACACCGCGAGCGGTTTAAAAAGGCTACACACCTATGGGCTTCGCAGTCTCGCTCTAGTCGAGGAAGTCACGCTCGAGGATCGCAGTAATTTCACGCCGCGTGCGTAGCCATGTTGGGAAACTGGGGAAGTCGTCCACTGAGTTGGCCGACGTAGGCTCGTCAATGGACCATGCCAATGGGTGATGATGGACAGACGAACTTAGTGAGGCAGAGTCGTCCTCTTCATTCGATACCATGGCACTGTGCATCTTGTCCAAGAGATAGCTGGCAAAGGCAATGAGATACCCATACCGTGCGAGGTAATTCTGAAATACGCTCATCAACTGACGGTGCCGCGGTGTGTGTGGCTCCGCACTGTCTGCACGCAGCTTCATCACGGAGATGGCCTGGCGCAGATTCTGGATCGTATCCATCCTATCAATCGCATGGTCGAGCAAGATTTTCGCCAACCGACCGTACGACAGAACACCCACTAGCTGCAATATGCAGCGATACTCTCCATCCATGCGCAGTTCATCTTCACGCAGCTCGCGTGATTCATCTGCTTCGCTTGCGTCAGCTGTATCAAGCAAGCGACGACGCTTCAGCCAGTCCTGACCATACTCCCGTACACTCACAATCAGCGAGGCAATGATCATACCGCTGGTCGTGCGTCCACGACCCATCTGACAGTTAAATACGCATATAGCCTGCGTATCAATCGCATGCTGCACACGCTCTTCCAGTTGCGAAAACACGTCAGGCACAGGAGCTTGCTCATCAGTGATGGCCACACGGGCGTAGTCAACACGGTATCCTTCACTGCGCATGCGTTCATATACCTCTTTGGGTGTCAAGATATCATCATCCTTGGCCGTTTCCCAGACAGGCACAATGAGGTATTCACCTTCATCGTTGGGCACTTCGTCGTGCAGTAATACGCGGCCATTTCGTTGGCGGGCTTCTTGGCGCAAATCACGCTGTAGAGCGGACTCCATTCGCTCTACCACATCCGTCGTCACGCCTGTAGCCTCGACGTTGGTCAAGGGTTGGTCTGCTAGGCGCAGCACATGGGGGCGGCCATTGACATAGAGGACTGGTTCTTCACGCAGGTTGGTCCACACAATCTTCGCTGCCTCGTCCTTCGCGGCTCCCATCTGTGTCAGACCAGCACGAAGACCCTCTATCGTAGGCATTCCACAACCCCATGTATTTTGGGCCGTGGGATGAGTGCATGGTATGTCACTTGAAATGGAGAACAAAGTTAAGAGCGGGCATACCCTGCGCAAGTTCGGCATTCCGTCAATCCGCAGAGGAAGGCCCGCTTTGAGAATCCCACTGAAAAAGTCCGATTTAAGGATGGTAGAAGCACTGAGGATCGTACCGCTGCGATTATGCACTACCTCTTCCACTTCGTCCGTGAGAGCCACGCCATCGCCGATATCAATTTTGCCTAAAGGCGTGATAGTGGAAATATCCATGTGATCCAAGTCTCGTGCGATGGTTTTCAGCACGGGCTGCTTATGAACGAACTTTTCAAATGAGTGCGTCATAATCGAGCTGGGCGTGACACTATCCAGGAACGCCCGGAATACCAGTAGATGGAAGTATCGGTGCAAGCTCTGTACACCATGAGCAATGTATCCCTTCTTTTCATTGGCAGGTGCCTTTTCGGCCGCCTTGAAGGCATCTTCAATGGACGTACGGATGTTGAGCACGGAGCCACAGTCGTCAATAGCATCGTCGACCATGCGCTTTATTTCTTGGCCATGGGGAATCACACGCAGCAGACTGTTGATCACATGGTACGACGAGCGCGGCTTATCAGCAGGTGAGGTGGCTTTCTTGCCTTGCAGCCATCGCTCAAAAAGCAAAATAAGCACGGAAACCAATGTCGTACGACCACGTCCCAACTGGCAATTGACAACGATAGGCGCATTACTATCGTAGCATTCTAGCACAGCATGCAAGAGGTCTGCCACATCTGTGTATTCCACGCTTTTCTCTGCCGTGATAGGGATCCGGCGGAATTTCAGTCGGATATTGCTGGGCAGGTCTGCTGCTACTTGATCCATGACGCCTTGCACTGTTTGAATATCCGTAGACTCCACATCTTCCCACAACGGCACAACGTTGCCGTCTTCCGTCTCGCTGTGCAAAAGCAGTTTCCCATCGCTCCCGGAAAGTTCTGATATGACATCCGAGCACAGACGATCCTCCAATTGGCCAAGGCGTTCCGGTGTAATGCCACTGTAGTTGGTTATATTGCGGAGAGACAATTCACGCTGGCGTAGACAAAAAGGCCGGCCCTGCACATAGACCAAAGGCTCTTCGCGCAAGTTGATCCAGAGTACCGTCCGTTGTTCCTTGCTGCTAGATGACACCTGGTTGAGCACTGTAGCTAGAAGATTGTGAATTCCTTCCACAGTAGGTTGGCCAGAGCCGAAGATGTTGGTCTGCAGTACACGGCGGAAATTGACAGCGCCATGTACTTGCATGGCGCTACCACTAGGAATGAATTCCCGCCAAATGTCATGCTTTAACAATAGGCCAGGGCGAAGCACCATACCAGTTCGATTATTAATGACAAACTCCGCGAATTCATCCCCTGTGACCACTGCATTCTGATCGACAGCATCGCTCATACGATTCTTATCGGGAGGAGACAGCTCTGTGTGTACACTCCCATCGCGTCGTGTAATTACGGAGAGATCGCATACGGGATCGAAGAGAGATAAGTGATGCGACAATGTGCGAATATGCACAATACCACGCCAGATTTCTACGCGACTCTTAAGCCATGAGGCGAAACGGAATTGGAACATGGCCGTCTTGCTTTCCTCGACGTAGCTGGCAAAGGCAATCAAGAAATAGTAGACCTCCAGCGCTTTTGATGCACGGCGAAGCATAGATTGGGCTTGCGTATCATTGATTGTGGCTTCTGATGAGTAGAGCAAGCGGCGCGATAAAATGGATTCACGCAAGTTGATGACATGCGCGCAAGCATCAATTGCCGTGTCTACCACATTTTTACAGCCGACGCCTTCATCCAAAAGCCCACACAATTGGCGAACCAACCCGTAATCGCCCATATTCGCGTCCTGAAGAGATTTTAGGAGGATAGGGTGCATCAATAATTGCTCAATGATGGTGCGGCTATCATTTGCTGAAAAGCTGTGACTGAGGACATGAACAAGACGAAGCAGATGATGGTTTTGGACCATGCTGTCCTGGACCCGTCGAAGGGTTCGACCAAGTGTTTGCGACGGGGCATGCGGGTTGGGGATCGGCGAGTTGTCTGCAGCCATTGGATCCACGTTGGTGAGCAGGATACATTGTCGTCGACGCACAAGGACAGCTGCAATCATAGCAAACGTGGTCCGAAAGACACCTGCTCCGCAGTTGGCCACAAAACAAGTGTTGCGTGGATCTGTATCTTTAATTACTTGCGTATACGCGTCCAAGTAGTTGTGCTCCAATGGCTGGTCAGGTGCAATAGGCAGACGATGGTATGTGACACGCCAGCCCTGCGATTCGATCCAGGAAAATACTTCACGCACCGTACGGACCTCATCCCCCTGCACTGAAACCCACATGGTCTTGAGTTCCGAAGCGCCTGCCTGTTCTTCATGGACAAGAAGAAGGCCATTGTTTTTGGCAGCTTCTGTGAGGATATCATGCTTTAAACGCTTTTCAATCGCTTCCAGGTTTTCCGCACGATCACTTAAACTCATAGGCTGCTTTGGGCTGTGCGCCTCACGCAACACAAATGGTCGGTCACTCACATACACCACCGGCTCTTCTCGTGTGCAAACCCAGGCGCATGTTTGTTGATAAGCCTCGGAGGTGTCTTGTCTTTCTGCAGGCTGGCACCTCAGCACAGAAAGAACCGTTTTCAGACCAATGATCGTAGGCTGAGCTACTCCGTACACGCCCAAATCTACATCGGCTTCGCGAAATAGCGGCGCACCTTCCAGCGATACAGACTGATCCGATGGCATAATGTCGGCTGACAAGTGAGTCGTGTCGTGTACATACATGCTGCACTGTGATCACTCTTGAGTACCATTCCGCGCGTTAGCACAATTCCATGGCGCTCGCGTACGATACGCCTCTCATTGTTTTCCCAATGCGAGGACAAAATCCGCGCTTTGGGCATGTTGGAGGGACAGGGAGAAAGTGGAGATGGAGCACGGTCCACACTGAGCAGATTGGAATTATGTGCACAAAACAGGGCTGGTGCGTTGGTGGCACGCGTTTGGTGTTGGTCTGTCAATCTCTGTTGCTCTGACGCATTTTTGGATGCGGTCGTTTTTTGGACCACGACGTGTGGTGACCACGCCAGCTGTGGTTACATCGTCAGAGTACAACGACAATGACCCGGAAGAGATTCAACTAATCAACCCTCATGACCCGTCGACACCAACCCTGGCAGATGTCAATGATATTGTGGAAGATTATTATGGCTCTGAAGCGCATGAGCTTGCGATGATCCCCACCAAGCCCTCCTCATCACAACATGCGTCAGTAGATTGGTCTGAGAATGGATTTCCGTACCTCGATGCTGTTGATGGTCTGTCTAAAGAGCGCGCTAGCATTTCTACGCTGCCTATGGCATCATCTGCTCAGCCATTGATGATACCGGATTCCTCTTCTATGGCGGCTACAGAGTCTCTCGCTCCTACAACGAACGAGGCCCCTGCCTCTACATGGCTGGGATTCCTGTCTTCCTATATCTACCCTACACCGAAATCACCCGACTTGGAAGCAGGGTCTGATGGACGCTTTGGCTCTACCTGGGAGCGGATTCGATATGGACACATTCCTCAGCGTCAGCCACGGCGATACCGAACAATCAAGCGTGTACCTTTATATGATGGCCATTTGGTTCTTGACTGTCCCATTCCCCCGCGTCTTTTGCAACGTCTCCCTATTCGCGAAGGGCGTGAGTTCAACTTTATGCGGTACACGGCTGTGACGTGCGATCCAGACGGTTTTGTGAAAGACAGGTATACCCTACGCCAGCAACTTTACCGCCCGCCACGTCCCACCGAACTGTGCATTATCCTGACCATGTACAACGAAGATGAGCGTTTATTCACTCGAACCATGCATGGTGTCATGCGGAATATCGCATACTTATGCTCGCTAAAAAACCACCATGTATGGGGAAAAGACAGCTGGCAGAAAGTGGTGGTGGTCATTGTATGCGATGGTCGACTGAAAATGAACGCTCGAACGCTAAGTGTGCTTGCTGCTATGGGCATATACCAGGAAGGTGTTGGGAAAAACACTGTGCAAGGGACCCCTGTGGAAGCCCACATGTACGAATATACAACTCAAATTTCAATTGACCCGTCCCTCAAGTTCCGCAGTGCAGAGCGCGGAATTGTCCCTGTACAGGTACTGCTTTGTATCAAGGAGCATAACAAGAAGAAAATCAATTCTCACCGGTGGGCTTTCAATGCATTTGGTCCTCTTCTGCAGCCTAACGTCTGCATGCTTCTCGATGTGGGTACCATGCCTACGGCTCGCAGTATCTATCGACTTTGGGAGGCGTTTGACCGCGATAAGAATGTAGGCGGTGCCTGTGGTGAAATTGTTGCTTTAAAAGGCACCATGTGGCACGCGCTTCTCAACCCCCTTGTGGCTGCCCAGAACTTTGAATACAAGCTGAGCAACGTGCTAGACAAGCCTATGGAAAGTGCGTTTGGGTACATTAGCGTTTTGCCAGGTGCGTTTAGTGCTTATCGATATGAAGCGTTGCAAAATGATGCTATGGGTAATGGCCCCTTGTGCTCGTACTTCAAGGGTGAAAGTCTACATGGTGGCAACTCAGATGCTGATATCTTTACAAGCAACATGTACCTGGCCGAAGATCGAATCTTATGTTGGGAACTTGTCACAAAAAGGGATAGTGCATGGCTCCTGCGCTATGTGAAACGAGCTCAAGCAGAAACTGATGTGCCTACACACGTTGCTGAACTTATTTCGCAGCGTCGACGTTGGCTCAATGGCTCCTTCTTTGCTGGGATCCACTCGATTATCAAGTTTGGCCATATCTATCGATCCAACCATTCTACTGGCCGGAAGATTGCGCTTCATATTGAAATGATATACCAACTGTGCCAGCTCTTCTTTTCTTGGTTCTCCCTTGCGAACTACTACATTACTTTCTGTGTTCTATCCGAGTCTGTGACGGATTCGCTGCACTGGGTGCGCGTTCCATCGATTATCTGTGAATACATATACTTGGCTTTCCTTATTTATTGCTTCCTCCTTTCCATGGGCAACCGGCCTCAGGGTAACAAGATTGGATACCTTGTCTCAATGATTGTGTTTGCTCTTCTAATGCTCATTATGATGGTACGTTTGCTAACACTCACCTTTAGATTTTTGTCATCTATTTGGCTTACTGGAGTGTACAAAAAGAAGTGTCAACGAAGAGTGGCATCGCTCTAGTGGCCGATGGTGTGTTCATTCGTGTGGTGATTTCGTTGCTCAGCACGTTTGGGTTCTGGCTCATTTCGTCCCTGTTGTTCCTCGAGCCATGGCACATGTTTACTAGCGTGCTTCAATACCTTCTCTTGTCTCCCAGTTTTATCAATGTCATCAATATCTATGCGTTCTGCAACACGCATGACGTATCGTGGGGTACGAAGGGCTCGACGGCGATGCATAAAGACTTGGGTCAAGCTGCAGGCAGCACCAATAATTCCGTGGATGTGATGATTCCCAGTGAGTCTCAAGATATCGACGAAGCGTATGATGATGCCTGTCACGTCCTCAACACGAAACCTACCCGTGTCATACCCATGCCTGACCCTGATATGGAACAGAGAGACTACTATGCGACGGTGCGAACCAATGTGGTTCTTGCGTGGACACTGACCAATGCGGCACTGGCTGTGGTAATTCTTAATTTGGACCGACCTGTACACAACGTTTATATGGGTATTTTATTCTATGCGATTGCTGCCTTGTCTTTCTTCCGCTTCTTTGGTGCTTTTATGTATTTGTACGTATGCGCATGATGGAACGGTGCTCACGCCATACAGACTTGGTAAACTGTTTCAGCGTCCGAAGCGGGATTAGGCTAGACTAGATTAAATCAGTTTCTTCTCATCCGTTTCCGAAGTTGCAGGTGTGCGCGCCAAAGGGTTTGCCACGCCCCATCGGCGACTAATCAGGTCAAGAAGCGTGTTGCCAGGTCCATGATCAGCGGCATTCCGCGGATCCGTTTCATAGATATAATAGGCACCGATGCCTGTGGCGATACCAAAGATGGGGTCGGCCACCCTATGGGTAAGACAAAGGTCTCATACGTACCGACCGATCAGATACTTCATGGTGAGGGACAACGACGCCCGTGCATAGCTCTCCACTCCGCTGGTGCCCTCACGTGATACATGTGCGGTCTCCATGCAATTGCGCATGCACCGAGCGCAGTCTTTTGTCCTAGCAGTGCACCATGTACCCTATGAATCAGTGGGGAGGCGCTGGTACGCCTGGCTATGGTCCGTACCAGCAGCCGCAGATGACAGGACAGATGCCTATGTCGATACAAATGCCTATGCAGATGCAGGGGACAGGGATGAATGGTTCGATGCCCAATGCATCGTTCATTGCCCGGCCGGCAGCACCGCCACCACCTCCGTCGATGGCGCCTGCCATGACTGGAGCTATGCGCCCGATGATGACACAGGCTACAGGTATGCCGTCTATGATGGGGCAGCAGCCTACCGCTATGTCTCCGATGATGAGCCAGCCCACAGGCTTATCACCGATGATGGGACAACAGCCTACTGGTATGCCGTCGATGATGGGGCAGCCCACTGGTATGCCAGGCATGACGAGCCAACCTACTGGTATGCCCATGGCGGCCCAAATGACGGGTGTCTTTAGCGATCCGCGTATGCGTTTGATGTATACGCAGTTCCTGCCAGCGTCTCAACCTTATTCTGGTGTGCCTATGCCATCTAATATGAATTTCAACCAGGCGAGCATGCAACCTGCTCAATTCCAAAGCAAGCTGCAGACACTTACATCACAGCAGCCTGGGCCAAAGAAGACCAAAATTCCTTGGACTATGACCAAGGAAGAGCGCAAGAGCTATGATAACATCTTCCGTGCCTGGGACGCTAAGCGCACGGGCTGGATCAGTGGCGATGTCGCGCGCGAGCTGTTTGGACAAAGCGGCTTATCGCGTGAGCAGTTACTTCAGATCTGGCACTTGGCTGATGCCGAGAATCGTGGCAAGTTGAACATCGCAGAGTTCCATATTGCGATGGCCCTCATTTACCGTGCGCTGAATGGCAATGATATTCCACAGGAACTGCCACAGGAACTGATTCCTTCGTCTACACGGGATCTGAGTGATAGTGTTGACTTCTTGAAGGACTTGTTGAAGCAGGATACGAATGTGCGGAACGCCACGGCGCTCAACTTGGCAGAGCCCGGATCGAACAAGGATGCAAAGTACCACGAAACACGCTCATTTTACCGCAACCCTGTGGAACGGGAATCTGATGCACCAAAACAGGATGCCGTTGCTTATAAGCATCAAGAGTCCGAGTCGGCGGGCTACCGAAGCCGAAGCCGCTACCTAGACCGTCGTGATGTCCGATTTGATGGCCAAAGTGCGGCTGAAGACTTGGGCGAAATGAAGCGGCAGCTGGAAAAGACACAGCGCATGCTAGAAGGCACGGACTTGAATGAAGAAGAGGATCATGATCTGCAAAATGAGATGGAAGATGTGCGCTACGCTATTCGGCGCTTGCAGGATGATATTGAGTACTACAACCGTCGTGATGGTGCTCATGCTGGCGAACAGCGGCGCAAAGCGGAGCGTACATTGATGCAATTGCTGCATGAGCGCCTCCCACAACTGGAGAAGCGATTGGAGCAGCACCATGCGCGGACGCACAAGAAAGATGTCGAGAAGCGCCAGCAACTGGACGCGCGCAACAATGACAAATATGCGCATCTCCGTGATTCGACACCTGCCCCATCGCCCGCCCCCACGGCGACATCTGCCCCGGATGCAGCATCAGCGTCCACACCCAGCGTAAGTGCCACGCCCAAATCAAGCACGTCTGGCACCTCTACACCCGGGGCCAAACTGACAGGAGCAGAGCGAGAAGCGTGGATTCGTTCTGAGGCACAACGTCGTGTCCAGGAACGTATGCGCATGTTAGGCGTAGCTGGGCCTGTGGATGCTGCGCCCAGTGTAGACACTACGGTGGAGCAGCGTCTCGCGATGGAGCGTAGTGAAGCGGAAGCACGTGCCGCCAAAGCGGATGAAGAGGCGAAAGCGCGTGAAGAAGCACGTAAAGCGCGGCTGCGGGAGCACAAACAAGCCCCGCCGCCGCCGTCGCGGACACGTGCGCCTCCGCCTGCTGTGCCTGCTCGATCTACGCCTGAGAGCGAAGCACCCAAGCCGGTACCGCAGCCACACACAGATTTGACGTCGACAGCGGGCACTGCGCCCGAGCCCACGACTGAGCCTGAACCGCCTCGGCCCTCCGAGCTGGAGGCTACGCCCGAGCCAAGTCCAGTGGATGTTCAGGAACCAGACGTAGCTCGTGAGCAAACGCCTGTTGATCCGCCGTCTTCGTCCAAGGCCGGCACGAATCCCTTTTTCCGCATGTCTACAGCGCCGCCGGCCGCAGCCTCGCCACCTGCGTCTGAACCCGAACCAAGTGGAGCCACACGTAGGGCGCCGCAGCCTACGTCGCTGCCACCGGCCCAGCGTTCTGCAACTGCGTCCACGCCTGCCTCACGTGCTATCCATCTTCCGCCCTCGCATGATGAGGATTGGGATGACGAGGACGACGAATCGGAAGATGAACACCCTCTGAGTTCGCGGGCCACACGCCAGCATCTAGCCCAACAACTCTTCAGCGGTGTTGTACCTACATCCGGCCCCGTCACACCGGAGGCCCACTCACCTGCTGTACCGCAGTCGCCAGCCCCCCGTGCGCCACCAGCGCCAACGACGCCAGCCCCTACGACTAGCATGCCTCTTGGTGGTGGAGCAGGAGATAGGAATGCCCTTCTTTCCCAGATTCGCGGAGGACAAACGCTGAAAAAGACAACTACGCGTGACCGATCGGCTGCCATGACAGCAGGCCAAGTACTAGGATCGTCATCACCACCGCCTGGTCTGTCCACTTCATCGGTGCCCGAGCCAGAGAGCAGCGACGATGAAGGCCCAGTGGCGGTAGAGGCGCAGGACGTACCAGGTGCCTTTGTCGACTCCACACCGGTGGCTGTACCTGAACCCGCACCACAAGCAGAGGCGACGGACGACACCCTTGGCTTTGATATGACGCGCACCGTTCATGTGCGTAGCTTGTATCCCTATGAAGGTGGGGAAGGCATGCTGGCCTTTGCTGAAAATCAAGTATTCTTGGTCCATCCTACCTTGAATGGTGATATGATGGATGGCGATTGGACCTATGGAGCCCTGCTTTCCGATCCCACGAGAAAGGGATTGATCCCTGCGGCCTACGTTGCTCCTATGGAGCAAGTTGTGGCAGCGGAAGCCTTGTACGACTACGAAGCCAGTTCTCCAGAAGAGGCATCCTTTACCGAGGGTGAAGTGCTGCAGATTGTTGATCAAAGTGACCCAGACTGGTGGCTTGTTTTGCGCCATGACAAGTGCCTTATGGTCCCTTCGAACTATGTAGCTGTTGCATAACGTATCTATGTCTTGTTCAAGCTGTTGTTACGGTTCACTCACAGGCGTCTATATGGGCAGAAATCAAAATAAAATGATGGAGTAAAAAATGATCAAGAGCACAATGGGGATCGAACCCATGACCTTCGGGAATCAGCGTAACCGAAAACCGATGCGGTAAACCACTCCGCTATGCGCCCACTTCGATCACAAAGGGCGTTCACTCAATCCCTTATCAGCATAATGTCTATTTCGATTCTCGCCAGCGGTACTGGAGTGTCATACTACCGGCACTGTTCTTCCAGCAATACGTCTGGCATTGCGCCAGTGTGTAAATAGGAGGAACCACTGAGCCATGACAGAGAATATCAATGGGAATATCCTCAGGCAGAGTAGAGTTGAGCAGTGTAGGCAACTGCACGCCCATATCAACCACGGCTTTGTAAATGTACTCTGACAAGCGCCCAATACGAAGCAGGCGCGTCGTGGAAATCTCAGAGACTTTTTGTGTTAGCACTGGTAGACGAATGCCTCGTGATTCATTTGCATCAGAAACCTTTTGCAGAAGAACTTTGATCCGTGGTGATTCATGGTCAGGATCGACAGGGGACAGGACGAGGCGAAGGAGCCACAGCGGAGAGAGAAGTTCAAGGAGGGGGGTATCGCGACCCATCGTTCCAATTTTCCCACGCAAAGCAATTTTGTTTTCGCCACTTGATGGCATCACATGGAGCATTTCAACGGCCATGTCGTCCGTGTACAAAGCCTCTTCGGCAGGCAGGTCACGTAGTGTGGTTTGCAAAATGGGAACCAAAGCACTAACCTGATCTTCCAAGCTGCCACGAGTCAGCTTTACTACGTCTGGACGACCACCAGTCATGCTCGATGCCTTACGGCTGCGACGTGAACTGCTTCGACGTCGGAAACCTAGGATGGACGTGCCTGTCTCCACAGTGTTGGAAGACGGACTGGTGCCCCCCGTTTTACCTGTCTCCTCCTGGTGCAATGCATGAAGCAACTGCAATGTTGATGTCACCAAGGGCGCTTCAGTATGCTCAGATGTATTGGACAAATGGACATCATGCACTGTATCAGCGCATGTCATATTGGCTAAGATGCTTTGCAAGGATGCATCTGAACCAGCAGGCATGGTGCTATTCGGTAATTGTGATAATGGCACTTGCAACAATGCCTCTGGGGTCAGGTTTAGTGTCGTGAGCCAGCGCAATATCAAGGGCTGTCCATCGGAGCCCGCCTGGCGGATCGCCTTTTCTGTGGCCAAGAAACGACGGAAGAGTTGTCGCAACACAAATACGCTCAGGAAAACGCGGTCTTCTTTCCATAGCGCGTCTCGTTGAGCTGACTCCATTGGAAGCAGCTCACTTGTATATACCTCGGCGGCCCATACTTTGTCCTCGTCAATGTACACAGTAAGGGCACCGGACGACGTGTCTAGCGTACACCACGGCGGAGTAGCGCCATTGCCCTCAATAAGGCCTCGCACAATATCCAGTGTATCACTGGGTGAGTCTCGCGGTGTCCATGTCTGGGCATATTCTTGGGCTTGTGCAGCTGCATACACAGCGTCTGGATCAAATGTGCCTAGGCACTGGCCAAGGACAATGTTCCAAAGGGCTACAATGCCTCCCGTATCCACGGTCAGCGTATGTACACGATCATTGAGCATGACAGCGCGTACCATGCCATGGAATCCTTTTACCTTGCACTGAGGCTGGCTAGACATGGGTGTAGCCTCGTCGGCAAAAAGTCGCGAATGGAAATCAGACGTGTCAGAGGCACCTGGCCCTGTCGAGGATGACGGCAGGTTGGGCGTCTCATCGCTGCTCAAAAACTGCAGCATATCAGGAGGTCTCAGATTTACAGTGCTCGCCGCTGTGTTACCATGGAATCGGCCTGTCGCTTGTGCGGAAGCTCGGTTTGCCCGTCTGGGCACATCCGCCCACCGCGAGAAAGAGGCAGAGCCTGTATTTGACGTCCACACGAACTCATCAGTGTAGGCCGCAATGCTGACAATACCATGCGAGCGACCTGTCGTTTTTTCCTTCTCGTGCGCCAGCACAATACCTTCCGCTTGCTCCAGCGGTGTGGAGCGATCCCACTCCACTTTGCAAAGGTACCCTTCGCGGTCACCCGAGTAGAAGGTAGACAGTTGGGGGTCGTCCGAGTAGAGGCTCCAAATGCTGGCGTTGTGATGCGTGAGTGTATGGATCCTGCGTTGTTCTCCGAGTGACCAGAGACATATTGTGGTGTCTGACGAGCCGGAAAGAAGGAAGCGGCCATCGTCGCTCATAGTCATCGCACGAACATTGTCTTCGTGGCCCATCAGTTCGAAGGTCGGATCACGCATACGTGGATCCCATCCACGGACCACATGGTCTACACCACCTGACACGATAACACTTCCAGCACGATTACTTGCAATGCTGTACAAGCTAGAAGGTGTATGTGCACGCCATACCGGCGTCGTGCGTCCTTCGCGAATATCCCAGAGGCTCACAGTATGATCCAACGAGCAGCTAGCCACGTACCCTGCGTCATGAGCCGGTGCCAGCGCTTTCACGAAGTCATTATGTGTGCCCAGTTCGTGTGTGGCACTGGACGCATCCACGTTCCATGCCTTAATAGTGCAGTCGGACGAGCAGGTTAGAACAGTTTCATTCCGATTGCATAGCTTCAAGTCCCAGATCCAACTGCGATGAAGTCGCATATTTTTCATGTACCGTGGTGCACCATATGTTCCACCTGGGTAGACATGGCCCAGATCCCACATGCATACGAGACCATCAATGCCAGCCGAGTAAAGATACGCATCGACATGCGTCGTGTCCATCGCGAGCGCATTGATGGGGCGCATATGACGAGGTCGAGTTTCTTTGGGAGGTTTTTCGCGCATAGAAGGCTGGTCCGTGGCCGACAAGGAGACCACAGGGGAGGCCAATGCCATACCTGACGATGGCACACGCTGCGCCTTCGTTGCCGGCAAATCGAAGACAGGCAGAGAGCGAACTTGCATTTCCGTGGACTTGTATGGGAAGCGATGCTTTGAATCATCATCAAAGGACATCAGCGACGGCAGCGTGTATGAAACACGCTTCGGTGCCGTCATGGCGAGACGGTCGTAAGGCCGAGCTGCCATGGTGGGCGAGAACAACAGTCGTGTGGAGGTTGGACGGGCGGGCGGACGCAATCGGTCTTCGCTTGGGGCGTTAATAACGCCGTGACGCCACTGCCTCGGAGAAAAGTGTAATAAAATGTTTTCTGACCCAGCAAAGCACACTACGTGCGTAGGATCGAAGGAACCAGTGGATCTGCATGCAAACCTATGAAACTTATGGACCTGGCGCCTCGTTTTTCAGGGAGCTGCGGCCCGCACGCAGAATCTCATCCACAGATAGCAGATTCGAAGCAATGACAGCGCTGCTGTGGATCATGTGACGCTTTACCCGGTAGTTGTCCCAGACACCATTCGAAATAGGGTCCATGCACTCGCCTGTCTTGGTATCCAGACCAACAATGTGGCCCTCTGCACATTCATCCTGCAACGTCACAATAGCATCCTGAATATCAAGACCAGCGTTGCTTGCCAGTGTCTTGGGAATCACCATGAGAGCCTGCGCAAATGCCTCAACACCCAGCTTTGCGCGGCCTTTCGCGGAACGACGCACATTATCAAGCAGGTGGGCTGCCGCCGCTACCTCGAAAGCGCCAGCTCCGGGAACAAGAGCGCCATCTTCAATGGCATTCTTCACACTACGCAAGCCGTCACGCACGGCATCTTGAATCTGGTTCAGCGTGTGTGTGTTGGGCCCCTTGATCAGAAGCGTCACACTCTTTGGATCCTTCGTGTCCTCCACAAAGGTATACTTTTCTTCGCCCAGCGTTTGCTCATATACCAGACCAGCCCAGCCAAGAATGTCAGGCGACAAGTCGTCCACACTGTTTTGCGCCACACCACCGCAGCACAGTTGCAGACGCTCCATGTTGCGGCGCTTTGCACGACGCAGAGCGAGAATGCCATTCTTAGCAAGGATATCGAGCGACATAGGATCAATACCTTTTTGATTGAAGATCACAAACGACTTGCGCTCAGACTCTGGCGTATCAGCCGAGGTGTCACACACTGCGTTCTTAAGCTCCACAATCTTGCGTAGCTTGGCATCGACAAAGCGACGCTCAGATTCCACCAGCTTTTCACGCTGCTCTGCGCTCGAATAGAAGAACCCAGAGTTGATCTCCCTGTCGAAAGTTAGTACTGTCGTTGATCAGGGTACATACGTCTTCTCATACTCCAAGCTCACATTGAGAGTGAGAACATATGCATTGCGTACACGCTTAGGCATATCGGGGTGGCGTGCACCGTGATCCATTACGAGACCGCGAACCAACTGCGTGTCTGTAGCACTCTTGTGCTGCATCTTCATAATTTCTACCATGTGCAAGTCGATTGGGTTGCGTGTGGACCAGTCCTCGACACGCTCGGAGCTTCCATCTTCCTTAAGAGCTGGAACCTCTGTCTCCGTAGACGAGCGTGGCTTGATAGCGAGGACAGCGTCCACCACACTGTCAGCCAGTTGCTTCGCAAGCTTCGGTGCCAACTTGGTGGCCAGCGCCGTGTGAGCCACCTGAAGCAATGTAGCGCGGTCGCCCTGAATTGGCTTCTTAAACTCCTCCAGGAACTTTAAGACTCCTGTCTTCGCAACATCAAATCCTTCCGAGAGTACACGCGAGTGTACGCCTTCTTGAATGTAGCGCTCGGCCTGTTTAAGAAGCTCACCGACCAAAAGCACGACGCTAGTCGTGCCATCGCCACACTGTTCATCTTGCGCGACAGCAGTACGGGCAATCATAGCCGCTGTAGGGTTTTGGATTTGCATCTCTGTCAGCAACACTTTGCCATCCTTGGTCATCTTCAAGTTGCCAGAGCCGTCGACGAGCATTTTCAAGGTGCCGCGAGGCCCCAAGTTGGAACGCACAACCTGTGCCAAACCAACAGCACCGGCAATGTTCACCTGAAGTGCTTGGATCCGACGCACGGATTCCGCGCGCGGATTGATGAGCTCGATTGCCGACATAACAATGAGCTACTACGCAACAGTGAGAACGTTAGGCGATGACGACCGCGCCGTCGGCCGCGCTTGCTGGCGTGCGTGCCATTAAATCCCAAATTGTTTGGAGAAAGTTCGAAGCGCTCCACATGCGAAAAGCACTATCAGCATAGGATATAACCACTATAGCATCATCACATTTACAAATTAAGCTCGTTCAAGATGCGCTTGGCCACCGTTTGGTACTGCCATGGGTTTCCGGATACGCGACGGAATTGCAGACCATTGATGCCAAGAAGTAGTGGTACCTTAACAACAAAGACCTCAAACTGAACTTCTCCTTCTGCCGTTGTGACTGGCAACTCATTCACGCCAGAACTACCACCACCAATCGCTGGCGAGTCTGGTATGGCACTCGGCGACAATGCATCCACAGGTGTATTTGTGTTGATGTCCACATTGCCCACACCCGTGGCCACCATGGGCTGACTTTCATTCGGCGTCAATGAAGCGGGGTCCACACCAGAGGACGTGGGCGTCGACATGGTCAAGTCATTGGTAGCTGTGTGAAGAGATGAACCAGGCTCCAAGTCGTGAATAGGGCCGTGACAAACGCACTCAAATCCGCCTCGGATTTCGATGTGCTGGATGTCAAACTGGTTGAGTACGCGTACAAGGTCTTGCCGAATAACGGTTCGTGGACGACGACTCGTAGTCTGGACACTGAATAAGCCCTTCAGGAACACAGGCTTCGACGTAGCTTCCTCCGGTGATGTCGCGGGTTCCGAATGGATAGAGCCCGTGAGAGGCGTGGCTACCGCTGGATCAAGGCCCGTGGTCGACACTGCGCCCTCAGGCACTTCCACTGACGGTGTCACCGGTTCCTGTGTGGGACGCACAACCATAGTACCAAATCGGCGCGTCAAACCAGCCTCCAATGGTGGCGAGGCCAATGGCGCTGCGTTTGGCGAGGTCGGAGGGAGACCAACGCCAGCCTCTATCTGGATATCCTCCAGGGTTGGCAGCGCGGACGCAGCTCCCAAAGCGCTGGGCGGTAGTTTATGATCCAAGCCCTTTGGCAGTTGGCGTGGCTTGAAGTGAGAGTGACTTAGACTTAGACTGCGCTGGGGCATAGCCGGACGCGAAACCAAAGGCGGCGCATGGACATCTGTGGTTACCGTCGAAGGCGAGGCCCAGTTACTGCGCAATTTGGACTCCAACTCGTTCGCTGCAGCTCGGGCTCGAGGCGGTCCAGTCATAGTACCTTGCGGCTGCGACTTTTGACGCGACTCAAAGACAGGCATTGGGGCAGACGAGGCTGCCGACTTGCTGGGAGGCAAAAGGGCCGTAGACGACACCTGAAGAGCGGGTGAATGATCTGTCGCTAGGGGCGAGACCACAGTCGGTTCCGGTGGTCGGACCATAGGTGAGGGTATGTCAATAGGCGACGGCACCGCCGGCGCCGAGAACGCCAAGGCCACAGACTCATCCAGAGGCGCAGCTGTGGGTGGTGGGTCGCGCAATACAGTATTGATAGCTGCATTGGGTGGTGGCAGGTTCGGCAAGACTTTGTTCTGACTCTGGACATGCTTGTCGAGCAGCAAGTCAGATGAGTTTAGCCCATCTTCACCACGCACTTCACGCTCCATCTTCTCCCTCACTAAGAAGTAGATGGAAATCAATGGGTGGAAACCGAAAGTTGGGTTCAGCGGCCCTTTCATGCCTGGTGGGGCCTCCGCGTTAAGCGGCTCACTTGGCGCCTCACTCGCCTTCATCGAATGGCGTTTGTAAAAGTTCAAGCCGGCCGAGAATTGACGCGAGAGTCGGTTGCCATTGCTCGTCGATGTAGAGGACGTGTGATCCTCAGCCGGAGAAAAGCCATTCTCTGACTGGGATACAGCAGCAAGATAGGCATCGCTGCTTAGGATGGTATTGAGGTGATGCTCAATTTCAGTGGTTGTACCAAATTCAAATCCATGCATACGCTCAATCACACGACGATCAAGATGACCTGCTTGCAAGGGAGTCCGCTTTGGTAGGTATGATGGTTCCACGTAGTCAAAGCCTTTCAACATCCATGGATGCGATACAACTTCTTCAAGTGTGGCACGGCGATGAGGGTTCGTTACTAGCATGCGTGACAGTAAGTGTTTGCACTCTGGGCTCAGCCACGCTGGGTATTCCACAATACCGCGCTTAATGCGCGCGTGCAGCACTGGCATGCTTTGGTCATCAAAGGGCACTTTACCGCATACCAGCACATAGAGTACCACGCCAAAACTCCACACATCAACTTCCGGTCCTGTATATACACGAGCATTTAACAGCTCTGGCGCAGCAAAATACAGGGAGCCACAGAAGGTATTTAGATGGCCACGAGGCGAAAAAAGATTCGAGAGACCAAAGTCAATGATCTTGCAGTTGCCTGACTTGGAAATCAAAATATTTTCAATCTTCAAGTCACGATGCACCACATTGTTGGCATGGCAGTACTGCAAAGCGCTGCCAATTTGCCTGGCAAACCCTCGCGCAGCGCGTTCTCGCAATCTCCCATGAGCAATAATGTAGTCAAGCATCTGGCCACCATTGATATGCTCAAATACCATGTAGTAATGGTTTTGATGGACAATCATTTCCCGCATTCGGCAGATATAAGGGTGCAGCAGCAACATCTGTAGATGACCTTCACGCACAATGCGCACCTCCTTCGATGCGTCTTTGGCTGCCGCACGAGAGAGCGCGGCGTCTGCTTCACTTTGGCTCTGTGTTGAAGACGACGGCTGTTTGTTCTTTGCACGACTTTGCATCACCCCATTCACAGAGGTATGCCGAGGAATAATCTTGACAGCCACCCTCCGCTTGTCCGCTTTGCAGTAGCCATACTTTACCTTACCCATGCTACCAGCACCAATTGTACGGCCAAGCATGTAGTCACCTAGATGGTAACGGAATTGCTCTTCTCCTTCAAAACGGGTACTGTCGGACCGCGGCATGTATGAATGCCGAGGTGCCGGTGGTGGTGCGGAGTTTGTCGTCACTGGCATAGGTACAGGCATAGAAGGCCCTGCTTGACTAGGAGGAATCACTGGTGAGGGTTGGGCTGAACGAAATGCACTACTAGTCTGTGCATATGCAGAGGGTCGAGTAACAGGTATAGGCGCCGCTTTAGACGTGTCTGAGGCCAACGTCGAAAGCATTTCAGGATCCACGAGACCTGTATTCTCTTGGGCATGCATGGAACTTGTTTCGAATCGCTGGACAGGACGCAATGGCGAGCTCGACCGAAATAGGTGCTGGCTTTCAGGTGAGAGTGTTGCAACAGCCTGAGGTGAAAGATACCCTAGATCTGCTTCTCCAACTGGCCCCCGTTTGGCATGATTTGCTATGCTTATGGGCGGAGTAGGAGTAAGGGTCGGTGAGGATAGAGGATACGCATCAGTCCCTACCAATGAATCACCTGTCAAGCCCCCGCTGTATGCATCATTGGTGGGGTGGGTCATCTCTCAGCAACAAGCTGAGTTGAGAGACCAAGGCAAGCAAGAGGCAAAAAAGATGGACCACTCACTAATTAAAATAGTGAATACTGCTAGACCTTGTTTACAGCCTTTGAGTACACAAAGGTAAGGGAGACCGTATAGGCAAAAATCTTCGTCGGTCTATACCTACACGCAAGTCTAATCGATGCAAAATTCCGGGCAGCTTGGATCCAATTTTGTCCAGGGCGTGTCTCCATCCGATGCCCGCGAGTCCGCTCGGTGCTTAGTCATAGTACGACCAATGTCGTGCCGAAGTCGGAAATGTCTGGCCCGGTCTGTGCGGGATCTGTCAAACGGCTAGTTATCTCCTATGGAACTTTAGCTACATGAGCCGACGATCTTGGCCCTTGAGCAGAGGCGGTTACCTATTCATTCTATTGATAGAGTGATAGCATCGCAGTATTTTGCCTATACTACATGCACAAACACCCAAATGGCATCACTACAAATAAACTCTGCAACGTATCATTCACACTATTATAGGCATAGAAATAATCAGATTGGATGTATTATGGCATGGATCAAGTAAATCCTTCACCTATAGCAATGGCGTTCATGACAAACCATCACAGTTCTGTCTACGCAGCGACAGAGACGTATTTAGAGCTTCGAGCCCTCGGCAAGGGTACCGATCTTGTACTTCGGGGCAATGTCCTTGAGAACGTTGTCCGGGTGGAAGTTCATGAACTTGTCCGTAGCATCCTTGCCCGCGTTCTTGATCAGGATCTTGCTGCCACCCGGGTGATCATCAAGCCACGGAGTGACATCGTAAACATCACCCTTGATCACAATCCAGGCCGAGTCCTGGGAGTTGTGCTCCTTCACTTCATCCATAGAAAAGGTCTTCGACATGTTGGGTAGTGGTTAAGACCGGCTTGGACGCACTAGTCGCCTTTTCAAGTGGGTTGGGATAGCCAATCACTCCGTGTCTATTTTGCATCATGGATATGCATCACTTAGGAGTGATTAGCTAATGGGGTGCTGTCCCAAGACTGCCGAGGAGGATCCACGAGAACACCCAAGCGAGAATCTTTGGGTATGCCCAGCGGCATGGAGGTCGACCGTGGTACAAAGCGCCGATTCGACGTAGGTATACGTGACGTGCTAAAAAGGAAGGAAAACGAAGAATTGGATGGTCCTGATACGCTCCCACCATTGAGTCCGTCGTTAGCTACTGTCAATGTTAATCAGCGTGGCGGTGGTCTTGGCACTCCCACAGGTGCTATGACCGTGATTAGCGGGTTCTCCGATGAGCGTGATCCTATCGCTGCGGTGTTAAATCAACATGGTCTTGGATGGCCAGGTATGTACCTGTATCATTAACTTTGAAAGCCAAATCAACGCTTGATCGTCTGAATTACACTCCAGAAGAGTCGAAAGCCAATGAGGAAAAATTAGCTGGCGCTGTGCGCACCATTTTGGAGTGCCTAGGCGAAGACCCAGATCGTGCTGGTCTGAAAGATACCCCCAAGCGTTATGCGCGTGCACTGCTATGGATGACGAAAGGATATGAAGAGCGTCTATGTGGTACGTATCCTATCCCAACTTATGTGATCAAGACGTAATCTCGAATGCCATTTTCGACGAAAACCATGATGAGATGGTTATTGTACGTGACATTGATGTATACAGCCTTTGTGAACATCATTTGGTCCCATTCAAAGGCAAGGTATGTTGCTGTTAAGCGACTCATGTAAGATTCATATCGGATATATTCCCAACCGGATGGTGATTGGCCTGTCCAAACTCGCGCGTATTGCAGAAACTTTCGCTCGCCGCCTCTCTGTCCAAGAACGTCTTACACGACAAGTGGCCTTGGCCATTAATGAAGCGTTGAAGCCACGAGGTGTGGCTGTCGTGATGGAGTGCGAGCACATGTGCATGGCCATGCGTGGTGTCCAGAAGCCTGGCGCAAGTACTGTGACCAGCTGCATGCTGGGCGTATTCCGGAGCCATGCCAAAACTCGTGAAGAGTTCTTGAGCCTAATTCGTCATTAAACTATTCATTGCCATGTCTGAATGCGAGTGGTACTTGCAGATCGCATAATGGGGCCGGCATCAACTGCTCCCACTTGACTCTGCCCTGCGCGTGCACGCGAAACACACCGTGGCTTCGTGCATGACCACTTCCAATGTGGAGGTGATAGCCTCCACTACATCCTAGCTCTTTCCTTACATAATGTTGTAAAAAATCACGTGTTATATAGTACCAAGGCGCGAAGCGCTGTGTACATTCAACGCGAGCACCTACGTTCGGCTCTTTACCACCGTTAGAAGCACCATGCCTAAGATCTCCGTTGGTAACAAGTACCGCATGACGCTCGCCCTCCCGGCGGGTGCGGTCATAAACTGCGCCGACAACTCGGGTGCGAAGAACTTGTACGTCATTGCCGTGAACGGTACTGGTGCCTCGCTCAACCGTCTCCCGGCTGCTGCTGCTGGTGACATGTTCGTGGCTTCGGTCAAGAAGGGTAAGCCCGAGCTGCGTAAGAAGGTCATGCCGGCCGTGGTTGTGCGTCAGCGCAAGCCGTGGCGCCGTCGTGACGGTGTCTTCCTCTACTTCGAGGACAACGCCGGTGTTATTGTGAACCCGAAGGGTGAGATGAAGGGCAGTGCTATCACTGGCCCTGTTGCTAAGGAGTGCGCTGACCTGTGGCCGCGTATTGCCTCGAACGCTGGCACTGTGGTTTAAAGGCCTGCGTTGGAGCTAAATGTACGGTCTTGACACACTCCCCCTCCCAAAAAAAGCTATTCGCGTTTTTTGCTGCGCTTGCACACGCTAGGCGCGATGCCTGGATGCCTGTTTCTTGTATAGGCGAACTCACCCGTATCTAGACGTTGTGCTCATACCATGCAAATCCCCTTTTCTACGAAGTGTGTCTGATGATGATAAGGCCATGTGCCAATGTTACAGGACTAGAGGCGTAGGGCCTGCTTCTACGAGGGCTCGTGAAAGGTATTGAGTAAGGGCCAACCGCACCACCATCATACGCTCTTGGGCAAGTTTGCGTCGAGTGAACTGAGACTCCTTGCCTTCGTCTGTGTGTGCCAATAATTGCTCGAGCCAATGGAAATAGAAGTCAGCCGCTTGCGGATTCTCGTGCATGTCAGACCCTGCTGAGACCTTTTCCGTGATGCGAAGTAGTTCATAGGTCTCAGCCATGGTAAAGTAGAGATCTGATGCCTGGATAAAGGGCAAGGCATCGACTAGGAGCACGCTGAGGAACGACTCTGGTGTGACATCACTGGTCAGCAAGCCCACCAGGACGTGAGCAGCCTCGTGCCATGTGGCTTCATTTGCAAACAGTTTATGAAAGTCACAGTACTTGAAATGGAAGACCAACGGCGCAAATGTCTGCGCAGAGAAAATGCTCGAGGTCGTGGCAAATGGCGTGGGCAGTGGTGCTTGGGCCGTGTCTGTGTCATCGTCGCCGAGACTCTCCGCCGTCTCAAGAAGAACACGGGGGACAGTGTCGACACTGGCGATGAACGCTGCTGGGCCCTGTTCGACGTATACACGCAGCATATGGTCTGCAATCGTGCGAATTTGCCGAGCATCACGCGCACGAACGCTGTAGGCAATAGCCAAGCCGTATTTCTGCTGCTCCATGAGGGCATGCCCCACGCGCTGGCACACGAGACGCACTTCATCGTCCATACCGTATTCAATACAGGCACTCAGTACTTCTTCCACTTTGTGGAACTGCTCTTCAGCCGCCTGGTCCTCGGACATGGGCTCCGACGGTGGATCCAACAGTGGCACATCAAACAAGATCGAGCGCATTTTCGATCGAGCTTCGGGTGTGCCGATCACATGAAGGTACGAGAGGGCCATCCGCCACAACCTCTCTTCTCGCAGCAGAGTTTCTGCCCACGCAAGGAGAAGCGGTGTAAGCGTGGGCGATGGGCTGGAGGACGATGGGATTTCATCAGGCGCCGTGAGCAGTTGGGCCTTGTCAAAGTAGTCGCCCAGATGAGCTGCGAGCCATTCATCATACGAGGCACATAGCTTGATTCCCTGCCGGTGAGTGAAAGTGAACGTACTTTAGTAATATCCCCCCGGAAGAACGATGCCATGATACTTTCGCTAGGCAATGTGCCATCCACAGGCAGAGTCTCCATGATGGTCTGTGCGACGTCCGGCACATCATCGCGCTTGATTGCCGGCTGTACTAGGATGCCCCACGCACACAATGCTTCTTTCCAGTCCTCGGAGAATTCCAAGATCCGCTCCTGTACACCACATAGAAGCTCAAGGAGACAACGGAACTGCGCTTCGAGCTCAAGACGCTCATCACTGGGCGACGCACTAGCGTCTTGCAGTTCCGACTCGACGGCATCCATCTGACGTTGGATGCCACTGAGGAACACACGCACAGACGTATGCCAGTGACGGTGAGCAGCAAAGAACGCCTGCTCGGTCGTAAAGACCGTCGATCGTGGCACGGTTTGCAAGATCTGGATAGTATCGGACGTGATCGATTGCAGCGTAGCCGAGCGTGTTTGGGTCATATACGACTGCAGTACGGTCGCAGCTGTCGAGAAGAAGCCACGCAGGACGCAGCGGAATAGGTAGTCCCAGTACTCAGCATGGTCGTGCGGCGGAATGGTCTCCGCAATTTGTTGGCCCTGCTCCGTGGTAGGCGCTACATCGTGTGCGTTCAGCCAGTGGAGCAGCTCTTCGCCGACGACGCCCATGCCACTGCCGTCTTCCGGTACGTAGAGCACCTGAGCAAGGTGGAAAATCATATGCAGCTCTTGCACATGGCGTTCGTAGTCGGACTCGGTGGTGTCGATGGCCTGCGATGAGTAGGGCTCAGTTACGTACCTCCAGTGCCTGTACATATGTGTGAATGGTGTCTGAGTACAACGACCCTACACGATGGTAGTATTGCATGGTTTGTACAGAAGGGCCAGCATGCAGCCAAGCCTGTTCGTTTGTTTGGACCTCGTCTTCCTGGGCCGCAGCAATGGACTGCAACGAAGTGAAGATCGTGAAGGACTGGGTATAGAACTTGGGTTAGTGTGTGTGTACGTACTTGGATTCGTGCGGCCGTGGCCGCGTTCGTCTCCAACGGCGCCATGCTGGTGGGGGACATGGGCCGACCACCGACGCGCATCGCGCCGTGGAGGGACGCCGACACCTCCCACGTGGCATCCTTTTCCTAGCTAAGATGAATGGCATCTACAGACCTAACGACGTGCCTTTTTCACCTGACGACCATCGCTGCGACGCTTGACGAGGGCCTCAAAGACGCGCTTGAGCTCACCTTCGAGCGTGCGTGGGTCAAAGTACGACGGTGCAAACTCCAAGAGCCACTCGGGGCGCACTTCGGTACAAGTACGAATGAACTAGATGGTTAGTAGCATGAATACGTACATTGCGTGACGTGAGCACAAACTCATGGTACACCACAAACTCTGGCATATGATCAAGCGTCGTCGAGGGATGAGGCGACACGACCTGGTTGTCCTTGATCGTCGTGTACGCTCCACGACTGCCACCGCCCGAAGACTTGTGCGCCACCTGCATAAAGAAGCCACATGCAATGGCCTGACGAATGTTCGAGTAGTACCGCTTATCCTCAAACGGCATAGACACCAGATCCAGGTCGAAGCGCTCCATAGTCCGCTGCAGCTGCTGACGTACATTGTCAGCCTGGATCAGGGAACGATGCGACAAGTAGTTCTGCCAGCACCACTCCGACCCCGTCTTCATGTCAGGGCAGCTGCTCTTGTACGCATGGTATACATTCAAGAGCGTCAGGTGATCACCGTCGGGATGCGCAAACTCGGCACGAGCGGCATCGGCAGCCTGACGCTGGGAGGGCTGGCTAGGGCGTACAAATACATTCGGCACAGAGAGCATCGCAGCAATGCTCAGAATCTCGTTGGAACACTTGAACTCCGGCGAGACGATCAGCATCTTAGCCAGCTGTGGATCCAGAGGGAACTCAGCCATGATCTCGCCCAGAGGCGTGAGATGGCCATTGTCGTCAAAAGCGCCCAGGTAGTTGAGCATTTCCAAGGCGCGCATGACCGTCTCTGGCGCCGGGGGATCCATATAGTCAAACGTAACAAGGTTGTCAATGCCCAGCTTCTTGAGCTCCAGCACAGTATTGGCGAGGTTGCTGCGCAGAATCTCTGGATACGTCTGCTCAATCAGCTCACTAGCCCAATCACGCTCCGTATACAAACGGTAGCACTTGCCAGGCCGCGTACGTCCAGCACGGCCCGCACGCTGCTGAGCACTGGCCTTCGAGATGGGGCTCACCAGGAGCGATTCCACACGGATACGTGGGTTGTACACCTTTTGCTTGCTGAAACCAGGGTCAACCACGTACACAATGCCATCGATGGTCAGCGATGTTTCCGCAATGTTGGTGCTGACCACCACTTTACGGCCAGGCGGTCCACCAGCACGCGCTGGCGGTGGGGCTGGCTCGAAGATGCGCTGCTGCTGCGACGGCGGCAGAGACGAGTAAAGTGGGACCACTTTCAAGGGACCACACAGGTCCGGCTCTTCTTCCAGGAGACGATCTGCCTCGGTACGAATCTTGCGACAGGCATCTTCAATTTCGTCCTCACCGGTGAGGAAGACCAACACATCGCCGGGGTCTTCAGCTTGATGGATCATGAGCACAGTACGAATGGCCGCTTCCACATAATCTTTCTCAGGCTCTTGCGTATAGAACGTCTCCACAGGGAATGTACGGCCAGGCACTTTGAGCAGAGGCGCGTTGTGGAAGTACTTTTGGAACTTGAGGGCATCGAGCGTAGCACTCATGACAATGATCTTCAGATCTGGACGGCGCTTCGCAACGTCCTTGAGCAGGCCCATAAGGATATCAGTCGCCAGAGTACGTTCATGTGCCTCGTCCAAAATAATACAGCTGTAGCGATCCAGGTTGTGGTCGTTCATGGCCTCGCGAAGAAGCATACCGTCAGTCATGTACTTGACAATGGTGCTACCGCGCTCCGTCACATCCTCGAAACGGATCGTGTAACCCACTTCCTTGCCCAGCGTTAGGTCCATTTCCTCGGCAACACGCTTCGCGACACTCATCGCAGCGACACGACGTGGCTGTGTACAGGCAATCATACGTGGAGCCTCTACGCCATCCGCACCACGCACCTTGGACAGCTGCGGAAGGTCGGTAAGGGCCACAAACTGCGGAATCTGCGTCGTCTTACCACTGCCCGTTTCACCAATCATGACCATGATCTGGTGCGTGTTGTACTTCTCATAAAACTCGTCCATTTGTGCATATACGGGCAGTTCCTTGCGCTTCTCAAGGATCTTGGTATAGTTGTCCGAATAAGGACGCAGTCCCCCCACCGCAAAGGGATTCATGCGGCTCTCCAGCACACGCCGTGCTTGTGCACCTGTCACTTGGCGGCGAACGAGGCCCTGCAAAGGGTCCGCGTCATCGCCGCTAGGCGTAGACGAGCCACTTTTGCTGCTCTTCTTCTTCTGATGATGACTTAGGTACGGATTCTCCACGTCCTCTGGACGGGCCGGAGGTGGCCCAGGCGGCGTCGACATCGTATCGTTGTCGTGGCACACAAGGCTAACGCGCGTGCATCCTGTCCACAAAAAAAGGCGCCCGGCCGTCCGCTAGGGAGTCACGTGATGCGTCGACGTGGGCGTGGCGCGCCGGCGGTGGGCCGCGGCTCGACCATCCACATCGCTATGGTACGTGGAGCCGAGAAGGAAGGTACACTAACGCGCAGGCGACGCACCAGCCCATGACGAGCGCGGCGGGTGTGAATGGAGACACGAAGACCGTGGAGACGTATCATGAGGATGCGGTGGTACGTATCACCCACAAACACAGACCGGCTTACACTGCGACAGCACGATGCCCAGCTGGACTTTTACGGTAGCAAGCTCGCGACTTGCTCGTCGGACCGCACCATCAAGGTATTTGATGTGCAGAATGGAGAAGCTGTAGGTGCAGGAGAGACGCTGGTGGGCCACGAAGGACCTGTGTGGCAGGTGGCTTGGGCGCATCCGTCGTTCGGCACGATCCTTGCGAGTGCGTCCTACGACGGCAAGGTGTTTATCTGGAAGAATGAAGGCACAAACACTGGTGCCTACGGTGCAGCGGGTGGATGGACCCGTATTAAGGAGCATGCGCTGCACACAGCCTCTGTCAACGCCATTGCATGGGCGCCTCACGAGCTCGGCGCTACGTTGGCATGTGCTTCGTCGGATGGTCGTGTGTCTGTACTGACGTTCAACGAGGATGGCTCATGGTCGGTGGATCTTGTGACGGCACACCCTGGTGGCTGCAATGCCGTGTCGTGGATGCCGACCTCTGCCAAGGAGACATCGCCCGATGCCCCATTGACCCGCCGCTTCGCCACGGGTGGCTGCGACTCGGTCGTGAAGGTATGGGAGTTTAGTGAGGAACATAACCGCTATGTTGAGGTGGACCAGCTCACGAACCACAAGGACTGGGTCCGTGACGTCGCGTTTGCGCCCAGCCTGGGCCTCCCACGCACATACCTAGCCACGGCTTCGCAGGATCGCACGGTGCTTGTGTGGACTCAGAACGAAGCACAGGGCCCATGGACATGCACGCCTCTGATGCCTGGTACCAAGGCAGAAGACCGTTCGAAGTTTGCTGACACGGTATGGCGTGTCAGCTGGAGTATTAGTGGCAACGTCTTGGCCGTCAGCTGCGGCGATGGCAAGGTCTCGCTGTGGAAGGAAAACCTGAAAGGAGCGTGGGAATGCATTAGCGAGTATGTGGATAACGTATATCTGTGGACTAACGTGCCAGTCTTGATGCCTAATGTAGTGTCGGGTCGTAGTGTCGTAGTAAAGAACGCTTTCCATGGTTGGCATAGCTGCGCGCCCAACAGCGGTCGAAATGCGGCCTTTTTTCGTCGCTCCACATTCTCCATCCTTCGTTGACGACGACGTTCGGCATGTCGACGGCGGCTCAGAAAGCGTCAGCAAATGCGCTGTTCTCCTTTGTATCATTGGAAGCAGCTGCTACACGCGCTACTGCACGCGATGTAGCTGCTAAAATCCAGCAGGAGATTGCATTAACGGTACGTTGTATCCCTACTTACGTGGCAGCGCAATTACGATGCCTCTCGCACGTCTCTGCTCACACAGTGGGCCGATATTCAAGCGACCTTGTCGACATCCAAAGCGGCACGCGAATTGGCCGATGTTGAATTACTGCTGCGCAGTAAGCGAAAACACACAGCGCTCATGGAGATGTACAATCCACTGTATGGCATGTCGGAGCAGGACCGTATTCGTGCGACGGCACGTACAGTGGGCCTTGAGGTCCCCGTCGACCAGGTTCATGACTAGAGGGAGGAGAAGCCTTGGGCGTGTAGTAGCATATGCGAGGAAACGTTACGAAAATTCTACATTCATCATGAGAGCGTATAAGAGAGTTTCTAAAGGAAAGTCAGAAGCGGCCATCTAAAGCATGTTAAGCGTTGTCTTGCATATAGTCTTTCAGATTGGTTGTCGTGCGACGTAGCGTCATCGGCTTCGCCGCGCTAGGTCGAATCGGTGCCGTAGAGGGCGACGTAGAGTAGGGCACTGGCGACGGCATGAGATCTGATGGGTTCTGCGGCGTGGTGGGTTCATTCGGCGAAGCGTGCCGACTGCTCTGCGAGGCTGGGGCCCAGGCTGATGGGGCCAATTCGCCGTCGCCATCGCCATCAGGATCGCCGTCGCCGTCGCCGTCGCCCTCCTCGTCGGAATCTTTCGCACTGCGCAGCGGCACTTTGTAGCTGCCGCTGGGCGCTACTGCTGAGCAAAGCTCTTCGGCATCTTCAATGCCATAGTGCACAAAACTAAGCGTAATCGGTTTGCGTGCACCACCAGCAGCGCTGGCACTGGCTGAGGCGCCTTTAATAGTCGACGCTTGCATTGCACTGGCTTCGCGCAGCGCTGCCATCGAGCCCCGCATATGCAAGCGTCCAGGAAACGTCTTTCCTTCATTGGCCGTTCCCGTGCCTTGGTTCGACATGCGCCTATGACTGGCCAGACGACGCACTACTTTCGGCGTGGATCGTCCTTTCGAGGGCGACGTAGGCACAGATACGTGCGTGTGGCCGTCTGCAGGGACGTAGGCCTCAAACAGCGGCGTACTTTGGGCCTTGCGTGGCGCACGTAAGGCCACATGCGAGCGACGGCGGGAGGGCGATACAGGCTTCGCCGACTCTGGCAGCTGTGCATGCGACGGGGGGGCATTATTGGGCGTGTACGCCCCTGTCTCCCCTCTCGGCACACCGGCCACCTGTGTCGAAGAGGGGTTGATAAACGCAGTTGTAGCCATCGCATGCATGCCCATCGAGGAGAATGGATGGGACGTGTTGGGAGCAAACCCCATTGCCGCAGGCCATCCTGAAGGAGCCATACCATGTAAGTGCGAAAATAGTGGGCTGTGCGCATATGACTCGTACATCATATCCATGGGCTTTTCGACTAGCGCGGGGCTGGAGTGCATCGTGTGCAATCGCATACGCTGCATTTGGCGGATGGGTGCTTGCTGCGGCGATGTATTGGTCGATACAGGTTGGCTGCCGCTGTTGCTGCCTACCATCGGGAGGCCACGATTTGTTTGTTGGGGCGTGCAGGGTGGTGACTCAACGATGCCGCCTGTCATCGAGGGCACCGTCATGGGGTCAGAGTTATGTGAGTCTTTGCTTGTGACGTCTTTCATAGGCAGTGAGGCAGGTTTCGACTGACTCAACATAGAACATGTGCTGCCGTTCGAAGGGCTGCTTTCAAGGCCGTCTAAATCCGGTGGTACCAGCATGCCTGACATGGACGGCATGTCTCTCCTGGCCGGCACAAAGTGGAAAGGTGCGCTCAAGTTGGACGGGAGTTCACTGCTCGACGTAGACGCCAAGCCCAGTGTCCCAGGCATCTCCGTGAGTGTGCTTGCATCGTCGAACGAGAACGAGCCGAAGTCTGGTCCTGCTTTCGAGAAGTCAATGAACGACGACCCAAACGAGTCGACCGTTTCTTGAAATGGTGATCGTGCTCGATCCATCACGCGTGTATGTACAATATCTTGAGGTCGGGTGGTCGTATCCACAAAACGAGGCTCGCGTGCGCGATTATCGAGCCTCTCGACGCTGCTCAACTCCGACAGTCCGAATTAACGTATCACCCTTGAAAAGTGACGTTGTCGAAAAGCCACAGACTGTGGTGACGTATAGATAGGTGTCTATGACAAGCCAGACGCCGTCGTGAGAGCGTAGATGTTGGGCCCTACCACCCCCCTGACGCTACACGGCACCCACGTGGTTGTGCGGAGGAGGCACGTGGCTCCGTCTCAGCCGTCCGCGCACCTCGTCGTCGTGGCCTTTGCTAGCTCTCTGCTGCTTGCTTGCTTGCTGTCACACATGTTCGGTGCAGTGTTCAACACAATCCACTACCTGGTATGTATACCGTATGCTAATGGTGCAGCGTCGTGCTGCGCATGAGCGCCCTGTGATTTTCTTCGCGCTGATTGTTGGCGCTTTCGGTACGTCTCGTCTCGTCTTTTCAAGTCACTAACTCGTTCGCAGGCCCTGTGGCTGTCCTCACCGTCCCCGGCCTCCGTGCTCAGCAGGGATGGAAGCCTGCGGAGCGTGTTCCTATCTCGTATCCCTGTACGTTGGTCCAGCACGTGCACTAACCTATCGCAGTGCCTGACAGGCAACGATCGCCCGTGTCGGGCTACGACGACGAGTAATCGCAACGTAGTCATGAAAATATTCCGTTCTACTCACTATATGATGGCATTCATGAGAATACTAAGGAAACTACCGGCCGTCAGACCAGCCAGAATCCAGAACGACATGAGCATCGATGCCACAGCCGTATCTTGATCTGCGGCATCGGACTCGGACGAGGCCAAGAGTGTCGTCTGCTCTCTCGCATCCGGTGCGGATGCTTGGACACTCTTTGGCCCAGATATGAGGAAGGAGGTAGAGCAGCTTCCGGTCGTCACGCCCAGCACTACAGTCAGCAAAAAGAACACCGAGTCAGGCAGCGTGAGTGGCTGCGATGCCCACATATGACAGAGAAGATAGGCGGGAATAAATAGTACACGGAGGGCAGATAAGGCCAACGCAAGCGAAGGGCGCTGGATATGAAGGCGCGGCCATAGCAATGGCAGACGACGGCCGGCCAAGTCGCCCACATTCATCGCGACGATGTGCAGGGCGATAAACACACCGGGGTTTTCGAGCCACCGGTTCTCTGTCACGGTTCGGACACGCGATGTGAGGCCTGGGTATACCAACATTGTAAAAGCAAAGAGCATAAAGTTGCTCATACTCCATAGCGTGATCCGCTTTTGAACGCGCAAGATGTGGTTCCATGCCATCGCATCGCTGCCCTCCATTGTGGCATCGTGATGTGTATCTCCCATCCATGAGCGCACACAGGACTGCACCACTGGCACGCGTAGCATACGAGCGAAGAGGTCGAGTGTTATCAGCTGGAGCAGCAACGTCCAGCCAAACACACCAATCGCCGCCTGCGCGTTCTGAAAGGCATGCTTGCGGCTTGTATCCACGTCCGTGTCGGCTGTACCTGCACGCCATGCCGCCATAGACGAAACTAGGAGGTTGACTATGCTCCCCACGACGCCATTCATAGCTTGGCCCAATAACATATAGCTCATCACATGGCCATCCGTATCCAAATGTGTACACAAGACCATCGTAGCGCTCTGCAAGTAGGCTTGGACGAGCGCAAAAGCCATCGCAATAGCTAATAACACCATGTAGTACATGTATGTGTGCACAGGCGGGTCCAATCCGCGTAGAGCAATGGTCAGTAGGACCACACAGTCAATTACCATGCACGCCACGAGCGTAAATCGGATACGTGTGACAGGGGAGGCCTTCGGTCAGGGACATTGTGGTACATACTCGTTTTGTATTCCCTGTCAACGTAGCTAGCAGCGCACATACCACGGCTGTCGCATTAAATGTTGTAATGATGCCGCTGCTAAATACACGCTCGAGCGGCGTGCCACGGAACGCATCGTGGAAGTACTCAATCGACGATATGAGGGCATTGCTGTCGCGTAAGCGCCATCCCTACATACAATGGGGCCAAGACGGACATGCCTAGCAGCATGCATCCTACCAACACCACGCGGTCTCGCACTGTCCGCGGCCTAGGCATGTCGCTCATCACGGCGTTCTTCGCCGCCTCCACGCTGCCAGTGGGACGTGGGTGGCCCTGACGTACCTACCTGCCGGCCACGTGCGTCAGCGCCAAGGGAGACGCCACGTCCTCTACCCACCCCACCGTCGTTGCCAGGGTTTCAACCCCGCACCTGTGGCACGTAGGCAACCGCATGAAGCACTGGTCTTCAGCTGTTGCGCGCACACCACGCGTGCTCACACGATCTTTTCAAAGCACATCATGCCGTTGTATGGACGATGACGAATTTCCTCGACGTGCGGGGATGCCTGATATGACCAAGTCCATGGTGAGTGGGAAGGCAAACCCTGTCAAGTTTGTGCGTGCTCGCGCAGGCAAAGGAGCCGTATCCCACTACGGCGTTCGTCGTACAAGGTCTGCAGAGCAAGCCTATGATACGTCGGGGACAGAAGCTCGGCGTCAGCAGGCCTCTATGCACAAAGCCAAGTCACTCCCAGAATCGCAAATTTTTTCCCTCCCATCGTCGTCTTTCAATGCGTCGTCTTGGGTGTCCTCTGGTGTAGCGCCACCTCTTGCTGGCCGGAACGTCGCAGGTATCGGCCAAGGCTACAGCGGACGTACCATTGAGCCCAAACGGACAGCTCTGATCATGCCTGGCCAGGGATCCCAATACATTACCATGGCACAGGACCTATACCAAGCTTATCCTGCCGCCCGAGGCATCTGGGAAGAGGCAGAAGATGCAATCACCTCTTTCATTGAAGGAAAGGAGGTACGTGGCATGCCGGACAGTCCCATGCGAGCTGCCTTCGAGGATGTGCTACGCCAGGGACAGAGTCTGAATGCCGCTGTGACACCACGAGGCATCAAATATGAGCCTGGTTGGCTTCGTAAGGCTGTCTTTCAAGGATCCCAACTGGACCTCACGCGAAGTGAAATGGCCATGCCTGCGATCCTCACAGCCACACTCTCGTTTTTGTCCGTTTTACGACATGAACTGGGCATGGATGTAGTCCGTGACCACGTACAATGGGCTGCTGGGCATGGATCTGGCGTGTACGCTGCATTGGTATCTACTGGCTCCCTATCCAAATTCGATGCGTGGAGAGCTGTTCGGTACCGTGGCTTGGCTGCTATGAAATGCTTGCAAGATCATCCCGTGCTCTTCCCCTCTGGAAGTCAGCGACCTGCCAATCTCTACGAGACATGGGCTTTCGCCAACATGTCTTTCGGGAAAGGACGTGCGTTGCAGGTCGACGAAGACGGCAATCCTAAGCCTGTCCACGAAAATACATGGCGTGGGACGCAAATTAGTGCTGTGGTATTGCGGTACGGCCAGCTACAGAATGCGCTAGAAGAAGTGAAGGCTGTCCAGGCAGACATCCAACAAGGCGCTGTCCCTGGTATCTCGCCGGAGGAATTTGTGGCTACATCGAACATCAATTCCGAGGTTCAAATCGTTGTGGCTGGGACTATTGTGGGTGTGAACTATGCCTGTGATCGCTTGCGATACAAGGGCTATGGCGCCCGGGCTGTGAATGTCCCCGTATCGGGGCCATACCATACCTCCTTCGTGCACTCGGCCACAGAACAGTACAGCGATGTGATCAAATATCTTCCTATCGAGCTGCCATCCGATCATATGCGTGTGGTGTCGTCCGTGGATGGCAGCATTCTTACATCTGAAGAGGCCATCCGGCATGACCTATCGGTGGCGCTGAGCGAGCCTGTGCGCTGGCTGGATACCATCAATACCCTGGTGCAACAGGGCGTACAGCGCTTCGTCTGTCTCGGTCCGGGGCGGGCGATCGCGCAGCAACTAAGCAAGGAACTTGCCCTACGAGAACGTGCCCAGCGACGCAAGAACCCTGGCCAGCAACAAACTGCTGGCACCTTGGATGATGAGCCATCTCCGTTTGAGGTGTGGAGCGTGACAACGGCAGAGGGTGTAGCGCAGCTGGTAACAGCGCTACAGAAGGTCCCGCCTACTAGTCCCTAGCTGTTCCTGATAGGATTTGATGTACACTACCTTTCGTTGTAAGGCTACTTGCGCGGAGGCTCCTCGCGGGGGAGGCTCGTAGGTGTTGTGGTGGCGTGTCTACAGCACGTGACATGTAGATGATGGTCTCCACGTCGCTGGCTCGTACCCTCCTGCGCCTACGCGATGATGTGCCGGTCTTCGTATGGCTTGCTTGCAAGTACCTTCTTTGCCCTGGTTGCGTGTCTATTTATATATGTGCCTAAAGTAGAGGGGGCTGCACTCTCTACGGTGGTCCCTGCACGGGAAAAAGCCTGCTTTTATGCTTGGGTCGACCAGCCGTACGAGAAAGTTGGGTTTTATTTCGCTGTGCAGGAGGGAGGCAATTTCGATATTGACTATGTCGTTCACTCGCCTTCTGACAGGGTTGTTCTAGAGGGCGACAAGTCTTCGCAGGAAGACTTTGTCTTCACCGCCAATGAATTCGGGCAGTACAGCTTCTGCTTTGAAAGTCACATCAGCTCACACGATCGAAAGCTCGTATGTATAAATTGTCCCTAACTTATGTCTCAGGTCGACTTCGATATTACAGTGGAGTCAGAGCCTCGATTGGAGCTCCCGCTGACGAAAGCAGTTCTTCTACGCGAGCAGTCGACTCCCGTGGAAGACTCCATGTCGAATATTGATTCTGACTTGACAGCCATTGAACGTACTCTGCGCTACTTCCGTATGCGCGAAAACCAGGGATATGCGCTTGTTGAGACCACTCGGTACGTATACGTTGTCATGAACTTATACTTGTGTAGCAAGCGCATTCTCCGCTACAGTATTATCGGTGTCTTCGTGATGATTGCTATTTCGGCTACTCAAGTGTTCCTCGTGGAATACTTCTTTAGCAAAGGCTCCTCCTCGTCACGTTTCAGCGTCTAAGGCTAAGTGCAGATGCATACCATCCCCTTCTGTAGCAATACCCGTCATGATGTTCTTTGCTCCCCTGAGCCTTGTGTCACACTCCTAGCCCATGGTGTATTACATAATAACGCTCGCCATGCTGCCTCTTTTAGCGGTGACTCTTTTCTTTCTTGCATAGCACGATGGCGACACAGGCTGAACTGTCACCGCAGAAGCGCTACGATCTGATCACTCGTGGTATCGAGGAAGTTCTTGGTGGTGGTGAGATTTTGAAGCTGCTGGAGGAAAACGAACGCCCTGTTCGCTGCTACTGGGGTACAGCTCCAACAGGTCGTCCTCATGTCGGTTACCTTGTGCCGCTGACGAAACTCGCGGACTTTTTGCGAGCTGGTGTTCAGGTCAAGGTACTCTTTGCTGGTATGTATTATATTTCTTGTGCTTACCGTGGCAGACATCCATGCGTTCCTGGACAACATGAAGGCACCTATTGAATTGGTGAAGCTTCGCTCTGAGTACTACAAGCGTATCCTGGTTTGCGTAATGAAGTCCATTGGTGTGCCAACAGACCGCATGTCGTTTGTTCTCGGCTCGTCCTATCAACTGTCGGAAAACTACAATTTCGATGCATACCGCCTAGCCGCTATGGTGACGGAGCATGACGCCAAGAAGGCAGGTGCTGAAGTCGTCAAGCAAGTGGCTAGCCCTGTCTTGAGTGGTCTTCTGTACCCTGGCCTTCAAGCCTTGGATGAGCAATACCTCGATGTGGACTTCCAGTTTGGTGGTGTCGACCAACGCAAGATCTTCACTTATGCTGAGCACTACTTGCCCAAGCTTGGTTATGCCAAGCGCAGTCACCTGATGAACGCTATGGTGCCTGGCATGAATGGCTCCAAGATGTCTTCGTCAGATGCCGACTCAAAGATTGACTTCCTGGACACTCCGCAGGAGGTCATCAAGAAGATCAAGGCTGCTTACTGTATGGAAGGTGAAGTGGAAGGCAATGGTGTTCTGGCTTTTGTGGGCTCTGTGCTCATGCCGATTGCTCGCGTGCGTAATGAAATGCCTGAGGGTACCCTGTACGAGGGTCAATCACGTTCCTTCGTGGACCCTACGGCGCCGGAAGGCACCCTGTTCAGCATTATGCGCCCTGAAAAGTTCGGTGGTCCTCTCTTCTACAGCACCTATGAGGAGCTGGTGAACGATTTCAAGGAGAAGAAGGTGCACCCGGCGGATCTGAAACCAGCTGTGGCTGCTGCCCTGAACATTCTTTTGGAGCCTGTGCAGAAGATGCTCGCTGAGGATGAGTCCTTCAGGAAAGTTAAGGCGGATGCATACCCTGAAGATGAGCCCAAGGCGAAGAAGGTGAAGGAAAAGAAGAGTATGTATAATGATGACTGACATAAAGTGAATCCCAAGTTTGCTCCGTACTTTACAAAGGAAGAGGGCGGTTCGGCTGCCACTCCCGAAGAGGCTGCTGCGAATGCCAAGGCAGATGGCTTCGAATATAAGCAGCGTAAGGGCAAGAAGGGGTCTGCTCCTTCGGCTCCCACGGCCGAGATGGATAAGCTTTCTGTGCAGCCATAGAAGGCGTAATGAACCGTAGGCGTACGTAGGCCCACGTGGAGGTCTGATTGACATAGTCCCGGATGTGCACGGATGTCGCTCGAGTCGTTTCTCCGTTGCCACCTACTACTATTACCAACATGGCTCGCAGCGACGAAACCGCTAGCTACCGCTTCAACCACACAATGTATCGCATCAAGGACCCCAAGGCTTCCTTGGAGTTCTACCAGGATGTTCTTGGCATGGAGCTGATCGATAAGATGCAGATGGAAGAGTTCACGTTGTACTTCCTGGGCTACCAGCACCAGCATGGTGTTTCCCGTTCTAAGCGTGAAGGCTTGCTTGAGCTCACTCACAACCACGGTTCTGAGAATGATCCGAACGTGTCGTACCACACCGGCAACTCTGAACCTCGTGGCTATGGTCACATCTGTGTGTCTGTGGCGAACATTGAGGAGGCTTGCGCTCGTTTCGAGAAACTTGGTGTCAAGTTCCAGAAGCGCTTGACTGATGGTAAGATGAAAAACATTGCCTTCATCTTGGACCCTGATGGTTACTGGGTGGAGATCATCCAGCAAGAGTGAATACAAAGATGACTTGTTTGTCACACATCCAAAGAAAGTTTCTCGAGTCTCAAACAATAACTACGATTAGTCTATATGGGTGATAACGGCAACTACCCTTCCATCATCCTACTTTATACATACAGCTCGTACTAGAATTAAAATATACATACACCCAGATCATAACATCGTACATATGTCTCGTCAAAGAAAAAAAAAAATCATAAGAGTCTTGAAGCATAATGTACTCTGTATAGCAACTTACATCGGGTTGGTTGCCCCAGTCACAGAATATGAGCCATTCGACACAGATGCCAAAAATGCTGCAGCACTCAAGTTTGAATTCGTGTTTCCTTGGTTCTTCACAATATTCGCTCCATTTTGTTGTTGCTGTTGGTTCAAGAGAGCCTGTGCAGCCGCTGCAGCTTGAACAATCTGTTCGCGGGAAAGTGTATCGGTCGACACAGGAGGCCGTCCACTTACACTATCTGCCTTTGCACTTGCTCCACCACCATTGGCGTGGAGCAATTGTAGGCCCAGTAGTCCATGTGATCCTGAGTGTAGGTAGTGGTAACGAAGCCCATTCAAATTCTTATAACGTTTATCACAATTGCCAACCTGACAGACATACGTTTTTTCAGGCTGCGCATTGTTTTGTTTCGTTGGTGTTGATGGGGCTTCTTGCGTCGAGACAGGTGAATCTGCGGCAGCGATCCCAGCGAACGGCTTGAATGAACTCAAATTGTTCAGAGCCGCTGTTTCCGATATAGGCGTAGATTCCTTCTCCGACGACGCTGTCGGTATTTGTGTTGATATTTGTGGTTTCACAGGCGACTGCAGCGTCGATGATGCTTGCTGAATAGGTGTCGATGTCACATCAGCGGAAGTGGGCGTGTTTGTGTTAATATTGCGCAAGTTTTGGTTACAGTGGCCATGTAAACGGTGGTACTTAAGGCCATTCATCTGCTTGTATGCCTTATCACAACCAGGTGCAGGGCATTTGTATGGGCGATGCTCTGACGAATTAGAGTCTGAGGCAGCTGCTGAAGACACAGATACGCCGTTGCCTGCCGCTGTTGTTGTGGAAGCACCCTGATTAGCATTGAACCGTTCACGTTTAGACGGTCGTTGCGAAGAGGCCCCAGATGGGAAAAACAAATTAGGTGGAGCGCAAGATGGCTGTTGATCATCTATCGTCGAGTTTCGTAGCGATAGATTGGAGAACATGCTGGCCTGTGTAGTGGACCCAAAGAACGCCTCATTCTCCGACTCAACCGATGGCGTACCCGGACGAGAATTCCCTGGGCTTGAAAAAGGTGAAGCAAACGCATTTGACATGCCAAGAGGGTGACGCCCACCATTTTCAATCACAGCTCGGAATAACTGTGTCGAGCCATTTCCGCCCAGCGGCTGCCCTAGCGAACGCTTCGTACCACGGTTTGCCGAGGGAGATCGCATCACTGTTGTTTCAAAGGCGCTTGGATTTTCGAGATTCTCCTGCGTCGTATTCACCATAGGGGTACCCCTCGCTGTGCCTTGAAGAGTCAGTTTACGCTTCATCGCCTCATCCGGTGCGGTTTTATTGAGTGTGCTTGATACGGACGACGTACTTTGATATGACTTCTCCGTCTCCGCATCTGAGGCCAAACTGGATGTTTCCAGTTCCTCGTCCGTCATCATACTAGCGACGTCATCGCCTTCGAAGCGCACATGACATTCCTCGTAATGTTGAAGAAGGTCATGCAGGTCATCCAATTTACGACCACAACACGTAAAGTTGCGACAAAATGTGGATTCCAGGCGGACGGAGGAGGGCCCCGCCACAGTGACATCAGAGTCTGTAGATGATGAAAATCTGCCCATAGTATACTCTAGAAGGTCGGCAACATCTTTACCATAAGAAAGAGCCATGGCATCTTTGAAGCTGTTCCCACTGAAGCTGGTGCCCAGCCCAAGATAACTGCCCGAGTTGCTCCCACGCGCCAAAGGCGTGCCATCACTCATGACATTATTGGGGCTCTCACCCGACCTAACAATAGGAATTGGACCTGGCGCTGCACTTGTCATCGTATTACTAGCAGCTCAAAACCCAAGTTGTAGATTGTGGCGAGCTAGGCTCGTTGCCGAGTCGTTATGGGAGCGGTCCCGAATTGTAATGTCACAGTCGGACGCTACACGGTGATTGCGTAACCGCTCTCCCTATTTCGGGTTTCATTGAACCAATCCCAATGTCGAGTTGGGTTAGACCAATTATTGTTTTGTCTTGCTAGTGAGATAACCTGTATCGGCCGACATATAATCCAATGATTTACGAATGCGATTATTATACCCTTGCGGTGCTATTATTTTTTTATGAGGTAGGTGGAGGTCTCTATGTATATCTTGTTTCCACTGAGATTTCTACAATCGCGGAGGACATTGGCCTCTTGGTCGCTTGTCTCGGTAGGGTCGTCTGGCTTCTCGGCGGTGATGTCCCAGGCCTGGGAGAAAGTTTTGTGGAAGAAACAGACATTTCCTGATAATTATGTGGACCCTACTTTTATGAGCCAATTGCGTACGAATGCCACAGCTGATTTCCCCTCTGCCATTGCTCTTGTACTCTCTTCTTTGCCTATCGCACAACAGCTAGCCTCCGTCCTGCTATTTGTCGGCATCTTTACTCATATATACCTTGGTGGCATATCTGCAGCCACTCTGGTATGGCTAAGCATTGGCACCTCTTTCCTCATGGCCGCTCTAGGATACTCTGCTGATTATGATTCAGGGCCATTATTTTGGCAGAGTTTACCTAGTATTATTGTATTGTCATTTACTCTGCATGCCTTATCGCCTATGGTACGCACATTTAGTGAGGCTACAACGAGTGACAGTGTCTGGGCTTTTACCGCTATTTTATTTCTAGCGCACTGTGCCTTTTCTGACTACGCCATTCTTCTGCCTGTCCAAAGAAAACTTACTACCACTGTAAGCTTGAGTATGGCCATGTGTGCTAGCGTCGTTTTATCGAGTCGTTTGATGCTTGATGTTGACGTATTTGCCCTTTTACTTGTCGGATTACAACTGTTCGCTATTTTCCCGCTTCTCCGAGACCGCTTGTACAAACGATTCGGATCTACGCGTACCTCCAGTGGCCGTATCATTCCGCATGCCCTCATACCCCTGACTATGGTCCTAGTCAGCGCTAGTATTCTTACAATGGCGCCCTATAATTCTCTTGTGGCATACGGGATTGCACCTGCCTGTCTCATTTTTGTTTGTATATTATGTCCATTATGGATGCATCGAGCTCAGCAATGGAAAACAGAGCTTCGCGGGCCTTGGGATGAAGCTGTTGTAGCCCCGTATTCCCCAATTGGGTAGCTACCCCGCCTTCCTCCAGGTCATGGGTAGAATTGTAATTTTATTAAAGTAGAGTGGGGGTGAGAAAGCAAGCCGATTTGGGTGCTAGATGTGAAAAGATCTGGTTGGCGGCGGAGTTTTGTTAAAGAACGGAAGCACTGCCCTACCCAAATGGCGCCACTGCAGTTATCGGACCGAGGTATCTTCCACGCCTAACTCAACATTTTTAATCTTGCATAAAGTCTTACCGTTTCACTTTGGTTTGAGACGTGATTTGATGACTAGAGGCATTATCGAAGATACCAAGTCCGTCTTGCCTGATGGTACGTCTCAGGCGGACGATAGCGTATCTGTAAACTTGTCTTTCTCGCATATGTCTGATTCAAAAGGGACAAAGCCGGCCGACCCGGAGGCGAAAAGGCAAGATTCTTGGTTTGGGCAAATCCTATCCGAACTGCCTGACAAGGGCCTTTCACTTCGGCCCTTGGAGTCTAGAAAACTGATGAAGGGCCTGGAGCGCCACTTACGACTCCCTATCTCTCTTCCTACTGTGGACTTTCCCAACCTGGGACCAGGCTCTACGTCTGAATTTTACAACCAAGCGCCTATCTGGACCTATGAGCCATTCAGATCGGTATATACGACTATGTTTATCATGTATATGGGCACATTGTACCTCCCTTTCCGTGCCATCTCGAATCTTCCTCCTCAAAACCGTCCACGCCCTTCCTGGTCATGGAAGAAGGCCATGATGATCTCTTTGACTCGTCGTTGCACTCTCTATATGTGTAAAACACATATCATGCTAGCAGGAAAACCGGCCAAGCGCCCTCCCCCACCTGTGAATACGAGTATGTATGTGAAAGTGGACCCGGATGAAGTCCTGCAGCCTGTTAATGACAGAGAAAAGGGGGATATTCGAGGTGAGTTGGCGCGTGCTATGGAGATCCAACAAACCAAAATTGCGACCCTCTGTGGTTATTTTTACACTGCCACTGGCGCCCCACCTACCACGACCTATCGTGCCGAGCCTCATGAGCGATTGCTGCTGCACTTCCATGGAGGTGCTTATTGGATGGGCACAGCGCAAGAGTCTGGTCTGTCGGCCAAATTCTGCTCTGATCTCCTTGCCCGTATCCAGGAAAAGGATGGTTCGATTAAGCGTGCCTTCCAAATGGAATTCCGCTTGACGCGTCACGATGACCCTACCTTTGGCTACCCGGCTGCACTTTTGGATGCTCTCGTGGGATACCTATATTTGATTCGTGTATGTGGTTTTGAGCCGAAAAATATTGTCATGTCTGGCGATAGCTCCGGCGGCAATTTGGCGTTGGCGCTGTGCCGATATCTGCGTGATGAGGGCGTGGCTGATCTGCCAGTAGCCCTTCTCCTCTTGTCTCCGTGGTGTGATATTTCGCGCTCGCACAGTGGACCGGTGCTATCGCCCAATGCCTTTTCCACGACGGTGTTGAACTGCAAGAGTGATGTCATTGATGCATCGCTGCTATACCGGAACACATCCGTGAATCCACTTCTTGGTCGTCTACCAGCGGAAGAGACTTATATCAATCCATACATCTCACCCGTTTCGCTTCAGCTGGATCCTTCGTATGGCTCCAACCCGCCTCATTGGGGCTTTGCAGGGTTCCCAAAGCATGTCTATATCTCCACTGGCAGTGCAGAGCTGAACTACGAGCAGCACTTGACACTGGCATACCGTATGGCTGAAGGATCTGTGCGTGGCGTGCCATTATTCGCAGGCAACAACCTAGAGCGCCATGAAGACGAGCCACATCAATGTGTTTGGCGTTCTGATTACCCCCGTGCGCCTGCGTGGGTCGCTCGCCATGACACAGCTGTGAAAGAGGGTACATCTGTATCCTCACCGTTAGATCAACGTGATGTGGTGTTGGACGACACCAAGGATGGCGTGCATATTTTGCCTCTGTTCAAGTGGTTTGAGCCTGAGCGAAGCCAGGTCCTAGATCGCATTACGTCTTGGATCTGTGATATCTCAAAATCTTCCTTGCCTAATGCCCCTGTGATCTCCGCGACCAATGTGTAAGAATAAAAGCAGCCATTTGGCATGTTTATGACCTTTTCTCCCTTTATCTGCTATTCCCACCTAGCCAAGCTCTTTTCCTGCTCATGTTTAGTTTGTTTATCATGCGACACTTCCATTTTCTCCACCTCCCATGTCCCAATCTATGGTTTGATATGCTGCTTATGTCTGCTGTAAAGCTTTTTGCTTCATTTTCTCTATGCCTCATATATCAATGCCATGACTGGGATTATTCCGCAGACGTTTCCGTAGATAAAACAACTGATATGCCCTAGCTTCCAGCACTTGTTGTAACGACACACGTGTGACTTTATCGTCGTCAAAGCGGTACCATTGTCCGCGCCATTTTGAATAGTTGGTATAGTGCCCGGACGTGAGTGAGCCTTCATGCACAACGACGGTGAGCAGATCGTACGCATATGCCAACGGATCCATCGATTCATTCTCATCATGGGAGGCAACGCAACACTCACGCACGTCTAGCATATGTGGGAAGCGAATGCGTGTGTCGACCTTGACGGCACCTGCTCCATGTTCATAGCGCTTTGGGTAAGTATCTCTATACGTACTTTCAGCTGAATGCACAACACAGGTGGTAGCTGCAAAAGACTTAGCTGTTTGATCGCCTGTGGAACGTGAGTCAGGCATGGACGTACCTTGGCACTTTGCTGGCAATGACTGCAGCGATACGACGACTCCGCGAGATGCTCTGGGGAGCAGTAGCGTGCGAGGCATGCATGGAGCGTATGAGACAGCGTGTCAGGCACAGGTGTATTTTTCTTCTTCGTATCCTTTTTCTTCTTCGTATCTTCCATCTCGCGCAGACTTGATGCGCCGACTTCCAAGCTCAAATCGAAGAAAGGTTCACGTGTATACGTCACCTTTTTGCACGAGAGACACGTTATACTGCTCTGCAGACGGCCTCCAAATGTGCGGTGGACGACACAGGGACACATGGCACTGTGGTCCATAGCTCGTCGCGGGGCGTCTGGGCCCTGCAACGGCAGGTGCTCAGCATGCTCATAGAGATGCTCCAATGTATGCTCGTCATCCCATGGCGCTACAGGGAGCTTAGCCCGTTCTAATGCATGGGATGTGAGGGCACTGTGGATGCCGTTTAGGGCACTGATAAACATCTCGTGTGCATCATGCTGGCCGGACTGTGACAGTTCTGCCGAAGACGAATCGACCCAGATGGCGTACAAAAATGATGTGGGCCCATACGGTCCTTGCGTGGAAGGTTTGGTGAAAAACTGGGTGTCAGTATCAAGCGACATACCTCTGCATAGAGCTTGTCCATCTCGCACGCAAGGCAGTCGCGGCCAATCGCACACAGTGAGGCATTGTGCCGATCACTTAGGAAGAAATTACGTAGCAGTGGGTTGTGCAAAAACGCCTGAAGAATCACATTCAGAAAACATGTGGCACCCATATTGCGCAAGCCTCGAGGTACACGACAAATGCCAGGCAACGTAACGCCCTGCGTTGCTGCGCCAGTCAGTTGGCTAGCGTACATACATGTTGCATCGAGTGCTTGGACGGCATCCAGAGTTGCTTCGTTGGGACGAGCGACATGCGATCGATGCTGTTCTTCCGCTAAAACGTACTCGAGGCGTGGATCATATACGACGTCATCGCATGCTGAGCAGAACACGGTCCCATTCACAATGTCACACGCTGGTGTTAAGGCTGGCGCCCATACATACCGTACGAATGGGCCTCCTCGGCCAAATGCAAGCCCATATGTGACGTTCCCACCTCATCACCGTCTGCTTTACTTTGGACACCCATGGAAATAGGGAGCATGGCTTCGCGGACAGGGTCATGGAAGAGGCAGGCCGTGTACGCACACGTCAAGCACACAAACGGACGACGAAGATCCATTTGGCACACTGCACAAGTCGGGTATTCAAGCTTTGGTGGTTAGATACAGCATACACCCGCATACCTTTTGGCGCTTCTTGTCACGCTCTTCCTCCTCCTCGGCACCATCTTGTGGCCGAATCTTCCCACTCAGTAGGCGTTGACCCCAGCGCAGACCCGCCGCATACCGACGCAGCAACTGCTCCATAGAAGCATCATTTTCTGCGTGTAGGTGTTCACACCCAGCATACTTTCTGCCTCGTACTAGGATATGTGCAGGAACGAGTGATCGTGTCCCTGCCGGCATTCTCGACTCCTTTCTGTGCCAAGGAAGGTCGATGTGGCTGTTGCACGCGTCGGAGGCGAATGGCCTTCTCCACTCAGCCCCCTCGTCTCTGTACGTAGAAATGTGGAGGTGTCTATACCCTCTATCAAACGTTTGCCGCTACGGGCGCCTTCCAAGCCCAAAGACGAGGTGCATAGGCCATGGGTTGGCCTTCAAAAAGAGGCATACGCAGAAATAGCCTCCGCACAGCCGCCTCAGCCCCGCCCAGCGCATGCAGCAATAGAAGCACACGCAGCATCTGCGCTATGCCCACAGGTCGTGAGAACGGTGTGCTCCCATCCCTGCTATTCAGCGTGAGAGCCGTGGCGATAGGGTCCAGCAGAGTCATGCACATACGAGCTTCCATGGTCGTCCAGACATCATGACCGCATAAACTTGCATACGACAGCCACGTCTCGAGCATAGCCAAGGCGGGCTCTACCCATTCCGTCGAGGTGTCTCGTTGATCTTTACGCTGCACCAAGCACGAAAGGATGCCCAGCACTGTGGTCACAAGGCCGTATTCCGCCTGACGGTCCATATCTGCCAGGCGTGAAAGGACAGCAGAGCGAGACCAGGTCACAGGGACACATATACGATGAAGAAGCGTGAGCCAATAGGCCACGCGCGTGCTCGAGAGGGTGGCTGTCTCGTTCTGCACCCGCATCGATATCCACGAGAGCCAACCACGCTTGGAGACCAGCTCCTGGGACACGTATGGTAGACCTGCTGTTGTCATCCAAATATCATCGATTATGTCTTGTGCACGCTGATCAGCAACGCGATCCGCATGAGCTCCTCGCGTGTCGGATGTGGCCAACGACAAGCTGAGCAGCAAATCCCATACATGCCGCCGCTTGAACACTTTCCATTCCGTCTTGGCCCGTGGAATTGCCTCGGCATGCGTTTGTCCTGCTACGGTGGTATGCATCTCCAATGCATCCCGCAAGAACCGCAAGAGCCATAGACGATCCGCCTGCCACGTATCCGACGTAGAATGCAAGAGATTGTAGAGAAGCGGTACGTCGGTGGTATCTAGCACAGGCCGCTGAAGCAAGAATCGGCACAGCGCTGGAAATAGCGGGGTATATGGTGCCGCAATGGCCCGTAGACAGTGTGCGGCAAAGAGACACGTCATCGACGGAAGCCATGGAATATGCGTATACGTGCCTGTAATCGAGGTGGGAGGCGGCGGGGGAATTAGATCACGCGTACGCTCGAGAACCAGGCATACCAATTCCTTTTCACGGAACTCGGTGGGCTGTAGAGATGCATAAATTTTACCCAGCAGCTGCAATGCGAATTTTCGTAGCGGTGCTCGGTGTGACGACAAAGTGCCCAACACCATACTGATGGCACCAGTGCGTACAATTGCCAACCACTCCAACCCTGTAACATGCATATTCTCGCCCTGTTGCTCCCTCTCTAGCATGGTAGCGGCGAGCAGATTGAGCACAAACCAGGGATCATAGGCCTGCATTGCCTTGTCCTCAAGGACGAGGCCGTCTTTACTTGAGATACGTGGCATATGAATACAGCTCGCCCAAGCACGAGCAGGGTCAAGAGTAAGCAGAGCGCCCAGCGCAGAAGTGCTGGCTAGTGTCGTGGGCACCAGCACCGGCTGCGCTTGCCAAGCACGCAAAATCTCGCCGCCTCCATACTTCCACAACAAGGAGGCCAATGCGCGGTCTGCGTTGTCCATGGTCCCCATGTAGAGGTAGACCCATCGTGCAAGGACGGTGGATGTCGCCTGCACTACACTGGGGCTATCGCGCGCCCAGTGGACCAACGTGGCCACAAAGGGAAGACGCAACGGCGCTTGCCGGGCTTGTTCTACAGCCTCGGTACGTGCCAGCAATGTGCTTACCAGCTTTGCACGACTCGTTTCTTTAAGCATGCAGGCACGTGAAAGGACTTCCGCCAGTTGCATAGCGTAGACCTGTGTCGCACGCGTCTGTACAATGGCCAATAGCAATGGCTCGATGACTGAGGCTGGCAAGCCTACCGAGGTCGTCGCAGCGAGGGCACGCGCTGCACGCGCTAAGCTCTGTACTGCGCCATGATCGTTCGGTTCTTCGACCATTTTTCGTGTCAAATGCCGAACGCTGACATCCAGCCAGGCCTTCTGCACACTAGGAGCGCAGACCGTGCACAGCCATGCACCCAGGGCATGCAACGGCATAGCGGGCGTGATCGAGGTGATGAGAGATTGATCGATCTCCGCTGCCATGGCCTTGTCGGCACGTGCCCGCATCGTATGCAAGGCGCGGCAAGCCCAGGCCTCGCTCCAGCACGATGGGATCCACGTAGTCCACGGGGCCCTTGTCACTGTGGGCTGCTGCTGAAGGGCAACACACAGCGCCAGGGGTCCCACCTTGGCCAGCGGTGTATCCGACGTCTTCAACGTAGGCCATACTAGCGCAGCTCGTGCCCATGTTGCATCGTGAGTAAGTAATGGATCCAGCGAGGCAGGTACATAGGCCTGTGCATGGCGCATAGCAATGAGATTCCCTCGCGCTGGCGGCTCGTACGGATCGAGTCCGGCTGGGAGGGTCGCTGCAAGCACGGCATCCAACAGCGCACATGCCGCCTCCGAATGGGCTGCCCGCTCGACCAGAGCAGGCAGCGCGGAATGAAACGGTTTCCAAGCCTCTTGGGCCATGGCTATACATGGCACAATATGAGCCAAGGCCGTCAGTTGGGCCTCATCAATGCTCGTCCACGGCATCGCACGTACGATTTGCACCAGCTGCGGCGCTTGCGTATAAGGTGCACAGATCTCCGCACAAGAGCGCCATGCAGCACTTGTAGGCTGCGCTGCCCAATGCGTGTAAACAGCTTCCATCAAGGGCGCGATGCAGGCCTGGTACGCGGGTGTCGGCATAGCCACTTGGCGTACCCATGACAGGAGGTGCGTTATGTATGCTGTCGCACCCTCATCGCTGTACGATGCATGGAGCCATGCTTGCGTGGTAGGATGCGTCACCACGTAGCGATGCAATGTGTCTACATCCAATTGACGCGTGGCAGACCAGCGTTGCAACGCTTGGAACGTTGTACGCACATCCTCTGGCGTCCCACGCAAGGGGTGTAAACGAAGGAGCCAGACGTACAAGGCCAAAGGCCATGCCGTATCCATACGAGCGAAGCACGACTCGTACGTCGTGGGCGTGCTCGTCCATAGCCATGTATACGCATCAGACGCGGTCGCCAACGACGCCGACGTGGTCTTGCTTGACGGCACGTGCATCGCTGCGTGCATGCAGGCACGACATGCCGCGAGCACAGCCTCCGAGGCGGGGGTACGCGCGTCCCAGAGTTTCTTCATCATCGTAGCGAACGGCTCGATAGGTTTGGCCATGGCCACCAGCTGCACACACACACGGTGCACGTACGTAAGAAGGGCCTGCGTCGTACGCGCATCCCAGAGTCCTTTGCTCAGCCGGATATGAGCTTGCTCCATCACTGTTGCCACGAGAGGACTCACTACCCCATCTTGCCCTGTCACGGCACGCATACGTTCTGCATACCGATAGGATGTCTTCATGCAGCGTAACAAGCAGTCGTCCCAGAACGCAGCAATATCAATCTTATCAGCTTCGTTGTCTCGGGTAGGCAGAGCTTCTAGCCACGCATCCACTTCATACACATCATGTGCAAACAGTGTCGTCGTGCCGAGCATGGCCCGGAGCCAAGTACGGCATGCCTCGCGCAGCGTAGGCGGCATGTGCATGTACGCAACCATCACAAAGTGCCAGTACGAGCGCTTTTCATGGCCGGGCCATGGTGTAGGGACTTTGGCGCTTAGATCCATGGCCGCGGATGCGTGCGAGAGAATGCGTAGAGCATGCGCCTGCGTAACATACTCGAGCGATAGAGGGGCCGGTTTGCATTCCAAAAATGCCGACGTGAGCAGTTGGCCACCGTCCCAATGCGTATCGTAGGCCATGCTAGGCAAGGCTTCTAGGTACAGGGCCAAAACACGCATCGATGCTTCGCGACGCATGGGCTGCGAGCTCTGCAGCAAGGGGTATACAACGTCAATGGGTGGCATACGTGTACGCCACGCCAATTCCCATGCTTTCAGCGCATGCGTGAACGCGCCCTGCTCATCCTCTCCGGCCTCGTCTGCTTCATGTCGAGCCAGGGACTGCAGCGCACATATACGCTGGAGGGCACACGCAGCGACGATACAGGCATAGTACTGTACAAGGGCGCTAGCATGCTTCAGTGCTTTGTGGAGCACACGGGCCAAGGGCTCCGCCAGCGTACTGGCTAGCACCGTAGCTGTTGGTGGAGGCACAGTGTGAACGTTCGGCACAGGCAACGCCAAAACGCGGCCTACATAGGCCATCTGCATGAAAAACGTCCAGTCGTTTTTTACGTCGATGCTCACCTTGGCGAGCACAGGTGCGACCAGCTCGGGGCATGCACGTAGGATACGCAAAGCAAGTTCTTGCTGTCGCAAATCCTGGACGACGTGCAGCTGACGTACTATACTGAGGAGCACCTTGTTGAACAACGAAGGCCCATCACCCTCCCGACCGTACCATCCGCGGTCCGCGTAGCAGACGCCAAAGCCGGGGTGTGTGCAAACGCTCAAAAGGAAGTGGTGCACAAGATCCGCCACGCTCGTATGCGCTACAAAATCGTTTTCGCGCCTGTACAATTGCAAGAGAGAAGTGATAGCAGTCTCCGTCATCACCTTGGCTTTGATGCCGCGCGGTACGTGGGTATCTTTGAACAGATCTTCATGCAGGACCAGGAGTACATAGCGTACCAAGGCAGGTGGATCATGTGCCAGATCACTGACCATGCGTGGTAGGCCTTCCGGTCCCAGTTCCAGCAGGGCGATTTTGAGAGACGAGTGGTACGTCTGTGTGAGCATAGAACCCAGGAACAACAAGTACTGGGTGCGAACATCCGGCTCGAGCATCGTGACAGGCTTTATATCGCCACGATGCGCCCGTCGTCGCATACTCAGAAGTTTTGCATGGATGTCGCTCGTCCAGTGGAAGCGTTCCCAGACTTGGTGGGCCGATCGTCCACGTGCAAACGATGCCATGGCTGTAAGCAGCTTCAGTGCTACCAAGACCGATACGGCGTCTTGGGAGGCCGTTTCTTTCCTTGCGCGTGTACAAAGTTCCACCATAGCTTGCAGACGCGGCATATATTGGGCATGTGTGCCGACAAGGGCTTCAAGCATCGCTTCGCCATAGCTATGGTTCGGCTGGTGGGCAGAGAGGAGGTGAAGTATCTGCGCAAGTGCTTGACATACAAGCACACGCAATGTGGATACATCTCGCTGCTCGGCCACGTCCCACGCTTCGAGAATGCGCGGTATGGCCTTCTCGGTGCATAGCTCACAAGCCAGCGTGAGGCGTGCGTCGGTCGGCGATACAATGGTTTCACCATACTCACCGATCTCGTCAGCCCGCAAACGCGTACTGGCACGAATACTGCTAAGAGCCCCTGCTATCACATCAGCACTACTGCTCGTAAGCTGCGCACACAGCTCGCTCGCCGACGGACGTGCCATCCTCTCGCCGACGACGACCAGCTCGCAGGCAGTGGAGGTTGGCAATAGGCAGCCAAGCAGGAAGAGACAGACTTTTTTTGTGCCCACCCTGGCTGCATTGCAATCGCTGACTAACAACGTGCGGCCGCGCACGACCGCTGCTGCTCTTCCTCCACCCTTCCATGGCGTCCCAGCCAGACCGACATACGCAGCGGTACGATCGCCAGCTTCGTGTGTGGAACAAGGCCGGTCAGGAGGCACTGGAACATGCGCATGTGCTTGTTGTAGGTGCATCAGCCCTTACAAGTCACATCCTGAAAAACTTGGTCCTGCCTGGCCTTGGCACTTGCACGATCTGGGATGATGCCGTTGTGACGCCTGACGACGCTCACTCAAATTTCTTTTTAGAGCCATCGAGTATTGGAAAACCATATGCCAGCGAGCTTGCACGGCTACTAGGTGAGCTTAACCCTGCCACACGAATGTTATCGTGCATCGAGGCCCCGACCTCGCTTCTTTCGCGCGACAAATCGTTCCTAGCCTCGCTCTCATTGCTCGTGTGCGTCCGCCAGCCACGCGCTATGGCCGAAAATCTGGCAGATATCGCATGGAATGTATCACCCTCGATCCCTGTACTCGCTACATGGACCTCAGGGTTTCAGGGTTTAGTCTGTGTGTCTCTCGGCGAGCTGGGCATTGTGGAAACGCACCCTGAATCGCTCATGGACTTGCGCCTTACACGTCCATTTCCTGCGCTGGAAGCCTACGCAAGCGACTATACGGCCGATACACACGATACCCTGGCGCAGAGTCATATTCCCTATGTGGTTCTGCTCCTGCAAGCGCTGGCGGCGTGGAAAAAGGACCATGCCGGCGCGTATCCTACTAGTTCGGAACGCCGTGCATTCATCTCGCACGTGGAGGCCTTCCGTACGCCTGGCGCAGATACAGAAAATGTCGACGAAGCGTTGGCGGCGTTGGCTCAGCATGTCTGGCGCCCTATCCAGTCGTCCGCGGTCCCGGCCGATGTCACAGCATTGATGGACGATTGGCGCTGTCGTCAGCTATCGCCTACCACGTCGCCTTTTTGGCTCCTGGTGGCGGCGTTGCAGGCCTTTGTGGCACAGGAAGGGGTGCTGCCATTGCCAGGTACACTTCCAGATATGAAGGCCACATCGTCAGACTATGTATCCCTGCAAGCTGTGTATGCGACCAAGGCGCGTGAAGATGTCGCCCTCTTTGAGTCACTGCTGGACCATGTGCTCACACGTGCTCAGACCACAAGAGAGGAGGCTGGCCTAGATGCACACACTGTCAAGACATTTGTGAAGCATGCTGCTGTACTGCAGCTCATTCGTGGACGTCGACTGCGTCTTCAACGGACGGAGCCGAACATTGGCGCCTTAACAGCGGCGTTTGCCGATCCCGTGAACCCTGTTACAGCACAATACTACGTAGCCTTCCTGGCTGCCGACGACTTTTATATGGCCATGCAACGGTACCCGGGCCAAGCGCCCGGTACGGTCGAGACGGACGCAGCTACCTTGCTGTCGTACGCCAAAACGTACGCGTCTCGCCTTGATCTCGCCTTGTCTGACGCAGATTGGGATCGTGTGCAAGTGGCGACGCAGGAAATCGCACGTGGCGCATGGTCCGATACGCCGTCCACTGCCGCCTTGGTGGGCGGCTTGGTGGCGCAAGAGGTAATCAAAATCCTCACTGTACAATATCTCCCCCTGGACAATACATGTGTGTACGATGGCGTGTCGGCAGCGCTAGGCTCGTTCCGCCTATAGTGATTTAGTTCTGTTTGTCTACAAATGCATCTATTTACGTCTGGGTAGTTTCCCCTTCGTTCGGTTTCACTTGCATATACACATCGCCAATGATGCCCAGCGCTTCCGCGCGCCATCGTTGCGTCTGTTTCGAGGCACTCGTATCGTACAGCACACGATCGCTTACTTCACGAATCACACCCTCAATCTCGAGCTTGGCGCCCTTAAAAAGAGCCCGCATACTGTCGTTGTCAGTATCGATATGGGCGTACATACCCCTTTTCTGCCGCTTGGTCTTCCAGCTGCTTTTTCCTCTCCTCAGTGATGCCATCCTCTTCTGCCTTGGCAAGTTCTTCAAATACACTCTTGAGCTCCATAGCAGCCCGAAGTGTAGACACTGTCTCCCGCACAGTATGAATGGAGCTTGAGGCGGCATGGTAGAATCCAGTAATGGTACCGAACATACCTGTCGACGAGAGGTACGAGCGTGACTTGGCTGCATATACAAAGCCCACGGCATGCAGGATCTCTACTCCAAAGCTTGTGTCAGATAAACCACTCACGTACTTTTCCTGCTTGAGCTCCTCGGTCTCCAGACGGATCATTTCACGGTAGCCCTGCCGAACTTCGTTGGAGAGCGATTCATCGTCGGCCGACTTGATGCTTTCCGCATAAATGCTCAGCTTGCGCTCCAGCTTCTCTGCGAGCATCGTGACGCGCTTCTCACGCTCTTCTTCTTTTTCTTTCTCCTTCTCAGCCTCCTCCTTTTCCTTCTTCGCTTTTTGTTCCGGTGTCATACTCTCATCGTCTTTCTTGGAAGGCGCTTGTCCATCTGCCTCGGCAGCAAGCTCGTCAGAATCTTTCTGAAGCGCTTCTTTCATTTCGCGGCCGATACTAATCGTACCGATAATATCCTGGAAACGTTCGCCACCAAAGAGGCCGCCAAACACTTCTTCTGGATCCATAATCCCATCTTCGTTAATGAGGCCGGGCGTCGATGGGCCAAATTCGTTGCTGAAGGTTAATATTGTCATGCCCACATACTATTTGTGTCGCAATTCAGGGTCCGAAAGGACTTGGTAGGCAGCCGCTAAAGTCTTGAATTTCTCTTCTCCCTCTGGGTCATCTGGGTTCTTATCTGGGTGCAGTTTAATGGCCAGCTTCCTGTACGCCTTTTTAATTTCTTCCGTCGAGGCATTCGCTGGCACACCCAGTGTATCATAGCTGTGGTGTCAGTAGCCCAAAGTACCTACAATGTCATATCCAATGGCTTCTCATCTGTACCGATACGACGGCGAGAATGATTTTCTTTCTTCCCGTCTCCTCCATTTATTTGCGCACGCACTTCACGTAGCGTCTTCGAGGCGCCTGGTGGGTCAAAGTTGCGTTGGCACGCGATACAGGTGACGGAAAAAGTCGTGACATTGGAAGGCACAGCTTGCACTTGTTCCACTGTTGGCGGCTTGTACTCTACAGATGCTTTGCAGTCTGTGTAGGGGCAAGTGGCCGATAAATAGCGCTCTTTGCGACGCGACGGCACAATGAGCCTGGCGGCGTCGTTCGACATAATGGGCAAGAACACGTCGTCGCGTGGAGGCAGCCAAGTCAACCTGTTTACTTCCCCACACGCACGTCGCTCGCTGTCTTGCACTCCTTGCCGCTGGACTGTTTGCGTGTGTGAGCACGATGTGGGCTGCCCTGGAAGGAAAGATTGTATGTCGATGATGACGGACTTACCTCAAAGGACTACCGAGGCCAAGCCCTCGCGGAGCGTCTACTCCATCGGATTTTGATTGTTACAGGCGTATGTGGTTTGGTGCTTTTCATGCTGACCCATAGATCCTTGCCTTTCTGGTGGGCTATTTCATGCAAGATGTGTCTATGACGATGTATATATATGGTGCAGGTGTCCTTCTATGCTTGTTGGTATGTACAATGCTCCGCTAATGACTAGGTTTGCTTGCCGCCCTGGCCCATGTACAATGCCCACCACACCATCTGGCTTCCTACCACGCCTTCCTCGCCCCAATAGGATCTGTTCTATTTAGCTTTTCCCGTCATCATGTTGCCCTGGGCCGGCTGTCGGTCCATAGCCTCCCAACTTACCTGTCTGCGTGCCCTGAGCCCAGGCATTGCGCTGCAGAGGAGGCCCACGGTCCTCATTCACACACCCTTCCCAGCATAAATCCCCAACGCATTTAATCGCGTCGCACACGATCTGCGTTCTTTGTCGTTGTTTCGCCATGGCTACGGCAATTGAAAAGACAAAGGAGCTAAATAAGCAGCTGGCGAAGGCGTCTACTGATGCGCGAACCGACGATGTTCTCTCCCTGTTGAAGCAGTTAAAGGAAGTAGTAGAGCCCACAGAGGATCTGATTCGCGTAGGTATTCCCTGTCTTCCATGGTATGCTAACACCTTCCAGGCGACTAAAATCGGTGTGGCTGTAGGTAAGCTGCGTACGTACTCCGATGCTCGTGTCTCGGAGATGGCCAAGGATATGGTCAAGTCATGGAAGGCGCATGTGGAAAAGCAACGACGTGAGTCGGCGACCAAAGAGAAGGCGAAGAAGGAAGCATCTGCCCCGTCTGATACCGCCAATGCGCCGTCCAACGCCACCAATGTGGATATTAACTTTGAAGTGCTGAATGATAAAGTACGAAACGCATGCTTGAAGCTGCTCTACAACAGTTTTGAGCTTCATCCTGACGCTGATGCACAGAAAGTGTATGCGTCGGCTATGGACATTGAAAAAGCAGCCTACCTGAAAATCGGTGCGAGCACGGTGAATGCCGACTACAAAGCGAAGATCCGTAGCTTGAGCCTGAATCTCAAGGACAAGAACAATCCTGAGCTCCGCGACAAGGTGCTCAACGGCGACATTGATGGTGAGAAGCTTGTTACAATGCGCTCGGAGGAACTTGCCTCCAGTGCCCTGAAGGCGCACCATGAATCGATTCGCCTGCAAAACTTGCACAATGCCAAGGGTGCTGAGGCGCAAGAAGCTGAAACAGATGCATTCCAGTGCGGCAAGTGCAAGAAGCGCAAGACGCGCTACTACCAAATGCAGACGCGTAGTGCCGACGAACCGATGACGACGTTTGTCACTTGTGTCAACTGTAACAACAAGTGGAAGTTCTGTTAGTCATGTATTAGTAGCTAGGTGAAGGACAAAAAAGTCTATATTGCTAAAGGGAGCGAGACAGGCGGTGGCAGAAAGTAGGTGGACGTCTGCTGGGAGCGCGAGGGCGAAGAAAAAAAAAATGTGCGGCGCTGGGTTCGTGCGCGACCTTTTTTTTTTCTTGTTGCCTCGACATGCCGCGCGATTTTCGGCCTAAAGGCAAGGCCGCCAGTGCGCGTCGTCGATCTGATCCGCCCACTCGGCCACAAAATAAGGGCGAGTCGGACGATGAAGATGTAGCAGAGGATGTCCTGCGTCAGGGCATTGAAGCGTTGGGCGGTACAGAGGACGACATTGCCTTGATCCAAGGCAAAGGCAAGGCGGGTCCTACGCTGACGGTATGTGACCATGTATACTAATTCCAGGATGCGGAACTCTCTTCGGAGCTTCGTGCGTTTATGGAACGCGAAAAGTTTCCGTCGACACCGACAGACTCCCTGACCAAACCGACGGCCAAGAAACCAGCTGTGCATGCGAAAGAGACGTCCAAGCTTAAAGCAGCCAAAGAAACTTCGCGTCCTGAGAAAAGTGCGAAGCCAGAGCGGCCCGCTAAGCCTCAAGCAATTCTACGTTCCGAGGCGCCACGGAAGCACGTCGTATTTGGCGGCGACGACGACCAGCCTGCGCCGGCGGTCAAGGCAGGCCTGCGCCTTCTTATTGAGCCTGTCTCTGACTGGTCCAACATCAAGTTGCCAGTCCTGGAAGCGTCGCATGTGCCTTCGCAGGTAGACGAGGCTGCCATCACGGCATTGCATGAGCTTGGCAAGCAGACGCTCGAGTCTGAAAACGATATGTACGCTCGCCTTGCCTCTGGTGAAGGAGGAAAGAATGTCATTCTCGGCTCGCTCAACTTTTCTGATCTACAGTTCGCGCGAACATTGCTCACATCCAGCAAGGCCAGTACGCTGTCTGATCGAATTTCCGCGGTGACGCTGCTCTTGCAGAGCAGTCCGATTCATAACCTCAAGGCGTTGGACACGCTTATGACCATGGCTGGCAAGCCTGGGCGTGAGGAAGCGAGTCGTGCGACTCGTGCATTGGCCGACTGGCTGTCCAGTGGGGGTGGTCTAGGCGCTCAGAAACTTCATTATTTCCGTGATCAGCCCCTTTTGGCGAAAGCGGCGGCGGTGTACAAGGCAGGCACGAACGACGCTCTTCGTTTTTGTACCTGTGTATGGGCCTTTGAGGATATGCTGAAGCGTACCTACTTTGCGTTTGTGCAAATCCTCGAGCGTCAATCGCATGACACATTGCTGTTTATGCGCCGACAGGCCGTGACGCAAGTGTTTGTGCTGCTGCGTGACAAGGCCGAGCAGGAGCACAACTTACTGCGTCTCCTGACGAACAAGCTGGGTGATCCTGATCGCAGTGTGGCGTCGAAGGCCAGCACGCATCTTATGGAGCTCATGCAAGTCCACCCTGCGATGAAAGCCATCGTATTGCGTGAGGTTAGCGAGGAAGTCTTGCGTTCGCAGGTGTCTACGCGCCGCACTGGCAAAGAAGAAACAAATACCAAAGGCAATCAGCATGCGACGTATTATGGTGTTTTTACTATGAACCAGACGCTGTTCACGGCCCAGGATGCACCGCTGGCGAACGAGCTTTTCACGATTTATTTCCAGCTGTTTGAAGTGTGCCTGCAGCAGGAGAATCCTGAGACGCCATCCGAGGATACCGCCAAGCCCAAGGACAAGAAACGCTGGCGTGATCAGAAGAAGGCGTCCACACCTGCGCACAAGACGGCCAGTGACGTGTATGGCCGTCTCTTGGCAGGTATTCTGGCGGGTATTCGTCGTGTATTCCCCTTCACGACCCTGGATACTGATGCGCTGGACCAGCATCTTCATACGCTTTTCCGCATCACACATACACATTCGTTCAACATTGCCGTCCAGGCCCTGCAGCTCATTTTCCAAGTGGCGATCGGCATTCCGAAAGACGGCGATACAGCACGAGGCTTTTCGCCCAAGGTCGCTGATCGGTACTACCGCACGCTGTACGATTCCATGCTGGACTCGCGCCTCGCGACAACGAGTAAACAAGCGATGTACTTGAACCTGGTATACAAATCGATCAAGTCGGACACCGATCCGGAGCGTGTCAAGGCCATGGTCAAGCGACTGTGCCAGATTCTCCATACGCAAGAGCCGCCGTTCATTGTCGGTGCATTGGTCCTGCTCGGTGAGATTTTCAAGGCCAAGCCAGGTCTCCGTGCGATGATCACTGAGCCAGAGGAAGAAGGAACAGAACATTTTGTCGATGTACGTGACGACGAGGATGAGGCGGACGTTTCGCAGGTTGAGACACGCACGACGTCGACCTCTTACGATGGCCGTAAGCGTGATCCACGCTTTGCTCATGCGGGCGAGACAGCGCTTTGGGACTTGCTGCCGTTGGTCCATCATTTCCACCCGTCTGTGAGCCTAAATGCCAAGCAGCTGCTAGATGGCATCCCCGTCACATCCAATGCGGATCTGACGCTCAACACACTTATGCACTTCCTTGATCGATTCGTCTTCCGCAACCCGAAGAAGCATGTGGCCGTGAAGGGCAGCAGCATTATGCAGCCCGCGCTCAGTGGCGATGCGACTGACAATGTGCTCGTACGCCGCACGAATGTGCCATTGTCGTATGTCAACACGCCCGAGTTCTGGACACTCAGGCCCGAGCTTGTGCCTGCCGACCAGCAGTTCTTCCACCAGTACTTCCAAACGAAATTAAAGCGCACACATGCCCCCGCCGAGAAGGACCATGAGGCGGACTTGGACGAGGTCGCGTCGGACGACGGCATGCCCGAGGATGGCGACGACTCGAGTACGGATGACGACGAGGAGAAAGAGATTTGGAAGGCTATGAAGTCGTCTATGCCAGGTCCTAAAGAAATGGAAGAGGAGATTGACGATGATCTTGACGACGATATACTGGCAGAGTTGGAAGACGATGAGGACGAGAAAGAGGAGGATGACGAGGACGAGGATGATATCGATGAGGACGACGACGGCCATGTCGACCACGATGATTCTGCGACGGACGATGAAGCGAATATGTTCTTGGAAGACGAGGATGATTTGGTGCCGTTCACCAACTTTGACGAGGAAGAGGAAGCGGCTGTCGCTGGAAAGAAGCGCAGTGCCGACGAGGCGGCTGAGTCCACCAGCAAAAAGACCGGCCGCACCTCGCAGCGCCGCAAGCGTCGCGCTCTCCCTGAGTTTGCCAGTGCAGACGAATATGCACACTTGCTGGATTCCGACGACGAAGGCAATTTGTAGTGTTACGCTAGGTCGTGGGACGCACGTACATACCGATTTTGAGCCCGATCCATGCCCGATCTCCCTCTTGCCTTTTAGCTGCCATGGCGACAAGTGCGAGCCATCGGCAGATTGCTGCTGGCGATGTAGTGATTGTGTTTGCGGTACGTATGTGTATATCTTATGCAAGTCTCGCGATCGGACACCCACGCCGCTGGTCGTCACTCCTGGTTCTCAATTGGTCAACATGTTTGGCGCATTTTCTCATGACGACATGATCGGCAAAGTGTATGGCAGCAAAGTACGTCGTACATGATCGCTCACGCCAGCTTCATTCCGTCAACAAGAAAGGGTTCGTGTACTTACTACGTCCTTCCCCAGAGCTTTGGACAATCTCGCTGCCACACAGGACACAGATTTTGTACGCACCGGACATGGCCTTTGTCGCCATGAAGCTCAATTTGTCGCCGGGCGCTTGCGTGGTCGAGGCAGGCACAGGAAGCGGCAGCTTTACACATTTCCTCGCTCGCACCGTGGGACGTGGCCCACCCGCATCGAATGGTGCTGGGCAGACGCATGCGGCGTGGCCTACGCAACGCGCCCCGTCAGAAGTGCCTAGGCATCGTACGGACGCGCCCTACGATGGCCGCGTCTACTCGTTTGAGTTCCATGCCGAGCGTGTGGAAAAGGCCCGCGCCGAGTTCACAGCGCATGGTCTTGACACCACCGTCGTTCTGCATCATCGCAACGTGTGCAAAGCTGGCTTTGGGCTGACGCACGAAGCGGATGCTGTTTTCCTGGACTTGCCAGCCCCTTGGGAAGCTGTGACGTTTGCCAAAGATGCACTTCGACGTGACGTCATGACGCGCATTTGCTGTTTCTCGCCCTGCATTGAGCAGGTGCTGCGTACTGTGACAGCCCTCTCGGACGCCGGGTATACGGACATTGCGACGTACGAGAGCTTGGTGCGAACGCATGAATCACTGACGAATGTGGCGCCCCTTGAATCGATTGGCGATGTGGTGGCGCGTATCCGCCAAACGGAGGCGAAACGCGAGAGCCGTCGTACGATTCAGATGGCTCAGTCCAAACTGGAACGCGAGCGTCGTCAAGCGGAGAAGGCCGCTGCCGAAGGTGCTAGTACGGTGGATGCTACCGGCCCTGTTTCGGACTCTCACTCGCACAAACGCAAAGCGGAAGAGGACACGGGCGAGGCCCCCGCGAAGAAGCCTGCGAAGGCCGACACTGACATTGACGTGGCGTCTCGTCCCCATGAAACCGACCCGCCTGCCGAAATGCTGTACAGCCAAGGCTTCCGTCAAAAAGTGGAACGACGTTCTGTCATGCTGGCAAACGTGTACTCACGGCCGTTCCCTCAAATGCGTGGTCATACAAGCTATCTTACGTTTGCGACGCTCTTGCCTCGTTCTATGTAGTCGTGTTATACCCTTGCAAATCGCCCAGAAAAGTGTGCTGGACGGTCCTAGGTGAATCTGTGGGCTGTTGGAAATCCAGGCCCACGACAAAGTGCTCCGCACTCGATGCGCGGCTGCTTGGCGGCTTGGCCAGCTCAACGTGGGCAAACAGCCGACGAAGCTGTGCTAGGAGCATTCGTGTAGAGGGGGTATGAGGCTCCGCAAACACTTTCGCGACAAAAGTGCCGCCAGGCCGAAGCATTCGTACGACCATCGTCACGGCCGACATCATAAGCTGGGCATGCACAAAGTCGTCGACAGGCAGAATACCTGTCACATCCGGCGCGCCATCACAAATGATCAGATCGGCCCTTTGCTTGGTCGAGCTTGTTTGTGCCTGTTGGAATGCCTCTTCCACGGCCTTTGCTGTAACTTCCGTCGTGATATCGCCCACCACTTGAACGACACCGTCAATGGGTGCCATATTCTGCAAATCCACAGCGACGATGCACGCACCTGACGGGGCCAATGTACGACTTAGGACTTGGCTCCAGGAGCCTGGCGCAGCACATAGATCGATAACGTGCCCCGGTGGGCTCACAGTCGTGGGCATAGATGCCAACACCGCCTCGCCCAGCGACTCACCCAGCGTAGATTGAAGAAGCGCCAAGGCGTTGTCCGGCAATGCCTCGCCGGGCGTTTGTCCTACGATCTGAGCGCCCATGGAATGGCCTGGCCGCCCAAATAGGCCATACTGCTCGTCGAGATGCAGAAGCTTAAACGCCGATCGCGCGCGGTAGCCTTCCTGCTTGCCCTGCCGATAATAGTGATCACGCTGATCTTTCGTGGATTTGCCCATGGGGGCGCGATGTGTCGATGTGGAGTGTTTGTGATGGACGACGACATGGTTGCACGCAAACGCGCCGAGCGTGCTCAGCGCAAGGCGGCGGCGGCGGCCGCAGCAGCAACGAGCACACCTGCCACAGCCGAAGCGCCTCCATTGGCACCTGAGACTGCGATTCGGCGCCGAGCATGGCTGCCTCTTCCGCACGTCGCCGCAACGACGCGACGCGTTCGTGTCGTGAGCTGGAATATGCTAGCGCAGTGCCTTGTGCGTCGTGAGCTCTTCCCAGGGAGCGACTGCTTAAAATTCAAAACGCGCCTACCTGGCCTAGCAGCTGACTTCACGACGTACGACTGGGACATTGGGTGTTTCCAGGAAGTGGACTCGATGAATGAGATTGGGCCCATCCTGACCAAGGCAGGGTATGCGTTTGAGTACCAACGTGGCTATGCTACCAAGAGACATGGGCTTGTCGTGGCATGGCGTGCACAAGCAAGCGATCGCCCATCGTTTGATAGTCCTGTATGGACCCATGTCCTGCATTTGGACGATGCGGAGGCATGGGGCGGCGCTGTGGAAGGTACAGCGCTTTCGCGCATTACACGCAACACGGCGCTGATGGTAGCATTGCCCTGCGCTGATGGTCAAGGTGGTGTCGTAATAGTGACCACGCATCTGTTCTGGCAGCCGCGGTACGAATATGAGCGTGTGCGACAAGTTGCTGCCATTACGCAGGCGATCAATGCCGTTCGTACGTCGCACGAGGCATGGTCCTCGTGGCCTGTGATATTCGCCGGCGATCTGAATGATCAACCGCACTCGTCTACCTATACTGTGCTGACAGGCCAAGGTCCTATGTACAAAGATGTGATCGAGACGACGCTGCAAAGCTCGCGCATTGTGCATACATCCGTGGACGAAGCACGGGGGCACCGCACAGTCCACTATGCCAAAACTATGACGGAGGATGGCGACGAGGATCGTGTCCTAGGGCGATTTCGCTATGGCCTCGACAATGAACTACTTACGACGGACGATTTACTCCGTCACTGCAAAGTCCAAGGCGCGCCTTCGAAGCCATGGCATTTTCAGAGTGTCTACGGCACACACTATGGGGCGCTGGCTGGCCAGCCAGGTGTCGAGTATTTCAAGGTATGCCATATATAGACTTACCACAGGACCGTGGTACAGCGCCTGAACGGTACGATGAGACGGAGAAGCCCGTGCCAAGTGATCCACGGCAGTGCCAAAGCTACGAGCCAAAATGGACGTTGTATTCGTCGCTTTTCCATCTGACCTTGGACTATATCATGCTGGCCCCGAGTATGGACGAGCAGGGGCCGGACTATCCACCTGTGACCGCCTTGCTAGCCCTCCATCCCACCGATACACTGCAGCCTGGCATTCCACGGCAAGGCGTCTGCAGCTCGGATCATGTGTTGATAGGCGCGGAAATCGCGTTGTAAGTAGCAAGTGGAGGTTCATCACCGCAGGCGACATGGCACCTCGGTGGATGCGGCCCATCGCGTACAACGTGCTGTTCCCGTCGCGGACCGTGCAGGTACTGCGGCTAGCATGGTGTTTTGTTGTGCTATGGTGCGAGCGAGGTGTATTTTATGCAGCCACGAGCCGCTGCGAGATCCCGCAGACCAGCACTGTACGTACATGCCTACTCATCGCAGCCTACGTTTCGCGTGCTCATTCTGAGCGATCCACAGATTATTGGGACACATACCTACGAGCACTTTTCGCCTCTGATGACTGAAGTGGCTAGTGCGTTCTCCGATCAATATCTTCGAAAAGTGTGGCTCGCCGTAACACGACAAGGCCTCGGCGCCTCGCTGCTGCGAAGCCCACGCTCGGCAGATTTGCTTGTGTTTCTTGGCGATATGACGGATCGGGGGCGCTGGTATACAGACAAAGCAGCCTGGACAGCACTACAGACGCGCTGGACCCAGCTCTTTTCGGGCGCATCGCTGGGGCAGACGACCGAGGCACGGCCCGTGCGTTCGCGTAGTACATCGACAATCCCTGCCGTGGTCGTCCCCGGGAACCACGATATTGGCCTGCCAGATGCACAGACAGGACAGCCTGTGCCTGCGAATCGTGAGGCAGCTGCCTGGTTTCAGCAGACGTATGCGCCTGTCGTGGACGACCAGTACGTATGGGCCTCGCATGGCACGCCGTCGTGGAATGCGCGGATTCCCATTGCGGTCGGTGCTTCTGACCATTCGACACATGAACTGGTCCTCATTAATGCGATGGACCTCGTAAGTATGGAGCCTCTGATGATGCCTGCGTTGACGTCCAACGATACCTCGTTTGTGGTGGCCAAAGCGCATGCGCCACAGACCACGCGGATGGTCGACCTGCTGGCGTCCGAGACGACGTCCATTCCACGGATTCTCTTCTCCCATGTGCCATTGGCCCGTGCCGCCTCCGAGCATAGTTGCGATGTACCATGGCGCACTGCTATTCATGGTGTACGGCGTGAGTCGCAACGAGCACACGTCCCTGGCGGTGATATTTTGCAAGGAGGCGATGCCCAGCGTACGTATCAGAACTTGGTGGGCCAGGCTGTGTCGCAGTACGTCTTGGATGCTATTCAGCCGGCCTTGGTATTCTCCGGCGACGATCACGATCACTGTGAGGCGATTCATTACCGCCACCGCCCCGCGTCGAGTGTACATGTAGCCGGGTTTGACGCTCAGGATGTCCCCGAGCTGACCGTGAAATCCATGTCGATGCTGGAAGGCGTTCAAAGGCCTGGCTATGCATGGCTCGAGCTAGGTATGGAAGGAACGCAACCGACGCTGCAGTACCGTCCTTGCCTGCTGCCCAATCAAGTCTGGCTGTGGCTCGGTATGTATGTGCCATGCCTGCTTCTCACGCTATGTCTGATTGTGCTGGCGCCCGCCTGGGTACCCAAGTCATCGGCCACCCTGCTCCCACACCATTACGCCGCGACATCATCCACCCGCCAAGTGAGCATATTTGTGCGCAGTACCAGCATACTTGGCCTACTTCGACGTGTAGGACGTGATACGGCCATGGTCGGTGTGATCCCATTGCTCTTGTGGCTGTCTCTACAGAGCTAAGCACACTACTGCGCTTCCAGTGCGGCATTGGGCACCAAGCCCAATTCTTTGAGCGACTGATTTTTCTCCGCCTCAGTGTACGACTTGCGAGGGAATGTAGTAGAAAACTGTGTATAAGTACATGCGGTACGTACCGTAAGAGTCGGTGTGCCATTCCCTTTGCCGTCAGCTACGACGGCCTGCTCCAGATCGCGCAGCGTCGCAGTGACGTGCATGGTGCCCATCCACGTCCCTGTCGGCGTACGCACACGCAGGCGCGTCTCTGTGGCGCTGCTGGTTTTCGGCCATTGGGCCGCTAGTGGTGTGGGCGGAGCCGGCTGTGACGTGGCATCCGTGACGAGACCTTGACGCAGGGCCTTTTCGTGGGCGGCCTTCTCGGCCCGCCGACGTTTGTCCTCTTCAATTTGCTGTCGAACGCGCTCCTTCGCGGCGATCTGCGTCAGTAGGACAAGGACTTACCTCTTCCAAGCGCTCACGTCGTTTCTTCTCTGCTTCCTTTATGCGTTCTGCGGTCAGCCACGGAGCGACGTACCTTTGCGCTCCAGCTCTTCACGCGCCTGGCCTGCATCTTGCCCTGCCTTGCGGCGAATAAGCTCATTGGCCTTGCGTTCGCGCGCTTCTTCCTGCTCTTTCGCCGCTCGCTTCTGCGCGAGCTTGGCACGCACTTACGTCAGTCACGTCGTACACACTCTCTTCCAAGCGCTGCTTCTTTTCTTCCTCGCTCAGGGGCCGAATGGCTTCTTGGCTCTCGCTAAAGTCTTCATGCCCCGACTTTTCAGCATGGTACATTGCCAGATCCATATCGCGGAATAGTTTGTGGCACACATTGCATTGGATCGACTGCGTAAGTGATGCGCGCACGTACTTTGGCACTCGCCTCCTCGGACGACTGGTCTGTCTGGGCTGGCATAGGCTCGTCCTGGTGCGCCTCCAGATGATCGAGCGCCGCCGTAAGCGAGCCGTCCGTCGACTGGAGCGCCCAGTCCACACGCTGCGCATCAAAGCCCATATCCAGTACTGTGGTCAGCGCTGTGCCACGTACAGCTCTCACGCTCTGTCATGGTCGTGGGTCAGTGTCGCGTGCACGCGGGGACGCACAGGCACTAGGGCACACGTCGGAGGCACACGCCATCTACACGTGATCAATCTATGACGGGGGCAGCGGGCCCTCGAATTTCAGCGCGACGCGGCGCTTCTTCTTGGGCTCGCTCTGCGAGGGGGCAGAGGAGGTGAGCGGCGCTGTTTCGGCAGTAGCGGCAGCGTCCGTAGCAGCTGGCGTAGCTGGTGTCGGAAGCTCCGTGGCCGGCGGTTGGGACGCAGGGGTGGGTATAGACGACGAGGTAGTAGCGTCCACAGGCCGATTCCATGCTCGGTGCAGGGCAGGCTGCTCGCTGTATTGGTACGGCCGGCCTAGTTCATGGTAGTCAAAGACAGCAATAGAGCAGTATCCATCTGACGAGGACATCATGAGCGATTGGCCATCGGGTGACCAGGCCAAGTCGGTGAAGGCAGCATAATGCAAGTTGCTGAAACAGCAGAGTGGCCCTGCCTGTTGCGTATCATAGATCCATACACTGTCCTGCGTGGCCACTGCGTACACCATACGGTACGGCAGTCCAAACGTACTCACGGCAGGCGTCTTGGGAGAGAGCGGTATATCTTGGACCTCGGTGGAGAGTGGCACAGCGGTGCCGGCAGGCATGGCCGACGCAGGCTCGGCGCTGGTGTCACGCAAGCGGTACAGAATGGGCGAGAAGCTCACGACCAGGGTCGTCGACTTGTGGCCCGGTAGCACAGCAATAGGCGTGTGTGACTTGCCAAAGTTGGCACGGCCATACAAATACACAGCGTTCGACGAGGCGACTGGGCTCTTATGTGGCTCATTGGCGCCTGGCGCATACGCCAAGTACTGCCCTGTAGGCGTAGCGAGCAATCCACCGTCCGGCGAGAAAGCCAAGCGCCGGAAAAAACTGCTGCTTCGGTCATCACCGTACAGTTTGTGTACATGATCGCCCGGCGCAGTACTACTTGCCGCTAAGCGCTCATGCACGCTGGGCGGTGGCCGAATGGTCGGCAGCGGCGCAGGGGAGGAAGAGCGGTGACGCTTGCGAGAGGGCGACGACGGGCAAGAGCCAGGCTCAGCTGGAACAGCAAATTGCGCTTTCGTCTCATGCGGCTTAGCGCCATGCATCGAGGTGCGGCTGTGACGGCTGACCAGCTGCGTGTCCATGGCTTTGCCGTTGTCTTGCTCTAAGTTGTAGACGTGGACCGACCGATCACTGCTCTGCGTAGCAAGGTACCGCTGTAATGGATCCCATGCTACGCCTTGGACATAGTGCTGGTGCTCGGAAATCTCACGGATCACAGACCCATCGGCGGTATTGATGATGCGGACGGCGAAATCTGTGCCGCCCACAGCAACATGTTCGCCATCAGGACTCCACGCCATATCATAGAGCTCTTGCGGCGTAGCACGAGTCATCAGACGTACGCGCCACGACTCTTTATCGTATTGCGCCTCACCTTCCGCGGACGTGAAATGATTCTCGCCAAACGCTTGCCGAAGCTGATCACTGCGGACCCAGAACAACACATTGCCATCGTCCCCCGCCGACGCTAGGACGTCGCCTTGCGGTGAGAAGCGCACGACATTGACGACACCTGTATGTCGAGTGAGAGTGGCTGCATACTCTGTTCGCGGGGGATGCATCGCGCCCGTCGAGGACGCTGCCAGCGCGGCTGGCGAGGGAATGTTCGGGTGGATCATCCAAATGCGTACATTGTTATCGCCGCCAGCCGTAGCAAGACGCCAGCTCTGACCACCGGCCAGCACAGGGGCTTGTTGCACAGCGTCCTGTGTCGTATTCGCACTGTCACTGCCCGCCAAACTGTGGCCGGGCGGTAGGCCAGCCGCTGCAAGGTCAGACGCGCCGATTCCTCTATACATACCTTGGCCTAAGTTGTGATCAAGCACCTGAGCAAGGCGCGCGGACGAGATGGGTTGAAAAGCACACGAGTAAATTGGTAGCGTATCATGCCACCGAATCTCGAAGGTGACGCAGCGAACCATACTTGGCGCTGACGCGCACGCTTGCGAGGGACAAACGATGCACCGCGGCGACGCGACACTTGTGGAATGAGCCCCTGCCCACCGCTCGGCCGACACGTGATCCTAAGCAGGCACGGTGGGGTATCGATACGATGACTACGTAGGCACTGGACGACTACTAGGACGCGATGGCAAAGCCGGTGGGGGCATACGAGCCTCAGCGCTCGCATTCGGGTCAAGTTGGAGACGCCGAAGTTTAGCATCGATCAGGCGGAGTCCCATCGTAAATTGCGACTCCGTGAGACCTTCACAGGCTGGATCTGTGCCAGCCACCGACTGCCATACCGCTGCTAATTCAGTGGAGGGCAGGCGGCTCCGTAGCCAGACCACACGCACGACATCGCATCGCACCATGGGCTCTGTACCAGATGATGACGTACAGTATTGTTGGAAACATCGTGTATACCTCTCGGGCACGGCATGCATGCTTTTGGCCGCTGGCCGAGGTGGGGCAGCACGACGCGTTGGAGGCGTAAGCGGTGGGGCGACGGCCTTCTCAGGGCTGGCTGTTCTGCGGGGTGGAAGGGGCGGATGGACGTCCATCTCGTTGGGAACCACAACAGCACTGGACGGCAGACTCGGCTTGCCACTATCACGGCGGGGACGTGGCGGGGCCACAGGTTTGGTTGTCGATGGACTCTCAAGGCGAGGAGAATCGGTCTGTGGCTGACTTGCTTGACCTTCAAGAACCGACGTAGATGGAGAGCTAACGTGAGACTCAGGCTTCATCCCCACAGGCGGTTTCTTGCTGTCTGGTTGAGAGTTTTCCAAGGGTATAGAGGATGCTGCAGGGAGAGAAGCATCAATGGGGGAAGAGGTGAGTGTGTCAGGCTCTGCCTCCTTCGTACTTTTCGTAGGCAATGCAGGCGATGGGGAAGATGTCGATGGCGTCGGCGAGGCGACTGTAGCCTCATGCGACTCTGTCGATGTGGACGACGTGCGAATGCTGCTGGGTTTTGGGCGAACGCGCGGCTTGGTCGTAGAGCTTGTGCTCTTCTCTGTAGATGCACCGTTCGATTCAAACATAGCACGCAAGTCCTTCACGCTCGGTGGCTGCGCCACCGTCTCGTCTTCCATGATGGTGGGCGACGTACAGTGGTGCGAAGCCAGGCACAAACGCCCAGGCCTGGTGGTGTGGGCTTATGTCATCGACGCACGGCCTTCGTGCAACACCTTTCTCTCTAGATTATGGCCGCTCCAACGTTGTGGTCGCAATGTTTTCCGTATGTGTGACTGATCGCTAATAAACAGACCAGCCAGTGAATGGTCCGTTGAAAACATGCCGAGCCAGCAGGGCCGCGTACGTATGCAATTCACTCACAGTAGATCGCCGTGGTGACAGGGGGCAGTTCGGGCATTGGCTTGGAGATTGTGCGTGCTCTTTGGAAGAAGGGCGCTACAGTGTATATGGCCTCACATAACGAGGCGAAAATGAGGAATGTCATTCGGAAGCTTCGTGAGGATCATGATACTCCAAGCGGGACCCTCGATTACCTACAGCTGGATCTAGGTCATTTGCAAAGTGTGCGGCAGTGTGCCCAAGTGCTGCGCGAGAAACACAACCGAGTGGATCTGCTGTTCAACTGTGCTGCTGTACTAACACCGGGTGAAAAGGTGACCAAAGATGGGTTTGAGATCCATCTGGGTGTCAATGCGCTCGGTCCCTACTATTTGACGCAGCTATGCCTGCCGATGCTCACCACATCGTTCAAAATGAACCCTCATCGCCCCCCTCGCGTATGTTTCGTGAGCTGCGCGTACCACATACATGCTACTTCCAAGGGATTCGATATGCGTGATCCTTCTGGGGAGCATATGGTTCGTCTGGTGCCTAAATTCTTCCAAGCATATGCGAACAGCAAAATGGATGCTGTGCTTATGGCGAACAAGTTCCATCGCGAATATGGCAATGACGGTATCATTTTCTCGTCGTGCAATCCAGGCACTATCCACACAGATATCAATCGTGGTATGACAAGCTACGTAGCTGTGATGCTTGGTCATCTAGCCAGTGAAACTGTCATGTATGATGCGGCGATGGGTGCTATAACGCCGTTGTATGTCGCTACAGCACTGGAAACGGCCGAAGAAGGTGGCGGTTATTATGTCCCATGGGCACGCCGTGGTATGCCAGCAGACGCAGCGCGTAATGAAAAGGCGCAGGATGACAGTATGTACCAATGTGGCTCACTCGCAGTGGCACGCTTCTTTGATGAATTGATTGCCTTGCGCATGAAAGCGTAATTGGCCTGTGGCCCCCCACTTCCCCACATGGCCCTGGCGGCCACGTGGTCCCGTGCGCATCGATACCTCCAGGATGGTTATCGTAAATAGATTGCTCTTTGCTCGCCATGTTCGACTTGATCTCTGGTATCTACCCGTAGGTATTTTCCAGGCTAATATGTAGTCCCAAAGCACAATGGACTGTGGACCAAATTCCGGATCAGACTGGCCGTGTATGTGGATAAGGGAGAACTAACGTAAGATTGCTATCGTGACAGGTGGCAACTCGGGCATTGGTTATGAGACCGTACTCAACCTGCTGCGCAAGAATGCGAAGGTCTACCTTGTGGCACGGAGCGAGGAGCGTGCGAAGGAGGCGATCGACAAGCTCAAAGCGGAAAAGTTGCCAGGTGAAGTAGTATTCATGAAGATGGACCAGGCCAGCTTGAAGGACATCAAGCGCTTTGCCGAAGAGTACATGAAGAAGGAGAGTCGGATTGATATGCTCTTCAACTCGGCGGGTGTCATGGCCCCCAAGGTTGGCGAGAAAACGGCGGATGGCTACGAACTGCATGTCGGTACCAACAGCCTGGGCTCGCACTACCTGACCACATTGCTGCTCCCTGCCCTGCGTGCGACCAAGGAACAAACAGGACACCCGGCCCGCGTGTGCTTTACATCGAGCATTGCGCACCGATTCACCTCCTCGAAGGGCTTTGACCCAGAAGACTACACTGGTCTGCACTCGCCGCCTCGCTTCATTCCAGGGGAGAACCGTGCATATGGCACGAGCAAATTCTGCAACATTCTTAGTATGTATGACTTTGGCTCACAATGTAGGCGCCAAGTGGTTTAATCGCCACTACGGTAAGGACGGCATCGTGTTTACGTCGTGCCACCCTGGCAACCTTCGCACGGGCCTCACGCGTGATTGGAACAAGGGCCTACACGCCGTGCTTGTGCCGATTGTGAAGTCCGTCGTCTTGTACCCGCAGGAAATGGGCTGCATCTCCCAGTTGTACCTGAACACGGCCCCTGAAGCGGAAAGCAAGGGTGGTGCTTACTATGTGCCATGGGCGCGTGAAGCGGAACCGATGCCACAGGCCAGTGACGAAAAGATCCAGGAATCTTGTATGTACACTCGATTGTGCTCACATCACAGTCGCTACATGGGTCGACGAACAGGTAGCGAAGCACATCCCTGCCTAAGCCGTTTCTATGCAGTCCTGCGGAGTTGGCCTCCTGCCTACTGGTCGCCCTGCCACTCTGTATATCAGGCCGCAGCCGCGCTCCCCGGTTGGATTTTTTTCTTTTATTTCATAGTTTGCGTTCTTATTTTACACCTAATAGGCCGATTTTTTATTTTCTGGCGGCATGTTTTTTTTCCTGGCATCCCTGTGCTGAAGATGGTCTTCTTCAGACATCAACCGAGGGTGCGGACGACACCTCCGTTATCTATGGCTGCTTTTATCGCTCTCTTCCAAAGCGATCTCAAGCGTGTTGCCACAGTTTCTTCTCGCCCTGACTCTCTTCTATCTCAGCTCTTCTTCTCGGACCTGGACTCGGAGCCAGCCTAACGTCTCTTTTACCCAACCAGGTTTTCGGGCTCTATCATCATGAGCATTTTCCCACATACTACCACGTCTCAACATCCTTCTACCTCCCTTCCTCCGCCTGTCAATGGAGACAAACCTTCCGGCCCGCCGGCGGACTCAGTGGAGCCTCCTAAGCGCTTCGGGCTTCGACCTGGCGTCTTATCTTTTGCGTCGTTAGGCCGTCGTGGGTCTGGCACGGGCTTGCAGCCACCGATGACGCCGCCAGCCAACGTGTCTAAGCAGCTGGGTATGCCGGCCGTGGCTGCGAGCACGGATCCATCGCATTTGTCTCAGTTCTCACTCAAGCTCAATGAGCTTATGAACAAAGCCTTTGTCGCTCCGAATTCGGCGCAGGTATCGACCATTGCTCATACCGGCACATCCCCCTTTACAGGGGTCTCGATTAGTGTGCCACGTATCCAAAACATTTCCTATGGAAACAATCGGCTGCCGAACCGAGTCCGTGTTATCGAGATGACCAGGCTCATGGTGGACGAATTGCACACGGCTTCGACAGTGGATCCCTACCTTCTTCGTGCCGTGTCGCGGACCATTCTCAAGACCATTTCGCAATTTGTATCGCGTATTGAGTCGCAGTTGGTCTCACCCCGCACAGACCCCACGGCTCTACAAATCCCTGTGTCGGTGCGTGGAGCACAACCGCTGCCTGCCGCGATGGAATTCAATTTGGCACTTATCAGTCTGGAATGGATTGTGGAAGAGAGCTTAGAACGGTGTCTCGAGGGACTGCCGCCGCTGGCGCTTCTTCATTCGCCCAGCCTGCTTATCCCCACGTCCGCCGAAGGCCAAGCACAGCCGCCTATGCCGTCGTTTGTGTACGAAATCCTATCGCCGCTACGTGAGCAAATGGAAGCGAGTATTATTCACGTTGTGCAGCCGCTCCTGGTCAACATCAAGTCGTCCATTACGACATGCCTATTGCGAGCCAATGCCCATCCCTTTGAGCCGCAGCGTGCGCCGTCGATCGTGTTGGAACCGGAGAACACGAGTACCAACAAAATACCTTGGCACAAGGAGCTGGAAGAACGTCTGGATGCTGCCTACCGTTTGTTGATGCTGCGCATTGTCGATCGATGTGGTCAGGATGGTCAGGCATGGTTCATTTCCGTCGCGACGCATACGATTTGGAAAGGCCTGGTAGTCCTTACGTCGCGTTCGGTCTTTGCACCGGCATCGGTGGTCGAGGCACAGTTCTCTCATACGTTTGGCCGTACCTCCAGCACGACGCCGTCGAGCGCGGTCCTCAATTCGCTGCTAGCAGGCGAAGCGCATGCCAAGCGCGTGCCTACGCCGACGCAGCTCGCCCATGCACTGCGCTCTGTGAGCTTGACAAGTGGCCATCGTCATCGCCGACCTGTAGGCGAGTCGATGACCGGCACACACACGCCTGTGGAAAAGGCGCAGGACGATTTCGAGGCGTGGAGTGAGCACTTTGCGCTGCCGGCGAACAGTACAGATTGCTTTGTCATCAATCCCTTGCTCGTGGCTGAGCAATTGCATGATTTGCAAGTGCTTGAGCGTCTTATGCGTCAATTTTGCTCGCAATTCCTCGACGAGCAGCATGGACGCCCTGGGCAGCGTGCGCGTTCGTCGGATAGCGAGAATACGGACAGACCTACGTTGGCGCATGGCGCCGCGCGAAGCCCGGATGAGCAGGCTGATATGGCCATGCTGGACGATACCGACGATACCGACGAGGACTTGGCGCGTGCTGCGCTCAAAGAGGCATTCTCCGCTTTGCGCAGCACCGTCATTGTGCTCCGTACCCTGCTGCAAGAGCCAGATGCGTTGCAGTACATGAGCCAGGCGTCATTGGAGACGCACCCAACTCTTTCGCCGGTTGCGCTTCGTGCATTCCGTGTAATTCCCTCCTTGCTGCTGGTGCACATTGCTTTCTGCCGGATTCCTCCTGGGTGGGTGCACGAGCAGGAACATGAGACAGCAGCGGGCTTGCAATTGAAAGACGAGAAGCTACCAACGCCGCCGCAAGTGTTTGGCTACTCATGGCACGAGTACGAAACAACTCTGACGGGCTTCGGCACAGGCGAGCTGGTTGCGATGTCGTTGACCGAGTGCTATGGCCCGATTCTCGAGCAGCTGTGTCGCCAAGTGGATGAAAAGTGCGGATTGGCCGAGCATGAATCGTTGCCTGCGAGTCTACTGTCGCCCACCGTGAGTGATATTAGCTCGGATGGGTCGACGGACGACTTGCCTGCCGCGATGACACAATCGATGCCGACACTCGACGCGGGACGACCGCTCAAAACGCCTGTCACCATGGCGCTACCTGAAGAGACGGGCACACATCGTCGTTCGCGTTCGCAAAGCCGGGGATCCCCGACGTTGGCGCCACGTCTGTGGCGTAAGCACCCATCGTCAGGCTCCAAGTTTGCGTTGCCGCATGCGCTCCCGCCACGTGTCTCACGCGCCCATGCCACGTCGTCGTTAGGCCGCGGTCGGCAGTCTCCGCGTTGTGAGTCGCAAGGACTGCCCCGCAGCACGACAGACACCTTGGCGCATATGCAGCGTCATGCGCTGTTGATGTTTGAGAATGTTCTTCAGCGTGTCGTGTCGATGCACGAAGAATAGCTAGGTAGAAGAGAAGGGGACATGTGCTGTTACCATATAGGGCAAGTCCCATGGCTGCCAGGGACCTTTGTGCGGGGTGGATTGGCTGGCTTAGTAATGGGCGTAACAGGGCGGGCATGCACCAAAAAAACCTGTTGGGTGTTCAGGAGCCGTGGGTGATTGCAGGACGATAGGCATAACGACCATGCTACGAGCCGCGAGCGTACGTAGGTACGTGCCATGGCGCTCGAGTATATGGCACGGGATGCCAGCGAGCTATGTTGGACCGTCCCGGAGTCTGAGTATGACGCGTCGTCGTAGGGACGAAGAAAAGGATGCGTCCTTCTCGCATGCCCACTTTGATACAAGCCGTCAGGCGAGTGAGAATGCCAGGACCAGTGCGTTGGATGATGATGCTGGTCTGCATACAACGGAGCATGCGGTCATCTCCATGTTTGATTTGTTTTCGATCGGGATTGGCCCCTCATCCTCGCATACGGTCGGCCCTATGCGAGCTGGCGCCATATTTATCAACGACCTGCGTGAAGCGAATATACTTTCATCTGTGGCGCGTATCAAGCTCGCTCTCTATGGCAGTTTAGCCGCTACGGGCAAGGGGCATATGACGCCCCAAGCGCTATTGCTGGGCCTCGAAGGTGCGGAATGTGAAACGGTAGATACGGAGAGTGTACCTGCACGCTATGAAGAGATTGTCAAGTCGAAGAAACTGACCCTTGGTAAGGACACGCCTGAGCATGGACCTGGTCAGGCAATCTTTTTCGATTACGACAAGGATCTCGAATGGAAATGGGGCCAAACACTGCCGATGCACTCCAACGGCATGCGGTTTAGCGTGTTTAATCAGGACGGCGATTTGTTGGCGACCAATGAATTCTACAGCATTGGTGGTGGATTTGTGATCAATGGCAAAATGGCCGTGGCTGAAAAGCCTGGACCGCGTGCGCCATCTGACGAAACGGCTGTGACTCCTGTGACGGACGATACGAGCGAGTCGCATCCTATTGATATTATGGAAAACGTATACTATAAAAACATTCGCCGGCGAGATGCAGAGGGCGATCGACGTGACGGCGTCTCGTCCAATGAATCGGTCGCCGCCGCCCTGCCTATGCCAGGCGCCGACCCTAATGCCAATGCACCCGACACAACGTCCGACGCTCATCAACCGAAATTCCCCTTCCGGACGATGTCGCAGCTGTTGGCCCTTTCTCGGAAGCACAATCTGACCATTGCCCAGATTGTCTACGAGAATGAGCTCACGTGGTACACACCGGAAGAAATTGATGCGAAGATCATGCGGATTTGGGGGGTCATGGACGAAGGGATTCGTGCCGGTGTCATGAGCGAGCAGGAAGTGCTTCCAGGCTCGCTACGGATGAAGCGACGCGCTCCAAATCTCTACTCGCGCCTCATGCGTGGGCTTTATATGGGCCCACGTCGCCTAGGCAATATGACTGGGCCAGAGCAACTGCACGACCCATCGCAGAAGAAACCGGCGACGGCTGAGAAGAAGAAGAAGGCAGATGCGCCTGCCAGCCAACTTCCCGCCGTAAAACCACGCATGCATTCACGTCTACCGCAGATCCGCGGCTCTTTCCAGCACGATATTATGCCTGTACCGCCACGCCGGACCAACTTCCCTGAGATGGACTGGCTATCCTGCTGGGCCATCGCGACGAATGAGCAAGTTGCGTCGGGTGGTCGTATCGTGATTGCGCCGACACTGGGCGCCGCAGGCATTATTCCCGCAGTGCTTCGTTATGTGGTGGAGTTTGTGGCCCTGACACCGGAAGACGAAGAAAACTTGGTCAAGACGTTCCTGCTTACCGCCGCAGCAATTGGCATGCTATTCAAGCGCGGTGCTACGATCAGTGCCGCAGAAGGTGGATGCATGGCCGAAGTCGGAACGAGTTGCTCGATGGCCGCTGCCGCCTTTGCCGCTTGTATGGGCGCCAGTCCGGAAGTGATTGAGCAGGCAGCCGAGACAGCCATTGAGCACAATTTGGGCCTGACATGCGATCCTGTGGATGGATTGGTGCAAGCGCCTTGTATTGAGCGTAATGCGGTAGGCTCTGTGAAGGCCGTTGTGAGTGCGAATCTAGCGCTTTCCTCCGGCGGCGTCCACTCTGTCACACTCGATGAGGCAATTCATGCTGCGCGCCTCACCGCCGCTGACATGCATACCAAGTACAAAGAAACAAGTCTCAGTGGCCTTGCGACAACCGTAAAGATCCCTGTCGCTGTACCAGACTGCTAACCTATCAACTACTTACCTACCTATACATACATACATACATACCTACGTAGCTTCGACCACCTTACATAAGCACAACACAGCGAGCAGCGGCCGCCCGCGTCGCGCGTCGTTGACGCTGAGAGTTGTTTCCACTTGTCGTCGTAGCCTTAGTGCGAGAAATGGCGTTCTCGTTCGGCAAGGCACCTTCTACCAGTGCACCTATGTTCGGCGGAGGTGCGTCTTCGACGCAGCCCAATACAGCGGCAAATGGCTCGTCGTCGCTCTTTGGTGCTAAGCCTGCGACGGGCACAGGTTTGTTTGGTGCGCAGCAGCCACAGCAACCACAGCCAGGCCCAACGTCCTTGTTTGGTAACGCTGCAGCACAGTCCCAGACTGGGTCTACTAGTGGTGGTCTGTTTGGCCAAAGCACGACGCAGCCGCAGCAGCAACAGAATAGCGGTGGATTGTTTGGCCAGAACACGTCGCAGCAGCAAACCTCCGGCGGGCTGTTCGGTCAAAATACGACTCAACCGCAGCAGCAGCAGCAGCAGCAGCAAAATACCGGTGGTCTGTTTGGCCAGAACACATCGCAGCCGCAGCAGAGCAGCGGTGGATTGTTTGGTCAGAACCCATCGCAGCAGCCGAGCACGGGCGGACTGTTCGGTCAAAGCACCACGCAGCCGCCACAGAACAGCGGCGGACTATTTGGTCAGAGTACTGCTCAGCCGCAGCAACAGCCACAGCCACAGAATAGCGGTGGGCTGTTTGGTCAGAGTACGTCGCAGCCACAGAACACCGGAGGGTTGTTTGGCAAGCCCGCGAGCGGTGGCTTGTTTGGCACAGCGTCGACGACGCAGCCTGCCCCAGGCAGTGGCCTGTTTGGCCAGACGAACCCGGCGGCATCCCAAGCGTTGGGCGCCTCGACAGCTTCGACGACCAACATGGGACCTGGCATGCTAGGTGCGTCGCAGGCGCCTCAGCCGGATAAGAAACTGGGCGCGTCTCTGAGTGCGCAATTAGAGCGAATTGGTGCGAGTTGGGATACGTCGAATTTGAGCACTTGTCAATTCCAGGTACGCATATCGTTAGGCGACTTACCTTCAGTACTATTTGTACAATCGTGCGCCGGATGCACAGAGCTTGCCGCAGTTGACTGTACGTCGCCCTGATGCTGTGGGGCCAATGCACGATGCGCTATGGACCAAAGCGTTGCGTGAAAACCCAGATCCGGAGCGTCTATACCCCGTTCTTGCTGTTGGCTTTGGTGACTTGCAAACGCGTGCCCAGGCGCAACGTGCCGAAGCAGCGCGGCAGCGTAATAAGATGGCTGAGCTGTCTAAGCAGCTGGCCACGTTGCAGCAGAAGCATGACTTGTCCAATGCCGTTCGTGCGCAGGCGGCTATGATGACGCAAATGCGTATTCACCAGCGTCTTCTCACGGCCATGAAAGACAGTTCTACGTTGATTCCTGCGTTGCGTGGACAGAGCCTGACGGAGAGTGAGGACGATGTGAAGGCCGTGCTGGAAAGCTGCGAAGCGCAGCTCAATGGTGCCGTTGGTGACTATGCTGCGCCCTCGGCGGAGCATACGCGGCTGCGTGCGCACCTCAATGAGCTGTGGGCGCAGCTGGGCGTAGTGCGTGCGAAGCGCGAAGCTCTGCAAGCGCAAGGCCGAGCGAGTGGCGGCACGGAATGGGTGGTCGTCGACGAGTCCTCGTTTGACGAGATTACCAGCATCCTCGGCACGCTGCAGCAAGGATTGGTGCACCTAACACACACACTGACCTCGGATGCCAAGGCTCTTGATACTGTGTGTGATGGCTTGCAAGGCGTGCCGTTGGTCGGCGTACGCCATCGGTAAGGCTTGGTAGGATGTATGTATCTATGGATCCCATTCCTCCACAGCGCCATAGAATGTACGTACGAAGCGCTTCTGGGCCTCACGACCTGACTCGGACGGTGTATCGCCAATCGCACGGACCACGAGATACTTGCGGCCGGTAAGCACGTCGGGTGTGACGCGCGGCGGGTACGCCGCCTGGGCCGCCTGAGCCGCATGGGCTTGCGAGCCAACGACAGCACAGCCACTAGAGTAAGCAGGAGATGGTATACGTACGCTTCTTCCGCAATCACCACACCGGCACATACGTCCCAGGCCCAGCATCCAATTTCCCAGTAGGCATCCAGGGCGCCCATGGCGACATGGGCAAAGTTGAGAGCGGCCGAGCCCATGGAACGCACACCCAGCGCCATTTCACCTCCAGGGACGCCGCTCTGGGCGTCGCCGACGAGGCGCTGGAACGAGCGAGCCTTCTTTTCCATCACCTCCAGCGACCTGTCGGAGCCCCATTCAAAGGCAATGAGCGCCTGCTTGAACGTAGGCAGCGGCGGTGGCTGCACCAGCGGCAGCGTACGACGCTCGGGATGCAGCGGCGAAGTCGTGAAGGCGCCATGGCCCTTGCGACCGGCAAACAGCTGACCGAGGAACGGCGCGAAGATCACACCGATGGTCGGTTCGCCATGGTACACGAAGCCGATGGAAATGCAGACGAACGGGAACCCCTTGACAAAGTTCGTCGTCCCATCGATGGGATCGATGATCCATGTGGGATCGTTGGTCAGCGCATGCTGCTCGCCAGCGGCCCAGCTTTCCTCTCCAATGAATCTGCGTAAGCAATACATGTACGTACTTGTGGTCAGGGTACTTGGCCTTGATGGCCTCGCACACGAGTTTCTCAGTGTTTTGGTCCGTCTCCGTAACCAAATCGGCCGTGTTCTTTTTCTCGTCAAAGCCGGCTACACGTGAGCAAAGAGAGATACATACTGGCATTCTTGAATCGCGTCTCTGAACCTTCGACGATGGCCGCGCCGGCCTTCTTCGAAAGCGCAATAGCAAAATCAAACACTTCTTGGAGATCGAGGGTCATGGTACGAGGAAACGAAGCCGCGCACGGGCGTTTTCGCACGTGGACAACGACACGCACACACCCCGCCTCGAGACGCCCTACACCTCCACTGCGACGCGTGTAAGACGCTCGGCCTATGACGCATGGCCAGGCTCCGGCGTGGGCGCCCTTACAAGCACTCTGCCCGCCTGCGTCGTCACAGCGTCAGGATGTACCAATGATGCGTCTCTCGCAAATGCCGATGCCGTCGCTGGAGCCGACGTCGGAGATCGAGATGCCATCGCCGCCTCTCGTAGGGTCCTCGCAAGCGCATGAGTTGCCAGAATACCAAGCAGATGGACTGCTGGACGATGCGTACATGGATGGCGCCGCGCAGGACGTCGCGCCTATCGCCAGAGCGCCCCTTCGTTTGCATTGCGGGATCGAGCCCCTCGATGCGTATGCGGGGCGATGGCACTATGGCGGCGCGAATGCCAGCGTGGAGGCCGCATGGCTGGCCGATACCAAGACGGTACCTGGGTTCCCTATCGGCTCCGCCCTGGAAATTGTAGGCCCACCTGGCTGTGGCAAGACACTCTGGGCGCTGCAAATGGCCATGGCAGAGCGAATGCAGCATGTCTGGCACGCCATGCAGGCCTACGTGGACGAAGTGGGGCCGCCTGGCAGCTTGCATCGGCCAGCTCATGTGATCGACACGCTGAGGCAGGCGTTGGAATCGGAAGTGGAGCCGTGGAGTGCGCAAGTGGTGCTCGTTGATACGGAAGGCAGCTTGGCCCTCACGCGCTTGGCCGCCATGACCATGCATCACATGCCCCACGACGCAGCACAACGCATGCACAAGTTTGCCGAGGCAGCCGGCCTGCATGTAACGTCCAGCGACGTCACGGACGCTTTGCGTGTATGCCTACCGCGCACCATTTTACGCGGCATCCATCTCGTGCGAACGACGACCTTGGGCCAACTTGTGGCTTTCCTCGGGATGGCCGCGAACAGTGCACGCCTCAAGATGCCAGGGCTCCCGCCAAGAACCTCACTGCTGATTGTCGATACATTGTCGTTTCTTACCAGCGTACATTCGCTTCCCGTGCACGCCTCGCGCGAGCAGCGGCGTACGCGAGACGACACCATCCGGTACATCGTACGATGCCTCACGACATTGCGTGATAGCCAGCTGCCCGAGCATGATCGAATGTCCGTGGTAGTGACGATGCAAATGGCGACGAAACTCATAAACACGGAGACGGCACGAGATGCTGCGCTCGTACCGGCGCTCTCTATTGCGCCTACATCGTCGATGCGCCGAGCCCTGGTCGATGCCTCAGCAGTAGACTGGGGGCCGAGTGTGCTCGGTCAAAGTGCATGGCGCATTCTGTTGGGCTATGAAGGTCTCGGACCCTACAGGTATGCATGGATTGCCTTGCTCACACACAGACGCCTTTCTGTCCAAGCGAAACCTGATGCGTCATGGGCCACGGATACACACGACGACACATGCCCGCCGCGTGTCATGATCGAGCTTCAGGTACGTACGACAACGGCTAACACAGACACATGGGCTCGTGCCTGTATAATTACTTCTTTTCCACGGTATCGAGAGCTGCGAGTTATACCACGTCATACGTACTGATCGTGACTGGGCCGTCATTGATCAACGAGACATCCATCATGGCCCCAAACTCGCCGTCTGCCATGAGCACCGTAGAGACATACCGAAAACTTTATCACTCGCATAGCTGCTGCGCATTTTCGCGAGGAAATCTTCGTAGAACGGCTGGGCTGTCGTGCCGCCCATCGCAAGATGGAAATCAGGCTTCGTACCTTTCATCCTGGCGTACAGGGTAAATTGCGAGACTGAAGTAAGCGCCATCAAACGTACCACACAGCACTTCGCCGCCCAGCTCTGTGACATTCATACGCCACGGCTTGCCCTCGTCGGTGTAGTGCAAGGCTCCATCGGTGATGGCAGTGCCGTCAGGCCACAACCGAATGCCAAGGATCCGGCGGACAAGCGTCTCGATCTGCTCTGGCGTGTCGTCTTGACATACACCCACCAACGCAAGAATGCCTGGGCCAATACTCGACACAAGTCGTCCGTTCACTAGGCATCAGTGAGTCCATACATACCATGCACTGACGCCTGCTTCACGCGCTGCAGCACCGCACGCATCGTAATAGAGAAAGTGGAGGAAGATGGGTCGCTGCGCACCACCATGTCGTCGTCGTCCTCAGCTCGACAAGAGCTGCCGTCGACGCTCCTGCGCTTATGCGTACTCTGCGCCTCGTCGCTCCAAGCGATGGATCCTGCTTCTGTGCCGGACGAGGCGATTGATAACGATACGGCAAAGACGGACGGACAGGTGCTCAGCACGCAAATCCATCACGATGTCATCACGATTTTGCAAAAAGTTCGCAAGGACACGACAGGCCTGTCCCTCGCCATGCGCCCCTCGGCCAAGGCAGACCCAAATGCAGGGCCGTTGGACGGGGTAGACGATGCGAGTATAGCCTCTGCGATGCACCTGCTCAAGGCGCTCGCCAATGAAGCTGTGCCGAAGCTGGTCTTCCTTGCCAACTTGGCGACCAAGCACCAGCGCGTCTATGCTCTCTCGGAAGCGGCTAGCCACGATGAGACAATTGAGCTGGCCAAGAGTATGGGGGCCCAGCTCGTTTTGGGCGAAGGGGCCAAGGGTGCGCAAAGTCGAACAGCGTCGGTAGGCACGCTTTTTGCGGCGCATGTTCGACGTATTGTAAGTGACGTCGTGGAGAAAATCGCAGAACTGTGCCAGAGTTTCATGGATCAACGTACGCGTGAAGTCCTTCATCGTGCACAGCAAAAACGCGAGGGCGCTACGTCGGCGCAACCACCTGCGATGCCGCCGCCTACGCGTGCCGCTTCGCTGCAGCTCACGAAACACATCTGGACGATCTGTGACAATGCAGAAGGCGATGTCTCAAGTGCCACGCCTTTCATGGGCCGACTTCCCCGTAACAATTTTGAGGCGATGTGCATGGAATGGCGTCAATCGGAACTAGAGCTGCGCGATGGACTCCAGGAATTGGACGAGGCAGTGCAGCAGGACGAGAACGAGGTGGCGGCCGAGGACGAAAACGAAAATGAGGACGAGGATGAAGAAGAGGAGCGTGGCCTGGAAAGCATGTGGGAGCACGCAGGAACGCTGACGGCGGACGAGAAGATCGTAGCGACGCAGATTCTTGCTCTCCTGAGGGCCGGCCTCGACATGTTCAAGCAATTGTACAAATCGCTGGACAAGGCCACCTACGATGGCGACCAAGGCCAGATTTTCGCCGAGGCGCTGGTCTCTGCCCAAGACGATCTCATTGCTACAGCCTTGTATGAAGGCGACTATGAGGACGCGGCATCTTTCCAGAAGGCGATCGATACGTACATGGACGCATGTCGATCCTTCCATGCATCCGTCCCAGGTGCGCCGGGCTGGGCGAGTGTGCAGGCTGCATACGATGCGATTCAACTATAGTACAATTACGACTTACGTACAATACCCAAAGCATTTGGCCCACGCCGACGTTTCGCTGCGGTCGCGGCTGGTTTCGTGCTCGCGGACGCAGGCGGCGGGAGAATGGTTTTCAGCTGCTCCTTTGTCCGCTCGCTCAGTAGGCTCACAGCATCAGGGGCAGGCGTATGGTTCTCGCTCAGCGCAGAGCGAACGACGCGCGCCTCCTCTTCGCCTTCCGGCACTTCTTTGCGGAAGTACTTGCGAACCAGTGCCTCGTCTTCTTCATGGGTATCTTCGTCTGCTGGTGGCGCCATGGAGGCGGCTTTTCGTTTGCCTTCGTCAATGGCTTGCAGGACTGTGCTGGTATCCATTCGCTCAAAGCGGGCATTGCGTGTGCGAATGTCCTGCAATGCATCCATGACCTCCATTTCACGCTGAGATTCTTCCATGCGCTTTTCAAGCGCTTTCATAGGATCAATCTCTGGCTCTTCTTCCTCGCTATTCTCCTCGCCGTCGTCGGACACAGGCTCCGGCACTTTGTCTTCTTCTTTATCGCGCCATGGCTCAAAGTTACGTTGTGCGCCATGTTCTGCCGCGTAGTCTGCATTCTTGGGATCCGTCTTGAATGTAATTTCGGCACTGCACTGCGAGCATTTGATATAGAAGCGATAGATCGGGATGCCATAGTAGTCGTCGTTGTGCACTGTCTCTTTCCGTGCATTGAACTTCTTGCCGCGATAGATGTATTCGCCACACGTGTTGCATCGCATACTGAAGGGTGCCATCAAACGCACTGTCTTTTGCTTCCCGCCGCCTGTCCGCCGGCGCTTCATCGCCGAAGGATCAAAATCCGGCGGATAGTACTTTTGCAAGACCTTGCGCTCCGACATGGTGGAAGGATTGGGTCACGACGTGGAGGGACTGACCGTTGACGTTTCGTCGGCGTCCATCTGACAAGCCTCCACCATGTGGACAACAACGTAGGTACTAGCAAGTCTGACACGCAGCGCCGATACGCAGCCCCTGGCAGCCAAAGCGATAGCTGGTGTGTTGGTCCTTCTTTCGATCTTGGTGTCAGTACGACTGGTGTTCCGCACGGTACGCAGCACGATCCAGCTGGTGTTCTGGCTCATTCGATGGGGTCTGATCTTGTTTGTCGTCCTGTGGGCCTGGCTTTGGTGGCGTCGTGATACGGACGTAGATACGCATCTCTCGCTCCTCACACAAATGACGCAAGGTATGTACAGTGAAGCTCACGTTGTAGGTACTTCTGCTGCTGTGCTGGGCCTCGTATGGCGAGCTGCTCAACGCCCAGATTTGTGGCAGCCCATGGCACAGCATGTAGCAGACGCATGGCAAGCGTCGTCACGCCGAAAGCCGAAGCGACGTACGCCCAGGTCGGCACGTACGTCGTCCAAGAAGGGCAAGACGGATACGTGGACGGAGCTGGCGGAGGCGCTGGGCTGGGACGATCTCGTGGCGATGTTGCAAGATCCAGCGCCCAAATCGAAGAAGAAGTGGAAGACACCTTCGTCGCCCTTTGGCTACCACGCTGGGGTCTAATGTACAGGGGTATCTATAGCAGGGGGCACGACAAACGATGCTACGTCGTACGCCATGGTGTCGTCCATGCCCGGATCACGCGCATCCAAGAACGACCAATGTGTTCCTTGCCGCATACGCTGCATCATCCATGCACTAAACACGGAAGCATGAGCTCGTGTACCTGGCTGCCATTCCTTGTCGTCAAGACGCATCGCAGTAATCAGACCGCATCGCAACGAAGGCAGCGTGGCGGGGCGAGTAAGGTACGGTAGCGCAGGTCGAATATGCCGCGTAGCGCCCATCCAATGAGGCTCATCGTGCCCCAGCACAAGAAGGCATTGCAAGGTCTGTGCTTCAGTGCACAAAATCTGCAGCACGGGCCGCGCATCACGACCGCCTTGCTCGTCAAGGACTGTCGGGAGAACGAGGGCCAAGTGCGTAAGCGTAGGCAAGTGCGCCAACGCACGCGCTACGCGTGGCGTACACCGGAAGCGTGGTCCGTGAAGCTGGACGTGCGTAAGAGCCTGCCATGGTGCAGGACAAGGCAGCCACAAGGTATCATTGACGTCGCCAGCCCAGGCGCTTTGCAGGCACGTTATCTGCTGCAGCGTCGCACGCGTATGCGACATGTCAAGCCCATCGCCATTGTGTGCTTGCAGCATTTTTGGCTCACATGGCAAGCATAGGGTGTGTACATGTATACATATACAGAGAAGCAGACGTACAGGGTGGTGAAGAGTAGTCGCAAGTCGGCGCGTGTGCATCGCGTCGTCGTAGAGCGCCGGCCGTTGCTCGGTATCGCGAATGTAGATGGCACGTGTCACTTGCTGAGCGATCGCTCCGAGACCCAGCTGGTTCGATGCGAGGGCCTGCGCGCATTGAATCGCATGGCGTGGGGTGTGTAAGTAGAGGGTCGGCAGCACGATGCGCGAGTACATCAGCGTGAACCAGGCTCGACACGTGGGCGCGAGGCGGATAGCAGCTCGACGTGCGCCACAAGGATCCTGGTACACGGCATATAGCAGAATCTCTTGCCATACATTCCAAGGCAGGCCGCCGCCCGCCTCGGCGATGCACGCCGTCATACCACGAGACGCCGCGCAGCGAGTACGTGGAGGGAGTGGGGCGGACGACAGACACGCTCGTCGATGGCCACGAAGAACCGACACGTGGCACCACGTGGCACTTCGCGCAGGGCAGGGCAGTGGGGGCGTGCGTCGGTCGACAAGGGGGCGCGCCGGGGGACAGGCGAACTGGAGTCGAGAAGGCCGCTTTGTGTCGTTTGTGGGCTACCATGACTACAAACTCGTCCATGCCGCCGCCGCCAGCACGACGGTCGTCCAACGCCAACAATGCCTCACGAACCTCTGGGCCTGCGTCCCATCGTGGATCTGCGCACCATCATTCGATAAGTGGGCACTCTCACCGTGGAGCACACTATGGTGGTCGTGGCGGTGCGCGTCACACACACGCGTCGGCCGGCAAGGGCCATGCAACAGCCAGCAAGGCCAGTTCGATGCCGCCGATGCAGGCTCGTATTTCGCTGTTGCTGGCCATGCTCGTCGGGCAGATGGTCGTCGTGCGTGTGCGAGCCGGTGATCGTTTCGTGGGTGTCGTAGCGCGTGCGACCATGGACGGTGACGATGGTCAGTTGGTTTTGTTGTCGGTCCAGAAGCTGAGCGATGTCGATGGACAGCTTGTGCTTACGCCGCAAGGTGATGAGCCGCTTACGTTGCAAGCGACGGACATTGTTGAAATGGATGCGAGTGGTGCGAAGATCAGCAGTGCCCAGGACGTCGATGCCGCGAACCAGGCGCAGCAGCGCCGAAGCTCTGGGTTCCGTACAGATACGGAGATCAGTGCTGCCCCAGGCCAGCGGGCGGACGGGCGTGCACTCCAGCGCTGGGACGATGAAGGTAGCGCGTTGGCCTTGCCGGCCGACGATGTGGCTACGACGTTGGAGCAATCTACGAAGCAGGGCCACTGGGACCAATTCGCTGCGAATGAGGCGCGGTTCGGCGTCAAGTCGAATTACGAGGAGACGCTCTATACGACCAAGCTGGATCGCTCCGGCAAAGACTTCAAGGCGCGTGAGAAGGAAGCTGAGCGTCTGGCCAAAGAAATTATGGAAGGCACGACAAGCAACACGCACATAGCCGAAGAGCGCAACCAGATCCCAACGCAAGACGAGAACGAAGAGGAGAAGTATGGCGCTGTGGTGCGTGAGACGCCCGCGGCTGCGCCCGCGGACGCCACGTCGACGTCCGCGACGCCTGGCAAGGCACTTACCGCTGACTTCCGTCAGTTTGTGAGTGCCGAGCGTGAGCGCTTGGTCGTGCGCAAGGCCGAGCTGGCGCAGAAAGAGAAGCAAAGTCGTCTGGCCGATCTGAAGGTGTGGGCGCAGAACTTCCAGCTGAAGACGCCTGTGCCGGCCGATATGGCGACCAAGAAAAGCCCTAGCAGCGCGTCAGCGCAGGCAGGCGGCGGCGTGGACGAGGCCCGAGCGAAGCTGGCTTCGATGACCATCCCAGCCATTCCGCCGTTCAAGAAAGGCGACGAGAAGAAGAAGCATGGCGGCGGCGGCGGCAGCAGCAGCAGCAGCGGTACGTCGTCCAGTACGACGACCAAACTCAATGCCAAGGCCTCGGCGTTCAACCCAGGCGCCGCATCGTTCACGCCCGGAGCTAAAGTGGTGCCGTCCAAACCTGTGGTGCCATCCGTGCCGTTCTTCGGCACGCGCGAACTGAAAAACCGGCCGGGCACAACACAGCTGCGTGTCTCGGACAATTTCCGTGCACCGAAATCGAAAAAGCTGGGAGATGCGAACAAGGTGTCTGTGTGGTGGTCGTACACGGGCCGTCCGTTCCGCCAGCAAGTTGCGGCTAGTGCCTTTGGCGGCGGCAAAATGCCCTTCTTTGGCGCGGAGGCAGGCGCGATGCCGATGGGCATGGCGCCGCCGCCCCCGCCGCCCATAATGTCGATGCCGTTTGCCGCGCCGCCGCCACCGCCTCCACCGCCCGGCGCCCCGGCGCCGCCGCCGCCTGGCGCGGCAGGCCCGGCAGGGAGCGTGCAAGGCGTCCCGTCGCCGCAGCCGGTGCCAGCCACGGCGCCTTCGCATATACCTCGCGGCGGGAATGGCAAGTCGCCACGTACGCCCCATCAGCAGCCGATGATGATGACGCCGCCCCCGCCCGGGCCGCCTGGCCCTCCACCGCCCCCTGGCACACCGGGCGGCGTGGCACAGCAGCCGTATGCGTTTATGTATCCCATGGGGCAGTACCGTATGCCGCCGCAAGGGCCGTACATGCCGCCGCCCATGACACCATACGCCGCACCACCGATGCCGGCGTTCCCCGGCGCTGTGCCGCCCGGTACGCCGCATGGGATGGGCCGTCCGGCCAGTCCGCCGAAGCGTGCGTCCATGCCTGGCGGCGGTGGCCGTGGCGGCAAAGCGGGCCTGCATGCATGTCCGCCACGGCCCGCAGACGATGGGGCCAAAGAAGGTAGTGCCTAACGGTGGGTTTCGTAGGCGTTCGCTAGGTATCTACAAGGAAGGGGACGACGACTACAGCGAAAGGCTCCAGCGAGTAAAAGCCTGGCCGGTAGCGGTGACAAGGGGCCCAAACGTAGGCGGCGTAGCCACGCACGTCGCCAGCCAAGCGTCCGGCATCGTCCCGAGGACGTAGGCACTGACGTCGCCGCCGCGGGTGTCGTCTGGCCGTCCAATGCCCAGTCGAAGACGCGCCACGTCCGGCTCTTGGAACGATGCACCGCGGCAGCGCAGGACGTGCTGGACACTCCGAACACCATTGTGCCCAGCCGCACTTCCTCCTGCCTTGAACGAGACCTTGCCAAACGCTCGCTGCAGTTCGTCATGGAGCAGCAGAATGTGACGTGGCGATAAGGTCGGATAGGTTTGCAGCAGGGCTTGGACGCCACGGCCATTGACATTCATGAGCAGACGCGGGACGTAAAGCAGTACGTCCAGGAGGATGTACGGGTATGATGCCAAGGTGAACGAGGGCGCACGACGTGCTGCATCGCCGGGAGGAGGCGCACTGTCGACAAGCAGCGACACGCGCGCCAGCCACCCTTGCGCAGGCGCCACGAACCGGAACGGATCGGTAGGCGGAGCGACAGGCAGCGGGTACGAGTCCGCGTCCGACGGCAAGCGCGAGACGCGGCGCGCAATGGCGGCGCGCAGAGCCGCGTCCTGCGCCTCGGCCCATAGCAGCAACGAAGGCAAGATGTACTGCCCTAGGGAATGACGCGTCATTGGGTGCGTATAGTTCCCGAGACCGACCAAGACAGCGGTCCGTCGGACGACAGCGCGATCAGCGCGGGTGACCGAGGCGACCTGCTCTAGCACAGGCGCTAGGCCCGCCGGCACAGACCGCCACATGCGTGCGCCGTGGTCATGGTCCCTACGTCGGCGCCTCGACCGTTTCGTGCTTCGTCCGTCGGCTGACTAAGCGTGTCCGAAGACCCGTACGACGAAAACGAAGGCTTTTGCGCTCGACGTGTGTGTACCTTGGCTGGCTTGACCCTCGCGGAATGAGTCTCTGTCGTGTCACGACAGTTGGTCCGTCTTGGGCGCGGTGGGTGGCACGTAAGCAGGCCACTGTGCCTCTGACACGCCCGGCATCGACGTGGAGTGATGTCGTGGCCACGGCGAAGGAAGCGCTGACCAGCGGCGCCCCGGCCAGTGCGGCTGCCTCCTCGGTCCAGTCGCTCACGAGCGATCCTCTGGACGTAGTGGGCAAAGACTTGTCCTCGTTACGGCATAACATCGCGTCGCTCCTCGGCAGTGGGCATCCCTCGCTCGATCGTATTGCCAAGTACTACTTTGCCGCGGAAGGCAAGCATGTGCGCCCCATGATTGTGCTGCTGATGGCCAAGGCGACCAACGGCCTGAGCGCAGCTTGGGGCGCGCAGCGGGCTGCAGCCGTGGGCGAGGATGTGGATGTGGCGATAAGCCCCTCGCGTGTCCTCAACGACTACAACCCGAGTGCGCCAAGGCCACGGCCAGCGCAGACACAGACATGGGCCGACGGCCTGTACACGCCGCAACTGCAGCACACCATCCTGCCGACGCAGCAACGTCTTGCAGAGATCACAGAGATGATTCATGTGGCCTCGCTCTTGCACGACGACGTGATCGATGCGTCGCCGCTACGACGTGGTGCGCCTTCGGCGCCCTCGACGTTCGGCAACAAACTCAGCATTCTTGGCGGTGACTTTTTGCTGGGCCGTGCGTCCATTGCATTGGCCCGTCTGCGCGATCCAGAAGTCATCGAGCTCATGTCGACTGTGATCGCGAACCTCGTCGAAGGCGAGGTCATGCAGCTCAAAGCGCAAGTCTCGGACCAAGTGCCGGTCACCGATGTGGATTCCTCCATGCCCGCGCGCGAGGTCTTGGATCGGTTCTGGACCGCGTATGCACCGGATACGCCGACGGGCCCATCTACACAGCTCTTCCAATTCTACCTGCAAAAGACATACTTGAAGACCGCGTCGCTCATTGCCAAGTCCGCTCGCTCCGCAACCGTGCTGGGCGGCTGCGGTCACATGGGCGCCACGGCCAGTGAGCTCTCGGAGGAGCATCGTGCCGACGCAGCGGCGATCTGTGATGCTGCATACACGTACGGCCGCCATGTCGGCATTGCGTTCCAGCTCGTGGATGACCTCCTGGACTTCCATGCAACGACCGAGGCGTTTGGCAAGCCGTCTGGCGGCGCAGATCTCCAGCTAGGTTTGGCCACGGCGCCAGTCCTGTATGCATGGCAAGAGTTCCCGACCTCGGAACTCGGAACGCTCGTACAGCGCCGCTTCAGTGAGCCGGGCGACGTCGAAAAGGCCCTGGGCTATGTGCACCGCTCCCAAGGACTGCCACGTACTGCTGCCTTGGCCCGATACCATGCGGACGTCGCCCAAAAGGCGCTGCGCATTTTGCCGGAGAGCGATGCACGTGGCGCGCTAGAAAAACTCAATCAGCAGATCATTACACGCGCCAAGTAGACGAACACTCTATGTACGCATGCAGACCTCGCTAGGCCGTCTCGAGCCACGCGCCAAACGCATCATGACGGTCCTGCGCCTCCTCGTCGTCACGTGCACTACGCCGGAACTTGGGCTTGCCGTCCACGAGGATCGCGACGATTTGGCGGCCGGCAAAGTAGCGGCCATGCATGCGGCGCTCACACGCTCGGGCCATAGCAGGATCACGGAAACGCACAGTCATGATGCCTTCGGGCTCCTTGTCCCATAGCACGACATGCGTTACGTCGCCAAGCGTCTCACACTCTTCGCGCACATCCTGTTTCAGATCAAGCAGCAGCGCAGGGTCTTCATCCAGCTCGGCCAGCGTGAACATCCTTTTCAGGATCACCGTACGTGCTTGCGCACTCGGTCCAGCCGATGCACGATCCTCGTCAGACCCGGAATCCCAGTCGTTGAGCTTGCTAGCATGTCAGTGACGCATGTACCTTGTACGTACTTTTGCATACGGTGCATACGGCGGCGAATGTTTTTCTTGTCGGTTTCCGTGAGCGTGCGCTTCTCCTCATCGTTCTTCGACGGACTTTCATGGAACTCGGCACGCTCGACCTTCATACGTGGGCCGCTGGAAACGCCTTTGGCCGCACGCAAATAGGTATCGTCCAGCAACTGGATCGCCAATTCCACACTCTCCGGCTTGAAATAGACGACCAGCGCCTCGCCTTTGAATGCCTGCGTTGCAGGATCATGGTACAGCTTCACACGAGGCCGGCCATCGTCGTCTTCAAGAAGCACGCCGTAGCGCGCAAATACTTCGGCAATTTCATGCAAGCCCGCATCCAACGGCAGGCCAGTCACATACACCGATGTATTCGGTCGCACACGCTTCGTTGGCGCAGCGCCCATCGAGACATGATCGGTACTCTCTTCTTTGCGCTTTTTGCCCTGCTGCCGTAGCAATACAGGCGCGGCAGGCGTCTACAGTTAGTGTCAGCCGACAGGAACACCCACATTCTCGTCCACACCATCTACACGGTAGACTTCTTGTTGCTTTGCCATATCCTGATCACTAATAACCTTCATCCAGCCACCTTGCGTAATGCGCTCAGGCTTCTTCGACGAGGCCTCTTTGGGCGGGACACGGCCATGCCATTCATACTCATCGCCATTCTCATTCTCCCATATCCACTTGTTTGTCTTCCTGTCCAGATGCACTTCAGCCTCGCCTACGTCCAAGTAGGTGGGGGGACCGCTCATCGCTCTAGTCCTACCTCCGTTCGCCCGTCGGTCGACAACCGCCCATACGATCCGCGTGCGGCGCACGGTGCAGTGGAGGTGTGTAGTCACCTGACACTGGGAGGGCACGCACGCGGTGGAGACATCGCAGTGTTTCCTGGCAACAGCTGTCTGCGGCCATGAAACGCATCGCAGGTCGGCAGATTCAGCGAGAGGATGGCGATGACCCACACGCCATCGAGGAAGATCATCCGAATGAGGCGCCTTCCGAGCGCTCATCCGCGCCGCAGCCGCCCCGTGTTATCCGTGGCCTGCCAAAACGCAAAGGATTGACGCCGTCCGCCGGCGCGCCAACGGTGAGTCCCTTTGCCATCGGGGCAGCGAATCCAAGCCCTGCAGCCAACCCGGCAGCGTCGTCGTCGCTATTTTCATCGGTCAATTTGACATCCAAACCTTCTTCCACACCAGCGGCTACGTTGTCGCCATTGGCAGCCGTGCAACTTTCGACCAAGCCATCCAATGCTTCGTCGTCGCCAACAGCGCCTTCCACGACCCCAGCCAAACTAGACAGCCCTACCACCACCAAAAAGGATGTAACAGGGTACTGGAAAGCGTTGCGTGGCTTAAACTGGTCGTTGGCACGTGAGATGGTAAGTATGTTTAATACAGGCGACGAACTGGCAGACTGGCACGATACACTAGTGCAAATGGCGCAGAAATACCAGCAGCATCACACTTCAATGCGATCAAAGTACCTGGGTACGACAACGACAACCTCAAAGCCCGCTACAGCATCGTCGCAGTCTGCCTTCGCTGTACCTTCATCGTCCAATACATCAAGTGCCTTTTCGGCCAGTGCGAAGACGACAGCACCCACAGAGCGCAACGATACGCCACGGCCCACAAAGACCACCGTACTGCCGATGTCCTCATCTATGCCGTCGTGGACTATGCCCTCTGCGCCGAAAGAGACAGAGGCCCCCCCGGTAAAGAAGCCTTCTGCGCCTGCGTTCTCATTCAAAGTGCCTGAACCTGTGCAGCCAGCGAAGACAGAAAAGCCCGTACCTCCGCGTACGAAGGAGAACACATCGCCAGCGCCGACACTGCCCTCCCTCCCAGCCGGTGGTTTTTCGTTTGCTGGTCAGTCCACCAACGCATTTTTCAACACTACATCTGGTGCTAGCGATACGCCGGCGGGTGTCAAAGCACCGGCTTTGTCTGTCCCCAAAGGAGGCTTCTCTTTTGGCCAAGCTGCAGAGGAAGAAGATAGCGAAGAGGAGGACGGGAATGACGAAGAAGAAAAGAACGACGCTCAGGATGAAGAGGACGAGGAGGACGATGACGATGACGATAACGATGAAGAGGAGGACGATGATGATGCCGAAGAGAAAGAAGAAGACGCTGATGAAGAAGGCAACAAAGAGCCTACCAACGGGGAGAAGGACACCAAGCCCACTGCGCCGTCCGTTCCTGCAGGTGGCTTCTCCTTTGCTGGTCAGGCCACTTCGTCGTTTTTCAATACGTCATCAACTGCGCCTATGTCAGGTGTCAAGGCCCCTGCCTTTTCTGTACCATCTGGTGGCTTTTCTTTTGCCGGTACACAAATCTCGAAGTCTAGCACGACGACCAAGGACACGTCAGCCCCAGCCACGCCGTCGAAAACAGGCGTGACGACGAAGAAACCCATCACGTTTGGGTCGGCCAATGCTGCATCAGTTACCCCTCTCTTTGGCACTACATCGACACCCTCTCCGTCAGAGCCTCACCGGTTTTCGTTCGGAACTAGCCCATCCTCGTCCACGGCGTCAGGCTCAGCTCCGTCGACCTCGCCATCCTTCACTAACAAGGCTATTGGACCTTCGTTTGCTAATACGACGGGAGTGAGCTCCAGTGGTTCGTTCCAGTTTGGCGCTAAGCCCATCTCGTTTGGAACACCTGAGACGCAAAAGACCGAAGAAGAGCCACAGTCTAAGTAGATAGGCACACGATATCCTGGTCCCTTAGGGAGTCGCATGAGGTGTATCACGTGATGGGACGCGGTAGGCGGAGCACGGACATGTAATGCCCTGCACCCATCGCGCAGGAGCCAAGCTAAGACGGATACCGGTAAGGGAGAGAGGACGTGCATCCGTACCCATTAAGTAAAAAAAAGGAAAAAGACTATATGTACGCGAAAAATGGCATCGCTTGATCGAGAGCTACCACGTATACCTGTGGAAGAAAACCCATTACCACCTCCGCCACCACACCTCCAGTCGGCACAGCCCGCAGTGTCGCAGTTGAAGCCGCCCATCATCGATCATGATGTATCTGAGTTATCTGCGTCAAATTTGGAGAGGAAAGACTCTGTAAGCAGTGTCAGCTCTGCAGCTAGCACGTCTAGCATTGAAGCTGTTCCCTTTCGAGCACGGCCACGAGGCAATCTACACCTTCACAGGGCTGTTGGAACGCCCTCGCCATGGCTCCATGAAACGCCCATTCCTGTATCCCCCACATGGTCAGCAGATACAGCAGAGGATGTATCGACCACCACAGTAACGGTCCAACTTGCATGGCAGCTAGATACCCAGCCAGCCGCCCCTCTGCCCGATGTGCTGGCTCGTCGGACACCTACGCCCAATTCGTCTCTGTTATCCCCACACGCGTCGCCAGTGCTTCCACCCAAGCTACGGCATGTTCCTAAACAACCAACAGACCGTTGGATGTACAGAAATGGCCCAGGACAAACAAGGCGCTTGCCCATGCTGGGGCCAGTGACGCAAGACGACCGCTTCCACACACGAACGCCCTCCAGCATGTCTGAGGACCCCACCTACCGACCATCGTCCCGACCACCTTCGTTCTACTCTTACACATCGAAGGACAATGCATCTATCCGGTCTTTGGGCTCAGATCACAAAACACGTACACCAGAACTGCGTGCTACCAAGCCAGGTGATGAAGATGCACGATCCACATCATCAATCACAACATTAGCCCCACCATCTATGCTCGACGCCCCCCCATGGACTACTCCTCCCTCCCAGGAAATCACATCCCAAACACGTACTATGCATTGGCTAGCAGAGCAACAGCAGCAACAGTCAGCGCCTGCTGATAGACATTTGGAAGCTGAGATGGCAGATATGCATTTGCGCCAAGAGATGCCAGACACCTTGCCTGGACAACAGTCGATACGGTCCAGTGTGAGCACAATCGTTGCGCCATCCTCTTCACCTTATATCCCACCCATTTCGGTAACAAGCACACCATCCCCTACCTTGAACCGCCCTGCCTCGACCAGTATGGAAGAGAAACGTTTGAGTCACAATACGTTCAGCAGTGGTGGTCAATCAGAGACAGGGAAAAAAAAACGCCGTGTTGTGACAGACTTCGTATTTGGAGAAGTGTTGGGCGAAGGCTCGTACTCGACAGTGCTCAAAGCCTGGGACGTGTATGACTTGCCACTGGAAGAGCGACAAGCATTGACTCACGCCTCCAATGCCTTGGCAGCAGCTGCTGGTCAAGTGGCAGACGTTCCTTTCTCACATACCAGACCCAAAGCATACGCTGTGAAAGTGCTGGACAAGGTCCATATTCTCAAAGAGAAAAAGCAGAAGTATGTGCGAGTTGAAAAAGAAGCCCTGACGCTTCTCTCGAACACGCCCGGCGTGGTGACGCTGTATCATACCTTCCAGGACCGCGAAAGCTTGTATTTTGTGCTGGAGTTGGCACCCAACAACGAACTGCTGCATTATATCCGGCACTATGGCTCGCTAGATTTGCAGAGCGCTACCTTCTACGCGGCTCAGCTTGCAGATGTGATTGCCAAGATTCACGAGGCTGGCGTCATTCATCGTGATATCAAACCGGAAAATGTATTGCTCGATGCTCACATGCGTATACTGCTGACAGATTTTGGCTCAGCACGCGTGCTGACTCGTCCAACGTCCGATTCATCGATCGGCATGCCCTCAACGCAGCATAGTTTTGTGGGCACAGCCGATTACGTGAGCCCTGAGCTCCTGAATGACCTTCCTGTCGGCAAGCCAGCAGACTGGTGGGCGTTTGGGTGTGTTCTGTTCAAAATGCTGGCCGGACAAACGCCGTTTCATGCTACGAACGAGTATCAAACATTCCAGCGGATTCTGCACCGAAGCTTTATTTTTCCTGAAGGTTTTACCGCTGATGCACGGACACTGATGGAGGGTCTTCTATGCATGGATCCCAATCGACGCATGGCCGCCCAAGAAGTCTACACTCACCCATTCTTTCAACATGTCGATTTTCCAGCGCTGTGGACAGCGACGCCACCGCCTATGCATCCGGGCCTGGTCCAGCGTGTACGACCGCCGACCGTGAACGAGATGGATTTGGGCGCCTTGGCGGCTGCCTTTGATGACCCCCATGAGGAAGATTCTACGGGGTCGTACGATCCTTCGAGTGCGACCGGCGATGAGGGCGACGCATCGTCAGCGGCCAGCCACTCACTGTCTGGGGCAAACTTGTCGAGCTCACCCAGTGTGAGCTCGCAGTCACATATCCCTACACCCATTCTGTCATGGACCAATATTTTATTACCAGGAGAGGATATGGTGTTTTCTAGCCCAATGTTGCTTCGCCGCTCGGCATCTACGGGGATGTTTTCCCGAAAATGTCAAATGATCCTGACTAGCCTACCTCGCCTGTTGTGTATACGCGAGAACAACAACGCGTGCAAGGTCCTGGCCAACATTCCACTGAAACCACGTGAATCGACCGCAATGAAGTCACGCACAGCGACGACGGCAGAAATGGAGTCAGCCGCCAGGAGTCTTTCGCAGAGTGACTCGCGGCGTGGAACAGCGCCTCGACGGACGCTCTCAATTCGCAGCCAGGCTTCCATGAGCTCGTTGAAACGACGAGGCACGCTCTCCCGCACGTTGAGTATCTTGGGTCGTTCCGACCCAGACCGCCTGGACACTGCGTCCATGTCCGATCGGAGCGGTAAGGATGAGATCATCGAGGCTGGACCTATCGAGGTGGAGCTTCGCTCGCCTCGTGTGTTTGTGGTCCAAGCGCCATCGAAGCAGTGGCAGTTTGAAGATCCATCAGGGGATGCTCTTTTCTGGGTGCAAAATATTCGAGATGCTATGGAGGCACGGTCCGTTTCCCAATCATAACGCCTGTTCAAACGCTTGGGCCGTCTATCAGGCCCAGGCGCTATCGTATGAAAATTCCTCCTTTTCCACCTGTAGCTACACTATCCATGATAAAAAGGCATAGAGACTACGTTATAGAGATACCCCAACGTACCCTCTTTGCTGCCTCGCCATGCAATTTCTAACTTGTGCACTCTTTGCCTGCTTTCTAATGGGTATGTACGAGGTATCTTACTTCGATAGTCTCTGTCATGGCCACGACGGACGTTAGCACGTCCACTACAACTGCTTTGGCCGTTCGGCAGCAGTGTGGCGAAGGCGGTATGATTTTGCAAGGGTAAGTGTCAGAGCATCTAACCTTCGTAGTATTGAGCATGCGATTACCGCGCTTCTTCCTATGCTACAGCCCCTTCTCATGGCGGCCGGCATTGGTGAAATTCTGCCGTTCGTGCAAATTGCCTTGCAAGTGATAGAGGCCTTGCACCTGTTTTGCTAGTAGTGCTACGTAGACCAGATAGAACCGCGATTGTATCTCATTAGACCGCTCATATGCTCTACTTCGGCAAAGTCTGCATCGTACATGACTATGTACTCCATCGAGGATCCGTGCGCAAGCATGATTACAGAGGGACAGAAAAACGCTTGAACCCATCGCCTGCAATCAGCGACGCTTGAGCCTTCGTCATTGGCGCTTGGATCTCGACCCAAATCTATTCACTAGAGAAAAGAACTCTTATAAAAGAGATGACGCATCTCAGCCATCCTCTACATCTCTACAACGATATGAAGCTCTTGGCTGTTCTTCTGACCTTGACTTTGGCGTGGACCACAGGCACGTACACTCGTATTGACATGATCCAGTCCTTGCGTATAGCAACAGTATGGCCGCTCATGGCATGCTTGTCCGACGTGTGCAGGGCCAGTGTGACAAGTACCCCGAACTGAAGACGTACGTGGTGGTAAGCTACTCACTAGATAGACTCCACAACAGATTGCATGACGCGATGCCGAAACTAAAGCACATCCTGCGTAGCGCACAGAGAGATAGGGCGTCGGACGCCCACCTGAACAGCACAGCCGACGCCATACGAAAGCTCTATCATAAAGTGAAAGCGGTTTGTTAATCTCGCCACGCGGTCAAACAAGGGGAAATCTGTGTTATTCACGCTCATAGACCTAGTAGGCCACACATGTCAAACATTACTTTGCCACACCCGTGGGGTACGCATCGCATGTCTATTTTTATTCACGATGGCGCAGTTTGTGACAGGTGCTGCGAAGCACTTTGCAGGCAAGCGTTTTGAGGAGTTTGCTGGTCGATTTGAGCCTCAGGTATGTGCCTGCACAACTGACGACAGGATCCATACTATGAGTATTACATGGAGAATGGTCAGAAGAAACGCAGGAGGGTATGTTGACAGCTGTGCCACTGACATGTAGCGCCAAGTGCCACCAGGCTTGACGAAGCAGGAGGAGAAGATTTTGCGTAAAATCAAAAGGCGTGCCCACTACCTTGACAAAGGCTTCAGGGTGTGCGGTTTGCGCTTCGGTTGGACCTTCCTGATCGGTTTGATTCCCTTTGTCGGTGATGCTGTTGATGCGTTGCTCAGTTACAACCTGATTGTGAAGAAGGCAAAGCAAATTGATGAGTACGTTGTGGGAGATGAAGCGCTGACCCTAGTATTCCCAAGGAACTCGTGAACAGGATGGTTGCCAACAATGTGGTGTCAGCTGGTGTGGGTATGATTCCTCTTGTTGGTGATGTGATTTTAGCCTCGTACAAGACCAATTCACGGAACGCCAACTTGCTGGAAGACTGTACGTATTCTATGTCGGCTCACCAAGTAGACCTGCGAAAGCGTGCAGAGCGACGTGGTACATCGGCCCCTGTCAGCTCCGTGGCTACAGGTGCTATGCCAGCGCCTGGTGCGCATGTAGGAGCCACGTCGGAAGCGCCGGCTGTCCCACCTCGACCCCATTAAACCTCTGTATATAGAATGTCATAGGTATTCTTATACATGCGAAGAGATGGAGAGGGATAGACAGTGAGAAGACCCTGGGAAGCAAACGATCACATAAGCGAATCTCGTAAAGGCAAATAGGGCCAAATTTTTTATTCAGGACTGTGGATATCTAGAGAGAACGAAGGAGAGGTGAAGGCATGACTCTGGTGCTTATACCCAGTTCTTGGGATGCTCCAGGGCATCTTGCATGATTTCTCGCGCCTTAGCTTCTTCTTCCGAAATCTTCGTACGCTTCTCCTTGTCAAGCATATGCGCTGCAGCCGAGTACTCACGGCCGGTACCTGTGATGCCATCCATGTATTCCCAGCGTGCATACAGCGGGAGACTCATCAAAATGCTCTCAATACGCGCACCAGGCGTCATCAGACCGAACTTTGTGCCACGGTCATATACTAAGTTGAATTCTGCGTAGCGACCACGGCGGAGCTGCTGCCACTCCACATTGTCCGGCGTGAACGAGTCGTACTTGTGCTTGTTCACCAATGGCAAGTACGCTGGAATGAATGCGTCACCAAGCGCACGCACAGCACGGAAAAGGGTCTCTTTACTGTGCTGCTTTGCCGATACCAGGACGGCGTCAGACGACTTACCGCCATCCATCAGCGGGATGAACGATGCCTTGCTGGTTGCCCACGATGGGAGCGACAAGTCATCAAAGAATACACCACCAATACCACGGTTCTCACCACGGTGCGTCACCCAGAAGTAACGGTCACACCACTTCTTCCATGCAGGGTAGAAAGATTCGTCCTGAGAGTCTGCAGCAGCCTTGTGCGTAATGTGGAAATGCTTGGCATCCTCTGGGAAGAGGTACATTGGCGTTAGGTCAGCACCACCGCCGAACCACCAAGCCACAGGCTCATTTTCGTTGTATCGTGGGTTCGGAGATCCGTCCTTCAGCGTCTTCGGATGCATCAGCTCAAAGTAGCGGTAGTTGAAATGTGAGGTAGGACCCAGAGGGTTCTTGGGGTGGATCACAACACTGAGACCCGTTGCGAAGAAGGGAAGACCATCTACTTCAGCGTCAGGGCCTTCCACTTTGTAGCCAACGCGGTCCAATAGACCGCTGTGGTCAGCCGACATCTGGCGGATCGCGCTAGGCGGCAAGTTGCCGTACACAACACTCACATTGGCGCCGGCCTTTTCAAACGTCAAACCGTCTTGTAACACGCAGGAAACACCCTCACCGCCTTCCTTGCGCTTCCATGATTCCACGATAAATTGCTTCGGCTTCGTTGCATCACGATGACTGTTCTCTTCCGCCTCCAGGTCATCTACAAGGCGGCGCTGCAGCAGCTTGACGTAGGTCTCCATGCGCTTCCGCATGGGCACATTGGCATCGTCCAAAATCGATGGATCCAGGGTCGAAATATCTGGTTTCGTCGACAGTGTTGTCATTTTGTTCTGGGAGGAAGCTGTATCGCACTCTGCTGGCTGATAGACAGAGGCGCTCTGCATGGTCCACATCAACGCAGCAGCTGCCACGCCAGCGGACGCCATGGCTACAGCTTTGCGCGCCTGCGTTGATGCACGACGCGCACCACTTGCATTTGTGAAGCTGCGTGCAAATGTACGAACAGGGGCTGTGGCCCGCGAACCACTGCGGGCAGCCCGGACTACGAGGGGGGTCAACATGAAAGAATAATGCAAGGTGGCGTGGTTCCTTCTCCGCTTCATCAAGTACAGCGCGCCCCATTGCTGACTCAGCCACGCACGGCCCCTTTCCACCCGATTCACCCACATGCAATTACTATACAAGGCAACAACAATAAAAAAGCAAGGTGCCGGACTGTTTCTATGTAGCAGCAAAATCCAGCGCCATATGCCAATGCACGTGTTCTTCACGCAGACGTTCCAGGATCTGACGATAGGTAGATGTGTCAGAACCTGAGACTTTTTCGTCTTCAAAAATAGGCACTTGTAGTATATGATCACATTTCGGACATGACCACTTGGCCATGTCGGTTTGCGATGTGGGGTCATTCACAATGCAGATGTCAGGCTCTTCTGCTTTTGGCTGCTTGCGTATTTGTGTTGTTTCATTCAAGTCCGTGTCTCTAGCACGTTTCTTTGGACGATCCTGTTTGAAGTACACATGCAGTGGTTGTTGGTCTCGCGCCCCACGCTCAATCCCCGCAAAGGAGAGCGAAAGGACACGTATCTCCAATATCTCATGTCCAGGCTGTCGAAGGGCTCGGCCCAATGTATCATCCCATAGCTTTATAGCGCGCTTGTGGATTTCAGTGGCAAGTTGATCGTTTGCAATATATCCAAAGGAGGTCTGATGACTCTTCATACCTGAACTTCCCGCTAATAAATAGCGAAGCACCAATGCACGGGGCGCCAGCATGGGCTCCACCTCTCTTTCTTCCTGCAAACGAACGGACAACTCCGATGCCATCACAGACAACCAAGGCAAGGCCTCCTTCGACGTAGAGATACCGGGCCGGAAATTCTTGGCTGACATCATGGAATGGTTGGCTGTCCTTTGATTGACCTCAGACGTGTCGATGCCACGCACTAGTTGGTACAGCCATGTACCTTCCTCGCCCCATTTGGCCTGCATTTCTGAGAGAGACACCTGCCATAGCTGCCCAATCGTGGAATAGTTCCACATTCCTTCAATTTCCGCGCCGAATTTCCCGCCTAAGAAGCGAATTTTTCGGTAGGGCAGTGGTGCTAGAAACTTAGGGATCATATGAGGCAGTAGTAAGGTCTGACTGCACGGTTTTCGAAATGACGAACACAACTGTTGTAAGTTACCAACACACTTACCTTGGCCAAAGCTTTGTTCCTGGCAATTCCCGCCGATCTGCATTAGTATAGTACCGGGACGTACGTGGTATAGCCAAGAGCATCCACAATATGCTTCCGTACGGATATCATTCGCTCTGCCGCGATGGCATGCGCCAAGTCAACCCAGGTACACTGCCTTACCCTCTTTTCATTTCCATCCGAGGGCAACCAAAGCCCCAGAGCTTCCCACGACTCCTTTGTCATTTCTTCTTGCACTTGTAGGGGTACCTCTGGTAGTGGTGTATCCAGTCGTTCTGCTTTTGCTGCAGAATTCATGCTCTGCAGCTCGTCTCGAATATCGAGATACGGAAATCGCATCAATATCTGCTTGCGTACATAGAGAGAGAGGTCAAAAAACGATTCATCAATGGATGCTTTCTCGCACACAATGTCGTCGTCGCGTCGCCCCAGCATCTCCAAGACTTTGGGCATCCATCCATCTGCTACTCGTGGCTGCAAATCATAGCCCGCGTATTCCCCCGTGGCACTTTCCAGTGTCAGTTTCCTTTGAAAAATATCCATGATCTTTTTAGATTCTCTTCGGTACAAATCCAACGAAATTTTGTGAGTCTTTGCTGTGGGGTTCGCGTGATACTTTGGCGTGGTATCACCAGGCTACTGTCAGAGTCCATATCACGCACCCCATAAGTAGCGACATGAATAAGTACCAAGTCGGGACATCGCTTTTTGGCTTCTTCTAATGTGCAATTGAAACGATTCACTCCGTATTCTCTAGCGGGATAATTCACCGCGATCTTGTCAAATCATCTTTCCACGTACTAAGCTGTGCCACTGCAATACGGCAATGGGTCTCTTCGAGCAGTCGATCCCAACCCTAGCAGCCTCAACTGTTGTCAGATTGACCAAACATACACTGCGCATAAGCTGCATCTACATCACAATGCGCAATGACACGAAATGGGTTGCTGGGTGTTATTCCACTACCGACGTACGTGGGCTCATATGTCGTGCTTAGCAGGTGACGATAGGTTAATACTCTCTCCTCTTCTTCTGGGTATATGATTTCATGCTCCAATTCTTCTTCCTTGGCGCTTTGGTATCGGAAACGATGTTCTTCCCCCACGCTTGTCATGTCATACTGTTGAATGTATTCTGCTCCACGCGCGTACGCACATTTTATGGGCGTGTCACGTGGCACATGCATACTTTCATCGCTACACCTATCGCAGTGGCGAGTGTAACGCTCCGTGGTCGATATGCTGGTATGTAAGGATCCCAAGACGCTCACTATTTAGAATACAGGGAGAGCTCTCACCCTGCATGTGGATAAGGATGGAAAGGCCCGCTATGATGCTATCGTCATGCAGGGCCGCCGTGAAGGCCAACACGTCCAATCACAGTACAAAGATCTAGTTCCTCTATCTCAACGTGACGATCTAAAAGATCGTAATCGTTCCATTGAACGTCCCTCCGAGGAAGAAGTATCGGAAACAGCCGACAGAACTCGCAAGGCGTTTGAAGAAATTATTCATGGTAAAATTAAAGCTGCTCAACCAAAGAATGTTCCCAAAACAGCAGGCAGCACTAGCTATTTGCGATACACACCCGCCTCGCAGGGTGTCGATGGAAAAAAGCAACGCATCATTAAAATGACAGAAGTGGTGGAAGATCCTCTTGAGCCACCCAAGCATAAATTCAAAAAAGTACCGAACGGCCCGCCTAGCCCACCACCACCTGTGCTTCGCAGTCCGCCTCGCAAAGTAACCGCCCAAGAACAAAAAGACTGGATGATCCCCCCTTGTATTTCCAACTGGAAAAACAACAAAGGTTACACTATTCCTCTAGATAAACGACTGGCCGCCAGCGGTCGTGGATTGCAAGATGTCCAAGTGAACGACAATTTCGCACAGTTCTCTGAAGCACTCAACTTGGCTGACCGTCATGCACGTGAAGAAGTACGACAGCGCAACATTATGCAGCAAAAAATTGCTTCGCAAGAAAAAGCTTCACGCGAAGAGAGTCTGCGCATGTTAGCACAGCGTGCTCGCGAAGAACGCGCCGGTATGTCCAGCTCAGGAAGCCGACTTGCAAGTAGTGGTGGTGACATGCCTACCACTTTAGCTAATTACGGAAGCAGTGAGAGCGAGGATGAGGACGATCCTGAGGTGGCTGCACGCAACCGTCTCCGTGAGGAGCGCCGTCGCGAACGTGAACGTGAACTGCGTATGAGTAATATGGGCAAAGAGCAACGTGCGCGTGCGTTTGCGAAAGAGCAGAACCGTGATATTTCAGAAAAAGTTGCTCTTGGCTTGGCCAAGCCCACTCTAAGTAAGGAATCAATGACGGACGCGCGTCTATTTAACCGAGAGTCATTGTCAAATACATTTGGTAATGACGATTCTTACAATGTATATGACAAGCCATTATTCCAGGGATCATCAGCGGCTGCTGCTATTTATAGTCGGCCGGGTAACGGTGGCGCTGACGATATGTTCGGTGGCGGCACGGAAAGTGGCATCAATGAAGAGCTTCAAAACGACAGATTCGGTTTGGGGAAGAACAAGGGTTTCAGTGGTGCCCAATCACAAGCGCCCCGCTCTGGACCAGTTCAGTTTGAGAAGGATACCAATGATCCATTTGCCATTGATCAGTTCCTGGACGAAGCCAAACGAGGAACCAAACGAAGCGGTGAAGATTCAGAAGGGTATGTTGATAACGTCTTGCCTAATATAAAAAGGGATGCGAAACGGACACGGGAGTAGACACCTCCAGATATATGATCCTAAAAAGTATTTTCTAGATGTACTACAAACTGTATCTGTTGTGCTTTTGCGTGGTTGCGTCAAAGTATTTATTAAACGCTGAGCGTAGAATACTACTATCATGGCAGGTGGCCTGTCATTTCTTGATTTTTGGTTCACCGTGTCTTGGGCGCAAGCTCCATCAACATGTCATTGGAAACTTGCACCCTGGGAATGCCACGTTCCTAGAAACGAAGGGATCCCGTGATTCGGCACCGGAGATTCTTATACGGAATGGCAGTTTGACCCCACAACTATTCGCGCCAGTGCTTTTTATTCTCTATGAAGGCTGCCAGACTACAATGTGACCCTTATTTTTTTATTTTATTGGCCTACTGTGGCTTGTGTCATGGCACATGACATTATTAGGTTTGCGCCTCTCGCCTGCGCAATGAAAAACGACAGGCCAAAATTGATTTTATTACACGTGGCGCTAATTCAATACAAGCGCTGCGGTGGACTATGGGGTAGTGTGTGTGGGTAGAGGGGCTATTTTTTTTTTTGTTGGACAAAAAGAGATCGTATCATTTTCTTCTCCAGATTATACGTAAAGTCTTTACTTCTAAGGGCAGCATTCCCCGCTCAAGTCCCTGCCTTATCCAGAGACAATGGGTTACTTTCAAAATTTTATTGATAGCTTCAAACCTGCCGTCGTTGATGACCTTGTGTACCATATTCCTGAGAACACTAAGCCGGAAGACTATGACGCTGCGATCGGGGGCGATAAACACTCAGTGTATGCCCAAAGTGCCAGTGCTGTTGATTTGAAAAGTCGCCCTCTCCGTAAGAACTTGAAATCGCGTCATCTTGCTTTTATTGCCCTTGGTGGTGGTATCGGAACGGGTTTGTTTATCGGTTCTGGATCTACTCTTTCAACCGGTGGACCAGGGAGTATTATTATCGATTATACTCTCATGGGTATAATGATCTTGACAGTTCTTTTTGCTCTCGGTGAGCTTGGATCCATGTATCCCGTTCCTGGTGCTTTTGCCGAGTACAGTTCTCGTTTTATTGATCCAGCTCTTGGATTTGCCATCGGTTACAATTACATGATGCAATGGCTCGCTACTTTCCCATTGGAGTTTGTAGCTGCTACGCTTGTGATTGGTTTTTGGAATGAACCTGAAGTTGTGCCAAAAGGTGCCATTATTGCCATCTTCTGGGTTTTCATTATTCTTGTTAACTTATTCGGCGCCCGTGGTTATGCCGAAGTGGAATTCACTGCGACTTCCATCAAAATGATCACCCTAGTTGGTTTTATCATTTGTGCGATTGTAATTGATTGCGGTGGAACTCCTAGTGGCCATTATTTGGGCGCTGGAACTTGGTACAAGCCGGGTGCCTTCAACAACTCTTTCAAAGGTTTCTGCAGTGTTTTTACTACCGCCGCTTTTGCTTTCTCTGGAACAGAAGTTGTCGGGCTTGCGGCTGCTGAGTCTAGTAATCCGCGAAAGTTTCTACCCCGGGCATGCAAACTAGTGGTATATCGTGTGGTTATCTTTTATGCCCTTACACTCTTTATGCTTACGCTTATTGTTCCATCGGATTACCCCGGTCTTCATGGTAAGAATGCGTACGACCCCAACACGTCTCCGTTCGTACTCGCTATCCGCATTGGCGGCATCAAGTCATTGCCTAGCATTGTGAATGCCGTTATTTTCCTCTCTGCGCTTTCTGTGGCTAACTCCTCTGTCTTTGCTGCCAGCCGTACTTTCCATGCTTTGGCCATGCAGGGCAAAGCGCCTAAAATCTTCTCGTATGTGGATCGCGAGGGTCGGCCTCTTTTCGCTGTCATGCTGTGTCTTCTATTTGGCTTGCTTGGCTTTTTGATCTATTCCACCAGTGAGGCTGAAGTTTTCGACTGGCTCATCGGTATCTCTGGTCTCTCCGTGCTTTTCACGTGGGCTTCGGTCTGTGCGTCGCATATCCGATTCCGGGCAGCCTGGAAACGGCAAGGGCACACGCTCGAAGAGATTCCATGGGTATCTCCTCTTGGCACCATTGGAAGCTGGATCGGTATTGCCTTCAACACGCTCGTTGTTATCTCACAATTTTACGTTTCTGCGTTCCCAATTGATGAAGGCACATACAGAAGCACTGATCGAGCCTACCATTTCTTCCTGGGCATGATCTCGCTCCCCATCTTTCTTACGTCCTATGTTTCATACAAAGTAATCAAGCGTACGAAATTTATTCGCTTGGAGGATATCGATCTCGTGTCAGGTCGCCGTGAAAAAGAATCTGTCGAAGTGCTGGAGCAGGAACGCGCTGAAATGCGAAGTTGGCCTCGCTGGAAGAGGATTCTTCACATATTGTTCTAACCCCATATATATATATATATATATATATTTAGTACACCCTTCGTAGTTGTCAATAAAGATCTTATCGACTGTCTTATACACTTTCACAACATTCTCACTCTTAGAGGACGTAACGCACGTGAAAGTTGCAGTACATCGTTTGAAAATTGTCATTGCCACAGGTAGGCCCAGACTACAATGCTGAAGAAGGAGTAGCAGTCCACTGCTTCTACGTGAGAGTGGCGGGAGTTATTCCACTCTTATGAATTACCCGTTTGACTCCAAATCTCCGACAAATATTGGAAATGTGGGGTAGCGTGTTTCATATGTTATACCCGTCCTAGGGTAGCTGATAGTGATTTGGGAGGTGTCAAATTTTGGGATTTTGATCAATCCAATCAGATGGTTCTATTTTACATTGTTGATTTGACAGCAGGCGCGGTATTGTAGAAGCGTTCCGCAGCAGTTGAAAATATTTACATCTTTCTTGAAGTAGGCGGAGTTTATCGTTTATTCGTGACTTGTTTCAAACAGGCCAATGAATTTTAATCTTCTATGATAAGGGACAAGGTCTCCTTTTGCAAACCTCGCGAAAATTCGTGGGTCGTTTTACTGTCCTTCAAGCATCCATGGGCTTTCTTAAAGATTGGGTAGATGGCTTCAAGCCCGCTGAATCTACACAATTTGTAGACAAAGCCTCTCAGGCTTATGATAAAGCTCTAGCATCAAAGCCTCATTCAAGTGTTTCTACGATTGCGAATAAGGATAAGAAAGAAGGACATAATGCTGAAGAGCTGGTAGGAGTTGATGTATTTACATCTTCCATGGCTATCAAAAATGAAGAAGGTGAGATTGAAATTGTCCCGGAAAAAGCTGCTTTAAAGCGTGCTTTAAAGGGCCGTCACATTCAATTTATCGCGCTTGGTGGTAGCATTGGTACCGGTCTCTTTATCGGCTCTGGCTTCAACTTATACACCGGTGGCCCCGGCTCACTGATGGTGGCATATATTATTGTTGCTGTTATGATGATTACTACTATTTTTGGCTTGGGTGAAATGGCTGCCGCGCTTCCTGTTGAGGGTTCGTTCACTACATACTCTATCCGCTTTATCGATCCATCTTGGGGCTTCTCTATGGGTTGGGTATACTTCCTGCAATGGCTAGTTACTTTCCCCTTGGAAGCAACGGCAGCCACAATGATTATCAGTTTTTGGGATAAAGATGAAGTTGTTCCCAGAGGTGTTTGGATCGCCATTTATTTCGTGGTTATGGTCACTATCAACTTGTTTGGTGTGCGGGGATATGGTGAATATGAATTCTTTGCTACCATGATTAAAGTGCTGGGCTGCATAGGTTTCATTATTTGTGCAATCGTTATTGATTGCGGGGGTGCACCTTCAGGTCACTATTTGGGCGCACGAGGTTGGCATACTCAAGATGCATTCATGAATGGGTTTAAAGGTTTTTGCTCTGTGTTTATTACAGCGGCATTTGCCTTCTCCGGATCAGAACTTGTCGGCCTTGCTGCGGCAGAAACGTCCAACCCTCGTAAGCACCTTCCGAAGGCCTGCAAGCAAGTCATTGCCCGTGTCCTTCTTTTCTATATCCTGTGTCTTTTTATGATTACCCTGATTGTTCCTGCCGAGACTGAGTCTTTGAATGGTAGCGGTACAGACCCTGCCGCATCGCCCTTTGTCATTGCCATCCAAATCGGTCAGATCTACGCGTTGCCACAGATCTTCAATGCGGTGATCCTAATTTCATGTCTCTCTGTGGGTAATGCATCCATCTACGGCGCAAGTCGTATGCTTCAATCGTTGGCTGAACAAGGCATGGCGCCTAGGCTTTTTGCCTTTGTTGATCGTAAGGGTCGCCCTCTTTTCTCTCTGCTTGTTTCGCTCGCGTTTGGCCTTCTTGGTTTCCTAGTTTACTCAACAACAGAAAACACTGTTTTCAGCTGGCTACTGAGTATTTCTGGTCTTTCTGCAGTCTTTACTTGGGGATCCATTTGTTTCGCGCATATTCGCTTCCGAAACGCATGGCTGAAACAAGGCAACACTTTGACACAACTCCCCTGGGCCTCGCCATTTGGTATTATTGGCTCATGGGTGGGCTTTGTCTTAAACGTTTTGGTCATAATTGCATCATTCTATTCCTCCGCTTGGCCCATTGGTGAAGGTGAAATGACAGGCTCTGATCGTGCTTACAACTTCTTTGAGTATATGCTCTCGCTTCCGATTGCTCTGGCCTTCTTCTTTGGTCACAAGCTTTGGTACCGGACTAAGTATGTCCGATTCGATGATATTGATGTTCAGACTGGTCGTCGTGACCCTGTCTCTGAAGAGGTTTTGGAACAGGAGCGGGCTGAGGAGCGCGCGAAACCATTGTACCTCAAAATCTTTGATGCCATTTTCTAAAGGTCTTGTGAAGGTCTTCGACGACATTATCAATCTCTTAATGTATAGGACAATATATTATCACAACCCCATTTGCTGAGCCTTCTATTTTTGCCATAGTTTCTTGTTTGTGCTCCCATGGTAACATTGATATGGTATGAGCTTAGAAGTGTTCCACTAGATTAGTGAAGTGATGTGAGATTTTTCAAAAGTCTCTATGCATGGATCTCCTTGAAAGGTATCTGTCCTTTTAATGCAACTTTGAGGATAGGATGCCCATCCCTTGGGTCTTGATACGTGTAATCGTGTTCATATTCCCACGGTCCGCCAAATCTCCTGCCCTCGCTCATTGCGGGGTACGCCACTTTTAGGCGTTCGGCGCCACGCGTATCACGTGATGTTTCTTCTCGCACTTGACCCCTATTCAAGACATCCATGCACCATATCTTGTTGCAATTGACATTCCGCTTGACATGCGTTCTCTGTTTCGTCTAAAGCGGAAACAAGCGGACACCAATATAGGTGCCTCTGAAGAAACGGGGGATATATCTTCAACTGTGCACCATGATGAAGAGATGCGTTATGGACCGGAGAAAGTAGCAGCTAAGCTCTCGAATGGCGACCTGGAAGGTCGTGATTTAAAACGTGATCTTAATGTTCGGCACTTATGCTTCCTTGCCATCGGGACAGGCATCGGGACAGGTCTCTTTATTGGTTCCGGGAATATTCTTGCTATTGGTGGTCCTGGCTCATTGCTCATTAACTTTGTTCTTGTTGGATTTATGGTCATTACGGTGTTGTTTTCCGTGGGCGAAATTTTTGCCGTATACCCCTTCATTGGCTCATATGCCAACATTATGGCACGGTTTGTCGATTCATCTTTTGCATTCTGCATTTCTGTACTTTATTGCATTACATGGATCCTCATTTTGCCTTTGGAGCTCACAACAGCCACTATTGTGATCACGTTCTGGGATAAAGATGAAGTGGTACCGCAAGGTGTTTGGATCGCTGTCATTCTCGTGTTTGTTTTTGCTATCAATCTTCTTGGTGTGAGAATGTACGGTGAATTTGAGTTTTTTGCTACCACGATTAAGATTGTGGCCTGCATTGGCTTTATTATCTGCGCTGCTGTAATTGATTGCGGTGGTGCGCCCAGCGGTAAATACCTTGGTGCTAGTACATGGTATAACCCTGGCGCTTTTAACAACTCATTCAAAGGCTTTTGCAGTGCTTTTGCTTTCGCTGCTTTATCGTATGGTGGCACTGAAATTGTGGGCATTACCGCTGCTGAAGCAAAATACCCGCATAAGATGCTTCCCAAGGCAGTGAAATTTGTGGTGTATCGAGTTTTGATTTTATACATTGCCACTCTCTTTACAATTACGTTGATTGTTCCTTACAATGCATCTGAACTTCTTGGCAGTAGCAGCGACCCTCGTGCGTCTCCTTTTGTTATCACTATTCAAACTGGTGCCATTTATGCATTGCCTGCCATTTTCAATGGTGTTATTCTAATTTCTGTTATTTCCGTGGCAAGCTCTGCCGTGTACTCGGGCAGCCGTTTGGTACACTCCATGGCACAAACCGGTTTCCTTCCTGTGTGGTTTGCGTACAGCGTGAAGGGTGCGCCTGTGGTCGGATATATTGTTGCCTTCCTCTTCGGAATGCTTGCTTTCTTAGTGTACTCGACGTCTAAGAATGAAGCTTTTGCCTGGCTAGGAAGTATTGCTGGTATTTCCGTCATTTTCTTGTGGTTGGGCATCTCTATCTCGCATCTCCGATTCCGTTTGGCATGGCGTAAGCAAGGCTATACGAACCGGGATCTGCCATGGGCCTCACCGTTAGGTATCTATGGTACTATTTTCGGCACTGTGATCAATATTTTGGTCCTGGCGGCCAGTTTCTACAGTGCGGCTTTCCCTGTTGGAGAGGGTGAAATGACATCTCGCGAGCGTGCCAAGACATTCTTCCAGACCTACTTACCAGGTGCTATCTTTGTCGTTGTTTTTGTGGGCCATAAGATTTGCACCCGGACCCTTCCTATACGACTGAAAGATATTGATCTGCAAATGGGTCGCCGAGAGGCAGCCAGTGAACTTATGTTGCAAGAAGAGCGCGAGAAGAAACAAAATATGTCTTTCTGGCGAAGGGCCCTGGATATTTTATTCTAATTCTTATTCTTTGCGCACGAGCTTATCCGTTAGTAATGGACTCTTCTTAGCTTACAGACATGAACAATCACCATCTTTAAGAATAAATGCATTTGTGCCCATTCCGGGGTAGCGGGTTGGCGCCGGAAGGAGCGAGATGTAGCACTGCCTAGCCAATCGATTGTGTCGTATGTCTTGCCGTGCTGATTTTAGAGCTGAGCATTTATCTCGCATCTTTACCCCACATTTATTCGTAAGCAAAATCTAGTGGCTATCTTGATAAAGCTGAGCTGCGCAATCTTGTGCATACTAAACTTTGGCTGATAAGCTTGCCGGCCCGGAGTCGGGTAGGGTTGCCCGAGAAGCAATAAATAGATAGCATGCTGCCTCGATGGGCATCTAGTCAGCTTCCCTTCTTATATCCTGAGCCACTATGGGTCTTATCAGTGGTTGGGCTGACAGCTTCAAGAGAGCTGAAGAGCACTTTGGTACGGATCCTCAATATGTTTCAGACCCGGTTGATCCGTTCGCTGAGAAACCTGAGGTCCTTGGTGAGAGTGATTATGGAAATGCCACCACTATGGTCCATACCGAAAATGGTGGTGTGGCCATTGTCCCGGAAAAGTCTGCTTTGAAGCGAAGTCTCGAAGGCCGTCACATTCAATTCATCGCCCTGGGTGGTGGTATCGGTACTGGTTTGTTCATCAGTTCCGGTAGTGAGCTGAGCACTGGTGGCCCAGCCAGTCTGATTATCAATTTTATTATTGTTGGTATCATGCTTATTTGCATTATCTTTGGTCTCGGTGAACTTGCTGCTGTCCTTCCTGTCTCTGGTGCTTTCTCTGCCTATGCCACTCGTTTTATTGACCCAGCTTGGGGTTTCGCTATGGGCTGGAACTACTACCTGCAATGGCTTATTGTTATGCCCTTGGAGTTTGTGGCTGCCACGATTATCATTCAGTTCTGGGATCCAAACAAAGCGGTGCCGCCCGGCATTTGGGTGATGATCTTCTTCTTGGTACTCGTTGTCATCAATATCTTTGGTGTTCGCGGGTATGCTGAGTTTGAATTTGCTGCTACCGCCTTGAAAATCATCACGGTCATTGGCTTGATTATTGTGCTAATTTGCATTGACTGTGGTGGCACGCCAAGTAACAAGTACCTTGGCGCTAGTACATGGCACAACCCTGGTGCGTTTCACAATGCTTTCAAAGGCTTCTGTGCTACGTTTGCTGGTGTTGCGTTTGCTTTTGCCGGTACCGAGTTGGTCGGTCTGGCTGCAGCGGAGACTAAGGAGCCACGCAAGGTGCTGCCTAAGGCTTGCCAGCAGATTGTTGTCCGCATCATTGTTTTCTACATCCTGTCGCTCTTTTTGGTGTCGCTCGTGGTTCCCTACAATGACGAGCGCCTCTCGAATGGTTCCTCGTCGTACGATCCCCGTCAATCTCCCTTTGTGATTGCCATTCAGATCGGCAAAATCAACGTTCTTCCCCACATTGTGAACGCTGTAATTATTGTCTCGACTCTCTCTGTGGCTAATGCTTCGGTGTTTGCCAGTAGCCGTACCCTTCTCTCGCTGGCAGAGCAGGGCTTTGCTCCGAAGTTCCTGCGCTACGTGGACCGCTCTGGTCGTCCCCTTCCTGCTGTGACTATATCATTGCTCTTTGGTCTGTTGGCCTTCCTGATCTATTCGGCAGAGGCACAGACGGTGTTCAGCTGGCTACTGAGTATTTCAGGTCTCTCTGCGATTTTCGCTTGGGGCTCCATTTCGCTGTGCCATATTCGTTTCCGCGCTGCATGGAAGTTGCAAGGCAACACGCTTCGTCAGCTGCCATGGGCCTCGCCACTGGGCACCATTGGCTCCTATATTGGTCTGGGTCTGTCGATTCTGGTTATTATTGCCACGTTCTACGCGTCTGCCTGGCCCATTGGTGAAGGTAAAATGACACCAAGTAAGCGTGCCTACATATTTTTTAATGGTATGGTCTCGCTTGTGGTGATCATCATTTTCTACACATGCTACAAGCTCATTTGCCGCCCTCGCATTGTGCGTCTGGAGGAGATGGATCTATACACTGGCCGTCGTGACGCTGTGAGTGAAGAGGTGCTTGAGCAGGAGCGTGCTGAGAAACGTGCTCGCCCTATCTGGAAGAAGGTGCTCGGCTTTATCTTCTAAGTGGTGCGTATCCCTCCCTCCCTGTACATTGTTCATTCCGCACCCTTTATATCCAAGACATTTTTTTCATGATGCATAATAGAAAGCGTTTCTCATAGGGCTGGCTTATTTCGAGAATTCGACTGCAGTCTCCTTGGTACTTTCCTCCACCTGACGCGTACGACGCCGAATGACATGACCGCTGAGGACGCCGCGTTTCTACAGCGGCTTCTGGACGGGTTAGGCGATGGTACGACGCCCATGGCTGACACGGACGAGAAGCCGTCTGTTTGCTCCTCCGATGTCGCCTGCGCATTGCCGAACTATGCATCTGGGGAAGGAGGACCACCCCACAAGCTGAGTAGGTATACGCGTGCCGAGGTGGTCGACGTCCGTGACGCCACATACGACGGTCCGCGTGGCGTGGCCCCTGAAAAGGTACTTGGCTTGCACGTCCACCAAAGCTCCTCAACGCTCCTTGCACCGACGGCGAGACCAGATGGCCCCAGTTTGTACTGGTCGCCTTCGACGCGATGCATGCCCTTCGTGCTGGCGGAAGCGCGGCTTCGTGAGGAATGGCTTGCCACCGATGTGCATGTTGGCGATACAATCCATGTCATTGGCTCATGGCAGATGCACGATACCAAGCCCACCATCATTCTGTCCTCGTTCGGAGCTACTGATATGCCTCTCCTGATTCTTCATCCTGACGTTATTATTTCTGCCTCTCGCTTAGCCAGTGTGGCGTCCTGTATGCGCAAGCCTATGCTGCAGGAGCGAATTCGCACACCCAGTGATTCTACGTATGTGGCTGTCTTGGGTACAATGGTCCACGGTCTCTTGCAAGCGTGTTTGGTAGCGAGCGGGGACGTGGACCCAGTCACTTCGCCGCTGCCGCCACCACTGCCCTTTGACGCGCCGTCTACATGGACGCGACTCGGCAACTTTACTGCTGCCTTCCTCACCGCCGAGGTGGAGCGCCAAATCACGCAAGCACGCTCGGCCTTGCTGTTGACGGGGGTAGGGACCGAGAAAGTCCGTCACGATCTGTACGAGGCGATCCCTTCGCTCTTGCGCTTTGCAGCCAAGTATTTGGCGCCGCGCGACGGTGGGAAAGACACCGGTGCGGTGCTGGAAGATCCACGCACTGGCACGCCCATGCATGCCTCGATCCGCGAGGTGCTCAGCACGGAAGGCGATATCGTTTCGCCAATGTATGGCCTCAAAGGTCGATTGGACGTCATAGTGGATGTGGCAGTACGTACGTCTACTGGCACCATGCACGTCCCACTCCCCCTTGAAGTGAAAACGGGACGAGTGACGTCCAGTATGGAGCATATGGCGCAAACGAGTTTGTACACTCTCTTGCTCAGCGATGCCATGGGCACGCACGTCGATATGGGGCTGTTGTTGTACGTCCAAAGCGAGGCCATGCAGTGTGTACGACCGCAGCCCAAGGAGCTGCGCAACTTGATCCTGGCCCGCAATGATATGGCCGCCTACAAAGCCCGCATGCCGCCGTTGTGGCATGAGGAGGCCGCGGCCAGCGTCCCCAATGACCACACGCTCTCGCCGGCGTCGGAGGACAGCTTTGCGTTTGCGCTGGACGAGGCAGCGCTAGCAGCTGTGCCGCTAGACGTGGAAGAGGTGCCTACGCCGTTCCTCGCGCCGCCGATCGACAGCGCTTTTAAATGTGCGCGATGCTACTCTCGCGATGCGTGTGCGCTGTACCGCCGAGTGTTTGAGACGCCGCCTACCGCGTCGTCTCCTGTAGCGGCCTTGTACGACGAAAGTACATCGCATCTTACGCCTACTGATGTGGCTTTTTTCCGCCGTTGGGATGCTCTGCTTTCGCGCGAAGAGCGGGGGTTGTCGCGCTACCAGCATGAGCTGTGGACCTTATCGGCAGACGAGCGAGCTGCGCTTGGCCGATGTGTGCCGCATGCGACCATCCGGTCGCTTCGCGGTGCCCGTGTCGTCTTGGATACAGGCACAGCACCTGGGCTCTTTGCGCCGGACGATCTCATTTCTTTGGCTGTCGCGCATCCTGTTCGCGCCTTCCTTTCACGCGGTCGTGTCGTGTCGTTGGAGGGCACGAGCCTGCAGTTGGAGCTGGAGACGTCCATTGCGCCATTGCTTACGCAACTGCAAATGCGGTACCGATTCCAGAGCGTGACGTGGGCCCTGCGTGTCGACATGGACGACTTGATGGCGATGATGGGCGTGCCACGGTACAATTTGGCCTGTCTTTTCTACCGAGATGCGCCGCCGCGTGTGACAAAGCTGCGCGAGCGTATTGTCCACCACGCGCCGCCTCACTGGGACGTACTTTCCAAGGCACACCAAGCGAGTGTGCAGCGGTGGGCCGCTACGTGCAATGCAGAGCAGCGCCGCGCGATTGAACGAGCACTTTCAGCGCAAGACTACACGTTGGTCCTCGGCATGCCTGGCACAGGCAAGTCGACGACCATTGCCGTGTTGGTTCGTCTTCTCGCAGAGTTGGGCCAGCGTGTTCTCTTGTGCAGTCATACGCATTCCGCTGTCGATACCATTGTCGCGAAGCTCGTCGATACACCGGTCCTGCGCCTCGGCCCACTCCACCGCATTCACCCCCGCGTACGTTCGTGTGCGTTGGCAGCGCGTCTCGGCCAGGAGGCCAGTGTCGAGGCCTTGCAGCGCATGGTCAGCACGGCTCCCATTGTCGCTGCGACCTGCCTAGCTACGTCCGACGCGGCGCTGGCCCTGCAGTCGTTTGACGTGTGCATCATAGACGAGGCGAGCCAGATCACGCTGCCGACCTGCGTTGGCCCCCTGCGCCTGGCCAATCGGTTTGTCATGATTGGCGATCACCACCAGCTTGCGCCGCTGGTCCGCGACGCCGAAGCGGCCGAGCACGGCATGCATACCAGTCTGTTTCAGCAGCTGTGCACACGCTACCCTGACGCCGTGGTAGAGTTGTGTGTGCAGTACCGTATGAATGCAGCGATCATGCGGCTGAGCAATACCCTGATCTACCAAGGCCGCTTACAATGCGCTGACGAACACGTAGCACAGTCGTGTGTCCCATTGCCGACGAAACCCGGTGTGCCGCCTTGGCTGCAAGCGGTGTGTGCGCCCTCGCAGCGCGTTCTTTTTGTGGATACCGATCGTGTGGGGGCATACGAACAACGTACAGACGCCCTGGTCGAGAACGAGAAGGAGGCGTACATCGTTCAAGCGTGTCACCAAGCGTTCCTGGACCACGGGCTAGATACGTCCGAGGTGGGGATCCTCACGCCTTACCGACAGCAAGCGAAAGTGCTGCGTCGGATCTGCCCCACCGCCGAAGTGCTGACCATCGACCAAGCCCAAGGTCGCGATTGGCGTATTGTGCTCCTATCTCTGGTCCGCTCGAACGATGGTGGGCACATAGGCGAGTTGCTGCGTGATCGGCAGCGCGTGAACGTCATGCTTACGCGCGCGCAGTCCAAGCTGGTGCTGGTAGGCAGTCGCTCGACCATGGCTGCAGGGCCGACCGCCACCGTGATGACGCAATGCCTCGCGCTCCTGGCCGAGAGCGACGCCATCGTGGAAGCGGTCGTGAATGCGCCGGTGTGCCGACCTGCGCCCTCATCACCGGCACGCACACGCACCGTGAAAAAAGCGCGGCGTAGTCCGCCTGCAGGGATCGTACGCGAAGTGCTGGAAGAGCAGGGCGTGCCGCGTTTGTAATGTACATAGCTGGTGGGTATCTTGTCGCCTACCTACATCTCCAAGGACGCAAGTTCTGTGCGAATGGCCTCGCACTTTGCACGAAGCTGTGCAGCCGCCTCGCGTTTTCGCTGGACCTGCGTTCGCATCATGGTCGCTAGCGCGGCGCGCGACTGCGTAGGCCGAAGTTGATTTAGGAGGTACAGAAAGTTGATCACGACGGTTTCCATGTGTTGCAGTCGATCCTTGAGACGGGATGACGAGATCCATGTGCCATTCGGCGGAGCTGCGTCCTCTGTGCCGCCCTCGCTGTGAGGCGCGGGGACCCATACATCGTACGGCTGGATCGGGCGAAGCAAGTCGCAGGTAAGCTCAAAGTAGGTTTGCAGCAACGTGCGTAGCAACTGTTGCAGCACGTGGCGGTGATCTGTCGTGAGCGAGGGTATACATACCTAGATCGTCGGCGGAAAACAAAGGCCGGATACCGAGTTGCTCCAGCGATGGCGCCGTATCTGGAATCGGCCATCGTTGTCCAAAGAGTTGGTAGCCGCCATCTTCTTCAATCCACTCGACCTTCGGTGGGGACAATGTGCGTTCCAAGTCGATGGTCGGTGGCGCATATGGCAACGCGCCTTTAGCCATGGTGAGTGCTTTGGTCTGCTCGGCTATGCGTGCCTCTTCACTGGCTTGGGCATCGGCGAGCAACGTAGCATCGTTCGCCTTGCACGACTGCAGCAGGTCGAGCCACGCTGCATTGGCCAGCGTGAAGTGACGGTAGACACTGGGCGGCGGCGGGAACACGGAGGTATTGCCCAACGTCTCCGGCACCGTCTCAGGCTCCTGCGAGGGCGTCTCTGTGTCCATCGTACGGACGTGCGACGAGACTCTGACGCACGTCCACAGGGCGCCGCGTCAGCGCGACCCTGGCGGGGTACGTCACGTGCGTCGTCCGACGTCGCCGCTGCCTCGCTCACGCACGCCCTTCGCGCTACGCTGCCCTGCTGCTTTCGCCGCCCCATCTACGAGGCCAGGGCTGGGTGTGTGTGCTGCGAGCGCAATGCTACATGATCGTGGGTTCACGTTGAACCACCAAAAGGTGGCGCTGGAGCTTGTCTTCAGCGGCACTGTGGGTGGCTATACGGAGCTCTCCATTACGCCCACGCACGCTGGCCTGCGTCACATTTATTTGCATGCACGATGCATGGAAGTACTGCGTGTCCAGTGCCAGGGACACGATGCTGCTTTTACACACACTGACTCATTGCAATCGCTCGCATGGTCTGACTTGCACAAGCACGGCCAAGCGAAGCGTGAGCTGTACTCGGCGCTCAGTCAAGGCGCGGATGGCGAGCTGCGTATATCCTTGCCAGACAGTGTCCGTCCCGAGCCTCTCTCCTCGCAAGCGGAAGCGAGTGGTGCTAGCGCCGAAGATGACTTCGCACCGATCACCATCCATATTGACTACGTGCTACGAGATGCGCAGGAAGCGCTGCACATTGTGCATCCTACGCCTGAAGCGCCGTACCGTGTACCGCATATGTATACCCGACCCACGGGATCGAATAGCGCTCGGTGCTGGGTGCCCTGCGTCGACTCGCTCTGGGATCGGTGTACGTGGGAACTGGAGTTTGTTACGCCACGTCAACTCTCATCCAGTGAGGAGCCTGACATTTATGTGATTGCCAGTGGCGAGCTGACAGAGCATGCTATTCATCCACACGATCCAGCAAAGTCGATCTTTTACTATACGCAGCCGGTAGCCACGACCGTGCAGCATATGGCGTTCTGCGCAGGTCCTTTTGTTCTGGCGCGGCTCTCGCCCAAGGGGTCGGAAGGGTGTGAAGCGCTAGCGTTCTGTTTGCCAGAGCACGAGCATGAGCTGCGTACGACGACCAGCTTTACGTGGCAGGCGATTGAGTTTATTAGTAGCGAGTACGGTTCGTACCCGTTTGGCTCGTTCAAGATGGTGTTTGTCGACGGCGCCATGGTCGACTGCCACACGGCGTGTACCCTTGCCATTTGCTCGAGCGATCTGCTTCACCCGCCTTCTGTCATTGATCAGGCGTTTGAGAATCGGCATCTCCTGGCGCATGCTGTCGCGTTCCAATGGGTCGGCATCAATATTGTGCAAAAGACGTGGGCTGATACATGGCTGATTCACGGCTTGAGTCAGCACCTGGCGGCCATGTTCCTACGTCGGCTGCTGGGCAACAATGACTACCGATTCCGTATGAAGAAAGACTGTGATCGGCTGTGTTTATGGGATATCGGCATGCCGCCGCTGTACCAAGTGGGACGCGACGAGCCGTTGGATCCTCAGCTGCTGTCGTTTGTGAACTTGAAAGCGCCTCTCGTTCTCTACCTACTTGATCGACGGCTGTGTAAGATGGGCGCATCGCTGGGCCTGGGCCGTGTGATTCCCAAGCTATTTTTGCAGGCGATCACCGGGGAGATGACGCACAATGCGCTGGGTACGCACAGCTTCCTGCGCACATGCAAAAAGGTCAGCGGTGCGGATTTGCGGCTGTTTGTCGACCAGTGGATCAACGGCAGTGGCTGTCCGCGGTTCGTGTGCACAGCCACGTTCAACCGCAAGAAGCTGCTGATTGAGATGCATGTGCGGCAAGAGTCGCCGGCAGCGATGTATGCGCAAGCGCACCCGGAAGAAGCGCTGGCGTCGAACCCTGTGACGCTCTGGGAAGGCCAGATGACGGTACGGATTCACGAAGCGGATGGCACGCCGTACGAGCACGTGCTGGATATCAAGAATGAGCACCAGCGGTACGATGTGCCTTTCAATACCAAATACAAACGTGTTCGTCGAAACACAAAGCGTTTTCAGGCGCGCCAAGCCGCGGCGGCGGCGGCAGCGGCCGGCGACGAGGATGCGGCCGAAGCCATCGGCATGATCGATCTTGGGTTTGGGCTGGGCATGTGGGAAGACGAGGCGGAGCGTGAGCGCTGGAAAGTCGCAGATTGGACGGAGGAAGATGAGGCGATTATGGCCTCCGCGCCGTACGAATGGATCCGACTGGATGCGGACTTTGAGTGGATGGCACAGATCCAGTTTGAGCAGCCGGATTACATGTGGGTGTCGCAGCTGCAGCGTGACCGAGATGTAGTGGCACAACTCACGGCCGTGCATGCACTAAGTCAGATGCCGAGCTTGATCACGAGCAGTATGCTGACGCGCACAGTGCTGGTCACCAAGTATTTTTACCGGATTCGTGCGGAGGCGGCGTATGGCCTTGCGAACTGTGCGCTGCCGCATTTGGATCTGCTAGGTCTGTTCCATCTGCTGATGCTATTCCGTACGAGTTACTGCCTGGACATGCCGTCGGACAGCGACTCGACCGCGCTGGAGGCGCCATGCATCCCGAAACCCAACGACTTTAGCGACATGGCCGACTACTTTGTCCGTCGCGCGCTCATTCATGCGATTGCACGCATTCGTGATCACCGCGGGCGTGCCTTGCCGATTGTGCAGCGGTTCCTGATCAACTTGCTGCGGTACAACGACAACTCGACCAACCGCTTTGTCGACGATTACTACCTGGCCAGCATCATCAATGCGCTTGCCAGCACGCTTATGCCGGTGGACAGTGCGGGGTACTCCATGCAGGCGGACGAGGTGTACACGGACGAGGAACTCTCGCTGCGCACGATGGCCATGCAGGAGGTCGAGCGACTGCAAGTGTTGGATCGCCTTGTGCCCTCGTTCCACAATGTCATTACGTTAGCGGCGATGGACTTTTCGCTCTCGCTCGTCCTGGCCAACCTTCGTCCGTTGGATTTGAGTACACTGCTGGAGTACACGCGTGAAGGCAACTTTACCCCGGTCCGTCTCGCGGCGTTCAATGCGCTGCTGCTGCTCCGTGGCTTGCAGCACAAGGTGCTCAATCGGTACTACTTGGCCGTGCTGGCTACGGACGAAGATGCCGTCGTGCGAGCGCACTTGGCTCGCAGCTTGTGCGATGCGCTGGGCGTCGCCTTGTCCACAGGGGAACTGGGCTACGCGCGTACGCGGCATGAGCGGTTGCAAGAGGGCGATGCGCGTGAGCAAGTCGCCGAGCAGGAGGCATGGCTCGCGGAAGAAGCCGAGCAGAACGAAGAGATGCTCAAGTTGCTTCGTCGTGAGATTGGCCGTACGCCAGCGATTCGCGATGGGTTCCTCGACGCCGTGCATGCCTCGCGTGGCCATGCGCCCGCTCGTTTTGCCCTCTTGCACTTGGCCGAGCTGCTATTCAAGTCAAGCGACGAGGCGCGAGCGCCGATGGAGCGCCCGGTCACAACAGCCTCTTCGGCGGAGCCCACCGCGGCCATGCGGATCCGTCTCATGATCAAGAATGCGCCACCGCAACAGGAGAAACGTCCTACGACGACCCAGCCGTTGCGTGTTGTGTTGCCCAAGACGGCCAAGCCTAAGAAGCCCAAGGCGCCTGAGCCTGGGCAGGCGCTGGGAATGTCGTCGTCGGATCTCAGTGCATGCCGTACCTGCATCCAGAAACTTATGGCGAACAAGCACTGCGAACCGTTTTTGCGTCCTGTTGATCCTGTGCGTGACGAAGTGCCTGACTACTTTGACGTGATCAAAGAGCCGATGGATCTCAGTGCTGTCTCCAACAAGCTGCAGTCAGGGCAGTACCAGGACCGCTTTGAGTTTAAGAATGATGTCGAGCTTATTTTCCGCAATGCAAAGACGTACACACCCGATCCCAAGGCGTGGATCCACTACGAAGCCAGCCGCAGTGAGTCGGCGTTCCGTCAGCTGTGGAATCGCATCACGAAGACCCTCGAGCAGGCTGCAGCGCGGGCTGAAAAAATGCAGGTCGAGGACGCTGACGACGCAGCGTCGGCGACGTCGGCGGCGGCCTCAGATACGCCCAAGCGAACGATCACGCTCAAGCCGCCGGCCTCCGAGGCATCGGCAGAGGGATCTGCCGCGCCGAAGAAGATCAAAATTCGGCTTAGTCTTGGCAAGGGCGAAAAACGCGCAGCACCAGAGACACCACCCCGGCCCGTGCTCAAGTTGAAGCGGGCTCGCTCTGAGGCACCCGATACGCCGTCTGCAGGAAACACACCCGCCGCAGAGTCCGTGCCCGCGGAGCTGAAAGCGGAAAAGATTGCACCTGCGCAGGCCAAGTCGGCGAGCGACGATCCCGTACTGCCAGGCGAGCAGGAGATGCCATTGCACGTGAAGAAAGCGCGCTCCGTCCTCCAAATGGTCGCCAAGACGAAGGAAGCTGTCATTTTCTTGCAGCCCATCGATCCTGTACGTGACCAAGCGCCGACCTACTACGATGAGATCAAGCATCCAATGGATCTAAGTACGATCGACACGAAACTCAAGAGCGGTGCCTACAAAACGATGGGCGACTTTGCGGCGGATATGCGTCTCATGTTTGCCAACTGCCGTCAATTTAATCCGCCTGGCACGGTGCCTGCGCTCATGGAGCAGGCCGTCTCACGTGTATGGCGCCGCGAATGGAGCCGTGCGATGGTCCGCAAATTGGAGTACTCGCACAAACGCTCGCTGCAGAGCATGATGGGCCGCTTAAAGCAACTTCCCTCTAGTGGCCTGTTTTTGTACGCGGTGGATCCTGTGGCATTAGGTATCCCGACGTACTTTGACGTGATCCCGAAGGAAAATGCCCGTGATCTGACGCTGATCAGTGAGAAGCTACGTGCCGATCAGTACGATAGCGTGGATGCATTGGACGCCGATATCCAACTTATGCTGTCCAATTGCTACACGTTCAACGCAGAGGACGAGCGCGTTTGCGAAGTCGCTCGTGCCTTTGAAAAAGCATACCAACAAGAGATTCACGCCATGCGTAAGGCGCTGAATCCGTCATAGAGAGGGTAGCGATATAGTCTGGGGCCTCGCGCCTTTTACGAACGTACACGCGCACCTCCACAGGGGAATTAAGCCTCAGGGGCAGAGGGGCGTCGTCCTCGTCGTCGTCGTCGTCGCGCGTCGCCTTGCTCCACCCACCAGCCTCTTTTTTACTTTTGGGCTTCTTTGATCGAATGCGCGTCACTTCGTTGCTAACTGCTTTGGCGGGCCTGTGTGCACTCCCTGTGGCGCTAGCCGCCGCCGCGGAAGACGCGCCTGAGCTCCAGGTGACCACGACTTTCCCGAACAACCCGTTCAACAGTACGTATGACTCCATTGACTTACTCGGCAGTTGTGAAGAATGGTCAGGCGAATCGTGTCGTATTTACGATCACGACGCCGCGCGGTACGGACCGTGCGCTCGCGATTGAGTCTGTGACAGGCGCCTTCCTGGACCCAGCGCGCCCTGAAGGCCATAAGCGCCATGTGCTGCGGAACATGACGACGACCAAACTGCGCGATGTCACAGTGCATCAGCCGAATGGCCAGCCCTTGCAGCTGCCGTACAACTTTTTCTCCGAGTTCAAGCCGCAGAAGCTCGACGTCGAGTTCCGTGCGTCGGTCATTGATCAGTCTTCGTCGGCCAAGTACAACATGCAGCTGTACCGCGGCTCTGTCGTGGTGGAAGAGCCGAAGCAGAGCCTCTTTGACTTGCAGCTGCTGTCTGTGTACGCGATTATGCTGGCGTTTACCGGCGGCGTGGCGTACATGCTGTACCAAATGTATCTGGAGCCGCTGGTGCGCTCCAAGGCTGCGAAGCGGAAGGAGGCCAAGCATGCCACCCCCAAGGTGCCGGTGACGGCCGCCACGGGCAAGAACGGCAAGTCGTACGATGAGGACTGGATTCCGGAGCAGTCGTCGTCACGCAACCTGCGCCCACGCAAGCAGCGTGGTGGCCGCAAGTAAATGTCAGGCAGCAGCGGCGCTGTCGCGTACGTACGTAGCGCACCGTATCCATACGTAGCCTCATGGCCCTATCTAGTACGACCTGTACGGAAAAGCAAGCCAAAAAATGGTGGATTGGAAATCTACAAACATTGTCTAGTTGTGAGGCCGTACAAGCACACACAACATGCAAGGGACACACACTAAATGAAACACAAAAAGGGGGGATAGAAAGGAAAGAAGCACGTCACTTAGCTGAGGCTGCCGAGCGCAATGCTGTTCGCATCCAAGTTGGTCGCAAAGTAGACGTTCTTGAGGAAGGGCGCACCCAACAGCCAGTCTGCGTTCTCTTCCGTGTTACCGGTCGAGATCGCACTTATGCAGGTGCCAGTCAGATCGTTCGTGTTTTTCGGCGCAAAGAGCAAGTCACGCGAATCCATCGTGAACGTCTTACCGCCGATCGAGAACGAAATCTGCTTGTCCGACGTGCAAGGCAACGTGTATCCACCCTGCCCGTCCGACTTGGCACCATCAATCGAGTTGTGGATCTTGTCCGCTGCATCCTTGGGCGCAAGGATCAGCGACGTACCCGTGTCGAGCATGGCTGTACCGCTACCACTCACCTGTTTGTTGTCCATCGAGACACTGTCCAGCTTGACCATCCAGTATCCACTGCCCGACTGGTTGTCCACCTGCGTCAGTGAACCGCTAATTTGGCTCTGATCTACACCGCCAAAGGTAATCTCACCCTTGTTGCTGTCCGAGCCGTCCGCAGCACGACCCAGGCGGTAGCCGACAATCGGCTGGTTGATCTTGTTGGCCTTCTTCAGCGCATCCACCAACGTAGGCTTCTTGGTCACACTCAAACCAGAACCACCCAAACCAATCAGACCATCGAACGGGATCTTGCTATCGCCAAAGTCGTCCGACTCGGAGCTAGCCACACCAAACGAGAACTTGTCCAAGGTCAGGCCAGCCACTTGAAACTTGTCCGACGCCACGGTGAGCGACACCGAGCCTGTGCCGTACGAGATCTTGTAGCTGTCACTCGACTTCTTGAGCGAGCTCGACGAGGAGGTGCTGAGCTTGTTCCGGTTCGAACCACCGCAGCCATTGCAGTTAGAGCCCGTCACCCATGTGTCTGACGATCCCGAGTCGATAAGCATCTTGAACTTGGAGTTGGACGAGCCAATCTGCACTTCCACAAAGTAGCCAACATCGTTGGCCTCGATCGCAAGACCGGCCGTGTTGCGTGCCGAGGGGTTAGGCGCCTCAGTCACAGAGTACGAGTTCTCCGCATCGGCCGCCGTAGAAGAGTAGCCGCTGCTGTCACGCGCCTCCAGATCGCTGTCACGCCCAGCTCGGTTGCTACCACTGCCGGATCGGCGCTCATTGTCCACGTTGTCGCCAAATCGCTTCGAGCGCACAATTGGCTCGTCATCCGCTACAGCGCGAGGTCCTACCTTGACACGCGGAGGACGGAACTCAAAGTGCTTCACGCCTTGCGCTTCCTGGTCGCGACGTACGCTCTCAGCGCGCTTAGCGATGGCCTCCTCCAGCTCCTCATCCGTGGGCCCAGGCTTGTCCTGTGCCTGCGCCATACGGCGCTTGCTGTAGTTGATGTTCTGCTGAAGCTTGATCCAAGGATGGACAAAGTCTTCGGAGTCGTCCTGGAACATGGTCATCTTCATGCTGTCGGTCAATGCAATATCCGTGAAGTTGTCCTGCATGGCAGCACACACCTGGAATACCATCGGCATCGCCAACAACATGGCCAGAATATGCACCATCTTAGGAGCGAGTACCATCACCATGGTCAGTACCTGTTACGTTAGTAGAAAGCTTGTGTTTGGAACGAACTGTGATGTGCGAAATACAAAGACGCACAAAGGAGAATACACCTGGAATGGAAAACAATGACGCGGAGCTACGTCCGCTGTTATGCTTACCGGAAAGAAGGTCCAGGGGTAAAGAGAAGAGGCGGCGTGTGCGCGACGCGCTATTTTTTGACGCATCCCGCCCCACGACCCCGTTTCCCTTTGTGATCCGTGCACATAGGAAGTTCAGGCGCCGAAGACCTGTCATCGATTGCAGGTGTAGCCATTCACGATAGAGCATGGAGTTGGCAACGTCTACATTGCATCTATGTCACAGCCATCGTCGTACTGAAATTTTTAAAAGAGGGTGCCCCTTCATCATGGGAGAATTTCATTCAACATCCAGAACGTGGGTTTGTGTACATTCCCCCCCTAAAATCTTCCTGCACAGGAGCGTGGCTGCAATGCAAGCACAGCAACAAACCTATGCCAAGACACAGAGAACAGATGTGATCGAGGCACGTAAACAGCGAAAGAGCGAAATCCACGAGGCGCAGTCGTTGCACGCGAGGCACGAGGCTCACGGTGCCTGACAGCTGATGGTGTTGGCCTCCACCTCACTGCATCGGCCGAACTGGTCACGGGCTCCATGCTACAGTCTAGCGAGCTCACACTAGCTGTCTGACCGTCTCAGTTATTCAACATGGAGCAAGTGGCCCAGCAGGTACGTATGACAACCTTGGATATACTTACATATGTAGTTTACCGACTTCTATTACTCGACTTTTGATTCGGACCGTTCGCAGCTTGGCCCGCTTTACGTATGTATATCGCCGTCGACCATGTGAGGCTGACACAGGCACAGCGTCCACACTCGATGCTCACGTTCGAGGGCGCGCAGACGCAGGGCGCGCAAGCTATTGTCGAGAAGCTGGTGGTATGTTCACATGTGGTGTCTCATTTCTTCAGAGCCTTCCGTTCCAGAAGGTGCAGCACAAGGTCGACACGCGCGATGCGCAGCCGACCGGTGACGGTCAGAGCCTGACTGTCCTTGTGACTGGTATGCTCCTGGTATGTAACCATGTCTCTTCGGATGCTTATATCATAGGTGGACGATGGCCAGAACCCACTCAAGTTTAGCCAGGTACGTATTACAAGCTCAAGACCAAGTGATTAACACTGGTAGTCGTTTACGCTGGTGCCTGAGGGTGGCTCGTTCTACGTCTTCAACGACATCTTCCGGTATGTGAGAGCAGTGCGAAGAATAACAGCTAACGCTACAGCCTCAACTATGGTTGAACGATAGTGTTGATTAGTCGTGCAAATGCATTGACCTGTCTTTGTGCCTGGGTCGAAGGAGCATGGTGTTATAGAGTCACACATATCGCCCAAAGCCGACGAGGACCCACACACCATGAGACACGCATCGGATAGTGGCACGTGCAACGTAAACGCTGTCCGTGTAGTATGCATCTATCATTCTACGGCTCATACTTTCATAACCTTCGCAAGCCGACTCAGACGGTTTGTAGCTTCGCTTCACGCGTGCCCCTGCTAGACAGAGCCTCGTGCACTCGATCGTTCTATGCTCTTCTCTTATGCTTAGCTAATGGTGACACGTCATGCGGCGGGAGCTCGGACGGTGGCTAACAGAAAAAGCACGGCCGTCCCCCTCGCACAAGCCACACTTCCCTCTACATACAACATGGGTGTGACTGTGGAATCGATCTCGAACGGCGACGGCAAGACCTTCCCTAAGGCCGGTGACACTGTAGACATGCACTACGTGGGTACCCTTCAGTCGAACGGTAACAAGTTCGACTCGTCGCGCGACCGCGGCCAGCCTTTCCGCACCCGCATCGGTGTAGGCCAAGTCATCCGTGGTTGGGACGAGGGTGTCCCCCAGCTTTCGCTTGGCCAGAAGGCCCGCCTGATCTGCACCCCGGACTACGCTTACGGTGCTCGTGGCTTCCCTCCTGGTACGTATATCGTAGCCATCCATCTCTAACCATGCAGTGATTCCCCCGAACTCGACCCTTGTCTTCGAGGTGGAACTTCTTGCCATCAACGGCAAGCAGTAAATTATCGTAGACGTAGATACGTAGGTCTTATGCGTACAATAGTCTAAGATGAAACTAGGAGTGAGCCACGGTGTACCACACCAGAATAGGCGTACATAGCGGTGACGGAGTTAACGCCATGCACCTGCGAGGCGGCGAGGGGGCGCAGACACTATATCAGGTGAAGCCGCTGCACGACCAGGACGTGCGCCACGCTTTGCCTTGTTACGTGCCTGCTGTGACCGCCGCTCTAAGCAAGCATCACAGTACCATGTGCCTTGCGGCGGCTTTGATAGGCCTACACAACCCAAGTGGAACCATTCACGTTCACAATCATCGTCGTCACAGCCAATCATATCACCATAACTAACATTGTTGCAGAAACAGTAACGTTGTTCATCTTGTTCATCACGCCCCGAATTGCCTGATGTCTTCACTGGTCGGCTTCGACCTGACGAGCGACTGTGTTCATTCTCGTCGCCCGTCGCTTCGCCAGAACGTCGGCTATTCCAAGTAGCATTGGAGGCGCCTTTGACAGAATCAGAATCCACTGCTGGGCCGCCACGAGCCCGTGCCCGATTCGCTACACGCGCAAGACGGTCGGCAGACGTGCCATTAGTATACGCTTCCGTATGCTCGTCACTGCTATCACGATCCGATTCGTCCTGGTAGCCTGAGCGGACAGTGTCACGACGTTTCCCAGCTCCAGAGGAGGCACCACGCTGAGTATCACCAGCACGAGAGCGCTGGGCGGAAGTCGAGGGGGGCAGTACTTTACGCTTCTTGTTCTGACGAGAAGCTTCATGTGAGTCTCTAGTGCGACTAGACGTAGTGTCAGGAGCATAGGGCCGCGTCTTATCCGAACGCCGTCCTGCAGCCGCTGCCTCCATAGGCATAGTGTTGAAATTCGAGGTAGAGGCAAAGAGGCCGTCCGGCGCAGATTCACTTGGCGTGGTATATGAGCTCAACTCGCTTAGGCGCTTGTACTGAGGGCGTCCCTCCCGTACGTAAGGACCAAGTGAAGGGAGGGACGTCAATGAGCGAAGAAGGGAATCGATGTACTCTGTGTGCGAGGAGATCTTGCGAAGAAGTAAGCATCAAAGCGTACACGTACCATTTCTGCTGTGTTGACTGCCACACGAATCTTGTCCTCGCCGCCCATTTTATAGGCGCGTGCCTCTTCTGCCACTTCCTTCAGCGCCAGCAGACGATCACCAGGGGAGACGGACGGGTCTTCGATCACAGCAGCCAAGTTTTGAAGACGCTGTGTCAGTGATACGAGATGAGCTCCTAGTACAGCATCCAGCTCCCGAAGATCAGAAAAGCTCCGAGTCGTTTCCAGAGGCAATGCGTCGAGAGCGTCGGAATATGTTACAAGAAGCATGAAGAGTGCCATATCATCCTCCGACAGAGGTGCTTCAGGGAGACGGGACTGTGGAAAGAAAGGATGAAGCGATGCCAGAGATGCAGCCATCCCGGGATGCATACCAGCGTGAGCATCGTACATGCCTGGATACTCAGGTGCCAGCATCTCCACGGCACGCGGCTCAGACGATAGTTGCGCCTGTCATGCGGCGTAGCTCGTGCCTCCCTGCGAAACCTCCACATAGAGGCAGGTCTGGCGACGGCCAATAACTTACCGCGGCCAGCACGTGTGGTAGCGGATCAGACTACATCGGCCGAGTCCATGCAAATGCAACAGAGAGAAAATGCTCGCGCGCCCGGTGCCCCTACCTCCCACCCATTCTTCGACATGTCGCTTCCTGACTTTACGAACGCTGAGAACCTCTCCAAGCTGGACTCGTTCCTTGCTTCGAAGTCGTACATTGATGGGTACGTATGAAAAATTGGTACAGGTTTTGGGCGCGTTATATCCATCTTTTTGTGTTCTGCGGGATGAACTTTGCTTTGGTCCGTGTTTCCGAGTCCAGCGGCTTAAGACACCGCGCCTTTCTTGCATTGACGACACACAATTTTCCAAGCCATCTGAACAGATGCACAAATTGGTGGAAAGCTATTCCTCCTCCTGTACAATCAAGCGAACCAAGCTAACATGAACAGCCACGAGGCCTCGCAGGCCGATGTTGCCGTCTACGAGACCCTCAAGTCGCCTGTCGACTCGGCGAAGTACCCGAACGTGTCGCGTTGGCAGGAGCACATCAAGTCCTACGAGGCCGAGCACTCGGGTCTCCAGGGCGACAAGGCCAAGGCCGCTGAGCTCCTCAACTTTGGTGCCGCTGCTGGTGAGAACGACGATGATGTCGACCTGTTCGGCTCCGACGAGGAGGAGGATGCCGAGGCTGAGCGCATCAAGGCTGAGCGTGTGAAGGAGTACCAGGCTCGCAAGGCTGCCAAGGGCCCTGGCCCCGTCGCCAAGAGTGTCGTCACCTTCGAGGTCAAGCCTTGGGACGATGAGACCGACATGGTGGAGCTCGAGAAGGAGGTCCGTGCCATTGAGATGGACGGTCTTGTGTGGGGTGCCAGCAAGCTCGTTCCTGTTGGTTACGGTGTGAGCAAGCTCCAGATCACCATCGTCGTTGAGGACGACAAGGTGTCGCTCGATGAGCTCCAGGAGCGTGTCCAGGAGATTGAGGACTACGTCCAGTCGTCGGACATTGCTGCCATGCAGAAGCTCTAAATAGGAAGTTTTCCTTACTTCTATTTATTTGTAGGTAAAAACACAGCCTTCTTTTTATCTATTTAGATTCGAGGGGATATGAAAAGACAGTCGATCTAGAGTTGACTCAAAAAGTCGGCTAGCCCGCCAGTCTTTTTGGGCTTGTCCTCGTCCGCTTGCTTTTTTTGTTGCAAAAGCGCACGAAGATCCGCTTTGGTATTCCGGTTTTTTCGAAGAAGGTTGGGAGGCGGTGTGGGTGTAGCAGTGCGATTCAGAGCAGCCTTGGCAGATGCGTTCATAGTAGATGCTGTAGTTGTGGGTAAATGCGATTTCATGTGCAGTGATGGCACATTCTGTTGCAGGGGCTTGGACTCGGGTTGGAGGGTGTGTACATTGACCCCTGATACCATATTTGTAGGAGCAAGCGAGGGGGCTTCGGGTGGTATTGGGGAGGACAGCTTCTCTTCGCCGGCGAGAATCTGTTCACGTTTCGACGAACGCGCACGCACACTAGGAAACGCCGAAGCTGTAGCTGGTTTGTTCCTTGTTTGAATATGAGAGCACGCCATACATTGCATAGTAAACGTCTTCTTTCTCCGCCCGTGTTTGGCGGAGCGGCGTCGTGTATAGCTTACAACATGATTCGCAGATAGGCCGGGAAGCAGCGGGATGGAACACGCTTGGCAGGTTGGATTCTGCATTGCATACCATTCAGGAACGACATCTTTGATCTTTGCTTTAGAACAGCTGGATTGAGATGGCCTTGTGGTCTGGCCCCAAAGCCACGATGGTGACCGGCCATAGGGAGCTTCGTCCCCTAGCTGGGCCACAAGAGGGACGACGTGAGCGAATTGATTCGCATGAGGATGCGCGAGCGTAGGGGATATACTAGCTGATACACGCGCTACTGCATCCAAATGCAGTCCATACTGCGTGGCACTGGACGATGGACCTGCCATATGCCTTGCCTTCAGGGCGTATGAAAACGCGCCATGGCCTTGTCCAACCACAAGTCCACTACGTCCCTGCCCTCCACACAGCATCTTGTGGGGTAAATCTGTCCAGGTGACCCAAAAACAAAAGAGATGCAAGCCAAGCACCGACAGACGATCAGCACAGCGCACAGGCTCTCTGTTCTTCCATCATGACAGACGACGAAAAACAGTTGACAAATTCGGAGCTCGATGATATTCTTTTGAACGACCCGAACAACCCTGTCAAGATTGTTCCACGAGAGGACGGGCTGGGCCATAAGTTCCAGTATCCTTTTACCAGCATGGCGGACATGTGGAAGCAAGTGGCCGAGGTATGTGTGATTAGTGAAGGCTCATGACAGAAATTTTCTGATCGCGAGTACCTAGTGAGTGAAAGCCGACGTGCTACGTACCATGAGGTGTATCGTCTGTCGTGCATCGTGGCGCACGGACTCCAACATGATCATGGAATGCAGAAAGGAGATCGCATTGCCATTGTTTCTCGTAATACCATTGAATATGTGGTTCTATTTTGGGCAGCCAACCTGCTTGGATGCATTGTTACCGGTGTCAACGCGTTCCAAAAAGACGAAGTGATCGCTGCGTGCATCAACTTAGTAGGTGCCAAGATGGTCGTGATGGATAGTGGCGCTTACAAGGTATTGGAGCCATATTTGGTCGCTTTGACTAAGGCCCAAACAATTGCCGGTCAGCGTTCGTATGGCCGCGTCCAAGGCTTGATGGTCATTGCCTCGCGTGACGTCGAAAAGCCACCATCACGCCGTGAACGCACATGGCTCACGCATCCGCGCTGCCGGGTGGACGATTGGGATGATGCTGTGGGTCGATGGACGCATCACTATCCTAAGCGTAAAGCTCCTTCCGTCTCCATTCGCTTGCAAGACACGGCTTTGATCCTATTTACCTCAGGAACGACATCCTTGCCGAAAGCTGTCTATTCGTCCAACGACCAAGTGATTTCCTCCGTCTTGGCAGGCGTGTGGTATGCTCTTCGTGAGTTTGTCCGACTTTTGGGAGAGTTGCCTGAAGGCGGACTGCCTAGCATTCGCAAGACCCTTTGTATGGTTCCACTTTTCCATGTGATGGGCTTGCATAGTGTATTGCTTTCAAGTACGGTGACTGGCGATGTAGTGGCCTTTATGCACAAATATACACCGGAGAAGGCGCGTGAACTTATCAAGCGTGAGCAGCTCACTGGCTTGTTGGGCATTGGCTATATGGTCAAGGAGATCATGACCAAATCTAGTGATGTGGACTCCATTACCACGTTCGCTGCTGGTGGCGCTGCGCCACCTGAAAGTTTGTCCAAGGTGCCACAGGACCATCAGGGTATTCTCATGGGCGCCAATGGGTATGGATTGACCGAGACCAACTCGGGTGTCGTGGCCAATATGGGCCTAGCCTATCTGCAGCGGCCAAGGTCTATTGGTGAGCCTGCGCCATTCTTGCAGGTAAAGATCTGCGATGCGTCGACCGGAAAAGAACTGCCGCGGGGTACACCTGGTGAGCTTTGGATTCGTGCACCCAATGTGGCCATGGGGTACTATAACAATCCCAAGGCCACCAAGGAGGCCTTCGATGAAGAGCGGTTCTTCCATTCTGGCGACTTGGCCGTCATGGACAGCGATGGCTTCCTTTGGATCTTGGACCGTATCAAGGATCTGATCATCCGCAAGGGTGAGAACATCAGCTGTATTACCGTGGAGTCTGCCGTTTTGCAGCATGCGAGTGTGAAAGATTGTGCGGCGATTGGTCTACGTGATGAGGACGTGGGCGAGCGTGTCGCCATTCTCTGCGTGGTGGAGCCTGGCAGTACCGTATCAGCCCAAGCGATTGTGGACCTAGCGGCTACGTCGCTGCCGCGGCATGCTGTACCTGACTATGTATGGCTACGCACAGTGCCTTTGCCTCGCAATGCTACTGGGAAAGTACTCAAGACAGATCTACGCCTGGAGCTGGAGAAACATGTAGAGGAGGAGAAGAAGCGTGGAGCTCGTGTGCGATGGGAACCCCGCTCTCGCTTGTAGTTCGATAGTATGACACGAAGGATGCCGCCTCACAGTAGTCCACGATGGGGCTTGCCCTGCTGATGTCACGTGAGAAGGGTCGAGGGCAAAGGTCGTCGTCCTGGTGCGTGTACGCTGTTCTTCTCCCAGCCATGTGGCCTGTAATGCGTGGTGCGGCACAGCGTGTGCTGGCCTCTGTGCGTGCTCCATGGAGTGCCGTATCTGTGCCGGTATCGACATATATGCGCCCGGCTTCCCATCTTCATGGTGCGCGTCCGTTGAGCACGACGTCTACGCTGCAAGTGACGCTGCAGCAAGCGATGCGTGGTGCTCGTCGTCCTCATCGCCCGCCGGTGAATCGTGTGCCAGCACTCGAGGGGTGCCCCTTTGTCAAAGGCGTGTGCACCAAGATCTTCACCACCAAGCCCAAAAAACCCAACTCAGCCATCCGTAAAATGGCACGTGTTCGTCTGACCAACGGACGTACCGTCACAGCATATATCCCTGGTGAGGGCCATAATTTGCAAGAGCACAGTGTCGTTTTGATGCGCGGCGGTCGTGTACAAGATGTGCCTGGTGTGCGCTACACGCTTGTGCGTGGTGCGCTGGATTTCGGTGGTGTGGTGGGCCGGACCACGTCAAGGTCGAAGTATGGCGGTATGTATAGTATGTGCCATGACTGACAGTTTCCAGCCAAGAAGCCGAAGGATACCGTATAATACAATCGTATAAAAATATCTATGGTCTAGTGTTGAAAATACATTGTCTAGCAGTCGTACTGTGTGTGGTAGTTCATGATGGTATACGTCCAAAGTGTCGTAAACAATCTTCTCGCTGGGGATGGGCGCGCACCACTTTTTCGATTTCGGCGCTGAGGACACGAACCCATACATCGCGCTCCAGCGTCGTGCGGGCTCGGAAAGTGATCTCGAGAAAGTCGGTGCGTTTGCATGTAGGGGTCTCGCCATGCGAAGAAGAAAAGGGATGCCACCACTTCCCCGACGTAAAGCGAGACCGCGCGCGGAGAACAAACGTGCAATCCTCATTGGACTGTGCACTTGTGAGGCCATCGCGATAAAGACGCGGGAGGGCCTCGTGCACATCTTGCTGCTCCCGTGTGCCAAAGCGTGTAGGCACGCCATCGTCGCCATGGAGGTCAGTGGATCGATCGGCGAGAGAGCCCGTATAGACATAGGCATCGCACAGAGAAATAGGCGCGCCTTTCCGACGGTATACAATGCCCTCGTTTCGTCGGCGTGTCGATGTGCGAATCGACTGCATGAGTTTGAACGAAAGCAACTGGCCATCACTTACCACAAACACACGCTTGTGGAATGGCTGGCGCGCATTTGTGCGCCAGAACAGTTCGCCTTGGATGCTGATGGCCCGGCATCGGTCCAGCGCACACCAGTTCCATACGTAGGACAACGAATTTGAAGCCAAGTCCTCGATGTGATCCTCATTGCGCCCATGCTGAAGACCATTGCCCCCGGCCTCCATCAGCCGACGTACGTAACTGCGATGACGGCTGCGCCAGTATACTGAGAGCATGAACAAGTGCACGATCCAGTCACGCGCCAGTGACGCACTAGCACATTCAAAGGTGACGCGACGGCCATTGTCCAGGTACAGTTCGAACTGGCGTAAGAGCTTGGCTGTTTGCCGATCAGGGGCGGAGTGGAGCCCTTCAGTGCCGCCGATATCGTCGACAGGGGGCGGCAGGTACTTTTCCACCGAGGCCCGTGTACCGTCATAGTCGTCCAGCCATTTCAAATCTTGCATGAGTAAGTGAGGATCAGGGACGTGGCCCAAGTGTACGGAATGCCGCGAGAGCTCTGTGCAGAGCACTACGTTGGCTCCCACGTTCCCGATAGCACAGACTTCCCGCAGATCAATAAAGCCATCGCTGTGCTTGAGCTGCTGCCATTGGCGCTCACGCTCGTAGTCCAGAAACTTGGACACGCGCTGCGTAATGCGCTTTTCTCGAGTAAGCCCGTCCACCTCTGGGAGGGGAACACCCGAGTACCTGTCAGGCACAAACGCATGCGAGTCACGCAGCAAAAAGAGGCACCCGTCATGCACCGATAAGTACACTCGGGTCATGATGCCTGACATGACACGCAAGCGAAGGACAAAGCCTTCCACGGCCTCAGGCTCACGTAGCACAAAGCCTCGAGGATGGAGAGCCTCCGTGGGATAATGATTGCGCACGAGCATTTCCAGCACAGGCGCATGTCGACGACTTGTCACCAGCAAGCCTACCAGCAGGTTCCAGTACCGTGGCTCGCCTGTCGTGGATACATCGTACTGGACACGGTTGAATGTCGTACCGCTACGCCAGATCAACGCGGGAATCTTCCCACTGCCATCCATATCCTGCTTGAGCGAGGCCCATTGGGGGTCCCGCACAGCCAAACGTGACGTCTCGTTGATGACCCACGATGCCATCATGCGCATGTAGTCCGTGTCGAACGTATCGCACGACGCTATCTGAGCATCGTACTCACGCGGCTTGCTCTGGAGCACAGAGGCAGGTGGCATCGGCACACGCACACGCAGCGAAATGCTTGGGATGTGAACGTGGAGATGCCGTGGAAGACCGCCGCCCAGTTCGCGCCATAGGAGCCACATCCAATCAGATGCCACAGAGAAAGCGCGCGCAGCCATGATGAGCACCGTCGTACCATGCCGCCGGAACGGCAGGCCACCACGACGACTGCCGCCCTCTGCGCGTGGGAATGAGAGGCAGAATAAGCGGTCGACTTCAGAGTAAAGCGACAGGGAAACTTCGCCGGGTTTTAGGGCGACAGAGTATCGGAGCTTGTAGTACTCCATGTCCCCTAGTACGTGGCCGCGAATAGACGCCACACTCCAAAACTCGACGCGGCCTGGCCGCAAGACGACGATGTACTCCTCCCATTTGTACGAACGCATTTCGTACCGACGGGCCTCGAGCGCATCAAGGTGCGCACTAATGTCCATGTGGCTGGACACACGCACTTTGACAAGCATGCGATCACGTTTGAGAATCTTGGTAGCATGATCCTGCAATTGCTTCACCTCTTTCTCTTTGGGCAGCAAGAAATCAAAGTACCGTGACAGAATAGGCGGTGCGCTCGCTTTCGGCGCGACGGCATCGTTGTCGGACGGCATGCGCCATCCCTCTTCCTTGTCCAAGTACATCTCCCGATTGCGATGCAGGGAGATGACCTCATCGACCTCTGGCTTAGGACGTGCCGGTGCGTGGGATGAGCTCATCTTGCTCAGCAGAGACTCTGATATGGATGTCTTGCGCTGGTGAACCACACCCACTCTAACGTCAGTCGGCTCAGGCAGGAGGGAACTGAGCGATTCAGGTGTGGATGGCCGGTCGGAACTACGACGGCTGGGCGTTGGGGCGTCATGTATACTCGCTCCATGCGAATGGCGGCGCAAATGGAAAGGCTTGACGCCTACCCCATGCGGGTGCCATCGCTCCAATTTCAAGGCGGAGAAGTGCAGGCCCGGCGAGCGACGGGGAGTAGACAGTGACCGTTCTTCGTGTGTTGCTGCGCCTGGTATGGGCGCCAAGAGCCACGATGGCGTGCCATGATGATGATGCCCCTCCCCATGAGGGAGCAGAGAGCCTGTAGACATCGGTCGTGTGGGCCTAGACGGTGGTAAGTCCTGGCTTGGCGATGGCCCGATACTGCGGACAGGAGATTCACGCTCCCCAAAGGTAAAGTTCAGCGAGCCTGTGGCGTATTTGGGCGTAGGTTGAACAAGTGTGGTCGGCGCCTGAGGCGTGCGTGGGAACGGCGCCGTGTCTTCGCCTGAGGATGTCGTAGAGACAGTGGGCGTAATGGGGGGCACACTGCTAGTGGAGGAGGCAGAGGGTGACGACGGTCGCCACGGCTGCCTTACCTCTTCAGGGGCAGAAACAAACGAGTCTCGATCTGAGCGATCCTCGCTGGGAATAGAAGCAAAGGCTGATACCATCGATGACGAGTCCGTATGAGAAGCACTATCGCGTTGGTGCCATACTCTCTCCGGCGCAATCTGACCGGCCACCATCGCCGTCATCTTCTCACGCTGCTGTTGCAGTTCTTCCTCCAAGCGTTGCATGGTGCGTGAGGGCTTGCCGGCCTGAATATTCACTCGTCCCTGTTGGTCGACCGTATCGCGTGTATGAACCCAGCCATGACGATCCTCAATGTTGCTGTCGTCTAGGACGCCAGGCGTAGATACCTTTGTGCGTGGAAAAGACTCTGTATCGGCAGAGGCAGCGCCCGTCAAGAACGGAGCACGGGTCAATGGCATGGGCGGAGAGCCATGTTCGTTTGGTGTATGAGATGGGACGGTGGCTTGGGCCCCAGACTCGGATGGGGCAGGAGGCAGGGCCTTGGACGGCGACGAGAGCGGCGACGAGAGCGTAGCCGATAGTGGGGGCGATGCCACGGAAGTGAACGGCTGCATCGACGCAGGGGCTCGTGAGCGTGGAGAGATCCAGGCGCTTGAACGACTCTGTGGCGATTTAACAGTTTCATGATCCATAGTAAAGGCAGGTTGGAAGACAGGCTCAGGTTCGGTGGGTTCAGCTTCAAGAACCTGTTCATAGAACGTACGTCCAATTTCGAACGAGGATCCCACAGCCTTCTGGTGCGCAAAGGTAATAGCCATTTGATCGATCAGTTCTTCACGCTCTTCATCCTCCAACTGCCATTCGGCGTCCGCTATGGGCATACCATCTGTGTAATAACACGAAGCGTCCCATGTGTGTGAAGAGGCCGGGGTATAAGGTGAGCGCAGCAGTCGGTGATGGCCATAACGCCAATGTGGGTATCGGTTACGGTGTATGCCAAACACCGAGTCATTGTCGTCGGGGTTGGCAAGAATCATACTCAGTGCCGACCGACGAAGATTGGTGGACGATCCTCGAGCAACACGACGAGGACGAACACGGCGTCGGCGAGCTGTTGGCGGCTGAGACGGCGAAGGTACCGAATCATCTGACAGAGGTGCAGGTGTTTCAGCGATCGAGCCCAAGCCAGGCGCCTCTGAATCATACTGATAAAGCCTTCTTTGAAATAGTGAACGTGGGCGTGCAGAGCGTCGTCGTCGAAGAAGAGAATGACGTGGAAAGAGGCCAAAAGAATCGCTCTTCTCAGATGGAGACGCTTCATGAGTACTCTCGCCTTTATCGTCGACCCAGAGGCCACGACGCCTTGCTTCGTCGACCAGTGTACGATCCGAAACGTGAGTGACAGGCACAGGGCCTAGCACCACCCGCCGGAAAGGGTGTTTGGCGTGAGCATGTCCAGCTATATGGAGACACTCCCTCGTGCAGTCAATGTCGTCGGACATTTGCTACACACAAGCCGTGAGGCTAGTGGGGCACACCAACCTGGTCTGTCAAAACGGTCGCAACGGAGGCACCACCACAAACAAGAGTTCAACACAGCCAATCGCTAAGTGGAGGCAACCTCCTAGCTTTCTCCGACCACTCGCATAGCTGACCACGCGTGCGCCGTGCATTTCAACAGTAGGATATGGCGCCACGCAAACGCACAGGACGTGCAGCGCACGAGCCAGCATCGTTTGAAGAATGCATGGAGGCAGGTGTAGATCAAGAGGAGCGCGGCGAGCGATTTTCTGTGGGAGCCAAGGCGCAACGGTACGTAGGTACCTTATATGCACACTAACGACAGGCATTGGGAGCAGGCCTATGCGCTGTATGAAAAGGCAGCAGCGTTCCATCCGGCATCCGCAGATGCATGGTACAATGCGTACGTACATCCATTCCTTACGATACAGCGCACGTGTCCAGTACATGCTAGGTACACAGTTCCTATTGCCCCCACAAGCTCATGCGGCTTTGCTGCAATCCTGCCATTTGTACTCAGAAGCATTGCAGCGCGTGCCTATCCTGCAAGACGGTGTACCCTCTGCGTCACGACTAGATGCTCTGTCCAACGGTGGGTATGCCCTCCAAGCCTTAGCGGAAGTGATCGATGAATTTGGATGCATGGGTAGTGAGGCAGCCTGCCAGGATACCCTGGCCAAGGCATCAAGTCAGGTTCCTCTCACAGCCGCAATGCCTGCGCCTTTGTACATGGCTGCATCACATTGGTTTGCCGAGGTAGCGCAAGGCCAGCGGCAAGTATTGCAAAGCAGTTGGACAGGCAGTGTCGAAGACACGACAGTCCCACCGCCACAGCCGGACGCAAAACCGGTGGAAGACGAAGATGAAGACGCATATACCACTAGCTTGGTAGCCCCTAGCTCTCTCCTTGAGTCGTACCTGGATGAAATTCGGTGCCATCAAGCTCTTATACCACATGCAACATGCCTAGCTGATATAGAGCAGTTGCAGTCCGCCATTCATTCAGTGTGTGCACAAGCACAAGCGTATATGGCATCCTTGGAGCCTGGATTTGGTGCTGCACAAAGCCCAACGCATGCATGGGACGAGCAAGTGAAGTCTCTCGAGCTCGTTCCTATCGCCACGCAGATTGCAGCGATGCAACGAAGCAGAGACATGGGCGTCGCCCTATCTCTGGAGAGTCTTGCTCGCCTCGAACAGACCGTGCAGGCAATAGCGGCCACATTGTGTGAAAATGCACCGCCAGCACAATCACTTACGGCTGTACGTCTGGGCTCCGATGCGGAAGCACGTATTCAGCAGTGCGAATCCCATGCTGAGCGATTGTGTGATGTGAGCGATTATGCGCACGACCTGGCCCGCATACGTATTCAGCTTCTCGCAGAGGGTGATACAGCGTCAGCGGAGCAGGCTTGGGTGCTGGGAGGCTGCGCTGCCAAGTGCGTGTTGGCAGCTGTGGCTGCTTTCGAGACGCCCACGCAAAATGCTGTGCGGTCTATGGGTCTCTCCACCTCGTGGGTCCCTATGGGATCTATCCAGCCTCCTATGAGCAATACATCGACGCTTATTTCGCGTACGCGAGCATCTATGTATGGTGAACTGGCCTCAATTTCTCTCACTCGAGCGCATGACCTATTGGTAGCAGCCTATGAGCCAGCCGCTGGCAGCCGTGCCAAGCTCCTAGACAATGCACGTATTTATGCAAGACGCGCACTCGCAGATGATGGCCTCACGTGGGTCTACCAGGTACCTCCTCCGCCATCGGAGCCTACCAATGCGCTGGGCGAGGAAAGGGCCGTGCCGTTGATCAATGCAAGGGCACTCGCACATGCCTATCCAGACGGTGGCTGGGAAAGCCTAGTCCGGGACGCGAGACTCCTGTATACATGCGTTAGAGCTACCTGGCTACGAGGGCAATACAATGGCAACCAAGAGAACGACGCAGAACTGATGGCGTTGGCCTACGCCATGTGGTCGCTCGTCCATCGCCAGGATGCCTACGCAACGCTACTCTCCGACTCCACATTGCTGCAGGCCTGGCTGGACGAAGACGTGGTGCCATTGCCGCCTAGGGAACACGAGTTTTGGTGGCAAAATTGGCGCCCAGCCTTGACACTTCCTAGCGCAAATTTCATTGCGCAGCAGTGACAGGTGCATTTCTTGACCCTAACGCCAATCAGCTTGCCGAATTTAGCTACCGAATAGCGCCCCGAATACAGCCAACCCCTAGGGGGCATAGACTACAGAACGCCCACCACGTAATAATGACGTAGTATGCATGCATTTATCTGCGCAAATTACGCAGGCTAGCCGGCAGCCGGACGTGCAAACATGGGGAAACGAAAGTGCCAAGGGCAGTTGGCGAAGGGAAGGTGTCTCAAATCAGGTAGGTACATCTCAAATTCATCCCTTCTAACAGCTTCCTTGTGCGAGTCGTCTTTCTCTAAAACCCTTGTGTGAGTTGAGTTGTCACTATGACTCTCAATAAGACTATGCGAACTGTAGAGATACCTTCGCCGGAGCAACCGCGGCTGAAGCGTGTTCGGCCTTCTCCCCCGGATTCGGATCGAGATGGGGGACGAGGACCATCGACTCAGAAGTTGAGCCCTGCCTCGGAACACAATGGACTGGCATTTAGTCCATCTCATCGTCAGCCCCCTCGATACGTGCAGCCTAGCACAGAAACATACGACCTTTCACGAAAAGCAGCACGTCTCGAACGCTCTCGTGCGACAGAGTACAGCGACAGTTGGTCTCCCCACGCACACCCCTCATTAATGCAGCGACGCGGAAAGCAGGCATTAGGGAGGGTGTCTGCTTTGCAATTGAGCAGCAATGCCAGTACAGAACGGAGTTATGGCCTTGATGTGGATGAGCGCCGACCTTCTGTGCACAGCGCCCCACCGCAACAGGTCCACTTCGGCTCAGATACACGTCTCCCTCCGCCATCGTACTTGTTCCGTGCATCGGAACGCGACGCACGTGAAGGCGGGCATGATCATGACGATCTAAAGCGCCGTACGGTCTCGTCGATGCAGCCTGAAATGCAGGGATATCTCCCCACTCCTGGTGGCACACCTCGTGTATTCCTGCCTCAAAATGCAGCGCTTCCGTCCCCAGCTTACCATACTTGTCATATCGGTCAGGGTATGATGCAAGCAAACATGGATCGCACGAATGGTGCTGCTGATACATCCTCGCGGACGGCCGATACCTCGATCGATGGAAGTACCATACAGCCCAAGTCACCTGTGAACAAGATGAACTTCCTCTCTCTTTTTGCAGACTTTTATGACTCCCTGTCGGATAGTCGATCACTAAAAGCCACGTTGGAGCATCAGATTCGGGCCAGCAATACATTGCTCCAGACGCTACAGCGATCCAGCAAGGTGCTCGAAGAAGCGGTGGACCAGCGGTTGCAACAAGAAACGAAGGCTTGGGAGACGCGGCTCCAACGAATGGAATCTCGTTTGAACGAATTAGAGGCAAGGTTGTCATCGTCCAAGTCGGACAAAACTCTGTCGCCCAAGAATGGTTCATGATACACTCTAAAATGTCTATCTCACACGCACTCACACTTTACGCACCATTATCCAAGGGCCAGTCAGAAAGGTGTGACGTTGTAGTACAGACCTGCTTTCTGGCTGGCCTAGACTTTTGACGATTTTGTTTCAATAGCTGCATTCATTTCTTTCCATGTCCTTCACTTGTTGACAGTAAAGTATCTGAACGGCTGATAGCCCACCTATGCTTTACGTAGAACGTTTAACTCAGACACTAAAAGAATACATGGACCTATTATGTAGGAGATGACTGCACAGCAATACATTATTTTACATGCAAGTGCAGAATGCGGCTCAAACTCAAGCGCACAGTTGTAATAATTGGAAGTTGCTCCTTGGCATAAAACCCTTATTACATTTGCACCCCTGCCCTCAGTTGGATCCTGGGTGCGACTCATGGCCATGGTGGCCATCGTGGTTATGTGTAAAAGGAATAATAGGTGGGTCTTCTGTTTCTTCATGACCGGGCAAGTCTGTGTATTCAAGCTCCGGATGATGCTCGAGTGTTTTCTCTTCCTCTAGGGTAACAACACCAAGCTTATGAAGCATATCGGGCGTCATGGTGCTGCGTGGACCCTCGTAATAGTTGCGGGCATGAATCAGATAGTAGAACACAGCAATGAAAAGAACACCCATCATGACCACCCATGAATAGTTAAAGTTGACAGCCGAGATCGGAAGCACCGTAGGAATACTCAAAATAGTGCATTCAAACAAGGTCCAGAAGATGGCCACGGAATTAATAATTCGGCCAAACAATCCTTTGCCGAGAGTGAATGGACCAGGCTCAAAGAGTACCTCGGGATGGTTTTGGAAGATTTGGCGGCAAACAATGGGAATTAGATAGGAAATGTCCATACCCAAGGCAGCCAACGCGAAGATCGCATTGATAGCTGTCTGCGAAATAAAGCCAAGGCAGCCAAGAAGCATACATAGTACAATCACAAGCCATACAGCGTTGGCAGTTGTACCCGTAGGCTTGAAAATCTTGCTGAAGAAACGGCGGTCAGGCAAGCCGCGATCACGCGAGAAAGCATAGAAGGAACGCGCATTGGCCTGCGTCGCAGTGGTCACCACAAAGAAGGCCACAAGGCACACGAAGGGCCACACAACTAGGAAACCAACCTTGCCCATACGCATACGCATAATCTCAGCCATAGCCAGACCAGCTGGCATTTGGTCCACATCACCATTCACCACATCGCCTGAAGTAATGACGAGGACAATATTAAGGAGCCAGCCAACAATACCTGTACCAGCTACAGCTACCATAATAGCCACCGGTGCAGCGATAGAGGCACGGTGTACCTCCTCGGAAATGTGAGCAGTCGCATCGTAATCTGTCATCACGAACTGAACTGACAAAAGACCGAACAAGAAAGCAAGAGCATCACCACCTTGACCTGTCCATCCCGTGTTGTTAATCAGCTTTCCAAATGTATACGAGGGTCCATGCATCTCATGCAAAGGGGTCGTGGCCAACAAGACGATGATGATGACAAAGGTAATGCCAATGTTGACAACGACGTACGAGCCGGTCATCTTAGCTAGCGTCTTGGAGTCCAGTGTGTTGATGCACCCATGAATAACGAGCAAAGCAAAGTATAGACCCACTGTCATGGGACGGGTAGCAATAAAGTTTCCATCTGAGATGACATAGGCCCATGCATAGATCATCTGCGAAAGACCATATTCAGTACCAGCAATACCAGCAATTTGACCAGTCAAATTGAGCCATCCTGTACACCACGCCACCGGAGCTCGGTATTTCTGGGGGACAAGCATACCACTAGCAGAATAGAGACCGCCCGATGATGGATAGGCTGAGACTAGTTCTGCAATCGCAGTACCCAGGGTCATATTGAAGCATGATCCCATAAACCACGCCCAAACAGTCGATGCTGGCCCACCTCCATAGAGAAAAGGCGTGGAGAAAGTAGTGGCAATGGAAGATACCAGACCCATGATAGCAAAGGCGAATGAGATGGTTGAGAAGCTCTTAAATTCACGAGCAAACTCGGAGCGGTGACCAAGGCGACGCGCAAGCTGGGCATCATCGTCATCAAGGGTAGAATTGACATCGGTCACATCTTTGTGTGTGACTTCTGTGCCCCGGTCATAAATTTTTTCATCCTTGGCCGGCTCGCCTTTAAACATTGTGCGGGGGAAGATGGGAAAGAGACTTTGCAAATTCTGAAATAGGGTATCAAATTCTCGATAATTTTCCCCGGCCGACTTTTTTTGCAATTGGCAGATCCTTTTGCGCCAATGATTTAGAGCTAATAGAAATCTCGGCAGTAATAAAGCCATCAAGCGAATAAAAATATGTTAAAACATTATCAGCCCTGCATGCGCTTGTTTATGCAGGAGAAGCGGGCTCTTGGTAGGCTAAGCCTTCGTTGGCATTGTACCCTTGCCGGTGGTGACACATCAAGCGACATACGCTCCTATGTGGCGGCGCCTACCAAACCAAGTTGTCACTCTATGGCGGCGACGCTTACATGCAGGTAGCATGGTATGCAGGCGACCTAATCGCCCGCAACGCCAAACTTTTGCTGATATCCTTCGCCAAAATATGGAGGAGGAATTGCGACGCCAAAAGCAGTCGTCTGCGTCATATCCCCAGCATGTACCTCACCAGTCGCAACGCACGCCCTGGATGCAAGGGCAATATGCCCGTATTCCTACGCAACAAAACTCATTTGGACGGCAGGCAGGTGGTGTCTCCGGTCAGCACCCTCGTTTAGTGCTGCTCTTAGTGATTGCTGGAGGTGCTGGAATATATTATGTTGTTCATCTAGAGCAAGTGCCCGCTACGGGTCGCTGGCGATTCCTGGATGTAAGCATCGTTGATGAGCTTCGCATGGGCGATCAAGCGTACCAAAGCACGATGCAGGAGTACGCACCTCAAATCATATCGAATTGGAGCTCTGCTGGTCAACAGGTCAATCGCGTAGCGAAGCGCATCATTGCCGCTTGTCGGGATTTGGATATACAGCGGGCCGAAGGGGCCCCAGAGACCGAGTGGACAGTTCATGTTGTGGATGATCCCACCCAAAAGAATGCGTTTGTCCTACCAGGCGGCCATATTTTTGTGTTTACTGGTATTTTACCTGTATGTGCCAATGATGATGGCTTGGCTACCGTGATGGCGCACGAAATCGCGCACCAACTCGCGCGGCATTCAGCGGAAAAAATGGCTGGTACGAAAATCCTCATGGCAGGCGCATTTGCACTGGACATGCTGGGTCTCGATATTGGTATTAGCCGTATTCTGCTTAATCTTCTGCTTTCCCTGCCCAACTCACGCAAGATTGAGAGCGAAGCCGATCAGTTGGGCCTAAAGATTATGTCCAAGGCATGCTACAACCCTGATGAAGCGGTTAGCTTCTGGGAGCGGATGGACAAGTCTGAAGCGCACCAGGGCAAGTGGGCTGAATCAGCCAAGGCCCTCTTGTCGACACACCCAGTTAATTCCCAACGCATTGCTAATATCAAGTCGTGGCTCCCAGACGCCAGGAACGAGTTCCAACAGAATCGTTGTTCAATGTCTCAGGCACTCCCTGCAATGCTGTCGTCAGCGCCATGGCGTGCATCGGCTGAGCAGTAATATACACATGATAGGCGCAATATATATCCATTAAGCTTAAGATGTATCTACAGTGAAATATCATGACGAAGTTAAAACTTCCACAACTTGGTGAGCAGAAGGGCGCTGACTTGATGAGAGTTGCAGAATGGAGGGAAGGCATTGCTCGACCACTCGATACAATGCCTGTCCTGCAGCAGAACCATCTATCTCAGCCAAGGAGGCCCAGTAAGGCAATCGGCTCCATATGGTCTCTGTCGCAGCATGATGTACGAAGGGGAATTGTTCCAACGGGGGCTGGAAATGAGCCGCTTCCGGCCATGCAGAAAGATTGTCCGGAAGACCCAGCACCTTGAAAAAGTCGCATGCCAGAGCAATATCCCCGTTCGATGAGTCGAAGAGGGTATCACGTTCATACTTGATAGGTCGCCAGCGCCGCAGCTCATCATGGCTTGGTCGATCAGGGAAAAGTGAACGTTCCCACGAAGTGAAATCATTACGAGGCAAATCATCTTCTTCACATACTTCTTGCAGCGACGAAAAGAAACTGGCCATGACCATACCAAGGGACCAAATATCAGCTTGGAACGCGTTGTATCCACGTTGTGGAGCAAAGAGAAGCTCAGGAGCACGGAAAGCACCACTGCCGACATCGCTGATGCGTGCACAATCGGAGCTACCTTCCGTGGGATGAAGACCAAACGGCGGGACTTCATATTGCCCTCGCTCCCATGCCACACCCAAATCAATGAGCTTTAATGTGCCATCTGTACCAAACATAATATTGGACGGCTTGATGTCGCGGTGCGCTACTTGTTCGCTGTGCAAGTAGGCCACGACATCTGCTAGTTGTACCAATGTGGAAGATACAAACGACGAAAACGTTTGGCCATCGAACAAAGCATGCCATGGTGAGCGAGCTGTAGACGAAGCCAAGAGAGTTTCGGCGGAAGGAACCAAGATAGGATCGTTGAGGATATCTGTAAGCTTGTAAGGATAGAGCGGCATAACCAGGTGAGAAAGAGTGGTAAAGTCATCTGGGGCATCAGTAAAAGCAGCAAGCAGCTGTGCTAGGCGCTTATGACGAAGCCGTTGAAGCAAACGCAGCTCGCGTTCCACATCGTGTGGTTGATTTTGAGCATCCAAATCGACTTTCTTAATGCAAATCCAATGTGGGACGCCTCCGTCTTCTAGGATCAGCGCTGACGAAAGCGGCCATGGAGCCTTGTAAACAACGGAGCAAAGACCATGGCCAACAAGAATCATACTAGTATCATCAAAAGGATCATCTAGGCTATCTAATGGTTAGCATACAGTCTCAACAAATTGTACGTACCACATGGTGCCACCAGAACGCTTCAAGAAATACTCGTCAAGTAATCCGAAGAAGGCGTGTTTATCAGCATCGGTAAAACGAGAGAACTCGATGTGGGTCGAATTCGCAGCTGTAGGGAAGGTATGAGAAGAAGGCGTGGCAGACGGCGCCGCGCTTGTCGCATGCACAGGTGTGAACGAGGAGTTACCCGCGGCAACAGACGAGGGCGGCGGTGGGACCATACGAGGGCGCTCTTGTTGGCTCACAGCCCCCATAGCGCCTCCGCCGCTGCGCATTTGCGCAAGGCGTTCTTCATAGGATGAACCACCTTTGTAGGTCGATTTATAGCCCTTGGGCCGAAGATGCAAATGTTCTTCGCCCCAGCGATCCATTTTATCGTTCATGTCGGTACGCCATTTGTCCAGTGGGTTCGGCATGATGAAGTAAATGAAAAAACGACAATTCGAACGCCCGTGCTGTGCTGGCGCAGCCGTTCGCGCCGCTGGTCCCACAAGCTCGCGTGCCTTCACGTGCCTTTTGTGGAGGAGGCAGCCAAAAAAAAAGTGGCTCATCTCTCTACCATGACGTCCGACATGGCGCACGCGCCATCCAAGGTCGAGAAGGCCACGGACCCAACGACAGATGATGTAGATGCAGTTGAGGAAGAAGAAGTCACATCCTTCCGGGAACTTGGTGTCATTGAGCCGATCTGCGAGGCATGCGAAAAGATGAACTTCAGTAAGCCAACACCGATTCAAGCCAAGTCGATTCCCGTCGCTCTTCAGGGACGAGATGTCATCGGACTTGCACAGACTGGTAGTGGCAAGACGGCTGCTTTTAGTATTCCCATTCTTCAGGCTCTTTGGGACGACCCAAAGCCTTATTTTGCCTGTATTCTCGCACCTACTCGGTACGTACCTTTTGCGCTCATCACAGTGAATTGTCCTATCAGATCTCGCAACAAATTGAAGCGCTAGGTGCTACCATTGGAGCGCGTTGCGCCACCATTGTAGGTGGCATGGACATGATGAGTCAGTCCATTGCTCTCTCCAAGCGACCGCATGTAATTGTCGCCACGCCAGGTCGTTTGCAGGATCATTTGGAAAATACCAAGGGATTCAATCTGCGTGGCCTCAAGTACCTTGTCATGGACGAAGCTGACCGTCTCCTGGATTTGGATTTTGGTCCTATTATTGACAAGCTCCTGCAGAATATTCCCAAAGAACGCCGCACAATGTTGTTCAGTGCTACTATGACCACCAAGGTCGCTAAACTGCAGCGTGCAAGCCTGCGCAACCCCGTTCGCGTGGAATTCGGGACAAAGTACTCGACCGTATCGACGCTGCAACAGTACTACCTATTTATGCCATTCGCACACAAAGATACCTATCTTGTTCATTTGGCCAACGAACAAGCAGGTCATTCGATCATTGTATTCACGCGGACTGTTCACGATGCCCAACGATTGGCTGTGCTACTCCGTCTTCTTGGGTTCTCTGCAATCCCGTTGCATGGCCAGTTGTCGCAAACGGCACGACTGGGTGCACTGAATAAGTTCAAGTCCGGCGGCCGCTCGATTATGGTATGCACGGATGTGGCCGCTCGTGGTTTGGACATTCCTGCTGTGGATCTTGTGGTGAACTTCGATATCCCTACACACTCCAAAGACTATATTCACCGCGTCGGTCGTACAGCCCGAGCTGGGCGCCAAGGTCGCAGTGTGACGTTGGTAACGCAGTACGATGTTGAACTGCTACAACGTATTGAGGCGGCTATTGGGAAGAAGTTGGAGGAATTCCCGGATGCCAAGGACCGCGATATGATTATGCTGCTTTCTGAACGTGTAGGTGAGGCCCAACGAGCAGCACTGCGTGAACTGCAAGAGAAAGGCTTAGGTGGCGCGGGGGGTGCTGGTCGCCGAAAGCGAAAGCAGGCGGCTGCCTACGAAGATGAACGTGATCGCGACGATGACGTGGTTGAAGCAGGTGCCTACCGAAGCAAGGCCAAATCAGGTATGGGAAAACGTAGGAAGTAAAGTATTGTTTATGTGCGGGTCACTATGCCTACTTCTTTGGCGGGGTATTGGAAGGGCTCATCATCTTTGCGTCGCCAATATTTTTTCCTGACAGTGTGAGTGAGAGAAGAGAAACGTACTTTTTTCCATCCGTCGTCTGGCACCACACCTCAACACAATACTTGGCCTTGAATTGGCGGATGAAGCGCGGATCCCACAACTCTGAGGCAATGCCAAGGTCCTTGCAGCAGCGCATCAGTGCATTGGACTTGGCACCCTCGTTCGCTGTTGGAACACCCGTAGGACGGAAAAACTCTTGCTCGCCACGCGCGGTAGATACAAAACTATTGTCAGTGTGCGTATACATACCGCCCCAGGCAAATGAGCGTCCATTCACGACTCAGAATGCCTTGCGAAATTTCAGCCTCCCCTTGTGGCGCAAGACCCCAACCACCTGGTCCAAATGCCTTGTTCAAAATGCGACGGTATTTGATTTCAGGTAGGTACAATAGACCGTCTGTCGATGTTAGTAATAAGCATACATACCGGGCTTGATTTCCACATCGTCTTTGCTGATGGGTTCACTAAGAATACGCGCCACTTGTGATGGGAATGGCTTCATCCCAATTCCATCAAAACCTGACTTCCATGCTTTTTCTGGCACAGGATTCTTCTCCGTATCAGTACTTCCTTCGGCCAACTCTTCTACCATTTCAGCCACAGAGGCGTCGGCAACATGCGCCTTGGAAGGCGTTGATGAGGATGAAACCGCTGGCTTAGAAGGAGACGCCATCCTCTCCGCCCAGGTGTAAGATTTTTGTGTTGTCTTAGACATGTTTGATGCGTATCGTACCCATGGCAAGGGGCGATGCAATAAAGCTTGGACAGATCGTGCACGCAGCATCTTCCACACGATCCTACCTGTAAGATACGCCGTCGCGCCTCGCGCCCATTATCCCCCGGGGGGTCACGTGTGCGAGGAGCCAGACTAGTCAATTGCGACAAAAAAAAATAAAAAACCGAGCTTAGATAGCCTGAGTGTGCCAGACAGGGTGCAAGCACGATTTCCCCACTTCCCTCCTCGCCCCCCACCCTCACCTAAAAATAAAATGGCGGACACCCAACGTCCTCAAGTGACCATCCTTGACGATGATCACCACGATGCAAGTGATGTTGCCGGAGAAGCCGTCAAGGCCGATTTTGAGTCTATTGACAGTGATATGGCTTTTGCAAAAGAGCTTGGCATCACGTTGGACTACGAGCGTCAAGTAAAAATGGCCAACCAGTGTATCCATGACATGGGATTTGGCTGGTTTCAGATTAAGCTTACTCTTCTGGCAGGTTTTGGCTGGCTTGCTGATAACATCTGGTTCGAAGTCCTGGCCATGACTCTCACACCCATTGATTACGAATGGGGCATCAAGTTGCATAAAGCAGAATGGTCGTGGGCCAATTCGAAATGGGCAACCTTCTCTCTATACTCAGGTTTGCTAATTGGATCATTGGGTTGGGGCTTTATTTCTGATATCATTGGACGTCGGCCATCATGGAATCTCACTCTTTTCATTTCTGCAGCCTTTGGTATTGCAGTGGGAAGTGCGCCTAGTTTCCCCGTAATGTGTGTGCTTTTGGGCTTATTGGGATTGGGCTTGGGAGGAAACCTTCCAGTCGATGGTGCAATGCTGATTGAATACATCCCTGGTCCGCATCAGTGGATTCTTACTTTCCTATCACTCTTTTGGTGCATTGGTCAGCTCTACGCTGCACTCATAGGTTGGGCGTTCATCTCCAACTATCACTGTGCTGCTATTGATATTGGTGATCATAACATGGCATGCCCCAAGGCCGAAAATTGGGGATGGCGCTACTCCTGGTTCCTCTTGGGTGGTACGGTGATGCTAATGTGGGCCATTCGTTTCTTCGTGTACCCCATTCCTGAGTCGCCGAAGTTCCTGTTGGCAACTGGTCGCGAAGAGGAGGCGTACCAGGTGCTGCAATTTATTGCCAAAGAAAACAGAAAGACGGTAAACTTTACATTTGCACAACTTGTAAATGCCAAGTACCGCCGCACGGATGAAATGCTAGACGGTCAAGGATCGGTTGCTGCATATGATATTGAGAACACAGATCCAGAGTACGAGGAAGTTTTGGATGTTCATGCCCCTACACACTGGAGTCGTATAAGGAGCAATTGGGAACACAACAACTTGCGCCCGTCGTATATTCGCCGCACCATCAAGAACATGCGTATTTCGCCAATTTCTGCGCTGTTTGCCTCCAAAAAGATGGCCTGGAACACGACTCTGATCTCTGCCTGTTGGGGTCTGATTGGTCTGGGTTATCCTCTCTATAACTCCTTCATCGGAACGTATCTGCAGGCTATTGGTGGTGTGGATGGCGGCGCTACGACGATTGCGCAGCAGTCGCGCCAACTGGTCATTTTTGCTGCATGCGGTATTCCTGGTAGCTTTATTGCTGCTGGTGCTGTGGAGCTTCCGTACGCTGGTCGTCGTGGTTCTATGGCGATCTTCACGTTGTTAACAGGTGTCTTTTTGTTCTGTTTCACTACAGCTCGCACGAACTCTGCTGTGTTGGGCTGGAACTGTGCAACCAGTTTGACGGAGAATGCGATGTACGCGGTATTGTACGCAATTACCTACGAGGTCTTCCCAGCCCCTCAACGTGGTACTGGTGATGGATTTACTATGAGTGTGCAGCGTGTGTTTGGTATCGTGTCTACGATCGTGGGTATTGGCGTGCAGTCCGAGTTTAAGGCTCCGATTTATGTGTCGGGTGCCGCGTTCCTGGTAGCTGGTGTGATTATGTTCTTCCTGCCGTATGAGCCACGGGGCAAGACGGCTTTGTAAGTGTTACATCTATGTTTTGTGTTTCTATAGGCAGTATGCAAACCATCTCAAAATTTGTGACTAAATGTAAAAACGCGATGTAGGTCTGATATCATGTGCCTAGAAAGTGGCGTCATTGCGGGGGACGGGGCCTCCATTATCACGTGAGGAGGGTTAGTCGTCGTCCCAAAGGAGCGTTCCTCTCGTGGATTGTCGCCATCATGATGCTTACTCGTGCGATTCGAGTTGCAGCTGCGCCCAAGCGCTTGAGCGCGGTGAACCTGTTCTCTACCTCAGCCGCTATCAACGATGCTGCCCATAAGGTCGTTGTTATTGGCGGTGGTTCCGCTGGTCTCTCTGTCTCTCACCAGCTACTCAACACCGGCAAGTTCAAGGAAGATGAGATTGCGGTGGTTGAGCCGTCGCAGTGGCACAACTACCAGCCTGGCTGGTCCCTAGTAGGTGGCGGTTTGAAGACGCGTGAGTCGCTCCGCCGCGAAGAGAGCACCCTCATCGACCCGAAGATCCATTTGTACAAGGATGCTGTGACTACGATGGAGCCTGAACAAAACCAGGTGACTACGTCGTCTGGCGAGAAGCTGACGTACGAGCACCTTGTGATTGCTTCTGGATACACGATCACGCTGGACGGTATTAGTGGCCTCAAGGAAGCGCTGGCCGACCCCTCCAGCAACGTCGCGTCCATCTACACGTACGACTCTGTAGTAGATGTCTTCCCGAAGATCAACAGGCTGAAGGAGGGTCGGGCTATATTCACGCAGCCTGGCTCTCCTATCAAGTGTGCTGGTGCCCCACAGAAGATTATGTGGCTTGCACTGGACCATTGGCAGAAGAACGGCTTGTACAAGAAGGACGCTAGCTCGCCGATCAAGATTGATTTCGCGACGGGTATGCCGACTATGTTCTCTGTTCCAAAGTACAGTGAAGTTCTCAACAAGCTGCGTGAGGAGCGCGGTGTGGGCGGTTACTTCCAGCACAACCTCGTGGCTATCGAGGACAATGGTAAGACGGCCGTGTTCCAGAAGGGTGACGAGAAGGTCCGTATGCCTTTCGACTTTTTGCATGTGACGCCCACCATGGCCCCACCTGCTTTCCTCAAGAACTCGTCCCTGTCGAACGAGGGTGGTTATGCCAACGTGAGTCAGGACACGCTGCAGCACGTGAAGTACAGCAATGTGTGGTCACTAGGTGACTCGAGCTCGCTGCCTACCAGTAAGACTGCTGCGGCTATTACCGGTCAAGCGCCTGTACTTGTGACCAACCTGACCAACGCGTTGGATGGCAAAGCGCCCAGTGCCACGTACGATGGTTACACGTCTTGCCCGCTCTTGACCGAGTACGGCAAAGTCTTGTTGGCTGAGTTCATGTACGGCTTGAAGGTCAACGAATCGTTCGCCAAGTTTGGCATCGACCAGGGTAAGCCGCAGCGTGCCTTCTACTACCTGAAGAAGGACTTTTTCCCTTGGGTGTACTACAACAGCATGGTGAAGGGTACCTGGGCCGGTCCGAAGGGCTGGCTTAGCGGTAAGCGCTCGTTCTCAACTAGCACACGTGCGATGCGCAATACCCCTACGCGTCACCCTCGTGACCCTTTGGACTATAGTGCGCAGGCTGTTCGGTTTCCGCTAGAGAGTGGTGAAACTTTCATCGCACGCTCAGCACCATCGCAGGACACTGGTCGTGTCTCTTTTGGAACGGCTCAGGCACTGTTCGAGAATGCTTCGCCTCTGTCGCCAGAAGAAGAGGCCAAGATGCCGCCACAGCTGCGTTCGCAAAGCACTCGTGCTGAGTCGAACAACCTGACAAAGGCACAGATCCAGGAGATGCAGCAACTCCGTCATCAGGACCCTTACAAATTCACGGCTAGTGTCCTTGCAAAGAAGTTCGGATGCTCACCAACATTTGTTAGCATCGTCGCCCCTGTATCGAAAGAGGTGCGCTCCGCTCGTAACGCAGAGATGGAGTTGAAGAAGGTTACCTGGGGTATGAACAAACGCATTGCACAAGAGCAACGCCGTGAACGTAAGGCGCTTTGGTAAGAAAGTAGTTTTTATTAGACATACCGAAAGGTATAATCGGAAATGAGAGACTTGCAAAATCGTGAACCTGAAACGAGGAAAATTGCTTCTGTTAAGATATGTCCAAAGACTACGACATGCTAGTCTTGAGGCCCAATAGTATAGTCGTATTATACTCCCTTCGGGAACATAAAAACCCTCAGGGGAGCCCTGAGCTTGGGAGAGGTCCCGGGTTCAATTCCCGGTTGGGCCCTATTTTTAATAAGCATGTAGACAAAGCCACACTATATTTATGTCAGTCTATTGCTGGGAAAAACAGCGCGGCCCAATAGTATAGTCGTATTATACTCCCTTCGGGAACATAAAAACCCTCAGGGGAGCCCTGAGCTTGGGAGAGGTCCCGGGTTCAATTCCCGGTTGGGCCCTTTTTTGCTCGCAGAACCTTTAGCTACATGGGATTGATCTCCTTCGCATACGCCCATGCACTTTTTAGAGCTTTGTGGTTCGTCTAGCACGTAATTTTACTTTAACAAAAAGCCTGAAAGTGGTATTGGAGATCGTTACATAGTCTATGGAAGTGCCAAATAATATTTTTCAAAAGAACCATCAAGCTTCGTGACAAGGCCCTTATGGCAAAAGGTCATTAATGAGCAATGTTGAGAGAAGACAGGTAACTTCATCGTCGAACCAATACAAAAAAAAATGGACTCGTGAATATATGCTTGGTTCTTCGCATATAAAAACTTGATGGCAAAACTCGTGCTTTTGAAATGCGAGCCTAAATCATAGCAGATCGCTTCATGGAATTTGGCATATAGTCAAGACGGGCCCATTGGTCCACAGTATCAATTCCAGAGGGGTTTTCAAGACGAATGTCACAAGCAACGCAAGATTTACATCCTGAACTGGACGAGGAAGGAATAACTTGGCGTCGTTTCTCATCAGATCGGCCCATGCACCCTTTGCACGAGCAAATTCCTTTACATTGACACTCAGGCTTGTATTCTTGAGACATATCTGCAACTCTGACAAGGATATCCATCGACTTGGTGGCCAACTTTGGATCAACGTTGTTGGATATCACGGATGAGCAGCATTCCTCCTTTTTGGTACGTAGAGGCAAGTTGTGTGTGGACTGCGTACATAGGAAATCCTTACTCTCTGGTTGGAACACTGGAGAGTACGGCTCGGGCTTCATGGTAGTACGTGAAGGAGTTGATTTGTTTGTATCGTAGGAGGTCTGGCAACATGTGCATACTGTGCCTTTTTTACATGAACAGGGATTCAGCAAAAACTCAAAGGAGAGCGGACTGCAGCGCTTCAAAGGAGACGAAGACGAAGATTCTGCAGCTGGTACAGCGGTCGTGGCTGAGGTCGTGGATGCTTGTTGGCCTAATGCTTTTGTGGTAGAGCTAGGACCTGCATTAAATGCAGCCCGCTTAGCCTTGTTATTGCAATCGCATCGTGTGTGACGACCTGTGCGTATGCGTTTTTCGCGACACTCTTGACATTGAGACAAAGGCCTGCCACGACGCTTCACTACCAAAAGAGGGCCTTTGGAGCCATCCTGATGTTTGCAAGTCGAGGCACGGTGCCCCTGTATACAGGTGGCACAGGCAAGTTTTACGGGTCGCTCCGAATCCATGAACGTATATTGTTTCCTTTATCAATGTAATAGAAAGGAAGAAAGGACGGGATGATGAGTCTATCCTTGGCACCAGTATAATAGGGACATTTCGGTCCCAGGCCAAGCATACAAAAAGTCTTGGCACAGCGCAATAATCCCTCTATTTGCCAATCGATTGTGCATTTTGGCCCTTCAGCGCCACATCTGCGGCCTATGACTCAAGTCACGTGGCATCATCCTTTGGCCGATCGTTGCGTGTCCATTGCAATACTTCCTTGGCACGACATGTCTGGAGACGGACGTGCGCCGCGCATTAAGAACCGTGCGCCTGCGCCGGTTCAGATTACTGCAGAGCAGCTTCTTCGAGAAGCCCAGGAGCGTCAAATTCAACCGAAGCGCAAGACCCCGCGCCTTCGCATCGAGAGTTATGAAGAACTTGAAGATTATCGAGCGCGAAAAAGAACTGAGTATGAAGATGCGGTGCGTCGACTCCGAGGCAATGTACGTATATAAATGTACTGACGTGTAGATGGCAGCATGGATCCGTTATGCGACATGGGAGGCAACACAGGGTCAAATGGATCGATGCCGATCGGTATTTGAACGTGCCTTGGACGTAAACCCACACCATGTCCCTCTCTGGCTGAGATACACGGAACAAGAATTGAAGATGCGTAATGTAAATCATGCACGTAACCTGTTTGACCGTTCCGTGTCCATCCTCCCTCGTATTGACCAACTGTGGTATAAATACGTGCATATGGAGGAACTGTTAGGCAATGTAAGCGGTACTCGCGAGATCTTTGAGCGCTGGATGAGCTGGGAACCGGATGAGCGTGCATGGAATGCGTACATCGCCTTTGAGGTTAGGTACAGCGAGTTTGAGAATGCTAGTGCCGTATGGGAGCGCGCAGTAACATGCCATCCAGAACCCAAACAATGGATCAAATGGGCGAAGTATGAAGAAGATCGTGAGCAGCTGGAGAAAGCGCGGCAGGTATTTCATATGGCCTTGGACTTTTTTGGAGAGAGCGAAGATGCATTGGAACGCTCACAGAGTCTCTTCACAGCCTTTGCGAAGATGGAGACACGCCAAGGTGAATACGATCGGGCTCGTATGATCTACAAATATGCACTGGAACGGATTCCGCGCGCGAAGAGTGAAGGAATTTACACCAGTTATACCCGCTTTGAAAAGCAGTTTGGAAGTATTAAAGGAGTGGAAGATACGGTGACTCAGAAGCGGCGCTTGCAGTACGAAGAAGAAATTGAAGCTGCTGGCGGCGCAGCCGGTAATTACGATACCTGGTTTGACTATACTCGGTTGGAGGAAGAGTCGTTTCGATCGCTGGTCGATGAAGGTGCGCCTGACTATATGCTTGAGACAGCGCGGAACAAGGTGCGCGATGTATACGAGCGTGCCGTTGCACTCGTACCACCAGGCGAAGAGAAGCGGCTGTGGCGCCGATACATCTATTTGTGGCTACGCTATGCCCTTTTTGAAGAAATTGATGCGCAAGATATGGATCGCGCGAAAAAGGTCTATGCAGCTGCCGTGTCTGTGGTGCCACACAAGCATTTTACGTTTGCCAAGCTATGGTTGAACTATGCGTACTTTGAAGTGCGTCGTCTTGATTTGACGTTAGCCCGTAAGATTTTAGGGACGGCGATTGGTTTATGTCCCAAGCACAAGCTGTTTAAGGGCTACATTGAGTTGGAGTTGTCGCTCAAAGAATTTGATCGCGTTCGAAAGCTCTATGAAAAGGCGCTGGAATGGGACCCCAGCAGTTCCAGTACGTGGGTCAAGTTTGCCGAGTTGGAACAAAACCTCTATGACTTGGATCGTGCACGTGGCATCTACGAGCTTGGTATTCAGCAAGCGGAGTCGGACTTGGGCGGCATGGATATGCCAGAGGTCCTTTGGAAGGCCTACATTGACTTTGAATTCAACGAGCGTGAAATGGAGCGTGTGGAGGCGCTGTATGAGCGTTTGTTGGAGAAGACGAGCCATGTCAAGGTATGGATCAGCTATGCGCTGGGCAAGATGGCCGCAGTTATTGCTATGGAAGAGGATGAAGATGCCGAGATGGAAGAAGAGACGGGAGAGGCCCCCGTGCACTCGGAAGAGACACTAGCAGAACGTGCGAAGACGCATGCCCAGGCAGCAGATGATGCACGAGCAATCTTTGAGCGTGGCTACGATGCGCTGAAAGAAGAAGGCTTGAAAGAGGAACGTGTCGTTCTCCTGGAAGCCTGGAAAGCGTTTGAAATGGAGCATGGCGATGAGGCCCGTGTGGAGCATGTGCAGTCTAAGATGCCGCGTGTCGTGAAGAAACGCCGTGAGATTCCAGGAGGCGATGGCGCGATGGAAGAATACTACGATATGGTGTTCCCCGACGAAGAAGCACAAAACAAGCCGGCCCTCAAATTGCTACAGATGGCCCATGCATGGCGTGCGCAGCAAACCAGTACATCGTAGGTACTTTTGTAGTTGTAAGACATGCAATCACGAGGCATGGGCAAGCAAGCTGGAAAAAGAGGTCCCCCGCGCGAACGTGCAGGGGTGTGGAGGGGAAGACGGAGGGTTTCCACCAGCGATCACAACCACAGGGCCAGGGCAAGACGGGGATGGTCGCAAGCACTGCCTCAGCATGGCCTGCCTCGTCGACACAAGGCCTAGACACGGCCTATTTATGCGTACCTATGGGCGACTGTGAGCCGTGTCCTGCTGAGCATGTAGGTTGAGCAGCGCAACTCACATGGCAGCTAGCATACCCGTACTGCCGACCATACAACAACCGACAGTCCGTGTCGTGTACACATACAGAAACACATACGAAGGTGCAGGGCTGGAGTGCCTGTGGCAAGTTTGTGCACGACGAGGTGCGTGCCTATACAAAGTTTGTGGTACGTTGACCGTGCACTCACAAGCCAGTTCCTTAATGTACTGCTCGTAGTGCTAGCGCTAGGACTTTATATCTGGCGCCAAAAGCACCAAACGCGCAAGTATCAAGGCATGCTATACCAACGAGTGCATGGCACAGGTGCATCAGGATCACGACGACACACACGATCAGCCTAAGAAGAGCATAGCTTGTTCCTAACGTTACTTGTATAGGTAGAATATCACAGATTACAAACGAGAAAATTGAAAACTATTAAATCCACGCAGATATGTAGTGCATCTTTGCTATGCTGTGACAATCCAACCCCATACCCAAAGCATGCCCCAAATCAAGAAGCCGCTGAGAATTGGAATCGAGATGTTGTCGTCAAGACCGCCCATTTCAAGAGCTTCTGTAAAGCCCGCAATAAGGCCACATGAGATATACATTACCAAAGGGGGAATGGCAGGGGCATTACGAGAGGAAAATTCACGTAACCGACTGGACATGGACACGTCGGATACAGCAAAGCCATGGTGAATTCCACGCCAGCCGGTGCGCAGAGCGCCTGGGACACGCTTTGTGCCAAATGTGGCCACCCCATTGGGCTCCCAGGATAAGCCCGTGCTGCGCTCGCCAATTCGCGCAATACTAGTGCCCCAAAACATGTAAGACACTAGCATGCCCATCAGTGACGCGGCGATAAACCCAGCCAAGGACTTGCGTCGCGCAAAGAAGGGTGCAGGCAAAGCAGGTGTACGCTTGCCAAAGAGGCGTCCAAATGTGGATGCACAAGGATCACACCACGACAAGATAATAATTGACACAGCAGCAATATCCTCAGGGAAAAGGCGCAAGCTCACCATCACGCCTACCAGGTACCAAATGACACCATTCACGCGCTCCTTCTCGCCAGAGCGCATCAGAATACCCAGTACCGATTCATAGAAACGCTCAAACGCGGGTGAGTTCAGACGCAGAACATCTGCCGACGCGATGACTAGGAACATATAAAACAGTATCCGTACCACAGCGTTGACATCCAGCTTGAACACGTAAAGGCCCAACACCACAAAGCCAGTAATACAGTGAAAGAGTTTTCGAGGCACCTCCCACTTGACGACCCAGAATTCGTACCATGACGGATGCGCAGGAGCGTCCAAGTCCAAAGGGGGGACGGGCTGGGTCTCATCTAGCTGATGTAGATTTTCATTGTAGTGCGGTGAGCGTGCCAAAGCGCGCAGCACAGCGCCACCCGCATCGAGCGAGTTGGATCGCTTGATGCGGTCGAGAGGCACCGGCTGCTCAGCCTCGGTGCTAGACGTCATACCCTGACGCAACTCTCCGGGATCTACGAAATAGTGGTCGGACCGATCTTTGTAATGAGGGGAGGTATGCTTATTCGGCCGAAATTAAATGCCTACAGCGCCAAGCGACTCCACTACACGCGCTTGGAGGGCGCGTAGTGTGGGAATCATCTCCTCAGCGTGGACTGCGGCGGCTTCGCCTTGTGGGAGTGCGCTGGCTAGGGTGCTGGTAATATCTTCATACATATGGCGGGATGCAGTGCATAGAGTGGTATATTTCGCATTGTGAGCGGCATGCAGCTAGATGTGAGTGATTAGGAGCACGTACTTTCTCCAATAAGGTCTATGTGTCAGTAGCATTGGCATACGTACATAATCAGCGTCTGTATCTGTGTATCCCAGCTCTTTGACGATTGTCGCGATAGTCTCTGTCGAGGGTGTATGAGCCTTGGCCATCCATTCCTACTATGTGAGAAAAATCGCGCAGTGTACGTACTGCCAGCTTGCCTTGCATATCTGCCATGGCTGATGCGTGCTTCGATGTCTCTGCAGCATGCTCTGTAATTTTTTGATTCAGATCTTGTACTTGCTCTTCCAGCGACGCAACTCGCTCCTGTGCAGCTGTCAGCGCTTCTTGCGCCTTGTCTCGCTGGGTCCGTAGCTCGGCACAGGCCGCTTCTTTGTCATGGTCATGGGAAGAAGACAATTCGACAATCTGTTCTGCAAAAGCTTGATGGCTCTCTGACAAGGTACGTTGTGTGTCCTCCAATTCAGTTTGGAGGCCCTGAATCTGATCGCGCAAGGCCTGTAAGTCTTGCTCATGCGTTGCCTCAATGGATGGTGGATTGGAGTTGGATGCCTCTGTACTGGCAGCCTCTTCGAGAGCCACTGGAGCTGCATCGATGACAGTGTCTTCGATGGTGGACGGAGGGTCAGTGACAGACTCTTCCTCCCCCGGTGCGGACGGAGGAGACGTCGGCTCTTTCTCCGCTATATCACTCGAGGAGGACTTGGCTGCTGATTTTCTAGCTTGTTGTCGTGCCTTTGCACGGCGCTGCGCTGCTCCGTTGTTCTTCCCCATATGTGAATGTGCGATCTCACAACGAGGTGAGTGCTCAGGCCATCTGGCCTAATTCCACGTGGGAGCACGTGGTCCAGGGTGACGACGAAAGGCGGCGTTTCGTCGCCGCGAACGCGGCCTGGCCGACTGAAGAGAAAAAAACGGTGCGCGACACCAGATTGCCGCTCCGTGAAACAACGGGGAGATCGACGACGGCCATCATGTCGTGGAGAAGCAATGCACAGAGGACGGGTATGAATGCACAGCCGCTAGGCCAGTCGCGGCGTTGGGGCGGTGGTGGTAGTGGAGAATACCGCGATCGTGGTGGCTACGACCGTGAACGCGATCGCAATGCGCCCAAACGCCCGTATGACTATGGAGCGCCGCGTGGTGGCGGCGAAATGCCTATGTCGGATGGTATGTATGCATAGATTACTTACATCAGGTGCACGAAAGCGACGATCGCGCTGGGGCAGCGAGTCGGATAGGAAAGATGTGTCGTCTGCCGCCATTTCTGGCAATGTGTCCGGGCAAGAACTGGATCGGTATGCCATTCAAGTGCGTCTGGATGAGATCAACCGGAAGCTTCGTACGGGCGATGTAATCCCGCCCGAGCGTGAGCGCTCTCCGTCGCCACCGCCTACGTACGACAGTCAGGGCTTCCGCAACAACACACGCGAGATTCGCTATCGCAAGAAATTGGAGGAGGAGCGTACACAACTGGTCGATCGTCAAATGCGACTGGACCCATCATACCGTCCACCGCAAGAGTACCAGGGTGCACGACGCAGTGGCCGGCCGACGGAGAAGGTATACCTCCCTGTGCGTGAGTTCCCTGAGATCAACTTCTTTGGTCTGCTTGTTGGACCGCGTGGTAATACCCTGAAGAAGATGGAGAGCCAGAGTGGTGCCAAGATCCATATCCGTGGTCGTGGCAGTGTGAAGCACGGCAAGGGGTCGACAGAAGGCGAGGAGGAAGACATGCATTGCATTGTGACCGCTGACAATGAACGTTCGATCAAGCACTGTATCAAGCTCATCAACGAGGTGGTAGCTACTGCGGCGTCGACGCCAGAGACGCAGAACGATCATAAGCGTAGCCAACTGCGTGAGCTTGCCGTCTTAAATGGTACGCTGCGTGACGACGAAAACCAGATTTGTCAAAACTGTGGCGAGAAGGGACACCGCAAGTACGAATGCCCGCAAGATCGGAATTGGACGACACATATTGTGTGCCACAAGTGTGGACAAAGTGGCCACTTGGCTCGTGACTGTTTCTCGCAGCGCCCGTATGGCAGTGGTACGGCTGCGGCGACGATTGGAGCGGGAGGTGGCTCGCATGTCGAGTCAGAGTATGCGACACTTATGGCCGAGCTGGGTGAACGGCCAGGCGGTCACGTCCAAGGTGGCTACCTCGGAGTGCCTGGGTACGCCGGCCCACCCACGAACGAGAAGGGCGAGAAGATCCCGCCATGGCGTGATCCGGCCGTGTGGAATGCATCGAATGGAAGCCGTTCGAACCGTGACTTTATGCAGGACAGTGTGTATGCGGAGCAAAACTGGGATGCTACGGCGGCGAATGGCTACGATGCGTATGCAGGCTATGCGGCCACGGGCGAGGCCACAGAAGTGGCGACCGACGGCCAGCGTGATTACTCTGCCGAGTGGGCTGCGTACTATGCAGCCCAAGCCGCTGCTGCGCAGCAACAAGGCGAGGGCGATGGTGCGCCTGCGCGTGACTACTCGAAGGAATGGGAAGAGTACTACCGACAGCAAGCATTGGCACAGCAACAACAGGCCGCTGCTGCAGGTGACAATACCGAAGCGGCCGCATCGTAGGTGAATAGTACATGTTGTCACTACCAAAAGTAAGTGGGTATCATAGTAGGACATGGCGTAGAAATGAAAGCTTATCGCTTCATTGCTGCCAGAATGCGTTGCGTCTCCCAGGTCAAGTAAGCATCACGGCCCTTTTCCCATTCCCGCTTGGCTTCGTCGTCATGCGCATTGGACGAGTCAGGTGGAATGGCCGAGGGATCAGTGAGGGCCACATGCAATGGCTCAGCACTGCGCAAAGTATCCAGCGCTTCCATGACGCTGTAGACGTTCGACGAGACCTCTTCAGCCGCTTGAACAACAGCCACATCGGGCGATTCATGCTGAGCAGCCTGTACAAAGGGCTGGACGCCGTCAAGGATAAATTGATAGGCCTGTGCCACCGCTTGCACACGCTGCAAACGTACTTGGGCGGCGGCCTCCGCTTGCGCCAATCGATGCTGTGTAGCCCGAGCCTGATGTAAGATGTCAAAAAGTACGTACGCATGCAATTTGACGCCATAACCGATCTTCTGCGTCAGGTATGGTTTCCACAGGTGCCTCAGACTCTTGCATAGGGTTCTCGGCATGCCGTACCTCCAACGGCCGCAAATCCAAACCTCGATGGTGCGACATGGTCATGAGTCGCGACTGCTCAGGAGTCACGACAAAGATGGAGCGTAGACAGTACAGTTCAAAAGTGTCCATCGTATGATCAATAGCATGCTCTAATAGTGTTAAGATCGAATGAACACCTTCCTCAGCCTCCTTGTCGGCCTCCTCACGATCGTGTAGCAACGAACGAACATGATCCTCCAACTGCGACCCTAAAATATACAAATGCTCGTTGGCCGAGACGACCAATGCATCGACAATCGCTCTTGGATGCACACCAAAGAGCTCAGTAAGAATAAGATGCTTGCGCGTCGCATCGGCCTCGACCAGCGACGCAGCCTCCGTCTCGCTCATCCCGGACGCGGAGGAGGGCACGTCGACCACGCACACTCGTACGTACGCGCCGCGCGTATGTGTCACGTGATAGAGGTGGGGAAGGATAGGCGTCGTCATCGCGATCAGTGCGGATGCACAGGTTCGCTCGTGACGATGGAGTGCCTCTTTGGAATCACAGGCAAGGGCTTCGCGGTCATTGCTTCGGACGGCAATGCGGCCCGTTCAATTGTCAAAATGAAGACGGACGAGGACAAGCAAAAAGTCCTCTCGAAGAACCTGGTGATGGCCGTCTCAGGCGAGTCGGGTACGTAACAGTCTAGCCCTAGAGGACTAACATGCGAAGGAGATACCATTCAGTTTGCAGACTATATTGAGCGGAATATGCGCCTGTACTCGATCCGGTATGTATGACCAAGATGGCTGACCTTAGCCACAATATTGATTTGCGACCGAAAGCCGCGGCGTCGTGGATTCGCACGCAGCTAGCCGAGTCTATTCGTTCGCGTCGGCCATACCAAGTCAACCTACTGCTGGCAGGCTACGATGCACCGGCGTCAGAGCCTGCCTTGTACTGGGTCGACTACCTCGGCACCTCGGTCCAAGTGCCATTCGCCGCGCATGGCTATGCATCCTACCTCACACTGTCTACTATGGACCGGTACCACCGTCCTGATATGTCTCTCGACGAAGCGTTGGCCCTACTTAAGCGCTGCATCAATGAAATGCAAACGCGCTTTGTGATAGATATTGGCCACTTCCATGTCCGTGTGATTGACCGCGACGGTGTGCGCGAAGTAGCTTTGTAATGCAGTAGTCTTGCCTTGAGACACCTACGTACACCACCCCGCGCCGTGGCGAGACATGCCTCTCTATGTCACTCGCGCGTCCACGCGTGCACGCACCGTCTTCGAAGTGCGTGCGTGGCACAGACCTACGGTGGTAGTGCGTGGCATCACGTGACTCGCGGGCGACACGATGCATGTCGCGCCGAGGCCTAGCTTGGGCCCCGACCGACCAGTGCGCCATCTGGCAGTGACTTGCGTGATGGTACGTGTGTGCGCCTACGCAGGAGGCGTAGGCAGGGACACAGGCTAACATACTAGGTGCTTCTTGCGGCTTGCATTGCCACGCGTGGCGGAAAGCGTATGTGTATAGACGCAACGACATGGACGACTAACCCCTGCAGCGGTCCTCTCTCGTCAGTTCCGAGAGATGGCTGGTTCCCGCATTGAGGCGCTTCTTGCGTCGTTCCCGAAACTTATTCGCTCGGGATCGCAGCATACGTTTGTCGAGACGGACTCGGTGCGCTTCGTGTACCAGCCTCTGGAAGACTTGTACATGATTCTGATCACTACGAAGAACTCCAACATCTTGCAGGACATTGACTCCCTCCAGCTATTTGCGCGGGCCGTGAGTGACCAATGCCATTCGTTAGATGAGCAGGATATTGTGCTTTCGTGCTTTGAAATTCTCGAGGCATTTGACGAGATTGTTGCGATGGGCTACCGTGAGAATGTGACGCTCTCGCAGATCCGTACGATGCTCGAGATGGACAGTCACGAAGAGCGGATCCAGGAGATTATTGAGCGTGTATGTACATGAGCGATCTGACAGACCAGAACAAGGAACTCGAAGCCAAGGAAGAACTCAAGCGCCGTGCGCGGCAGCTTGAGATGCAGCGTCGCGATGCAGCGCGGCGCCAGCACAGTGGTTTCGGCAGCGATAGCATCTCGTCGATGCCCCGCAGTTTTGATACGGCGCCGACATCTACGGCGCCTGTGCATAGCCTGCCAGACGAGCAGCCGGCATCGCAACCGGCGGCCAATCCGTTCAAAGGGAAAGGCATGTCGCTCGGGAAGAAACCTAAGGGCGCTGCCTTGCTTGGCTCGGTCCCGAAATCGACGCAGGCCGCGCCTGCGCCTGCCCCTGCTCCGGCCCCAGCACCTGCCCCAGCGCCGGTACGAAAGCAGGCGCCCATGTCGCTTCGCTCAAAGCCAACGTCCACGCCTGCGCCTCCCGGGAAAGCGGTGCCGATGGCCCCTGTGCCCACGCCCGCAGCACCGCCAGTGCCCGTGCCCGAGGCGCCTGTAGTGCCAGAGGCAGATCTGGTATCTGAGGTGGAACCTGTCGAGGCTGCCCCCATGGAGCCAGCTGCCCCTGCCGCTGTGACGACGACGGACTCACTGCTGGGTCTGGATGACGCGCCGCCGGCGAGGGAGGAGGCGCCGCACGAGGAAATGACGATGCCGACGCCCCCTGTTGATGCAGACGAGGACCCATGGGGCACCGAAGAGCCTGGGGCTACATACGATGAACCAGCAGCCGCGGTGTCGATGCCGATGGAAGAGACGGAAACAGGGGATGCCTGGGGTATGACAGACGAGGTCCCTGCCGCTGCGGACACGGCGCCTATCGATACTGCTTACGATGCCGAGGCGGCCTATCGTATGGAGGCCGAGCATGACGAAGCGGCAGCGTACGCAGATGACATGGCGTATGAGCAGCATGCCTCCGGCTTTGAGGAGCCGCCTGTGGACGAGGCCGCGTATGAACAGTCGCTTGCCTTGGAGCCGCCTGTGGACAGTGCTTACGAGCAACAGGCGATGCAGGAGGAAGAGGCAGCGTATGAAGCCGAGGCGGCGTATGAGCAGCAGGCCGCCTACGAACCAGAGGAGGCGTACGAAGAGCCAGCGTATGAAGAAGAGTTGCTGGGGGGCCCTGCCGACAAGGCGATGGCCGCACCGTTGGTTGAGGCGGCTGAGACAGCACCGCTGGAGGAGCCTACCGACGTGGCGAACGCGGAGGCTGCGCCTGTGCCTGCAGTGCAAGACGAGGTGGTGGTGGCGCCTGCCGCAGAGGCGGCGGAGCCGGTGCCGGCGCCGTCGGCGCATGCCAGCGATAATGTCCACCTTGTCATCAAAGAGCGTGTCTCTGTGACGGGCAACCGGGATGGCGGTTTGGACTCGCTGGAAATCAAGGGTGATTTGATGCTGAAGATCACGGACCCTGCTGCGACGCGTCTGCGTATCATGATGGCAGCGGAAGAGCGATTTGGTGGTACAGAGGTGCAGTACCGTACACACCCGCATGTCGATAAGCAGCCGTGGGCGAGTGAGCGTCAGATTGCGTTGCGGGACCCCAAGCGTGAGTTCCCGCTGAACCAGCAGGTGGGTGTGCTGCGCTGGCGTGCGGTGACGAAGGACGAGTCGGAGTTGCCACTTTCCATCACAGTGTGGGCGAGCCCCGCAGGCGATGGCTCGTGTGAAGTCAACTTGGAGTACCAGCTGGAAAACACAGCGATGACACTGTACGACGTGGTATTCTCGCTGCCTGTGCCGCCCCAAGTCGAGCCCATGGTATCGGAGCCGGAAACGGGCACCTACGAACTCGAAGCAGTGAATCACCGCGTCCTGTGGCGTGTGCCCGCGATCTCGGCAGACAACGCGTCGGCCAACTTGGAATTGGTCGTCGACAGCGGCGCCGAGTCCACGGACGTGTTCTTCCCTGTCGCTGTCGACTTTACGTCGGAGCGTGCCTTGCTTCACCTGCACATCCTCGGTGTGCAGGAAGCGACTAGTGGCCAACCTCAGCCGTACTCGAGCGAGACGGTGTTGGTAGCCGACCACTATCTCGTCCACTAGACGTTGTTGTAGCCCCCAGTGTGTTCTCTATAGTGGAGTGAGTCCCTTTCCCTGATCACTGATGTGGAAATAAGCCTCCAGCGTGCGACGTCGACGACACGCGGGCGGGCGAGCGAGCGAGGCACGACGACGACGACGACGTGCTGAGTGCATCATGTCGTCCGTAAACAAGCCTACAGAAGCGAGTGCGCAGACACCAGATCATTCGAGCACGGCGCCTTCACCGATTCCGCGGGATGTGCGACTTGTGTCACTGATCCTCGCTAGCATGGGTATTGACGATGCCGAGCCGGCCGTCATGGTCCAGCTCTTGGAATTTGCACACCGTACGTACAGGAATATCTCACAGTAGGGTACACGACGCAAGTCTTGCAGGATGCCCTCGTGTATGCGGACCACGCATCGTCACGACAAGGCGGCAGCAACGTCTCGATTGACGATGTCCAGCTGGCGATCCAGAGCCGTGTAAATTACAGCTTTACACAGCCACCGCCCAAAGAAGTATGTATTATGAACGATATCTGACCATTCTAGATGCTTCTCTCCTTGGCCTCGTCTCTGAACAGTGTCCCTCTCCCACCCGTATCTAATCGGTATGGCATTCGCCTCCCTCCGCCAGAGCACTGCCTGACCAACGTCAACTTTGCTATCGTGCCTGATGCGCCGCCCGTGTCGGCGTTTGGAGATGCTATTGTGCAGCCACCGACAGCGCCTGCCACCACAAAAGCGTCTGAGTCTACAGGCGATACATCGATGGCCGACGTCTCCATGGACGATGAAGGACCGACGCAAGGCACCAAACGTGCATTGGATGAAGATGACGACTATGATTAGGCGTACCACTGCGTTGTCCGTTCTGGCCTCCTAGTTTGTAGATACCCAATATGGCCTAGTCATTGGAACTTGTCGTATGTACGAATGGGCCCTTTTTGCGCGGCGACACTCTTGTGTCTCCACATGGTCGAGGCAGCGCTCGAAAGTGTTACATTGGCCATGATCATGTCGTTGGTCCGTGGATCGATTGCGCAGCACGCTCGCCATATCTCCTTGTTGCGTGCTAGTACACTCTCGCTGAAGCATGCGATCCCTGTGACACGCATTCAACCCATCCCTCTGCCGCGCCAGGTGCATTCGTCTTTACCACTTGCCAAGAAAAAAGGAAAGCAGGCGGACAAGGCGGAGGCTGCAGCTGCAGCGGGCGTCGACCCGCAGCTCGATCTGGATGCGATCAACAAGCAGATGGATACGGCAGTAGCACGGTGCCGCGAGCATGTGCAATCTCTAGTGGCGTCGTTGGGCCGTTTGGATGCATGTACGTAGTAGTCGCGCTGCTTACCTCTCTACAGCGTTGTTGGACGATGTCCGTGTGGCCTACGGCAAAGGCACGAAGCCCACACCCTTGCACGACTATGCCACGGTAGGCGTTCGCGATAATGTGCTGGTGATTACGGCCTACGAGCCCGAGGTACGTATGGGAAGGAAGGCAATTGACATGCCAGTCGCTCAAGTACATTGAAAAGGCTATTTACGCTGCCAACAAGGACTTGTCGCCGCAGCATGCGCCAGAAGAGGGCGAGGGCGTGATGATTGTGCATGTGCCCAAGTACGTATAGTGCTGGCTCACCTCGCAGGGCCACGGGAGAGACTCGCAAGCAACTTGCGCAGCAATGCGTCAAAGAGTGCGATCATGCCAAGGCTGCTGTGCGAACGGCGCGTCAGGCGGCGCAGAAACACATGAAGCACGACATGGACCACAAGATCCTCAGCAAGAATGAGTCGCAGAAAGAGTCGAAAAAGGTATGTATGTCTACATGAGGGGTATTTACACAGCGCTAGTTGGAAGACATGACCAAGAAGCACACTGCGTTGCTCGATCAACTCGCGAGCGATGCACAGAAGCGTCTCCTGCACTAAGCTACGCTGGCACTGCTAGCTTGTGCGGCCTTGCCAGCCTCTCCGGTACAGTAGGAACGTAGGACGGTGTTGTGGCAGCACGCATAGCCCCACACACCTCGCTCGAGATCGTACCACGAGCCATAGACGCTTGAATGATTGTTTTCGTACACTGTTGTTAATCGACATATACGTACCATCTTCCTCGTATCGTGAACGTGGCTTCGCTCGCGATGGGCCACGCACGACTTCGCCGGACCGGTTGTATTCCACGTAGGCTTCGGTTTGACCAGCACGTAGCTCGCGGGGCATGGCATCCAGGTACTCGGCGCCGCCGTAGCGCTCAAGTATCGTGCTCTTGACTTCCATGGCCTGCTTCGCCCTCTCCTCTTGATGCTGCTTGAACTGCCGCTCATTGACGGTGGGATTCGCCTGCATCGCCTGTATGGAGTCGCCACGCTGCTCTGCCTGCCAGGCAAACACTTGCATTTTTTGCATATCCACTGCATCCCCCTGGCTGCGCTCAAACGCGTCGCTCGGTGTGGTCAGGCCATCGTCGGGCAGCGGCGCTTCGCGCATCGAGCGCGTCTTGGGATCGTAGTGCGCAGAATCTGTGTTGAGGTTGTATAAGTATTTAGCGCGGTCTTCACGGATGCGCAAGTTGCGGACGGTGATGCGCTTGTCCGCATCGATCTTTTGGCCGACCATGTTGGCCTTTTCCGCATACTTATCGTCGTCATCGTCATCGTCGCTGCTACTGCTGTCAAAGTCGTCGTCTTCGCGCACACGCTTCTCCTTCTTCGCAAGTTTCTTCGCAGCTGCATGGGCATCCGTAGACGTTTGTGCCTCCAGCTGTTCTTCACGAATCCTACGTCGCTCTTCTTCGATCGCCTCAAAACGCTCGACTACCGCCATATGACTCGCAGGATCGTACCCATTCCACCGATCACGCTTTGCATCGTAGTTGTAGTCCAAGTGTGTCAAATCCTGTACAACTTCGTCCGGCTTGATATCTTGGCCCGACCACTTTGCGCCTCGTTTTCGTGGACGTTCCATACAGTCGCGTGTCTTGTGCGACATCGCGCCGCAATTTTCGCAAGCTCCCTTACGGAAGCGCGACGCAGCCGGCCCTGCTTTTGTTCCACGTTGGTACCAATCGTCGAGCGACGCTGAGGCTTTGTTTTGTGCAGGCTTGCGCTGGTGCTCGAGCGACGCATTGCCACCAGTGTCTAGGTACCACGGCGTCTGTGCCATGTACATCGGCACATGGGGATTCACTTCCTCCGTGGGGACCTTGGGCTTGCGCGCCGTATCGGACTCGCGCGGACGAAACGCATCGCGGAATCGATCGTCCGACATGATGCGACCAGCAGCCCAGCGCAGATTCCCTGCGTACCTGGTCCAGCGGACGAACGAGCGAGCGAGCCCCAGGCCGTGATGTCGCTTACATAACCACACGCCGTCCACACGAACAACCTGGTCCCCCTCTGCCTCTCACGTCTGAGTATGCCGCAGCGTGACGACTCCTTTCGTGGCCGATCGGATGCCCACGCTCCGCCTTCCTCTGTAGGGGCGACGCGAGAGGCGCGTACCCGTTCACGCTCGCCGCCATCACGGGGTGGCGGTGGTTTATCCTACCGTGGCTCGTACCACCGCCGCTCACCTAGCCGATCTCCACCTCCTCGATCCCGCGATGCTCCACGCCGTCGTCCTGACGACTGGGCTGATCGCTCTCGTGATGAGCGTGGTGCGCGTACATGGGATCACGGCGAAGAGCGGCCTTCGTACCGTCGTGAGTACGCGTACGAACGACCACGCCCTGCGCCGTACTATCTAGACGACCATCGCGAGCAGCGCCGCGATGGATGGGACCGGCGGAATGACAATGGCCGTTACCGTTACCGTGATCGCGACTCGTACCGACCACGTTATGACCACCGGCACGACCGTCGTGATGACCGCGACCGTCGTGAGGAGCCACGTGGACCTTCGTTGCAGGTTGCGCCGCCGCCGACGGTGCCTGTGCGTCAGGCGCATAGCGTACCGGTAAAGGTCCGCACGGGCTCGCGGCCTGGTGCCATCGCACGGAAGGCGCGGCCGAAGCCTGTGCCGCTGCTGCAGCGTACGTTTGCGGGCTGCAGCAGTGTCGAGGCGTACGAACTGACAGTCAAGCTGGGGCAGGGCACGTTTGGTGAAGTCAAACAGGGCAAGCAGCTCTCTACGGGGCGCAGTGTCGCTTTGAAGAAGGTTACAATCTATGACGTGAAAGATGGGCTGCCGATCACGGCGCTACGTGAGATCAAGCTCTTGAAACTGTTGCAACATCCTCACATTGTGCCTGTGATTGACATGGCGTACAAGCCCCCGACTGAGCGCGGCAAGGCGGGCGAGGTGTATATGGTCGAGCCGTACATGGACCATGACCTCAATGGCCTTCTGGACAATCCCAGTGTCCACCTGCCTATGAACCAAATCAAGCTGTATATGCGTGAGCTGCTAGAAGGTATGATGTACCTGCACAAGAACCATATCATGCATCGTGATATGAAGGCGGCCAACCTACTGATTGACAACCAAGGCCAGCTCCAAATTGCCGATTTTGGTCTGGCGCGGCCGTTCCACGACGTCCAGAACGAGGCGTGGCGTGCACGTGGTTGGAAGAGCACCCACAATTACACGGAAATGGTGGTAACGCGTTGGTACCGACCGCCAGAACTGCTCGCTGGCCAGCGCAACTATGGCCCTGCCATTGATATGTGGGGTGTCGGATGCATTTTGGCTGAGATGCTTCTGCGCAAGCCCCTGTTCAAGGGCTCCTCGGAAATCAATCAGTTGGAACTGATTGCAGCGCTGTGTGGCTCGCCCAACGATGACAATTTCCCTGGATGGTCGTCGCTCCCTGGCGTCAAGAATGCCACGCCGTCCGGGCGTCCGGATACCAACCCCAATGTTCGTGGACGTCATGACTTTGGACGGTATCCACGTGTACTGCGCCATCACTTTACGACGGTCGTGGACTGCGGCCGCGAATGTGCTGATCTGTTGGATCGATTGCTGGTCCTGGACCCTGCTAGGCGTCTCACGGCCGCTGAAGCACTTCAGCACGAATGGTTTTGGACGAAGCCGTACCCAGCCGACCCAGCGTCGCTACCTACGTACCTGCCTTCGAAGGAAATCGATCGGAATCGTCGCGACCGCAAAGCAGCGCCGCCACCAGGGATGCCTGCGCATATCCGGCCGCCAGCGGGTTTCCGACCCCCGGGCATGCAGCCTGGCGCGCCCATCTTCCGGCCGCCTGGTGGTCCAGTGATAGTCCCACCTGGCCAAGCGCCGCCGCCTTCGGGCGCCTATCCACCTATGCCACGCCTCCCTGCGCCAGGGCCCACCGCAGGTGGCTATGGACGGCCCAAAGAATACGGCTGGTACAATCCAGGCGCGCCACGCCAAACAGGCCCCCCTGGCCCGCCCAAGCCGTATCCGTAGATATACCCAACGCAACCATGTATACCATCTAAATGTGGCTGTCACACACAAACACACACACACACACACAAACAGAAGCTACATGTTAAAACATGTCAGTGCATGATATCCTTTTGATTGCTGGTCGACGTCGGAACGACTACAGTACATATAGGTGTGTAGTCAAGCACCCAATCACACCAGCAGGCACAAGGTGCCAGTAGTGTATAGAACACTTAGAACACCAGGGCGGCACCCTTGGTCTTCTTGTCACCACCGAGCTCAAAGTGCTTGCAGCGCTTGAGGGCGAGGTGGTGACGGTACTTGCACACAGTGCACTCGAGACGCAGCACAACCTTCTTGGTGGTCTTAGCCTTCTTCTGGAAGACGGGCTTAGTCTGACCACCGTAACCCTTCTGCTTGCGAACGTAACGGCGCTTACCCTGAGCAAAGTCCGACGCCTTGCCGGCCTTGTACTGAGTCACCTTGTGGGGGCTGCATGGTCAGTCGTCATGTTCATGGTTAGATGACACGTACGTGTGCTTCCGGCACGCCTTACCCTTGCAGTACGTCCTGCGGGTCTTGGGAATGTTCACCATCTACCGTATGGTTAGCTCAACGTTGCGCAAGGCGGCACCTACCTTGATGGATCGTTGCGAGACAAACGGCTTCGCGCTCACACTCCCTGGTTTCGCAGACGCTGGGCCTTGCTTGGTCACGTGGTCACGTGATGATTATAGTTCTACTACGACTCGTATGGATGTGGAGCGTACTTCGACGCAGTCCACTGCATGGCTCCACGTGCGCCGGATTATGCGTCGTTTATGCGCGCGTGCGTGCGTGCAGATGGTGACAACAACCGCGTTTGGCAGTCGTGGGTGGTACTGACACGATCGGTCGATTTCCTACCATGTCATCGCAGCAAGTGGATACTCTGGTAATTGGTGCCGGTACGTAGGCAGATCGTAATGAAAGGACTAGGGACTAACCTATGGTGCAGGACCTACTGGCCTTGGTGCGGCGAAGCGTCTCGACCAACTTGTACGTAACGCGTAGTGGCCGAGCACGGGACTAACATGACGCTAGAAGCTGGGCTCCTGGACCCTCGTGGATGCCAACAGCGAGGCGGGTGGTCTGGCCTCGACCGATGTGACCAAGGAAGGCTTCCTGTTCGACGTTGGTGGTCATGTCATCTTCTCGCACTACGCCTACTTTGACGATGTGATCGCGCAGGCGTTGCCTGAGAAGGAGGACTGGTACGAGCACCAGCGTATCTCGTACGTCCGCAGCCGCAACGTGTGGGTGCCGTACCCGTACCAAAATAACATCTCGATGCTGCCGACCGAGGACCAGGTCAAGGCCATTGAGGGTATGATCGATGCGGCGGAGGTGCGCATTCGTGCGAAGGAGGCGCCGAAGACGTTCGATGAGTGGATTCTCCGCATGATGGGCGAGGGTATTGCTGACCTGTTCATGCGCCCGTACAACTTCAAGGTGTGGGCAGTGCCGACGACGATGATGCAGTGCAAGTGGCTCGGTGAGCGTGTGGCTGCGCCGAACCTGAAGCTGGTCGTTTCGAACACGCTGAACAAGAAGGTGGCTGGCAACTGGGGCCCTAACGCGACGTTCAAGTTCCCTGCGCGTGACGGTACCGGCGGTATCTGGAAGGCGGTGGCCAAGACGCTGCCGCAGGACAAGCTGCAGTACAACAAGAAGGTGGTCAAGGTCGATGCCGAGGGTCACAAGGCGTACCTGTCGGACGGCTCGACGATCCAGTACAAGCACCTCGTGTCTACGATGGGCCTCGACTTCCTTGTGAACACCATGGAGGGCATTGACTCGGATCTGAAGCAGAAGTTGCAGAAGGCTGTGAGCGAGAAGCTGGTGTACTCCTCGACGCACGTTATCGGTATCGGTATCCGTGGTGAGCTGCCCAACCGTATTGGTGACAAGTGCTGGCTGTACTTCCCTGAAGACGACTGCCCCTTCTACCGTGCGACGATCTTCTCGAACTACAGTCCGTACAACTGCCCGCAAAAGGACGCCAAGCTGCCTACGCTGCAGTACGCTGACCCGTCGCATGGCGCGCCGTCGTCGGAGGCCAAGGAGGGCCCTTACTGGTCGCTGAGTATGTATACTATGGACACTGACGTATAGTGATGGAAGTCTCGGAGTCGCACCTGAAGCCGGTGGACAACGCCAAGGTGCTGGAAGACACGATTCGTGGCTGCGTAGCTACGCAGCTGCTCATGCCAGACAGCGAGATTGTGAGCACGTACCACCGTAAGTTCACGCCTGGCTACCCCACCCCGAGTCTCGAGCGCGATGCGGCCCTGCAAGAGATCTTGCCGACGTTGCTGGACAAGTTCGACATTCTCAGCCGCGGTCGTTTCGGCTCGTGGAAGTACGAGGTGGGCAACCAGGACCACTCGTTTATGCTCGGTGTTGAGGCGGTGGATCGGGCGCTGTTCGGTAGCCCCGAGATGACGTTAGAGTCGCCTGACTTTGTCAATGGCCGACGTAACACCGAGCGCCGTTTGTCGTAGTAGGGACCGCTGACGTAGCACCTACGCATAGATCGGCCGAAATGTGCGTATGCCAAGCGGCGGGGCCACCCAACCCTTGGAGCCTCGGTGCCCGTGCATCGGCTTTGGGATAAAAATAGGCTAGCATCGTCCCGTTATACCTGCTGTTCTGTGCGCATCACCAACATGACGATGGATATCAATAACCGCGTACGTTGGAGAGGAGCTGTGTACTTATGCCTAGCTTATTTTCACGCGTGATAGCAGCACGCAAGAGCATCCTCATGCGAAGGAAGAGCTGCTGAACCAGTACTTGGTCGAGCTGGAGAAGCAGTTCACTGTCTCTACCGAGACGCTAAAGGAGATCACTGGTCATTTTATCGGCGAGCTCGAGCGTGGTCTGGAGAAGCCGAACCAAGTTGTTCCAATGTACCCGACTTATGTATTCGGCTGGCCGCAGGGCAACGAGACAGGCGATTACTTGGCACTGGACATGGGCGGCACAAACATTCGTGTGTGTCTCGTCACGGTGAAGGGTAATGGGGAATTTGAGCTGACGCAGACCAAGTACCGTATTTCTAATGAGCAGAAGCGCGAGGATGGTGAAAAGCTCTTCGATTTCTTTGCCGAGTCGATTAGACACTTTATTGAGCACCAGTATGGCTCCATTGACAAAGTGCCGGGCACGCTCTCGTTGGGCTTTACTTTCAGTTTCCCGACCGAGCAGAACGCGATTGATCAAGGTGTCTTGCGTCAATGGACCAAGGGCTTCGCGAACCCGAACACGGAAGGCCACGACTGTGCCGAGATGCTGCGCCAGGCGCTCAAACGTAAGAATGTGCCTGTCCAACTGAACTCAATTATCAACGACACGACGGGTACGCTGATCGCATCGAACTATGTGCGCAACGATACGCGCATTGCGTGCATTTTCGGTACAGGCTGTAATGCTGCGTACATGGAGGATATCAAGTCGATCCCCAAGATCAAGGATTTGGATCTACCGCCGAACGAGCAGATGGTCATCAACTGTGAATACGGTGCGTTTGACTCAGATGAGCACAAGTTCATGAAGTCGGCGCGTACCAAGTATGACGAGATCATTGATCGGGACAGTACCAAGCCCGACAAGCAGACGTTTGAGAAAATGATCTCGGGTCTGTACCTCGGTGAGCTCTTCCGTCTGGTGATTTGCGAGCTGGTGTACAATGGCGTACTGTTCTTGGGCCAAGAGACGTACAAGATTGAAAAGAAGGGTGTGTTTGACACGGCCTTCCTCTCGCTGATTGAGACGGACCCGACCGACGAGCTGCTTACGGTCGTTGGCCTGTTCAAGTACTTCTTCTCGCTGGAAACGGACATTGAGGAGCGTCGCTTCTTCAAGAAACTGGCGCAGCTTATCGGTACGCGTTCGGCGCGCTTGAGTGCTTGTGGTATCGCCTCAATTACGCGAAAGAAAGGCCTCCTTGAGACCATGCCGTCGTTCACGGTGGGTGTGGATGGCTCCCTGTTCTCCAAGTACCCCCACTTTCCGGATCGCTTGAAAGAGGCGCTGGTCGACATTCTCGGTCCCAAGGCGAAGAACATCAACTTGCAGCAGGCCGAAGATGGCTCTGGTGCCGGCTCCGCGGTGATTGCGGCCATGACCAAGGCCCGTAAGGAGGCTGGTGTGCACGAGGAGCTGTAATGGATACATCGAAATAGGGACATAGTGCCGTGGCAACAAAGTCAGACCAACGAACGTCTACCAACATCATATCGTTGAAGATCTACAAAAGCATACAATATCCATCAGGTTGAAAAGATTGGATTCTTCGAGTGGTTTACGCGTACTCTTCCACCGAGCCACATTCGCAGACCAGATTGCGGTCGCCGTACGCGTCATCCACGCGCGACACGGGCGGCCAGAACTTGGACTGACGCAGCGAAGGTACCGGGTACACGGCTCGCTCACGCGAGTAGGGGTGGTCCCATGTCTCCGACGTAAGCGCCTCGATGGTGTGCGGCGCATTCTTGAGCATGTTGTTGTCACGTGGCAATGCGCCGCTCTTGATTTCCTCGACTTCCTGCGCAATGCTCAAGAGAGCCTCGCAGAGACGATCCATCTCTTCGAGCGGCTCGCTCTCGGTGATCTCGATCAGCAGACCCGTGGAAATGGGCCACGAGCAGGTCGGTGGGTGGAAGCCGTAGTCAATCAAGCGCTTCGCAAAGTCCATGACTTGCAGACCATACTGCTGGAATTCAGCAACGTCAACAAGCAGCTCATGCGCCACGTTGCCGTGCTTGCCAACGTACTTCACCTTGTACTTGTGCTCAATCTTCGCCTTCACATAGTTGGCATTAAGCAGCGAGGTGATGGTCGACGTACGAATACCCGACCATCCCAGCATACGAATGTACGCCCACGCAATCGTCAAAATCGAAGCCGAGCCCCACGGCGCCGCTGAGATCGGCTCAATAGCCTGCGCACCGCCCGTCGGCACCACCGGGTGACCGGGCAAGTACTGTGCCAGGTGTGCCTTCACACCGATCGGGCCGACACCTGGGCCACCACCGCCGTGGGGGATGCTGAACGTCTTGTGCAAGTTGAGGTGCGTCACGTCGGCGCCCATCACGACAGGGTTCGTGACACCGACTTGCGCCTGGAGGTTCGCACCGTCCAGGTATACTTGGCCACCAAACTCATGCACAATCGCAATGGCCTCCTTGATCTGGGCAAAGTAAATACCGGTCGTACCGGGCTCGGTGATCATCGTCGCGGCAAGCACATCCTTGTGCTTCTCAGCCTTGGCACGCAGATCGTTTAAGTCGATTGTGCCGTCCGCCAGCGTCTGCACCGGTACGACTTTCATGCCGGCCATGACCGCCGACGCTGGGTTCGTGCCATGGGCACTCGTAGGAATCAAGCACACGTTGCGCTGCTGCTGACCTTGCGCATCGAGGTACGCACGGATCACCGAGAGACCCGCAAACTCGCCCTGCGCACCCGAGTTGGGCTGCAGCGAAACGGCGTCAAAGCCAGTCAGCTTCGCAAGATCGGCCTCCAGCTCCTTGATCAGCGTCTGGTAGCCCTTCGCCTGCTCCACCGGGACGAAGGGATGCAGGGCATGGTACTCGGGGAACGAGAGCATCTGCATACTCGACGTGCTGTTCAGCTTCATCGTGCACGAGCCGAGGGGAATCATCGCATGGACGAGCGACAAATCCTTGCCCTGCAGACCGTAGATGTAGCGCAGCAGCGCCGTCTCAGAGTGGTGCTTGTTGAATACAGGCTGCGTGAGGTACGACGAGGTACGCGCAAAGCGCTCGCTCACCTGCAAGTCATCGACGCTCTGTGCAGAGAGACCCATGGTGGTCGCCGTCTGCACCAAGCTCTCGGAGCTCGTCGGCGGCTCATCACGGCCAGCCGCAATGGCACTCACAATGTGCGCCAAGTCGTGGGCCGTCACGGTTTCGTCAAGCGTCACACCCACCTTCTCGTCGGAGATCACACGCAAGTTGATGCCCAGCTTCGCCGCCGCTTGGTGCACTTTGGCCGCAGGCACTTGAATCGTGAGCGTATCAAAGAACGCGCCATCCGCTTGCTCGACCGTGCAGCCCAAGTTCTCGACCTGCGCCTTGAGCACCTTGGTCAGCGCATGGACCTTCGCAGCGATGCGGCGCAGACCTTGCGGGCCATGGTACACGGCATACATGGCTGACATGTTCGCCAGGAGCGCCTGCGCCGTGCAAATGTTCGACGTAGCCTTCTCACGGCGAATGTGCTGCTCACGCGTCTGCAGCGAGAGACGGTATGCAGGGCGGCCTTTCGTGTCGCGACTCACACCAATCAAGCGGCCTGGCATACGACGCTTCAGCGCGTCAGTCGCCGCAAAGAAACCGGCATGCGGACCACCGTAGCCCGGCGGCACACCGAAGCGCGCAGCGTTGCCCACCGCAATATCCGCTCCCCACTCTGCCGGCGGCTTGATCATCGTCAGCGCAAGCAGGTCCGTAGCGGCCACCACAAGACCACCGACACTCTTGACTTCCTGCGCGAGCGGCTGCCAGTCGACAAGCGAGCCGTCAACATCCGGGTACTGCACCAGCACGCCCATCACGCGGTCCTTCACGTCCGCAGGCACAGCCTGTACTTCGCCATTCGCCTGCAACGCACGCGAGACAATCTCGATGCCAAAACCCTTCGCGCGGCCACGCAGCACGGCCAGCGTCTGTGGCAGCACCTTGTCATCGACTAGGAACACGTTGCGCTTCTTGTCCTTACACGTACCATACGCCAAGATCATTGCCTCGGCAGCAGCTGTGCCCTCATCGAGCAGCGACGCGTTGGCAATGTCAAGCCCGGTAAGCGACTTGACCATCGTCTGGTAGTTCAGCAGCGACTCCAAACGGCCCTGCGAGATCTCCGGCTGGTACGGCGTGTAGCTCGTGTACCATGCCGGGTTCTCCAGCACGTTGCGCATAATCACCGGGGGGACAATGGTGTTCTGGTAGCCCATACCGATAAACGAGCGACGCACTTCATTCTGGTCCGCCAGCGCCCGCGCACGAGCGGCCAGCTCGCTCTCCGAGAGCGCCGGCATCGAGGCAGGGTCCACCGCGTCGGTGGGCAGACGCACCTCTTCAGGCACAGTTTTGTTCACAAACTCGTCCACGGTCTTGTAGCCCAGCGTATCGAGGATGTGCTGGATCTCAGCAGCGCGGGGGCCGATATGACGACGCAGGAACGTGTCCTGCGCTGTAAATACGCTCGCGGACGCGGGGGGCGTTTCCAGGTTCATAGGGTCTGCCGACGTAGCCAGAGTACGGCGGGGCAGCAGCGACTGCACGGCCACAGCCCGCACAGCCGGTGTCGCACACCAGCGGCGGCCCTGACTCGCGGCACGGAGCGCTGTCATACGAGGGAGCGCCATCATAAAAAGAAGAAACGGTCCGTCGTGGTACAGAGGGAAGAAGAGCTGAGGGGGGAGGTCCCTATATCGCCTACAAAGCCAAGCCCAGCAGCAACGGCGTGACAATTACCATATACTGCAAGTCTGCACGAGATACGCTCCGTAGCCACGCTGTAGGGGCTTGTGCAGCGTTCGCGGCCAATCACGTGGACAAAAAACGACTACCATAAGAGGCATCTACGGTCTCCACTGACACCGCACGCGCGATTGGTCTCCACATCCCAAGGCCTTGGGTGGGAGCGCCATGACGCTAGCGTGCCTCCCCACCCTTTACAAGGCGCTTTCGTTGGCTTCGTAGCGCCGGAATGTGTAGCCAAGGAAAGCCAGGTCCTTGGCCCCCACATCGGTCTCTGCGCCAGGCGGCACATCCGGTACGTCTTGATAGTCTTCGGTAGGGAAATAGCTAGTGTCCGTCACGCTGGTCAGACGCGGGACAAAGGGCGCGTCAATGCGGCGAATCGTCGACCAGTCGACACCTGCGAAGAATGGGTGGTCCTTGATTTCTTGGGCACCATTCCGGCCCAATCGTTCTTCTGGCGCAGCAATCAGTCGATGGATCATATCCTCCGCCTCAGGGCTCAAGTGAATATCGTCCGGGATTTGAAGCGTCTCCCGCCATGCCAAAATCTTGCGGTAGGTATCGTGCGCATTGTCCGAACAAAACGGTGGGTAGCCACACAAGCATTCAAACATGATCGTGCCGAGACTCCACCAATCGCACTCCTGGCCATACCCCTGCTGCATGAAAATCTCCGGCGCAATGTAGTCGGGAGTGCCCACGGTAGAGTACGCAAGTTTGCGGCGGTTCGCTTTCCACGTCGCAATTTGATCCTTGCTGCTAAGCGTAAGTGTGATGCTGTTCACCGCCACCGAGTTGCGGTTCGACTGCGCTGCGCTGGCAGCCGACGGAGGTTCTTCAAAGAGTTTTTGATAGTACGCATTGTCGTGCTGCTTGTGGAAGCCGGTCGAGAGACCAAAGTCGGACAACTTGATATGGCCCTTGCTGTCAATCAAAATATTGTCAGGCTTCACGTCGCGGTGAATAAAGCCCAACTGGTGGATGCCTTCGAGTGCGAGGACACACTCGGCAATGTAGAAGCGCGTCACATCCTCCGAAAAGGTATCGTACTTGATCAACATAGTCATCAGATCGCCGCCCGGCAAAAACTCCATCAGCAAATACAAATACGCAGCATCCTGGAACGAGTAGTACAACTGCACGACCCAGGGCGAATTGGACTCGGCCAACACATCGCGCTCGGCGCGAACATGAGCCAACTGGTCCTTCTTGAACATCTCACTCTTGCGCAGCGTCTTCATCGCATAAATCTTGCCTGTGTCGACTTTCTGCACGACACGCACCTCACCGAACGAGCCTTTGCCAATGACTTTGACCGTTCGGAAATCACTGAGGCCGAGACGCGTGCGGCGCAGCCGCAAAAAGTTGGTCTCACGACGGCCAAGCAGCGCAAGCTGCCGTGTATTGCGCTCCTCAGAGAGTGGCACACCATCCGGTGGATGCGCCAGACGCTTCTCCAGGTCCTGGCGTCGTTGATTGCGCTCAATCGCTTGGTTCACAGCGAGGCGGTACGAATGCTCTAGCCGCATTTTGGCACTACGTGCGGCGTCCTGCGTCGCCTTGCTAATATGACTCGTGTCGCGCACAAAATAGACGTAGTCTTTCTCGTCGTCCTGGCCGGGATGAGATGTAGGCGGTGCAGGAGCCATGCTGGACGACGACGGCATGGATGTCGGTGGGCCTGCGAACGTGAGCCGAGAGATAAGCATACCTATCGAAGCAAAATCCGGCCTAGCGCCTTCCATCATAGGGGACTGGCCTGCTTGGGTCGCCCAGGGCGGCGGGGCAGACATGGAGGATTCAGTCAATGTCACAGGGGCCTAGACGTGGTCCATGCCGCGCCGCACTTTGGCTGCAGCTCCGTGAGTTGATGACATAAGAGTCCATTGGCTGTGCGGGGGGACCCAATTGGGCGCACGAGGGCGGATGGAGGAAACCGCAGCGAAGACGCTGGCTGGCTCTGCCTGTGTGATGGACGCCCTCGCGGAGGAGGCAGCGGCGCCTGCCGCCCCGCAGGAGGAGATCCCGCGTGGTCGTGCGCCCTTGGTTACGGTCCAGGACCCTGTGACCGGCGAAATGGTGACGATGACCAAGACAGCGGCGAAAAAAATCACAAAACGTGCGCTGCGCGAGCAGAAAAAAGAAGCGACCAAGCATGAACGTCGTGCGCGAGAACGTGCGCGTCGGAAAGAAAAACGAGCTCTCGCACGCGAAGCGCTGGCCAACGACCCTGAAGCAGCAGCAGCCGCGGCCCAAGCCCGGCAAAAACGGCCTGTGCCTGTGCCGTTTGACGCTCGCGTCGTTGTCGATCTCGGCTTCGATGACCTGATGACAGCCGATGAAGCGACGTCTATGGCGTCGCAATTGGGATTCTTGTACGGCGTGAACCGTACAAGTAGCCACCCATTCAAAGAGGTTGTGTTCACGGGCGCAGGTCGTATCTCTGGCCAGGCGCTCGGCTTTGATCCACCACATGGAGGCGCGCATGCTTTCCCTGCGCCGAGCACGCCTACCTCCTCGCTCATGGAAGATCGGGTGGGCCAGCATATGGAGCGCAAGAATGGCGGTTCATGGCGGCGATGGCGGCGTGTCTCGCTCCTGGAATTCGGCGGGTTGGAAGCGCTATGGACACCGACCGAGGCGCAGCCTACGCCGATGTGTGCTAGCAAGGACGACGTCATTTATCTTACCGCCGACACGGACGATACGATTGACGCTCTGGAGCCGGGCAAGACGTATGTCATCGGAGGCATTGTCGATCGAAACCGGTACAAATACCTGTGCTCAAAAAAGGCCGAGGCGTTGGGACTGCGTATGGCCCGCTTGCCTATTGATCCATCGAACTTGGATGGACAGCGGATGCAGGCTCGCAAAGTGCTCACAGTCAATCAGGTGTTTGCCATCCTTGTGGGATGGACAGAGACGCGCGATTGGACGGCCGCATTGAAGCGCGGATTGCCGACACGCAAGTTTCTCGCGCCGACAGAGTCGGACGTTGCATCGCCCAGCGAAGCGGCCGAGGAAGATACCCATACGTAGTGCGCTAAGCCACGTACCCTACATATAATTCAGCTATGGTACACGTCTGTCATTGGCGGGAAGCCGCGGTGCGGGCCGCGCTGCAGTACAATCACGCCTTTAGAGTGAAGAATGTAGGCTTTCATGAGGCCTTGGTCGACCAAGTTGGCCGCCATGCATTCCATGTCCGCCAAGTCTAGCGAAGGATCGTCCCAGGCCATGCGCGCAGGTCGTACCAACGTCTGTAGCGACAAAGTGGGCGGTCCTTGCGTGGCTGACGTCGCGCTCTGCGTCGACCGCATGCATCGCTGGAACAGGTTGCGCCATAAACCAAGCACCATTTTCTCACGAAGAAGCATGTACAAGCCGCATGTACGGAACCATTCGCGATGCTGCTCCAACGTCGCCAAGGCGCCTGCTGCATGGCCCATTCTGTGCCGCCGAAGCAGTTCCCCGTAAGGTTCAGTCAGTTGAAATTGAGTCAGGAGAGATCGAGAAGCGTAGCGGCCAAGAATCAAATGCGCAGCCACCAAGGGAATGAGGATCTTGCGTTTGTTGTGCGGATGCGCATTCGTACAGCGATCAAAGGCCCAACGCAAATGCTCAACAGCGGCTAGGACACGGTGCTGTAGCAGTCGGATCTGGCCCAGGTAGTAGTGGTATGTCACACGCTCTGCCATGGTATACGACTCTTCCCCCGTGGCATCGGTATCGTCGTGCCGCCGGTTCATCAGGAGAGCGTTGTTGACCGATCCAAGAACCGTTTCGCAGAGCCGCGTGTTGTTCAGGCGGAAATAGGCTCGAAAACTTACATTGGCCAGTGTGAATACAGCAGCACGCTTGGTCCTTCTGCATGGTTGGGTCGTGCGGTCATTGGCTGCAAGGCCGGCGCTTTTGGAGAGACGACTGGCTGCATCGATCGTTTTGGTATACGCAGCGGAGGCATCGGCTTGGTCAAGCCGGATGGCCATGGCGACGAGCTGTTGAGCCAAGTACTTGAATATAGGCACCATCCACACAGTCTCTGGCAAGGCAAAGACAGCATTGGCGCTCGCATAGACTTTGACCCAAGCGTCATACGCTTCGCGCGGGATCTGAGGACTGGAAGGAGGAGGGTATAGATGGACATAGTCGAGAAAGTCTTGCGCAAAGGACGTGAGTCGCTTCTTTTGGGAGGTGAGGTTCGTAGGTACACGGAGCTTCGCACCCACCTTCGTTGTCGTCTAGGGTAAGAAAGCATTTCAACGTACCATGGACTGCAAACTGGATTGCAGCTGGGTATAGGTAGGCGGGTCCATCGCGATCCATGGCAAAAAGGCTTTGCCATCACCATGCTCCAGCACATGTTGGAAGGCCTCGATCCAATGTACGGCACTCGCTGCCATCCCTGCCCTGACCGATGCACGGATCGAGAGTCGCACCATCGAGCGCGACGTCGTAGCCAAGGAGTCACGTGCATGCACCACCAACGCAAGGCCACCACAGCGCCGCTCGCTTGCGACGACGAGGCACCATGTCGTCTGCTCATCGCCCAACATGGGAGCCGGCTCAGGCCAAGTCGGACCGCTCACACATGTCGATGGCGTTCTCGAAGCATTCGCTTCCTGCCCAGACCAAGCTCAAGTTCCGACGGCCTGGCGACGTGCAGAAACGCTCGCTGCAAGAACTCAAGGACCAATTGGCAGCAGGCGAAAAACGTGCGTATGCTCAGCGTCATCCAGAGGAAGAGTTTGCATCAGAGGAAGAGTCGAAGCGACAGAAGGTCCTGGCTTCCGCGGAAGAACTGGATGCAGACGATGAGGACATGCACATCCCGGCCGGCGAAGCTCCCCCGTCACGCACGTTGCAGGAGGACGACGATGACGACGATGATAGTGATGTCGACAGTGATGAGGATGACAGCGACGAGGAAGATGATGCAGAGGCTCTGCTACGTGAGCTAGAAAAAATCAAGCAGGAACGTCGCGAAGAGCAAGAGCGGCGCGAGCAGAGTGAGCAAGCGCAAGAACAGCTTACGCGTGAAGAGGAGATTGCGCGTGGCAATCCCCTTCTGAACTTGGAACAAGCGCTTCATGGCCGCACTACCACCACCTCCGCGCAGCCTGCGCGATGGGACGATGATTTGATCTTCCGGAACCAAGCGGCCCAAGCAGACAATGGCCTCAGCAAGCGTGGATTTGTGAACGATCTGACCCGTATGTATTCTCTCGCGATATACCACTAACACGCTGCAGGCACGGAATTCCACAAGAAGTTTATGAGCGTACGTACTACAGCACCTACTTACCTCGGCAGCGCTATATCAAGTAACCCATAGGGCCCTCTGTACTATACACCTCGAACTACGTAGAGCACTCTCGCAAGGCTCCCTCCCACGTGAGTGTGGAGTGGCGACAGCGCGATTTTTGTTGCGCCGCTTGACAAGGCGCCGCGACAGCATGGGGCGTTACGCTGTGCTTGTGACAGGTACGAAAATGGCTTTTCTTACTTCTAGGGCCTGCAGGGGCTGGCAAGTCGACGTTTTGTTCGTCCATTGTAACGCATGCGCACAGTTTAGGTCGCAGCGTACATTTATTTAATTTGGACCCGGCCGCGGAGCATTTTGAATACGAGCCGACCATCGATATTCGCGAGCTGATTACACTAGAGGATGTGATGGAAGAGATGGATCTCGGCCCAAATGGTGGCCTAATTTACTGCTTTGAGTACGTGCCCTTGAGACTTACGCAGCTACCTGCTCAACAACCTCGATTGGCTGGAAAACGAGCTGGGTAATTACGACAACGACTACTTGATCATTGATTGCCCTGGCCAAATTGAGCTGTATACGCATTTCCCTGTGATTGCCCGGTTTGTGACGCTCATGCAGCAACAATTCAATTTCCGCGTATGCGCGACGTATCTGCTAGACTCTCACTTTATGGACGACAAGGCGAAGTACTTTGCCGGCGTATTGAGCGCCATGAGTGCGATGATCAACTTGGACGTGCCGCACCTGAATATCATGACAAAGATGGACCTCGTATACCAATCGAACGACAAAGAAGGGACATCGTACGCACGTCGAAAAGAAATGGAACGGTACATGGATCCAGATCCCTTGCTCTTGGCCGATGAGAGCAACAACATTACCAATCCCAAGTTCTTTGCTATGAACCAGGCCCTTGTGCATTTGGTGCGTTACAGTCTTTTGTTCTAAGTGCTAATGACACAGATCGAAGATTTTAGCATGGTCTCGTTCCTGCCGTTGGACCTGACAAGTGAAGACAGCCTCAACTTGGTTCTCTCCTGCATCGATAACATCGTGCAATACGGCGAAGACGAAGAGCCTGTAGAGCCCAAGGACTTTGAGCAAGAGGAGGTAGAGGAATAAAGATACATTATGGGCCATGGGGCGTGTCGAGCCAAGTCAGTAGATCCGGCGTAAAGTATGTGAGGATCAACGTCGCACCGGCACGCAGCATCGACGTCACGCTCTCTTCCACGAGGGCCCGCAAATCGCCCACACCCGCATTGGCGGCAGCATGAAGAACGGCGTACTCGCCACTCACCTGGTAGCAAGCGCGTGGGTAGTCAGGTACCAATTCTCGTGCATCAGCGAGGATGTCAAGGTAAGGTCCAGCTGGCTTGACCATCAAGATATCTGCGCCTTCCTGTGCATCACGCACGATCGCACGGCGTGCCATACCGCGAGCGTGGGGCGGCAGCTGATAGCATCGGCGATCGCCAAAGGCAGGTGCCGAGTCGACAGCCTCACTACAATGTTAGCATACAAATACGACATACCGGAAAGGTCCATACATCGCCGAAGCGAACTTGGCGCTGTACGCCATCAACGTAACACGACCGGCCAGGCCAGCCGCATCGAGGCCCCGGCGGATCGAGGCAATACGTCCGTCCATCATATCACTTGGAGCTACACAGTGGGCGCCGGCCTTTGCGTAGGCCACAGCGACGTCCTTGAGGCGCTCAATGGACAAAGTATTGTTGATCGAGCCGTCTTCGTGCAAGATACCACAGTGGCCATGCGATGTGTACTCGCATAGGCATACATCTGCAGCCACGTACAATGTAGGGAACAAGTCACGGATCTTACGGATGGCCTGGATCACAGGGCCATCCACATCGTCGGCCAACGTTCCAACGTCGTCCTTCTTCTTCAGCGTGGGCACGCCGAACAAAATGACCGAGGCAAGGCCACGCTCCACCAGCGGGCCCAGGAGCTCACTAAGGCGGTGAACGCCCCAGCGGTACTGGTTGGGCATGGAGGCCAGAGGGATCTTGGCGTCAGGCTCATCAGTAATGAAGACTGGAAGTTAGCTCGCACGACCGGGGTGGCGCACGTACTTGGGTACATCAAAGACGATTTCGAGAGACGGAGGCTCTGTGCCTGCCATTCTCGGCCTAGGGGTGTACTAATACTGGGGTGCAAAAGGGTGCTGCCTGTGAGAGAGTGTCTCCTATGGCATACCTTGGATTTGCCATAGTGGTCGTAGCGTCTTTCAGCCTCTCCCCCGCGTGCGCTCCAAGTGACACCAGTGCTACGGTCCCTCCACTCGTACGTCTGTCGTCACGTGGTATAGCATCGAAGCCACGAGCAGAATTTGCTAAAAGGCGGCAGGCCAAATCATAGGGCACGGGTGGCAAGTGGCCCAGGGTGGGAGAAAAAGCAGAACGGCGCTTACGACACTCACTCGGTTCTACGCTCAGATCGACAGTGTCTCTGCCCCACCTCTTTGAATTGTGCGCAACGAACAGAATAGCCATCTAGTATCTGCGCTTTCTATTTGTGCTAGTCATACCTTCGGTGTGGCTACGAAACGGACTGCTTGTATTTCACGACGATCAGTAATATGACAAATACCGAGCCTTTGGACCAGCCCGCCTCGCCGCCGGCTGGCCATGGCCCTGAGGGCTCTTTGGCGATTCCCAGAGACAAGGAGACGCCGGCTGCGATGGTACATTCGCCTGGACATGTGCCTGTCTCAGAAATGCTCTCGATTAGCCCCTCGACCATGCCCCCGAACGCTCTCCCCCCCACGGCGACCTTGCCTTCGTCCGCCTCCCAGGCAGCCTTGCCAGAAGTGGAGAAGGCAAAGGAAAGCAGTGGTCGCCGTATCCTCCGTCGTATGTTACCTGGCTCAGCGCACCATCCTGCGGAACGTGAGGGCACGACGTCGCTGAGCTCATCCCTACCGCAGGACTCGACCATGGCCAATGTGCGTGGAGTCACCTCACCGGTGTCGCCCAAGTTCGAGGGTGCCGGCCTCAAGGAGATGCCACTGGCTCGGGCGGACGGCGACGAGGCTGCGTTGACGGACTCGATGGACCAAATGAAACTGAAGTCGGGCTCAGCAGCAGTGCCAATGCCGGCCCAAAAAGGCCGGAGCCGTGGCGAGTCGTTCAGCACGTATGACTCGACAGACGCGTCACCCATGGCTCGTTCGCAGCAAGACCAGCCTGAGATGCGTAGCCGTGCGAACTCCACCGTATCGGACAAGTCGAAAGGCGGTGCGGGCTCGGCGTTGCGTGATATGATCATGAACAGTCCCATGCTTGTGCGGCGTGGATCCTCGGCCTCGCACCGCTCTGATGGCAGTGCATCGAGCAAGAGCAAAGACGGGAAGAAGAAGAAAGGCACGTCGACAATTCCAGGTGCGCCAGGTACAGGCGAAGTGGCTAGTCTCTTGAAAAAGTATGGCACGTGTGAGCGTGTGGCCATCGGCAAGGGTGCGAGTGCTGTAGTGCGTATTGCACGTAAGCGTGACAAGGACAATGCGGACCGCATGTACGCTGTGAAAGAGTTCCGCAAACGCCGTAAGAACGAGACGGAAAAGGAGTACGTGAAAAAGCTCACGTCGGAATTTTGTATCTCCTCGACGCTGCACCATATCAATGTGGTGGAGACAGTGGACTTGGTGCAGGATGAGAACCAGCACTGGTGCGAGGTGATGGAGTACTGCCCTGGTGGCGACTTGTATGCGGCCATCAAGAAGGGCGGTATGAAGCAAATTGAAATGGAGTCGTACTTTAAGCAGACGATCAACGGGATTCACTACCTGCACTCGATGGGCGTAGCGCACCGTGACATCAAGCCTGAGAATCTGCTGCTGGATGGCCAAGGCAACATCAAGATCACAGACTTTGGTGTGAGTGACGTGTTCCGCATGTGCTGGGAAAAGTCGACGCACTACAGTAAAGGTCTCTGTGGCTCGGAGCCGTACATTGCGCCTGAACAATTTGAGCAGAAAGAGTACGATGCGCGTCTCGTGGATATCTGGGCGGCTGCCGTGGTGTTTTACTGCATGCAGTGCAGTGAGCTGCCGTGGCGCGTCGCGAAAATGTCGGATCCAACGTTCCAGGAGTTTGTGCATTCGTACCTCGGCACGCCTGTCCCGAGTCCGCTGCCGAACCTGACGCCGCGTGAATGTCGGCCGCTGCTGAAGAAGATGCTGTGCCCTGATCCCAAGATGCGATGCATGACTGACGAGATCCTCAAGGACTCTTGGCTCTCGCAGGTCCCAGACTCTGTCCCTCCGTAATGTAGCATAGATATCAATGATCCATCCTCCTAGTATACGTTCTCAACATTACAAGGACCGACCGACTATGTATGTGGCTATACAAGACCGCGCTTGCCGCGCTTCTTTTCGCTGTCCTTGTGGCTCTGGAACTCCACTTCCGAGGAAAAACCGCCACCAACCTTGGCGTCGAGTGGGTATCCCAGGACCTCGGTCTTGAAAAAGCGGCCAAGTGCCACAAGGCGGCGACCCACAGCGACGGACTCGGGCACCTCAGCGCCCTCGGGCACCTCGACGTCCCAGTCGTCTGCACGTCGTGTCCACACAGAGATACGGTAGTAGTTCGAGCGCGCCTGCAAGATCACGCCTGTCACCAATTCGTCCTCGATTTTGGTTGGCAACTTGGAGTCAGGCGTCGGCGTCTCGAGCATCTCGCCAATAGCCGCCAGCATGGTATAGAGCCACAGCTTATCGATTTGGTTGCGGTGCTTTTCACGCGGCAACTGCACACTCCATTTGCCGCCATTACCATTGGCAGGGTCTTCCCACGCCGGCTGGATACCATCTTTGAACAGGTAGTAATTGGCACTCTGGGGCAATGTCGAAGGTGGCACGATATTGTTATACAAGCCCCAAAACTCTTCCACACTCTTAATGTCGACGACCTTGTGCAAATTGGCACCCCAGCTCTCACGGCGCTCCTTGGCGCTCGATGAGCCCTTGTGGACAGGGTTGTCGAACCACAGCGTCCATGAATGGTACAGCGGGTGCTTTACGTTGAAGTTCACAGGGTCCTGGAACACGGTACGCAGCTCCTCGCCCTGCTTCGCCAGGTCTGACGACGTGCCAATCTCATGTTCCTGCAGCGCCGAAGCGAGAGCCGCCTTGGACGAAGCCTCAGGCTCGGCAGGCAGCATACTAGTGGCCGACGTCGCAGGCACAGGCTCCGCTGCTGCAGGTGTGGCAGATTGTGTTTCAGCAGTAGACATGATACAAAGAAACCAACAGTTGTCTCAAGGAGGCGGCGACGTAGGTTCCCAACGTCGTCGTAGTCTCCTACCAACGAAAAAGTCACCCAGGCCGCCGCCGCCGCCTACGCTTGGCCGGCAGACCGCCGTGACGTGTTAGGGCCCAGCGAAAGGACCTGGTAGGTCTGTGTATGACAAAGCATGCATACCCCTTCGCCTGGGGGTCGTACACCATCAGAGAGCCTCGTTACTGTCTATATCAACGACGAAAGAGGGAACGTAGTGCCTGACGACTCGCCGCTTGTGTACGTATGCGTAGTCCTAGGGAACGACCGTGGTGGTGGGAATTGAGCAGACGTAGGGAATGTCCATGCGCCAGATTGCGGCGGGGGTGAAGGGACTGGAGGTAAGCACGTGGATAGTATACATACCTCTTCGTGAGCTGGTCGTAGTCGATGATGTGGATGTTGGGCCGGCACGGATAGGGAGTGTGGCGTGGACGGTCGACGGAGGCGGCGTAGCGGCGGGTGCGGAGGGTGCAGGCATCGTCCGCGTTACAGGAGGCGCGGCCGGCGCGGCCGAAGAAAGAGCCATCCCAGCACCTTGGATAGCGGGAGGCGCCGCAGGCATAGCAGGTGCTGGCGCTGGTGGTGCCGGTGCTGGTGCTGGCGGTGGCGGTGATGCAGCTTCAGCGGGTGGGCGTGGTGGTGCCATGCGAGTCGGCGCTGCAGGTGGTGGCGGTGGACGCGATCGGGGCGGCGGAGGGGCCGACGACCGTGGCGCTGGCGCTGGCGCTGGCGCCGCCGGCGCAGCGGGGGGGGTAGGGGCAGCTGACGCCGCTGGGGCTGGAGGCGGCGGAGGAGGCGGGCGTGGTGCAGGGGTCGTGGGTGTGTGAGCGCTGCGCACAGGCGGTGGGGGCCGTGGTTTGGTGCTCAGCGACGCTGGCTTGGCAGGTGGTGGCGCAGGCCGTGGCTTGGGTGGTTTCATGGTGGGACGAGGAGGTGCAGGTGCACCAGGGCGTGGTGGGGGGTGTGATGGGCGTGGTGGGGGTGGTGCGCTAGGCCTGGGTGTGGATGTCGGTGCTGGGTGTGTCAGAAACGAGAAGGACGTACCTGATGCGCCAGGCGCGGGGGTCCCACCTGACACAGATCGCAGTTTGGGTCGCCCTGCGGCAAAGATATCACCAATACCAGCAGGAGGGCCGCCAGGCACAGGTGGGGCTGTAGGGGGTCGGGCGCTCCCACGAACAGAGCCGCCGCCGCCACTAGACGAGGCAGCATTGCCTGCTACAGCCGGCGCAGATCGATCATTTGTTTGCACCTCTGGAAGACATGGTCAGTACATGTCATTCACCTACTTTTCAGCGTCTTGCCCTTCCGGATGGCATCTTGCAATGCAGCATCCATGATAACAAGTGCGTAATCAGTACGTGTAGGTCCATGCGGCGTCCGTGGACGACCCCAAGGCACACATCACGTGCTGCCGATCCGAACTAAAAGTCTTCGATAGGGGACACAACCAGAGTCTATAAGGGGGAGGGGCAACATATATAGGGAAGGGAGGAAGACAAAAAGCGTCGACAACGTTACACACGGGCATCTCGTGCCGAAGAGGGGTGAACGACGTGTTCTTCATCGTCCATCTCTTCGTACGCATGAATGACCCAGTCACCTGCCCCATGCGTTACGCAGGGTTCGTGCAGGTTGCTTTGACGTAGATGTTGCGTATCGCCAGAATGCTTCGAGTCCAAAGAATAGGCTGACATGTGCTTGGAGTTCACACTTGCGCCATCCCAATCACCGCCTGACAGACGGCTCACATGGCCAGGGTAGATAGGGCCTTGAGCGGGTTCGGGACTAGGGCGCAGTGGTGGCTTCTCTTGGTACGACTGGAATCGGTTGAGAGTGCCGCGCGATACCGTCGACATGAGGGGACGCATAGTCGGCAGCGCTGGCAGGCCCTTCTCCGACATGGTCCATTGCGGATCCGCCTCTTTGGAAGGCACCTCACCGGTGGACTTCCTGCGTCGCTGGCACCACCACCGTGCACCTATGACAGCAAGCACGATACACACAGCCAGCACGGCCACGATAATCCCGGCAATAGCGCCTGCACTAAGGTGATGACTCGGGGCGGATGTGAGTGTACGGGGCTTGGTCGGCGGTACATGGGCGGCGCGCGACATGGTAGAATGCGTCGTCGAAGAATGCGGCAAGGCCACCACGGAGGCTGTTGTTGTCATGGGTGCTTGTGCGTCCAGCGACGACGTGAGTGCGTCTGCGCTGGAAGTCGTGGAGTGCTTGCTGGCCAATTTGTGCGAATGCGAATGATGCCCAGCTTTACTCGTAGACTTGGCAGCAATGCTTTCAGCTTGGCGCGCTAGTAGGGTGTGATGTAGTGTTCCGGCCACAGGTGCACCAGTCACCTGCGCAGCGGCCAGAAGGAGGGCAAGGGTGAGAGTAAGTGTGTGTGTCTGTCCAGCAGATGCAAAGGCCATGGTCAACATGGGGAGGGAATTAGAGGAAACAGGGAGGTGGTAGTGAGGGGATAAGCACGTACACACAAGACCAGCTTGCGAGTACTACGGGGCAAGGATCGAGCGAGGTGGTGACGTGGGTAGGTAAGGGGAGACGTGGGGGAGGGTAGTTGGTATCTAGCGAATCTATATCTCTCCACATCAAATTCGACCCAATTTGAAGGTGGATGTTACTTGGTAGCTGTGCATCTGTCGGGCTCGCTAGATGGATGTCCTCCACATGAATCACGTTGTTCCTCTCCCCTCTACAGATACAGCTGTGCTATCCACTGATCCAAGTCGCGCTCGGACCACCGCGCACTGCGTTGGGAGGTGGACCGCTGCTTAGACAAGGTGACCGCGTATAGGGGGCTGATCAACCGCGTGACATCGTTCCGCAACGAGTCGGCCAAGCCCGTGTCCCTCTGCAGCGGGTGCGTCCGATGGATCTGTTCCATCTGCTGGAGGTATTCATAGAAGCGTCTGGACGGTTAGTGCATATTGAACGTACGCAAAGGCGTCAGGTTTCGAACGGTCACTAAGGACCGCAAATTTGCCCATGGGTCCTGATCGTGCTGCAGATTGATCATCGACGAGTGCCTGCACAACGACATTCCACGACTCCAAGTAGCTGGTGTGAGCTGTACGCAGGGCATGCGTCACTACGTGCTCAGCAGCGTTCATGACGGGGGGCGGGAGGGCCTGAGCAAGGGCTCGCAAGTCCTTCTGGAGGAAGGTAACGTTGCTGTGTGTGAGCTTCGTTGTACATACTTGAGTAGGAAAATCGACGCGACCGTCGGCTGAGGGATGGCTGCCACGGTACCTGCACGTTAGAAACTCTCATACACGTACGTTCTAAAGAGGTCACAATGGACAACATAAAATCTTTCACATAGTCGGCCCATAATGCGTCAGGCGACATGGCGGAGGCCTGGCCTTCGACCCAGTTCTTGCTGCCCATCGTCTGGAGCAGGAAGAGCATTACATCCTGGAAACAGACCAGGCCACGTAGGAGGACCATACCTAGACGCGCAATATCACTCACACCGACCTGTAGCGCGTCATGATTTTGCTGCACAGGGATGATCTTGATATCTCGCAGCAGCTCCGGGAAAAACAGGAGCGCATCCTGACGTACCGAGCCGAGAACCGAGGTGAAGCTGCAGGTATCGCATTGCGTACCTTGCAGTGCCGCTATCCACTTTTGTCCATCCACGCCAAAAACGGCCTGCGTCTGGGCGATGAAGTCGAGAACCATGTAGCGATGTGCGTTCAGACCATGGTGTAGGCGTGGCAGCAGCATCGGCATCATAGCATTCACGGCCTGGACCAACGGCTGGAGGACACACGTGGCTGTTTTACCACGCCAGCCCTCCCAAGCCATCCCCTGAAATAGCGTAGCAATCGCATTCTGTTCCTGCTGTACCATCGAGAGCATAACGGCACAAAACTCTTGCACTGGCAGCGTGCCACGCTGGTAGTCCACATGGGCCTCTCGCGGTGCTGGTACAGAGTCTTGCTGTGTCATGGCAGCAATATGGACCACTCGCTTCATATGTGCATCGAGACTGGCAGTAAGGTAGGTGGATCGTACGCTCGCATACGACTGCAAAGCAAGCGCAAAGGCACTAGCTGTGGCATTGTGCTGCATTTCCGGCAGAGTATAGAGAAACTGGAGAAGTGCCTTGTCGGATGTAAGGCACTCGTTCGAGACACCAGGCAATGCAAGGCCTTGCTGTGTGTAGGAGAAGGGGTCAATCGCGCGCGACTCGGCGGCGGTATATTCACGCACGAGTTCAGCGACTTTACGTGCACCTTGTTCGGTCAGCCTATGCCGTTTGCTCCCTGCCTGGCTTGCTTCCCCGCCAGGGGCCTCATTGGCCTCTTTGATCACGCGCTGGATGGCTTCCAAGTAGGGCCATGGGTTTCGTGGGTCCGGGCCACGAAGAATCTCAGGCTCGTCGTCCACAACAACACCGTAGTGACGTAGACTGGTATCGAGTTCTTTTTGCACCTCACTCACATCTGTTTGGTCAGTATACACGCCACGTACTGGAGCTAATGCGCGATAGGGTCTGTGTGCTTTTATGAATAGGCAGGATGCTGCTTTCCAACTTGACAAGGCGTCGGTCAAAGCCATTGAGGATGGTCGTCATACGGCCTGTCAGGCTGCCTAATCGTCTTTGATTCTGTTCCAGCAGCTCCATCTCCGTGAGAGCTACATCGTTATCGCGTCCGGACGCATGGGATGTCGACACTACGCGTGCCGTATACACCATGACGGTTTCGCGGGAGAAGCGACAGCGTGCTATGCACCGACCTCCACATGCATGCATGCATGCTCAATATAAGGGCATAGCACTGCCAGCCGACGATTTGCCCAACCCCCTACCTTGCTGCCGCTCTAGTCATGGCAGAGCCCTCGTCCTACTCGGCAGCACAGGTGGCCGTCCTGCTGGACAATCTCACGAAGATCGATGCGCTGCGCCTGTCGGATCCCGACTTTCGGATGTCCGCCTTCAAGGCGCATCTGGCGGACAATCGCTATGCGAATGTTTATCCCTGTACGTTGTCGTCTAATACTTACCGAAAGATGATGCCTCTTTGTTGCCCGGTACCTATATCAATGCGTCTGTGATCAAGCCTCTGCCGGAAAGTGAAGAGGGTGCAATAGCGTGCATTGCTTCGCAGGCTCCCTTGCCATCCACTTTTCATACGTTTTTTGACCACCTGTATGACCAGAAAACAGACGTGCTTGTCAACCTGACGGCGCTGGAAGAGAATGGAATCCCCAAGAGCGATCGATACTGGCCCGTGGACACGACTCAGCCGTTTGTCGATGCGACCAAGACGTGGTCACTTGCGCTGCTCTCCGAACAATCGGCGACGCAGGCCTTTGACGCTACCACACAGCCTCTTGCCTCTGCTCTCCCTTCCCTCGTGGTCCGCCGTCTCCGCTTGACCTCCTTGCGTGATGCTAGCAAGCAGCACGATTTTACACAGCTGCATTTCTCAGGCTGGCCAGATCACGGCGCTTTGCCCGCACCTTCCATATTAGGTCTGATGCAGGCGGTGGATGCTGTAGCACGTCCTCCTCTCAAAGATGCTATGCCATGGATTCACTGCTCGGCGGGTATTGGCCGCTCCGGCACACTGATCGGTGCCATGCTCCTCCACCAAATGCCATCTTCACACTTGACCTCTCAACCGACACTCCAGCTGGCTGCCTATGTAACGCAGCATATGCGCAAGTACCGTGCTGGCACGGTGCAAACGGCTGGCCAGCTTGTGGCCCTGGCTATGGTCATTGACCAACTGCGTTCGAGCTAATTCCATAAATTCATTAGGGTATCCAGGGCACTATGTATAGATAAGCTCATGTTCTTATGATGCATTCTTCCGTGTTCGTGATGTCTTTTTCTTCGGTGATTCGACGAGGGGCTGCTTCGAAGCTTCATTTGCAACATTGACTGCATTAGACAGCCAGCGCATAGTTGCCTCGTGCACGACAGAGCCCGCATGGTGCAGCGTAGCACTAGCATGCGACGTGGTTGATGTTTCTGTAGCTGGTGATGGTGCTGTGTTGGGGCTGGTAGGTGGGGCTGGCTGAAATGTTGTGCGAAGGATGCCAGCCATGGCATTGGTCGCGAGCCGCAAGCCTTGCATAGCTTGGGCCTTGGCATGCTCCGACCACATTTCAATGTCCGCTTCGTGCTCCGCCAGGAAGGGGACCAGGTAGGTCTTGTACAAAGAGGAAGCGCCCTGCGATGTAAGTCGTTTCGTTGTATCCACGTACGCGAGTCTGCGGCAACGCCAGCCAACAGTAGAACATGAATTTAATCTGCCAATAAAAGGGGAGCCTGCGAAGTGTGAATCTCGCTTCTCTTATACGTACCAGCGCAGCAACCACTCGATCCATAGATTGTAGAGCCACATGATACCCATCACGCACCAATACATCGTCCAAGTCTCTAGCTCACTGAGGTGCGTCGGCGGTTCCTTAGCCTTGGTACTAGCCCCCACACCTTCTTTCCAGGCATAGGCAACAGGCGTAGTGCCACCGCGCGTGGCGGCTGTAAGTGCTTTGTACGTGGCGTACACTGGGTACAGGTACGCCACGCCGGAAATGCCTAGCGACACCGTCCACGACATGTCAACAACGTCGTTGTGTTTCTTTGGGACGCACAGTGTCGCGAACCAACACAGGACCACGTGGCGTGCGCCCTCCCGCATCGAGGCGCCCCAAACTACGCTTGCCACACCACCGTAAACAAATCATCGTCGATTCGCAATAGACAATCACTATAATATCCCATCAAGGGTCTCGGCTAATAGAAACGAACAAAAGAAAATCTGACAGCATTAGTGCAGGATGCTCGAGTCCAGCTTGTAGAGCGGGAAGTCCGAGCGGCCACCATGAGCGCCGTTGTCGAAGAAGGCGCTCACAGCGTAGATACCCTGCTCGTTGCCGCTGTAGTAGTCAGTCACAGCAGTGAAGCCGCTGTTCTTGAGCTCGTTGCGATGCGTTGACTTGATGGAAGCCGACTTCCAGTTGTCGTCCGAGTGGAAGGCCACGGCGTTGGGGGCGCGGGCACCGACCAGGACGCTCTTGCCGTTCACCGGGATGGTCACGATCTTCTCCGAGCCAGTGAGCGAGCCGAAGTTGCCGTTGATCTTCACGTTCTTAGCTCTCGGGCTGTTGCTGGTTGGGTCGAACGCGGTAAGGACACGAGGACCACCGAAGGCGATAATGCGGTTGGCAATCGGGTCGAAGGTGATACCCGAGTAACCTGGGCGCTGGCCACCGTTGCCCTTCTCGTGGAACCACGGAGTAACGGTCTTGCCGTCAGCGCTAACCTTGGCAATAGCCGGCATGCCGAGCTCAAAGGCAATGTACGAGTTGCCGTCACGGTCCTGGGCGGACTGGACCACACCGAACGGACGAGTGCCAGCCTGCTGCTCGAACTGGTCCTGGACGTTCTTCAGATCGACCGACCAGATGGGCTTGCTGTTCTCTTTCAGCGGGAGCGAGAAGGCATGGAACGAGCTCGGGCCGTGGCTCGACTGGTCAGCAAAGTTGAACGAGCGCGAGTTCTTCATCACAGCGAAGAGGCGCTTCGAGTTGTCGTGGGTCAGCAGCGAGAGACCCGACATCTGCTGGTCACCGTCGCCCGACGACGAAGCGCCGTCAATGGCGACGTTGAAGTGCGACTGGCGCTTCGGGTCGTAGACAGCAATGCGACCCTTGTAGAGGTTTGACTGGTAGAACACTTCGCGAGTGTGGTCGTAGATCGTGTCCTCAGGGGTGAGGTTCTTGATCTTCACATCGATCACATCCGGCAGGGCAGCCAGAACGCCGACCGTGCAAAGGGCCACGAAGGCAAGGAGCTGATACACCGTCGAGGTACGCATGGTAGTTGGTGGATGACCGTACTAGAACCGATGTGACACGCATAAAAAATCCTCATTCCCTTTGTAGAGTTTCGCTGGGAGGGGTTTACCTAGCCCACGTGCAATCGGCATTCCGACGTCCGACTCACTGTGTGCATGCATATACCTATATCACGTGAAATGGGCGCAAAGTCGCCGGGCGTAGAATTCAGCTTAGGTGAGCAGTCGATGGAATCCCGATTGTACCTTTTTACGTAACGGACGAGGAATGTCACTCTCCTTCATATTTGCACTTTTCTCGGGGTACTTGCATGAACAACACACACCTTGGCAGCACATCTACATGAGAAAACCAGCCAATGTTTTGCGTCACATGCACGAAAACCAAGAAGCGCCCTGCGACAGGTGTCTTGGCTGTATGTACTGGCGCAGTGCGGGTAGTGTATATCACTCGCGGGCGTTCACCGCGTTAGGCACAACACAAATATGTTTATTCTATATAAAGCCATAGCCGTACAAGACGTCAAACCACCACTTTTGCAAATCATGGTGTCTACGAAGTTCTGTTTCTCTGCTGCGCTTATGGGTGTGCTCGCCTCGATGGTGGCTGCTGCTCCTTCGAACATTGCTCGCCGCACCACCCCTGACAACCAGGTGTGGGTGACCAGCGTGGCTGACCACTGCATGATTCTCCCGCGTCACAAGATGTCGATCGGTGACAGCGAGCAGCCCGGCGGTATGAAGTCGTACTGCACCAAGCCCTACGACAAGTCGCAGGGTCATCTCGCTTCGGACTTCTGGAGTGAGGTCCACTTCAAGAAGACCAAGCACTACGTCCAGCTGACTGGTTGCATTCGTCCTGAGGTGCAGAGCACTCTTCTCCGCAAGGACGACGGTGGTCAGTACGACTCGAACGGTGGTGACGGTGGCCGCGGTAACCCGCGCGACTCGGTCTGCCTTGGCTACTCGTCGTACGTGGAGCTTGTCGAGCCTACTGCTCGCCGTGCCTGCATCCGTTGCTGCGTTGATGACAAGTACTGCAACGTCAACAACGACGAGGACGGTTGCGAGTCTGTCATTCCTGGCCAGTACTGCTAAATGCTCACTCTGATCTAAGTATTCACATTCCTTTAATTACGTGGCCTAAAACCGCATTCCTGCCAACGTCTTCCTTTCTGTGGTATATCTGTTGTTGTGCAAGACATATGTGTAAATTTTTTTTATATTTGTTGTTGCTGCTGGTCGATACTCTCGTAGCACCACCTTTGTTTGCAATATTTTGTTGTTACTATGTTATTGTGCGCCTCTTTGTCATGTGCCGAACGGTGAATCTCTCTGCGGTAGGGCATCTCTTTTGTCAAGCCTGACAGGCTGCCGTAGAAGCCAGCGTGTGGAGTGGCATGCCAAGGGCCATGACGGTTACCAAGCTTCCGAGGGGCTCCTCGAGGACCTTAGTAGAAATGCCAAGGAAGTCTTTCCCCTACACTCTCGCTTGCGCAAGTATGCTTTGGCATAGAGCAAGGGTCAGAGACTTGTCGGCTACTTTTCGATAACGTACTACATGCTGTCTTAATGCTGCTGTATGCAGGCACTGTAGATGCCTTTTGCATGTCCATAGGCCATCTCCCGTCCTCGTGGTAGGGTTGCATTTCGGCCCAGCGTCCTATTAGCACGCTGCCCTGCCCTGCCCATCTCTCCTACATGTCTATCTCAGTCTAGTTCGAGCCAGTGCGCCATTACATGGTCTGTCCCACGTGAAGCGCCATCCTTTAATGCTACCGTGTGTCCTGCCTCCTTGTTGCGTGCTAGATGCAGAACCGTGCATTCCGCTGGAAAAAAGGCAGACCCATGTGCGTATGACTCCATTTTCTTTGAGCCTCTCACTCTTACTCGTGTGAGGTGTCGGGCGAGCGGGCACGATCTCGCAATTTTATTGGACGATCGAGAACAGACTCAGCTTCGAATGTGCTGGCATGTTCAAAATCACGGCATGTGTGCACGTGGATGGTAAGATGAAGATGCTCCCGTTCGAGGCCTCGCATCTGTCTTCCTTACCATACGGATCCCTTCTCGGGCAGTGATTTTACGTTTCGTCACTACCCGTTTTATACATACAAATATGGCTACTTCTTCCGTTCTTGGTTTCCCTCGCATTGGCCCTCAGCGTGAGGTCAAGAAAGCTCTGGAGGCCTACTGGAGCGACAAGATCTCTGCGGAGGAGCTCCTGAAGGTCGCCAAGGAGCAGCGTCTTAACACCTACGAGACCATCAAGTCGCAGGGTGTGGACTTCATTCCTACTGGTACCTTCTCGCTCTACGACCACGTGCTTGATGCGTCGAACACTTTTGGCATCATCCCGGAGGCGTACGCCAAGTCGGGTCTCTCGGGCCTTGACACCTACTTCGCTATGGCCCGTGGTCACCAAAAGGGTGGTGTTGACCTGCCGGCTACTGAGATGAAGAAGTGGTTCGACTCGAACTACCACTACCTCGTGCCCGAGTTCTCGGAGAAGTCGACCTTTAAGCTGAACAACACCAAGCCGATTGACGACTTTGTTGAGGCTAAGGAGGCTGGCTACAACGCTCGCCCGGTCGTTGTTGGTCCGATCACTCTTCTTTGGCTTGGTAAGCTTGCCAAGGATGTGCAGGACCCGAACTTCAACCGCTACACTCTTCTGCCGAAGCTGGTTGAGGTCTACGTGGAGCTCTTCCAGAAGCTGGTGGGCGCTGGTGCTTCGTGGATCCAGGTGGATGAGCCGATCCTCGTCACTGATGCTGCCAAGGATCTCGCTGCCGAGTTCAAGCAGACCTACGAGCTTTTCGCTAAGAGCGTGCCGAAGGCTGACATTCTCCTGACCACCTACTTCGGTCGCCTGGAGGACAACATTGACTTTGTGAAGGAGCTCCCTATCGCCGGTCTTCACATTGACCTGGACCGTGCTCCTGAGCAGCTTGACCGCGTTCTTGACGCCGTTGCCTCGACCAAGATTGGTCTCTCGCTTGGTCTTGTGTCGGGCCGTAACATTTGGAAGACCGACCTGGCCGCTGCGCTGAAGCTCGCTCAGAAGGCTGTGGAGAAGCTCGGTGCTGACCGTGTGCACGTGGCCTCATCTTCGTCGCTGCTCCACACCCCGATCACGGTGGCCAACGAGAAGAAGCTCAAGCCTGAGGTGCTCGACTGGTTCTCGTTCGCTACTGAGAAGTGTGGTGAGGTTGCCACTCTGTCGCAGGCTCTTCAGGGCGGTGCTGCGGACAAGCTTGCCGAGAACGCTAAGAGCATTGCTGCTCGTCGCGACTTTGAGAAGAACTCGGACCCGGCTGTTCGTGAGCGTCTCGCCAACATCAAGCCGGAGGCCTTCAACCGTAAGTCGCCGTTCTCCCAGCGTCGTGAGGTGCAGCGCCAGTTCCTGAAGCTGCCGCCGTTCCCGACGACCACCATTGGTTCGTTCCCTCAGACCAAGGAGATCCGTCAATACCGTGCCCGCTTCACAAAGGGTGACATCTCGAAGGAGGAGTACGAGAAGTTCCTGGAGAACGAGATCAAGATGGTCGTTGAGAAGCAGGAGGCTCTTGGCCTTGACGTGCTGGTGCACGGTGAGCCGGAGCGTAACGATATGGTTCAGTACTTCGGTGAGCAGCTCGACGGCTTTGTGTTCACTCAGAACGCCTGGGTGCAGAGCTTCGGTTCGCGTTACGTGCGCCCGCCGATTGTGGTTTCGGACGTGTCGCGTCCTCACCCGATGACCGTCCGCTGGTCGTCGTACGCTCAGAGCCTGACCAGCAAGGTCATGAAGGGTATGCTTACTGGTCCGGTTACCATTCTCAACTGGTCGTTCCCGCGTGTGGACATTGGCAAGGATGTGCAGTCGTTCCAGATTGCCCTGGCTCTGCGTGATGAGGTGATTGACCTTGAGAAGGCCGGTATCAAGGCTGTTCAGGTCGACGAGCCGGCTATCCGTGAGGGTCTGCCTCTGCGTCGCTCGGAGTGGGACAACTACCTCAAGTGGGCTGTTGACTCGTTCCGTCTCTCGGTGGGCGGTGCCTCGGATGCCATGAACACGGCCAGCCACTTCTGCTACTCGGACTTCAACGATATCATGGACTCGGTCATTGCTCTTGATGCCGACATGATCTCGATTGAGAACTCGAAGAGCGACGCTAAGCTGCTGAAGATCTTCCAGTCGACCAAGTACCCGAACGAGATTGGTCCGGGTGTGTTCGACATTCACTCGCCGCGTGTGCCGTCGGTCGAGGAGATGACTCAGCGCATCAAGGAGATGAGCGAGTTCATCGACCCGAAGCTGCTGTGGGTCAACCCCGACTGTGGTCTCAAGACCCGTACGTGGGAAGAGTGTGAGGCTCAGCTTAAGGCCATGGTCGCTGCGGCGGAGCAGGCTCGCAAGATGTTCGCCTAAAAGGATCTCGTATCGGAGCGTCTGTCGTAACGGCCTTGCATCGTAGGCAGGTTGCACATGGACCTCTCTATACTCAACTATGGATATGGATCCCGCTGGCCTGCTTTTCAACGTATAAAAATTTCTTTATTGCTTGATATGATGAACAGCATGTCAGTATGTAACGACTCCCCCGGATTTCGTACGCAGTCATGTTTGCCCTATCGTGTTCTATAGCCCCTTCCTCTCATTTCTAGTAATGCATGTTTCAACAGCTGCAAATCTTTCTTATGTAAAAAGTGGAGACCTGGTGGACGTTGCAGGCAGGCCGATGTCTCCTCCACAAACGACCGTGCTCCGTTGGTTGACTAGCGGAGCCCATGCCAACCTCCATGCCGCCAGATCCAGAGGACGTGCTGAGGGCAGAGCAATCCCTCCTCCTACGTCCTCTGGATGAACTGCGTACTAGTCTCAAGCATCAGCAGCGGTTATCTGATCGTGATTTGGAGCATGCAAAGCAAACTCTCTCTCATGTCTTGTCGTCAGCTACCACGGAGGAACGAATGCGTACGCTCCGGGGGGCAGTACAAAAACTGTCGTCATTACGTTCCAAGCTTGAAGATGCAAAAAAGAATGATGCTCTTCTCTTTGAAGCGTTGCAAGCGCGTTTACAGCATATGCAGGCCTTGTACCATATGGACCCTGCTTCCTCTGATTTCTCCCACTGGTGTGATACACGATTAGATCGACTTCTTGTCGATCACATGCTACGGCAAGGGTATATGCATACGGCAAAAGCACTCGCACAGCGCCAGCATATTGAGGTACGTGGTAAGGGACACGTTGCTTACTATTTCTCAGTCTCTGGTAGACCTGCCTGCTTTTGAACAGATCCATCAAATCGAAATGTCTCTTTTGGGTGATGAGGCAAAGGGCCAGAAACCTTCGTGTGCATTGGCTCTAGCATGGTGCGCGGAAAACAGAGCTGCATTGCGCAAAATGGGCTCCACGCTGGAGCAGGAGCTTCGAATCCAGGAGTTTATTGAATATATTCAGGCGGGAACCCCTTCGTCTCGTATCCAGGCAATTCAATATGCTCGAAAGTACCTTGCAGCCCATCTTCCAGCATCGACTAGCCCTAGTGGCTCTTCGACGCTGCTTCGTGCCATGGGCCTTCTTGCCTGTGGCCCACGACGGCCATGTTACCAGGTATGCAATCATTGTATTTCTTACACCTAGGATCTTCTTAGCTTTGACCGATGGGAGGCATTACGTCGCCAATTCCGGACTACGAGTCTGGCATTGCACAATATTCCTACTATACCTCTATTGTACATGGCTCTCAGTGCAGGCCTATCGAGTCTGCACACCGTCTCTATGTCAGCTGAAGCATTGCATTGTCCTATGGAAGAAGACAACAGCAGTGCTGATATGGAGAGCTCCGTCAACTCTCATTTGTTTTCCAGTATCCTGTTACACAGGGGTGAAATGAACCCTGACTGTCCGGCTTGTCAAAAGGACAACTTGGGTGTCCTAACCTCACATGTATCCCATAACCACCCTACACAATCTACATTAATATGCCGGGTAACAGGGAAGCCCATGGATGACAAAAATCCTCCGATGTGCCTTCCCAATGGTATGGTATACTCTACTGAAGTACGTACACTTTTCAACTCACCCAGGCCCTATCCATACTACGTTCACGAAGTCTTGATAGGGAAATTATTGTCTGTCCACGTACAGGCCAGCAATTTCCATATGCTTCCTGTCGAAAGCTCTTCATATCCTAAACGCTTGGCGTGCCTTAGCACAGGGTTGACAACGTGTCACGTGATACCCACCGAGCCGATTTGCTCCCTGACTCCTCGACACGGGTCGCCTTATATAGCTTAAAGCTCGCTACTTACATTCTGTAACTTGGATCTAGTGACGGCGAAGCGGCAGAAAGACATACTTCTGCTTACTATCTATAACCATAACTGATCCTTTGTGTTACACCTCTTCTTCGTATACCACCTCGCTTGAGTTAGTGTGGTTTATTCCCTCTCGCCCCTTCTCCTGGTCTACGTATTAGGCTTTATTGCGGAGAAGGATGGCAGATTCCACCACGGCTAACTCGTCCAACTCAAATGAAGATGAACATTCATCTTCATCGAATGGTTCGTCCTTGGGGCTCCAGACCTTGTCTTTATTAGACGATGGTAGGGCGCCTGTACATTCATTAAAAACAGATTGTGGCATACAATCCTCGACTGTGTCGGTCCAAGGTCAAACAACAGAAGCCCAATCTCCTTCTCCAATTCTGAGTACTCCGACACCTACTGTAAAAACATTTCGTGCTAGCGGTAATGAGGATGATGCATCAATGCTAGGCTTTCAACGATATGTATCGCATAAGAATGGCTCTCAGGATGCAACCCAATTGCACACCAACGACATGCTTAATGCGCCTTGGAATTACTACACACAGGACAACCTACCAATTGCGTACGGCTTTATGGATTCTACGGAAACGTTACGGCAGCGCTTATCAAGTCACCTAACGCCTGGTACGAGCCCTCCCGAAAAGTCTAGTCATGTGAACGACAGCGACACACAAATCAGTACCTGGTCCAGTTCAAGCCGAGCGCCCTCCTCTACCTGGCCCGAACTTTCTGAACTGGGAATAGAAAATGCCCTAGCAGATCGTGATCAAAGCCCATCGCTGAGGTTACGTCGATCCCCAACATCGGGGTCGACATCTACACTCACATACACCAGCCATTCAATACCTACTGAAGAGCAGGGAACTAGGCATTCTGTTCCGGATACGCAGCGCCATCCCAATGATCGTCCGGCACCCAATCATACGGACTCTTCTGGAAGTATTTCCATGTTCTCGGACATATCCTCTAGTGGAAATAATAGCCACTTTGGGCCTGGCATTCGAGCCAAGTTGAATACGGTACTACCTGCTTTGCTAAATACAATCTCTTTGGACGAGCACCGAACAGTGCTTATAGCGGAGTATGGCTGTATGAGCTCTCGCGCTATGAGTCTTGTCCGATCGATTATTGAAACTTTTATGGATCGGATCATGGCACGTATTGCGTCATCGCCCAATTCTTCTTCTGCCATGGCTTATCGAGCGTCCATGGCTGGCTTTGCCCGCGAGACAGCAGACCTTGTGAATTTTGTCGTTATTCATGAGGATGATACGAACCATGACTTCAAGCCCTTCCGATTCGCTTTAGAGTCGCATCCCGATTCGTATTTGAACCCGTTATGGCAGTCTTCGTTCGTTCCGTCCCTGCAAAATGTGATTTATTCCACCTTTTCCGCTCGCCCCTTTGGCTCGCGCGTGGTGCCACCTGACTCCTTGCACTTGGGCTTCAATCTCATGGACCTTCACTGGATCCATACTCCGAACACCAATGTATCGTTGCCGTCCGTGGCCCATGCTGAGTTAACCATGTGCCTGAATGCTCGTGCGCGTGAATTCCGGCGCGGCGGCATTTTCATCATGGCTTTCATTGCTCGTTCCGAATCTGGTTCGCCTGCGCCTACAGAAACCGATAATCTTTCTACGTCGACACCGTCCAGGAGTAAGAGTGGGTCACTGCTTTTTGCAGAACAGTCGAAGCGTTTTTCGACGGCCTCTATTTCTGAGCAAGATGCCCAATCCACGACCACGCCACCAGTGCCACCCAGTACCAATGACAAAGATATTTGGCTTGCTATGTCCAATATGATTATGCCATGCTTGCAACGATTGGTCTCTTGCGGAATGATGAAAGTGGATGTGGCACGACTCATGTTATCTCTTCCCATTCATCCACGTACACCTGCGCAAACCTTACGTGTGCTTGAGAAATTCAGCGATGTATGGTCGGTAGAGTGGAGCTGTGGTATTGGATGCAACAAGACAAAAGAGTATGTAACAGAAACGGGTGAGACCATCACCTTGACGAGCGAGCCAGATATGCTGCGATTACCACAGCCTGCATGGGTGGCGGTTCAGTCTGGCAAATTGTCCCAGGATGCATATTATGAACACATTATTGCAATGTTTAAAAACTTATACGAAGCCCATTTCCGCACGGTTCTCCGTGAACGGGGTAAGCTGAACAAAGGCGCTGTGGAGTTCATTCTTGATTCGCTATGGGATGTCCTGCGGTCACGTATGGGCGACTCAGCCACCTGCCCCTTGGCTGACTGTGAATTGGAAATTCAAATCTTGGCTTTACGACGGCTGTGAAAAAAAACATCAGTATACTTGAGAAATGGGGTCGCATTTCTATACACGACTATGTATCAACTTGTTATATATTGCTGTATTAGTATGTTAGAATGTACATTTTTTGGACTCGCAAGCCCGTCGCCCGCGCAGTGCTTGCCTCCACTTCTCTACGTCCACTTACACTCTCCGGCGCGTTCGCCGCGCAATGGCGCTGCCTTCCCCTGGACGCAACGGAAGCTCTGATGGGCCGCCTATGAATCTTGCCTATGTACCTTACCAGCGGAATAAGGGCAAGGCTCGGACCACATCCACGCCGCTCCATTCGATTGGTGGCGCAAGGTCATTGACCTCGAGTCCTTCGCCTAACGTCCACATGAACGGCTCACGTTCCCGATCAGCAAGCGGCATGAACAACAAGGCTCCTTATCTTGTGAGCCTAGAGACAGCATCCACTGGGTCTAATCGTAGTGCGTCACCGACCTTTGTGGAACCGCGCGGCACCTCCTCTGCACCTGTCAGCCCTCCGCCTTTACGACCGCTCTTGTCATCTTCTGGCGGCAAAGCTACAGCATTGAAAGGTGTACAAGAAAAGCCTTCTTCTCCTTCAGGACATCGTCTCTCTCCAGGGCCTTCCACTGTACATCCCTACTCTTTTGCGGGCAATGCGGCGCTTCGAGCAGAGGGACATTCGCCACGTGAATCTCTTCCCATCCAACCTCGTGCTGATCGTATGCCTTATCGCAATGGATTCCAACCCAAGGGCGTCATACGGAAACGCACAGAAGAGTTTCAGAAATTGCGGGCGAAATCGACTGGCTCTGTGGAACTGGATGACCAGCGTATGGAACGTCGGCTCGGCAAACTCCTGAAAATCTACTCACCAGCTTTCGAGCCTCCGATGGAGATCAAGACCAGCTTCCTCTCTGATCCAAGAGGGTTTTTGCGTCGTGGGGGTGAACAAGTTCTGGATATGTTTCACACCAAGCACGAAATGCAGAAGCATCGGCTGGACATGTATCGAAGGCACGCGGAGCAGGATGTTGTCAAATGGCAGGAAGACGCTCTGAGCCCTAACTGTGCAATATGCTCTGTCCCATTCTCCTTAGCTATTCGACGACACCATTGTCGGCTCTGCGGACGGACAGTATGTTCATCGCCTCAGCTGCCTCACTTTCTTCACGAGCAAGATGACCGTTCTACCTCTTCATTACTAACGCAGGAGCCATGCAGCTCGCTTATGTTTCCTAGTCCTTCCAACTCACTTTTGCACGATCTACCACAGCGCCCACCAGCTCAGTCTAAGCCGTCACAATGGAAGGCATTTGAAGCTGCCGAACTCTATGCCATACGCTTTTGTCGAGACTGCAAGGTAACTGTCCATCGCATCCAGTTCCCGATCCAGTCGCGCGAGCCCATGGCGTTGATCTCAGACTACGACGTATGTGCCTCCCATGATACTGACATTTCCAGGCTCTGAGACATCTTCAGCAAGAAATTGACGAGGCACTCCCTAATTTCCACGAAATGCTCCTTGGGCTCAAGTAAGCATCTAATCTAAGCTAACAACAGAAAAAACGACATGGACATTGCGTTGGCTTCTACGCTTCGCGACAATTGTGCACTTCAAGCAGATGCTATTCAAGCAAGGAAGGACCTGCTAGCTCGCTTTTCCCAATTCGATCAACTGGCTCGGAAAATCGAAAGGTTGCCCCCCACTGTGCATGGCTTGGTTTCCCCCACGCAAAAGCGCTTACAACAAGCCATCTTTTCACGAGCCACGATATATCTACAAAGAAATGTATGTATTCTCTCACTAACAATCCTTCAGATGTTTCCTTTACAAAGCTTACCTGTGGCCCGTAAGGAGAAAAGCAAATCTTCACCATCGACCTCGGCGACAAACTTGCCGTTGGAAGCACAGCAGCAAATCAATGTCTTGTCTGAGCAAGAGGCATTACTATCATCCTATCTAGAGGCTGCGAAAAAGGCACGAAACTTAGATGATGTTCTCTCTTTAAAGCAAAGCCAAAATGAGATCCGCGCAGAGATCGAACAGATTATAGCCAAGCATACCATGTAACATTAGTACGTAGACAAAAGGGTATCATGATTTTGATTATTGTTGGCGCGATGTTACTAGCTGAGATATGTTAGGCTGACGACTCACGTACTTCATTCTGAATCGCATCGCGCTTCGAGCCCAACTCCTCCAATCGCTTCTCCACACGCTGGCTAAAGAATGAGACCCACGAACCGGTACATACAGTTCAGTTCGAATATACTCAATGCGCTTCTCAACATTGCTCTTTGCCTCTACAGAGTCCTGGGGCAATAACACAGGGCCTGTTCGCTTGTAAATGCGGGCATCGGGCGCAAGGTTCGAAAATTCCTGAGAGTAAGCGAGGTCATCGGGACCGTGTAATTACCTTTTGTACTTGCTGGTTCTCTGAGAGTTGCGATAACAACTGCTGATGTGAGTCTACAGCAAGTTCAAAGTCTAAAGAATGTGAGAAATAGACAAGAAAGCTTAACATACCCGTTTGAACCTGCTGTAGCTTCGCCAGAATCGGCGTCGCGTTACCTGTAGCCATTGTCGCTCACGTAACAAAGCGTCACTACTAGCACGCTATCGCCTCCACGTACGTTCAAGGGTCAAAGAGTACACGTGAAGAAGCATGGTTTCGGTACCCCCGAATTTGCTGACAAAAAATTACAAGGGAGAGGTTCAATAGGACTGCGGTAATGACTCTATGACACGTAATTGATTCCTGTCCATTGTGTTCGAATTTAAAATTTTATTGGACCAAAGCGTTCGGATGAGGAAGCGATCTAGGAAATGAGAGACTTAATGTAAACAAAGGGTGTTAATCTCTATGACTAAAGCACGAAAACGGGGTAGTACAGGGTCTATCTCAAAATCGATCAAACACATTTGGGGTACTCGCCAACGAATTCGCGCTGTAACTGGGGGACTCACCATGGTGTTCTTCCGGTGTTTTGTTGAAAAAAAAATCTATCTGAAACATATATAAACACTGTGTTAGATACGTCGATATCATTCATCTTTTCATACCCTTCAAGCTTGTCCATATGCAGTTCACTCGTGCCGCTGTTCTTTCTGTTGTTGCCCTGGTTGCTGGCGTGTCGGCTGCCCCTGCTGCTAAGGTGGACTCCCGCAACGTGTTCACTGGTGGTAAGGCCACCTGGTACTCGGCTGGCATGAGCGAGGGCAACTGTGGCTGGTGGAGCACTAACGCTGACCACATTGTCGCCCTTAACGTTGAGCAGTACGGTAGCACCGACGATCGCAGCAGCCACTGTGGTCGTCTCGTTCGCATTGTGAACAACAAGAACAACAAGGTCCTGCACGCTGTTGTGGCTGACTCGTGCCCCTCGTGTGACTTTGGCTCGCTCGACCTCAGCAAGGGTCTATTCTCGGATCTGAACGACGGTGACCTTGACATGGGCGAGTTCCCAATCTCGTGGAGCTTCCTGAACTAAATGGTTGCCCACGCAAAAATATTACCTTTCTTTTTGACTTCTATGCTCTATGTGCTTAAGAGGTGAACGTCCTGGTTCTGACTTCACTCGATTCTTCGGCGCTTAGTTCCTTTTTTGTTTTGTTGCAAGATTCAGCGAAAAGCTGATTTACGATCTTTACTACTTCATTGTGATCTATATATAACATCTTGATGACTGTTGACACGATGCAAGTGCTGTTGTTACGAAGCAAACTCTTCGGCAATCTTTTACGTTTGGGATTATATATTGTTATGGACGGGTTAGGCAGGAGTTGTTATACCCTTATGATTATAGGCGTTTAGGCGAAACGGTCTTGAAAGATACTTTTCTGCTTATTTTTCTTTTGGATGGGATTATGTGCAATTTTGTCAGTGGGATTAAAAGACGTATACTGCTGTACCCTTTTTTGACGAAGAGAGGTGTTGCTCTTCTTTTCTGGATTAGTCAGGGCGTTGCTTCGCTCGAATAGAAAAAGGTCTGGACTTTCGCAGTAGCCGGCTCGATGTTCCGGCTCGCTTATATAAGCTTGGCCTGGCTGATGAAATACTTTACGGTGATTGGGTTGCTACAAGCTCGAGATTTGTCCAGCCGACCCGCTAAGCCGAGGTATGATGGGTAGAGCGGTCGATCCGTTGTAACCATGATGTTGGTAAAGCATGTTACTCGCGTTTCGCGGGTCCCAGCTATGGGCCGCGTGATGCGTAGCAGTGTGTCTCAATTGCCTCATATTTCTGCGCGCGGGTTCTGCCGCCCTGCTATGTACAAGCCGACTCTTCCTCCGGTGACTCGCGTTCGCAGCTTCCATGCCGGTCGTGTTCTTTGTGAGGAAGCAGAGGAAATGAAGGAAGATGACACCGTGGTGGACGAGGTCGATGTGCTCATTGTTGGTGGTGGTCCGGCTGGTTTGAGTGCAGCGATCAAGATCAAGCAACTGGCTGGAGCCAAGGGTGAAGAGATTCGCGTCGTTATTCTTGAAAAGGGTGCTGAGGTAGGCAACCATATTTTGTCTGGTGCTGTGATCCAGCCTACAGCGCTAGATGAGCTTATTCCAGACTGGAAGGAGAAGGGCGCGCCGCTGAACCAACCTGCCTTGGAGGACGACATGGTGTTCTTGACCGAGAAGGGTTCTGTGCCTATGCCGCACCCTCCGCAGATGAACAACAAGGGCAACTACATCGTGTCGCTGTCGCGTGTGACTGCATGGCTTGCAGAGCAGGCGGAAGAAGCTGGTGTGGAGATTTACCCCGGCTTTGCGGGCGCCAAGCTGATTTGGGACGAGGCAGCTGACGGCACTAAGCGTGGTGTGAAGGGTGTTGTGACGAACGAGATTGGTCTTAACAAAGACCGCAAGCCGAAGGACAACTACGAGCCTGGTATGGAGTTCCGCGCTCCGATCACGCTGTTTGCTGAGGGTGCCCATGGCTCGCTCTCTCTGCAGGCGATCAAAGAGCTGAAGCTGCGGGAGGCTGTGGATGCCGATCCGCAGACTTATGGTATTGGTATTAAGGAGGTGTGGCGCGTGAAGCCTGAGAACCACAACGCTGGTTTGGTCTCGCACACCATGGGCTTCCCGCTGTCGACCGATGTGTACGGCGGTACATTCATGTACCACATGGAGGACAACCTTGTGACGCTTGGTCTCGTTGTGGGCCTGGACTATGAAAACCCGTACCTGAGCCCTTACCAAGAGTTCCAGCGTATGAAGCACCATCCATTCTTTGCGAAGGTGCTGGAAGGTGGTGAATGCCTTGCCTACGGTGCTCGTGCGCTGAACGAGGGTGGTTACCAGTCGATTCCCAAGGTGCACTTCCCTGGTGGTGCGTTGATTGGCTGCTCGGCTGGTTTCCTGAACGTTCCCAAGATCAAGGGTACGCACAATGCAATGAAGAGTGGTATGCTGGCTGCAGAGGCGGCTATGGATGCCCTGGCGAAGCGCAGCGAGGAGGACCCGTATGCGCCTATTGACATTGAGGCGTACAAGACGAAGCTGGATGAGAGCTGGGTGATGAAGGAGCTGCACGAGGTGCGGAATATCCGCCCGAGTTTCCATGGCCCGTTGGGCTTCTGGGGCGGTCTGCTGTACTCGGGTCTGGAGACGATGATTTTGAAGGGCCGTGTGCCCTGGACGCTGCACCACCCGAAGGAGGACCATGCGTTTACGAAGCCTGCTTCGCTGTGCCAGCCCATTTCGTACCCCAAGCCCGACGGCAAGCTTTCGTTTGATATCCTTACCTCGGTGTCTCGTACGGGCACGAATCACGCTGAGGACCAGCCTGTGCACTTGGTTGTGAAGGACTTGGACTACAAGACGCACGTGGAACGCAATGTGGGCACGTTCGATGGTCCTTTGGGCCGTGTATGCCCTGCGGCTGTGTACGAGTACGTGCCGAAGGAGGACGCGAATGGCGAGGAGGATGCCTGTGGCAAGAAGCTGGTGATCAACAGCCAGAACTGCATTCACTGCAAGACCTGCTCTATCAAGTGTCCTGACCAGACCATTACGTGGACGGTGCCTGAAGGCGGCGGTGGTCCCAAGTACTCGTTGACGTAACCTAGCTATAGTATTGTAGATGCCACCATCCCGATCCCCCTACTTGGAATGTGAGAGAGCTTGGCAGGATAGTTGGCCAGCCAGGTAGCCAGGGAGCTTCCTTTCGGCCGGGGCCACGTGGGCAGGTGCGAGGGGAGGGCACACTGCTTCTTCGCGAGGCCCACGGCCGGCCTCGCTCCCTACCCACGTCACCCATGCCGACGGTCAGTGTAGACAAGGCCCTGCTTTTCGAAGGACTCGGCAAGGACTATACAACGCAGGAGTTTGACGAGCTCTGCTTCCAGTTTGGTATTGAATTGGACGATGATACGACAGAGCAGGTAGCTGGCACTGATGAGCGTCCTTCGCTCAAGATTGATATCCCTGCCAACCGATACGATCTTCTCTGCTTTGAGGGTATCCTGCGTGCTCTGCGTGTATTCCTAGGCCTTGATAAGCCGCCTGTGTACAAGCTTACGACGCCGAAGGAGATGCTTACGCTTACCATTGCCCCTGACACGTCGAAGATCCGCCCGTTCTTTGCTGGCGCTGTGCTACGCAACGTCACGTTTACACAGGAAAACTACGACAACTTTATTGACCTGCAGGACAAGCTGCATCAGAATCTCGCTCGTCAGCGTACGCTCGTTGCCATTGGCACGCACGACCTTGCGACGTTGGAGCCGCCGTTCACGTACGAGGCGTTGCCGCCCAATGACATCAAGTTTGCGCCGCTGAACCGTACGGAAGAGTACACGGCCTCTGGCCTCATGGAGCTGTACGAAAATGACAAGCACCTAAGCCGGTACTTGCACATTATTCGTGAGAGCTCCGTGTACCCTGTGATCTACGATCAGCAGCGTCGCGTCCTGTCGATGCCGCCGATCATTAACTCGAACCACTCGAAGATCACGCTGAATACCAAGGACGTGTTCATTGATGTGACGGCTGTTGACAGGACGAAGCTGGATATTGTGCTGAATATTATTGTGACGATGTTCTCGCAGTACTGTGCTGAGCCATTCACCGTCGAGCCGATTCGCGTCGTATACCCGGACGGACAGGAAGTTGTGACACCGAACCTTGACCCTCGTACTACATCGGTGCATGTCTCTTATGTGAACCGCTGCACGGGTCTGCAACACTCGGCGAAGGAAATCTCGCAGCTGTTGACGTTGATGGGCCATGATGCGTCGCCTTCGGCGGACGAGGACGTGGTGGATGTGCGTGTGCCTGTGACGCGCCCTGATATCCTGCACGAGTGCGACTTGATGGAGGATGTGGCGGTAGCGCATGGCTTTGACAACTTGCCGAAGACCTTCCCCGGTACGAACACGGTAGGCGGTCCGTTGCCCATCAACAAACTCTCGGACATTATCCGCCATGAATGTGCGTATGCCGGCTGGCTGGAAGTGCTGCCGTTGATCCTGTGCTCGCACGACGAGAACTTTGCATGGATGAACCGCAAGGACGATGGTACGAAGGCCATTGTCCTGGAGAACCCCAAGACGCTCGAGTACCAGATTGTGCGTACGTCGTTGCTGCCAGGTCTCTTGAAGACACTGCGAGAGAACAAAAAGCATTCTCTCCCTATTCAACTGTTCGAAGTATCTGATGTCGCCTTTAAGGATGCGTCGGAAAAGCAGCGCATGTCACGCAACGAGCGCCACGTTGCTGCGCTGTACTGCAACAAGGCGGCTGGCTTCGAGGTCATCCATGGTCTTTTGGACAAGCTAATGATGATGTTGGACATTCCCCGCATTGCGCGAGATGATACCAAGACCGACCGTGGCTACTACCTCCGTGAGGCTGAAGATGCGACGTATTTCCCGGGCCGTGCGGCCCACATCTTTGTGCGTCTGCCTACACCGGCTGCCGGAGCCGGCCTGGACTCGCTAAAGGACTTGGAGGTGGCCCTGAAAGGCGATATGCATATCGGTACGCTTGGTGTATTGCACCCAGATGTGTTGCAACACTTTGATATCGCGTTCCCATGCTCGGCCCTCGAATTTAACTTGGAGCCGCTGCTGTAAGCGTACATAGGGGTCTTGTCCTGCGTAGAGAAATGGTGCGCGTGGACTGCATCGATTGTGTGGTTGCTTATCGGCCCTCCACCTGTTGGCACGGTTGCGGAGGCGCCTCGATGGAGAGCAACGTACCTGCGTCTGCGAAGTCCAACGTCCGGAGGCTGCGATTGTGGCGTATGGGCTTGTTTCGCTATCGAGGTCACTCGCAAGATGACTCAGACACCCTTACACCGCGATCTGTTGCGGCGGAGCAGGAATATACAGATGAGCCATTTGCGAATCCCACGTCTCTCTCTGTGGTCGATGCGGCACAAGACCAATCATACCCGATTCGCACTGTGGTTGTGGCTTTTTCACAGCTTACCAGTGACTTTTTATTCCTGTTCTCTTCATGGGGCATTGTAGGGTGTTATGGCACATTTCTTGTGTACTTTCATGATACGATGCTACCGACATACTCGGCCTCGGCCATTGCTGTCATCGGCTCTGTCCAGTATTTCCTTGCAGTGCTTGTGGGCGTTGTCACCTCTCCCTGGGTCGATCAAGGCCATATGCAGTGGATGTGTACGGTGGGCTCCATTCTCACGGTCTTGGGTATCATGATGGATAGTTTGAGCACATCATACGTTCATGTATTCTTTGCGCATGGAGTCTGCTTGGGCCTAGGAGCTGGTCTCTTATACCTCCCCAGCATCTCTTGCGTCTCCGAATACTTTACCATGCATCGGGGTGGGGTGCTGACACTAGCGTCACTAGGGAGTACCATCGGGAGCATTATCTTTCCTATCATGTTCAATACGATGGAGCCCAGCATTGGGTACCCATGGGCGGTACGCATCATTGGATTTCTTATGATGGGCTGTCTCTTGGTAGCCCTTGTTCTTTCCACGCCGCGGCAGGAGAGGGTTCCAGCGCGACGCCTTTGGTCCTCTCAAGCGTGGACGGATCTTCCGTATGCTTTTTTCCTCTTTTCCTACTTTCTATGTATGGCCGGCGTGCAAGCACCCAATTTCTACTTTCCGCTGTATGGAAAGCACCGTCACTACAGCCCCTCTATTTACCCCTTTGCCACATCCTTCCTTAAATCAGGTGCGGCGGTTGGGCGCTTGCTCAATGCCATGCTATCACAGCAATTTGGTGTGATGCACTGGTATCTCCCACGAACGTTGATTGGCGCTGTTCTTGTGTACTGCTGGATTGCATCCGATGGTCAAGGCAGCTATGTGGCGATTATTGTGTTGTACGGATTCTTCACCAGTAATGTTCTCTCTTCCATGCCGAAGATTGTGTCGGATCTTACAGACAACCCAGCTGATGTGAGTGTACGTTTGGGGATGGCCAGTATGGTGTCTTCAGTAGGTGTTCTGCTTGGACCCCCTGTCGCTGGCGCTCTTCTGGTCGTTGAGCCACCGAACTTTCTGCATGCGCAAATCTTTATGGGATCGGTCATGACTGCGTCTTGTCTAGGCCTCTTTTTTGTACGCTACGTCAAAACAATATAAATCACAGGGCATCTCGTACGACTATATACCAATCATCATTTCATCATGTTTCCCTTAGTAAAGTCTTTGTTTGTAGAGTAGATCCGATTTCATAGCAATAAACAGCAGGACCTACTCTTTGGTCCATCCCACGTCGACGCGTGTATGCCAGTCGACATTGTCATCACGCAACTCGAGTCTTTCACCACGGGTGCCAAACAACTGATCCCAAAAGACCGACTGTTTGCCGTAGTTGTAACTTTTACCCCATCCGTAGCGGTGATGCAAATCATGGTCCTCCACAACGATGTTCAGATTGAAAGGTCGTAGAAGGAACGATGTAAGAACACCAGGGTAGTAGACGCGCAGGCCTGAGTGCCCCATGACCTCGATGGAGATAAAGTACAAAGACCAAATATACAATGCGTCAAAAGAAATAGGGTACACCATGTAAGTAAGCACGGGAGTACCTAGGGCGTCAAACACGGCTTGCACTTCTTCTGAAAAGCCTGCCAAGAAAGGGTTCGGGTGTTTCGTTGTGTGATGTGTCTTGTGCAGTGTCCACAAGGCGTCCACCTCGTGTGTAGCCCTATGACCCCAGTAATAGATAAAGTCCACGATCATCGTAAAGCAAAATAGCTGCAAGGGTAACCAGAGCGAAAGCGAGGGCAACTCATGTTGCCGGTAAGCCAGAAGGAAAAAGAACAGAGGGCGAACAAGGATTGCCGAGATAAGGTTTTCAAAAACAAAAGTCGTCATTGGCTCACTGATTGTGTCTCGCGGAACCTCACCATCCAAGTACCCGTACTTGATGATGAGCGATCGCACTTTAAGTTGATAACTCTTGAGGAACGCCATAGTATGAACGACATGGAGAAAGAATAGTAATACGGGCGGGACGGAGTAGCCAGTCACCTTCATAAATGCGTATCGAAGGATAGTAGGTAAGAATACCCACCTGGCTGAAGCCCAAAATTCATCAAGTTCGTACACCATTGGTACTTTACCTGTGTGTACTGGCACTTGAAATTCGTTAGCAGGGGGTAGGAACGGCATCCTACTCCGCAAAAAACGCTTTTTCCAGTCCAATTCTTTATCATCTTTGAAACGCCAGCCGTCCGCATAGGGACGCGGCCGCATAGATGGCACGTAGGATGGCATGAGGACTAGTAGCTATAACATCTGGGGATATGCATAGGTCGCCTTTCATATAGGTGTCCATGCCATTTTCAACAGTGAAATGATTACTAAAAGTCTGAGAAGGACCGGTGTGTGGCGGCCGGTCTGCCTGTGGGACTATAGTGGAAACTGGTTTTCATAAGCGTTAAAGATTGGGAAACGAAGGTAGCAAATGCCTCCACATGGAACCATTGTTAGTGTCACACACGTCTGCATTTGCTGGTACTCCATGGCTGGTTCTATGTGTGTATGCTGCTTCTGCACCGACCCCGTGTGCCCTTCTTAGACAATGCGCTGAGCCCTGATACCCATGCCATTGAGGCATTGTACTTATTAAAGCAAGCGGACAGCCAAGAGCTATGTTCCCTACCAAATGGAGCTGAAGCAAGCATGCATGCAGCCGACTCGTTGTCTATGAATATGGAGGCGTACCAAGCGACATACCAAGTGCGCCGTTTCCCCAACACTGGGGTCTACTTTATCTTCCAAGCAGGGACGGTGCATGCAGGCCTTGCATCGTACCCTGGCCGAGACGATCAAGTCAACTCGTTATCGCGTATGGATAAATGCATCGGCTAGCTGGAAGAAATGGCCATGCAATGGAAGAGTGCCAGCCGGCAGGTGGAGATCCTACGAAAGCTCTATGATACGGCGTCTCGTACGTTCGCCTCGGAAGTGCGCTGGAAAACGCCGTTCCCGACTTCTACCACCACGCTTGTGCCTAATGCCCTAGCCTTGGCAGCGACTACAGGCCCTTCGGTACCTGCTATGAACGCTGACATGTCGATGCCGAGCAGTTGGACGACCTTGTGGGCGTCGATGCCTAGTTCAGCCGATGACTTGAACCCATGGCAGCAATGCTTAGGAGAAATTACCCTGTAGTCTGTACGAGGATTTCCATGATGATCTCTAGCCAGTAATACAATGTCTATAACAACAAGGGCTGCATCGATAAGACAGGCCCCCAACAAGCATACGGACGCGCGTAGGACGGCTAAACGAGAGTGATTTTGCCGTGCGTGGTCGCCTTCTCGGGTGGAGGCATTGGGTTTGTAAGCAAACGCCCCATGGAAAAATCAATAGCTGGGCATATATATGTCTCGATGACCTGATTTCTCACCGCCAACGATCCCTATGTTGATCTCCACACTTCGCGCTGCGGTGCGCGCCCCGGTGCGGGCGCGCGTAGCTCGCACAGTTCCATGCACGTTGCCAACGCTTGTTCGTTTCTCGTCAACTAAGGTGACGACCTTGGAAGAGGCCATGAAAAATGTCAAGGCTGGCGACACTGTCATGGTTGGCGGCTTTGGTCTCTGTGGTACCCCGGAGACGATCATTCAAGCCGCGTCGCAGATGAAGAACGTCAAGGACCTGACTGTGATCTCGAACAACATGGGTGTGCCCGGCAAGGCGCTGGGTATGCTGGCAGAGGCACGCAAGATCAAGAAGGCGATTTCGTCGTTCGTCGGCGGTAACCGTGCGTTCACATCGCAATTCCTTAACGGTGAGGTATCGATGCAGCTTGTCCCGCAGGGCTCGTTGGCCGAGAAGATTCGCGCTGGTGCCGCGGGTATTCCCGCCTTTTACACGCCCACAGCGCTGGGCACCGCCGTGGAGAAGGGCGAGTTGATCACGCAGTACGAGACGCCGTCGCAGGCCGACAAGGACGCTGGCAAGCCGCTGGTGCCCAAGGCGTACTCGCCGCCGCGTGAGACGCGTGAATTTAACGGCCGTACGTACCTGCTAGAGCATGCACTGCATGCGGACGTGGCGTGGGTGCACGCGTGGAAGGCCGATGAGGCGGGCAATGTGGTGTTCCGTCGTACAGCGCGCAACTTCAATGACGTGATGGCGCGTGCGGCACGCTACACGATTGTCGAGGCGGAGGAAATTGTGCCGGTGGGCAACATTGATCCTGACCATGTGCACCTGCCGGGTGTGTTTGTCGCGGCGGTGGTCCCGTCGCAGAAGCCGATGGATCTGGAAATTCTTACGCTCGACAAGGGCGAGACGAAGTCGTCGACAGACAAGCCGACGAAGCGTGATCTGATTGCAGGCCGTGCGGCGAAGGAGCTGAGCGACGGCATGTACGTCAACCTGGGGATCGGTATGCCTGGCCTGGTCCCGAGCTTCCTGCCGAAGGGCGTGAATGTGACACTGCACTCAGAGAACGGCCTGCTGGGTATTGGTCCATACCCCCGCACGGAAGCGGAGGTGGACCCGAACCTGACCAACGCCGGCAAGGAGGGCGTTACGTTCATTGATGGTGCCTCGTCGTTCGACTCCTCGGACTCGTTCGGTATTGTGCGTGGTGGCCACTTGGACGTGACGATGCTTGGTGCGCTGCAGGTGGCTGCGAATGGTGACCTGGCGAACTATATGATTCCCGGCAAGCTCGTGCAGGGCATGGGTGGTGCGATGGACCTCGTCTCGAACCCGGATGCGACGCGTGTGATTGTGCTGACGGAGCACGTGGACAAGTACGGCCAGCCGAAGGTGGTGGAGAGCACGACGCTCCCGCTGACGGGAGCTCGCTGTGTGGATCTGATTGTCACGGACTTGGCCGTGTTCAAGGTGGACCGCCAGAAGGGTGGTCTGACGCTGATTGACCTGCAGCCCGGCGCGACGGAGGAGGAAGTGCGTGCGAAGACTGGCGCCTCGTTCAAGGTCGCCCTCTCGTCGGCGTAATGCTCTCGCCATCAAGATTGTATTGTGATGTAGTCTAAACTTCGTAGTGAATGCTGCTATGGAAGTATAGCTGGTGGGCCTCACGTTAGCTGTGCCTTTGCATGCGATGAGACTGTGACAGGCTACGAAGAGCTATAGCGCCACAATTCCAGGTCTTCGAGGGCCAACCTCTTCCCTGGTATAATATACTTGTCACTTCGATGGAGAGCCCGAGCCGTGTAATAATGGATCCAGCATCCGCATATGAGGGGTGGGTGCTTGACAGGATCGGGAGTGGGCCGCTGGGATAGGAAGTGTGAGGCGTTGGTATTCCTGGAACCTGTCGTTATGGGAGTGCTCTAGAGGATGACAGCCACAGGTTCTAAGCGAACACAGGGCCCTGTCCATAGCGTTGTACATGCGTTTCTCTCCATCGGAAGGCTGGGTCGGCAAATGCAAGAGGGGATGACCGACTTCGTCGAAGACGAAGACATAGTCGTGTGCGAGGGGGCCAAGATTCTGCATCGTCAGGGTGAGTATGTCGAGATGAAGAGCATCCTAGTCGATGGCATCTTCGACATGGCTTGTCGTAGGGGAGTCGGTAGCATGGAAGCAACAGCCACTTGAAGAGGGAGAAGCCTCATGTTGACTGGCCGCGAGAGAGTCGTGCTCGTTCATCCATGGAGAGAGACCTACGCGACGCCGTATATGCACCAATTTATTTTTGGTTCCTGGCACGCGAGAATTTGTAAACAACATGTATAAACAGAGCGGGGTACGAATGCATTACGGGTATGGTGCCGTGGAGTGCACGACTTTGTTACGACCCATGCTGAATGCGTATGACATTCTTCGAAGTACGCCGTCTCGCTATATAATAGGTGTCAACTCGACACATGGGCCTGTGATTGGATGTGAAGCGCTGTCCTACTACACTAAAAAAAAAGGTTTGGTGATGCCCCGCTGTACTTTAAAAGAATGTGGAACGACTACTCTGCCTCTTTAACGGTTGACAGCATTTCCATCGTGTTCCAGGAGAAGGGTATCTAGATGCCGTGCTCATGTCCTGTGTGGATGTGACAAGTGTCTATATGACAGACTCTGCTGTATATCAGACGCGGGAAGATTTCGAAGATATGGAGCATTCTCTGCGCAAGAAAAAGGATCTGTCGCTTCGAGAGAGGAACATACCACGCGATACACGGCCCTACCATCAAAATATTTTACTGGGGTGAGATGCAAAGACCAGCACCGTCCTCGTCCAGTGGATGAATGGAGATACAGGCGATTTTTTCTCAAATCGAACCAGAGATGGGCGATTTGAGTCCATTCGATTTCCTTACTTGCGAGGAAAACGAAAGAAGGTAGCGTTTATCCTTGAGAACACAGTGGACGTGCATGATCCGTTAATAACAGGTAATGTGATCCCTATGGAGAGAGAGCGGGGCGTG